GGAGTAAACAGTCGCTTGTCATCAACCCGGTCCTCGTCGTCATCGCCCTTAGACGCGGGGAATGTCGCCATTAGCTTCAACCCCTCTCTCCGGAGTTTGGGTTGGTTGCTCCCGCAGCCTCCATGGCTTGGTGTCTTTTTCTGCGGGGCGTCAGGATCAGCCTCGAAGTCGTTTCTCTCATCACGCTCGCAGATCTTCCTATCCTTGCATGCACGCCAGACGGCTTCGAAGCGTTTTTTCGGGTCTCGTATGCGCTGAGCATCGCGGAAGTCCGGCTTGCTCTGCATAAGAAGCGGCGTCAGCAAACTGAAAGCAAAACAAACCGATCTATCGTCCTATCAGGAACGACTAACATCATCTGACAGAACCTTCCCGCAGGTCGTGCACACGCTCTCAAGAACTTTCTTGATCTTGGTGATGAAACCTGGTTTGCCTGTTAGCGCTTTGCGCATCCTTTCTCCGACTCGGCGACGACTTACCGACATGGAAGACAGGCGTGGCAAGTTCTATGTGACCAAAATGACCTGGGCACTCTTGCATGTCTTCGCCACAAGTAGCGCAAGAGCGACCTCGATCGATGGAGCCGAGCTTCGGGTCATTTAAGCCCTTCGCACGGGGCAGCATCTTTTGCTCATCCTGGACGGAGATGTCAGTTGTTGGTTCCCTTCGCCTGGTGTTGCGCGAAGAGATGGCACTTACCATCGTCTCAGGATATTCGATGTGCTCCACACTGAAGCCCTTGATCTCCTCAGGCGAGAAAAGCCCAAACTGGATTTCTTGGATGGTGCGCAGCGGCGCGCTAGAGTGTTTGAAAATCAGGTTCGCCATTTTTGCGGTGTCAAATACTAGGTTGTCTTGATTCTATTGAGGCACACGACGTATGCTCGGTCGCGAGGCGGTCGACGCTGGAGACGATTTCACTGGCAACTCTTCGCCCAAGCACCCCAGACGCGATATTCGCCTCCTAAACCTTCCTGACCACCGAGTGTTCCCCTTCTGCTCCCTTTGTGCTTGCCAGAATCGATATCGAGTGAATGCGCTTGATAGTTGATGGTAGGGATGCGCCAAGTGCGCTGGCCGCACGGCGGCGAAGAAACCTCGAAGTGAAGCTTACGGGGGCGCGACGTGGATCCAGGCAGCCGCCCACCGATGGACTCGTGAAAAACCGTGAACTCTGCCGCTCTAAGGACAGAGAGATGGCTTCTCGAGACTCGACACCTGCAGACGCGATGCGGTCGCAGATGGAGTGTTGGTTGTCGGGTGGGTGGGTGGTTGTAAGAAGGTTGACGGTCGCGGAGATGTGACGGCCTCCTTGAACACAAGTGAACGCCTCGTTTCGACAAGGGTAGTGTAATAAAGGAAAGTAACGCTTAGTAAGCCAAGCTCTTGCCGCTGCTGGACTAGCGGAGTGCGAGTGAGCGCCTAGCGTTCCCGCTGAGCCGCGCCAAGCTTGGATCACGTGAACATGCTTCGTGAATTATCCCGCAGAGTCGCCCGTTGCGACGGATGCATCCACTGCCTTGGTCAAGCCTTACGTCCACCTCTCGGAAGATGCGTTGCTTGACCCATCACAGCTCATTCTGCCCCGTGTCGCCCAGGCTGTCAAGGCGCCATGAATCTGTCGCTGGTTGATCCCTTCATCCTTGCGCAGGACTGTCCTGAGACCTTGACTGGGAAACTCCGCAGCGGGTCCTCTTCGCAGATACGCTTCAACTACCGCGGCGACTTGCTTGCGTCCGGCAGGACCGATGGCATTATCTCCATATTCGACACCGAGACCTGCGGTGTCGCTCGCAAGCTGAGGGGCCACACTGCTGCGATAGCAACCCTTAGCTGGTCCAAGGACGGCCGCTACCTCCTCAGCGCAGGCTCCGACTGCAAGTGCGTCCTCTGGGATCTGCAGGACGGCTCCAGGCTCCGCACAGTCCGCTTCGAAGCGCTCATCTACACCGCTGAGCTGCACCCTTCGAACCACTTCCTCTTTGCCGTTAGCTTGCTTTCTGCCCCAGCTTTGCTCGTCGACGCCTCGGCCGAGATACCCAAGAAGCATGCGCTGCCTCTGAAGCTGCTGCAGCCAGGGAGGAGGGAAGAGGATGGATCCAAGAAGGCGGCGAAGCCCCACACGACGGCCGCTGCCTTCATCAACTCCGGCGACTACCTTCTCACAGCGACGTCTCAAGGGCGTTTGAACATCATCTCCACTGCCTCCTGTGAAGCTGTCCTGTCCTTTCAGCTCTCGAGCGCGCCGATTACAACCATGCGCCTGACGAACTCAGGTCGGGCCGTTGCGGTTAACTCCGCCGATCGTGTCGTGCGAACGCTTCACCTCCCAGACTTTTCGGATGAGAAGCTGGATGTTGGAAACTTGCGCTTGGAGGTGGAACACAAGTTTCAGGACGTCGTGAACAGACTACGCTGGAACTATGTGTCACTGTCTCCCACCGGCGAATATGTCACGGCAAGCACAGGTGACAATCACGACATCTACGTCTGGGAGAGGGGTCAAGGCAGCCTCGTCAAGATTTTAGAACATTCAAAGGAGGAGCTCTACACTGTAGAATGGCACCCAAACAAGCCCCTAATCGCAGCTGCGGGCTCAGAGAGTGGTCGGATTTACCTGTGGTCTATCGTCGCGCCTCAGCGTTGGTCTGCACTTGCGCCCGATTTCGTGGAAGTGGAGGAAAATGTGGAGTACATTGAGAGAGAGGACGAGTTTGATATCCAGCCGCTCGAAACCTTGCACAAGCGTCGGCTCGATGCTGAAGATGAAGACGTGGATGTGCTTACGGTTGAACCACCAAAGGCCGGAGGAAGCGAGTGGGAAGGTGCGTTCAAGATGCCGGTTCTTCTGGATATTGAGGACAGTGACAGCGAAGATGAGATTGAGGCAGTCGGAGCCGGACAATATCGAAGGAAGAGCCCCGGCAGAAACAAGGAATGGATGGAGGGAGGGAGTGGTGATGAGAAGAAAGTAAATGGCACTGCAAAAGCGAACGGGACGAAGAGGCGGCGGGGAGATTGATACGACTGGCGAGCGGGGTCTAGTCAGAAGTCGTATGTTAAGATACCCACAATTCCATTCAAATTCGGTTACTTTGCTACGAACATATACTAGTATTTTCCCGCTACAACGATGCATTTGCAACAAAACTTAACCCCTCTGGCGTACATTACAATTAGTTTAATATCACAGCCCAACCATAGCATTTCCACAAAGCGCATCGAACTCCCGATAAGGCCTGAGGGTTTTGTGGGCAAACTGCACCCCAGTGATATGTCTGGCGAGCAGGGTAGCTAGAAGTCGTCCTTATATTTGCTGCTCAGAGCAAACACATTTCACCTCTCTTGACGTAAACATCACTACCGAGCTAGGTATATCGCCTCTTACACATCATCCCCCACAGAACAGGTCAGCCATGTGAACGGCCCAGTAGGTCAGCAACTAGAGAAGAAGCTTCGCGCTCAAGGGACAGCTGAACGTGGAATTTGATCGCGCACGATACCGCCAATGTTGCAGCGCGATCCATCTGGTGGGCAGACTGTCAAACAAAGAACTTCCAAAGAGGACTCTACCTACCGGGTACGTGGAATTCATTGTCTTCAGTTATGTTGCAGGAAAAGAAGACGTTTGCCTCATCCGGTCGCAGACAAAGGCTTCAGTTGCTTTGCACAAGTCGACAGGGAGCCAGTGCTCGTTAAATCCAAATGGTAGAAAGAACACGGCTTACCGACGGTCGTTGACCCTAAGAAGACTTTGGTTCTGTCTCTCGTTAGACTCGCTTGAAACCATCCGACAGTGAAGTTTCCCCGCCGCTATGTCGCAAACAGAATGGCGAGCGTACTTGAAGCAGGAGAGGCCGGGGGTGAAGCGTGATCATCCGAATTGGAAAAACAGTATGCTCAGAGATACCGAAGTACCTCTTCAAAAGCGCAGTCGCTAATCACATTTATCAGACCAAATAGTGAAGCACATTGGGCGTGATTGGCAGAAGTTTAAGAAAAGTGATGGCTTTCAAAATTGGGCGAACACACAAAACAACCCTCCTCGGCCACAGCAAAATGCTCCACCTGCAGGAAATGCTGCGCTCCAGCCAGTGCCTCCACTACAGCTCAACGTTGCGCCTCCTCACAATCCTACGCCTCAGCAAGGCCCTCCGACGCAGGCCGGCCCTTCGACCCATCCAGCTCAGCAGCCGAATCTCCCCGCCACACCAACTGTACAACAAAGCATTCCGTTCGTTCCAGACTCAGACGATGAAGAATCCCCTGGGTTACCTGCCTTCATATACTCCGAACTGTTAAGGCAAGATCTCGACGGTGCGTTCCCATCTCCTGTATGAACCTTTGAACCCTTCTGGGCGCTGACTATAATCTGAATGTGCAGTGGAAGAGTTGGATCACACTGGCCGGCTTGACGCCGAAGATGCTGCTCGTTTAGATTGGATAGATGTAACCCCTACCAGGAGATTGGCATGGGCGGGTGGTGACGGAGATAGCCACATAAGGGTTGCGGCTCAAAAGCAACAAGAACGTGCCACAAGAGCAGCCGCAGCTGTCCTTAGGGAGCTCGGACAGCAGCAAGCTCGCGCATGGAAAGATAATGACGCCGCTTATACGGGAGCACAACGGGTCGCAAACGTATTCGCCGACTACAGTGCTCGGCTCGCTCGCGCAGAGAGGGCGAACGAGGCAGCAGGTCTTGGTAAGCACGAAGGCATCAGTCGAGAGCATGCCAACATTATGACTCGCATTGCTGGTGTTGGTAGATCGCTCCCAGGAGCGTGGGTGGCAGCCGATCTTGTGCGCAGCGAAGACGCGGAAGACAGGTACCTCGCTCGAGTCTTCGCAAAGTTGGACGAGAACGGTGACGTGGTGGGTGTAAGTAGAGGGTCTTGCTCTTGTCGCTCACTATCTTGTCTGATATTGTGAGCAGCGAACCGTCGTCAAAATCGTCCACGAAAACCTGCAAGCGGGCGTGACGCCCCCGGAGGTAGCCATCCATGAGCTTGTTTCCAATGCAGCTTCAGAAGCACGCTGCGGATACGTGTTGGGATTTCGCAGATTCGCTTTCCTCACTAACTTGAGTGGCTACTGGATGCAGTTGCCTTTCAGCCCTCACGGCGATCTTGGAAAGGTCTTAGATGAGTGAGTACGGGTCTATACTAAATTCCACGTCTTGTGCCAATAGACTCCGAATCCCGAGTGGGCCTCTCCTCAAGCATCGTTCCCTGCTTATGCCACCTTGTTCCTCTTCCTTTGATTGTCCAGACCGAAGTTACGTTGCAACATTCGGCTGACAAAGTAACAGTACACTCTCCGATCTTCCCGAACCATTTTTATGGTATGTTTTCAAAGCGATGACTGAAGCTTGCCTGATCCTCTATCAAGGCGGTCTCAACGAGCGCAGTGGCGGTGAGTGGGCGGGTGCCAAAGAGATTGTGCATGCCGACATAAAACTGGCGAATGTCTTCCTCGCCGCACCGCGACCAGAAGATTTCGAGGTGTACCCGACGCCGCAAATGGCCGATTTTGGTAGCGCCTTCATTACTGAGAAGGGAGATCCAAACAATCCTAATGATTATGTGGGTATTGGTACGCCCCTCTGCTGTGCACCAGTAAGTGGACCGACCCTACCAAAATTTCTGTGCCAGTTCGCCAGTTTTGCTTACTACTCTCGAAGGAGCAACTAGCGGATCGAGACTTGACCATGCCCCCTGCCTACGCCAATGAGCCCATTGACGATCCCGATTGGAACCGAGCACTCAAGTGGCCTGACCCGAATATCGACATCCAGCCACCTGAGAACCGGCAACTTCTATCATACACGAACGTATGGCAGGTCGGCCTGCTGATCTGGTCTCTCATGCACCGCCAGTTTGGGACTGGAGTGGCATTGGACTTCATCGCGAGAGACAAGCAGCAGCCGCCCAAGTCCACCCTGCGCTACAGCGGAAGCTACAGCGATCAGCTAGAATCGTTGGTATACGAGTGCCTAAACATGCAGCCCCGGCTCCGACCCAGCCTTCAAGAGCTGCGGACCCGGATTGAGAGAAACCTGGACGCCCTCCGTCTGCGGTATAACGACTGGGATTCTAAACCACAAGCCGGGACGCCTTGGAACGAACAGGACTTCGACAACAAGCTCCACTTCAGGGGCGACGTCTACTTCCCCGTTGGACAATCACCTCAATTACCCGAAGAAGTAGGAGAAGAAGACGGATGATCTAACGGATGTAATGCTTACAACTAGACACTGTCAGTTTCAAGATTTACTAGCATTCTCTGACATTCAAATGTGCTCGTTCAGCCGACGAATGGAAGTATTGACGTGCGTGCAACCGGATCACGCCGACGAGTTGAGACAGAGCCATTTCTCCTGGACGTCAAGACTCATATAAAGTATGAAATCTCTGCGGGCCATCCAGAACGCGCGACTACCCCATTAATCTGAGCGGAGCAGCAGCCGTTGGGCATCATGCGATTTCCACAGGTCTCTACGTGTAAGCGGAGGGTGCTGTATCTGAGAGTGGTTGGACTGGGACTGCAGTTACTTGCAGGAATCATCCGACGGCTCAAGACTAGAACTCCAGTGCACGTTGAGACCGTCGCTCATGCTGTTTACCTACATTGACTATGTCCAATACCAAGAAGCAAAATTCGCCAACCCAACCTATGCCTTCCAAATCCTCCTGACCGCCTCCGTGACACCAACATCGTTGGTCTCAAACTCGTACAAACCGACACCCACAAGCAACGTTGCCAATTTCAAACCCCACATGAACAGTTTACGCACGCCGGGCATACGATGGGTGGGAACGTAGTCGATGATGACCGACCTGTTTCCATACCGTCAGCCGCGGGATTGTCAGGTTCCAATGAATGCTACTTACTCAAAGCCGATGTGAGAGTGGATCAAGATGAGGGCGCAGAACGTAGCATCCATAAGCGGGTTCAGCGAGCCAGCGGCGAACGGCGCAATCGTTAGAGGAACGAGGCCGGCCGCCACAATTCTGCATCAACTGTCAATCCTGATGTTCCGACGACACAGAGCCCAACTCAATCGCACCTCTCGAATGTCCAGTGGTAGCTGCCGTGGGCGGGCGTCGGGTCAGGAACGGAGGCAGGGTCATTGACGGTTCCCTGGATGCGTTGGGGCAGTGGCGGAAGGATCATTCGACTGCCGGTCCCATGGAATGCCGCAATCCTCGCCGGCTTGGGCAGAGTGTCTTGTGCAAAGGCGGACTGTAGCGGCCGTCGGCTGGAGAGGGTGGATGATCTGAAGGCGGAGGATGCGACGGAGGAGGTGGAGAGCACGCGCCTGCTCGGGGCGACGAAAGCCTGGCGAAGCAGTGTAGGCCGGATGACGGATGCCATTGTGGTTGCGGGTGTAGAATGGCGGGCAGGATATATGACAGGACGTTGATGCTATCACTCGACTTGTCGCGCACCAACCGTCCCGCTTCCCGAGGTGTTTCGAGCTCCAGCCAACGAGAGGCGGCGGCAGAGTAAGCTTCACGTGACAATTCCAGTCTCAAATCCAATCCCTCCAACGACACATCTTGCTGTACCAGTCGAGCAAAGCTACCCCCCCAATCGTACCGCCATCCCGCCCATCTCTCTTCTCTCGCCTGCCATGGCTTCTCGGCGGCTCGCTCTCAACCTGCAGCAGAGCCTGCGCAACCGCACTGCGCTGAACGCCGTCAAGCAGCGCACCAGAGGACTCGCAACCCCCGTCAGCCATGGATCGAAAACGGAGTCCACGACGTTGAGCAATGGCTTCACGGTACGCTGGCTCAGCTGCAGCATACAGGACTTCGACTGATTATGGTGTTAGATTGCTACGGAACACTCGCCCTGGGCACAAACCTCGACGGTCGGTGTCTGGATTGACGCAGGAAGTCGCGCGGAGACGGACAGGACCAATGGCACAGCACACTTCCTGGAGCATCTTGCTTTCAAGGTAGGATGCCCGACAAGGCGTGTTCAGGAACGCCGCTAAGACTCTGCGCACACAGGGCACTCAGAAGCGGAACCAGCAGCAGCTGGAGCTGGAGATAGAAAACATGGGAGGCCATCTCAACGCATATACATCGGTACGGACAAGTACAGTCACGCCAGCATCGCGCTATACTGATGCTGCTTCAGCGCGAGAACACCGTCTACTACGCCAAGTCCTTCAACTCCGACGTCCCTGCCACCGTTGACATCCTCGCCGATATCCTTCAGAACTCGAAGCTCGAGAACTCGGCGATTGAGCGTGAGCGAGACGTCATCCTGCGAGAACAGGAGGAGGTAGACAAGCAGCTAGAGGAAGTCGTTTTCGACCATCTACACGCCACCGCCTTCCAGGGCCAGCCTCTAGGCCGCACAATCCTCGGCCCGAGGGAAAACATTCAATCCATCTCCAGGGATGATCTCGTGAGCTACATCGACAAGAACTACACGGCCGACCGCATGGTGCTTGTTGGCGCCGGTGGCGTCCCCCATCAGCAGCTCGTCGAGCTCGCGGAGAAGCACTTCGCGAACCTCAAAGATGAGCCGTCCACACAGCAGCAGTCCATCGAGGTTTCCGCACAGAAGACGAAGCCAGACTTCATCGGCTCCGAGGTCCGCATTCGAGATGATACCATGCCCACCGCCAACATCGCCATTGCAGTCGAGGGCGTCAGCTGGAAGGACCCGGACTACTTCACGGCTCTGGTCACTCAGGCTATTGTGGGCAACTGGGACCGGGCAATGGGCAGCTCACCCTACCTTGGCAGCAAGCTCAGCACGTTCGTCCACAACAATAACCTGGCGAACAGCTTCATGAGCTTTTCAACGAGCTACAGCGACACTGGGTAAACCCACCTCCCCTCTAAATATCACACGGGTTTTGTATGCGCGCTGACATCGTTCCTCACAGCCTCTGGGGTATCTACCTAGTAACAGACAACGTGACCCGTATTGACGACCTCGTCCACTTCACCCTCCGCGAATGGTCCCGTCTGTCCTACAACGTCACGGAGGCCGAAACCGAGCGCGCCAAAGCCCAGCTCAAGGCCTCGATCCTGCTCTCCCTCGACGGCACCACCGCCGTCGCCGAGGACATCGGCCGCCAAATCATCACGACGGGCAGGCGACTGAGCCCCGAGGAGGTTGAGCGGGTGGTGGGACAGGTGACGGAGAAGGACGTCATGGACTTTGCGCGGAGGAAGCTGTGGGACAGGGACGTTGCTATCAGCGCTGTGGGCCAGATCGAGGGTCTCCTGGATTACAACCGCGTGAGGAACGATATGGCTAGGAACTCGTCGTAGGGGAGGGAGTGTTGGAACGGGAATGGGAGGGGGGCGGGCTGCAGTGTAACTTTGTAGAGTGGGGATGTAACTTGTACACTTGGCCCTGATTGACGCTCTGTCAGTACCGTTTCTGGCACAGCTGGGTCCGCCGTCGTGTGTAGCGTGCAGAGAACTGGCTTAAGCGTGTGCATGACCCGCGAGTAGACTCTGTGATGTGCGGTGAGACCGTGTGGGAACTAGGGCGTTGCGTGAGCTTGAATTAACCGTTGACGGCCAGCAACACGTGGTTTTGGTGGAGTCAGACCGGCTGTGTTACCCGAGCAAGAACAGCACAGACAACGCTTGTGTGGTCTTGCCGGGCTCGGGGATAACCGTTTGGGAGAACTAGCGGTGCAAGGGAGACAAGGAGCATCTCCGGTGGTGACGGTAGAGCCGTTGCTCTCACATCACTTTGGACGAGATATTATGGCAGTTGTTGTTACACACGCGCACTCAAGAGGTGACAGAAACACCTGGGCAGCTTTCGAGCTGGCAAGAGGGTTGATTAATGGGAATCTCATCTCTCGGAGGATTCTGCCAAGACCTTCGAACTTCAATCTAGCAGAGTTAGCCGCGTGCAGAATCGCATCCGCGTGCTTGGCGTTGTTTTGGGTATCCAAGGTACCGTGAAGTTCGTTGCATCAGCGGCATGAGTTAATTAACCCAGCTCATCTTGACTCAACACAGCTTCCGCAAGTTGACGAAGATCACTCAAAGCCTTGGTGTTGTACCGCTGATCCCCGGACCCAACGGCCAACCACGGCTCTCGTTACTCCTGGTTTGCTTCGCCCCTGTCGCATCTCCCCACGTCACTGGGGCGCAGGGTCCTTGGTCTTTTCTCTGAACGCTCTGTTGATGCTCGCCGGGTCTGAGGATGTGTTGCCATGGACAGGAAACTCAGTCGAAAGGCCGCTCTTGGACGGTTCCCAGAGACGTCTTCCAATGCGTGCAAGCGGCCAACCGGGCAGCCGTGGTTCAGCTGGCGGTGGATGATTCAGGGTCTCTTGTCATACCACTCCTGCGGACTGCGTTGCGGAAACAACTCCTAGCGGTGCGAATCAGGCATCCCGATCCACTTAAGACATGATCAACGAGGCTCACTGCTGAGGCTGCCGAGCTGTGGGACCACCAGGCGGAGTTGCATCCTGAGTTGGGGGCTGGCAGTTCACCTTTTTCTCGAAATAGTCTCAGCGCCATCGTCATCCCACTCTTCCTGCCTTCTTCAGCCCCTCTTCGCTCAGCCTCCGGCCCTAACTAGTCAAGAAGCCGCATAACTAAGCTATCTAATCCCACCCTCAACTTTCTTACTAGCTCATGTAACGAAGCGTGGTTTCTGTCTGCAGCTCAGGCACGAAGGGGCCTACAGCCTTACAAGTAGCGCATCTATCCGCCTTCCAACTGGCAGCGGCGCATCGAGCATTGGTGTGGTCACGACACTGCTGCAGCTAGTAGACTACCGATACTCCATACTTCACCCCCCCGGAAACCTCTCCGCTATCTTTGAGCTCAGCTGAGCGCGTCGCTGTGAACACCACCGCTTCTACATCATGGCCTCGATACTACCAGAATCTACCGCCGCGTCCGCAATACCCGTTGTCGCCGAGCCTGCGGTCATCCCTCCCACACCTACACTAGGTGCTCAGCTTGACGACACAAGTCCACCCTCCTCATCCTCCTCCTCTATAAGCAGCGACGACGGTGTGAAACGATCGAATCGACTCTCGAGACCTCCAATGGGTAGTCGCATGTCAAGCGGAACGATCATAATAGCCAGCACCAGCGCCGTTGTCGAGATGCGGGAAGGAGACGAGGACTACGACGAGAACGACGCGCGGACGATGAGTCCACGGCGAAGTAGTGAGGAGATTGAGAGGATGGGCCAGGACGCGCGACAGGCGATGATAGAGTGCGTCTCCTCGCGTCAAGAATTAAGCCAAGGTCGTACGCTGACATGTCTTCTAGACAAGCAAAACAACTGCAAGCGAGCCTCCTCGAGATTGTGGATCGCGTCGAATCTGTCAGGTCCGAGCACGAGAAATTGGAGGGCGGGAATCGGTTTCTGCAATCGTACGTCACGTGCTGCCGCTGGGGATCTCCCATGCCATTTCCACTTATCCAAGCGGTAAAACTGACCAGCCATTAGATATATCGGCGAGCTGATGCAGACGAGCAAAATCGCATTCGCCGGAGCCGCGAACAAGAAAGGCAAAGGCCGAAGTACGAAGTAATTGGGTCCTTCACTGTCGCCTCAGCTTCACATCAGTGTTCCACCGCACCAGAGAATTTCGTCGACCGCTGGACACACAAAGCATACAGAAATGAACTCACGATCAGCATGCGCATGCTTTACGGCCTTCAATAACGACCGCTCGCCCCCAATACCCGCTCTGATCAGCAACACTACATCGTCAATTCCGGCATACCAAGGCGTGCATTTGCTTTCGCATTGATTTCCTGGTATGCATTTGGGGCTTAGCGGGCGCCATTGTCAATTCGATTTTTGCATCACTGGGTCCGCTCGATCCTCGGATCACCGGCTCACATGGTCAGCCCCACCATATTTTCTTCCTCATGCAACTCAAGCCTCTGGGGGGTCGGTGATGATACCACCTTCTTACATGACCGGCGTTTTTCAAGCCTTGGATATCCCCAAGGCGGTGTAATTGGGTGATGGAAAAGAGCCTCGGATCAGCCCCAAAGGAAGGGCTTGTGCAGGCATCAAGGTCTTGTTTTAGGCTTGTGCAGGCATCAAGGTCTTGTTTTAGCAACGACCTTTTCGACTGTGCCTCGCCAGGTAGCGCGAGGGGTGGGAAAAATGTATCTTTGACAAAAATTGCTCAGAGGTTTACCATAGCGATAAATCTAGCACCGCTGTGCTTCGAGTTAGCGGCCTGTTGGAGCATAATGGCTACACAGCCCGTGACTTGTGTGCGATGTCAGTGACCTACTTCATAAGTAATAGCTAGTCTCTGGGTCGAAATCGTCCTCGCCGGTCCGCTGATTCAGAGGCGACTATGGCCATGAATCAGAGTTGACGTTTCTTGGTCGCCTAGATCTGCACGACAAATTAAGCCGCTAGTTTTGTCAGGGAGCACATCCGCTACTAAGAGCGTTCCAGAATGGCTGAGATTGAGACTACGAAACGGTAGTACGCAGGACGATCGGGTCCTCTGCTGACCGCGTCTACGATGACAGTCTTGTATTGGGCCTTCCGAAGTTATACGGCTTTCCAATTGCGCCTCAGCACTGGAAGTGTCTCAAGACATCGAGACGTCAAGTCTGAAATTCTTTTATGTCGAATATCAAGGGTCCATTGCTCATGTAGTTGAATACTGTAGATTATGTTTAGCCACTCGCAACTACAGAGGGTTGCAGTCTCACAAGAACAAGCCAGCCGCATACTGCTTTTGGTGACTTTCCAGCTCTCAAAGCTCGCGTCTGCCCTCAGTCGACGGCTCCAGACCGCAAAACCCAGAGACCCGTTGCCACCCCTTCAAGCGCTCGCCTCAACCCAGGTGTACTCGGAGCTCGCGCTCTGCATCATCGACGCCGACCCTTCCTCCCGTCCCGCCCCATGACTCTCAGCCACCTCATGCTCCAGACTGGCATGGCTAAGCGCCAACGTCCCCGAGGACTCATCGCCACCCCCCTCAGCACCCGCAACCGCATCAGCACTGTCCGCCTCAACCCCCGCCTCCGTCTCAGTCTCAGGCGCAGCCCGCAGCAGCTTCGGCTCGAGCAGCTCCCCAAACTCAACCTCCACGAAGCCCGCATCTTCCCCATCGCCGTCCTCGTCGGAGTCGGCAGGCATCTCGAACCGATCGTACAGCCGCCTGCCTTTCGCGTCGTATCGAACCTTGTTCGCCTTCTGGGGCCGATCCCTGCTTGCCAGGCTCAGGTGCAGGACACCCGTGCCGAAAACCTCGGTCACGGTCGCGGTGCGGTGGGCCGAGATGACGGGGGCCCAGTTCGTCGACTGCGAGACTTCGAGCTGTTTGAAGACGATGAGGGCGCCCGGTTTGAGGTGGGACTCTTGTAGTGGAGCGAGGGCAGAAATATCGGCTGGGAGTGGTGGGATGTTTTCGGTGGATCTGTCGGCGGATCCCTGAGTAGATGCTGCGACGGCGATGTCTTGTTTGAGTTGTGATTCGATTGGGTCGGCGGGGTCGTCGTCATAATTGAGATGGATGGAGTCATCATAGTTGAGGCGCGCGGGATCGGCTTCTTCCTCTGCGTCTTCGTAGTAGTAATCCACGTCCCCATTGTTGTCAGCGTAGTCGGCTGTGCCATCGCCCTGATAGGCTTTCTGGTATTCAGCAGCCATCTTTCGCTTACGCTTCCTTTTGTTGTAGGGCTGTTGTGGCTGCTTCTTGCTATACTGGTCCCAGTACTGCTCAAACGGGAACGGAGGCGCTGACAGTTCCTCCACATCATCGTCCCAGCACTCGACTGCTGAGAGCTTGATCTTGCTCTTCCAGGCGTCGGGATCCGTGGACAGCTCCGGCTGCGGCTCATTCACAGGTTCTTCTGCCTGGGCGCCAGCCTTCACGCTGGCCCGAGGCTTGGCAACTGCCATTAGCTTTTCCCGTGTTTTCACTTCATCTTCCTTAGTCTTCGGGTTGCGGAGTCCCAGAGATCCGAACAGCAGCCGTCGTGAACTACCGATATCAAGGCGTGCACGTTTCTTGGCAGGGCCATCATCTGTCGTGGCGCTTGCGGCGCCAGCAATGGCTTCTGAGGTGGCGGCAGTCTGTGCCGTAGGTGGAGTATCTTTTTCCATCACTCTCTTGGTAGCAGGTCTAGGTTGTTCGCTGAACGACTCGTTGTTAGATGTGCTATGATCCTTGGTCGTCGGTTGCGAGCTTTTCACAGCCGCAGCGGTGAAGGATTCGTGTGCCGCCGAGACTCGGATACTTTCGGTTTTGCGACGCTTACCTTCATTTGCTGTGGTTTCCTGAAACAAGGTAACGTCGACACCGCCCGTTTTGAGGGCTTCCAATAGTGCTTCTCGCTCCTGCTGGAAGTCGACGTCTACATTACTTGCGGCAGCTGTAGCCTGTTGTGAATCATGCTGTGGAGATGCTTCGCTAGAAGTATTTGCTGTAGGCTCATCCTCCTGACCGGCTCTCCAGTCCCGCAAATCTTGTAACTTCGCAGTCGGGGGTAGGACACCCTGAGCTTTGAGTAATCTTAGCTTCTTAGAGTCTGCCTGTCTGCGATTTTTCCTAGCCCTGGAGGCTTGCTTGGTCAGCGTTTCTGCGTATAGCTTTTCCCGTGTTTCCGGCGGCTTGGGAGTGCTCCGCTCATCCCCGATATCCGTAGCCTGCTGCTGTTGTGGCTCTGGAATTGCTTCCTCCAAATCATCCGGGGTAGATTCGCCGGTGGGCCCATCTTCCCATTCTCGTAGCTCTCTGAAAGTAGCATTAGCAGCGAGCACACCCTGGCTTTTGAGGCGGCGTAGCTTCTGGGTGTCTCGTCTTCTTTTGTTTCTTTCCTGTGTGCTTCTCTGCCCTTGGTAAGGAGGCACTGGCTGTGGGGTTCCACCTGCTGGAGCTGGAGGAACTTTAGAGATGCTTGGGTTCTTGGAGGATATTTCTTCCGGCTCGGAATCGGAGCTATCGTCGTCCGAGGATGATTGAGTCGAATCGGACGAGTCTTCGGAACTCGAATGTTCGGACCTATCAGGCTCATCTTCGTCGACCGCGGAGCTAATCTCATTAGTGCTGTGAGATGTGTCTGACTCCAAGGCCGCATCCGCTTCGCTGCCGTGGGAAGCTTCGTCAGAGAGCTCCTCGAAATCTTCATCGTCCTCATCCTCAGAGCCAGACGATAGCGAGATCAAAGCCTGTCCGTTCTGATCTTGGACAACCGGATTAAATGACACACTCCTCCTCTTTCTCGATACTTGTGGCTCTGATCCCGATTCCGCATAGCCTTGTTCGGGTACGAAGTCTTCGTCCTCCTCGCTGTCATCTTCGGGCTCGTAGTCCTCGTGTTGGTAGGGAACAAGCTGTCCTGTTTGTCTCCACGGGACGTGATCTGAATCATCGCCCTCGTATTCGAGGCGTCTGCGTTTGCGTGGTGGGATGTGAACAGCTGGCCGATCAGGCCGTCGTAGGTGAGGTCTGCCAAAGGGTATGCCGTCAATGAGGTGCTGGCCGCTTGATGAGATTTGGTAGCGCCCAGACAGTGTTCTCGCGCGTACTTCTGCAGTCTGTAAAGGGCGTATGCTAGCAAAGCTGTCAGAGAAGTGTACAGCCAAGGTCTTAGGGCGTAAGCTGGCCAACTCACGTCACAACGTCTTCGTCCTTGATAACCTGTCCGAGCTGGGAGAAGTGGAGGCATTCGAAACCGTTGACCTGGACAACATAATCCTCTAGGCCCCAGTCCTCTGACTCTAGCGGGATTATGTCGTTAATCTGCTCGAGCAGCTGCGAAATGGTGGAAATAGCTTGAGCTTGGTCATCTCGAATGGCCCACAGCACCTCCGCTGTTGGCAGGCCGTGCCGTTGGATGCTTAGCCGTAGCCTCATGGTGATATATCGAACAGCATATGGAGCTTGTTGAGCTCCAGTTTAGCTCCCGGATAGTGAACATTTAGATGAATGTCAGAAACCACGCCGGAGAGGTCCCGATGTCTTGGCATCCCCTCCGGTTGTCATCACGTCCAGCTTGAGGCTCTAAACGGAATGAAAGTTGTCTTAAGCCTTCGCTAAACTCGGCTCTTAGCTTTGCAGGTTTTAGTCATCATGTTGTGCTTTCTATGTGGCGTTCCCATCTCTCATACGTTGGCAATAGAGTGGGGTGTCATACTGAGACCATCAATAAGTAAAGAGCTCCGACGCCAGCTCGAGCTCTTAGGAGTTCGGCACACCCTGAAAACTCCACGGCCGTTCCAGTAAGTGATGGCGTAGTCGCACTCTGGCTCTCTGTGGCAATCGCAGCCCGAACAGCTGCGATCCCTCACTCTTGATCGCACCAAACCCCCTCCTTCCCAATGTGCTCTCCGCACCTCCGTTCTTCGGATTCACACCCCACTCAACAGGTACTCCACCGCCCCCTGCACACTCCCCCCACTCCGCCTCAGCGCCTGCACATTCCGCTCAAACTCATAAAACCCCATGTCGTTGAGCTGCCGCAGCTGCTCAGCGTACCGCTCCTCCGGGGGCCTGTTGTCTGGCGGCTGTGGTGGTCCTAGATCACCCGTTCCGAATCCCCCATATGGATTGGCAGCGCCAGCACCACCGAAGAGGCCTGCGAACGGGTTTGCCGCGTTGCCTGCTCCTGCGCCGCCGAAGCCGCCGCCCGCACCACCCATTCCCTGGGCTAACGCCATGGCTTGGCGCATCATGTCTGGGTTCTGCATCATATTCTGCGCCATTTGCTGGAAGGGGTTCTGTTGGCCTTGACCTTGACCTAGGCCCTGGTCTGCTGCGCCAGGTGCACCACCCCCAGCGCCGCCGAAGAGATTAGCAAACGGGTTCGGCGCGTTCTGGCCTTGTTGGTCCGCTCCAGCCGCCGGTGTGCCTTGGCCAGCCGAAGCGGCGGGCGGCGGCGAAGTTGCTGGCGTTACGCCCGGCGCGGGCTGCTGGCCGCCGAACAGCGCAGCGAAGGGATTCGGGCCGAGATTGCCGGCAAAGGGGTTCGGTGGTGGCGGCGATGTCGGGCCCGTCGTGTTAGGCTGGTTCGGTGTCGCTGTCGTGCCTTGGCCTGTCGTGGTCGCCGTCGTATCCGTGACGCCAGGTGCTGGGAATGCTGCTTGTCCGCCGAAGCCTCCTAACCCCCCGCCTCCGCTGCCGCCCATGGCCCGCTGCATCTGTAGCTGCATCCGTAGCATCTCCGGGCTGAACATCATACGCCGCATCTCGGGATTCTGAAGAATGTGCTGCATCATGGGGTTGTCGCGGATCATGGGGTTTTGGCGCATCATGTCGATGACCTGGGGGTTGTTCATCGCTTCGTTCATGAGGGTTGCGAACTGTGGGTTCTCCATCATTTCAAGCATGTTTTCTGCGGTTGGTGGCGGGCCCATCTGCAAGTTCGTGTCAGTAAAGCTAGTCCTTGACGAGGTCGCAGGACAGGTTAAGAACGCTTACCCCGCCGTCTGGGCCAAACATGTCCATGCCTGGCAGACCGTGAAAGCCGGCATACCGCGCGCCAGTGAGCCCAGCTAGGGGATTGTTCCCTGTTCCGGCGGCAATGTTGGTCGGTACGTTGGCCGCCGGATTGGGTGCGCCGCCCGTCGTTGAGGTCGAAGTCGAACTCTGGCTTGCAGGATTCTGTCGTGCATTGCTGGCTGCGCCCTTGACAAGATGTACCGTGTTTCCCTCTTTTATCTTGACGTTGGCCAGCGTATCGTGGTCCTTGAGCACTCGGCCGGAGTATATCAGCCGTTGCCGCTCCGCCGGTATGTCAGCATATTCTGAGGTGGAGAGCTTGTTCTTGAGGTCGGCGACAGTCGTGCTAGGGGGCAGGGTGAGGACGTATTTGGCATCGCTGGAGGATTTGACGTTGAAAGTGATCTGGGGCTCTTCGGTATCACCAGCTGGTGCGTCCGCCATAGTGACGGATCGGTGGAGAGTGCCGCTTGGAGAAGGTGTCCGATCGAGCTGGCGGCTGTTCTTCTGTCTCTGCTATGTTGTGTTTTGCCGGAAGGAATAGACTCCTGCTTCGGGTGACTATAGGCAGTCACAACGAGACATGGAGGTGGCTGTGGTTGATGTGCACCGACATGGAAGCCAACAGAAGCGACAGCATGACACCCCGGGCTTGGTTCCTGTCTTGCGGCCTTACAGCCTTACACAGCCTCGTGTCAAGCCTCAATTAAGATGCCTCGGCCTGATGCCCCGCATAACCGTCGGCTTCTGAAGCTCCAGGGTCTAAGCATGGGGAAGATAAGGATAGCTTGCGCGCCTATGACCTCTTGTAAATATTTGATCTAGAGGGAACCATTGACTGTTACTCTACTAAACACCTGCCCATCCATTACTCCACACAGTCAAACAGATCCCTGAGCCTAGCACGAATCGTCCAATCCGCAAGAGTTACACCAACCTCAAGATGCGCGGCATACAAGTCTCCGCCTACGTAAAGGTTCGTCAAAGTCCATATCTCCCCGATTTGCGCGCCAGCAAGCTAACAACAGCTACTCCAGGGCCCTCACGAGCTCAAAGTAACCGACCTCCCCGACCCAACCCCAAAGCCCCACGAATACCTTATCGCCATCCACGCAACCGCAACAAACTTCTTCGACCTCCTCCAGATCCGTGGTAAATACCAGCACCAGCCGCAGCTGCCCTGGATATCCGGCTCCGAGTTCTCCGGCGTGGTTCTTTCGGCCCCGGCCGCGCTTCCCAACGGCAATCGCCCGAAGTACCAGGTTGGAGATAAAGTGTTCGGAGCCAGCCAGGGCGGATATGCGACGAAGGTGTGTGCGCCGGAGGAGAGGTTGAGGCCGGTACCGAGAGGATGGAGCTACTTTGACGCGGCCGGATTGTTTGTCACGGCGCCGACGAGCTGGGCGGGATTGGTCACGAGGGCCGGGTGTAAGAAGGGTAGGTCACATACGCTCTCTCCCTTTTCCTCTCCCCTACCCTACATCGAGGAGCCGGCTTCGCAGCTGCAGCTGACACTAACCCAGGCGACTACGTCCTCATCCACGCTGCCGCCGGAGGTGTCGGTCTCGCAGCCGTCCAGATCGCCAAAGCGCTCGGCGCGACCGTCATCGCGACCGCAGGCACAGAGCATAAGCTCTCCGTTGCGCAGTCCTACGGCGCTGACCACATCATCGACTACCGGCAAAAGGACTGGCCCGAGCGCGTCAAGGCCCTGACGCCCAACGGCCGCGGCGTCGACATCGTGTACGACCCTGTCGGCCTGGTTGCGCAGTCCATGAAGTGCGCGGCGTGGAATGCGCGGTTGCTTGTCATTGGATTTGCGGCGGGAGATATCGAGAAGGTGGCTACAAACAGAATCCTTCTGAAGAATGTGTCTGTGGTGGGACTGCACTGGGGGATGTATGCGACTATGGAGCCGGAGAGGGTGGATGAGGTGTGGGAGGAGCTGTTCAAGCTCTTCGAAAGGGGCCAGTTTAGGGGGACGTGCTTTACAGATGAGGAGTTTGTGGGCTTGGAGAGCGTGCCGAGAGCATTAGAGAAGCTGGGTGGAAGGGAGACATGGGGAAAGGTGGTCGTCAAGGTACCGCAAGAGGGAGCAAGCAAGATCTAGGAAGAGCTGAATACGGATCTTGGACTACAAACAGAGTGCCATTCCCTTAACGGAAATGTACAATGAACCAAACCTCTAGGTTTTTCGCAGCTCACGGTCTTAACGTAAAACGTTGAAAGAAAAAGCGCCTGCTAGATGCAAACCTTTTCCTAAGTCTCACGAGTCCCATATGCGTTCTGCATGGGTTTGACGAGTGAGAAGCTCTTCATTGCGCTGAGCCCTCGCCGAAGTCGGCTACATCCTGCCCTTAGAAGGGTCACAGTAGCGAACGTGCCGCAGAAGCCCTCAAGTACAAGGTTTGAGGCAATCTATTCCTGCCACACTGTCATAAAAATTCACGAGGACTACCAAGCCTCGCGCATCTTCCGACGCTGATTTCCAGCCGTGGTCTTTCTGTTGGAAACGTCCACTCCCTGGGCCCTCGCCCAATCGATGGCGTCCGACGTGGTGTCAAGAGAATTGTCTACGCACAGGTATTCAAGCCGGCCCTTCAGCTGTTCGACAATACCTTTAACGGCAACACCGGTGATGCGTGTCCATGTTAGACTTAGTCGCTTGAGGTTGGGGAATAAGGCTGCTCAAGATTAGTCGAGGAAGGCAACAACAACCGGATGTTACGGAAAAGGACTTACTGGGTAGTGATAAGGCCAGCTCATCCCGGACGCATGGCGCTTCCATCAAATCTAAATGTTCCAACTGAAGGAACCTTGGATTCTGCAGCATGTATCGGAGGTTTCCTTGAGTGTGGCTTCCAAGCTCGTGAAGCAATAGCTTCTTGATAGGCGCGTGGGAACTGATATCGACATCTACATTACCATTTTCATCGTTGCCATTGGACAAAAGGCCGGTGAGCATCTGTTCCACATGAGGGCCGCATCTGCTGACGGAGAGCTCAACCACATTCGGCACTGGCAACGTGTGTCCATGAATGGAGGGATCCGCCGGAGGACCACTGACAGCAATCTTCTTGAGAGAAATTGGAATTCGGCGGAAATGTTCGTAGGCCGTGTCGGACAGATCAAGCGATTTCAGCTGGAGTGTTCCAAGGTCGATCACGTTGTAGGCAGTGCACTTCTTCCAGCTGATCAAGCTCAGTTCCTCAAGATTCGGCATTCGTTTGACGAGTTCTCCCTACACGAAAGGTCAGCCTGCCCCGTAAGCGCCCACTGGACGGGTACATCGACCATCGACCCGCTGAGTATCTCGGAGACTATATTGCGAACACGTGAATACGCCTCATTGAATAACATCTGTCATGTGATATGATGACGAAACTGCTGCAGTAGCCAGAGCTTTTGAGTGCTAGTTCCAAGCCGTAGCAGCAGCCTTCTCGACGGGAAAGCGTACTCACCAAGCATAACGTCGCAATGTCCTGTACACCGGCCGCAACTAATCTGAGCGCTTGGAGGTTCGGCAGGTCCACTCCCCAGGGAGCTATCCGGTCGCGCGCACGTACGGAGCAGAACTCCGCGTGTTGAAGAGAGGTTCGGCTCCGAAGTACTTGCGCGACCTGATGTAGCGTGAGCCGTACGCTCGCGTCCAGTTTCAGTATCTTCAGTCGAGGTGCACACGTCAGAGGAACAAGTATGGAACCGCCCTCTGGGCCGTTCCAGACTTCGAGTTCTTGAAGGTGCCTGCAGACGGTGGTAAGATGCATCAGTGTATCAGCTCCGCCGCCCGGAAGGCGATTAAGAATTGCACGGCGGATTTTGCCATTCGACCTCCGGATGCACTCGCGGACGAATCTAGGTTTCACAGCTCTGCGAGCGTGCGAAAGGTCCAGTGTAGTCCATAGAGCTTGATTGGTGGTGAGGAACTTGAACCATCGATTAGAGACGCGGAGACAGTTGCTGAGCTTTTGATCAGCATTCATTGCCTTTAATAAAAACAACATGAGTATCCCTTACACCATTTCTCTGAACGTGAGATAGTTCATGACTATCTCGACAAGCTCAGGGGGCAAAATTGTCCATGGATCAATGGCCTTTGGAGGGGAAATTTTCTCACTCAGTTTGTCATGCATGCCTTGGAGCAACTATTCAGTTCCATGTTAGTGATTTGCGCCGCTCTCCTGGCCTGGAAGCTTCGTCGGGTGTTGGTACGCCCCATGTAGCCTGCACGGTTTCCTTGCAGAGTCTGTTCCATGGTTCCGAAAAAGCATCCCGCAGCTGTCAGCGTGAGAGCGGACACTTACCTTGTAGCTTTTGTCACTGGTAGGAACGTTGCGAAGGCCATACTCATAGATTCGAAGTGCGACATCCGGTTTCTGCATTCTCTGAAGAACCTTCCCAGAGCGCAGATATCCCTTCGAACGGTCAGCTGTGGATTAGATGCCACGACGAGGAGGAGCACGGCTTACCCGCACGTCCTTCTTTCCGAGCTGAATCATGCGCTTCCCGTCAAGCAGCGCAGCCTCGAGATTCTCCAGCTTCTCAAACGTAGCGGCTCGATTGTCCATCAGGTCTACTTCGGGGTTGTCCGACGCATCGATACCCTCCGTGAATGCATCCAGTGCTTTTTGATATTCCTTGAAACCATAATATCTCTTGCCAAGCTCTTGCAACTCGTTAGGTGTCATCGTCGTGGCCATGGTGCTTGAACTCCACTCATACACACACTTGATGGTTTGAAAGTAGGTACCGTGACGCGTGAGGACAGGTGACGCGACACGCGCCGTCCTGTGAAAGTACGCGCCGCAAGCAAACGGTGAGGACAATTCTTTGCTCTATCTCGATTGCTGGTCTGAATTTTGAGTTGAACAAGTAGGAGATGCTTTCTACTTATGTATCCGTGCGAAGTCAGAAGTGGCCGCGTGAAGTACCCTGGCAGGTACTTACCGTGAGTTGAGTGAAGTGCATTGGTGAAGCGGCCAAGCGACATGATTGGTCGGCGCGACCACCACGAAATCGCCGACGGGTGAAGCTCTTGCGACTCCCAGAACCGAATACCTGCAGGATTCCACCCTGGACATCTGTGCTATTACACGATATGGCCAGTATTGACGACCTCTTCAAGAAACCAACCCTGCCCAGCAAGCGCAAGCTCGAAGCACCGGATCGCCTCGATCCAACTCAGGCATACAAATCGGCAAAGCTCACAGCCAACGGGGATACCAAAGGCAAACGCCATGCCACGATCGAAGACGAGGATGGCGACGATACTGAAGCTGGGCCTTCGCTCCCTCCGGAAGACGGCGAGGAATACGGTGCCGACGACGACGAGGACGGCAGATTCTTTGGCGGCGGCGTAGATCAGGGCACCGCAGACGCGCTGGACTACCTCGACACACGAGACACCGAACAACCCTACGTGGCCGAGAAGATAGACTCAGCATGGTTGCGGAAACTGGCGCTTAATTTCGAGAAGAGGATATCCAAGAACGCGGAGCTGCGCGCAAAATACGAGGATGATCCGCAAAAGTTTATGGGATCAGAGGCGGATCTGGATGCAGATGTCAAGGCATTGTCGATCTTGTCGGAACACCCGGAGCTGTACGAGGAGTTTGCGAGGTTGGGATCTGTCGACTCGCTGGTCTCACTGCTGTCACATGAGAATACGGACATCGCGATAGATGTGATTGAGATTATCAGCGAGCTCACGGACGAAGATGTCAATGCGGAGCAAGCGCAGTGGGATGGACTTGTGGACGCGCTCCTCAAAGCGGACCTTCTGTCTCTACTACTCTCGAATCTTTCTCGCTTCGACGAGAGCAACGACGCGGACCGGAGCGGCGTCTACCACTCGCTCGCCGTTCTCGAGAACCTTGCATCCCAATCTACAACGTCCACAAAGGTTGGGCAAGAGCCTAAGCTTCTGGAATGGCTACTGGGCCGCGCCAAAGCCAAAGAGCAACCAGTATCTCAGAACAAACAGTACGCCGCCGAGATCCTCGCTATACTCCTTCAATCCTCACCAGCCAACCGCACACGGCTTACGTCAGCCGAGTTGAACGGCGTGGATACACTACTCCAGCTCTTAGCGCCATACCGTAAGCGCGACCCACCGAAAGACTCGGATGAAGAAGAGTTTGTTGAGAATATCTTCGATGCCCTGACATGCTTGGTCGACGAAGACACCGGAGCAGGCAAAGCCGCCTTTGTCGAAGCCGAAGGCGTGGAACTAGCGCTCATAATGCTGCGGGAAGGCAAGATGAGCAAAACACGTGCGTTGCGCTTGCTTGATCATGCATACAGTGGGCGTTTCGGTGCGGCTGTGTGTGAGAAGCTTGTTGAAGCCGCGGGTCTGAAGACGGTGTTCGGTATGTTCATGAAGAAGCAGGACGCTGCTGCGACGGAGCACCTGCTGGGAATCTTCGCCTCACTGCTGCGGTCACTACCTGGCGGCAGTCCTGCGAGGATACGGACGCTGGCAAAGTTCGTTGAGAAAGACTACGAGAAGCTGGCGAAGGCTGTGCAGCTGCGTCGTGACTATAGCACGAAAGTTCGAGCTGTTGATCAGCAGACCAAGGAGGAGCGTGTGTCACTGAGTCAAGAGGAGCAAGAGGACAGAGCGGACGAGTGGTTCTCCCGTCGACTCGACGCAGGGCTGTTCTGTCTGCAAACAATTGATGTTATCCTGGCTTGGTTGGTTGCCGAAGATGACGGTGCCAAGAAGAAGATAATGGACATGCTCGCTGAACGAGATGAAGGTCTGGCAGACCTCCGTTCCACGCTGCAGGAGCAATTGGATGGTATCGAAGAGCCCAAAGAGAATGAAAGGGGCGACACCGAAGAGGGTATGCTTAAGGACATGTTGGGTACTCTGATTGGTTTCCTAGTTCCTTAGAAGGGGGTCTCGCATCTTCGAGGAACTGAGGAGTCAACAGCCGACTTGTATCACACGTATTGGCGCATTTATATACACACCGCAGAAGTGCCGCATGAGATCCTTCTCGCATTGAACCGGCATTGATTACCCAGGTCAGCCGTCACAGACTTTCTGACGCGGATGCCGCCGCCTCATGCCGCATCCTTCATAGGGTTGTGTTGTCCATCCGTCGTAAATACATGACTGGCTTTTTGACCCGTGCTCGGCGGATCTATCAACCGGCACTTTTTTTCAAGCTTTTGATCAGCTTCCAGGCACGCTAGCGGAAATCCTTCACCAACCAGGAGATCGCTCGGGGGCATTTTGCTCTGTAAACCGAGCACGGGCAGCTGCCGTGGAGGTTAAATTAACGTTCGGCCCGACCGCCAAGCTTGCTGGTCTGAAAAAGCGTGTGCACTTAACGTATGCGGTTTCTATGACTTCTCTCGAGGTTCTACCTGCTCATAGGGTCAAGTTTCGTGAAAAACACGCGCCATTGGTACGCGTCGACTGCACATGTGAGCGTATCCACTTATCAAGCCATGGAAGCACTACGAGCCTTGAAAGCGCTTCCTCCTAACGTATACGGATGTCAATGACAAGCTTGAGGCTCTACCTACTCGTAGGGGAAAAAATATTGGAAGAATCAAGGCAGCGGTGCAATTGCAGACATGCAGTGCGCCGTCATTACCAATCCTCTGATGGTGTCAACAACCCAATGGCTTTATGCCAGCATCCGATATCGCGCCTGGGCGTCGTGTCCTGGGGAACGACATGCCCTTTGCGCATTACGACGAGAGGATGCACTCTACAGGGCGTGGATTTTTCAGCGACTTATGGCTCGCGTGACGAGCGATGTCCTGGCCCGGCTGCAAAACGCTGAACTAACAGCTGCAGAAGCTATTTGGGGTATCGCATGGGCTGAGAATGGCAGATTATTCATCTTCGTTGTGCAGAGTTGCATGCATTCGCGCTACGCAAAGGCGTGGTGGCCTGTGCACATGTCAATTGGCTTTGACCACAAGCTCCACTTCCTGGCATCGCGGGAAAGGTGAGTCAGGAAGACGGCACGTCTAGCGCATGTGCAGGAGTCACGCCTTTGGCATGTCTTCATTGACGTCGAGGAATATAAGGATCTCGACTGCCCGCCTGATGCTGTTCCAATCCCAGGAAGCACAATCAAGAGCTCAGGGAAACCTTGTTCCGTCACCAAGGCGTCCCCGCATTCGGCCACCTTCCGCTTGATAAAGCTTGCCACCAGCACTACAACGCGCTCTTGACCTCTCTGCTACATCTCCATCCGCCATGCATTCTCCTTCTGTGTCAGACTCGGTCGTCGCCAACATGGGCTACAAGGTGCGGAACCTTGCCTTGAGCCAGCAACCCTCCATCGACATCTTCCTTAAGGGCACACAGGGCGTGCACAGCGCCTACGTGACCTCCTTCTCCACCATGGACAAGCTGGAAGGAACTGTCTCCATCACAGCAAAGCATGACACGAGATTCGACGAGCTTGAGATCGCCTTCGTCGGCGTCAGCAAGACATGGGTCGACAGAATGACCAGCGGAACAACGATGAACGGGCGAACAGAAGCCTCACATCGCTTCTTGAAGCTCATACAGCCCATTGAAGATTCTAGCCTGCCGCAACCTAGAATCGCCGAAGCTGGCCGAACCTACAGCTTCCCCTTTACCTTCGTTGTGCCGCAACAGTTGGTTGACTCGGCATGCGACATAGTATCGAACGACCAAATAAAAAGCGCGCATCTACAGGTCCCCCCGAGCCTGGGTGACCCAGACCTCTCTGGGTTTGGCGGCGTTCTCCTCGATGACCTCAGCCCCAGCATGGCGAAGATATCGTACGCAATCCAAGTCAAGATGACCAGATACCGCGAAACCGACGGTAAGGCCGTAACCGTTGCCGACAAGGCGAGGAAGGTCCGCGTTAAGCCTGCTTTCGAGGAGCAGCCGCCCTTGAGCGTTGACGAAAAGGACGAGGAGTACCGGCTCCGGCAGGAAAAGACGATTCGGAAGGGCCTTTTTAAGGGCAAGCTCGGCCGGCTGGTGATCGAGACCGCTCAACCCAAAAGCTTCAGCCTGCCAGCAAGCAACAGTAATACAGTCACTACCATGGCGAAGGTGTTGCTTCGCTTTGATCCCGCGGAAGCGAGCGCTCAACCACCGAAGCTCGGGTCGCTGAGCAGCAAACTAAAAATCGGCACTTGGTTTTCAACAAAGCCACGGAAAGACTATCCCAGCAAGAAGGTCTTCATGTACGACGCGAGACAAGGTCTCTACTCCGAAACGCTATCCCTGTCCTCACGCTGTGTCGAATCAGCCAAGTGGGAGCGACACACTTCTGCGAGCACACTTACTCGACGTGACTCTGCCGTGTCTGATGTCTCTTCTGACGGCCTTCCGGAGGCGTCTAGTAACTACGCTGGAGGGATGTTCTACACCGCCCAGATTCTCGTCCCACTCACACTCCCGACGAACAAGAACTTCGTCCCGACGTTCCACTCTTGCCTCATTTCGCGCGTCTACGCTCTGAAGCTGGAGCTCAGCGTCCAAGCCCCAGGCATGACCGGCCCAAGCATGTCACTCAAGGTGCCGGTCCAGATCTCCGCGGAAGGCAGCGCTCGGCAAGAGGAGCATCGCCGCTCTATCGAAGAGGCGGCGAGAGCAGCTATCGAAGCAGAGGCGGTCTTCCGGGCGAGGAGCGTCGCGCCTCCCAGTGATGAATACCTTGGCAGCAGCACCGCGATGACTGCCCTTCCTCCACAGTATGAGTTTGTTGCGCCAGGCTCACCAATTGCTAGGCAGACTGTATCTGCTTGGTAGTTAGACTGTCCTTTGATGGAATTTCTTTGCTGGAGATCTCTTTCGTATCTCGTGTTGAAGCGTAATATCTGGGTCATCAGTGGAAATTTGGCTGCTCGCATGGCGTTGGTGGGCTTGGGCGTCTTACTCATCCTGGAAGGTCTTCTTTCTCGTGAGTTTTTTATATCTAGCGATACCCTCAAAAGCGTAATTTGCATACCTTATCACGAGCAATGCCATTGCGATATAGCCGTACTCACGAACTGATCAATTGCGTTTCCCACTGACCGCTGCGCGGAACTCGCAGATTGACACCTGAGGAAGCAAGACTGCGTGCGTAGAGACTTCCGCTCCTATGAAACGGTCACACCGTCGCATCTGCTCAGGGAGGAACTCAACCTCGTAACACGCCCGCATCACGCGGCCGTACGCGTAGCGTGGCTTAGAAATGCTTGCTCCTCCCGCTCCACCAATCGCATTCGAGCAATGGCGGAACTGAAGATCTTCGCAGGGGTTCCAAAACTCCACGACCGCAGTTCACCGAGCATCCCGCAAACTGGCTCCTACTACGGGCGTAAAGTGCGCTGTGGCTGTCGCTGACGGAGCTTTGCTACCACGTGCCGACCTATCGATGCTCGCACGAGTGCGAGGCCGCGTAAGGATTTCAGGCAGCAACTAAGACCTGTAACGGCCGAATACAGGGCAAGTGGAAGATGTAAGCTCGTATATAGACTGCTGTGGCTTCGCTCATTCCGTGCGAGTCGAGACTACGACATACTGCTCCTTTCCAAGGTAGTACTCTATCTCTGTTCTACCAGTCTTTATACCAATTGTCAAACACCTTCTCCGATTCCTCATTCTTGACCTATACACACGCTTGCCCATGTGATGGCGACCATTCGCAGCGCCTTCCCAATCTCAGACATTCATCTTGACTCGGCATTCATGCCATCGAACTATAACTCGGCTTCCTCACGTCGTTCGTCAAGTTTCTCGTCCAACTTTTCCTCTGACTCAGATTTCGTCTCAGCCCGAAGTACGCCGGCGGTGTCCGTCTCCCCTCATCGGTACGATTTCGAGGACCTCCCACCGACATACGAGCAAGTTCAAGCCGAGGGTTTGGACCCAGTGGAGGACCACGAACACTACTCGTTAGCTGATAATCATGCTGGCGCCAATAATTTGCGTGTTCACCGACTGGTGTGGGACGACAACGAAACATACCCCTTGCCTACAGCTGAGGACGATGCTGAACCCAATGCGCCAGCGTATACTGCAACGGACCCAACCCTCCAGTTGCTGGACCAGGCATTGCAGTTCACCCGCCATCAACCGCAGCCGGATGTACAGAATGCGTCCCGTCTTGGCCGCCGCATAGTCGTACCTCCGCTTGAGACATCTACCGGTTTTGCAAGAAGTACAAACAGCAGCTGTAGTACGTCTACACAGAAAAGGGGATGCTGTGGACGCAACAAGCGACAAGCCGTATCGGAGTCCGACAGCGTTCCCAGCTCCCGAGGCGGATGCTGTCGACGACGACAAGCCTCCGTGCCGTCGAGCAGCTGCCGCTCCCGCACTTCTTTCCCTTCTGCCCCGTCTCGCGAGGACCCCGAGTTCTCCAACCAGGCCACCATCCCCTTCGCGCGCGCCTACAGCAAGGCGCTCCACGCGCACGGCATCAGCCCTGCCGAGTTTATCGCCTTCATCGACGGCCTCAACACCCTCTCCTTAGCCTCCCCGGCAGAATCCTTAGCCTTCGAACCCTCTGACTCCCAGTCCCTCGCCCTCGCCTATCTCTCCCGCGCCAATGCTGCCTTCTTCGCTCCACGCGGCCTGCAAGTCCGATTGGCGACTCTGTCGGCGATTGTCGACGGTCTGGACGTGCCGTCCAAGTTTAGCAGAACCACGCTGCTTGCCCGAGCCACGTCGCCCACCGCCGACGCGATAGACAGGGCGCAGACGTTGGAGCCATGGGTCGAGCCGCTCGACTTCTCCGTGCCGGAGCTCAGCGCGGCAACGATAGAGCTGCGCCAAATGGCCGCGCGGCTGCCTCTCAGTGGCCGACGGGTCCAGCGGGCCGAGTCCGCGCCCACGGTGAGCCAGTTCGCTCCCCCTACCATGGGTCCCAACGGCTTCCCTCTGGACAACAAACAACCATTCCCCTCCATCCAACTTGCCCCAGCCCTCCTCCCACCTCGACCGCCCGCAGGCCGCTCTCTCACAAGCCCAAGCCCCAGCAGCCCAGAAACCGCCCCACCGCACCCGGAAACCTGGCAAGAATGGACGCAGCGCTGGCAAACCCGCGCCCTAGCTCTCGGCCTTCAAGCCGAGGCCTGGAGCCGCGACGTCAGCGCCCAGGCGGACGCGCTGGGCCAGACCATCGCGCTGCGGGCCGAGACGTATGGAAGGGGGGTGCAGTACGGGCCGAGTGGGCTGTGGGGAGCGAGCGGGGAGCGAAACCCGTCGGAGTCGAGTGGCAGTGGTTGGTGTGGTCGGAAGGGCTCCGCGGCGAGCTGGGCGGGGCCGCGGGTGAGCCGGGAGAGCGGTGGCGCGGCTGTGCTGTCGAGGCCGTCGGTAGATGGGAGCGTTATTAGCAGCAGCGGCAGCGGCAGCAACAGCAGCGACTCCAGCATCAGCAGAACCCCGACCACAACCACCGATACCAGCACCACCGCCTCGACCTCCGTCCCCGACATCGCGCGCATCAACTCCCGCTTCGAGGAGCAGGTCAAAGCCATCACAATAAAAGCCGAGCAGGAGCAGGCAGAAGGCAAGGCGCACTACGCCGAGATCAGCAAGAGCAAGCAGCGCGCGCTCGAGAAGGCCGCGCAAGAGAAAACAAAGGCGGAGGTGAAGCTCGAGGCACTCCGGCTGAAAGCGGAGATCGAGCTTGCGAAAAAGGAAGCCAAGAAGGCGGCTAAGGCGGAGAAGTGCGCGGAGAAGAAGAAGGCGAGGGAGGAGCGGAGGGGGGCGAGGAGGGAGTTGAAGGAGGTGAGGAGGGCGGCCAAGGTAGGCGTGGGAGAGGAGCGGAATATGGTGTGGCTTGTTGTTGAGAATCTTGACGCGGCAGAGAAGGTGGGTGGCGCGGTTGGAACAGTGGTGTATGAAGGCACGTGAGATTTCTGTGCGAAGCGCTCGTTTGGACCGGCGTTGCTATCATGTATATATCCTCTGGTTGCCTTTGAGCTCTCTCTGGAACCCTTTTATATTTCAAACGGTTTCTTTCCTCTTTCTACCAGGGCCTTGGCCATCTCGACCATAATTGCCTGGCAGCTCTGAACGCTGTAGAGAGCGCTTGCGCAATGTTGATACACCAGGAGGGACTAAGCATCCCAGTGCGAGGGACGAGTCGAGAAGGCGGTGTACCCTGTTCAATGCTCCACTGCCATAAGCTCTCTTCCCGACCCAAGCTCCTACTCTTCCCCCTCCACCCACGCCCTCGCCATCTCCTGCGCAACCCCCAACCTCAGCACCCTCAACACGTCCTCCCCGCCCGCATTCCTACTCAAGCCCTTTCTCCAATCCCAACCCCTCTTGACCTCCCCTTTCACCAGCACGCCACTCCCCTCGGTCGACGGCGCGATGTTCTCCCGCGAGGCCAGCATGGAGCTGCCGACCATGGAGAACTGCGTCGAGGCCGTCAGATTTGAAATCGACTTCTTCAGCATCGCGCGCGGAGAAGGGGGCTCTGCACCGTTGGCGTGGGAGAGGGTTGACTGGAGGCAGTCTTCGCATTGGTCGTAGATGCTTGAGGGGGCGCTCTCGAGGTCTTCGGTTGCGCGGAGGAGGGTGTAGAGGTGGTTTATGTCGAGGACACGCTTGGGTCCTGTGGGTGAGGTTGTCAGCTTCGATGTCAAGGTGACGTCGGGAAGTAGGTCGATGGTGCAGTATTTGGTGCATGAGTGCATCACCATGCTAGACAAAGAGCGTAAGAACGAGATGGAACACTTACGGTTCACGAACGGCAAAGCCTCCCCAAGCAATGTCAAGAGGCCATCCACTTGCACAACAGCGTCAACGCTCGGGTCATACAGTCCGCCCTTGATACTCTCGTTTGCACTAGTGATCATCGCCATCAAAGCGGCCGCAGCTGCCTTCTTCCGCGCTACAGGTCGTAGACTGGGTTTCTGTCCAGGTTTCAAATGAAGCTCCTCGTCTCTCAGATCGTAGAACCTGCGGATGGTGGCATAGCCGCTCAAGTATCTCGCTACTATTGATGCGGCTTCGGTATCCATGCGTCCTAGCTGGACTACAGACTTCTCAGGCGAGCTGATGAACGCTTTGAGGCGATCATCGAGCTCTGATGCTGGTGGATACGACATTGACTGGACAAGACAGAGTGATGTCAGGAGATCCAGGACATTTCGAAACTTCTGCGGCTTGTGTGCGCGAGCGTAGTAAAGCAGGGCGGTGCCGTAGTTGTCGGATGTCTCTGCTATACTATCGGCGTACCTCTGCGAAGACGTCAGAATATCCGAAACTCAGAAGTCTCCTGACTGGAAAATGAAGGCTTGCGTTACTTACCTCCGCAACCTCCTCAGCATGGCCAGAGAGACCAGTTCCTAAGCATAGGGCAAGCACCTTGTCGACAAGCTCATCTGACGTAAGCCGAAGACGTTCGAGAAGCTCTCGAATGCTTGACTTAGCATCTTCAGGATCATCCAAGCGAGCTAAAACCTGTACGGCAAGCTCCCAACCCTCCCGAACCTCCTTCCCGTCCGAGCTGCGGAATTCCTGCCTGCCAGACAGTACATCTGCATAACGTTTAAGCAACTCGTCTTTGTTGATCCCTCCGGTGTCTTGCCGTCCATACTCCAACACCAACAGATCACTCTTATCAAAGCCCTTCATGATGTCCTTCGAGTTGGCGCTTGTTTCTGTTAACCAACCAGCAGCACTTGCGACTTCGGCCACAGCCGATGTGACTGTCATGGACCAGCACTGGAGGACGCTGATGACCCCTTCAACATTATCGTCCATGACACACGCGAGTCCCACTTCCACCAAGTCCGTCGTGTTTAGACTCAACTCCTCTTCATCTCCACCGAAGACTTCCGCAAGCGAGGAGGCCAACTTGCGACGATAGGCCAGAGCGGGTGTAATGTCAACAGTTCGAGCTGCCTGAGAGCGCCCGAGCGATCGTCTGCTCATGGCGAGGCTGCCCTTCGGAATGTCGTCCTCCTCTTCACCATCCCACCATATGGTGAGCCCAATTGCTGCCTCAACCCAGTCGTACGATGAAGCAAAGATCTCGTCTGGAACCCCAAGCATCAGATTGTAGACATCCTTCAGATGTTGGTATACGGCCCATGGTACTCTGCTCTCAGCTCTCCGGCTAGCCGCTGTCCAGCCATGGCTTCGAGCGGCCGACATTCCGAAATTGCTGCTCCCGAAACCACTCATATCGTCGCCTCGAGCGCTGTTGTCACCTTCGGCAAAATCCTCTAGATCCGCAATAGCTTGGCTCAGTTTGTGCCTGAAGAGCGTCCAGTCGCCGCCTTTGATGTCCCAGTTCTCATATTTGAAGCCTGGGCAGGAGTCCAACATCGCAATCAATCTATTCACCATCTCCTGGATGTTTTCTAGCTGCGCGCCTTTGTAGCCGGGCACCTCAGCACCGTCCTCGATCGCAGAGTGAGCCACGGCAAAATTCGCTCCTCTTAACAACTTGATCGCTTCCGCAAATCTGCCGCGAAATAACGCGGTTGAGACGCCTTCCCAGAATTCAGGATGAGCCGAGTAGCCGTTCATCTGGCTCTTGATCTCGTCGATGCTGGATGTGGTGGAGTCGTGATATGTGTTCAGCCAGTCCAGTAGCACTTGAGGTATTGGAATCTCTGACGACGGTCTTTCCGATGATGAAAACGTAGAGCTGCGTCCGAAACGCGATTGCGAAAGAGAAAGGTCCTGTCGTGCCTGAGAGGAGGACGGGTGATGGAGTTGCAGGAGTAAGCTGGCCAAGAAGTTGGCTTTTGTTAGCGGGCTCTCCTCTTCCGACGGTCCTATTCGGCTGTAGCCTGGGCCGTAGCTGTGCTTGTAGTCCTGGTGCCATAGGTCCCGGAGCTGTTGTGCGACCTTGGTGACCGTATCACTGAGCTGCAGTACGTCTCTTGCTAAATCGGGATCACTCAGCCTGTTCACTGTCTGCTCCGTCTGAAGCACGACGTCATCTGGTTCCGAGAGCGAAGTCTGTCGTCTTGAGGCAGCTAGCCCCTTTGCCAGCCCTAAAAGATCGTACTTTGAATTAGTAGCCGTCGAGCGTGTCCTGCTGGCCGACACCCCTTGCCGCCTGGATGACTGCCGCAATGACCCTCTTCGTACGTCTCGTATAGATTCTAAGCCATCAAAGGGACGCGATGATCTGAAGTCGCTGCGGCTAAGAGGGGCAACCGCGGAGCTTTGCAGCTGAGTCCGGTTTGTAGGTCCGTCCATGTCCATATCTTCGTCGTCTCCTTCCATCGCGTCTTCATCCTCCCGCGAGTACTCTTCTGACATCTCCTCATCCTCGTAGTCTTCCTCATCCTCGTCGTTGGTTACGGCCGGCTGTGGGGGGCTACTGGCGGGTGCAGCAAAAGGATTGGGATTGTTCGCACGCGGCGCGAAGAGATCTGAGTGTAGCGGGCGGTTTCTTGACGGATCGCTGGGATTGCTCGTGGGTGCAAAGGCAGCCTTGAATGGATTAGGGCGACTCGATTGAATGCCGGAGTGCAGCTCAGAGCTGCCGAACACGGACGAGGGCGGAGGACCGGCTGGTGTAAATGACGCGGAAGTGTGGACTGTCGGAGGAGGCCCTGCCGGGGTCGTGGAAGGAAGATTTGTGCTTGCGCGGCGAGAGTTGGGCGTGCTTGGAGGTGTTGAGTCCGGAACGGTGAACATGGTGGGATGGGCTTTGACCGGCTCAGGCTTGTTTTGCAGAGTCGGCAGCGAGAGTCCTGCACTTCGATTCAGGGTGTGGACATCAATGGGTTGAACGCGCAATGCTGCGTTGCAAGTTTGTTTGCTAGAAGCAGAGCTACCTATGAGCTTCAGAAGCGCGCAGCCGTCAACGCGACGAAAATCGCGGTCACGTGATATGCCACTACCTTCCGCGGCTCTCATGCGCACATGAAGCCATTGTTTAGATAAGTAGGTAGGTACCTACACCTTGCGGTAAATCCAGCAGCACAGACGCTCCTATGAGCCGAGAGAGACTCGCAAAGATGGTCTCACATGCAGTTTCTCATGTTCGCCATAGTGGTTCTTCCCTGCCATGCGCCGCCGTATCAACGTGTCAACTCGACCGTGAGTGCTCTCAGTTATTTTATATCTGCAGTCTCTGTTCACGTCCACCCGTAGAGTAACGAGGATCCACTCGCCGGTAGAGTATTTCTGCATTGAGCCGACCTCACGTCCAAACGGGGCAAACTCCGTAGGTCACACGGAGCAGCCATGTGCAGCCTCCTCATTTCATGTGATCTCCCGATTGTTCCTCTGTCAGGTGACGTTGGCGGAGCTGCTTCAACATATAACTCCGAGGAGTGAGCGAGTCTCGAGTCGTAGTAAATTCCAACTACCTTATCATCGTGTTGGCGGGCATTCATTTCAGTCAGTTAGCCGTCAAACATAGCAACAACCCCCAGAACAGCTGAGCCTCGACGACTTCGGTCCGAGTACAATCGGCGGCCCTAGACATCAGATGAAGAGTCTCGACGCGCCCGCTATGGACAACAACCGCACCAATACCTACAGCTCGAAAGGCTCACCTCATGAGTCTCAGATCTCGGCCGGGCCTGTACTAGCCATAATATTGCCCTCGATGCTGGGCGTCATTCTCATAATCTTGGTTGTAGCGTCAGTTTTACAGTGATCCAGTGGTCGCAGCCTCATGTTGACATTTTGACGCAGGACATTTATAGCCCCACGGCTGGCTACAGCAGAGAGTGAAAACTGCACTCAGAAGCGCCGCGAGCAGCGCATCGCGCGTCTGGACAAAACAGTCAAAGCGCAGATGTTCTATGACTGGCGGTCGAAGCAGGGTGAAGAGAATGCGGGGATTGTCGCAACACACCCCTTGTGGTAAGCGGTTCTGAAGTCCTCGAAGCCCCTTCTCGTTGAGCAAAAGAGATGCTGAACCTAGGTGCAGCGTGATATGTCTAGACACGGTCGAGGATGAGGCGCAGATCCGGGGGCTGAACTGCCTGCACGTTTTCCACCAGACGTGCCTGGACGACTGGTTTGGTCGGTTCAACGAGTTCTGTCCGCTCTGTCATCGACCGATACTACCGGGCGCCAAGCTTGCGTCCCACGTCAGGAGGAGTACAGCAGATGAGGCGAGGATGAATGTGGTAATGATGTTGTGACGGGTGACTACTTTGGCTTCCAGAACTGTCTGAAGATATCCATCTTGTTTTGCGCGCAGTCTTCGCTCTTGCAGCACTTCCTTCGCCATGTTCGTGCAGCCGCACCGGAGAACGTTCAAGCAGAGCTGTATTGATGTGAGAGGTTCCGCGCCACGCCTATAACAAGAATGGCCTGGAGGCGCTTCCAATCCAGGTTGCGATCAACCGGTTCTCAATTCCAGAAGGAGCACTGCGGACAGGTGCAAGCTCCAATGCTGATCCAGACGCTGCTTCATTGGAGCCCGACGGGTGCTAAAACGTGTCTTGCCGCTCTCGCGTGGAAGGCGAACAGTTAGCAGCTTCCGTGCCCCTCGCTCGACCTCAGCGGTGTGCCGTTCTGGGGATCCGCGATGCTGGAAGCTCAAAGGAGAACGCTAGACGGGGGAATTCCGGGGTTGTACCCAGCCAGGTGGACGTTTGACAGGCGGTTGTGGCGGCCGAGGCGCGTTATCGAGGTGCGTTATCGAGGCGCGTTACCCCATCGAGAGGCGTCGGGGAATGCCGCTGCGGGGCTGGGTGCTGAGCGTTAGATCTCGATCTCAGCTTGGGAAACAGGCTGCACTTAGCAGCTGGCGGGAGCGCAAAGAATCTGGTCGTTCACCATCCGCGTCGAGAAGCTTCGCACTGCGCGAGGACTGCGGGCTTCGGCGCTTTAACTATGGGGACCTCCTTGGAAGGTTCCATCGCAGAACACACGTGTACTGCACAACCTAAGGCCCGGCAAAGGCAGTGTCACGCCACATGCACGTCCGGAAAGCGCCAAGTTGGAGATCATGGCCTGACCTTTTCTGCGCAGAGAGCCAGGGCTCCCCCACGATTTCCCGAGCTTGTCCTGCGAGAGCTCACCTGGGCAAGCGTGCCGCACTGTCGGGTTCTGCCCGTCGCCCCGGACGTTGCTTGGGCAGGAACATCGAAAATCTTACCCTTCGCTCGGAGCCGTTGCTGCTCCCCGTCCCTCCTCTGTGCCCCGAAGCGTCCCGTTTTCGAGAGCCGGGGGTCGAGGGTTGCAGGTAGTGTCTCCGCAGGCCGCCGAAACCATGCGCGACCAGTCACAGGATAGATGAGAGATATTCGCTCCTGCGCGACCTGAAAAGAAAGCCATGTTCGCCCTTGGCAGCTGGGTTTGCAGTTCTGTTGCCCATTCTGAAGACAACTGTTCCCTACACTCTCCTCCAATCTGATCCCCTCGACTCTGCTTCTACCCCACATATCTCTGAGGCCGTTTATCAGCAGAAGCGCAGTTGCTCCGCTACCATCCTGTTTCCTCCCCACCCCCACTTTTCGAACCTTCACACGAACCTACATCTGCCGTCTGCATCCTCTGTTCCACGGACCTCCAACTCATACCATTGAAGTCTTCGCTCCGAAACCGACACGACAACGAGTACCACTAGGCCTAGACTGGGTTGAGGCCGGGTTGGTCACTGAGGCTAAAGGTCACGCTCAACTGCCTCAGGCGCCGCTCGTCAGTGATGTCACTCAACTGGGACACCTTTATGAACGAGGAAGAACTGAACCGCTTGACGAACGACCAATGGGTGGACACCTCTTTCCAACAGCGGACAACCACCCAGGCTGGGGGGTCGGCCCCTCTGTTGCCATTTAGTCAATCGCTGAACACGCCTCTGAGCGCGCCAAACTACAGCCCATGGGACTTTGCAAGCCAGGATTCCTATTTCCCCGACAGCGCGTACTTTGCACCGCAGGATTACCAGTACGGGGATCCGGAGGCCCTACAAGCTTTTGGCGACGCCCTAACAGGACCAACAACCTCCCAACCTTCACACGATCACACTCCAGGCATCATCACGAACGATTACGCTTTACAGCAGGCGAGAGCTGAGCGCCGGGCTTCTTCCTCTGCAACGGCTTACACAGCTTCCGATATCTCGAATTCGATCTCCAACCCCTCGACCTCCGCACCGCCGCCCACAATCTCCGAGGCGCAGTATGACTCGCTGCTGAGCAATCATGCCGACGCTGGCTTCCTTGACAACATAGCGTATCCACATCGAACGTCGGGAGCCTCCAACCCCCCAAACCGTGCAACGGAGACACCGGCGCAGGCCACAAACCCCGAACTGTTCACAGATACAATGCGGAAGCGCCATCGCGGGAACGGCAGATCAGATGCAATCCAAGCGTGCTGGCTATCCCCTCTGTGCCCGAACAGCAACAAAGACAGCACGCCTCCAAGTCCGTCCACGTGCGGCGGCGCTTGTGCTCCATTTCTTTTCGGCCCCGGCGCGGACGATCCGTCGGCCAACGTGACGATCGACCAGCAGATGCTCGCCAAAGATTCTGTCGGTTACACGTCTCCCGAAAATCTGGAGTTTCGCCGCCATCTCAAGCGCAGCGAGAGCGACGCGAGCGTGGCTCCAACGGGCCGGCTCTACAACGAAAGTTCCGAAGAGCCAGGCCTGAAGACCGAGTCAACGGAGGATACTCCGGAGCGGTTTCTCGAACATCTGGCTGCCGAGGACGCCAAAGGGAAAGGACAGAAACGAAGACAGCCACACAACCAAGTGGAGAAGAAGTACCGAGAGAGCCTCAACACGCAGCTCGAGTCTCTCAGGAGGGTGGTTCCGTCGCTACGGCAGAACGCGAGGAGTTGTGACGGCGCCGACATCGAGGATCTCCCGACGCCGTCGAAGCCAAGCAAAGCGGTGGTGCTGGCGAGCGCCACATCCTACATCAAGCAGATGGAGCGAGAGCGACAACAGCTCAGAGAAGAGAACGAGATGCTGAAATCGAGGATAAAGGCGCTGCAGACGCTGGCCAAGTGCCAGGACTGCTCGCTGATGCATTTTGTCAGAAACCTGAAGATTGATAACCCGAACTGAGCTGGGCTGATGTTGGATGCGGCCATGGAGTTATGATGGGATGGGAATGGACGGATCCCGGCTCAGCGACTTACTTCGCTTTATTCATTGATGTGATATATTTACGAGAGCGACAGGCGTTCAAGGCTCGGGATAGAAACACATACCACGATGGGAGAGGTGCGGTCGGCGCCCAGATTTGTTGCTACGGCGTCCATCTTAGCTCGGACTCAGCTCTGCCGAATGGGCTGTATATACTCTTCTTTCGGACAGCATTTTACTGTATTCGTCGCATTGCTCTCTGCTCACCTTTCGCAACGCGTTCTTCTACCGGAATGTCTCACTGCATCCGTTTCCATCCTATATATGCTATTAGATTTTCGACGTCACGTACCATTCCCTCGCGTTTACCGCTGCGCTTGATGAGCCTTCGGACACCCGTCGCAGCGGTTAGACCGAAGCTGGTTGTTCGATTGCGGAACACCTCGTCGGTGCCTGGCGTGAAGGAAAGACCATGGCCAAACGGGGGCCGGCGGGACCTAAAATCGGTACTTGTTTTCTGCACTTCTAAGGCCTATGTGGCTGTGCTTTATATAATAGCGCTAGCTGTCGCAGTGCTTAAAGAAAATTGCAAACATCAAGCTATGGGCAACCTGGTGTCAGCACTTTATGAACGGCCGCTCACGTGCTGAAACCGTTGTTGCCGGCAGCCGAACCAGATCCTTGCAAGCCATGGATCGTGGTGGAAAGCCAGGCAAGGATGCAGGAGCCATGGGACACTCTTGGCGTGTCGCCACGTGAAAGGCTATCCCCACGACTTTTGCAAACTTGCCTGAAGCAACTCGCACGATGTTGAATCCGTTCAGTCAGCCATCAGTTGATCTCAGGCTGAGACCTCCCGAACAACCCGGAGTGATGACCGCCCAGTATGCAACCAGCTTTCCAGGGGACACAGCAGCCTTGCAGTACCGAGTGTCGGGCCACGCCAGAGTCTCGCGCAACGCGGGCTCCTCCATGTCGTAGAGGCACTCACGTCTGAAAGAGCGTTCTCCGCGCAGAATGAGCTCAAGGTCGATCTTGGCTGACACCACCCAAGCATAGCGGATGCTTGAACTGCACTTGCGGCCTGGTGCGATGTGAGCGTGTCTCCAAGTTGCGGGGCCTCCCGTTGCCCAGAATGGACTCCGAGGTTGTTTGGTAGGCTAAGAAGACTTTGATAAATTCCGTAGAGCTCCATTTCAAGTCTGAGTTTTCAACTTCAAAAACTTTCTCGCACGTCCGAGAAGAAAATACTTCAGTTAGAAACGCATTGATCCCAGTCGAATCCTTCCAAAACACATCCTCCGGTCTTCTCAGATTGTGAGACATACAGTACAATCTGCGCCTGTGACCATCTATCACATACACCAAGTGCTGCGGCTTGCTCGACAAACGCACCCGAACGCGGCAAATCACCATCACACCAGAGCCATCTTAGAGAGAAAATCAGCCTTCTGCCGAAAGCGCCTGAACTAGATCCGAGCTGCCAACAATCGGAAACTCCACGCGCCCGAAGCAACATCAAAGCATCAAAAGTAATACAGCCCAACGCAGCACTGCAATTCAGACCTCCGCCGAAGCACCAGCATGAAATACTTTGTGAACCCGTTCAAAAAGCACGACATCTCGGAGTTTCCGGGTGTCCTTGTGCCTCTGTCACAAGCGCCTCACCGTCCATCAATCGTGTCTGTGCCGGATGCGAAGGGCGAGGACGACAAAGCGTCAAGTTTTTCAGGAAACCTGACTCTAGAGGGCCTGAAAGCAGAGGTTGAAAATGACATCGCGGCGGGTGGCTTCAACTCTGCCTATGATCGTAAGTATAGGAGCAAGATCTGACTTATCTGCATCTAGAGACTCATCTCATTGCTCCTCGATGTTTCTATGACATGGTAAACGCAGTCTGACAGGACACAGGCAAATCCAAGGTTATCAACAAAGCTATACAGGACATTGGCATGGGGAGATATCAATACGAGCTCTTCGTGCTTTGCGGATTTGGCTGGTTAGCCGACAAGTGAGCATGGTCTTGCACCTTAATCGTCAGGAGCTTTCGCTAACACCCGCGTAGTTTGTGGCTACAAGTGCGCTTTCCGCGGCTGCAATGTTATTAAAACTATGCTGACAGCATTCATACAGGGCATCGCGCTCACCCTTCCCTCGCTCTCCGAGGAATTCGGAATAGACAGCAACACCGTCCGCTACACCACGCTCTCCCTCTTCCTCGGGCTTTGCATCGGGGCAAGCTTCTGGGGCGTAGCCTCAGACGTGATTGGCCGTCGTCCAGCATTCAACTTCACGCTTCTCCTGGCAGGTGTCTTCGGGATCGCCGCCGGCGGCGCACCGAACTGGATCGGCACTTGCGCTATGTATGCTTGCCTTGGGCTGGGCATTGGCGGCAACCTGCCTGTCGATGGTGCCCTGTTCCTTGAGTTTCTGCCGTTCGCGTCTGGTAATTTGCTTACGCTACTGTCTGTTTGGTGGCCTGTTGGCCAGCTTATCGCGTCTTTGAGTAAGTTACCTCTCTTCTTGCACATCCGCGCTCCCATCTTTGCAAAACCCTGAACCGCAGTCTGGCTGCAGCTGTCACGAAGCAGTAACGGATTGCGCCTTGAGTGACTTGGTGCGGCCATATTCAATATCTTGCGCTGTCAACGTTGACCGCACGATCCTCACCGTTACTTACCTTTCATTAATATCCATCGTTCGTCTGCTAATAATCGATAGTCGCTTGGGGGTTTATCCCCAACTACCCTGTAAACTGGGGCTGGCGCTATTTCGTCTTTACCATGGGCGCCTTCACTATGGCAATGTTCATCTGCCGCTTCTTCGTTTTCCATCTGTTCGAATCTCCCAAATTCCTGCTTTCTCGAGGCCGACAATCAGAGGCCGTGGCCGTCGTGCACGGCATCGCATCCCACAACAAAGCCAAAACTTGGCTCACGGAGGACATCCTCAACGAGATCGGCGGAAATCCTGATGCTGTTGGGAAGCAGGCGCTCAGCACCATGGAAATTGTCAAGAGAACATTGAGCAAGTTCTCCGGGCAGCGCATCGCGCCTTTATTCCACGGATGGAAACTCGCGGTAACGACCGTCCTGCTCTGGTTCATCTGGACGACGATCGGGATGGGTTATCCGCTGTTCAACTCATTCTTGCCGCAGTATCTCGCCAATGCAGGAAGCGACCAGGGCCCAACACCTACCAAGTAAGTCGTCCGTCATCGTGTCTATTCAGTGGGTTGCAACTCACAGCCGTTCTAGCATCGTCTACCGTAACTACGCGATTACTTCCATCGTCGGCGTACCGGGAAGCATCATCGCATACTACACCGTCAACATCAAGTACATCGGCCGCAAGGGCACCATGGCCATCTCAACAGTGATCAGCGGGATATTCCTCTACCTCTTCACCACGTCAACCAATTCAGACGTCCAACTCGCTTTCTCATCCCTCGAGGCGTTCTTCCAGGTGAGCTCGCCGAACAGCCCTTCATGAGTGTCATCGCTTATACTAGCTGCCACAGAACATCATGTACGGAGTTCTTTATGCTTACACCCCTGAAGTGTTCCCAGCGCCAAATCGCGGGACCGGCACGGGTATCTCCTCGTTCCTGAACCGCATCGCCGGATTGTGTGCGCCCATTGTTGCGATCTATGCTGGCGAAGCGAACCCGGCGGCACCGATCTATGCGTCCGGCGCTTTGTTCTTCGCTGCTTCCATCGCTATGCTGGCTCTGCCTATTGAGACGAGGGGGAAGCAGAGTTTGTAAGCGGATGTGTGAAACGCGGTGGGCGCTCTTGGTACTTGGGTACAGGCGGCCACTTTGATCCTGGAATGGTAATGAAATGACGAGGTTCGGTTTGGATACCCCGCAGTTACTTCGTGCACAGCTAGAGTCTCCGAGGAGATACTATCTCGAAATCGTTTAGTATCAATCGCCATGATCTTAAACCACGGCCAACACAGCAACATCCACCAAGACGCAGCGGCCTCCACCAGGCTCCTCTGCTGGGCTTCGGATAAGTCGGCCTGATGTTCTCGCGTGATACCTCGTGATTGACTGAACGTTCCCAGTACTACGGGTGCCATACGGCCGATTGCAAAGCAGAGTAATCCATCAATCCTGCAATGGTCATGTGCTGATAAAAGTGTGGCGGTGCGGTGGCAGTGTTGTGCCGTTTCAGCCGGCGCAAGGGAAGACCCCTGCAGATTCGGCCTCAGGCCTCCTCAGACCTCCGGCAAGGCCGGCAACACGCAGCTAATGCACGCGAGCGACGCCCCCATTTGTCCCTGCGTCTGCGGATCTTTTCTGGAATTGCTTGTCGCATCTCCACACCAGTTTCGTCATAGCGCTGGTCAGCAGAAGGCGGCCGTAATGTAGGGCTGAATATGAATTCTTTGCTGTGTAAATCTGCCTTGGCATGACGGTATGACTAGATGCTAGTTTACTCATCCTCATCGCCGCATTGCGCAGCAGAGTACCTTCTAGTAAGCGTCGGTTACTCACATAAACTCGCTGGCCCCTGCCATTTGCCTTCATCTTCGCATCGCTACTGCTTGATTCCTGCATCAAACAACAATCGAAACACTTCAACCCACACACGCCACTTCACCCCTTTCGTCACTTGTGCAACCTCCACTACGACACAGCTTCAACAACATCGCAACACCTGAGCGCATTCTCATATCGAACCGACTCTTCCATCACCTCACCTCTCTACACGGCATGAAGTTCTCGACACTTTTCACCGCCGCGCTCGGCGCCGCATCAGCCACCAACGCGCTCTCGATACCCTCAGACATCAAGGCCCTCTCGATACGCAGCGCCGAATTCCTAGAGGCGCACGCACCCTCAATACCGTACACGCTCGAGAAGCGCAAAGGCGGCGGCGGCCGCAGTAGTGGCGGCTCCAGTTCAGGAGGTGAGTTTCTCCACCCTCTCTTAGGCTTCAGACAGGCCAACTAACAACCCCCTCCAGGCGGCCGCAGCAGTTCCAGTTCCAGTTCATCCTCTGCTGCGCGCGGCAACTCCAATGTTGGCGGCCGCACCTCAACCGGCACAGGCGTGACCCCGCGCTTCGGCGGGGGCCGCTACTACGGCGGCGGCGCCGTGGTGCCCTACACAGCCGGCTCGCGGAGTCCACGGGGCATCTCACCCCTGTACCTCCTCCCCGTCGCCGGGCTCGCCTTCTTCCCCGGCCTCTGGCTCTACGGCGCCTACGTCTACGGCTACAACAACCCGTACCGCTTCATCAACGAGAGCGCGGCCAACGCGACCTTCCCGAATGGCATCAACATGACGCGCCCGGTGCAGTGTCTGTGCCAGCAGTATAGCGTCTGCGGGTGCGATGAGACGGACGACGAGACGTATATGCGCGAGCTGATTGGCAGGGGGAGTTACGCGGCGCTGAATAAGAGCCTCGTTACTGTGGGGGATGTGAATGGGACGCAGACAATTCTGATCAACGGAACGCTACCGAACGGGACCACAGCCGCTGGTGGGGTTGATTCGGGCGCAATGAGGATAGGCGGGCTGCAGTATCCTGGTTGGGCTGCCTTGGGCGCGGCTGTTGGGTATGCCGTTTTCCTAATGTAGGCGGCAGACTGAGAGCGACACTATACGTTTTCTCTTCTTGTACAACCTTTGGGATAGATGGGGGCGGTTTGGGTGTAGATTGAGGAAGTGGCATTTCTAGGAGTTGATCCTCTTGTTGGCGTTTGGCTGAGAGAACCATAGGAGAAGCTTTGCGAGGCTTCATTATACCCCACAGGGACATGATGGGTAACCACATCTAGATTTTTCTTAATAGATGTTTTGAGTCAGAACTCATGAACTCTTTCCCTCCGCTCCTGATTGCTTCCCCTCCGCTTCTTGCAATCGTGACAGCTCCTACTCGGTACGCCATGTGCCAACGTAGCGATAATTCTTGCACTTACGCTAAGCTTAAAAGGTTGTCTGCACCGCAGCGGAGCCCATGTAAGGGAGGCGTACAGTGTGACCCTGAAAGTATCACTGAGGATAGAAGGAGCTGTGGTGTGACGAGGCTCGCACGCAGGCTGAGCAGAGTGAGCCTCGCATCCGCCCGAAGGATCGCGCCTAGGGCAAGGTGGTTCCTAGCTGTGCTTTTTATAGCGATAACATCTCTATGACAGCGCAATTAATACTTCAGCGGCCATTGGTTCGGGTCCTGGTGGGAGATTTCCGTTCCAGGAACCGCATCGGAGCCTCAGTATGTTTGCGCCGGAAGCGCTCACTGAACACCAGGCTGTGTTGACGATGCCGTTACGCAAATACAAAGCCCTGTGCATGTAAGGGATGAACGTCCTGGTTGGATGCCAACCGTACCCGATACGTGCTTCAGAAGGCTGGGATTTGATCTTCGAAGATTAACAAAAATCCTACCTATATGCAGTACAAAGTGAAGCTTACCGCAATGCAATAGCTCAGAATCATTCCACAACTCTTGCAGCAATCACCAGGTCCTCGGACCCTCATCCAACTCATCCACGGCCCGAGATCCAGCTTGATCAGACGGCGGAGCATTGCATCCCGACTTCGCGCCCTTGGACGCTTCGATTCTCGCCATCGCCTCTTCCAAATCGCATCGCTCGACCTCTCCAGTCACCGTCTTCTCGTCCGCGCTCCTTCCAAGATAAGAGCACACAAACTCCTTTTCCACATCTCTTCGCAATCCAAAGCGGATTTCACAGCCCGCAGGAACACTCTCGACAAGACTCGGAAGCATTGTGCCCCAGCCGTCTCGTCCAAAATGGAATTGATCGAAGACACAAAGGCGGAGGCTCTGCAACCTCGTCATGGCTCGGAGCATGCGAGAATCTACATTCTCGGCCTCGCATACATCTGACAAGAAGCCGTAGTTGACCATGACGAACAGATGTCGAAGCTCTCGCAGCGCGTGTGGTGGGAGACGAGTTTCTCGGCTGCTCGAGACTAGAAGGATCGTGTTCTTAGTGTACAACACATCACGCGCCTCGTGATAGATCTGGCTGCAGGTACGCAAGAGGCCGAGTCCAAGGTCGGGTTTGACCCGGTTGGTCTGGTAGGAGAAGTAAAGCCCTATAGCGTTGTCCGGGGCGGTTAGAGTGTACTCGTAGATGCGAAGGCGGAGTTCAGCTGGGAGGCTGAGGAGGCGCGACGTTTTCATTCTCGAACACTCGGTTGACATTGTGCAGAGATCTGGACTTGTTCCTGCAGTACGCCGACCTTTTGGCTGTGCTGTGACTGTATGTTGTCCATTACTTGAAGAGTGAACTGCGGCGGGGTTCATCAGTCTAAACTTGGAAGCTTCGAGGACAGTCACGTGTTCACGAATCTTAACAAATGCAGTCGAAGCGATTATGCCCTGGCAATAGCTACGAGGATGTCTGAGTTCTCAGCCTACTCCTCATCCTCTTCATCAGATACGTCTTCCATATCCTGATCACTCTCCTCACTCTCGACGCCATCAACTTCCTCTATCCTATCCCTCTGCTCCTCGTCCCTCTCCTCCTTTCTCTTCCTTTCCTCCTCCCTCCTCGCCTCCTCCAACACCTTCGCCTTCTCCTCCCTCACCGTCCTCTGCCCCGCCACAAACGCTCCCAGCGGCGTCTTCTGCCACTCGACCTCCTTAAGAAACCCTTCCACGCCCGCCCGATCATTAGGCGCAAACTCGACCTTCGCCCTCCTTTCCTCAATCCACCTTGAGTTCGCTTCAAGCTTCTGGATCACGAGCGCCACCATCCCATTAACCTTCCCATTCTTGTTGCCCGTGGATTTATTGTTCGCCTCCTTAAGCCATCTCTTCAGCATCACCACCACCGGCAGCGCCAGCTCAGGAAACGCGATGTTCTTCGCCCACAGCACGAAGAACTCGGCCAGCAGCTCCGCGACCTGCTCGCCGACACCGTCCTGATAGACGCGCATCCGCAGGTAACTCGCGCCGGCCCTGATGCTCGTCGTGAATTCCAGCGCCTTGAGCGTGCTGGGCTTGGGGCTCTTCTTCATCTCCGCGGAGGACAGGACCTCGAGCAGCGCCGGGGCCAGCGGGATATACACGCCCGTCGCCCTACTGAGCCGCAACAGGCTCCGCACGAGCTGGAAGCGCAGCGGGAAGTATTGCGCCGTAGGGATCAGGCGCATGGCGCCGAGCGTGACTTGCGTGACGGGATACACGAGCGGCCGTAACTCGCTCTCGCGGCCTCGTTCGGCTTCTTTGAGCGCGTCGCAGTGCACGCTTAGGACGCGGCTCCAGAAGTCTAGCGAGTGCACGTACTGCCAGTTGTACACGTTCTTGTAGCTGTCTTTGGTCTTGTTCGTGATGCTGTTCCGCAGGTGGATCGCCGCTTGTCGGATGAAGCCGAAGGCGGTTGTGTAGCCGACTGAGGCGTCGAGACCCCAGAGCTCCGCGGCGGAATTCTTCATTAGGTTCAAGCCGGCTAGGGTGTGCACTGTCGTCGCGCGGCTCGACTTGACGAGCCCGGTGTAGACGGCTTTGAGGACTGCTTCGCGGATGCTGGGGTCGCCGATTACCATCAGGCGCCGCAGGACGAGGAAGGCGGAGATGCGGGTAGCGTCGGTAGAGGAAGAGGCGGACCAGATGGAGACAGCGGTTCGGGCAAGGTCGCGGAGCGCCTTTTTGAAGGAGAGGACGTATGGGAGGAGAGGGAGGAGGGAGGATAGTGTGAGCTTGAGGGTAGAGGTGTCGGATAGGTTTTCGAGAAGGTGGTGGAGCGAGGCGGTGTGCGACTTGAGGAGAGGCGTGAGGGTGCGGTACTTTTTGGTATCGGAGGGTAGGCGGCTGGACAGGGAGTCAGTCGAGTGTATCGAGTTACGAGACAAGCGGTCTTACATCTTTCCCGCTGCTGTCTCCTTGACGGGTAGGTGGTGTTGGAGGACTTCAGGTATATGGGTGAGGGCAGCAATGAGCAGGTCATGGTAGACTACAGCCAGGTTAGCGACGACTCAGAGCAGAAGTAAAGTCCGTCGATCCTACCATCCGGATTCGAGATGGAGTATTTGTACTGCTTGTCATCCTCTTCATTAAGATGCGCCGCTGCACGGAAAGCCAGAACGACCTCCCTTGTGGCACGCAGCGAGCGCTGTTCCGTCATGGCCGTCCGCCACTTCTTAACCATAGCCTTCGTGACCTCGTTGCCTGCATCGTCTTCCATCTCTTCGTCGTGCTTCTTGTCCTTCTTTTGCTTCTTCTTAGGCGCACCCTCATCCCCGCTGTCGCTCAGCGCATCAATACCAGCAAGGTCCGCGTCTTCTTCAAAGTCGAGTAGCTCCCGGTCGTTCTCCTGCAAGTACTTAAAGAACTCAGGATCCTTCTTCGCCAACGCATCGAGCTCTTGCTTGTGTACGCCAAGGTCGGCTTCCGAATCTGTTTCCGCATCGCTTGCCGCGGCCTCCTCTTCCCCAAATTTCGCTGGCGAAGAAGCTGCTTCATCGTTTTCCTCGCCCTGTGTTCGCTTCCTCTTCCCCGTCTTCGCAGGAACCTCCTTGTGCTTTGCGCCCTGCCTGCCCTTCTTTTTCGGGTCCTCAGGTATGTCGAAGCCGCCCTGGAAGAACTCGTCCACACTCATATCCCCAAACGGATTCCCACCAGCCTCTTTCTTCCCCTGCCGAGGTTTCGCATCCTCGACATCCTCAGCGCGCTCATTGTCCTTGGCTTTTCTCTCTTTCCGCTTGGCCTTGATCTGCTGCTTCTGCTTGATTTTGGCGACTTCTTTCCGCTTCTTGAGCAAGTCTGGTAGGCGGTTCTTCTCGAACTTCCTCGTTGCTTTGGTTTGCGGCATGGTGTGGGTATGGTGGGGGTGGAGAGTGTGTGGGCGCTGAGGGTTGGCAGCCTTCGATGCGGCTTCGAAAAATTGCGAGCATGGGGCAGTTGCGCGAGCGGGCGATCTGCCGCATACGCCAAGAGCGGAAGGCGGAATCCCGCTGCTTGCTGCCACGTGACCGTCGCTCACAACATCCCCACTGGCAGAACGAGTATCTCAGCTCCGGCAACAACGCAAACAAGGTACGCAGTGCATCTGGCCCTCCAGCACTGCCCTGTTTGGAGTGAGCGTTACACCGCTGCTGACCTCCGCATAAAGCCTTTCGACCCTATCGGCTTCCCTAGATTCAGTCTCTCGTGTTGAATCCGGAAGTATACCCGGATCAAGTAAAACCCAAGCAAGCCTAATGGGTCTCTATCGATCTTCTCATTGGAAGGCGAGAATAGGATATGCGTTGCGGCTACTGCCCGATATTGCGGGGTAAAGCGGCTCGGGGCGCTTGGGGACCAAACTCCGTTGCTAGCACTCCTCAGCTTCCTTATTTGCTTTAAATCATCTGGAAAACACTTACCGAGTTGCAGTAGTTACCTGGGTGGTTGGCTGTTTGCTCTTCATGCAACGCTCCAGCTTTCCATTGTATCCAATGGTCAACAAAATCTCCCATGTGGCGGCGTAAGGCGTCCCGGTGCCCATTCAATACCTCTCCTGCGGGACGACCGCGTGAGAGGCGCCATATGCAAGGCTAGAGTCTCACAATGCCAGTTGGAGCCGGTTTCTTGGACGCGAGCTGTGGATCTTGTTTGTTCTCGCTAATCTGAACTCCTTCGAGAGCAATGCAGAACATCTAGCGCAGGTCATTTGATGCACCACGAGAAACACCGTCCCTTGCTAGCGAGGTAACCCCTCGTATCGGGGCTATACATAAACCTCACCTTGTTCCCCGCAGTGTACAGCATCTTCCACAGCAGTCCTCAGACCTCGAAATTGACTTCAAAGTCAACATCCCCCAAGCCGCAAACCATCATGAAGCTCATCAACATCGTCGCCCTCTTCGCCGCCATTGCCTTCGCCGCGCCGGCTGCTGAACCTGCACCAGTCGGTGAGCTCGATAGCTCGCCAGAGGCACACACCCTCGAGGTACCGCTGCTCCTCTAGTTCTCATCGCTTTTGTTCACTGACATAAATCTAGCGCCGTGGCTGCGTTAGTATGTTCTCCGCTGTCCGCTTCAGACGACTCAAGGATTGACGTGTACGGTAGATTGCGCCACGTATTGCTGCCAGAAGAACGGTGGATGCAACGGGTACCTTCATTGCGGACGCTCGAGGGTGAGTCCCGTTATCCTTCAGCCGTTGCACATTCTCTCACTGTTGTGAAACGAATGAACTGACCGGATATCCCTCTTTCAGTGTATCACCAACTCCGCTGGATACTCCTACTGCAACTGCATCTGTGGATATTCATGAGTGCTGCAAAGCTTATCAACAGGGGAGTTTGAAGCTGTTTCAAGGCAGTCAAGATAATGTTCACTTGACCGCATTGGTGTGGTGGCTCTCAGAATGTGAATGTAACGGTTGGAACGTACCCATCAAATTCCATGAGCGGCATCTTCTGCCTTCGCCTTTGCTTCCAGCTTCCCCTATGCTTCCCCATCAACTACAACAAAGTGTCTTTATCTTGAATCTTGCCTACATGAGACCCAGCATACTCTTCGCTTTTCGTCCAGCCTTCTAGAGTTTTCATTATCCGATACCAGATGCTCAGATTTTGCGTGAAGGACAGCAGTGTTCTTTCTGTTGTCACGCAGGTAGAACATTCGTTGTGTTGCCATTCACATTATGACAACGCTGTGAACAGTTCGCACAAGTCGGTAGGCGACTCAGCCACTTCATATAAGACCACGGCAGGATCACCTCCAATCTATCTCTCTTTCAGCAGCTGTCACTACTTTACAGAGCCATCCCACTCTGTTCCAGACATACTAGCAACGCGGCTACCAGTGTATCATCCTTACGTTGATCCAGTCAGTAACGGTACCTAATTCAACGATCTTCGCGAGGCAGAGACCGGCACCGAGCATGGCACAAGCCCTTCAAAAAGCTTCGGGGTCCTCCCTGGGAAAGCGCAAGCGTGAAGAAGATAGTTCCTGTCCAAACCTAGTTTTTCCTCCAGTGTAAGCAGCGACACATCTCGGCACCTGGCCTAAATCACTGATGTTTGAACAGGCCGATCTACAACAACGACTCGGTCATCGAAGTCACCGTCGGCAGAAACAGGAAGAAGCGGACCTGGCGAGTTGCCGAGGGCCCTCTCACCTACTACTCCACGTACTTTCAGGGCGCTCTCAGGCCAGGGCACTTCAAGGAAGGCGAAGAGCGGAAGATCCACTTGACTCACGACGATCCGGACGTCTTCCAACTCTTCTTCTACTGGCTCTTCACGCATCAACTATGGGACAAGAGCCTGAGTCCCGGGAGCGTCCCCCTGGATTGGGATCTGCTCTGTAGAATTTACGTCTTCGGCGATGCACGCGGTATACCAGCGCTTCGGAACACCGCCATTGATGCCCTTATGGACAAAATTGGCGTCGAATGGGAGGTACTGCTCTCAACCCAAAGCCACTACATCTACAAAAATACGCTGGAGGGCTCTTTGCTGAGGAAGCTGGCCGTCGATCAGGTCATCAAGACACGCAATGTGAAGGTCCTTCTCAAAGTTCCGTGCCACTGGGAATTCTCGACTGAGGTGGCCGTGGAGATGCAACGCGTCACCGGAAACCGCAAGATTATTGGCCAGGACGACTGGAAACTCATCAACAAGTGTGAGTACCACGACCACACCGAGGTCACGTCGATGAAGGGGTAGGTACGCCGTCGCCTGTATACGGAAGCGCTGGAGACTGTTGAATCAGCTTGAGTTCTGCGAATGATTGTTTCTGTGGTGTAGTCGTCGTAGCTGTCACGCAAGCATCTTCGGAGCTTCTTACTCAGCTATTGATCTTGCTGTCAAACATCTATGGAGGGTTTGCGTAGAGTCTCTGTTTGCTTTGGAGATGGCGTGGGCTATTTCTTCATATCTTGATTGACTTCGAAAGTCGTTTACAGGCTGCAGTTTGTCGACGAATCAGACCGCTTTCTTGTCAATCACAACAGAGCACTATACAGTGCCTGGGGAACTAGGCAAAGTGCCAACGTTGGAGGATCATGTACTTAATCGTTCAGCAGCGGTAAGCTCACAGTCCACAATTCCTCGTTCAGTCGCGCTGCTTTCGTGATCACGCGTTGCAAATGGTGTCATCCACCAAAGACAGCGATTTACCTCTATCAGCGGTGCAGTGAAGTCATTTGGTCCGGCAGTCTTTCGCATAAAACCGCAAGAGTCGATATCTCCCTTACTACCCGCATTGATTAATTCTTGCAGATTGTCCCAACTCTGTCTCATATGACGTAGTTCGACCGTTCACTGTGCTAGGGTTCAGTTGTGCGAAAACCAAAGGTTGTCTTGAGGACACATTGCCATACCTTTGCTCCGCAGTTACATGATGCCGAGTCGAGACTGAGCTGGGCTCGTGACTATAGCAAAGGGTGAGACCAATTAACTGCGATCAGAGTAACAGGATGTCCGGCAGGGTAACGCTCTTCCTGCATTGGTCACCCGAAGATATCCTTAAGCTACACCCGCGTCGAAGTAAGCAGCACCAGGTCGAAAACCTCGAATTAGGTTTGGTAGCGAGCGGGTAGCGCGGCACTCAAGAAGAGCCCAACTTCTACAAGAAGCTCAATCAACCTCTGCAGACTCAGTCATTCACATACCAGATGACCACCGCTGCGGTAACGATCACCGCTGCGGCCAAACGCGGCTCGAATCTGCAACATTCAAACTGTCCTGGCTCACCTTTTCCGCCATGGTAAGCAAAGGCATGGTTTAATCTAGGGCAGCTCCTGATGCTGACATCTTATCAGTTCAGCGTATGATTTCGACTCGCTTGTACGCATCGAGGTTGGCAGTGGCAATGATGCGAAGGAGTTCTGTGCTCACCAGGGCGTCCTAACCTACAGCTCCTCGTACTTCGAGGCCGTTCTCAATGGGAAGCTCAAGGAAAGCAATGAAGTGGAGATTTACTTACTTAACGACGATCCAAAGGTCTTTGAGGCTTACTATTACTGGCTCTATACGCGGCAGCTCTGGGATCCCAATACGGTTGCGAAAGCAGGCAGCGTCCCCTTAACCTTCAACTTGCTTTGCAGGATCTTCGTCTCTGGAGATGCACGCGGTATCCCCGGACTCAGAAATGCCGCCATTGATGCCCTTCTATACAAGAGTGGCGAGGAGTGGGTAATGCCTACTACGTCGCTCAGGTACATGTACGAGAATACACCGGAAGATTCTATGCTTCGCAAGCTAGCCGTGGACATGGTGATGAAGACATTCGACGTGAGAAAGCTGGGTCCTGGTTGCCATTCGGAGCTCTTGATGGATCTCGTGGTGGCTCATCAAGATTCTGGCAAAGTCTACAAGTCTATCTCCCAGGCGGAATGGCGAAAGATCAACAAATGCGACTACCATGACCACGCTCCGGCCGCCCCATACTCTCCGTCTCCTCCACCGTCGCAAACTTCTGTCAGGCGGACCTGCCCGGCACCGCTACGCAAGTTTCGATGGAAACGTCGCAGCGGGCCTGAAGTTGCGCCCAAGACTGGATGAAGTTTTGTCAATGATCCCTTCGCGGTTTTTGGTCTCTAATCATCAATACCGTCCAGCTTCTCGGCATCTGGAACTTTCAGTTTTCGAACGCGGCTTGAATTGAACGGAGCCTTCCGCATTTGAATGGAAACTCATCGAGGGGGAATCAGGCTCTATACTTGGGGTGTAACACTATCCAGCAATATATCGGGCCTCGGTTGGATGGAGGGCTATCCATAGAATGTCTTACACTTAGATAACCAAATGCAACAAATGTGCAGTCCATCAGCCTTTGGACGGCTATCCATCTCTGACTGGGGTGAGCACCGCACGGTCACGTGATGACACACGCGGGCATGCCATCTCTCGTCACCAACATCACTTCATCAAAGTTCTCGTGATAAGCCTCCATACCACTACATTGGGTTTCAAATTGAACTGATTCTCATGCTATGCTTGCTGAAAGCACTATTCCCATCGTCCGCATGCTTGAGCCTCATGCCATAGTTTGCGTAAAGACACTGCCCTCTCAACCGACAGCTTTTCTACTGCTGCAGAAACTTGTGCTCCTATATCAACCCATGCGCGCGGCACATCTTAACAGGAGCTGTGAACAAGGATTGTTGCGGAGAAACATGCCTAGATGAACTGCAATCGTTGTACAGTAACGTTCCAGCCTGCCCTTACCTGTTGACCGAAGATATAAATGGATAGAACAACTCGGCCACAAAGCTGCTTGTGTCGATGTCTCAAAGCCCAACCGTGTCAAGTCCTCTGTATCTTGCAGTGGTAGTTTTGACTCCAGCACTCCGACTCTGATACACCACATCCAGCTTCTATTGAACTTTAATATCTCCGAGCCCTAGCACGTCAATGATTCCACGTCTCTCTGACCCTGTGGGATCTAAAGGCTTGAGTGGAAGCGCATAGTGACGCCGCGTAGCGCACACGGTCCCAAGTCCACCTCAGTCGCGATTTCTTTGCAATCACGCGCTCGTACCTGGTTTTTCCCTGGAGACGGTGATTCACGACAGGTCACTGCAATCCCTGACGCGGGAGATCTTATTCGCTTCACGCTGAATTTGATAGCCAATATTTCTAGACGCCACCGAGCTTGAGGTACTCAGCCACTGGAGCATAGGCTACGATTATTGATACTTCTTTCCCTTTCGCTAACGGCGTCAATACCGTTCCCAAGTGCCAAGATCCATGATTCACTTCAGTAGCATTTATAACTACTCAGATCTTCAAGCTGTCACTACGCCATCTACCACCTCCGAACGACACAGCTTCATCAGCCCTCCGCTAGGCGGCTACGAATACCGTTGTCGCTAAGCATGGCTACGGCCCCTTCACCAAGCTGCCCACGGAACGCTGCACCGGCTCCATCCGCGTACGTGCTGCAATGTAGTCCTCACATGTGAGCTACTAACACAGAACAGTCCATTGTACGACACCATGGTCACCATCAAGGTCGGCAGACAGAAGCAAGCATTCTTCGCGCACAAAGGGCTTATCTGTAACTACTCGACGTACTTTAAGGCGGCCTTTCACGGACAGTTTCGAGAAGCTACGGCTGGAGCGGTCGAGCTGGATAATGATGACGTCGAGGTTTTTAAGACTTTCTTTGGGTGGATGTACACCGGCAAGCTCTTTGAGCCTTCATCTGAACCTGGCAAAGTCCCCTTGACAGCGAATTTGCTTGCAAAGATCTATGTTTTCGGAGATGCCCGTGGCATACCCGATCTAAAGAACGCAGCCATCGACGCTTTCGTCGACAAAATCATCGATGACTGGAACAACGTGCCTGCAAGCACCATCCCATATATCTACGACAATACTCCAGAAGACTCGAAACTCCGGAAACTGCTGGTTGATATGGTTGCTTGCTCAAACTACAAAATAGAGTGCCTTCAGCAATCTAACTGCAGGGCACACTATACGATAGATTACCTACGAGACCTTAGCATCAGGCTTCACAGCTTTCCTGCGACACGTCCAAGGAGGGGTAGGAACTCGTGGCGCGACATAGACCGCTGCCAATACCATGATCATCCGGATGTCGCTGGAGCCTCGAATGCAACGTGAGTCTCGATTCCCTTTCACTATCGTCTCTTGTGTCAAGGCCTTACAGTTTTCCAGTTAGCACCTTATCTGCTCTACTATCGGTCAAGTCCGGGCAGTTTGAGATATCGACAGGGATATCTGTGGGGACAGAGCGTTGTTCGTTCACGTATTCCACAAGGCGCTTGAGTTAGGACGCAGAGCTGTAGTGGAGTAGTTCATCACCCTCGAGAGGCATGGAGCAACCACGTCGGGCATGGGAACAACACCGAGCGCAGCCATGGAATATTCGAGTCTGTTGCGGATCTCTACAGACTCATCACTCAACTGCTTGGACCCTCAATCAGTATCTTGATCCCCTTCCCGGCCTTGACATCTCTAAAAGCTTGCTCCGCCTCCTCAAACTTGACCCTCCCCGTAATCAACTCCTTGACATCAATCTTCCCGCTACTTACTAAATCAACCGCCAGCTTATAATCGCCGCTACTGTACCTAAAACTCCCCTTGACATTCAGCTCCTTCGTGCACATCGCAACAATCGGCCACGTAATCTCCGGCTTCCCCATGCCTCCCTGCACATAGGTGCCCCCAACCCTCAGCGCATGCACCGCCGTCTGAATACACACCTCTGCCCCACTCGCATCAATGATGACATCCGCACCATCTCCCAAATCGCACTCCTTGATCAACCTAGCCGCGCTCTCCTCAACGCTCTCCTTCTGCGACCGAAACGCCGCCGTAGCAGCAAACTTCTGCGCAAACGCCAGCCTCTCCTCATTGATATCGACCGTGACGATCTTGCTGGCCCCAAACGCCTTGGCCACCGCACAACACAGCAGCCCGACAGGCCCAGCGCCGAACACGACAACACTATCCCCCGGCTTCACGCCCCCCTGCTTGACGATATGCACCGCGACCGCGAGCGGCTCGACCAGCGCGCCCTCCTCCAGGCTCATTCCCTCGGGGAGCTTGTAGCAGAAGTCCTCGGGGAGGCAGTAGTAGCGCGCCAGCGTGCCGTCGTAGGGCGGGGTCGCCGCGAAGGCCATGTCGGCGCACAGGTTGTAGTGGCCTTCTTTGCAGCGGGTGCAGCGGCGGCACGGCACGCCGGGCTCCATGGCCACGTGGTCGCCGGGGGAAAGCGAGACGGCGCTGCCGACGCTGTGGATTATGCCGCTCGATTCGTGGCCGAGGACCATTGGGGCGCGGACGACGAATTGGCCGATTGCGCCGGTGGTCCAGTAGTGGACCTGTGGGGATTAGCTGGGGGACATTTGAGAGCGCGGAGGAGAGAGGCGGCTTGAGGGAATGCTTTGGATCAAGGCTTTGGCGATAGTGTTTCTGCTCTGCGGGGTGGGAAGTATGGGAGAGTGGTACGTACATCGCTACCGCATATCCCCGTGTATTTGACCTCGACGATGACATCGTGCGGCGATTTCACTTCGGGAACAGGTCTGTCCTCGAACTTGACCTGGCCTGCCTTCTCCAGCACGAAAGATGGGTTCTGTTTTGCGTTCTGTTAGCCATTGTTTTGAGATCTGTGACGGCGATGCTCCGTGGTGGGGCATGGCGGGGTAGGCGCGTAGGGGACTCTGAGGGCGATACTTACATTGTCAGGCATTGTGTCTGAACGGGTTGCAATATTGATCGAATGGAAGGTTGGATGTTCGTAATACGGTCCGAAGGGTCAATTGCAACACCTGAATTGATGGCGGAGGGGAAGTGGAGGATGGTATGTCCATCTGCGGTTGACGCTTGCATGTCGGTTTTGAAGTGACGAAAGCCATGCAGCGCGGCCCGGATCCCTATGTGCAACGCCCGGCTAAAATGGGGTGGCCGCATCCTAAATGCACAGGTGCGGCCGCCTCCATTTTAGCCGGGCCTGGGTGGGACTGCCGATCTATGCAGAGAATCCATCTTCAACCTTGTGTTCTGCGGAAAGCTGATCGTCTATTTAGCCAGTGCTGTCTATGTCTAACTCTATCTGTTTGTGACATCTCAACACCAGTATACGCTCAGGAAACGCTAGGACAAGGAGCCAGAGAAGGGAGCCTGCCATAATCGCCATCATTGCCAGCCCCAGATCGACCACCAGCAGTTGACCTTCTGCTGCCCACTCCGGCCGCTGTTGTTCCAGCCCCAGTCATCATAGCCCACCTCCTCGCTCTGGTCTAGTATGTGCAAGCCAATGTCCTGCATCCGCTCCTTGAAGTCTTTGATCTCGGGTGAGTACGCTTCTCGTAACGGTAGTTCCACAATCACCCGGGCGTCTGCCGACTGCCGCAGCCATCTCTTGATTGTCTGAACGAACAGCCGGGGGTGCTCTGGTGAGTAGAGCGAGTCCGCAGCCAGGATTATGGGAAACCCAGCAGAGCTGCTGTTTGCGTCGAATGGCGACGACCCGAGAGTGAATGGTGAGATCTCGTCGGACATCGACCAATCGAGTACCGCAGCAGACGCTGAGCCACCACCTGCTTGGATGGTCGCTTGGTTGGCGTCGATATTGCGAGACAGATTCGGCACGATCTCTGGCAAGTCCGTCAATGTGACAGACGCGCCCCAGACTGCTGCCGCCGCAATGCCGACTAAACCAGTGCCGGATCCAAGCTCGAGGACTGGAAAATCCGGAGTTAGTCCACTCGGAGTTGGAATTGTGTGAAGTCTCTTGGCAAGCATATACGACGATGCCCAAGTCTTCAGCCCCAGGTTATCCGCCGTGAGCGTTGGCTCATGGATAGTGATTTTGACGTCCCTCTCCGCCGTAGGGACCCGGAAGGACCGCGACATCGCAGGCATGGCATTGCGGCCTGACCTCTCGCTCAACCGGAGGCTGACTTGCTCCCAGATCTCTTCCTTTGTGGCATCGTCGTCGATCCATTGTAGGTCGCTGCCGATAATGTTGGTGAGGTATCTGGTCAAGCCGGCTTCATCCACTCGAGCGGGTGGAGGTCTGAAGGCATTGGATCGCCGGCGGCGCTTGGCGAGCGCATTGGCGGAGGCGTCGGCTTCTTCGGTGTCGCCGGCGTCCCATGATGGGGGTTGCGACGTAAGTAGGGATAGGGTGTCCAAGAGAACTTGGGGCGCGGGCTTGGTGTGGATTTGAGGTAAATCAAAGACTGCACAACGTATCAGACGAAGCTGTAAACGGCATTGGGGGCGTTGGGCGAGTACTCACCGTGGATGGGGGCGTCGTCGTGGTCTTCGAACGATGTTGATGGCATGTTGAAAGTTCAGAAGGAGTTGCAGATGCGGAAACCGCCCGCGAGGCCAAGCCTCAAGCCTGTCACGGTTATCAAAATAGCTATGTAGCTTACCAGCTCGATTACGGCTTCCCACCGTAATACTACCTGACATTTAGCGCGTCAAGTGAAGTCACAGATAGCACCAACTCATGCGGTTTTCCGCAAAGCTTCGCAGCAGGACAAGGGTTATGGCCAAAAACTGACAGTAGCTCTTAATATCAGAGCACAAAACTCGGTTCATCGTGCCTTCCAACAGCATCCCTAATCTTTACTAGTCTCCTGACCCGCCTCCCGTGCAAGCAGCCCCTTGAATGCTCTGTAAACCTGCTCTATATCAAACCGCAGTTCCCGCGCCCTGTTCTCATCCAGCTTGTCCGCCACACCCATCTGGTTCAGCACGATGAGCCATTGCACAATCTTCCCTTTACCCTCAAAATCCACGTCGGTGACCTGATTTACTGCTTGAATAACCTCGACGAGGAGCGGATGTAACGTGTCTTTCTCCAGTAAACCGATCTTGATCGCGTCGAGCAAGGTAATGAAGTTTTCTGTTGCGGACATGACCAGTTCAGGTGCGGCCTTGCCAGTCGCCTGGCCTGACGCCTGCTGCCGTGAGCCTTGAACGGTCGCCGGTATGCCGATACGCAACCGCGCCGTGGCGAGGGGAACATTGACCTGCTGCACGTCAATCATATCTTCAATAAACATACGGCCCTGGAGAACCTTAGTACATCAAAGTCCCTCTTGAAGCTCTCCAAATCTCCAAAGGCCCTTTTAGTCGCCTCGTCCGAAAGGTACGCCTTATACTGCTTCATCAACCGGCTGCAGGTGTCCGCATAGGCAGACTCAGATATCGAGTCTTTGAGAAACGCCCGTTCTATCTTATCCAGTGTCACAAGGATGCCGTAGATGTCGGCCAATGTCTCGTGCATCTCCGTCTCGGCTTCGAGTGAGGAAAACGTGACTTCTTCATCGAGGTTGATATTGGCTGAGAGACGGGACGTTGGAACGGCCCAGCCGTAGGGGGCTGGTGCGTATGCGGAAGTCATTGTCTGTGAAAAGTGTCCTAGGTAAACGTTAGAATAGATGAAGTACTCTCGTAGCTTTATGTAATGCCCGTGGCTGGTGAATCAAGAAGAGATAATATTTGAATGTAGCTGGCCCTAGCCTATACTTCGTATGCAGCGCTAAGACTTCCAAATTTGCGTCCCATTGTGTTCTTTTGCGGCAGCTCTGACGGTTGGAATATATAGTTCTCCCTTACGCACGTCTCCGTATCTGCCAGCATTCGCAGCTAAAGTTATAGATATGCTAAATATCTTCAAAGTTCTTGACGGATTGCCGAGATTGTCCTTACCTACCTAATGCGGGAAAAGAATGTTCTCAACTATGTTGCTGGATCTCACGCCAAGTTCATTGGTAGTTCTCTCCCTTCAAGCAGTAGGCTGTTGACAGCTATAGCTGAATATCGGTGGCCAGGAGATTTGTTCGATGCCTGGGTGAGTGGTGGCTCTCAACGAACAAAAAGACCACTAGATATGAGTAGCGATCCAGTTATCAGAATTATCATAGTTACGGGCACAGTAAAATGGGTGATACGGGTCCTGTCTGCACCAAGTTTTTGAGTAGATATTACCAAAGGTCTGGCTACAGAAAGGTGTGGTTGAAAGATGCCGCGGTGGACAGGACCTGAATCACAACCAGGCCGCAAGGCACCAAACCTGAATCGCTCAGCATCTGATCTGGTTGCAACACCAGAGACCAAGCGTAAACACAGCACAACAAATGCGCACAATGGACTCCACCAACCTCAAAACCGCCTCGAGCTACCTCAACAACCTCCTCCTCGCGCGTGGTCTCCTCCGCGATGGCAACACGATTCCCTTCCACCGGCCCTCCAAAGCCTCCGGCGGCGCCGAGGCAACACTGGCGCAAATCATCAACCTCGTGCACGACCTGATCCTACGGCGCGATGTACGCCCAGAACCTCTCCAATAGGCATAACCCCCATACTGACCGCTTCCGCAACCAGCGCGACCTCGAACTCACAACAACCCACACCTCCACGATCCACACCCTTCGCGTCGAAGCCGCCCGCAGCGCCACGACCCTCACCCGCCTCCAAACCCGCACTGACGACCTCGCGCGCCAGCTCTCTATAGCGCAGTCCCAGGAGCGCGCCGCCCGCGCCGCTGCCCGTACCGCCGAAGCTTCCGCCCGCGCCCTCCGCGACGAGATGGCGCGACTAAAAGCCAGCGTAGCCCAGATCCGCACCGCGTGCGCGAACGATGTGCGTAAGCGCGACGTGCAGATCCAGCGGCTGAAGGGGCACCTCACGATGCAGCAGCGAGGGAACAGGGCTGGGTTGGTCGGGGCGAGCATTACGATCACGCCGGGGGTGACAGGGATGGGGGCTGGGAGTGGGAGGGAAGAGGAGGCGGGGAAAGCGTCAGTCGGGACGGAGGATCCGGCGTATAGTCTCCGCCAGGAGACGACGGAGTTTTTGACGCAGTTGGGGCAGAGTCTGAGTGATGAGAATGATGCGTTGATTGGGTTGGTCAGGGGGGCGGTGGTTACGCTTAAGGAGCTGCAAGGGATACCGGAGGCGGGGACGAGAGAGCAGACGGTGGAGAGTACAGCTGGAGCGGATGGGATAAACGGAGGTGGTGAGATGCTGTGCGCGCTGCCGACGTCCTACGATGCGCTGGCGGCGGATTTGGGTGGTGTTTTGGAAAACCTGAAGATGTTGCTCACGAATCCAAATTTTGTGCCTTTGGATGAGGTGGCGGTCAGGGAAGAGGAGATTGCGAGATTGAGGCATGGCTGGGAGAAGATGGAGGCAAGGTGGAAGGAAGCGGTTGGCATGATGCAGAGCTGGCAGGAGAGGATGAGGAGTGGAGGCGACACTGTCACTCTTCATGATCTCAACCTGGGCCTGGGGCTGGATGAAGAGCCGAAGTCTGCGAGCGCCGTGCAGGGTGAGGTAGAAGAGGTGAGTGCCAGCAAAACCTTGAGCCTTCTTATTGTCACTACAGTGGGCTTAAGCGCGGCATACACTGAGAGAATGCTAATGGCAGCAAGGTCTCGAGGGACGAATTGCCCGACTCAGCCGATGCCGAAGAAGCAGACATGGACGGTGAAGAGATGGAGGAGGCAGACGATGACGCGCTGTCCGGGCACGAAGATGCCGCTGAGACCAACGTCGAATTGCAAGCAGACGAGACACTGCCGCCGGATGACCAACGAGCGGACAAGAACCATGATGATGATGACATGTTCAACCTCCACCTACCTCCAGAACCCCAACCACTTCAAGAGGGCAGCGGCAACACCAGATCCCCACGCAAAGTCGCATTCGCGCCATCGCACCCAAACACGCCCCTCCAACACGCCGACGAGAACGCCTCATCACATGACCTACCATCCACAGGCCTAAAGCCGCCCCCAAGCGCAGAGCCCCAGTCCACCAGGAGCGCAGACAGATCCTCGCGATCACAATCCTCAAGAAAAGTACGTCTCACGGGCATGGACATCATCCTGTCCCCCTCCGACATCTCTATATATATTGACCCGCTACAGGCACTCAAACGGCTCTCGTCGCCGCACGCGCACGCAGAGGAGCGCTCGCCGAAGCTCACGGTGCAGGAGAAGCTCAACGTGGCGCAGGCTGAGGCTGAGGCGGCCGCTGCGGCTGCTTTGGCAAGCGTGCCTGAGAGGGAGATCGTGAGCGGGGAAAATGGAAGCGCGAGGGGTATGAGGTCGCCGAGGAAGACGAGGATTACGGGGAGGCCGAGACGGAGGAAGAGTACTCTGACGCCGGAGGAACTGGAGAATTTGCTTGTGGGGTCGCCGTGAGGGGGAGGAGGGGTGCAGAGTGGAGATTGTGTTGAATGTTTGGAAATCGCTTACTTCGTTTGGGTGCCTTACGTGGCCTCTGTTTCGACTAGACCTTGATTATGGACTCGTTCTCCGCGCTCCGATCTTCCTGGCCCACACGATAGCATTTCTTCGAGGTCACGAGAAACGCTTACCATGGGCCAATGATGAACAACCGTGAATGATAACATCGAGAGAATAAACGATTTCGTGAAGATTTCGGTAGCACTAAGCGCTGCTATGGTTGATCTAAGGCTTAGTAGGCCAAGCTTTGAAAAGAGGTCAGTGGCCTGATGCCAGAAGCGTCCAACGACCAAAGGCTATCCGAAAAGTCCGTTGCCGCATCTGCACTGGTAGCTTGTCCAACACCATATTCACGACTAAGATGGACTCGCAATCATGTCAAAGGTGAAACAGCAAGACCGACTTCGTACGATAGAGAGCATAAGACGTGCGACAGTGTCGGCGTTCAGCGCATGCTGCATAAACCGATGTGGCGGTGGTAACATGATGTTGAACTTGGCTTTTGCGGGTGGCTTGCGGCACCGGCACGGCCCTGTTTGCGAGGTCCATGGTTCAGCGCCTGGTGACGATGACTTTCATTACATGCGAGGATATAGCTCCAAACACACCTAAGCTTATTCATCATGAGAATCTTGAGCATGCACATAGCGGTGTAAGAAACTGAACCTTGGTGACGAAGACCACGAACCGTGGATGATGAAGCGCACTGAAACCGCACCCCACCTACTGTGTAGTAAGGTAGTCTTGCCTATGGCTATATAACCTTTCCAGGTCCCCAGCCGAGGCTCAACCCACATCTTTTGTATCTCACTTCTTACTATACTCTAGTCTATAGAAGTTTTAACTTTTATCAACACCTCACCTACCCTTCCAGCTACGATATTTCGAGATGGCGTTCTTCAACTTCTCCAAGAAGAACACGATGCCCGCCGCGGAGGACCCAATCCTGCTGCGGGAGCAAACTACGAGGGGATCGACGGCGCCTAGCGACGAGCAAGAAATGACGAAGACCAGCACCGTCCGCGTACTGAGCGAGTACGACGCGGACATCCGGCCGCAGACGGCCTTCGGCTTTTCGGAGTCGAAGAAATGGTTAATCCTCTGTGTTATCTTCGTGGTCCAAATCTCTATGAATTTTAATGCGAGCGTATACGGCATGGCTGTTGATGGAATGGTAGACGAGTACGGCATAACCCATCAAAAAGCACGTTGCGGACAGATGGTGTTCCTGATCGCTTACGCTTTTGGGTGCGAGCTATGGGCGCCCTGGTCAGAAGAGAAGGGCCGATGGATTGTCCTCCAGCTCAGTCTCTTCTTCGTCAACGTCTGGCAGATCCCAGCTGCCCTGTCTACGAACTTCGGCACAGTCATGATCGCAAGGTTCCTCGGTGGTCTTTCCTCGGCTGGTGGCTCCGTCACGCTAGGTATCGTGGCCGACATGTGGGAGCCTGAGAAGCAGCAGGGCGCTGTCAACTTTGTCGTCTTGGCTTCGGTTGCCGGTTCCGTGGTTGGTCCTGTCGTGGGTGGCTTCGTCGCCTACAATGCAGACTGGCGTTGGATCTTCTGGATCCAGCTGATCTTTGGAGGTAGGTCTTGACACGCCCGCATCTACCGTTCTTGCTAACTGGTGTACAGCCGTCACTCAAGCGTTGCATTTCTTCACGCCCGAGACCAGGACCTCCTTGATGTTGGAGAGAGTTGCCAAGACGATGCCGAACGCAACGGTACCCGATGAGGACAAGGGCTCCATGACCATCAAAGGTGTCGCTAAGATCTGGTGGCGGCCGTTCAAGATGTTACTCACCGAGCCGATCGTGGCTTTCCTCTCCCTCCTCAGCGGCTTCAGCGATGCGCTGATCTTTACCTTCTTCGAGTCGTTCGGTCTGGTGTTTGCTCAGTGGAACTTTAACAAGTGGCAGCTGGGTCTTGCTTTCACACCGTAAGTCATCCGTCCCTTCATGTGTCTTTCACAGAGTCTAGGTTTCAAGAACCGCTTGCCACACAGCCCTGTGTTGGTCATAGCTTGGAAACAATACCCAACGATCGAATTGCCAATGTCATCCCTCATTGAACCGATACGCTAGACTCCTTCAGCAGTTCGAGCGACCGACCTGCGGCACTGTCTGCCTCGGCATGATGGTGACTTGCCGGTTGGAATGCAACTGGGAATCAGCAAGTCGTCAACGCCATACCGGTATCCAGGTGCGACCAGGAAACTCGTGGCCGGTCTCGGCGCCCGAAGAGTGCCTTCGAACCGGCTATGAGTCTTGTGGATAGCCCGTAATGATACCGAGCGATGTTCGGCTGAGCGTTCTACAGAGGCCAAGGGCAGAAGCGAAGATTCGTGGCCACGCTGGCCCACCAAAAACAGCCGTCGCAGGGTGGCCACGAATCTTCGCTCTTGCCCTTGGTCAATCAGTCAACACACACCGCGAATTCTTCTCGCACCGAGGCGCAGTCGAAGATATCAAGCGACTCCGCCTGGCAATCTCGCACCAAAAACCAGGGGGAACCACTAAGCGGAGTCGCTTGACTTCTTTGACTGCGCCTCGTACCATCGCACTTAGGTATATAAGACTGACCGTGTGGTTTATTAGGCTCATCGTCGGTTACCTCATTGCCTACTTCGCGTTCATGCTCGGCTTCGCCCAGGACAAGAAGTACAAAGCCAAGCACGGCGCCGATTCGCTCAAGCCGGAGCATCGTCTCTGGTTGCTTCTCTTCCTTGCACCACTGGAGGCCATTGGTATGTTCTGGTTCGCAGGAGCAAGCCTTGGACCGCCGATGCACTGGATTGTTCCTCTTGTCGCCTCGATGCTTGTCGGTATCGCCAACGTACGTTGTCTATCCCAAGACCTTGCTGGACTGTGGTTTAGTACTGACTTTGGCTTAGTACGCCATCTACATGGCGACAGTCGATTACATGGTGGCCGCTTACGGACCCTACGCCTCTTCAGCCACCGGTGGTAACGGCTTCTGCCGTGACCTCCTCGCCGGTATCGCGATACTGTACGCCGTGCCCCTTTTTACAGAGGTGGGTGAAGGATCCGGCAAGGAGTTCCTCTGGGCGTCCCTCATTCTCGGCTTCTTGGCTATCTGCGTCATCGCTCCGATCTACGTATTTTACTTCAATGGCGAGAAAATCCGCGCGAACAGCAGGATGGCGAAGAAGTTGGAAAAGAAGAGAGAGGCGGGAGAAGCCAGGAGGGCAGGCGTAGTGGGGGCTGAGAGGACCGGCGTGGTGGAGGGAGGCAATTCGAGCAACGTCTAGGCGTTTCTGCTTTGGCCTGCTGCCCGGCTCGCCTTGACACATCCGCCTCGACATCTGGCCTCAACGTTGGTGGCCTGTATATTCTGGTCTTGGTTCTTGACACTTTGGCCGCGAGAGTTTGGGCTGGAGCTCCAGGCCCTTACGTCTTTGGCCTCGTCGTCTTGCCTTGGCAATCCTTTTTTCAGCGGGCTCACAGCGCTTAGTTTGGGAAACAACTTGTGGGATAATGTTTACTTTAAAAGTTTTTGTAAGCCTCTTCCAGGCAGTAGATGGCAGGGACGAGTATACCCATGTTCGAGCAAGGTCAGGTAGTCCGTAGCAATAGCAACCACTCAACTTGTCCAAATCATTATCTTACTCGGGCAGGACTTCAAGTGAACTCGATATCAGCAATATGTATTCATGCAGCGAACTGCTAACAGTGGCATCATAATAGCTGTCCGGGGAAACATAATGGACGACTCCAGAGCTGGTGTGAGGTACGAAGAAGCTCTTGACGCCACGTCCGAAACAGATAATTGTAGATTACTAAGCAGAGATCAGTACCTAGGTGTAGGTATCGAGTACGCTGGCAGGGACCTGTAGCCTGTGAAAGATGTTTGCGCTTTCGCACACAACACGAAGCGTTTCTGGACCATGGCTACATTGATCATTTCCCAATGGGATGGACTTCTCTCCCCCGTCGAACTCTTGCCATGATTTAGTCTCTTCGTGGCTTCTGGATAGTCGTGATATGGCTATGTAGTGTATCCGGCACCCGAGAGCCGCTGGAGCTCATCTTACAACTGTCTACTATGATCAAGTCCATTTTCTTCACCCGCTTTCATCCCGCGAAAGGTACCTAGGGCCATGACCGTCTCCAGTCCGGCAAACGAAGCTAACGCTTGTGCACCCAGGTTCACACGTCCTCCACCAAGTCCCCGAAGGCTCCGTCACGCCCTCCCCCTCCCTCACTGCTCGAGCTCCCCTCTTCGACTTCTCCAGCGTTTCTGACTGTATCATCCCGCGGCAAGAGTTCTGTGACCGGCTCGTAACGGTCTGCGTGAATCACTGTCGCATCATCGGTTACCCCATCTGCATCAGCAACTACGAGGGCAAGTACAACCGCAACCAATTCATCTTCAATTTCGCGCTTGTACTGGATGAGGATGCAGAATGGGGTCCCTACGCAGGCGTTGTCAGGAAGCTGGCTAGGATCTTGAAGAGCTTGGAGGAGCAGGCGGGCTTTCTAAGCCGTGAGGAAGACCTGGCGGTTGACAACAGCCCGGGAAGCGTGTTGAGGGCTGATAGGGTTGGGTCAGATGCGAGCTCTGGCACGGTGGAGCTTAATGGCGATGTTTCAGAGCTCCTACTTGATAGCTCTGTGCCGCCGACGCCAGCAATGGCCGCGGTCAGCAGTCCTGGGAGATCTTCGAGCTCAATGAAAACCATTGAGAAGCCAGCGGGCGTCACGGGAGGAAAAGTCTACGCTCTTTGCGAGATGATTCTGGAAGACCTGAATGCTTACTGCGAGTGTATGATACCAGTTGGTACGACTCTCCTTACATCCAGTCCGTGCCACAAAGCAATCACAACACAACTAGCTGACTGTATCTAGACGATTACAACACAGTCAACCTCAAGCTCTTCCCGCTGCATCCACCCCCAGCACCAGTTTACGCATGGCACGTCCCTCTTCTGACCATTGACCTTTCCTCATTCAACACACTCTCCGATCCACACCACAGTAATTTCTCAGAGACCTCAAAGAACAGCCTCTCGTCCGACCTGACCCTAACACGAATCCTACCCTGGATAAACGGCATCCGCTCCGTAGCACACATAGCAATACTAGCGGACGTGGCGCTCGATCTCGCAAAGAAGGCTATTCAGCACTTGCTGCTCTACGGATGTGTGATCCTGCTCGACATTTTCCAATTTAGCGCCAGCTATGCGTGCACGCCAGCCATTGGCGCATTGGTCGAGAATGAGGACGGCGTGCTCGATGAGTGCGCGCGGTACGTGTACATACCATGGCTGATGGAAAGGCAAACGCATGCCAATAATGGAACTCAAACCCATCAGGCCATCGACAGGGAGGAGACTCCCAAGAATCAGGTAGTAAGGGAGGCAGTGGATCATGAGTTGCGGAAAGAAACGCTCACACGACTCTACATCAACCTCCGCCAGGGCGTCCCGCTCAGAGAATGGGTCGCAGCAAACCGCAAAGAACTCCAGATCATCGACGTCCGTCGTCTCATCACGTTTGGTGTGATCAAGGGCTTCCTGTACCGCGTACACAAGTACGCGTTGGCCGCTGTGCCAAATCACTCAGGCGAAAGCGCACCGACTGGCTACGAGACTTCCGGAAGAGGAGGCGGTAACGGTCCTGCGTGGGGGGATGTGCGGGAGAACTTGCCACTTGCTCGATATCTGGATGGCTTGCATTGTTTCGATGAGATATGCACAGAGCTGGCCATGCCGGAGAAGGACGTGCTGGGGAAGATGAGGAGGGCTTATGGGAATGTTCAGATTATCCAGCGATGACCTATTGAGTCAATAGATAGGCTAGGTATCCTTGAACCTAGTGACTAGCCACCACCGTGTGCTGCAGGCTCAGGAGCTCTTGCCCGATTTGATGGTCGAAAAAGACCTGCGTCTCTGACCCTGACGGCCATTTGCTGTCCCTCCAATTCACTTCGAAGTTATAGACATGAGGTTGTCAGCGGAGACGCAGCTTCTTGTGCTTGTGTTCCAACAGGTAAGGTAAGAATGCATGAATGCCCATCGGAGAAGAGGGGTATTAATGGCCAAGCTCATCTCATCGCCTCACCGCCCCAATCCCAGGCCTCTAATCCACCTCGCCTCATGTGCCTGCCTCTCCAGCGCCCTCCTCATCATCCTCCCATACGCCCTCTCCTCCCTCCCCTTCACCTCCTCCCTCTCCCTCTCCGCCGCCTCCTCAAACTCCTCACCCCGCCACAACGGCTCATGCCCAAACCCCACAACGCCCACCCTTCCATCCCCCGTCCAGATAAGCAAGTTATCCTCACCCAGTCTCCGGCTCTCCGTTTGCGCATTGACAACCCTGGTCGGTACGATCTTCTGCACGATATCGCCCTCGCCCCTCCCCAGGCTGGGCGAGAAAAACAAACTCCCAATATCTTCCCTAGGCTCAGCCGGCGCGTCGGGATTGACACTCCAGCGCCGCACAGGCGTGAAGCCGTCCCGCTCAACCCACTTCAGGTTCCCGTCCCCGTCCGCATACACGATGCGCGTGCCGTGCGGAGCGGCGGCCAGCAGCTTCGAGGCGCTGGCCGTCTGCCTATTCCTGAACGCATTGCCCGCGTTCCTTTGTGCGGTGACCGAGTCGGTGGATAAGGTCGTGTGTGCAGCGGAGGGCGAGAGGCCGTACAGCTCCAGCGAGCCCTTGCCCTTGTACTCCCCCGCCGCGATGAGCGTGGTGCCCGGGATGGCTTTCGCGGCGCGCACGTCTGCGAGCGAGAGGCTGAGGTCGCGCATCAGGTCCTTTTCGCGCGGGATGAAAGGGAAGGGGAGGGAGGTTAGACACGAGAGACGCGCGCCGGAGTGGATAGTGCCGCGCAGCCGGGGGAAGAAGCGGCGGTCGTAGTTCAGCAGGCTGGTGAAGCGCCCCGCGACCCAGATCGAGCCGTTGCCGTCCCATTCACGGGAGGGCATGTGAAGGATGGAGAGGGGACCAGGTTGGGAGAGAACGGCGTGCGAGGGGCCGAGGTCGCCGGTTAGGAGGCGGTGGAAGTCGTTTCTGGGGGCGTTGAGGAGCTCGCAGCGTACGGGGGGGTCGTAGCCGACGTGTGTTTGACGCTTGCGGGGATCGTGGAGGTGCAGGGTCATGTTTGTGCCGATGGTCAGGGGAGTCGGGTGTTTTGCTTCGGATAAGGCTGTGATCGGGAATGGGTACTCTTGTCGAGATACTAGCTGTAGAGTGTAGAGGTCGACTTCGTTCAGTATGTTCCGGACGGCAAAGAATCCTTTCTTCTGTCGACCGTCGATGCTGACACATTCTACCGCGCCTGTCTCTGTCATGATTGCTCTACTCTCTGCGAGGGACAGGCCTTGGGTTGGGTCTGAGGTTTTGGACGTGAGGAGGCCTTTTGCACTGCGATCAATCATCGCCCCTCTCTTTCCCACTGACCCAGCCTTATCCCGTGGAGAAACATCCCATATGCCAATGCTCCCGTCGTCAAGTGGCGCCACAACCTTATCTACCATGTCTCCGGCATCGTCGTATAGTATCCCTATGCCGGTAGCCTCAGGCGGCACCTCGTCCTCGCCAGGACCGTTCCTCGCGGGTTGAAGCCAGCTCAGGCTGATTGGCGCATGACGGTGTACGAAGTCCTCGTAAAAGTTTGTCTTTTCGCTCGGGTGTGACGGGTCCCAGTTGGCCATTGCCCGCATCTTCTCCCTCGCAGCCAGTCTATGCGCCTGCATCTCTGCACTCGGCGCAGAAGGATCGTGTACGGCTAGTGGACCTCCGGGCAAGGAGCCCATCGCCTGCACAAGGGCGGCTAGATTCTGGTCCAGGGATGCCATGAACTGCTGCGCGCGGCGCCGCTGGCCGGCTCGGGAGTGCTCGAAACATATCGTCTTCCAGAGACTGTCGTCGCGGTAGAGGGAGTAAAAGCGGCGGCATACGGACTGTAGTTTGACGATATCTAGGGGTTCAAGGACTGCACAGCTGTCAGTCCTTTCTCTGGTTCATGTGCCGGATACGTATGGTACCCACACGTTGCGATATGGAGGATTATTTCGGCCGGTAAGCCGTCTAATAGTAGGAAATTATCGCGTACCATGATGACCACTCTATCTGAGCTCACAACTGCGCAGGGGAAGAGAGTACAGGGAGAGGTGTCGGTAAGTAATGCTCTGTTTGCGCCAGCTCGGGGACAAGGAACGCGGAGTTGAGCTCCGCGGGGTCCTTTCACCGGCAGCGGCCCCCAACCACGAGCAGCATGGCAGGCACTCACGTGGTAATTAGGGGCTTCACTCTAGCATGGGAAAACACGACAAGACCGCTGGGAAGGCGTGTTCGTAATATCATTATGTCTAATGAGAGTATCTACTTTTTGTACCATGTACAGCGCCGTCAACACCTACAAACGGCTCGCAGACATCCACAGCCACCTATTAAATTTAACAGAACTCCCGCTTGAACGCAAAACAAGACCAAACGAATCAAATCAAACCATAACAAAGTCAAGGAGTAATGGGACCGCTATCGGATTGACCGTCAGAGTCCTGCTCATGAGCGAGCGTCATGTAGCTTAACCCACTCTTCCTCTTCGTTTTCCCACTCATCACGCTCAACCGTCCGTCAGCGGTCGGCATAGGAACCTGCAAGTACTGACTCCTAGCCACCGGGTTCGGTTTCTTGACAGATGAACCGGAACTCCCCGCAAACGAAGAGCCCGCCGAACCAGTCGCCTCGACATCCGTATCGAAGCTGGGAGTAGTGCTGGACTCTCCGCCGAGCAGGCCACGCGCGGCCATCGGCTCCTCCCAGACACTGCTGAAGGATGATTGCATAGAGCTGTGCTTCCACCACTGTGGCCGCGGGTGTGCCATCTTCTCGAGCTGTTCGTCCACGATTCCGGTAGTATCGCCAGTCGCCATCTCGATTGTGCTGAGCTTCCGCGTCTGTCGGGGCCGCAGACCAAGCATCTCGTTACGGGCCTTGCCGACCCAGAGCATCTGCTCGTGTTCGCGGAGGTATCGCTCACCACTGAAAGAGCGCTGTACGATATCGCGAGCCATCATTCCCAGCTTGCGTCTCTGAGGCGTCTTCTCGTACATGCGCTTCGTGATCCTCTTCACGTCCTCGCGAGTTGGGTTGACTGGTAGAACTGGTACTGGCTGGCCAGGTTCGTCTTCGGCATAGGGAGCCCACTCGTCAAGCATGGCTAAGAGGTTGATTTGCGCGCGTGCGAGAGCTACAGCATCGTTTGGTGCCACGATGGCGCTGTATCGCTCGTTTGTTTTAGGATCCGTCAAGACGCGCAGGGAAGCGCCAACATCTGTCGCCACTACCGGGGCACCGGTCAAGGCTGCTTCGCCGAGAGCGAGAGGAAGGCCTTCGGAGACAGAAGAGTTGAGGAACAGCCATGTGTTGGACAGCACGACTCCCGGATCCGCGGTACCGCACAAGGAGACGTTGCTCTGCAACGCTTTCGTGGCGATGACCTCTGTGCATTCTGATGAGTAGATTGGAGCCTTGTTTAGGGCACCGTAGATGTCCAGTTGATACTCATCGAATCCCCATTTGTTGAGAATTACATCGGCGGCAAGTAGAGCCGTCTTAATGTCTTTAGCAAACCAGACGTGGGAGAGCATAGTAACCGTCGGCTTCTTCGTCTTGATCTCCGTGACAGGCGAGAACTTCTTCAGGTCCGCTGGAGGGATGCCGTTGACGACAGGATCTACCTTCCGCCTGAAGGTGTTTCGGTGCGTGATCGCGCCTTGAGAAGTACCCACTTCAACTTCCCACCCGGGATTGAACTGGTCAGCACAGGGAAGTATTTGATCCGCATGGTGCAAAGTGAGCATGGAGGTGAGGCGCATCAGCCCAAGAAGGGCGTTTCGGGTGAAAGAGGGTAGAGTGCAAAGCGCAGAGGAGAGGTAGAGATTTGTCTCACGCCAACTGATGGCATGGTCCCATATCTGCAGGGTGCAGTTGCGCTTGATCTTGCAGACGATACCGTAAGACGCGGAAGGGCTGTGGTGACTAGCCTGGAAGACTGCTGGTATTTCTTCCGGTATGGGTATAGAAAAGATGAAGAGATAGCGGAACCACAGATCCAAGGATGTCTCGAGATCGCTGAGTGTCGGACAATACGTTTCCAACCAGTCGGAGATGGGAGTAGCATTTGGCATGTCGTCGATCCACAGATGGCGCCATGTATCCTTAACGATGTCGCTTGTCCAGACCTCTTTCCAGTGTCTCGAATCCTGGAAATAGGTGTTGAGATTGACTAGTGCTCGGGTCGCTTGTTTCACATCGGCCTGGGTCAGGTTAATGGCACGCGCACCTCTTACAAGAGCCGTCAATGTGGGAATAAAGTTTCGCTTAACGTCTTCGATGGCGGCGCCTTTGGTCATCTTGTCAATTTCAGAGTCGAGCTTGTTACTGAATATGCCATGGACGGGATGGAGGAAGTCCAAGCCCCAAAGAGGTACGACCTTTAGCGACTCCACGTTCTCCTCGGTCTGGTGTTTCGGAAGACCGAAGTCATTAGCGGATTCAACAACCATGTGCCAGCGGATAGTCCTGAGATTGTTCACTAGATCCCTGCGGCATGCGGATACGCCTCCGCCCTCGTTCGGCCAGGTCCCAGAGTCTACCGCAACGACGTGGAGAGTGCTATCAGTATCAGGCTGAAGCGTCTTGGTCCGTCTGTTGACATTCGCATCTCCGCCTTGACCAAAGCTGAATAGGTCGCTCAATCTCAAGGCCAATGGCGTCCACGCGGCAATTTCCGGGGCCAGCTCGGAACTGGCACTGATCGTGTCTGCGTGCATCGCGAGGTAATCTTCTGCCGCAGTGAGGTTTCCGCGATCCCGGCGCTGCCAATATGGCTTGAGCAACGGCTCGGCTCTCAATAGTTTCTCATCCAGCCATCTTATGACGACACCATCCAGGTCATTCCTTCTCTTCCACTCCTTCCAGAGCTTCGTTCTAGCAGTTGCAGTTGATACAGGAATCCGCTGTGTATGCCGGAACAACCATGAAAACAACCCGAGATTGACCGATGGGAAGTTGAGGAGAGGATTTTCCCCAAGGAAAGAGCAGTGATTGGGTTTCTTCAAGACACCCAGCCAATCGTGACGGATCATGTCTGGTGTCTCGACGATTTCATCATTGAGCTTGCTGACGATCGTGGGATGGAACTGGTGATCGTACGTCCAAGAGCATTCCCAAACATCTGACCCTTGCACAAACGTCGCCTTAGTGACACGGGAACCGGGAACCCAGCGCTCTGATTTCTCGGGATGGCGTACGGGTGGAGCACACCATTCGACGTTGACAGTCATGAAGTCCATAGCAAAATCTCCTCTGAGCAGCTCGTCTTCAAAGCGGGCGTTCTTGCGGTAGTAGTATCGGAACCTGACTAGATTGCCGTCCTTAACGTAGGATCCCGACTCGATGTGGCCCTTGTGGTTGTAGATAACCTCGCTACTCTTGTCGGGTCCACGAATACACCTCCTTGAAATTGGGATCCTCTTGTTCTCGATCCTCATGAGCTTGCTTTGCCGCTTGGACTTGACCGATGGGTATTCGTAGGCGTAACCATTGGTAAGCGTCCCGTTGCTGAATTCTACACGGCTTTTCAAGCGCATGTCTTTCGAGAATCTGCTGACACTGACAAGACCTTGCTCTCCTTCAGGCTCGGTTTTATGTGCTCCGGAGTAGAAGTAAAGCTCAAAAGTGCCTCCGGCGCCGCTGCGGATGAAGGCCGTGGAAGTATTATCTATGCTCTGAACAATCAGACGGCCGTTCTTCAGAGAAATGAGCGTGCCTTTGATGCTCTCGGAAAGCTGCTTTACATCCTTACGGCGGTGGTAAATGAAGAAGGGAAACCCGAGCCGTTGGCTTATTTTCGCAAAGATCCACAAGTCGTTGAGGAGCCAGGTGACGATTTTGGCCACAATGGGAAATTTCGCAAATGAACTTTGTTTTATTGTACACCGGAGCTCCCTCTGATATTCCAGATCAGCTACTGGGGCAATCATGATGAATTTGGTCCAAGTGCCCAGGGCGTGGAAGCACCAAGAGAAAGGCGCCTTGATGCGCATCCCTATTGCCCGTAGCGCAGAAGTGGTTGACACGGTTGCCCGTTTTCTGTCTTGGTAGTAGTGAACGTCCGCTGTCCTCTGCTGATACGCCTTCTCGCCAAGGACCAATGGACCCTGAGCCTTAAAGTAGTTGCTCTTCTGGACAGCAAGATAAGCGCCGAGATCGTAACGAGCAATCCGGGTCTCAAGACTACAACCGATTTCCGCATGAAGGTGCGTCTGGAGCCACTGGAGATCGGTGGCAGACAGAAGACTGGGCTCCCCGAGACAGCGTCTTAGGAGGACGGTCCGGATGTTTTGAGGCAAACATTCCCATTTCGTCTCACACTCCAAACCTAGGCATAAGTTCTCTAGTAGATCCCTTCTGTGCGCGCTGGCAAAAGCAGCCATCTTTGACTCAGAGAATTCAAAAGGTATGGCACGCTTAAGGCTCTCCGAAACTTGGTAGGCTCGCCAATCCTCGTTTGTCCGGCAGACCAAAAGGGATTCTGCAATGCTGGCTTGGGTGTGGCTCAGGCCAAACAGAGACTCAGCAGTTGCCCGCAGAAGGGTTTCAGCGATAGCACGGCAGTTGCTAGTAATGTTCATCTGGATGTCGGAGCCGGTAGAGTCACGAGAGGTAGTCTCATCACTGTCTGATGCGATGAAGAGATGTAGGCGGCCTTCGGTGTAGCATGTCAACGCTCTCACGTCGGCCTCCGGTTTCACCACAGAACGCATGGAGGTAAGCTCAACTGCGATAGCACCTTGCTCCCAAGCAGCGACCACTTTGCGTACGAGATGCGGCGCATTGGGGTAGGCTGCGAGAGCCAGGTTGGAAAGCGAATCAGGATGGCATGAAAGTAGGATAGCTCTGATCTCGGTACCCGGATGGTTTTGAGCGTCAACAATGAATCGCTCCTCTCTTGGGACAGATAAAAGTCCTTCGTGGAAAGCTTCCAGCTCGGCCTGGCTCCATTTCTGGTCAACGGAGACGCCATGGTAAGCCCTGAAATCCTTTGTAGGGCCAGCTGGTGCAGCTTTGGCTTTTCCTGGCAACCCAATCCGTGCGGTATACAAAGAGGTGAGAGCTGCGATCCACGTAGCTACTGCAAGCGCAACGACGCCATTGTATGGCCATTGAGAGTTGACGCGCTTCAGTATCAAACCCAGTGGGAGGGCAATCGCTGCCGCACAGAGGAGGGGGCCTAACGCACGAGGACCTAGAACAGCGGATTAGTACCGGGTGCTTGGGATGGTACACTCAACATACCTGAGAATATATGGTTATATTGGTAAAGCAACAAACCAGTGTAAGCTCCGACATAGGCGAGGAACATAATGAGTGATATCTTAGTGCCGTCAAGCGCCCAGATCAGACCCGCCGAAAGGGCGAGCGCCCACACATGGACACCGACGAACCTTGCGAGGGTCTTCCAGTAAAGGATCCGCTTGAACTTGGCATCATTTACAACGGCCTTCCGGAGCAGTTTCGTGGAACTTATCGAGACAGGGACCGAGGTCTGAGCTTGTTGATGCAAATGACCAGCTTTGTAGTCAAGTAAGACGGCGCCGATTAGGTAATATGCGAGGCCAAAGCCTACAGCAACGCGGAATTGCTTGTTCGTTGCGGCCGAGAGAAATAGAAGGGGTTCGCCGTAGAGCAGTTCAATCCAGCGATCAAGCAGCGCTACCAAGAAGTATAGGATGCCACATCCAATCTCGTCTCCGGCGTTGCGCCAGAGGATGAAGGCATTGTGGAGTCTGACGCCCTTCTGCTGCTGAAGCAAGCTGTCCTTTGCGACACCTACCTGGAGGTTCCAGGTGGATGAGTACGGAATTGGCTTCTTGATATCTGAAATCCGGCTGTACCAGTCGAGAAGAAACACAGTTGCGTCCCAACATTCAGCTAACTTCTTTACAAGCGGATCTTCGGTGGCCTTGGACCACAAGCGGCGATCCCTCTCAGCAAATACTTCCTCGCTGAGCCTCTCTCGTGCAACTTTCAGCGCAGCAGGACCGCTGAGGTCTTTCAATGCTGCTACTGCATCGGGGCTAGCGGTACTAGAGTACCATTTGCTGATTTCTGCATCGGAGGTCGTCGATACGTGCTGTAGCCAGGTAACCCAGCGAGCAGCGACCCGACGAGTACCGAGCAACAGTGCAAATACGAAAAAGAAGAGCACCGAGAGGTAAATAATTGAGTCATAACCGTTGACCCACGTGGTCAGGATTGGTGAGATGCCGAGCAGGGGAATGAGACAGATAATCACGACGCGTCCGTTGCCAAAGGAACTGCCGGGGAATTGATACGTGGCTAGAACAGCGAGGAGGGAGAGATACGAGGTGAAACCGACAAGGTAGAAGAAGAAGATGGCCCCAGCCTGGACGTGAGTGACGGCGGAAATTATGATGAAGCCGATAATCCCACCGGCGATAGTGAAGCCGAGACCGCCAATAAGTCGAGTAAGGACGAACATCTCTGCCGCGCTAAAAGCCATAGAAATAAGATAGTAGGTACCGCCTATAGATATCCAGGTGCCGATTGCGCCGGACAGAAGCAGCGAGAGCATGAGCGCGAGGGTTGCGTACTCTTGTTCTCTCATGCTCATGAAAGCGCTGAGGTACAAGCCACGTCCTGTGGTTGTGAGCAGCAAGATGTCCACGAGTGCTGGGATGGCGAACACGCTCAGGAAGGTGAAACGTTTGTAGGCGGGCATCGCAGAGGACTTCTCATGTGGGTCGATATCTGTTTGCGCAGCCGCATATGCTGAAGATACTGCTGGTGCATTACCAATCTGCAGAGGTGGTTGATGATCAGGCTGTCCGTAGTATGCACGGTAGCGGTCTGCCAGGAGCCTTCCAAAGGCACTCGGTGTGACATCGAAATAAGCATCGCATCTTGAGCCCAGAGCGAACAGCTCAGCAAACGCCGCAGCTTGGTCGCTGAACTCGTTGAAGAGTGGGTTCCGATCAGTGACCTCTAGGTAGACTTCGTCGAATGCTGCTTTCCGCGCGGCGCAGAAGAGGGAGAATGCAAGAATGTCTGCATAAGTATCCAGCGTACCACGCGTCAGCAGAGACTCGAGCGTGGAAGTTAACAGATTCAGCTGATCGTAACGTCGACCCTGTAAGATATTGAGTAGCAGACAATGGACGTCGCGGAAAACAGTAAGCGCTGTGTCTTTGGGTAGGTGCGCCCATCCATGCTGCTGGTACCATGTTAACCGCGCCTCTATCAGCTCTGCATCAGAGATGTTCCCGCTCAGGTAGTCAATATTGCCTCGTTGCTTCAGCTGTAAGAAGGACGGGACGTCCAACAGTACATCCTCACAAGCTGATTGAATTGAATGTAGCAGGGGGTCGCTGCGGGTCTCATCCCAGCGGGAAAAGTGGAGATGCTGAAGGAGTAGAAGCATGTCTGCCGGTGACAGCATCCCCAAATCTTGGGCAAGACGCTCCGGAAGCCCACCCTTCTCCATGGATTCCCTGTCACCAGGAAGGTGACTGGCGAGCATTACTTCGGCCTCGAAGCACTGGTGACGTGGAAGACCTTGGCTACTCAGGTACGTATGCAATACGGTGCCTGAAAGATCTCGGGCATTCTTGGACAGGTAGAGTATTAAAGCTCCCGTTCGCTCGTCTGTCTCCCAAACACCCCAAAACTGAACACCAGAAGACGTATGGAAACCCGAGTCGAGTCCCAGGTAGACTCGTACAAGCGGATCACTCTCCTTTGAATAGGATGCTCGCAACAAAAGATCACTGAGCTGCTGGGTCGCTTGGCGAACTCTGGCTGAAACTTCTGATACTGACACACAACCTAGGACATCGCGCAAAGAGACGCCGATTTGTCGGACATCTGGCTGCGAAACGGTACTGAGCAGGTTTAACCTTCGTAGTCGCCGCTGTGAATCTACAATCTTGTTGAAGTCGTCAGACGTCACATCGAAGCCGATCGGAAAGCAACCAAGCGCTTCGTATGTGATGCCGGTTGGTGAGATGGACAGTGGATTGACCGAAAACCTTTCCAATTGACCAGCCCACTCCATGCTGACCTGCGTGTTGAGTGTGTCTAAGCGGTCCTCTTCGTGGGAAACTCCATCCAGAGTGCTTGACAGACTGCTGGCAGAGGAGCTGTGGTTGAGAAGAGATTCCACCAAGCTGCGTATGCTGGGAAGAATTCCTTCAAGCTCACGATACTCGTCGATGCGCGGCTTTGGCCAAGGTGCAAGTAATCGGGTAGATCGATAGGTCTCGTGGAGTTTCATGATTTTGCCCTCCTTCAACCAGTCGAAAGCGCCCAAAGGTTGGAGCATCGGAGCATTGAGGGTGGCATCGGTAAGCGCTGATACTGTGCCTATCCAGCTTACAGCGCCATGAAACTCAGTCCAGTTGTAGCTCCTCTTGACAACAGCATGGGAGAGCACTACATTGTCATCGATAGTCTCCCACATTAGAACTGCGAAGGGACGTAGGCAAGCCTGGGAAACGAAAGCTTTGACTGTCGGCTTCATCTTCTCCAGTTGGAAAAAGTCGCGTCTTTCCCCATTCGGCAGAATACTCGCATTCTTGACAACAACACCCGAGTAAAGTTGTAAATCCGGCATGTCGTCTTGGTCCAAGAAATTAGGCGGCGATACCTCAAGGGAAACCTCAAGGCCTAATAGGGCGAGATACCGCGCGACAGCGTCAACCACAATAACCGAGATACGGTTCTCCCAATCGCCTATCAGGACGCCTTGGAAGATGGATCGTCGGTCTCTGCTTATGAAACGTTCGTACACGGCTCCAACTATCTTGTCTATTGACTGTATCACCCGAGCGTCGTTGGAGCTGCAATCCGTGTCGAGCAGTTGTTCCAGGCTGATTCTTCCAAGAAGTTGTTTCGTGCTTCCAGCCATTGAGAGCGCTTCGACCGCATAGCATTGCTGTGAATCCAGGACCAAAACATCATAGTGTTCAAACAATCGAGCTTGTGCGTTGGTTGGCGGATATTCGACGCTCCCCAAATAAACACCAAAGGAGGAGGGTTTTGAACGCGGTCCACCGCTGCGGCCGAGTGGTACGGATTTCTTCGAGAGGGTATCGAGATGGGCTTTCACGCGCTTCGACAAGGAAGGAGTTGCGGAGGATATCTAAGTGGATGTGTTTGATCAGTACACGCTTCTCAAGCGCAAAGGAACTCCTAAGAGACGGCGGAGACAAGAGATAAGGGAAACAGCCTTGAAAAGCCCTCGGTGGACATGTGTGGCACTACGTACCTGCCGGCGCTTGCGTAGGAAGTTGTAGAGCGTCCACACCAAAGCCACCACGCCTACGAACACGCTGACTGCAATAATGGCGAGGAGTATAAACTGCCACCAATTTTCAAGGAGATCATTGCCTCCGGAGGCCTCTATTGCTAAGATCTCCGCCATCTCTTCGGTGATTAAGTGTGTAGATACAGCGAAGTACTATCCACCGTCCAGGGTAATATTTCTAAAAGTGACTGCAAAGTCGCCCCGAGAGGCAGACGGGTATCTCAAGTAAGCATTAACGTAAAGATTGACTCGGTAGAGAGTGACAAGGACTGGGAAGAAGCTAGAGAATAGGAAAATGGCACAGAAGCCTCAGGGAGATCTGCGAAAGCTGAGGACAGTTCAGGAGTGACAGATCGGAATCCATCAAGACGCCTGATGGCACGCTCCCCGTTTACCTCACCGACTTACGCTGGAAACCCCACCGAGCTGTCCGCTCAGCTGTCTGCGTTAGGCGATGATGGCCTGCCTACGGAGTACGCTGCAGGGGTTTCGAAGGGCTACCGCCATTGCCCATCGCTGCCGAGCTCACCCACTGCTGTCAGCTATTTTTATGCCGCAAAGGGCCGCTTGGCCAGCATGCTCTCTCGCTTCCCTGGAGCCACAGGCATGGGACCAGCCAGCGTGCGCGCCAGCACGCGAGTAGTGGCTCGTATTACAGAACGGGAAAGCACCGAAACTTCTGCGGTGCCAGCCGACGGGAACGAATGGTTACAGCACAGCGATGCACGAAGCATCGGTCACGGCGCCATGCGTCGCGGTCGCTGCACGGACATGCCCAGGTGGTGCAGGGTGAAGTTGGGGATGTTGTAGAAAGCACGTTTATCGGCTCTGGCGCGCCTCGATTTACCTAGCGCCCCCGTCACCCCTGCCCACCAGCGCCGCTTTACTCCACCGACCCGTAGGAACGCCACACTAGGATGTCTCGCACCGGCGTTGCGCCTAGCTCTGTTGAGGCTAGAGCGGTGCCGGGGTTATGCCAGACATCATGTCCACTTTTGATCACCCAGACGCGGCATCTGTCAACTGTCAACCTCTAAGCGTCAATCCAGCGTTAACCAAATGCACCACTTCGCCAAAGCTGTCAGCCCATTTGCAGGGACCCGTCAGCCCTAGGTCGTGTGCAGCTTGGCGTACATGTCATTTGATCCGCATAACCGACTGCAAAGTCTGCCGCCTGGCCCTCCTGAGTGCCGCTTCTCACCGTGTAGCTTCTATCGGCACCAGCGCCATCAATAGTCGGCTGGCTGATCAGTTCGACGGGCTGGGACGATGTGTGCTCTCGCCCCGTCGAGGCTCGCGGAAAACTCGCGGGATTCCTTAGCCAATTTACCCTTTACGGGCTTCTAAAAACGATGGGGTGAAGTGACGCTCGATTGGGACGAGTATGGGGATGATCGGAGCGCCCCGTGGTGTGCTTGACCGCCTAGGGCTCAGCAAATTACACATTCCTTCACGAGGTGGATTTATATATATTCGTGTACTTCGTCCTTTTCACAACCTCTTAGTTCACTCAAGTCTCTCGTTGATCCTTTTCGTTCTGTATAGAAAATGAGGAATTCATTCTCCCTCGTATCGTTCCTTGCCTTGGGCTTAGGCCTTTGGTCTGCCCTAGTGGCTGCTGTTACCACGAAGAACACAATTCTAATCTTTGCGCGCGACGCCGGCTCTGCTTACTCCGCTTACTCCGGCTTGCAGGGCTATGGAATACCATACCAGGCTCGTATACATACTCCCAGCAGCAACCATCCTCTCTAATGTCTGCACCAGGTTGTCGAAGTGCCTTCGACTGGCGCAACCTTGCCCCAGCTGAGTTCTTCAGCTACAGCAGGCAACTACGGAGCAATTGTTGTTCTCAGTGAAGTGTCCTACCAGTACCCTAATGGGTTCTTCTCGGCACTTACGACCGAGCAATGGAACGCCCTATATGCCTACCAGACCGCCTTTGGCGTCAGGATGGTGCGCCTCGATGTCTATCCAGGCCCCGATTTTGGCACAACCACTGCCATCGCAGGCGCTGGCTGCTGTGGCACTGGGGTCGAGCAATTGATCTCCATCTCGAATACCGCCGCCTTCCCGACTGCAGGTCTCAAGGTTGGTGCAACCATGAGCACCGTGGGATTGTGGCATTACCCGGCGACAATCACCAACACGACCAGTACCACGCAGTTTGCGAAGTTTGGACCGGGAGGAAGCTTCTCTACTGACACGACTGCCGGTGTCATCAATAACTTTGGCAATAGACAGCAGATGGTGTTCTTCACCTCCTGGGCCACTGCCTGGAATCCGACGTCCACTTTTCTACAACATGCATGGATCCACTGGGTTACACGTGGCTTGTATGTCGGGTTCAGGCGGCTGTACCTGAGCACTCAGGTTGATGATGTGTTTCTGAGTACGGGACTTTACAGGGTCAGTCAGCTTCTCTCAGCATGTTGCATTCAGCCCCAGTACCCGAAGGTTACACCACGGACGCCATGTTATTGGCTGATTGGGCCACGCCCTGCTTGCCACACAATCTTCATGTGAAAACGTCGAAGACGTTATACTGACTCTTGCAATAGCCCCAAGGGACAGAGTTCCGTCTGCGCACAGGCGATCTTGCCAATCATGTCACGTGGACTACGCAGATCAATGCCAAGATGCCGGCCGGCTCCAATTACTTTATCGAGCTTGCACACAACGGCAATGGCGATATCGAAGCTTCGACTGCTACATCGCAAGGCCAAACGGCTTGCAATCCTAACACGGCTATCTATTATGACGAACAGATCGACACTCCCCTGGAATTTCAGAAGCCGCTCGGCACCGGCTCAAACATCTGGCCCACCACGCCGACGTCCTACACTTGGTCGCTGACATGTGCGAAGCTGGATACTCTGATGCAATGGTTCAGTACCGCGGCGAACCGAAACGCTTTTGCCCATGTCTCACACACGTTCAGTCACATGGCCATGAATAACGCGACATACGCGGATGTTGCCAAAGAAATCTCCTTCAACAAGGCCTGGATGCAGCAGGTGGGCTTCTCAGCTGCCCCTCGCTTCTCTGGTGCCGGCCTGGTCCCCCCTGCCATCACCGGTACGCACAACGGTGATGCTATCAAGGCCTGGATGGACAATGGCATCAGGCACATCGTCGGTGACAACACTCGACCACCTTTGATGAACCCGCAGAGCGCCTTCTGGCCTCTGACTTCCACCGTTGCGGGCAATGGCTATGCTGGCCTCAATATCATCCCCCGCTGGGCAACTACCATCTACTACAACTGCGACACGCCCGACTGCACCCTCCAGGAGTGGATCGACACGTCTGGCGGTTCTGGCGACTTCCAGAACCTCCTCAGGGACGCCAGAGCAGTGAACACGCGCCATCTGCTTGGTCTCCACTGGGACCCCTTCATGTTCCACCAAGCGAACATGAGGCAGACCGACATGCCCAACACAGTCGTGAACGGCGTGTCCGCGAAGCTCTCCTTGCTGCAAATCTGGGTTGAGGTCATCGTGCAAGAGATGGTGCGCCTCACCTCGTGGCCCATCATCTCCCTCAAGCACGATGACATCGGGACGACCTTTCAGAAGCGCGAGATCCGCGACAAGTGCAACCCGAATCTGGTTTACAACTACTCGGCGGATGGCAGGAGCATTGTCAGCGTCACAGTGAACACGAATGGCAATACCTGCGGCACGCCGATCCCTGTGACGTTCCCGGGCCCGGTCACCTCGACGACAGGGGCGACGCAGGAGAAGGTCGGGGGTGATCCGTTGACGCTGTGGGTTACGATGAGCGGAGCTGCCCGCACGTACACGCTTACCACGCCGGTTGCCGTCTGAGCTAGGCAGTCACTCTTGGCTTGAAATCTCTGCATGGGGGTCAGGGTGCGGCGTTCTGGGTGCCCCTGACGATCTTGTCCTGTTCTACCGGTGGCGGAGTTTTCTGTGGGACATAGATTCTTCTGGGAGGCTGCATGTGTGGGTACTGAGGCTGAAAATGTAACTGTTGTGGATAGCATTTTTTGTTATGGAGCCGGCGTTTGATTTTCTCTGCGGGTTTTGGATCTAATGCAGGGGAAAGCGTCCCCAGCGTCGCTTGTTTACCTAATTAGAAAATCCGATTCCCAAGTATTCAGCTGATTTTGCAGTCGACTCCTCGCAACGTGGCTTGCAGATGTGCATGGAAGACCATTGTAACGGATCTTGGCGACACAGCTTCGCCCGAAAAAACAGCGGCGCCAACAGAAAAAGGCCCGAGACGGAGCGTTTTTGGGCTTTTCGACACCCCGCAGGCTTGCGGCGGCTCGGCGCCGCTAGGGAACATTCGCAAGCCGCGTGCACGGTGCGGACACAGGGGAAGAAAAACGCATGACGTGCTAGCGTGGCTCCCGCTAAGAATAGCCGCCAAGAGCTGGAGAAGCCCTCGCGAAGACGACAGGGGTAGGGGCCGGGCGAGCTATTGACGCTAAAGGGAGGGACACGAAGACCTCGTATGGAGGGGGATCATGAGGACATTCCGGGATGGTAGCGGCACTATTGAATTCTTTCAGCTTGGAAAAGATTTTGTGAGGAGAGCGTCTGCTAGGCTACAGGAATCGAGATCCTGCGTGAGGCCCTGCAAGCAGCCGAATCTCACCGCAGTGCGTTGCGCCTCAACACCAAACTTCCACACAGGATTCACGCAGCTGCAACCGTCTGCTGCGCTGAATTTTACACTAACTCTACAGCGTCATAGCTGTGCAATGATCACCTAGTCGTTACTGATACTCGTCGATTTCATAAGCCTTACTGCGCTCTGCTCTCTTTGCGTCTCTATATCGGTGTTATTTTCAAGAATCTGAATACATTCTACTCCTACACCTCCGTAGTTTCCGCGCATTCTACAGCATCATCTATCACCCCACACCGAGAAGATGGAGAAACCCCACCACGCAACCCGCCAGTCCTGGTGGTCCCGCCAATCCGGCGCCCGCAAACTCTTCTACATCGCCGTCCCCATCGTCCTCCTAATAGCTCTCGCGGTAGGCTTAGGTGTAGGTCTTACGCGCGGTGGGCGCGACGACGGAGAAGAGCCAGACACAACTCCTTCACCGACGCCCACATCACCGCCCCGCAACGGCACAATCTGGCAGCCCGCTGTCAACGAGACGTGGCAGATTGTGCTGCTGAAGCCGCTCGAGCTCGCCGAAGATGCTACGTCTATTGAGCCAGACGTGTCAGTATACGACATCGATCTGTTTACCAATGAGGTTGGTGTGATTGAGACGCTGCATCGGCTGGGGAAGAGGGTCATCTGCTATTTCAGCGCCGGGTCATATGAGGACTATCGGCCTGATTCGGGGCAGTTCCAGCAGAGCGACAGAGGAGGGGAGCTGGACGGATGGCCAGGAGAGTATTGGCTGAACGTCAATTCAGAGAATGTGAGGAATATCATGGTGGAGCGGATGCGGTTGGCGAGTCAGAAGGGGTGTGATGCTGTAGATCCGGACAACATTGATGGCTATGTAAGGCAGCATTTCCAGCGCATCATCGCCGAGGCAATTGGACTGACAACTGCGGAACAGAGCAACGAGAACGGTCTCGGATTGACCCAACAAGACGCAATCAACTATATGATCTTCCTCTCGCAAGAGGCGACGAGGCTCAATATGTCTATCGGCCTCAAAAACGCTGGCGAGATCATCCCTCAAGTGACCAATGTCACGCACTTCTCCGTCAACGAGCAGTGCGTTGAGTACAGCGAATGCGACACTTTTGCCGCGTTCGTGGAAGCTGGGAAGCCTGTCTTTCACATCGAGTACCCCTCAGCCGCGCCGAGCGTCCAGACTAATGTCGTTTCAAACATCTGCTCTGGCAATGGCGATGCAGAGGGCGCCGAGCAGTTTAGCACTGTTTTGAAGAAGATGGATCTTGACGGATGGGTCGAGTACTGTAATGGTGAAACCTTCACCACCGGAATAGCGGCTTGATCTGTGCATTTGCTGTTGTACTTGAGCATGGCGTTCGGTTCTGGCACTTGAATATGTTTCACACTCTCAAGCTGTGGTCTTCTATTGGGACTCTCTATGCACTCGTGAACTGCAATTCCCCAAAACACTGCGTCACGCAAGGAGAGTGCTCCCGTAAGGACAAGTTCTGTTCCCTGTTTGGTGGGCGCACGCTTGTTCTCTGGAGAAACAGTGGCTGGCGATCCCTGCGTGTATCTGCATCTACCTAGGTAATCACCTGGGCGGCTGTGGAGCGCTGAACTTTCCTTCGGCAGTCTTGAAGCTGTCACACCACGGTTTCCAGTAGCGACTCAATCTCGCGTTTGTAAGCCACACCAGCTGACAGCTGGTCCGGATGCTGTGATACCAAGCGTGCTTCATGTAACTATCCGCGTGCGATCGCAAACAGGTGGTACGACATGCTATCGTACCCAATCCGCTACATCGGAGCTGAGACGCCAGAATTCTGGAAGTTGCATCCTTGTGACGCACTGGCGTCGTTCGCGGAGACACTCCGCGGTGCGACGTCGGCGTCTTTGTGGGATTCTTCCGAATATCGAGTACCTGGTACATCGAGTGACACTGGCGCCTTGTCTCGGAAGAAGCGCTCTGAGTTACCCGAGGTAGATGTGTCACATCGCTCGTGCATGTCCCTAGATATTTACTTTTTCTTCTGTCGTATTCGATGAAAACAAGACATGCGTTGGCTGTGCGAGACTTCATGCGCTGCACGAGCCCCGGTTTTCTATTGTTAGCATCCGACGCAGGACAGATCCATGGAGACGAACCAGATCCACACGCAAGGAGACACTCAATCAATTTTCCTAGTGGGCTTCCTCTTGCGGCCCACACCTTCCTCCGCCGTTGGGACGCATGCCATCGTTGTCGTTTTAGAGTTGGCCGGCGCCAACCAGTCTCACACTAGCGTCCGACCACCCCCCAGGCAGCAGTGCACCGCCACCCGCTGCTTTTACGCAACAGCCCAACATCCCTGGATGGCGCCATCGGTGCCGTTTTCTGCGGGAACTGGAAAAGCCTTGCGCGGCGCCGCGTGACGCTATCCCGCTTTACAGTAGCCGCCCCTGGCGACCTGTCGAGGTCTCCCTACCACACATTCCAATAAGGCACTCTACTGATGACCAGCTGCCGCTTACGAAATATATTGGACTCTACTCTACACGAGCGACGGATTGCTAAGCGGCAAAGCTAATAGCTGATAGCTTCAGAGTCGCTTCTCGCGAGCGTCCCGTCCCAAAGGCCCAACCGAAGTGCCTGGTATCGGCCCACGAGAGCGTTGTTGTACTCGGGTATGCGAGAGGAAAGGCCGTTTTCGGTCGAATCCCCTGTTCCCCACATACGGACCCAGATTTTTAAATTTGTTTTGCTCGCGATGCTGCAGTGTCTTTCCAAGCTGCGGACTTAGGCGGCGCGAACGGGGAGTTGGAACCTTACTGTCATAGCTGCAGGCTGATAAGTTCTCTGCGTGCCCCAACGGGTAGCCAATGAGAAGTGGCGGAAGCCCCTGGAATGCGCGAAATCCCTCGCTTGGGGGACCCTGCAAATGGTCAGGAGGCTCAACGCAGGACCGGGGAGTATATTGAGGCTAAAAGACTTGGCGTGGGTGTGGTTGCCGAGCAGCATGGGCTGAGACCGGTTGATCACCGTTTCACGAACAACGGGTAAGAAACTGGGACGCGTTGTGGCTTTTGTTATTGCCATGGTAGTGTAGCACGACGACATCTTGGGAGCCATATCTATTCATTGATGAAAATCTATGGAGGCATTATTACTCAATCTAGCGCTGACACGAACTCACCAAAGTGCGGACTGATGCCCGAGTAATAATCTACGTCCAGGTCGGTCACGAACAAGTGGCCGGCCAAGGAGCGCAGCTGCTGCACTAGCTTCTTGCGCGCCTTCGCGCTCATCCCGGCCGGCACCGAATGCATCATGATTGACCTGTCACCCCTGCCTCCCGGCACGTCCGCCAAAGCTGTGGCTGACCTGCGTTCGATAAAAGTCTGGTAGGTTTCTGTGGACACCAGGCGCGTTAGCGCTACCGCTGCTGCAGAGGATTTTTCCAAGTGTGATGGGATGCTCGCTGATGTTTCGCCCGTGCTGCTCAACAGCCTTGCCGAAAGATCCGTTTTCGGTCAACGCTCACCTTCAAACACAACCGTCACGTCAGCGCTCGCGGAGTACCGGGGGTGTGGGACCGCCCCAGGGTTGTGCACTGGGTTTCAGCGCGTTAGCCTATTTCAGGGCTGACCAGCCGACGCCTGACTGCAGTCAAAGCGGCGATCCTGGGGTTTCCTCATCAAGCAATGGCCTCATGGATGGCGCTCGGACCTGCCTCGTACTCACGTACATAGAGACAAGCGAAAATCTTCTGCCAGACTCACCAATGAAGCTGCCGAGCAAGCCATCAGTGCTCGAGACCGTGGCCTTGATCCGTTGGAAATATTGGTCGGCTTCTGGGCTGTATTGCCAAGGGGTCTCGTCGAGGAAGACACCAGCGACAGCTAAAGACGGATCTCGTAACCCCCAACCCGCGTACGTGGCGATTTCTTGCTCAACGATCTCGATGTCTTTGGACCCATACGTGGTAGCCACTGTCAGTGTGTCAGCGCTGGGCTAGGCGAAGGAACTATTGAATGCTAACCATAGCCAATGCATCTGACGTTCTGGTACTGGGTGTTTAGCTTTGTGAGCTCGCGCGTGTAGTTGGCGTCTGGCAAGGAACCAGCGCCCGGGCCGCTGGCCGGGTTGATTACAAGGGTGAAGTTGATCCCTCGGTTCTGCTCGATGCTGTGTTACATTAGCCTTGCGCTTGAGATGTTCGGCGGACGGGTTTTCTTGCGCTTGATACAGAGGGTCCCACGCCGCTTCGGCGGGATAAACGTAGAGCGGGAAGATCACTTCGGAGCGTGGCATGTCTTCATGTGATCTCATGCCAAAAATGACTGCAATCGGGATGACGATCGCCAAAGTTATCGTGGCAGCCGCAGCTGAACTGAGGTAGCAGCGGCGCCTGGAGGTTTGTGGAATGTGAAACTTTGAGTGCTGCATGGAATCGAGTTCTGGAAGGTCCGGAGCGGGAATATATTGACCGAGGCAGGAGATCTTGGAAACATAGCACACAGCAACATCAGGATGTGCCTGTCAACGCGAAGCGGTAGAAAATTGTTGATAAAGGCTAGTGCGAAGCATGCCAAGCAATATTGTCTACTTTGAGCCGCGATGCAAAGGCACCACCCGAGGCAGGGGTGCTGTCCCTGTGATGACAGCTTCCTGGCACAGTGCTGCTAAATTTGTCGCGGATCCGTCACACGCGTTGCAGCAATGACGGACGGACCTCCATACGGAAAAAAGGACACAGCCCGCAAATAAACTTGGCGCACAGAGGGCGCCACGAACGAGACGTCGGAACAGAGGCGTCCCAAGTGGAAGATGATTTGCATGTCGTACCATTGTTTGGCCAATTCGAGCAACAGAAAGACGGCCCTTTTTCGATCCGGTTGAGAGAGCTTGGTATATAAGAAATTTGTACGTACCTTGCCATAGATAACCCACCTTATCTCTACTCGGCAGTATCTTTCCTCTCACCATGGACACTCGTTTGTTCTCCGCCGTATCTGCCTCACCACGTTCGCTTTCATCTCGATCGCTCTCGGAGTCTTCTGATGTTGGCACCCCGGAAACCGCGCGATCTCTTCTCTTCGACGACGGACCATCCTTTGAGCATACCGGTTCCAACGGCCCCCATGTCCTGGTTGTCGGCGGTCTTGGGTATATTGGCTCGCACGTGTGTCTTGAGCTGCTCAAAGAGGGCTACAATGTGGTTGTGATAGACGACCTCTCGAATTCGTATCGGACAGTCCTCGATCGGATAGAGAGATTGGCGGCTGAATACTGCAAGACGGTAAACAAGCCGTTACCTGCTCTTCACTTTCATGAAATCGATTACCGAAGTCCTGCCATGCGATCAGTGCTCCGCCAGTACGAAACCCCTACCTTTACTCTCGAACAATCCTCCCGGCAATCGAAAATCACAGGCGTCATTCACTTCGCTGCCTTCAAATCGGTGGAGGAGTCAATCAAGAAACCGCTGGCCTACTACAAAAATAATGTGGCGGGTCTGATAGACTTCCTGGAGATACTTTCTGAGTTCAACATCTACAACTTCGTCTTCAGCTCTTCCGCTACCGTGTATGGTCGGCTTGCTTCGCAAGGGACCCCATTACACGAGGAATCCATGACGGCAGTGGATGGGGTTCACGGACTGACTTCGCCGTACGGCCGCTCGAAGTACTTTTGCGAGGCCATCTTGGACGATGTTGCGAGATCCGATCCCAAATGGGCTATCACTGCTCTGCGGTACTTCAATCCCGTTGGCTGCCACGAAAGTGGATTGCTAGGCGAAGACCCGCGACAGAAGCCGACCAACCTCTTTCCCTGCATAACGTCCGTACTCACTGGAAAGCGGCCAGTTCTCGAAATATTTGGAACAGACTGGAACACAGCCGATGGAACCGCTGTTCGAGATTTCATACACGTTGTGGACTTGGCCAGAGGTCACATCGCCGCTCTTGCTGCGGCAGCGGAAGGAAGAGTTGGAGCTTCTTTCCGTACGTACAATCTTGGAACCGGAACCGGACACACTGTTCTCGAAGTCCTGCACAGTATAGAAAAAGCGTCCGCTCGCAGCATTCCTGCGCGAGAAGTCGGCAGAAGAGCTGGGGATGTAGGATTCTGCGTTGCTGCGGTGGACAGAGCCGAGACGGAGCTGGGCTGGCGGACACAGAAGTCACTGCAGGATTGTGCCACTGACGTGTGGAACTACCACGTGGTGAACAACGAAGCTCTGCAATGCTGAGTGCGGCTTCGCACAGTCAATGTAGGCGTATTTCGAAGGGTACCGCATAAGCATAGAGCCGTGGCGTTATTGATGTTTGGTTTTTTCTACCTTTGTCAGGGTTCTGCGTTTGGCATTAGCGACGGATGGACAAAAGTCATCGAGGAACGGATACCCTCTCATTATTGTAATGTCTAGCAAAGCGCTGGCGCGCAGCTTGGAGCTCGGTGGAGTATTAGTATAGGATATAGACACTCGTTAATGCCTTTGACACTGCGAACCGTGAAAAACTCTTGTTGGACGGCAACTTCCACGTTCTATAAGAAGAAGTGTCATCTAACGGCAGGAAATCCTGACTGCGACTGCATTTTATATTGTCTTCTTAGGCCTTACCGCGCAGCTGATGAGCTCTTTGAAGTGCGTGTTCCTGCATACCCAGGTGGTGGCCAGGTGGTGGAGAGTCGGATGATGTTGAACCTTGTTTGTCCGCGCTGTAGTGTTCGGCGAGGTGATATAGGGTCCGCAGGCCCGAGGTTAAGTATTGCACCACTAATGTGAGACCACAAAACCGTACAGACTCGGTCGGAAGTCGACCACGCTTTGGAGATCCTCGTCAAAGGAAATCTTATGTTCGCATCTTATATACTGCCTTCAAATGGGGGCAACCACAGTCTTACGCTCTTACATATCTGTGCGGACGTGGAGACCCGAGCGTCTGTCGATAAGTGATCTCCATCATCTTGCATGGGTGCTTAGTTCTTGATAGTGAAGTCCTTGTCTTTGCGGTGCGCAGCTGGTATGCAACATGACGCCGCCGCGGGGTGTCATGAATCAGCGGTCAGTAGGTAGCTTCCTGATGGCTCCACTCACATTTCCGGCTGTGTGGTGTAAATGTGCAAGCTGGCTCGAGGAGCTCTTACGGAGGTCTTTTGTGCTTTTGGAATGGTACAGAGTGAATAAGCTCTAGTGGTTGCTGCGGCTGGCCCAAAGATAAGAGGTACGAGTTAAGACTCGCACAGCTGAGCTGGATGGCTCATCTCCAGAGGAACAAGGACGAAGCGGCTAATGGTACTGCACGATGACAGCCCAACTGGGTACCATAGAGACACACTGCGGAAGGTAAGAGCACTCTGTTGCAGTCTCGACAATCGGCTTCAAGCGCGTGAACTTTTGCTGCGGTAGAAACAGGTTCCAGGCCTATGGGATGCGCTGGCAAGTCGAATGGTGACATCTCCATGCTGTTAGCATCTGGGTACTCCGAATTGTAAACCCCAGGTTGAAGATGTGTGAAGGTTTACATGTGGCATGTGTGCCGCATCGCCATGAGCTGTTGTCGTCACGATGTCTGGAAGGGGATGATCCAACCCCAGAACGGCACCATGCTCTGCTTCGGTCCGCCTGCAAGCTCCGACCAGCATCCCAACGTCCACTCCACCTGATCTTCGCCAGATGGTTCTTTAAGATTCAACACAACAAGCAGTGCTTAATTTGTGTCTGGTGAGGGTAGCACGACGGTATGGGAGTATATCCTGGCTGCGGCGCACAACCACGACAGCGGAGCGTTACAGTTCTACCACCCAACGGCAATAGAATACCAGATTGTAGGAGCACTACGGCGACGTATTGAGCAAAAATGTAAGCAGCACAGTAGCAGTGTGGTTTACTAGAAACTTTGCGTAACAGGTGCAGTATCGGCCTCCGCGTCAATTCTCCGCCTGAACGTTGCCGTCGGCTGTCCAAACTCGATCTCTACATCTTTGTCTTCTGACCATTCATTTTTATTTCTCTCCTCTTACCACGGAACTCAGGGCAGTCTCTACTGCACGTGTTACTTTTCAGCTCGAACATCTTCGTACAAAGTACTAGTGTCAGCCGATATAGCGCAACCGGCGTATCGCGGCGAGCTCTTGGAGACAGTAAGAGCGTAGCGGGAGCTCTCGGGCACTAATTAGCCTGTCCAAACCGTTACAGTCAGGAGATGTCGCCCTATCAAGCCAGCCCGTAATCTGAACCAAACGTGGTTATCATTAAAGGCGCATGAAGCGGAGTAGTGTCGTACACCATTTCATTGGAGAGTGAGCCAAAGCGGAGGCTGTCAACAAGCACAAATGTGAGCGAGTGTGCCAACAGGTGACGACGCAGTACAAGAGTAGACAACAGCCCACATGGTCACTGTCAGAGCATGTGCATGGTGGAACTTGAACGTTACCGGATCGTAGGCTTCAATGAGGATGCTAAGTGAGATAAATGCGAGCCAACAGGACTACATAAAACACCACCAGCTCCATCCGACCCGTCTTTCAAAGCATTTGGACCTCGATGCCACCAACAAGCCGAGAGTACCGTTAGGCGGCAGCTGCCGGAGAACATGGAGGCTGTACTACAGCTTGACGGTAGTGCACCGAGGCTGTAAAATGAGCCTTTCCTGATGAGTGAGAATCTGGGCTGCAAGAGATCCGGACGTGCAGTTCCAAGCCAGCTTCGGCAACTACAAAACAGCGCTCTTCTTGACCGCCGCAGTCAAAGGCAATCGAAGGAGGTCTGCACCGCTTGCGGCAACTTCGTGGCCTCGCACTTTGTCTCTTCGAAAAAATTACGGTGGAAAGTGGCCTCTTGGCATCCGATTGCCTATGGCGAATAGGTCTTCTCTCAACTGCAATCGGTATGGATACCTGCCCTGCTGACTATTCTGTAGATTCGGTGGTAGAATCTGCCAATGCTGCATATCCATTCGCAGTATGTCGATGTTTCCGCGAATCCGGTCCATCAGATTGTTGGGACCTGTCAACCGCGGTCTGTGGTTCGGTTCCTTCTGCAAGCATTCGTAAACGAGCTCCTCCAGCTGTCTACTGTACCCTCTCGGCTTTGGTTGTCGATCCGGTTCTACAACGTTGGGATCGGCATAATCCAGGATACGTGGGTCTAATCCCTCACGTTGACGTCTCATCATGCACCATATTATGCTGCTCTGCGTCAGTCGAGGCCCCTGCATCGACTCGTCGGGTCGGAGGGTCTCCTTACAAGGCTGTATTCCATACGTTTGTATGAGCTAACGTTTTCCTGTTATTTATCTGGACTGCCGGGTCAAGCTGTCGAGTTGGTACTACGGTCCCACCAAGTGGTCCAGGTGCCACTGTAAAGAGCTTGAATTGCTCCTGCAAGCGCAATTAGCATTCGGCGCCCACCTAGTACCTGAGCTAGCTACGTACTGGTGACCAATAACCAGGTGTGCCCGCCCATGCCATTATTTGCGGATTGCTGAGATCGTTGGGATGAGTTCGATAGGTGGAATCAAAATCCGCCATGACCGGTCTGGGGTATATCGGAAAGTCTCCCGTCCCGTCCGACTCTGCGAGAAACACGTTTGCCGTCTTCAAGTCGCAATGTACATATTCCCAGTCGGGCATCCATGCTTGAACGCGCTGTGTCTCGCTGCCTTGGAAGAGGACCAAACAAGCCTTTGTCAGCTCAAGGAAAACGTGCCATAGAAACGGCTCCGGAATTTTCTTATACCTAAACCCAATCGTCAGCAACTTTAATACAGCATCCGGATTGGTAGAGGCACTTCTTGAAGTTGTTGATGTCTGCGTAGAAGTTTGTCAAGTCCCAAATATCTCCGTACGGACAAGGCTCCAATTCAAGGTAGAAGCCCCGGTGATCCTGTCTCTCAAACCCTCGGATGAGTCTCAGAATGGGTCTATTAGCGCCGTTCCGCGAGAGCACCCTATGCATTGTCATCTCCTGTATTCCCCCCGTCCAGTTTTCTCTGATCTTCAGGACCCTTCTCTGCCCACCCACATCTGTTAGATCTGCCGCAAAATTTCCGAATGAGTGTCACTCACCTCTACTATGTTGCCACTTGCATCATGACGCACGTACATGAAGGCGACTGAATCGTTACCACTGAGAGGATACCGCCGCCAGCCAACACCTGGAAGCTGGCCGTCCAGGCCTGTTATGTCTGTGCCTGTTATTTGCGTGCTCTGCCCCGGCACAACTGGTGGAACCTGTGGAGCCGGTGGTGGAGCCAGTGCAGCAGGCGGCAGTCCACCAGGCGGCAATTGTGGCCGTCCACGAAGATTGTACCGCGGTGTGTGCTGCATGGCGAGGGGTTATCTACGGCTGATGGATGTAGGTTGGCAAGTTGTACTCTAGTATACTGACGATTATCTCAAATGCAGTCATGAAGGAACAGAGAAGCACGCACACAGAAGTGGAGTGCACCGGCATCGCTTTGTTCTTCTGTTCACGCTGTGAACGAGCACTGCTTGCTTCCTGTTGCGGCGAGCTCAAAGGATAGCAGACCCGAACGACTCCACGAAGACAAAGAGATCCTATTGCGGACTACGATCCAGGGTTGTTACCCTTGGCTCTTACTGTAATCTTACCGCTGTACACGTTCGCCCAGCGGCATCACAAACATTCTCGATGGCCGATCGTGATCTCCTGTCGCGCTGGAAAGAGTCTTCCTCAAGTCCCGTCCGCCATTGAATCGGCGTAACGACGCCAACAAGTTCCGCTGGAAAAACATGCACATTCAAGCCGAAGGCGCAGCCATTGCAAGCTCGATAATCTGGGCTCCGCCGCGAAAAAAACAGCGTCTCGGTTGACAGTGCGTCTCCGGTGACGCAGTTCGACCAAGCTCTGATCATGAGCCATCCATATAAGGACAGCAAGGCAAAGCAATTCATATTCAGTCTTCAGTAGAGTCGGTATGAGGCTATACATCGCGACATCGGTTCATCTGGCAGCAACTAAGCCGTTCGGTCAACTCGATTCCGTTCCTGAGATAAAAATCGAAGTCCGCAAAGGGCTAGAACGGTCCCTTGGGATGCGAGGACTTAAGGCAATGGCAGCTTTCTGAAAGAGCGATTGAAGCCAGCGATGATGCGTTTCTTTGTTCAGTTGGAGAGACCCGGCAACATCTTCAGCAAGACGCAGAAATACAACCACACGAACCGATCAATGAAGCGCTTCATAGACCGCATGGATCGTAAACAGTAGATCTAGAATAACCTAACAGAGCTTGAGACAGCTTCTCTCGAGACCTTGATGTCCTGGCTGGATCGGGTGCAGGCCGGATATATGGCTCCATTCCAACACTTCACCATTTACATCGACTACCCGATACCCACTGTACATCTGTTTCAAAAGCAAAGCTTTCCTCCATCATAGTCCACACGCCTCGATCGATTGCCCACACATGCCTCGCCTTCCATGTCCAGCATGCTTAACCACCAGTCCAGCATCCACACCGTCGAATTCCTGCAAGGGCATCAGAAATATCCGTTTACACCATCCGAAGCCAAACGCAGGCCCCGAGCCCGTCCCCCATGATTGACCCATCAAGCCCTCCTCTCCCACCCCTCCCAGCGCCAACCAGAACCGTCAACCAGACTCTCCCGGCCGCCAAAACGCGCGATCTGAACCAGGCCACCCGCGCCCGTTCTCCCCAATCTTGCATCCCGTTCTGCCTTCATTCGCCAATCCGAAGCCTCGTCGATGGCCCCTTCAAAGTGACTGCAGAGCGCCCACTCAATCCGCCTCAAATAGTTTCGCCAGCGTCGCATTTGCGTGTAGTGCTACTCTGGTGCTCCCTCTCCAATCCCTCGCAGGCTTCACATACGTGACGGGTTGTTTCGTGCTTTCTCGGCTTCGCCGCACGGTGAGCCTTGTACGACTTGCACGCTGCGAAGCTGAGGACAGGAAGATGGCAGGCAAGGGAATTCCGGCGCAGGCGGTGCTCAGGCTCGGTTCGGCGTTGGTCGCTTTTGGCGGAGAGCATGAGTTCTACGTTGGTCGTGATCCTCTCTTTTCGTACGTACCGGAGCGATCCAGGGCTGGGGTTTAGCCAACGACGGAAACAAATTTGAATGAGATGATCAAAGGCCTCCGGCAGAGAGCCTAGGAGACCGCCGTAGCAATGGCCCAGAACCGTAGCTGTGGACTTCAACCCCCTGATGCAATGAAAGTCGATGTCCAGGTATCTCACAGCAATTCGATCATCACGTTCACAGCACTCACACACATGACCCAGCAGACAGGTGCCAAATACCCATGTTTGTGACTCATGTTGTTCTAATAAGCAGTACTGTCACCACGTTCTTAAGCACAACTCGCAAAGGAAACCCCACGCTTGCCCCGAACCCGAACCCGACCCCAGGCTCGCCGTCTCAAAAGGTTCATGCCAGTCCATTAAGAAAGCCCCCCCCGGTACCTTCGTGCATCTCGAGAGCCCGTTTCGCAGGACTCTCTCTCTGTCTACTCGGAAGGCTTGGACTCCTCGGCGGCAGGCGCCTCCTTGGATTCGCCGGCGGGCTCGGCGCTGGACTCGGCTGCTGGCTCGGCTTCGGAAGAGGTCCAGAGTGTCTGTTGTATGGTTAGCAATGGACGGGTTGTGGGGTTCAAGTGGAGCTTACGAGGTTGTCCCGGAGGAGCTGCATGATGAGGGTGGAGTCCTTGTAGCTCTCCTCACTTAGGGTGTCAAGTTCTGCAGCGAGTTAGAAGGCACGTGGGATGCGGCGAAATGAGTTGAGCTGAGTGACTCACCGGCGATGGCATCGTCGAACGCTTGCTTGGCGAGGTGGCAGGCCTGGTCTGGCGAGTTCAGGATCTCGTAGTAGAAGACGGAAAAGTTCAAGGCGAGACCAAGGCGGATCGGGTGCGTCGGGGCGAGATCAGTCTGTGCAACCTCGGTGGCAGCCTTGTAGGCCTCCAGTGACTTGTCGGCGGAAGTCTTGCGCTTATCGCCGATGGCGAACTCGGCGAGGTAGCGGTGGTAGTCACCCTTCCTGTTGGAGAAGATCCGGTCAGCGGTTAAATCTAGCGATGGAGAAGGGGGTTCTCACATCTTGTGGTAGAACACCTTGGATTCGCCGCTCTGGGCAGATGGGATAAGGTGCTTGTCCAAAACCTCCAGGATGTCCTCGCAGATCTTGGCAAGCTCGGCCTCAATCTTCTGCCGGTATTCCTTGATCAGACCGACCTGAGCCTCGTTGCCCTTGGACTCCTCTTTCTGCTCGATTGAGGTGACGATTCTCCACGACGCACGGCGGGCACCGATGACATTCTTGTAGGCGACGGATAGTAGGTTTCGCTCCTCGACGGAGAGCTCTTGGTCTGCCGAGGCGACGGTCTTCATGTTCTCGACCATTTCTGGAAGTGCGGTTAGTGGGAGAAACGCGGTAGAGAGCGGAGATTGTCTTACCCTCATAGCGCTCGGCTTGCTCAGCAAGCTTAGCTAGGTAGACTGCATCTTCGTAACCCATTGTGACGGATGTACTACAGAGACGGAAATGTCAGCGTGCTGCCAGGCGAGTTGATGCTTCGTTTAAATGACGCGTCACCGACGGACTTTGCGGTTGTGAATGTAGAGATTCCGACTGCACAGGCGCGAGAAGAGAAGTACTCGCGGGTGGACAAAGGCGGTGAAGGAGGCTGGTGAAGATGGCTTCGGCAGTTGCAATCACTTCGGCGGACCGAACGGATAGCGAAGTGAAAAGCAACGAGTGGGTGCGTGATTGAGGTGGCTCTGAAGCGAATGGTGAGGTCGCAAGGAGGAAGGTCTGAGACGTGAGGCGGAGTGCCAGCCAAGCCGTCCAGTCACCGGCAACATAGCCATCGACCAACACGGAGCAATCCCCAGCGCTGCATGGCACTTCCAAGACGCGACTTCAGTGAGCGCAGACGGGCGATAGCGCTGGATGGACCCTGCGGTGGCAGAGTGTCCGGATGACGAAGGAGGGTACGAAGGAGCCTTACCTGGACACGTAGGAAAGGAGGTGCGGAAATTCGGGCGGATAGGTCAGGTGCTCGGAGGGAGGGAGTTGCAGCGACGCTGATTGCTTGAGAGTCTGTGGGCGACTGATAGCGAGACTGAGGGGCAGTTGGTGTTGTTGTTGTTGTGGGTGCTGGTCGGGAGGAAAACGAATGGAAGGGAGATGGTGAACTCTTCGAGCGAGGTGGGCCGTTTCGCTTACCTCAGTCGGGCAAGGCCGCAAGGCCACGCCAAGCCGCGTGCTGTGTTGACATTTAGAATGCGACTCCTCGACTGATGAAGCCGCTGCTGTGTTTCAGTCGCCTTCACTTCAGTACACGATTGGATCGCAAACATCTCAATCACGCAGTCACTGCACGCAGATTGGCCATAAGGCACAAGCTCGGTCTTCAATTGGCGCAAGCGCTCAGAAAAGGCCTAGGTGTCAGAGGTATCAGTACCAAGTACCAGTACCAGAGCCAGCACAACACCCGTCCCCGAGGCAGAGTCAAGCTTTCTGCCACATGATGTCCAAGTCACATGGCCTGCACCCCCATGCACGCAGATGTACCTTCTCCGGTTGCATCTGTGTACCTAGCCCTGCTGTACCGAGTCCTGCTGTACCAAAGTCAACTTGCGGAGAGATCACGGGACTTGCGCCAAGCCCATGCCCTGGAGAGCTCTCTCCATCTCCACCACCTCGCAGCTTGAGCAAGCTGACCGTCACCCCATCTCCCCACCACCACAACGACCACTCGCACGCATAAAAGGCAGCCATCCATCCACCCTCACAGCCATCCCACGTCCCATAAAGATGACCCGCCCAGCCCTCATCCGCGTCCTCAAGACCGCAGCACCCCGCCGCCTCCTCTCCACCACCGCCAAAGCCATGGCCGCAGGCGACACCGGCGCTGCCAGGTCGGGTGGCGAGCGCGCGGCGTAAGCTCCTCCCTCTCCCTCGCCTCTGTCGCCTATATCTAATGCATTGGGCCGCAGGGACGCCTTCACCCGCCGCGAGCGCTCCGCCGAGGAGATGTACATCCGGCAGGAAGAGCGGAACAAGTGAGCTTCGCGGTGTCGTGTGGAGGGGTATATGGGCTAATGGAGTGACTGTGCAGGCTCCTGCAGCTCAAGGAGAAGCTGAAGCAGCAGAGGAAGCATATCGATGAGCTTGATAAGCACATGTACGTCATCGGCCTTGTGCCTTGGACTGGTGTAGGAGCTCGAAGTGGTTGAGGGCAGTTGGCTGACTTTGGGGGCTTACAGCGACGACTTGACCAAGAACCAGGGCGGCGAGCACAACTAGCTTGGGGCGCGGGCCGTGTTGTTGAAGCTTGGAGGAAACACTCTACTGGCGGCAATCGAAAGTCAACTTGCAGCTCTATTTGTATCATCTTGGCGACTACCTCAGATTGGCCCCCACGGTCTGGCGGACGCAGCAAGTTTGCGAGCGGTGTGGATATAGTGGTTTTCCAACTCATCTCCTTCTACATACTGATTTGAACATAAGTCTTACGCCCGTTTGGGATTATTTAGGATCAAGATTCCCGAAACACCTTTGCGCTGTTGCACTTAGCTCGCAGTAATCGATAAAAATCTTGATTCCTGCTCCAGCTATTAAGTTGCAGTAAAGCACACACCTCTCATGTGTCACGGCGCTCAATATGTCTCGCCATAATTTTCCTTCGGATAGGTTTACCGTTCTACTTATAAAAGTAGCTTCAGAAACTGCACATGTATTTGCTGATTCTGTCCTACAGCTCGCGCACACAACCGGCTTCTACCGTTGCCATTCAAATCTTCTCTCACCCAAGCTTCATGTCCTCACAATGCCCAAGTAGCATCCGATCATCCGCGTCCCGTCCAACGCCCAGCAATGACCAATCAGCATCCCAAAGTGATCCTCGCCCACATACTCTCGCGTTTTACTCAATTGCTGACCCCAATTCTTCACCGCCGTGACATGTACGAGCGGTAAAAGTCATCCGCCGGATCACTGCCCAAGCCATGGTATCCATTGGCAGCTCCCAAGCGCTGTCCCTCCTTCTGCGCGGCGGCGACCTTGGCCTGCAGCGCCGCAGCGCCCGAGTCAATCGCCTGCAGCTGCGCGAGATGGCTGTTAAGCACCCGAACGACCTGTGAGAGCTAGACACTCAACGTCAGCAACCCGCACCCTCTCAAAAAAACCCCCCCCATGACCAAACAAACCAGCAGCTTACCGGATCGTCGCTCTTGCCCGCCCTGCTCAGTTCCGCCCCGACCCCGTTAACCTCCCCGATCATGTCCGCCAGATCCCTGTTCAGCCCCGCCAGCCTCTCCGCCGCCTTCTCCGCAACCCCATACGTGCGCTCCCTCTCCGCATCCGCCCCGCCTTGGCCCCCGAACCCCCTCCCATGCTCCCCGCCACCAACGCCCACCCTCCCCATCAACTCGCCCACCACGCCCTCGAACCTCTCGAGCATGGCCTCCAGCTCCTCCTGCTGGGCCTCGACGCTCGTCAGCTGCCTCTCCACCTCGGCCGTATCGCGCTCCGCATCGAACGTCTTCTTGTACAGCGCCGAGATCCTGTCCGTGTTGGTGACGAGCAGCCGGTCCCACTCGGCGATCTGCGACGCCTGCGACTGGAACTCTTTCTGGTATTTGGACAGGTCTGAGGCCCAGCGCGTGAGGATCTCGTCCATGGATTTGTTCTTGAGGGCGGAGGCGGCCGAGGGGGCCGGGCCCGCGTTGGAGGTGCTGAAGGTGTTGGTTGGGGCGGCCGGGGGGGCGGTGGTTGTGGGTGCCGGGGCAGTGGAAGAGGGCTGGGTGGTGGTGGCTGAGGCGCCGAGGCCACTGAAGAGGTTGGAGGTGGGCGCTGCGGTTGTCGTTGTTAGTGCCGTACTAGACGCGCTGGTCGGTTTGCCGAGGTTTGCGAACATGTTGGAAGCTGGTGCTGCTGCTGTGGTGCTGGGCCCTGTGGTAGCAGCGCTTGTCGTTGACCCCAGACTTCCGCCGAGGCTTGCAAACATGTTGGATGCTGGTGCTGCGGCCGTTGTGCCGGGTGCCGCGGACCCTGCGCTCGACGAGGAGCCGAGATTTGCGAACATATTGTTGGTCGGCGGTGATATAGCGGTGGCCGGCGCCGAGGCCGATTTAGTCGTCTCAGCCGCATTTGCTTTGGCAAAGTTGGCAAATGGCGATGCTGCAGCACCAGTGAAAAGGCTTTGGGTCCCGGCAGGACCGCTTGTTGCACCTGAGTTGCCTCCCGCACCGCCGCCAAGATTGCTGAACATATTTGGGGCTGCGCCTGCGCTTGTCGTGGCGGTTGAGCCTCCACCCCCTAGGTTTGCGAACATGTTCGAAGACGCGGCAGCGGTTGTTGTTGCTGGCTGTGAGGTCGCTGGAGAAGCGGCAGCTCCTCCCCCTAGGTTGCTGAAGAAGTTCGGAGCGGCAGCTGGACTTGCTGCGGGCGTCTGTGAAGTGGGCCCCCCTCCCCCGATGTTGAACTGCAACTTATTGGATGTGGCTGGAGGGGAAGCGCTCACTCCTGTGGTTCCTAGAGTGAAAGCGCTCGGTGCTGCTGAGCTCGGTTGGTGGCCTTGGGCACCGCCGGTTGCAGGCTTGTTGAAAAAGCCACCTGAGCCTGCAGTCGACGGTGTAGTGGGTTTGTTGGCGTTTCCAAACAGACTCTGCGGTGCATTGTTCGACGTCATGTTGCCGAAAAGACTGGGTGATGCGGTGGATGTTGTTGCTGGCGTGCTGCCGAACGGATTTGCTGGTGCAGGAGACGCGAGAGGTTGCTGCCCGGACGCCTGAGCATTTTGCTGGGCACCGAACAAGCCAGCCCCCGCACCAGCCGCGGTGTTCGACGGTGGGTTACCTGCCGGTGTTGTAGAAAACCCAAAAGAAAGGGCTGGTTTGCTGGATGCCGGGGTCGCTGTGCCCCCAGGAGCGGATGAAGCCGCATTGTTACCGAACAACGACGTCCCCCCAGTGGATGCTCCAAAAGGACTTGCGCCAGTTGCACCCGATGTAGCAGTGCCGAAAGTGTTCGACGGGGCCGAAGATGCAGCTGCAGTGCTGGTGTTGTCGGCCGGTTTACCGAAGGCAAAGGTAGGCATCCCGGTACTATTGGGCGCGGTCGCTTGGTTCTTTCCAAATGCTCCAGACCCCCCGCCGAACATCGATTGGCCTGCTGGTGCGGATGCTGGTTGCTGTCCAAACAGGCCGCTGCCTGGGTTTCCTGGAGTGGTGCCGCCTGACCCAAAAAGACTACTGCCGGCCGGCTTGTTTCCACCAAGAGAGAACGGCGAGGATGTGGTAGTCTGGGTGTTGCTACCGAACAATGGCTGGGATGCTGGTGCGGATGCTGGACCAGACGTAGCGGGCGTGTTGCCGAAAGGCGAGGGAGCGGATGTGGTACCAGTGCTCGCGAAGCTGAAAGGGTTCTTCTGCGTGTTGTCTGCCATGATGGGCGATCCTGCCGGAGACTGAGCAAGCCGTTTGTTAGTACGAGGGGTTGCGATTCTGCGAGGAGAAGTCCCGCGCGGAGGCGCAAACATGTTGTCCATCATCTTGACTGGCACAAACTGGGTAGGCGTGGAGCTTGTGGATTGCGAAGGAGATACAATTATAGACTTACTAAGGGAGATTAGCAGCTTTAGACTGCCGTTAAGGGGATGCAAGTGGTGCCTTCTTGTGAATGGTTGCTAGTGTGAAGCAACGCGTGGGAGGAAGTCGCGCGCCGGTCACTTTCTGCTGGAGCTTGAACCTTCGAGCGTGTTTTGGTGAAGCTGCGGCGCTGTAGACCCCTGTCCGGCCATCCGAAGCTCCTTGTTGGTCCGCCCCGAGATATCTTGGCATCCGCGAGTATCCCGCAAGGGAGTCGTGAGGCTCACAGCCGAGTTGACCTGACGGACACTGAACAGCTGCCATTACACATTGTCTCTTGAACGTTCACGGGGATTGGAAAAGCTGCATTGCACACTGATCATGGACGCGTTAGCACCTCCCAGGAAGAGCGTCGAGCTTGAAGACCCAGGTGCACATGAGCTCGGTATGCAAAACAACCCCCCCCCCCTTCTTGTCACCAGGCAGAAACACGTCAGTATTAACACTATCCAAGGCTCATCCGACGTCGAGGACCACTTCTCAGATGCCTCAGAAGGGCGACAACCACCAGTCGAGCGATCCAGTGGCACCTCCCCCGTCCCTCTCACCCGCGTAGAGCGAGTGGACGACAAGCCGGCCTACGGCGAAGTTCCCGGAACGCCTGCCTACAAGATGCGGACCTGGGACGCCGTGCCCGACGAAGTCGAAGTCGTCCCCGAAGGACAGCGCAGCCGGAGCTCCTCTTGGCTCCGCCCCACAGACCGCCCCTCCACCCCCCGCTCGCCGGGCGGCACCCCTCTCGTTGTTGTCGAGAGGGTTGACGACAAGCCAAGTCATGGCGAGGTGCCTGGAACGGAGGCACATGCGATTCGCAAGGCGGACGCTGCACCGGATGTTATTCTCAAGGCGCCGCAGAAGGCTGGGAAGAAGCTAGAGGGTAAGCCATGCAGTTTCCTTTCCTTGCGCTCTTTCAACGTGCGATTGACGGACTAAGGATCGCCAACTTCGTCGGTGAACAGATCTCCCAGCCCGGTCGAACCACTAGAGGAGCCTGCAGGCTTCGGTGACGATGCGGCGGACACGAATGACGACGATGGCATAGACGAAGGCTTTGGTGATGAGTTTGACGACTTTGAAGAGGGAGGGCAAGAGGATGATGATTTTGGCGATTTCGGTGATGGGTTTGAGCAGGCGGACCAGGGAGCAGAGAGTGCTTTTGATCAGTCCTTTACTCAACCTTCTGCTCCTGTTGCTCCGCCTTCACTTGTAAGTAAATACAGAGACAAGTCTCAACCTGAATCATCCAGTACAGTGTCGCTCTCGAACAAGATGTACCGCGGCTGACCCGCGCCACCCACATGACAGCCCATCCCTAATTTCGACGACTCCAACACACCAGAAGATATCCAAGCCGCATGTCAACCCTACATCAGCGAACTCTTCCCCTCCCTCAACCTCGACCCCTCAACAGACTCGTCTTCGCAAACCGCCACCTCCCTCTTTCTCTCCGAGCGCAGCCTCTCCCTCTGGTCCCAGCTCGTCGCCCCGCCTCCCCTCCAACCCCCCAACTGGGTCCGCTCCCGCATCCGCCGCCTCTTCCTCGTCTCCCTCGGCGTGCCCGTAGATCTCGACGAGATCCTCCCCGCCAGCAAGCAAAAGAAGCTGATCCTGCCCTCCATCAACCTCTCCAACGAGCGCTCACCGCGACCCTCATCCGACAACCGCGGCAACGGCGCCGTCGCGCGCCTGAAACAGGGCAACGACTCCTCTGCCTCTGTCAACTCATCCACCTCCAAGGCCGAGAGGAAACGCCGCGGTCCGCCGCCGCCGCCAGAGCTGGATGTCAGCTCGACAACAATGCTGTGCTCCACGACGGAGCTAGCGTTGAGGAGCTATACGGACGAGGAGCTGGAGGCGCATGTGGCACGGTTGAAGGAGCTGCAGATACGGGCTAGTGAGGTGTTGGAGTATTGGCTCAAGCAGAAGGATAGCGCGATGGGGGATAAAGATGCGTTTGAGGGGGTGATTGAGAATTTGGTCAAGCATGCTAAGAAGGTTAGGGAGTGAGGTATGATAATGTCACGTGCGAGTGGAACGGAGCAAAGACGCTCGGAGTGAGCGAACTCGCAACGGTGGTGCTGGATATCGATGACGGATGCCGGTAATATCCCAACGCTGCCCAGGGAACAGTTGAAAAGTGTGGCTGGATTGAGAGAAACCGTCTCGGCGTCGATTGCAGGTCCGGCGGTGATCTGTATCTGAGCAGGCAGCTGGCCCGCCTATCAAACAGATGTTTCAAGCGCGCCGACCCCGGACTGCGGCATAACTGAGGCTCTTCGAGAATCGGGATCTCGCAAAACGGTGGCCTCAAGCACCGGAGTTGTAGCTGCCGTACTGCGACATAATCGACAGGATACGGCCGGATCCATGTAGACTTGATTGCATTGATCGTATAGCGGTCTTAAGCCAAGATAGGAGTCTGTCTGCTCTGGACTCGTAACTTGTAGGCTGCCTTTGCTCGCGTGTGCAGCAGGCTACATCTCAGTCTTGAAAGTACAACAAGGTGGTGTCTTTGAAGGTTAACAGGACAAACTGTCCCGTGTCCGCACCTCTCTTGAGAGGGCGGCCTCAGACAGCCACGACGCGTCCACGGATGCGTTCCTCAACGGCGCCGGCGCCGGCCTTTAGCGCTGGCCTCAGTTGAGCTAGGAGCACCAAGAGCTCCTCAAGTGATACGGAGTACTGCCCGTCGCCAGTGAGCGAGGTCGGTTTCGAGATTGGCTCCTTAGCTCAGTTGGAAAGGGTCTAGCGAGCTAAGCTTGTGTTCGCAGTTGGGCAGCGACGCGGGTTAGACGCTCGAGACAGTATTTCAGCACGTGATGCTCCTGGTAAGGCAAGTAAGCTGTCAGCCTGAGCCCGTCGTGAAATGTGGAAGCTTTCGCAGGCTGTGTTGCTCCGAGCCTGTTTACACATGTCCAGGTACGTTGATGTCGACATCTGGTTGTCCACTGGTGATGGCATTGAGCTTCAGCTATCACAAAGGCCATGATCGCGGCACAGGGGAGTTATTGTACGTTAGCGCGCTGTCAGCTGCGGAGGAACCCTGGTTGCGGGTGTGAAGCGCGGCTGTTTCATCCATCCATCCATTCAGACCTGACTCCTGCACAAAAGTGGCCGGCTGTGATTCCTCACGCTGTGCCCCGATCTCATCAACAGGCTTGGCCAGTTCAAGATCGCGCTCGGCGACAGCTTTCGTTGTGAAACAGAGGTGATGGCACAGCGGAGCGCCAGATTACGTCACAAGACAACGCGTGGTGCCGGAAGCGGCTTTGATGCCAGATGCTTGGGAGCGTGGCTCGACCATATGTTTCGTCGCCCTGTCGAGGCTGTCAGGCCGCGGCTCCGTCACGAAAAGGCAGTTGCACGCTCGTGAGAGAAAGGCTAGAGCCTCATCCGCATGCCGATCCGTCAGCGGTCAAGAGCAACCTTGAAGCGAGAGCGTGGCGACAGCTCCGTGACTCGCTGCCTCAGCTCCCGCGCCACACCCCCCCCTTCCTCCCCCAAGCGCGAGCGCGCTCCAGCACGGGACGAGGCCATAGCCAAGCAAATTGGCTGCATCTTAGCCCTCCCTCCGCGATCTGCACCAGAACTCGACGGCCGTCTGCGTAAATTGCACTTCCTGCCCTGACTTTCGCTGGGCCCTCTTAATTAGAGCACTTTGAAGTCACTCTGCGTGCGTGGAGCGAGTCCTGTCGACACAGTACCTGACCCTTCGCAAACAAAGGTCGCACGTTCTGCCGGGGAACAAGGCATTGCGTAGCTGGTCGTGCTGCCTTACGGCCCAGAACGCCCACACCCCTGAGTGGTTTTGTCGCTGTCGGCTGTTCCTTTGGGCAGCTTCCTCATCACAAGGCCCTTCGACTTCACGGCCTTCGTCAAGGACTTCGCTCTATCTTTCCTTGCAAGTCGTTCGTGAGGTTGGAGTGTTGTTGCCAGGAGATTCAGCTTGTGTAGCCCCTGCCGCCGGTCAGCAGACAGGATACCCATTTCACGACCTCGAGCTGAATGATCGTGTAAACGTTCGCAAGCGACCTTCCACCCGCGATGCTCGACCAACAGACCACAGCCGCCGTCGCTGGCGTGCTGTCGAATCTCGCGAAATCCTACGATCCCGCCATAGACGGCTCCTTCACCGGCCAGGTCGCAGCAAACGGCGGCAAGCTGAACAGGATATTCCTCCCTGGCCCCGAAAGTCCCACGAAGACGGCTTTGGAGCTCGAGCTTTCTGCTCTCGCAGCGCGAGTACAGTACCTCGAGGCAAAGGCGAGCACGGTCAATGATAATACCTTTCCAATAACGCCGGGTGAGCCCACGGTCTCATCACCCTTTGCTTCTGGGTCACCGACCAATACCCCGAGGACTTTAGGCTCGATACCGACACGCCATTCATCCAGCGCCAGCAAGGACAGAACAACGTGGGTGGAGAACTGGCTCGCCAAAGACGCTGCCGACGAGCAGCAGGCGCCTTCGACGAACCCGACGGGGAAGCAGCTGGGTTATCTGCGAGATCACCTCAACAAGCAGGCTGAGCAGATCAAGAGCCAGCGCGAACACATCGACAGTCTGAGCGCGGAAGTCAACAGGCACTTGCGAGATCAAGATGCTGCCTTTGGTCACGGTATTGAGGATATCGGTGCACTCAAACGCGAGTTGGGCAAGCATCAGCAAGCCAACCTGGCTTTCCAGAAGGCATTGCGGGAGATTGGAAGTATCGTCACTGCTGTCGCGAACGGAGACCTCAGCAAGAAGGTATTGATACACGCCAAAGAGTTGGACCCTGAAATCACGACCTTCAAGCGCACGATCAACAAGATGGTGGATCAGCTACAGGACTTCGCCAGTCAAGTCACGCACTTGGCGAAGGAGGTGGGCACAGAGGGACGACTGGGCGGTCAGGCCTCGCTTCCAGGTGTCGATGGTATATGGGCTGAGCTGACCGATAGCGGTGCGTTAAGCATTTCACTTCCTCGATCAAAAACTCGCTAATGGAACGCAGTGAATGTAATGGCTAGGAACCTCACAGAGCAAGTGCGTGAGATCGCTGTAGTAACCACTGCTGTCGCGCACGGCGACCTCAGCCGCAAGATCGTGCGGCCGGCTCGTGGCGAGATCCTACAACTACAACAAACGATAAACACCATGGTGGATCAACTGCGAGCGTTTGCAACTGAGGTGACAAGAGTCGCTAGAGATGTCGGCACAGAAGGTGTCCTCGGCGGCCAGGCACGTATCGATGGTGTGCAGGGCATGTGGAACGATCTTACAATCAACGTCAACGCTATGGCTATGAACCTGACAACGCAAGTCAGAGACATCGCGGAAGTGACGACAGCTGTGGCGAAAGGAAACCTCACGCGCAAGGTCCAGGCTGAGTGCAAGGGCGAGATTCTGGAGTTGAAGCTAACCATCAACTCTATGGTGGACCAACTCCAGCAGTTCGCACATGAAGTCACCAAGATTGCAAGGGAGGTCGGCACAGAAGGTCGGCTCGGAGGACAAGCTACCGTCCATGGCGTCGAGGGCACCTGGAAAGACCTGACCCAGAATGTCAATGGCATGGCTATGAACCTAACCACTCAGGTGCGGGAAATCGCGGAGGTGACGACCGCTGTCGCCAATGGAGACCTCAGCAAAAAAGTTAGTGCAGAGGTCAAGGGCGAGATCTTGGCTCTAAAGATTACAATCAATACCATGGTGGACCGATTGAACACGTTCGCACTCGAGGTCAGCAAAGTGGCTCGTGAGGTGGGTACCGAGGGTATACTCGGCGGCCAGGCAGAAGTGGAGAACGTAGAGGGTAAATGGGCGGATTTGACCAACAATGTCAACACCATGGCGCAGAATCTTACCCTTCAGGTGCGAAGTATATCCGACGTCACGCAAGCCATCGCACGCGGCGACATGACGCGAAGAGTCAGCGTGCATGCGCAGGGAGAGATCCTACTTCTCAAAGACACCATCAACGACATGGTTGCCCGTCTAGACGACTGGTCGCTGGCGGTCAAGCGCGTGGCGCGCGACGTGGGCGTGGACGGGAAGATGGGCGGCCAAGCAGAAGTGTCTGGCATCGGTGGACGGTGGAAGGAGATTACCACGGACGTCAACACGATGGCGCAGAACCTTACATCTCAAGTGCGAGCATTTGGCGACATCACGAACGCAGCTACTGAGGGCAAATTCACCCAGATCACCGTCGAGGCGTCGGGTGAGATGGACGAGCTCAAGCGCAAGATCAACAAGATGGTGCAGAACCTGCGGGAGAGTATTCAGAGGAACACCGCCGCGAGAGAGGCAGCAGAACTTGCGAACAAGACCAAGTCCGAGTTCCTGGCCAACATGAGTCACGAGATCCGGACGCCCATGAATGGCATCATCGGCATGACCCAGCTCACACTGGACACGGATCTGACGCAGAACCAGCGAGAGATGCTCACCATTGTGCACAATCTGGCTGGCCAGCTCTTGACCATTATCGATGACATCCTGGATATCTCTAAGATCGAGGCGAACCGCATGGTCATGGAGGAGATCCCCTTCTCGATCCGCGGAACAATCTTCAACGCGCTGAAGTCGTTGACCTCAAGGGCAAACGATAGGTCACTGAATCTGGCATATCAGGTCGACAGCTCCGTGCCCGACTATGTTCTGGGCGACTCCTTCCGTTTACGGCAGATTATTCTCAACTTAGTCGGCAACGCTATCAAGTTCACTGAGCATGGCGAGGTCAAGATCGATGTAGAGATGGCGCCCCAAGCAGCATGCGCGCCTGATCAGTACGTGTTCAAATTCGCCGTGTCCGACACCGGTATCGGTATCCACGGCGACAAGCTCAACTTGATCTTCGACACCTTCCAGCAAGCCGACGGGTCTACGACGAGGAAGTTCGGCGGAACCGGTCTCGGCCTGTCCATCTCGAGGCGCCTGGTCACTCTTATGGGCGGTAGGATGTGGGTCGAGTCTGTTTATGGACAGGGTAGCACGTTCCATTTCACTTGCAAGGTCCGCCTTGCAAACCCTAACGTCACTGCCATCATGCCCTCTCTCGTCCCTTACGCCAAGCATACCGTGCTGTTCATCGACCAAGGTCACACTGGCTTCTCCAACGAGATCATCAGCCATATCGAGGCTCTTAACTTGAAACCGTTGGTTGTTCATTCCGAGGAAGAGATTCCAGAGCCCAGCTCGAAGAAGGCATTCGACTGTGTGCTCGTGGACTGCCACAGCACAGCACGGAAGCTGCGCGATGCAGAGAAGTTCAAGTACATCCCGCTGGTCATGGTGACGCCCAAGGTCTCTATAAGTCTCAAAGCCGCGCTAGAGGATGGTATCTCCAGTTACATGACCACGCCATGCCTGCCTATTGATCTCGGAAACGCCCTCATCCCAGCCCTGGACGGCAGAGCTGCACCCTCCGTCTCGGATCACTCGAAGTCCTTCAACATTCTGCTCGCCGAAGACAACGCCGTCAACCAGCGGCTGGCCGTCAAGATCCTTGAGAAGTACCACCACACCGTCACCGTCGCCAACAATGGCCTGGAGGCCTTCCAAGCCGTGCAAAAGATGCGCTACGACGTCGTCCTCATGGACGTCCAGATGCCCGTCATGGGCGGCTTCGAAGCGACCGCCAACATCCGCGAATGGGAAGCCAAGCAAGGCCTCACACCCACCCCCGTTGTCGCGCTCACCGCCCACGCCATGGTCGGCGACCGCGAGAAATGCCTCGCGGCCCAGATGGACGATTACCTATCCAAGCCGCTCAAGCAGAACCAGCTCATACAGACGATTCTGCGTTGCGCGACGCTGGGCGGTGCGCTGCTCGACCGCAACAAGGACAACAGGCTGTCGATGCATGGCGGCGACGGGGAGGGTGCGGTCATGGTGCATGCGCCGAAGGGGACGGCGACGCCGCCGCCGCCGAAGGTGACGCCGAGACGGGAGCGCCCTGCGATGGATCCGAGGGGGTACACGACCACGGGGAGGGAGGGCCAGGATAGTCCGAACTTGTTGGCGGTGGATCAGAGTGATCCGTTAGATGATAGAGTGAGTGTTCCCCGCCGTCTTTTCTCCAAATTCTCCGGCTGACTGAACCGTTTAGCATTTACTACTCCGGTCGCATAGCAGCTGAGCGGCCGGTTTCGCTTAGACATGGTTGATGTTCGATTCGGCTTCCTTCTGTTCGAGGGGGGCTTTTTCTTGGCGGTTGTGCCCGTTGTTGTCTTTGACGTTTCTTAAGCGGCCATCGAAGGGCTTGGTAGTGCTTTGAGGCCTACAATACAGCCTGTCAGGGGGCGTTCTCAAGGAGTGGGGCGAGGGCGATGTGGGCCATGCAATGTCGAGGTGCTGTTTGCGACGGTTCGGAGTGTTACAGGTGGTTGATGGGATTTGTAGTTTACCCTGCTCCGGCTTTCGGGGTTCTTCGAGCTGGCGGGTTTCTCGCTGCGGTGTTGTACGTTTCGTGGATTCATGACCAAGCGGTAGGGAATATACCTGTCTTACGTCTTCCAGTCTGATTAGGCTCAACACTGGCCGTTCATTGTATGAGTAGCAGTTGATCACATATGAAGCGATAGCAGACGATCTGGCCCAATCCACATAGAGAAACGTTTCCATGTTTGGATGCAAGTGCTTCCTCCATGTATTCTTGAATCTTATAGATAACGTGGATTTTCCGGATAACAGCTCCAACCCACTAACGATTTGATGACCAATGAACGAGCAAATGCTTCGGTACAAGAACTTTTTGTCTTAGAAACATGCGACATGTCGCTGGTCAGGTGAATAGGCGACTGCCACTGCTGGCGTCATACGAAATCGCGGTACGCGAAACCTCTCCACTCTGACCGGCGACGAGGCTACAAGGCAAATTTGAGGCCTCCGCCCTCTTCACTTCCGCCTCACTTGACTCACCTTCACGCCTTATTCCATGTACATGCTTCACTACTGTTGCCCGGCCTGGTTTTCCTTATCCGGAGTCAAGGCGCACTCACATATGCGGGACACTTCCAACGCGCGACTGCGACTTTTTCTCACGACGCACAAACTCAGCCTCACGGGTCTCTGCGCTGCTGACTCTCACTGCCCTCTGGCACAATAAATTGTCTTTCGCATCCGCTAGTTCTCTGCGCGCTTTTTGTTGTCTTCGCCTGTTAATACCTCTTTGTACCGGTTTCCCGGATCGCGCCTACAGTTTCCAACAGGCGCGACCCGCCTTTCAGCATGGCTTCGCTACCTCCAAACGCCTCCGTGACGGAGATAGAGGAAGAGCTTCTATTCACCAGGCTCCTACTCGACTCTATAGACCCGGAATCTGACGACGCTGAGGCGCAGCGACAAGAACACTATAGGACCTTAGAAATACTGGACAACATGTTGAATTCGCTGCACCCGGTGCCAGCGTTCGATGGAACCAGTGAAGATCCAGAGTCATACTACCTACAGCCCCAGGTGGCTGGTCCCTCGTCAGCTGCAAGTTCAGCTCAATCCTCCACTCCATCGATCCCATCCACGGCTACTTCTCGCAAACGTCCTCGAACTCAGTCCGGGCCCAGCCTTCAGCCTCAGCCTTACAAGTCCCGCCGCACCACGCCTAGTCCCAGCACCACCTCGCCGGGAACGCCATCTTCCTTCGAGTCCCTGGAAGTAGCCGAGCCGGGCTTCGAACAACAGCGTGGGGGCACCTATGTCTCAAGAGACGCAGCGATGCAGAGGGCGTTGGAACAGCAGAGGGAAGCGCAGGCGATGGCAGTCGAAAGAGCTAGGCAGGCAAGAGAAGATGCCGCCATCGCCCAGAGCTATATGAGACCGCAGTCTAGGGCGCCCGCCTCCACTCAGAACAGGACTCAGGCTGTGCTCAATCGCGATGGATCTTTTCGACGTGACTACCCGTCGAGTACTCAGCCTTACAACGTCAGCAGCGGCATCCAGGGACCAGGAATGGCTCACGGCATCTATGCCACACGGGAACCAGCTTCAAGTGGGACGTCTAGAGTTCCCGTCCTACCAGCAAGCCCTAGTGGAACTGGACGAGCGGCGCATGGTTGGGGGACGCATTTGACGGTGCCTAAAGCAGAGGGAGGGATATCACCACCTCCTCTGTCCAGAACACCATATCGACCAAGTACTGGTGGCTCGGACATCATCGACTTGACAGGTGATGACGATGACGATGCTGAGGACATCAAGATCATACAGCCTACTCAACCGGCCGCATCTCAAGTAAGTTTCGCTCTCTTTGAACGTCGTCGTAATTGCGCGGCTTCTTGCGGCACGTCGTGGCACAACAGTGTCCTTCGTCTCTTCACTAAATAGAGCTCTACACTTACTACAACTACCCGACCGAGCCTACAGTAGCATAAGTCGTTTCAGTATACTTTAAGTCGACGGTATTACAGACGATTAAGTCTATAGCGGGCCGTCTCCGGGGCCGGAACGTATATGAATCGATATTGCAGAGTTTCCCGCGTGTGCATCACTGACCTGCCAACAGGCTCCAAGCCGTCCTCGCAACGGTTACCCATGGGATGCTACCCGGTTGCAACACAGAGCGCAACCTAATGGGCAGCAACAATACACAGCCGTTCCTAGTGTTCCGTCAAATAGCAGCATCCCCACCTACCCCGCAACTGTCTATTCAGCCGGACAGGCTCCCTATCCCGGCTATCCCGGCTATCCCTACTTCGATCGATACGGAATGCCATTGTCTCACGCTATGACTGAAGCTCTACACCGATCTCAATCCAAATATAGCATGCCGGGTGCTTTCCCTGGAGCCGAACTCAGCAACCACGCTGGCCCTAGTAGTCTGTCGAGAGTCGTTCCAGGATACCATGGTAGTGGCTGGGCTGGTGCTATTGTAAATCCCAATGTTGCAGGGGGTTTGTCAGTGGACGATCTGGATGATTTCCCTGGCACTGCGACGAGCCGGGGTTACGGCTATGATCGAGATATGGATCCTTATGCGCATATCATGGCGCAAGATGGGGCTGCGAACAAAGAAGACCTCGAGAAACTCCTCAAGAACATCAGGCCCGATCAGGATCTCCCGCCAGAGCTGCGCGAGGGGACACCCGATGCCCTGAAGTGTATTTTGATGGAGCACCAGAAGCTAGGTCTCTCATGGTTGAAGAAAATGGAGGAGGGGTCAAACAAAGGCGGCATACTCGCCGACGACATGGGCCTCGGTAAGACGGTTCAGGCCCTTGCGCTCATTCTCTCCCGGCCTTCGGAGGATCCGCGTCGGAAGACAACCCTCATTATCGCTCCGGTAGCGCTTATGAGGCAGTGGCAAAGGGAAATCGCCACAAAGGTCAAAGACCGCTACGCACTCAAGGTCCGCATTCACCACGGTCAGAGCCGCGCAAAGGACTTCAGAAAGCTTAGGGACTGCGACGTTGTGCTAACAACGTTCGGCACCGTCGCTACCGAGTTCAAGAGGAAGGAAGAATGGGATAAGATTAAGGCCAACAACCCCAACGCTCTGCCCGGCCCCAAGCATTCGCTGGCTCTTCTGGGCGATGAAAGCCTTTGGTATAGAATCATCGTTGACGAAGCACAATGCATCAAGAACAGAAACACGCAGGCTTCGAAAGCGGCTTGCCTGCTCCACTCGCAATACCGCTTCTGTATGACTGGTACCCCAATGATGAACAACGTCGAGGAACTGCAGGCGCTCATCCAGTTCCTACGAATCGCACCATACAATGACTTCAAGAAGTTCCGGTACGACATCAAGGCAGGCATGAGCAAGCACAGCGACTCCTTCGCCTTCAAGCAATCCATGAAGAAATTGCAAATCCTGCTCAAAGCAATCATGTGCCGGCGTACAAAGACGTCCCAGATTGATGGGAAACCGATCCTGCAGCTCCCACCACGCGTTACGGAGAAGAAGTACGCGATCTTCAGCGAAGATGAAACTCAGCTGTACTCGGCGCTTGAGAGGAAGACTCAGCTGGCGGTCAACAAGTACTTGAAAGCAGGGACCGCTATGAAGAACTACGCCAGTATGCTCGTCCTTCTGCTGCGACTCAGACAAGCTTGCTGCCACCCTCATCTGATCACCGACCTCAGCGTCACGGGTGCCACGGAAATCTCCGCGGACGACATGATCGCACTCGCTGCCCAGCTGACTGAAGAGGTAGTGAATCGGATCAAGGAGGTGAAGGGCAACTTCGAGTGCCCGATCTGCTACGATGCTGTAGAGAACCCCGCAATCTTCATCCCGTGCGGACACGACACCTGCGGCGAGTGCTTCTCAAAAATCTCGGATCCGTCGCGCGCCATTGCTGCTGGGGAGGATGCAGCCACTGCTGATGTCGTTTGTCCGGAATGTCGCTCGAAGATCAACCCGAAGAAGATCATCGACTACAACGCGTTCAAGAAGGTGCATCAACCGGAATTGTTAAGCCAAGTCGATGTGGTTGAGGACGAAGAGGAGGACGAAGAGGACTCGGATAGTGAGTCAGAGAGTAGTGACACTGAAGAGGGAGATGATATGGAGGATAGCGATCTGGACGGCTTCATTGTGCCCGATGGTGTTGAGGATGAGGACGATGAAGCCGAAAGGAAGCCAAACATCAAAAAGAAGTCGAAGGTCAAGGCCGAGGTCAAGGACGAGGAAGAGAAAGACAACAAGCCGCTCGGCAAGCTGAAGTTCAAGAAGTCAAAGGTCAAGGACGAAGATAAGACGGAGGATGATGAGGAGTCGGTACGCAAGTCGAAGTCTAAGAAGTCGAAGGCCAAATCTGAGGGGTAAGTGCTGTCAGTCTCATATCTTTTGCTATCTTTGGGCACGTCAGCCGCAAGACTTGCAGGACACTTTGTGCCCCGCTTCTGCCGCTTGTGTGAGAAGTGTCGTTGGAACTTTGGAGAGCTTCACAAAACTGTGAACTATCAGGTTTCGGTGCATGAGGACTTTCTCATTACTGTTGGTGCCTGCGTTGAGCGCTACACGTTTGGCACTGGACATTCCAAGAACCCACACTAACCTCACCAGGTCCTCCTCTAACAGAAACGGCAAAAGCAAAGAAAAGGCAAAGAAGAAGTCCAAAGCCAAAACTCTTGCCGAGCTCAAAAAAGAAAGCACGAAAAACAAAGCCGCGAAACAAAAATACCTGCGCCGACTCCGCCGTGACTATATCACAAGCGCCAAAATCGACAAAACCCTCGAGATCCTCCACGAGGTCCAAGCCAACGACGCCTCCGAAAAGACGATCATCTTCAGTCAGTGGACGTCCCTCCTCGACCTCCTCGAGATCCCCATCAGCGACGAGAAATGGGACTACCAGCGCTACGACGGTAGCATGGATGCCAGACAGCGCGCGGACGCCGTGCAGTATTTTGAGGATCGGCCCAGCTGCAAGGTCATGCTGGTTTCGCTCAAGGCCGGGAATGCTGGGCTGAATCTTACGGCAGCCTCGCAGGTCATTATACTCGATCCGTTCTGGAATCCGTATATTGAGGAGCAGGCGATCGATCGCGCGCATAGGATTGGACAGCAGAGACCTGTGCAGGTGCATAGGATCTTCGTGGAGGGCACAGTTGAGGATCGGATATATGAGCTCCAGGAGAAGAAGAGGGATCTTATTTCTTCGGCGCTCGATGAGAAGGCGGGACAGAGCATCTCGCGCTTGAACTTGAAGGAGCTGACGTATCTGTTCGGTATTCCGACGTGATGAGGCTGGGGCACCGACACTGGACGTTGCGGATTGTGGCTTGTGATATATTTCGGGATCTAGCGACACGCGGGTAGGAGCTGGTGTTTTGCTGGCGGTTGCTTGTTCGCTCTCCGTGCTGTTGCTGCTTCCTTGGCGCGCTTGGCTCGCCGCTTTCTTCGCTCAGCTTTCTTCGCAGCGCACGCCGACGGCTGTTTCACGACCACGATACGCTTCCTTGCTGTTCACATGGCCGCCGTGTCCCCGTGGTGCTGCTTCTCGGGCATAACTTTTTTGCTTTTCTTTGCTGGCGTTGGGGCGAAGATAGAGCGGGCATCTCACGATACATAGATATCCCCACGTAGCAACTTTTCGCTCTTTCTCGAACCCTCTTTGAACGCCTTCCACAAGTTCCTCATGCATGACCTAACCGCATCTCCACCCTCCAACCCCGGCCCGCGGATCCCGCATCCCCCTTCGCCGCCAGTATCGCGCCTCCCGCCACTCGGCTAGACCATCTAAAGCGGTGCAGAGAGCCAGCACGAGCAGCAGGACCAGGGTTAAGGGTAGGGTGAAGGGGGTTAGTAGGAGGGTCGCGCAGCAGCTGGGGCCGGAGTGAGGGCTGTGGCGCTTAAGGAAGCGGAGGACGCTTCGGGAGCGCTGGGTGCGTGTTGGAAGACCCATTATATTTTGAAAGGGGGGTTCGGGTTTGAAGAAGGGCAGGGTGGAGGGTGAAGGGTGTAAGGAGATAGGCGGACAAGATGTCGAATCCCTGGCAGGTCGCAGCCTTTTGGGTCGTTGTTGATGGGAAACGGTTACGAGTCTTGCGAGATTGCGGCGGGGTTGCTTTTGAGGTTGTACGTCAATAGCCTCAAGATAAACTGGGGGCCTTGTGCGGGCTAGCTTGGAAAGTACTTCTTGGTCAGGCTTCAGGTCGTCGTTCTTCTGGCTTTGAACAAAGAAATGTCCGGATTGGGGGTGACTGGCTTCTGGCCGCCAACGTACTAGTTATTAATATTTCCCTTGGAACCTCTTTGTTCTGTCGTCATGCGGCGGGTAGACAATGGGGTAATTGATCCACCAAACGAGGGCAACTCTTGTTAGTTGGGATAGTATCATTTCGTGTATAACTTGGATTTGATACTGCAAAGGACATATTCCCTCAAGACATCAAGCGTAACTAGGCACGGTACCTCCTTTCAAGTGACCCTGCAGGCCAGCCTCGCTCTCAACCGACACAGCTCAGACCAAGAGCTCTGGGACTCCAGCCATAGATAAGCCACAAAGTAAGCTCAACTGTGAGATAACGCTTGTGATCAACTCCTCGTCGAGCCTGCTTTAGTAATGCCAAACGAGGGTTCCAGAAGAAAGCGATGTCCGGATCGCGACCAGCCGTGACAAGTCCAGAACCTAGCAGCCGGTCGGTAAGGTTACTGGAAGATCCCGGTGGCCATGCGCCATATCTAGATGGTCTTCCAAGCTCGATGGCGACCAAAGGTCGTGTTTCCCACTGGCCGGTCTCGAACTGGTGCATATCCGTGAGGACGACTTATCTCACAAGGCCATCGCACATGCCAGCTCGGTTTCAAACAGCTGAGGCATGCAGCACAGAAACCGATAGATGACAGCCAACCCCTTCACGTCTTCTGGAATGCCGCATTCTTCTCCATCGTCCCCTCAATAAACCCCCTCAACGCCGCCCACCTATTTCCCGTCCCTGGAACCGCAGCCTCCCCGGCGCCTTCTTGCCGTTGTTGCCCAACCGCCATCTGTGCCATGTTCCTCCCAAACCTCTCCCTCTCCGCCCTCTCCAGCTTCTCCTTCCTCTTCATCGCCCCCGGCCTACTCTTCAGACTCTTATGTCGTATCCTCGCCTGTCCTACGACCGTCTCCTCCGCTCCACCGTCCTCGTTGTCGATGGTATCTGGCAGCGCGTCCGCGAGAGATTGCAGGTCGGCGACGAGCTTTTTGTTGGGGCGACGCCGCTTAGGGGCTTTGCTGTGGGTCTTTTCGATCTTGTGGAGGAAGACGGAGTGCTTGATTGTGCGCTTGTCTTTTTTGGAGGAGGTGAAGGTGGTGTCTGGGGTGGCAAATGTGGGACGGGGTTTGAGAGAGGTGGAAGGGCGGGTTGTGCGAGAGCGCTGGGATGGGCGAGCGGGTTTGATGGGTGCCTGGGCGTGGTGAGCGTTGGAGGTGGTGGAGCTGGGGGTGGACTGACCATTTTGATTAAGCGCAAGGCGGAAATATGAGCGAGAAGGAGCCCTGGTCAAGGCTAAGACGCTCTATGCGTTTTCAGAAATAGTCTAGGCGGCTTGAGTTTGCTTTAGGTTCTACGGGAGGGCTCTGGGTTAGTGTTATGTCACGTCAAGAATCGATATCAAGACTTCGAAGCTTGGGTTTTCTTCAGTGGTGGATGTTCAGTAACTGACTCACGTGAACGAGAACCTCCCCGCATCAGCCCTACAAGGCCAAGCTGTCCACGAGTCATGTTTGGTTGCAACGGTTATCGGAAGTATTCCCATATTGCATAACTAGGAAGATGGAAAGAATGGATTGAGACGGCTTCACAAAATGGTTTACTTCTACCCGTGTAGTTAGGTAGAGGCATAAGAGACGCTATCTACAGTTATGGACTGTTCGGAGCACTCAGCGGTGGCTCGGGATGAGCCTGAATAAAGTACTGCAACTTTGCCGTTGGAATCACAGTTGATAGTTGAATGCACGAATCATTTATAACGGCTTTGGTGCAGAAGTGTTGCGGATTGAACGATGCCCCAGTCTCATGCAGGAAATCGGAGTGGACCGCTGAACCTAAGAAGCCCACCGCGAGTTGCTTGGAGCACTTCGTTGTATCAACGCGTCCGACCGGCCCTTGCGCTGACCAGGTGGACTTCCACTACGCACTCGAACATGTTCTAAACACGATCTGAACGACTTCAAGCTCTGCGACGTTCCATGATGGAGACGGCATTACCGTTTTGGGAAGCGTAACATTTAACGTACCGCAGAACGCCAACAACGCATTTGAACGCCGGTTGTGCACCTGAACCCATCACTTATTTACACCATGTCATACGCCGCGAGACCCTAACGTGTCGGTCGAACAGCCTAAGACGCCTAGATCCAACAAGCACAGGTATTCTCCACAAACTCCGTAGATTCGGCCACATCCCCTATCGGCTTTTGCATCACCGGAACGAGCCCGCGATGACCTCCCCGCGGCGTCCCCTATCCTAACATTACGGGCCTTGACTGGACACTCTTCATGGAGTCTCAGCGGCTCCGGGACGTAGTTTGTCGACTCTACTGCAGTGACACTGGTGCCAGTTATCCAGTTATATCACGAGGAGATCAGTTGCCGGCAGCGCTCGGCGGCATCGACGCGGGATTAGATCCAGGATTCTGCGCTTGGCCGACACTCTGTCTTTTCTTCTCTTTCTTCGCCCACCGTACTGCGGCAGCCATTAGCTGAGAAACCTTTTCCTAGTCAACACAATGTCTACTCACGTCCACAAGCATTGCACAGCGTCTTCGGCCCACTCGGACCCTTCCTCCATTCCGGGCTATCGAGCGTTCCGCAGTCTGTGCACACGTACTCGTCCGCAACCTTGAGCTTCTTCTTCTTCTCCCCGCTAGCCCTAGTATCTCTGTCAGGTAGTATCGCGATGCCTGCATCGCCCCTGATGAGCACAGGAGAAGTGTCCCCCGTGCTGATGCCCTGGCTCCTCTCGCCGTCCCGGTACCGCAGCCCCGTCAACATCTCGATAGTCTCGAGATGCGTCGCGCCCTCGTACCGGGCCATCTTGTCATTGATGCTGTCCGGTTTGCTAGCGGCTAATGCTTCGTCCAAGTTCTGCCGTGTGAGCGCCGTGTTCGAGATGCTGGGCTTCGACGGAGGCGGCATGCCGCCGTAATTTGGCATCGGCCCAGACACGGCTTCGCAGTCGGTTCGGCCGTCCGTGCGTTGTGTTTCTGACGGCGTGACGCTGGAGTGACCTTCCTGCTTCTTCTGCCAATGTCGCTCTTGCGCTTCTTGCTCCTCCTGCTCCTCGCGCCGCAGCTCCGCTATCCGCTTCATTAGGCGCTCATTCTCGATCTTATGCTCCAGAAATGAGTCGAGAAGGGCGGCGTTCTTGGTCGGGTACGGCCGCGACATCATGAAGAAGCCGCGGCAGAAGGACGAGCCATTCGGGTTGGGACCGAAGTTTGCGGCTTCAGAGCCAATGTGTGGGTGCCCGTGAGACTCGAAGATAGTGTAGGTATCATCTTCCTTCCTGAAACGGTGGAAGAAGCGGAGAGGGTTGCCGGAGGCGATGGATTCGTTGAACTCGCGCACGAAGATGCCGCTGTCGTCGGGGTGGATGAACTCGACTATGAACTTGCCGACCAGCTGGTGAGGCTCCCATCCTGTCAGGAAGCGGCACGAGGGCGAGACGTAGAGGATGCGGCCGTCTGGCGTGAGTATGTGGAGGAAGTCTCTGAGCTCTTCGAGCACCCGCTGCGACCAGTTGCGCCGCTTGGTAAACTCGGTCAAAGTGCTGCCCTGGCTGTTGGAAGTCTGTACGCCAAAGCCCGTGGGCAGCGGACCGGCGCCAATGCCCGACATGCTGTTCTGGGCGGAGCCGTAGCCGTCGTTGGAAGGATCGGCCCGTGCGGCATCCAGCATCGACGGAGCTTGCGGCGTTATGGGGGTGTTGTAGCTGTGTGGATCGGTCATGGACGGGTCGAGGTTGGCCATGTCCAGGTCCATGGGCAGCATACCGACGTTCATGCCGTCGATATTCATGTAGCCCCCTGTATCCATCAGATCCTCCATCGGCCGCAGGCCTGCCATCGTCGATGCATAGAAGCTCTGGTCCTGGTCAGCTCGACGGGATCCTTGCCGCGCATCGACGATGGGGCTGTCGGAGTCAAGTCCCAAGGCGATTCCGTCTGGCTGCAGCCGGCCGCCGTTCTGGAACATCGCTAACTGTTGGAGCGGCCACTTGGCGGCGCATGGGTGCGTGAACTGCCGTGTTCCGGGAATGTTTTTGGGAGAGAAGAGAGGTCTGTCACAGCCTGAGAGCAGCTCGTGGCAGATGGGCAAAGAGTTACCACCTACCGCTGGTCGTGACTTGCTAGCGTCGCCCTACACCGGAAGCCAGCCAGCTTGGGGCCGTGATGCTCGCAGCCCCACCGCTTCACAAGTGATCCCGTGACCGCGCGCTTCCGCCTCGCGTGGCGCGAAACAGGCAGCATCAGTCTCGAGTCGGCCCTCACTACCTTCCTCACACAACTCCATCGTAGACGGAAGATTTGCATGCAAAGGAGCAACTAGGGTCTGAGGCCGTTGCCGCCGCTGACATGTAAGTAGTTGGTCAAATTCTAGACGCGCTTTAGCTGATTGAGTTAGGTGTGAGTAGTCAAGACATCTCATGTATGCGCGTATCGTCGGGTGCTAATCCGCTACAGCGAAAATCGACAAGTTGTCCATCTTGGGGTATGTGCATATGTGCACCTGTTGCGGGCCATTGAGGAACGCCGCTCATTTTGCCTAGCGTCCGGTCTTTCGACAACCAGCGGAGTGAGACAATACAGTTCCACACGCCACTAACACTTATTGTTGGCTACAACGGATCTGGCAAGACTGTAAGCGGCCGACAAGCAGACCATTACACGCGATCCCAGCTAAGCCGGGCAGACCATCATCGAGTGTCTCAAGTATGCCACGACAGGCGAACAGCCCCCAAATAGCAGGGGCGGCGCATTCATCCATGACCCCAAAGTAAGTCTCCGTCATCAGTTGTGAGTCCATAGACTGATCAGCTTTCAGCTCTGCAATGAGCGAGAGGTGTTGGCTCAAGTCAAACTTTCATTCAAGGCTACATCCGGAGCGAGAATGGTGGCCACGCGGAGCTTACAGCTCACCGTCAAGAAGACCGCTAGAACCATGAAAACTCTCGAGGGTGCTCTAGTGATGATCAAAGATGGAGAGCGGACTGCGATCTCCTCTCGCGTCGCAGAGCTTGACCAGATCATGCCCCAGTATCTCGGGGTTTCCAAAGCAGTCTTGGAATCGGTCATCTTCTGCCACCAAGACGATAGCTTGTGGCCGATGAGCGAGCCTGCATCATTGAAGAAACGCTTCGATGAAATCTTTGAAGCACTGAAATACACAAAGGCCATCGACAATATCAAAGTTCTCCGCAAGAAGCAAAATGAAGAGCTGGGAAAGTACAAGATTATCGAGCAGCAGGCCAAGATAGACAAAGACAAAGGCGAACGGGTAAGTACCTCTCATGCATTTCCGAGTGGCTGCTCAGGGCTAATCTATCACGCACTAGGCTGAAAAGCGGTCCAATGAGCTACAAGCCGAGATCGAGGATTTACGTGTCAAGGTGTTCGAGCTAAAAGACAAGATCGATGAAGCCAAAGTCAAGTCGCGCGAGGCTTGGGATCATGCAGCCAAGTTTGAGAAGATCGTTGGCACGCTCGAGGTAAAGCGCATGGAGTTGCAGACGACCGAGCGGAGCGTGAACAGCTTGAAAGGCCGCATCAAAGAAATGACGGATTCTGATGAAGAGCTACAAGCTATTCTGGATCGCTACCAAGAGCGAGTAACGCTCTACGAGCAAGAAAATGAAACCCTGCGAAGGCAGTACAGTGAGTTGGCCAAAGAGGTCGAGCAGAGCCGTCGAGCACTGGGCGTCAAGCAGAGCGAGATCGGCAAGTTCGAGGCCCAGAAAGATCAGTATGAACGGCAGATCAACAACCGGCAGGCACTGATCAAAGAGACTGCTCGCCGTCATAAGATCCGAGGCTTCGATCTTGACATTACCGACGAGCATGTCCGAGATTTCATGGAGAGGATAGGCAAGATGGCAAGGGACCAGAACACTGCTTTTGAACGCGCACGGCGCGAGACGCAAGAAGAACTGCAGAAGGCACAGAGCTCTCTTAACCAGATCAACGAGCGCAAATCAGCTTTGAACCAGAGCAAGGAGAGCTCAAAAGGCCAAACGTCGGCGAACGATAGGAAAATGGCGGTGTTCCAGGCCGATGTGGATAACATTGAAATCGACGAAGGCGGCAGAACAATCCTGGAATCCACTGTGGAAGATGTTGAACGCCGTCTCAGCAAAGCCAAAGCAGACTTCAATGCAGCGAACTGGGACAAGCAGATACAAGACACTGATGCCCAGCTGCGAGCTCTTGACGAGAAGAAGGAAAAGCTCGATGCAGAGTTGATACAGGGGACGAAGCGAGCTGGCGATCTGGCCAGGCTGGATTATCTCCACAAGGAGCTGAAAGACCGGCAACGGAGTCTCGAAACCATGATCGGCGCGCATGGCGAGCACATCTCCCAGATTGTGGGTGAGCACTGGAGTCCGTCTACCCTAGAGGTAGAATTCCACGCAGTTCTCGATCAGCGCGATGCGGAGGTCAAGGAAGCCGAACTACAACGAGACGGCACCAGCCGCGAACTTGAACAAGTCGAGATCAGGCTCAGCACCAGCAGGGCAGACCTCAAGAGGAAACGCCAGGAGCACCGGAATGCCGAACAGCGGGTTCGGGACGCTATCGAGGACGAGCCCAGCGAATTTCCGCAGGTTCTGGACCAGCTACAGAAGAACCGGGATATCACCCAGCAAGATGCTACTCAGTTCACGAACATGAAGGACTACTATGAGAAGTGCCAGAAGACGCTTGAGAGTCACAACACCTGTCTTCTCTGCCTTCGGCCAATGCGCAACGATAAGGAGAAGGCGTCCTTTTCGAAGAGGGTGCAAGAGAGCATAGCGAAGGCTGCACAGGAAGCCAGTAATGAGGACTTTCAGCTGGCTGAAGCTGAGCTCAAGAAGGCCAAAGAGGCCAGCCCGGACTATGATGCTTGGGTCAGGCTAGGGGAAACCGAGATCCCCGCCCTAGAGAAAGATTGTCGAGAGCTCGAGTCGCGGCGTGACGCTTTGGTCGCTAAAGTGGAAGAGCAAGACCAAGTTGTCAACGAACGGCAAGGAGCCAAGAGGGATGTCGATGCTCTATCAAGGACGGTTCAGAACATCACCAAATATCGTACCGATATCGGGGGCTTCGAATCACAGATCAAGGAGCTTTCCGCAAAGCAAAAGGACGCAGGACTGTCACGAGGTTTGGAGCAGATACAAGAAGAGCTCAAGAAGGTCAACGAGCAATCCAGATCGGTCAAGATGACACTCACACAGCTGTCCGCCGACCGAGATCACGCGCGGAGCCGAATCAACGCGTTGGAGCTGGAGGCCAGAGACGTCAAGTCAAAGCTCAGCACTGCAACGTTCCAACTCAAGGAACGAGGCAACCTAGTCGCCCAGATCGAAGACCTCAAGTCGCTCAACAACGAGCAACGCGAGAACATACGACGTGTCGATCAGGACATTCAGTCTCTTGCACCTCAGATCGCGCAAGCTCAAGCGAAGTACGATGACATCAGCCGCCGCGGAGCCGAACGGGATAGGGAACTGCAGCAGGAAGCCTCCAAACTGTCCGATAGTGTTCACCAGCTGAAGTCAGCCGACCAAGAGATCAACGCTTACCTAGACCGAGGCGGGCCTCAGCAACTGGCGCGGACGAAGCGAGAGATTGAGAGTCTGGAAGAGGAACTCTCTCGAATCGAGACCGAACAGCGACAAGCCACCGTCGACATCAAGAAGATCGAGGACAGCCTGCGGAACACAGCCGACACGCGACGCAGCATTGCCGATAACCTTGAATACCGCCGCGGCGTCCGAGACCTTGACTCTGTTCGAGCAGAGATTGAACAGCTCGAGAGCCATAATGCCGAAACAGACCGGAAGCGGTACGAGCGGGAAGGCACTAAGTGGCAGAACGAGGTGAACAAGCTGTCCGCCGAGCAGGCTAGTGTAGTTGGGTCCATGAAAGCAAAAGACGATATCCTGCAAAAACTGGCCGAGGAATGGGAAACAGACTACCGTGACGCGCCTCAGAAGTACAAGGAAGCGCACATCCGGGTCGAGACGACGAAAGCCGCCGTTGAAGACTTGGGCCGGTACGGTGGCGCGCTCGACAAGGCGATCATGAAGTACCACGGCCTCAAGATGGAGGAAATCAACCGCATCATTGAGGAGCTGTGGAAGAAGACTTATCAAGGCACAGACGTGGACACGATCCTCATCCGCTCAGACAACGAGTCCGCGAAAGGCAACCGGTCGTACAATTACCGCGTGTGCATGGTGAAGCAAGATGCAGAGATGGACATGCGCGGCCGGTGCAGCGCAGGTCAGAAGGTGCTGGCCAGCATCATCATCCGTCTCGCACTGGCGGAATGCTTCGGCGTCAACTGCGGCCTTATTGCGCTGGATGAACCGACAACGAACCTGGATCGCGACAATATCCGCGCGCTTGCGGAGGCGTTGGCGGAGATTATTAGGGTGAGGAGGCAGCAGAGCAACTTCCAGCTCATTGTTATTACGCACGATGAGGACTTCTTGCGGTACATGCAGTGCGCGGACTTTTGCGATACGTACTATCGGGTCAGCAGGAATGAGAGGCAGAAGAGTATCATCGAGAGGCAGTCGATTGCGGAGGTAGTATGATCAGTTATCATGAGACTCCATTGCGTCACAAGCTTGCTGGCATGTAGCACCCGACAGAGGATTTAGCTAGGTGGACATTCGCGGCTTTCGCTGGTGCTAGGCGTTCAGGCTTCTACTTGGAAAGAACTGATTGCTTTTCAAGAAAGATTAACAGGAGAGCTCAGGACTTGCAAGTGGCGGGCGACATCTGGATAAAGCTGTGGCAAGCGCCTTTAATTTAGCAACATCATCTTCCGCCGCCGCATCAGCCTCACACAACCCTGTAAGATCTTCAGGAGCAGCTACCGGGAATGTCCGGCGCAGGTTCACTGATCCCTAGGTAGTTTTCGCATGTGATACGGGTTGTTTGCATTATGTTGGAAAGCTTGTTACAGATGGTCATCAGCATGCGAGAAGAGGCTTAGAGGTCGTACTAAGATTCCCGCCGTCTTGTGCAACAGCTGCCAGCCGTTTGTTTACAGCCGTCGAACTCTTTCGCTGTCGACGCCCCCTGGATACCAGTCTCCTACTGCTCGTCCCAACCAGAGAGCTCCCGCCACATGGATGACTCCGGAAAGGTCAATAACCTGGAAGGCGGTTGAGCCAAGCTTTCAATGGCGTTGCACCGTTGTTTTCTCGCCCCTGTTGATCTTCCTCAAGCGACAAGCCACCGTCGTTTCACAACCCGGAACAGCTTGATGGCTTGCGGGAAGGGCGGCGCCTCTGCGGCGTGGCTGGAAACCTGCTTTTCGAGAATATCATCTGCGCCTGATGGCTGGCGTGTAACACTTTTCGCGCCCTCCACTCTATGCTCCACCATACACTCGGCGGCGAATCGCTTGAGTGGATGCATTTATCATTTGACGTATTTGTAGAAGTCAGCCGCCTTTATTAAGATTATGGCTATGATGTGGGTCCAACTGCCTACGTGTTGTGACGACAGGATGGGGGTGATACATGGTGGCAGTATCCACCGTACCTTGCGTACTATTCCTTAGCCCCTTGATATCTACCTAGACACCTCATCGCATCACTCTCTACCAGCTCAGTTCGATGATCCAGTATTACGATTCATCTAAAAGTGCAAATTACTTCCCTGCTGCCAACTCAATTCTCGTCTTGTGACGAAGAAGTGGGTCCTCTACCTCACTCGTCTGCAATCTTCGCAAGGTCTTCCATTCCTTCGTTACCCGATCGAGACTACCAAGCCTTAGCATTCTTCACTCTTATTTGTTGAAGGAGCTAAGTCCATTTGTTTGGACTCGGCCTTAATATCTGGGGAATCTGTTTCAAAATCTATACAATAGCTTTCTCCCAGCCGACCTTCTCCTGGATCACACCCAGCCCGGTCTCTTCGCAAGCCTTCGCGATGCTTCTCAAGCACTCAGCGTTAGCTCTTCTCACTTCCGCCCTTGCTTTGGCAGCACCGCACGCAAAGCGGAAGGTCGCCTTCAACTGGGGCTCTGACAAGATTCGCGGCGTTAACATTGGTGGATGGCTAGTGCTCGAACCGTGTGTAAATCTTCTCCTGAATCTACTGCCGCGGAAAATCTAACAGGTGTGCGCATTCAACAGGTGGATAACTCCCTCCCTGTTCCAACCGCGAGCCGTCTCCGACGGCGAGATCATCGACGAGTACACCCTCGGCGAAAAGCTCGGCCCCGAAGCCGCCCTCGAGGTCCTGCGACCCCACTGGGATAGCTGGGCAACATGGCACGACTTCAAGAAGATCGCCGACGCCGGCTTCAACATGGTCCGGATACCCATCGGCTACTGGGCATACGAGACCTTCGGTTCTCCATACGTCCAGGGCGCCGCGCCCTACATGGACGCCGCGATCGACTGGGCGCGCAGCCTGGGACTGATGGTCATGATCGACCTGCACGGCGCGCCCGGCAGCCAGAACGGCTATGACAACTCGGGCCAGCGGCTCGCGAACCCGGGATGGCAGCAGGGAGACACGGTGGCGCAGACGCTGGAAGTGATTCAGAAGATCGCGGACAAGTATGCCCAGCCGTGGTATCAGGACGTGGTGATGGGTATCCAGCTGCTCAACGAGCCCAATGCGTGGAGGCTGAACGCGAGCGCTATTCGCGACTTTAACCGGGAGGGGTTCAATAATGTGAGGAAGGTCAGCGACACGACTGTTATCTTCCACGACGCCTTTTTGCCGCCGAATACGTACAACGGGTTCCTCACGCCTAACAACGACAATGCGCATAACGTTGCGATCGATCACCACGAGTACCAGGTCTTCAGTCTTGAGCAGATTGCGTGGGAGCCGTGGCAGCACCGCCAACACGTCTGCAACAACATCTACAGCTACTGGGGCGCAGACAAGTGGACTTTTGTCGGCGAGTGGACGGCCGCGATGACGGACTGTGCCGGATGGCTGAACGGTAAGCTCTCCCCTCTCCACTCCCTCTCTGCCTCCTCCCTTCGCAGTTCACCTAACAGCCAACTGACACACCCAGGCCACGGCATCGGCGCCCGCTACGACGGCACCTACCCGGGCAGCACATACATCGGCTCCTGCGCCACCATCAACGACATCAGCACCTGGACGCAGGAGTTCAAGGACGACACGCGCGGCTATATCGAGGCGCAGCTGGATGCGTTCTCGATCGTCACACAGGGCTACGTCTTCTGGAACTTTAAGACCGAGAGAAGCCCGGAGTGGGACTTGTTCAAGTTGTTGGATGCGGGTATTTTCCCCCAGCCGCTTAGCGATAGGAAGTTTGCGCCGGTGTGTAGTAATTTTTGACGGGGAGGAGGGGTGATTGCATGGGGGGAGGCGTTTGGGGTTCGCTTTCGTATGCTTTGGGTCTTGCTTCTTGCTTCTGGCTTGCATTGAGGAGGATATACCACCTGCATCTGGCTCGCGTGAATCTAATTTCGAATGGGGGCGGGTTTCTTGTAATCGTTTTACTTGTCACAGAACGTTTTCGGGTGCGGGAGAACTTGGATCCCGAAGTCATCCCGGATTTCTATACTCGGAATTTCCTCGACCAGCATCAACGCATTGTGATATTAGCCCAGTCTGACGATATTATCGTTGAAGTGAATTCCCAGATATAGATCTAAGGTGCACTAGTCAGCTAAGGATTTGATTGCAGCGCAAAATACATTAGCAATCTGCCACGGAAACAAGCCACGGACCTCAAGTAACAAAACTTCAGATTGTCTAGTAAAGAGAAGGGATTGGCAGAATTGTGTTTCGATTTGTGGACAATATCTGCAGCTCGACTACCATGGCGTCCAACAACCCGCTCGACAGTACAATAGAGGCCCTTCGCTCCCAGATCTCCGCCTGCGAAGCCCAGCTCCAAGCCCTCAAGCTCCAACTCGCGGAAGCCGAAGCCCGCGCCAATTCTACGGGCCCATCATTACTTTCCACGCAGTACGACCAAGACATGACCAACGGCGTCCCCAATGCCTGGCAAACAGACTCCCTCTCCGTCCTAGGCCAGACCAACAATGAGTCAAATCCCCCAAGCCAAGCCTTGGACCAAAGTCCCCAGAAATGGCCCCTAACAAACGACGAATACAAACGCTACGGCCGCCAACTAATCATGCCCGAGATTGGACTGCGCGGCCAGCTCCGTCTCCGCGCCGCCTCCATCCTGATCATCGGCGTCGGCGGGCTCGGCTGCCCGGCCGCGGCCTACCTAGCCGGCGCAGGCGTGGGCAAGATCGGCCTCGTCGACGGCGATATCGTCGAGGTCTCGAATCTGCACCGCCAGATCCTGCATAGCACCGCGACGCTCGGGATGCTGAAGGTTGACAGCGCGGTTAGTTACCTAAAGGCACTGAACCCGGGGGTGGAATACGTGGCGTATCGTGAGCGGTTGACGCCGGAGAGTGCTATTGAGACCTTCCAGTCCTATGACCTTGTGCTTGACTGCACGGATACGCCGGCCTCGCGCTACCTCATCTCAGACGCCTGCGTTCTCCTCGGCAAGCCCCTGGTCTCGGCCTCGGCGCTGCGGACCGAGGGCCAGCTCATGGTGCTGAACCAGCCCGCTAGACCACCTGGAGATGCGTCTGGAGGGCCGTGCTACAGGTGCGTGTTCCCCAAGCCCCCGCCGGCGGCGAGCGTGGTGAGCTGCGGCGAGGGCGGGATCCTGGGGCCGGTCGTGGGGGTCATGGGGGTGCTGCAGGCGCTCGAGGCGATCAAGCTTGTTGCGGGTCGCACAGGGACCGAGAGCGTCGAGCCGAATGGTGGGCAAGAAAGCCAGACGAACCCCGATCCACCGTCGTTGTTGCTGTTCTCCGCATACGGCAGCCCCCAGTTCCGCTCTATTCGTCTCCGCTCCCGGAAGCCGAAGTGTGCGGCTTGTTCGACGCATGCGACTGTGACGCCTGAGGCGCTTGCTTCGGGGTCGTTGGATTACGTGCAGTTTTGCGGCTTCATTGGTCCGGTTGATGCGCTGTTGCCCAGCGAGAGGCTCACTGCGTACGAGCTTGCGGCTGACCTTGCGAACACTGACATGCACGAAGCAACGGCAAGGAGGGTGGGCACTGCCAGGCCGGTTATAGTCGATGTCCGCGAGAAGGTCCAGTTCGACCTGTGCAGCTTGCAGGGCAGCACCAACGTGCCGTTCTCTGAGATATCTACAGGTGGAGAAAGTGAAGAGTGGCTGGCGAAACTCCGCTCGGTATCCCCAGAGCAGCCCATCCTGGTGGTTTGCCGACTTGGAAATGACTCTCAAGTGGCTGTTAAGAAGATGAAGGAGGCTGGTTTGCATGGGGACGGAAAGAGGTGGGTTGGGGATCTGAGGGGCGGCTTGAGGGCTTGGAGGGAAAACGTTGATCCCGAGTTTCCGGATTACTGAATCGATTCTGAGACGAACACGCAGAAAATAATCTTCGATCTTGAGCAAGGTTGCCCAGAGGCAGCTGGTCTGCTGCCGCAGACTGTGGCGATTATGAGGGCCGATGACTCCGATTTGTGTCAGGCTCCGACCGTCTCTGGAAGAGGCGCGCAGCCTTACTTGACACTTTGAGAAGGGAGATGTGTGGACAAGTATTTCTAAGCGCTGCTCAGTACTGAATACACTGAATGATGCAAGGCTAAAGACGGCGACTGCTGCCAGGCCGCAGTCGGCCCCGACGCCGGTCTGCCTAGAATCAGGAGCCGAGCTATAGCAGCTGCTAGGTATACACGAATGCAGTAGCTGGGATCGAGAACCGATTTCGGGTGGGGAAGAGAGATAAGCCGGCAGGACGGAGAAATATCTGAGCACTGATCTGTGGCCACACTCGTCGGACAAGGCCCCGGGACAAGACTTGCAGAAAACGTGAAGAAATAAAGTGAAGTCACCTACAAGTCACCACTGCCAGCCGTTTGATATGGTCACTACAAGTACACGTCACCCGCAACTGATCGCACAGGCGAGGTCGGTTCTCGGTAGCCTTGAATCGCTGATATTCTAGGCAACTCAAATATGTCGTAAACTGTCTAAGTAGGAACGCTCACAAACCATGGCTTGCCCGTATCTGACCCTCCAGCCTGCCCAGAGCTGGCAATGCAAAATCCAACCAATCCTGCCTTGTTCCATCCCACACTTCTTCCCTTGCCCCATGTTACGTGACGTGATCTGTCGCAGATCGCGTCTACAAATCCGGGTCCTCCTCATCCGGCAGCGGCATCTGAGCGGCGCGCTCCATCTCCTCCTTGTACTGCTCAAGGACGGCCTGGTCGACCTGGACTTCCGGAGGAGCAAGAGCGGGTGCAGCGACGAATTCCTGATACTTTGTTAATATACACTAATCCGATCGTTTCCCGGTCTACCTTACCAGGGTCTGGTTGCCGACGAGCTTTCTTGCAAGCCAGAGGAACGGCTTCTCGAAGTTGTAATTGGACTTGGCGGAGATGTCGTAGTACTGAAGGTTCTTCTTGCGGTGGAAGGTGATTGTCTTAGCCTTGACCTTGCGCTCCTTCACGTCGACCTTGTTGCCCGTAAGGACGATAGGGATGTTCTCGCAAACACGGACGAGATCGCCTGGAGAAGTTAGTATCCATGTCCTGGACGTTCTCCACCCCTTTTGACAACGTACGGTGCCAGTTCGGTACATTCTTGTACGTAATGCGCGATGTGACGTCGAACATGATGATGCCGCACTGGCCGTTGATGTAGTAACCATCGCGGAGACCACCAAACTTCTCCTGCCCTGCGGTGTCCCAGACATCGAACTGGATGGGGCCCAAGTTCTACTCCGAAGTCAGTGTCCGCCCTGTCTAAATTCGAGCTTCGCGGATAGGTGGGCCGGTTCGTACTGTTGTGAAGCCAAGAGGGTGGACTTCGACACCGAGTGTTGCGATGTACTTCTTCTCAAACTCTCCGGTCAAATGGCGCTTGACAAACGTGGTCTAAGTCGCAACTCTAGTCAGCCTGATTGCCTACCAAACGTCTCCCGCAGCAGCCGGGCCGTTCATTATTGTCTAGGTTGAGAGGCTGCCGGCAGAAGCGCAAGCGCAATGGGCGCTGACCTTTCCAGTCCCACCGTCGCCAACGAGCACAAGTTTGAAGGTCGGAGGAGCGTCAGCCATGGTGCAGGTCTGACAGTGGTTTGATGAGTGGATGTGGGGACGCGATGAGGCTCTGCAGCCAACGTGTTAGTCCTTGCGAGATGGCTGAAGCGCGCACGCATCGAAGCAGGTACCTTTCGCGGATCTGGTGTAGAGAAGGGCAGGTGTTTTTGTGGAGAAAGAAAGTTGTGGTGGCACACGGGAAAGTTTGGCTGGCGACGTTTTGTTGATGCAGCTGTCGGGCGAACAGCTTTCACCGAAAAGTCTTAGCACTGTCACGTGATCTGGAGACCGCCAGGCTACGAAAACGTGAAGACGTGAAAACGTGAAAAAACATAAAGCGACTGATTTCGGTGCAGGCTGTCAGCAACCTAGGTATCGATTTCTACACTGATCTTGAGGTCGACCAGCCGCTAGAACGAAAGCCACAACGCCAGGATATCATGCAGTTCCGCCGCTCAACAACGCTGTAGTGCTTACAAAGCCATGAAAAGAACGCCCATTGCCAATGCACTCAGCCTACAGCGGCAGAAGATGGCAGCCTAGCAATCCCCTGCCGCCCCAGTTCCGTCGTGGCGTCAGAAACATCTGGAGCTCTTGCGTGGAGCCACTACTCGGATCCCTTCTCGAAACCTTTACGGATATGGGCCGCTGTAGGAAAGTCAGTACTCGTAGCTCAGGCAGAAGCCCATCATTCGCGACTTACTCCTTCGTTCTGTGAGACGACCTCTGCCACCTTGCTGAGCTTCTCGTGATTCATCCAAGTTGCCGTTCCAAATCGCAGTACGCTGTCACCTGCCTTCAGCCCAGCAGTGTCCGCCGGACTGTCAGGCACAACGCTGTTGACTTTCGCGAAGGGTGCCTCAAGGGCTTCTCGACCGGATGTATTGGAGCCTGCAGTGGTTGCTTGCCGTTCGGGTCGGGATGTGTTTGCCGCCGCTGCGGAGGCGTGATGTGCGTGTAGACCAGCTTCTATCCTGTTCATCAGATCTTTGTAGTCGTTCTTCAGATGTATGATTCGCGCCCTGGTCGTCCGTACTGGGTTGGATTTGTTAGCATGGAGAGGATCTATTTTGAAGTGGGCTCGTACTCTGCGCAACATCGATGTCGTCTCTAGGGTATCCATCAAAGGTTGTCAGGCTCGTGTTCATGTTGACGCCGTGCTACAGACAGAGCAAGTAGGGTTAGCACAGCTCAGAGGGGTCGCCCCATGGTCTTCATAACTTGCCGACTCAAGCACAGAGCCCAGCGCCAGAAGCTCGCTCTCCACCCGCTCTTTCTCCGCTATAAGCTCTGTCAAGGGAAGCCCATCTTTCGCTGCGCCGTTCGATGAGCGGCCCGAGGTGGGGCCCGCGGCCACAGTGGGAGTGTGTAGATCTTCCATCCGTAGGCCCATGAGGATGGTTCCTTGTTCTGTCTCGTGTAGATTCCTGAAGGCTTGGAAGCTTTGTTGTGCAACCTAGAACGACCGGTTCAGTGAGCGGACAACTGCGTAACTGACAGCTTCGAAGACCCTTGACGAGATGGAGCTCACTGTGGGGCATCTCCGAGCTATCGCCGAGTCGGCAAGGCCAATGTGATGAGAAGCGTCCACACAACAACCACGTCCAGAAGAATGCAGAGGTTGATGGCCAGGCTAGAGAGCCAGCCAAAGGCGTCCAGGAAGAAAGATCCAAAGATCGGTACCCAGACGCAGCTATGGAGTGTAGCGACTATTGGCAGAAAGAACACCACGATCACCAGAACGGTGTAGAAGTCGAAGTCGTTGATTGCAAGTCCTCGAATGAATGTCTCCACTATGTCCACTTCGTCCATTGAATCTTGGCTGTATTCCAGCTGTGAGGATATATCAGGAAGAAATACTCCGTTGCTAGTGAGGTGCGCGTAGATCTCAGGCTCGGCAGGTGTTATGCATGATTTTTACAGCAGACATTGTGAGGCGGGTCAAGTGCGTGTTACGCCTTCCTCACAGGGCGCATCGTCCAGCCTGTTGCCTTCCTGCTGCCGAAGGTTTGTTCACAGGTTTGTTGCTTCCTCGATTCCCCATGGTAGGTATCTCGCATCCGTAACGATGTACACTACGTACATTTCTTCCATGCAATTCAGTTTCATCGACGTCGCCATTCTATCTCAATCATCTGGAGTGTGTTGTGCGCCGTGTGTGAAGTCATCGAGCCGTAGCTATGGCGTTTGTGCTGTCTCTGCCGCCGCAAAGCCCCTTGAAGCGTTCTTTCAGCGAGACGCCCTACCTTCGATCTGGTTCTCCACTTTCCGACGCCTCCGGTGGGACGGTCCGGCAATATGCATACTGCAATATCTCGGCTACTTCTTTCTCCTCTCTGCTTGTTAATGGTGGGCCCAAAGCCGACGAGAACGCGATGCCAAGTCCTACAGCCTACTCATTGCGGAACCTTGCCAACGAGCTATGGGCAGCTCCGACATGTCGGAGGGTGTCGAGCCACATACCGCGGAAGACAAGCTGGGGCACCGATATCCCTCCTCCGCCTCGGCCAAGGTCACAGGGAGCGTTCTCCTTGGAGATTGATGCCGGGCCTCTGCAGACTGTTGATCTTAACGAGGACTCAATCCCCTTGCCCGCCTTTGCCGACAACTGCGAACATGATGCACTATCTATCTACGAGGTTGCTGAGGAAATCTTTCCGGAGGGAAGTATCAGGACTATCTCGAGTTTCGGCAGCAGCGGGGAAGTGATTGAATCCGAGGATCGTGGGAACGAATCATCGGCTGGAGACTCGCACGCCTTACCGTTCAAGCGTTGGATCAGCACTTTGCGAAGACGGAATCTACAAAAGAGGAAAGGGCTTACGACGCGCGATGAACGGTGGCCGATAGACAGCCCGAGTCCAGAGCAGGCAGACCATGATGATCACGAGCCGGCCACGAAGCATCAAGCTGGCCACCAAAAGTCTTTGTCTGACGGATCATCTCTTGCATTCATCACGAAAGTCAAGTCGGCAACGATCACAATGGCAAGTAGCAGCATTGCTCCACTTTCGCGCAAAGGCACACGTGTAGGGAGACTTCGGCGTGAGAACAGGAGCAGCGGCTTCTCAGACCCTCGCGGATCCATGGACAGCGTTAGATCACGTCTTGAGCCGATCATCGACGAGGATGTTTGGCATCGCTCCATTCAGCGCCGCAAAACGCTAGAGGAGATTATCGCGTCAGAAGAGGGATACATAGGAGATATGAAGGCTCTAATCGATGTAAGCCTTTATTGAGCAGAGGTCAATCCGTGACTAATTGACTCTGACATAGGTATCATTTACTCTGCTCGGTTCCGCCTCCACACTGTCATTACAGGCACAGAAGTCCATCCACCAGAATCTAGCTGAGATCGTGCAGCTCAATGAGGACATCTTGGGTGAGCTGTACAAGGTGGTGCCGAACGCGGAGTATACTCAAAACAGCACCATACATCTGCCAGTAGTCTCTAGGCCGAAGCATCTGCGGTGGCATAGCGTGGACATCGCGCCTAGCCGAGCGCCTATAGCAAAACTGACCCGCAAGCTACGACTTTCCCTCGATCTGGACCGGCCGGCCGAGGAATGCCCAGTAGGTGTTTCAGCTGGTTCGAAGACCGCAGCCGATGTTGCTAGAGTCTTTAGCAAGTTTGTGAGTGTGCTCAAAGTTTTACAACACGCGGGAGTTCTTACAATCGGAGTAGATGAAGCGCTTCTTCGCGTACGAAGAATATGGCTCGCAGTACCAGACCATGCTCCAAGATGCAGAGAATACGTCGAAGACGACTCCAGCGTGGCAGTCTTACGAGAGAGGTATGGAAGCACTTGCAAACTCGCTCGCGTCTGTCAATGGCCGCGACTGTAGTGGCAAGAAGAGTCTCACGTACAGAGACTTGCTCATGAAGGTCAGCAGTGCTTCTGGAGCGAGTATGACAAGACTGACCACTGCTGACCAATCGTAGCCGATCCAGCGCATCACCAGATACCATCTCCTTTTCGAGCGACTCTGCAAGGACACTCCTGTCTGTGACGACCCAGTATCTTATGCTGAGCTTGAAAAGGTGTGGCTACGTCTGAAGGAGACTGCTACGAGAGTGAACAACGCCCAAGATGACCTAAAAACTCGGAAGCTTGTTGAAACGACCTGGTTGCTGCAGGACCGCTTGGTGTTCGAAAACCAGGTAAGTCTGGGGGAATACAAGTACTGGATTGGGCATTGACATTCTTCAGGGTCTCTCGCGTGCAGTGATATCGCGGCTGCTTGGTCATGTAACGCTTTGCGGCGTCTTACACGTGGCTTACCAAGCAACCGATCGTGTTCGAGGCCAATACATGATTTGTGTGCTCTACAGATCTTGCCTGATTCTTGCCACCGCTACCAAGAGCTTCACGAATTACGATGTTGTTGCGGCTATAGCTCTAGCTAACGGTAGTGTAGAGGAAGCTGACAACGGAAGAGGTGAGAGCCACCCGAGCAGTACCGGAGACTTGTTAAAAGCTGATCTTGCCGATAGGTTTGCAGTGTCACACAGTTCCGTACACGTGGAAGTTCGTCTTCGAGCACGGAAATCGCATTTTCGAGTTAATAATGAGCGCTTGTTCAACGAAGGAGGAAGAGGAGTGGAGGAAACATCTTCACACTGGTATCACCGCCGAGAACGACGATCTCGCTCATGGCAGATCAGATGTTCGGGATCTGTTTGCATCCCTGACGCTAGACCTGAAGTCTCTAGGTCCTGCCTTTGGGCTCAAAGGGAACGCTGGGCGGCGCTTGTCGATCCACCGAGCTGCAACACTGGGGCCAAAAACGAACCTCAATCAGGTGATCATCAAGAACACGGAAGCTCAGAAGCTTGGTCAAGGGAACCAATCTGCAACCTCCCTTCCTGTCGCTCGCTCACAGTCACTCCTTTCCGCCGGACACATACCTACACTTGCGCCGCGGAGAGGCGAGCGGACCCGACTCGAGAACCATCTGCAGGACGTGTGGACAAAAGACGTGTTGCCCTATCCTGGCATGGGTCCTAGACGCGCCGAGAACCCAATCAGAGCGTCCGCAAACTCGGTCATGCGCAAGTTGAGCATGGCGAGCATCACGAGCAATTTCTCGAAGCGATCTGCCAGTTACACGAGCTTAGCAAGTAGCCGACGTGAGGAGCCATATCGCCTCGGCCAGAAACTATCCAACTCAGCACTGAGCAAGACCTCCTGTCCACCTACGACAAAGCCACTTGTGGACTTCCACAACACTCCGAGAGCCTTCTTGCCGGCAGACTTCGAGCTCGACATAGCTCCGGTTAAGTCAAAGCCAAACCGCGCAACCTTGAGTGTCATAACAAGCCAGCCGTCTTCTGCTCAAGGTTCAGAGAATCCTACAGAGTCTGTTCAGCCACTGAAGAAGGTCGAGAACCGTGCGATCTGGTTCGACAACCCGCATGAACCGGAGTCTTGCAGTAGCTCGTCGACAAACTTGACACTCACCACTAACACTGCGAAACTACCGGAGCCGTACATCACGTCCCTCGATGGAGCGGCGACAGATGTTGCTAAATTTCTGGAACCGTTCGTGCCAGGGCCTACCGCGCCAAAACCTTCGAGGAAAGCCCATACTTTCATCGCACCAGTCAAACGAACGTTCAAACCTAGACGTCGGCTTCTCAGCTTTTTGGGCCTGAATCGCACTCCTGTCGAGGAGAGACCTGTATCAGCTTGAGTGCTTCGCACCGCCGGCACTGGCTTCGCTCTCAACACTCTGTCTTTTTCCTCGCGATGTTTGCTTTGAGTGTATTCTCTGTGGTTCTCTTTGGGGTTGGTTCTTGTACGGACACGCAAAGATCAAGATGGAGTTCGGACTTGGCGGTGGGGCGCACGTTTGCTACAGAGTATTGCGGTTTGGTCACAGCTGTGGTATGGAAGCAGACAGCTGTTAGGTATCTTGGTCGAGCGTGGTCGCCGGGACTGCAATTGTTTGGCGACGCGATATCGCGATATTGGATAGAAACGAGCAGACCACCTTCACTTGTGAAACATTGATCACTTCAATGATAGCTCCCATGGCAATTGCTAGAGTCTGAGGTTGCTCTTATGAATGCCGTGAATATGCGGCCGCATTGGTCTCGTGCCTGGGATGTCGCGCAACAACCGATGACGTAGGGCTTGCCAGCTTCACAGCGAGGGAGCATCCGCAAGCTGTTTCCCTAACCTGCAAACAACACAACAATCCAGTAACACAGCATACTCAGCACTCTACGACCAGCCCAATCGAGATCACTGCACCACCAGAACACTCTCAGCAACCTCAAAGCTCACCACCCACAAACATGCGCGGCAACGCTCCAAACACCAAGGTCCACTACAAGGGGAAGGATGACGATTTCGTGATCTTCGCGGAAAGTGCAAAGGCCGTCCAGGAGTGGAAGCGCGACAAGTCGGTTCCGCTCGCACAGGTCGTCAACGGCTGGAAGATCTTCTGCACACACAAGTACGCTCATCCCAACTCCCGCCATCCCCTCAAAGTGATTGGCAGAAGCCGGTGGCTAACATGAAGCTTTCGGTGATAGGCAGGGCAGTCAGGGCATCCTGGACGGCGCGTCCAATGCACACCTGGAGAACGAGTTCGGAACGCACAAGGAGGAGGAGGTCGTGAAGCAGATCCTGGAGCAAGGAACTGTGATCGAAGGAGAGGTGCGTGGTCCATCCCAACTGCCTTATCCTACGCCTTTCCTATCCTTGATACTGACATTGCCTCTTTCTGCAGAATCCCGGCCGTGACGGTAATAGGAACATCACTATGGGACCGACCGTCGCGCACTAAGCCTCTGCGCCTGAGTCTTCACACCGAGAGGGCCATGTAGCATTAAACCCGGCCTGAAGGGCTCAGCTCATCTGGTCCCGGTGGAATATCTCTAGAATAACGGCCCAGTTAGGCATGATAAGGAGCATTGCGTCTCCATAAGATAAAATTCAATGAGGCATTGTTCCTCCGCTGACTCGCTATGAGTGCGGCAGTTCGCTGCGCAGAATCTTGATACTATCGAGTCCTCACACTCGCATCTCGTGCATTATCTACCCTCTTTACCAAGATACTCACATCCAGACCAAGCCGAGACATGAAATACACGGCTCCGCACCACGGTACGAGTCGATTCCATGAGTGCCCCTCGCCTTACAACCACCCCTTCTTACCGAACCTAAACCAGCCTTCCTATCTCCTCTCACAGCTTCGCCCCCTCCCTATCCCTCCCCAAACTAACCTCACTCGTCATCAAAATGAACGTATCCCTCAAACTCGGCACCCGAAGCCGTTGATTGACCTCCTGATAATCCTCACTGCCCGCCATATCCGCAAAGTGCTTCGCACTGGGATAATGCGCCAGCGCAACCTCATCCCACTCCCTACACCCATCACTACACTCGACGACCTTACCCACAATCTTGGCATTCCCGCCCCGCCGTGCCCCGATCGAGGACGCGAACGCGGCGCCGTATTTGAGATACGAGTCCTTCTTATCCGGAAGGAAGGAGAGCAGATTCAGCATGCTGACCGCACCCTTGGGGCACGCAGCCGACCCGATCCACGCCCTCAGCTCATCCGTCAGCTCCAGGTGCTGCGCCGAGCTCGCGATCCGCGGCCGATCCAGCGCCCCGCTCAGGCCGGGCACGTCGCCTTCCTGAGGATGGAGCAGCCGCTCGTTCCGCTCTCTGAAGCCCGAGACGATGCTCTTCGGTATGCCGGCCGTGATGCGCCATTCGGCGCGGATGTGGGCGCGGAGGGAGGAAGGGAGGCCGGCTGTACCGGGGAGGATGACGAGGAGGTCCCAGGGGGGCGATTGCGTGAGGAGGGGGTCGTGGGAGAGGGTTGTCGGGGTGATGATCCAGCGGATGACGCGGGAGGTGACGAGGGGGATTGTGGGGGTAGAGGAGAGCGCGGAGAGGAAGTTTGGGAGGGAGGTGGTTAGAGAGAGGAGGTGGAGTGTGCAGAGAGGCATTGTGGTGTGACGGTCGGCCACCGGAGGAAAGCTGCTGCTCGATGTGTGATGGAAAAGTTCGTCCTGGGTGACGTTTGGACGGTAGTACACAATCCGAAATGGCGGACTGGACCGAGGTTTATTTGAAGCTGGCGCCGCGATTTACCCCGGATTTTCAGCCCTACATACACGCACTTCTTTCCGACAGCTCGCGATGAAATGCCCCGCTTTGCGACGGTTCGATTGTAAACGGGATTGCGGGATTGTCTCCGCAGTGGTGAGATGCGAGCTTTAAGAGTCCCTCATATGAGGAGCTTGCACCGTCGAATGCCACGCGTATCAGTGCGATAAACCCAAGTAACTACTGTACACTTCCGTTGTAATTGGCGTCTCTTCTTACGGCCAACCCAATCGCCATGAGTTCCAACAACACATCCATCCTCATCACCGGCGCTGGGGGCTTTATAGGCCAAGAGCTCGCCGCCGCGCTCTCCTCTTCCTTCCCAGACGCCACTCTCACCCTCACCGACGTCTTCGAGCCACCGATCCCCCCAAACACCAACTCGTCAAACATAAAATCGATTAAATCCGACCTCACCAACCCCGACTCCATAAGCTCCCTCTTCTCGACGCCCTACACAGCATGCTACCTCCTCCATGGTATCATGTCCGGCGGCGCCGAAGCGAACCTCGACCTCGGGCTCAAAGTAAACCTCGACTCGCACCGCATGATCCTCGACTTCCTACGGGTGAACCACCCAGGCGCGAAAGTTATATTCCCAAGTAGCACGGCGGTATACGGACCCGACGAGCCGGGCCAGATGATGACGGAGAAGACGCAGCCGCTGCCGCAAAGCAGCTACGGCACGGAGAAGCTGATGATTGAGTTACTGCTCAATGACTACTCGAGACGAGGACTGCTGGACGGCAGGATCGTGAGGTTGCCCACTGTGATTGTAAGGCCGGGCAAGCCGAGTGCGGCGGCCTCGAGCTTTGCGAGTGGAATTGTGAGGGAGAGTCTCAAGGGTGAGAAGAACATTTTGCCAGTACGCGAGGACCTGAAGATGTGGGTTTGTTCGCCGAGGACGGTAGTGAAGAATCTCGTGTATGTGATGGATGTGCCCAAGGAGAAATTTGGCACCTCGAGGGTTGTCAATTTGCCGGGGCAGACGGTGACGGTAGCGGAGATACTAGAGGCGCTGGAGAAGGTTGGAGGCAAAGAGAAGAGAGATTTGGTAGAGAAGAAGAGGGATGAGAAGATTGAGACTATCGTTGAGAGCTGGCCGACGAATCTCGATGCGGCTCGGGCGCGGGAGCTGGGTATGATGGATGACGTGGACTTGTCGGAGACCGTCCAGGTGTTTGCTGACAGTCTGAAGTCATAGATATTGTAGCAAGCCTTGCACAGCTATGGAGTGTCATCGAGCCCTTCTCTGAACTGCGTCGACGCGATAGAAGCGATACATGTTCCGAGCTGATGTTTTTTTCAAATCCCCGTAACAATGCTCTTTGATTTCAAGGCTATCGAGAATCCGTCTCGAGCGATTGAGCTCTGGTAAGCAAGCAAATGTTGAAGCACTTTCAGTGTATCGGCCATCACAAAAAGCCAAAGCCAGCGTAGTTGAATTCCATATTCCCGAAGTCGATTTGCGGGAAGGTTGAAGGCCCTAATCCGAAATCCGAGTCCACCAATCCACTGTAAGGTGACCGGTAGCCCAATATCGCTTCGCCATGCTCCAGCACCTGGAGCAGATTCTGGCCTTGTGTATTCGAATACGGCGCGCTCGACGTCAAGCTTTCATTCTGAGGCGTGTTGTTGCTGCTCCCTTGGGGTTGCTGCAGCATGCTGTTGGCCATCTTCTCCAGTCCGTCGGCCATCAGGTGCACCAGATGCCATTGGCCTGTGGAGGCGGATCTGAGCAGCTGGACCAGTCGTGTAGTGAGGTCGAACACTGTGGCGTCTTCAATGAACTGACCGCTACGCTTCGTCGCAATCTTCAGTAGGAAGACGCATGCGAAGGCGGTCATGGAGTGGAGGTAGCTCGGCATGCCGACCAGGCCGTCGCGGAGATCCTGGTCCGTAACAAGTAGGTCGACGATGGAAGCTGCGGCTGATACAGCTGCAGATGCTCCCTCTTGGAAGTAGTCGGGGATTGGAGCGTTGGGCAGGCCGCGGAAAATGTGGGAGTATAGATGCAATCTTGCAAAATGATAGTGTAATAGGACGCCCTTGATGGGGAACCCTCCCAGACAAGGATGAACTCCTGCTTCAGTCAGTAAGGGCACTTCATGAAATAACTCGCAAACATACTTGGGATGTTGGTTGACCAATGACCAACCCACTGATCCAACTGTCGGCTGAAGTTGACGATTTGGGCGGCATAAGCGCTCGGGACAGGTGATCCCGTGTCCGGTCCAAAGAGTTCTTGTACGTTTCGCATTATGATGAGTAATGCGGCTTGACTGATCAAACGTCTATCGGAATCCGTAACCCAGAGCGCTCGGAGGAGAGTCTCCCACCCCTGGATAGAGAAATCTTCTCTGATGATGGACGGCCTACCATAAAGAATCGAAAGGTGCTGGTCGCATATGTAGAGAGTGTACCATAGTCTCATACAGTCAGCTGCATCCTCATTACTTTCGGCTATTGCGCGGCGGTAGTTCGCATTGAGATTGACTTCCGTGGCGCGTCGTATCGCATAGCCGGAGAGCGTCCAAGATATGTCACTGAGCCAGTAGGAACCGATGCACATAGCTCTTAGATGGTCTCGGTCGATACGCCTATCAAACATGGACGCAGCCATGAGGCGTTGAAACTCCCGCTTGCAGATACCATACAGATGATTGCTGTTAGCATCATGCAGTGCAGCCACCGTGCAGATGCACGCCGTGAGGATTGGAGACGCTCGCCGTACGGTAGTGAGATCCGAGTACCTTCCACCGACACTGTACATAAAATGATCCAGCCGATTCAAATAAAGATCGAACAAGCGTTCGGCATCCTCAAGGCTTACTGATCCGGTCGTGATGAAATCGTTAATGGTGCGACTAGCGCGGCCATTTGGATGAGAAGTGGGACTCTCCTGTACGGCATCGTCGGCTCGCAGGGCTCGAAGCTTTGTGATCTCGTATAGTGATTGTATAGGCACATGAGGCATCGAATCGTCCTTTGGCGAGAGCTTTGGAGAATTGTCGGTTGATGGACCGACGTCTTCTAGTGGGTCGGCAAATTCTTCCGCAGAAGGAACCTCAGTGGCGGTAGATGTCGTCTCCAGCCGTGGCAGTGGAGGCATCGATAGCCGCTTCAGTACATCTTGGAGGGCACCGTGCATCTGCATAAGGTCGCGGCTCGTAGCGCCCTTCCACCTAGGATGGCTTCAGCTCAAGAACAACGCACAGCTACAATAGAGCTCGTACTGATGCCTCTCGTCTATCAATGTCTGTAGGCTTTTGTTCAAGACACAGGATAGATTGCGGTCCACGCATCGGCGGCATGGCGGCCCAGCATCGGACATTATACATTTGATCTGAGTAATGTGTCACTATTACAGACTCATACATACAGCGTGCTTTGCAGCTAACCTTCTGTTTCCGACAAGCGGCACATGCTTTTACCTTTCGTGAGATGTTGGGCTGGCTCGCTGTGCCATCGAAAGTGGTCTCGCTGCGTGGCAGTGGAGCCGGACGATTGCGTGCTGCTGGAGATGTACCTGCGCTGAGAGCATTGGGTGTAGGAGTCGCTATAGAACTCTCGTCATCCTGCAGGACCGATTAAGACGCGGTCTCTCTGCAGCACCTGAGGCACTGTACCTACATCTCCTGAAGCTGAGGGTAAACTTGCTTGCGCCCATGTCCTCTTCGCCATTTCGGAGAGATTTGATGCTTCGTTTGAGGTCTGTGATGATGCTGGAGGCTTCAGTCTTGACTATACAGCCTACCTTGTAGTCTCCCTTCTTCTCATAAACATGTCGAAGCCAGTCCATTACCACTCTGAGGTTGATTCAGAGTAAGAGCAGCAAGGCAGCCACAGCGGGCATGGGTGGATGATCTCCCGTCGATGCAGGGCTCGCTCCGATCTCCTTGCGCTGCGGGGCGTGAGGGCTAGATCCGGGGTCGGAGGCACCTCCCCAAAACTCATCTAGATATGCTCTAGACCATGTCTACTCCAGATCAATGAACTTTGCGACGCTGAAGCTCCTGCAGTTCTCAACAACCAATCCAAATATCCATAGCAGGGAATTATATATCTAAGTAATCAGTAAATACAAGACCCGCAAGGGCACTCATAGCATCTCAACCTCCTCCCATCAGCACATCTGCACCTCCATCAAACACCTCCTCACCCCACTCCCCTCCCCCATCTCAACCCCATGATTCTCAATCTCATACGCAACCCCACCCCTCCCCGCCACCTCCTGCTTAAACCCATCCACACTGCCCCCGACGCCAAAATACACTCTCTTCGCCGCCACCATCGCCTTCCCCATCCTTACCCGCTGCAGAATTCCCACCAACAACTCCGTGAACGCCGATAAACTGGCTGGAGAGTATATCGTCTCCGACGCCAGCACCAGCGTCGTCATTTCTGGCCCTGTAGGTACGAGGGGCAGGAAACTTGAGACCGGGATCCAGGAACCGGAGATCAGGTTCAGGGTGATGCCTTGGTGGGTGAGCGCTGTGGTGAATGCGCTGAGGAGGGCGGGTGTGATGTCTAAGTCGCCTGCAGAGGATTCATGGAGTGGATTTGGCGAGGTGGCTGAGAAAGGGGCGTCGGTGGCGGATAGTGTTGACACCCAGGTCAACAGGAGGTTTGGCAAAGTAACGAGACGCAAGACCGAGGCGTTGTAGTCGGCGAGCGTGAAGTAGAGGGTGAGGCCGTTGGTAATAGCGTAATGGAAGAGGACTAGGGTTGGTATGGCGGTGCCGCAGCCGAGCTGAACATCTTAGCAAGGGGATTTTTGAAAGGAGTAGCGAGCAATGGAAAGATTTACCTCAACAACGTGGTCGACCCTGCACAGATCATCGATGTCCTTCCGCGGACCACGATCGAGCAACAGCTTTGCCAAGTCGATGGAGCATTCCCAGCTCTTGAACCCACCTTCGTAGATGTTGGTCTTGATATCCGAGTCGTCAAGACCAGTAAGTGGAGCAGCGTCGTCATTGTTATCTTCGGCCATAAGCTGCATTCGGATATCGAAGAGCTCACGCCGAGGAACGCGCAGCTTTCGCCCCTTTGGTGATTCGATCTCGAGACTGCTGTATGATATTTTGGAAGGAAGCGTTGCAAGCTGTGGCACCGTCAGGCCATGGATTCAATCAAACGAATCCACTCCTTAAGTAATAATTTGCTTAGAAGCCCTGTATGAGATTACGATAGGCAGAACGTGCAAGTACTGGAAGAGAGACTCGATCCCAGATTGAAGACACTCTGAAAGTTCGAGATATGTAGAAGATCCATTTCTTACCCACCAGATCTTCAACCCGATGTGTCTGGGCTGGCGCAGTTGGTGCATCCATTATCGTGGCGGCGGCGGAGCCGCTCGCTCCTGTGTCAAACACTTCCTCTTCAGCAGTGGGCTCTATGTCGTCGCCGGAGAAGCCGAAGCTGAATGCCATGATGCCTCAAGTTAGATGAAGTTTGTAGTTTGATGGCTGTGAGGTCTTGAGCAATCCTCAACCTTTGTGCCCTGATGCAAGCATGGATCAAGCCACAGCCGCGCCACAGCCATGCAAGATGCAGCCCTGTTGACGACCTTCAGTTTCATAGCAAGGTGCTGGTTTTGTTATTGGGCTTCTTGGTAGTCCAAATCGCGCATGTATATACTTCTCAAGCTACTGGTATCAAACTTTGCAATGGAACCCAAACAGCCGTAAACTTCCAAGCACTCAAACACTTCACTCCAATCGCACGCCTAAAGATGGATATCATGGCCCTTCCTAATCCTTCCCCCGTCAATCATTCTGTCCTCGCCCAGATTCCTCTCAGCTCTATCCAGTACCCTCCGATAGTTATCCCCCTCCAACTTCCTCGCCTCTGACCGCTGCGCCTCCAGTCTCTCCACACCCAACTGTATGCTCTCGATATGTATCTCCAGTGGCGTGTCTTTGCTCGTCCCCACAATCTCCGGCGCAGCGACCCTCTCCCTGAGATCCTCCAGTCCCGCGGCAATAGCCTGCAACTTTAGAATAGTCGTACTCACATGCGCCCACGCCATCTTGCGATACTGCGAGACCTGCTTAAGCAATTTAAGCTGCTCGTTCAACTTATGAACGCTGGACCTGTTCCCACCCAGCTTCGTCCACAGCGCCGCGAAGAGCTCGTCTTTAGAGCCCTGGGCCGCAAACCCGTCGCGTAGAGCTATCATGGCGATGACGTCGAGTCTGTCGTCTAGATTCTGTAGGATCCGTAGGAGCTCTTGGGCTTCGAAGATCAGGTCTTGGATCTCTTCCTCGACGGCCCTGGTATGCTTTAAATACTGCTCGAGCAGCATCTCGTCGGTTGTTTGCCGTGAGGTAAATGGCCCCATGACTGTATCGGTGAAGAAGCGAGTCAGCGAGCCCCTGGCGGCCTCGCGCTCGGTGATGCCGTCGATGACTTGGAGGGTCCAGCGGTTCGTGCTCAGGATGTGATCGACTGCCCTCCCGATCCGCGAATTGAACTTTGTCAGGTCCATCGAAGCTTGCCGGGCAGTGTCAATGAAGCCGCCAAACTCGAAGACGAGCTCGTTGCGGGATGGAAGTGATGAGAAGCTGACAACACTGCGAAGATCGCGTATAGAGAGCTCGCTGCGCTTCATGTCCATTGGCAGCGTGGCGCTTTCTGAAGAGGATGAGAGCACATCCTCGAACGCGGATTGGACGGTCATGAGCTGATCGAACTCTGGCGCCCCGGCGGGCTGTGGATGTTTGGCATATTCGCAGAGGGGAACAACGCGTGACATGCCTGGGATGTGACATAAGGGTGCTAAGGCATTCGATACGCTCGATGTGACCAGATTGCGGAGGACGATGCCTGTACCGATCAGGAGCCAGAGTGCCAGCGCGTACACTAAGAGCGGCCTCAAAAGCTTAAGCGCCGACTGGAGGACTGAGAATAAGAAGCTTGCGGCTGGATAGAACACCTTGTTCCACACCAGGCTAGGGAGACCTCCCTCATCTTCAGGTGCAGCTGGAGGATTTGGTGACCGATCACCGCGGGGTTGACTCGCAGCACCTCGTGGTGATTTGATCGGCGAGCTGGATGGCGTTGAACCACGTACATTGCGCTTCTTGGCTTGAGGAGAGCTGCTCATTCCGAAGGCGCTCGGTTGGTCCTGTTGCATGGAAGGCATGACAAGTTCGGGTTCCACGGAGTTCTTCCTAGAGCTCGACCGCGTGGCTCGTTTGACGATAGGGCTTAGAGGCTGCGATGGTCCACCGGTAAATCCTTGACTTCTGGAGAGATTTGGGGATGCTTTGGCAGGCCTGCCCAGCTGAGCGTGACTCTTCGCCAGCCTAGGGGTGATATGTCTCCGTATTGGCGTGACTTGGTCTTTACTCTCCGAATCTGCTGTAGTCGGACTTTCTTTTGAGGGCGGCTCTTCCGCTACCGTTTGTGTGATTTCTTCCTCGATGCTTTCTTCGTCATCAGACTCTACGATGCCCCAAGATTCGCTGAGCGCTGGTCTTGGCCTTCGCGTTGCGCGTGTCATTAGGCTGATATTGCGGTGGAGTGGTGGGCCAAATTCAAGTATACGCGGTCTAGCACAGAGGTACCTGTGATGCCGGAGCAGCAATCAGGTCTTTGAGAGACAGTAGGAACAAAGTGTCCCGGGGAAGCAGAAATGCGAATGGGAAGAAGTGGCATGGTGGGCAATATGTACATAGGCGCCCAGCAAGCTGTTTCGTCACAGGTCGTGGTCGCGTCGACCTGTGAACGTGTTTCGTGCCAATCAATTTTTGTGAACGGAACATCAGCCCTCCCACATGCCTTCCTTACGCCCTCCGCTACACCTCAGCCACGCCGCACGCTATCTACGGTGCGGATACCGTCGTGAACGCATCATACGCTTGCAGCAGCTTCGAAGTTGTTCCTGCTCTGCACCGCGGCCGCATCCTATACACGCTACATCCACCCAGACCCTGAATCCGACCACACGAGATCCTCCTACACCCCCTGCGGATCATCGCGAGCTTGGTGCATCCCAGAACCTCTTTACCACATCTCCCTACAGTCCCGGCTCGCCGCTGTTTCTGCCCAATGGCGCTGCTATGTTCAATAAGCTTGCCGATTTCCTTCGCGCCCAGTATCCTAACTTCGGCTTCCGAGAAGTTGTCACCCCTACCATCTACAAGAAGTCGTTATGGCAGACGTCCGGCCACTGGGACAATTACGCAGACGATATGTTCGAGGTTCGCGGACGGGGTGCAACCGGGCAGACTGAGAACGCTAGGGAAGGGCAAGACGAGGAGTTTGGATTGAAACCAATGAACTGTCCAGGGCACTGTCTACTTTTCAAGGGCGAGAAGAGAAGCTATCGCGATTTGCCAATACGATATGCGGACTTCAGCGCACTACACCGGAACGAAATATCTGGCGCGCTGAGCGGATTGACCAGGGTAAGGAGATTCCATCAGGACGATGGACACATATTCTGCCGACCGTCGCAGATCCTGGAGGAGATCAAGCTCACGCTAGACTTTGTTGGCATGGTATACAAGACATTTGGTCTTGGCCCGTATAAGCTGGTGCTTTCGACTCGCCCGGCGCATCACTACATTGGGACTCCTGAGGAATGGGGAAGGGCTGAGGATCAACTGAAGGCAGCCCTTGACGCTAGTGGACGTGACTGGAGCATCAACGAGGGTGATGGTGCCTTCTATGGCCCCAAGATTGATATCATCCTCAAAGATTCTGACGGGAAAGAACACCAGACAGCTACTATACAGCTCGACTTTCAGCTCCCGCAACGCTTCGAGCTCGAATACACTGCACCTGCGCCAGAGCTGGAGCGCAGGGGGGAGGTAACGCCGGACACTGATCCAGCCCTCCTCTCTGAAAGCGGCCCCGTAACGCCGGTCATCATCCACCGCGCTATTCTTGGCTCTTTGGAGCGCTTCCTCTCGTTGCTAATTGAGCACTACGACGGCAAATACCCGTTCTGGCTCTCACCACGTCAAGCCATTGTTTTGAGCGTCTCGCAAGAGCCCGCCGAACTCAAGTATGTTGAAGAGGTTGCGAAGCGACTCAGGAAAAATTGGCACAGCGAGAGACCTGCGCCGCTAAATCACATGTACCACAATGTTGACCAGGACACTTCTGCGCGTTCACTGGGTAAAAAAATAAGAGAAGCAAAGGGTAAAGGGTACAACTTCATCGCCGTAGTCGGACCGAATGACGTCCAGATGAACACGTTGACGCTGGAGATGTCGAACCATCGCGCGAATGATCACGGTTCGTTGAAGGATTACGTTGAGGGGGCGGCTCCAGGGACTGTTCGAGCCTTGTATGCTTTGCTTATGAAAGACAAAAAGACTATCACGTCGTCTGGGAAGGCGGCTAAGCTTTTTGATCATTTGCTCGAGACATATCAATAAGAAACGTCTCGACAACTCTGCTTCTGTCTGTATCTTATCTCTGTAATAGAGCGTACAAAGAGGGCATTCGTTTGCTCGATGCCTTCACCACATTACCGGACGCCGTTCAAGAGCTTTCAGTCCGGCGCTGGTCACATTCCTATCCGCGATTGGTCACTCTCGCAGTCCGTTTGTTCACTGATATCTTTGTCAGCAATACCCTGAGTGAATTCATTTCTTGCCGTCTGGTATTTAAAGCCCTTCGCATCACAACACAGTTTACGTTCCCGAGAGGTGTCAGAACGTTTAGAGTTGAGTTCATTACAACATCTTGGTCTTTCCATGCTGACGCCTGTCACCAGCCCTAGAGCGTGTTCATCTGAAGCGTACGACCAACTCTACTGCTATAGTCAACATTTGTTCTGCACAGTCAAACCACCTCGACCAACTTCACGGAGCTCGTCTTACTAAAGCAGCCATGGCTGGTCAAGAACATAAAGCACGGCGAATAGAGGAGCTGGCTATGTCTTTGTGAGTGTTCCTTCGCTCTCGCAACCTTACATTGCTAACCATTCAATGTGCGCACAGTGTGCAAGGAGACACCATCGACGTTCGCGTCCATGACAGCGACGGCCGCCGCGGGCATATTCATTCAGAGCACTCCATCGAAGTTCACGTGCAACATGGTGACAGCCATAGAAGTTGGCATCTAAACAAATACCTCCTCTGCAACGAGTCCGCCTATTTCCGCAACGCCCGCGACAAGGGACACCTTAGACACGCCGCGCCTCCAATCCTGCTCGAGGACACCGACCCCGCCATCTTCGACTCGTTCGTTCGGTTTCTATCCAAAGGGGACTACGAACTCACGGTTTCGGGCGTCAGCGGCGATGCTATGGATGCACAAGCCTCTCCCTCATTGGACCCGATCCACCATACCAAGGCCTGGATCCTCGGCTGGCAGCTCCAATCGGCATCCTTCATGGACTGCGCCGTTCGCAAAGTAGCCGCACCGTGCGGATTTCGAGCCCTTCCCGTCCAGATCGAACCAGGCGGCATCGCCTACGCCTTCGAAGGCACTGAATCCGCACCCGGTCAACGTCAACGTCTCATCACCGCTATCTCGTACGCGCTGCGGAGGATGGCCAAGCTTGAGTCGGGATACGGGCGCGGGTTGGATAGGGCTATTCTGAGATCTCCAGGAGCTGGCGTCCAGAAGTCAGTGGAGGAGGTGCTTGTGGGCTTGGATTTGGACGAGGAGCCGGAAGTCTATGTGCATAAATACTGGGTTCGACGTCCCTATGCGGGGTTTGGCTACTGAAGGCTAGGGCTGGGGGTGAAGAGGGGTCTGAACCGGATGTTCTTCTGGTGGCATAGATCGGGTTTGCGGAGGGCTTTCTCTAGAAAGTTTGGAGAAGTTTGGAGCATTCATCAGACAATCACCGCCAAATGATAGAGGGTCTTGGCGGGAGTTATGCATACTAGTCTCAGTCTGCAGAGTTCAGACCTGACCTCCAACGTGCTTTCTTATCCTTCACATCATCACATATCCCAGCTCGTTCTTCTTGCAAACACCGCCGTTGTGCAAGGCCGTACCATCTGCGCCTTCTCTTTGCAAGATCTTGTACGAAGACACCTGTTTGCTGGACGCTTGGCGGCCGCCGACATAGCGCATGGCGGTCTTTCACTACGGTGCCTGCCATTATTTTAATTTCAGCTGGCCCGTGGCCTGTTTCACTTGGGTCTCGCTGTCCGCTTGGAGCGTCTTATCTTCACCGAAAACCCCTCTGAAAAACATCCTTCTGTCGATCTCAACTGGTCAAGCTCCGAACACCAGCCCATCATCAAGGTCCCTTGTGACTCCCCGAATGCTAAGGGGTGAGTCGACTGCCACAATTTCCTTGTTGCGTGCTGACGCCTACCTAGATCTAGAACGCGCCTTTCTGAAGCGCACGATCGAACTTCACTCTCCAACCTACTCTGCAGCTGCACATCCGGGTGTTAGCGAGCGCCCTCACGCAACCAAGTCAATCGAGATGGCAGATGATGGCCAGACAAGCAATCCATCGCATGCGGTAGAGCCAGTTACGACTTCGTGAGTATCCCTGTACTGCCACCGATCTTCGCTAACCGATAAATGTGTTCACAGTGTAACAGAAGAGCTTGTTGAGATCCGCGGGTACTCCGCCCACTCTAACAGAACTTGGCGCCTCAGCAAACGTTCACTTCGCAACGAGACAGTCTTCTTCCAAGACATCGGCGAACGTGTAAAGTATGACCCTATCGATGGTTCTGCCTACATCGGAGACATCGACCCAGACATCTTCGAGGCATTCGCACAGTTCCTGTCCGGGAAACACTACGAACCTCCGTTCCGCAGCCACATTTCTCTAGCCTCAAGAAAATCTCCCTCACTACTTCAACTCTACCATACTTTGGCTTGGCTTCTTGGAGATAAACTTGGTGCCGTGGCTTTCCAGAATCACGCGATTGTCAGATTAGCATTCTCCCTCAATCCCAAAGATGCCTCCGCGCTTGTCTCTCCAAGGGCCGTTCTCCGCGCTCTGGAGTCCATGGGCAACACCCTTAAGCTGCGCCAGCTTTTCGTAGATGCGACGGCTTATGCACTACAGAAGCATGGGCTGAAGTGGCGAGAGGATGCGAGGTGGGCAAAGGTGCTCGAGAAATTTCCAGACTTCATTCAAGATGTGATTGTGCGGTTTGATGAAGGAGAGGTAACGAATCCGTCGCTGCATGTGGCAAAGTACTTCCTTTGATACGGGATCCTGCATATGCGGGAGCTTGAGATCTTTTCCCTTTGATCTGGATCGCTGATGTAGTTCTTGCTCCAATTGCTTCGCAATAATCGGGATCAAAGGTTGAGGGCAACCCGAATCATCAGCGATCTCATCGGGGAGTCATGTAAATTAGCTCCAATCACCGAAATTCGGACTTGACTCCAAGAGTTTTTCCATTTCGTTCACTCTGCGCTATGCTCTCACTATATGAGGTCCGTCCCCGAAAGGCACAACTCGCCACTCACTCTTCAACAGCGAACAGCGATTTCAAGCTCATTAGCCACGATTCTCACATTCTGATCTCTCGCAGCACGTTTTCTAGCGAACAACAGCGTTGTGCAGCTCCTAAATGTTGCTAGCCCCTGAACAGCAAGTCATCAAACACGTCAACGCACATGAACCGAATTGCTCAAAAGCTGCTTCGTCAAATGATAATCAACACTAAGATCCATGTGCTCACAAATGCCTATGTACCGAGCTCGCTGGCTCCCATGGACTACAAGCAGATTATAGTTATATGCTGGACGAAAACTCCATGAAGTGGTATTCCCATAAACACGGCCCAAAAAGACAGCAAATCGCATCGAAAAACCGAGCCGGCAGCCACCGATCCCAGCAACCCCTACCCCACTACCGCCTCCCCCCTGCCCTTAACCCCACCCCGCTCGCCAAACTCTGCCTCACAATCATCTCCGCCGCCGCGGCCGCCGCAAGCCTCTCCTTCTGCCTGCTCCGATCCTTGAGATACCTCTCCGCCTCAGGTCTCATCCTCAGAATCCTGAGGATAATATCATCGCTCGGCTCCGCCTGGGCCTCCTTCCTCTTCTCCTCCTTCGCCTTCTTCATGGTTCCCAGATTCCTGCTCAGCATGATCGTCTTGGTACGGCGCGTCGGCATGCCTAGGAGGCCCTGGGGGCCCGCGCCCACGGCGCCGAAGCCGATGGAGGGGCTGGGGCCCAGGGAGGCGGGGGCGGAGAGCCTGTTTGCGCGGGCTGCGGCGTCGGCTTGACGCGCGGCGGTGGCGGCGGCCATGGACTCGGATGTGCGAATCAGGTTCTCGGTGGACTCGAAGTAGAAGAAGTTGAGGTTCTGGAGCTCGTGGTATTTTGGGCTCTTGAGGATGTCGAGGGGGACGCCGTTGCTGATCCCGGTGTCCTCATCGACAGCGTGGAAGAAGTCAAACAGCAGCTGCAGCCACTTGAAGACGATGTCGAGCTCCTGCATGGTCAGGGGCCGTTGTTGGGACAGTTTGTCGGAGAGCGGCGGCACGAGCAAAGATTCGATGGTTACGAGGACTTCTTTCCACAGGCGCGTCATTACCATCACCATGGCGCTGTCGGTCAGCGTTTGCTTCATGATGGCGAAGTTGTCGTTGAAGTAGGTGAAGAGGGGTTTGAGGGCGTTGGTGATATCGGCTTGGGTTGGGCCTTGGGCGACGGACTGCGGGCGCGTGCGCTGGAAGTAGGAGGATACGGCGGAGATGGTTATGCCGCGGGAGAGGAGGCTGCGGAGGGCGCGGCGGGAGAGGCAGTGGTGGATGTAGGAGGATAGCTGGGATGTGTTAGCGATGATTGTGGCTCCGGGAAGTCGTGCTTACCTTGTCTGTGATCTTTCTCGTCATGTCCCGCTCCGTCCTCTTCAGTGTCCTGAACGCTTTGCCGAAGTAGAACTGGATGTCATCTCGTTCGCCTTCCATGCTAACCCGTAACAGAAGCCTGCCTTGAGTGTCGAGGTCTAGCCAGTACTCTCGCGGCATGAAGTCCCTGAAATGCGAAGGGTCTAGCTTCAGCGATGTACGACCGACGCAGTCGTGGTCACCAAGTGCGTCCCAGTCCCAAATCGTAGCGATGATATTGAGCGGTCCTTGTGTCGTAATATCGACGGTCTCGTCCCAACGCGGGTTGAGGCTTCCATAGATGACTCGCGTTTTCGCCAGCCGCTTCTGGTACTCGTCGCCGAGCACCACATATGGATCGCTAAGCCCGTTCATGTCGCACGCTTTAAGGTCTTCTGCTTCAATGATCTTGATCGTGAAGACGTAGGAATCGGCTTTCCGCTGCCGTTGCGCTGCGGGCGGCGCGTGCCGCTGAACGACTTCGGCACATGCATCAACGTTGACATCGCGCTCTAGCTTGTCCAGCTGGAGCATCGCGTACTCGATATTGTTGAGCTTCACAAGGGACTGCATCTGGGGTCAATGAAGGCTACAAATGCCATATGGGAAAGGCTTACCTCTGGTAAGAACTGGAACGGCTCGATCTTCTCCTTGTTAGTCCACGCGTCTTTTGCAAGCTGCATATACTTCTCCGTCCGCGTTTGTTGCGCAGCTGCTTCCTGCTCCGGCGTCATGCGGTCCATCTCTTTGGCGAATTTCGTCTCGATAAGCTCACAGTACCTGGCTAGACCGATACCAATCGACTTTGATAAGGCCGTCATGAACTTCGCGTATTGCAGGTCATCGTCCCAGTTCAGCTGGACGATCTGCTCAATACTCTGGTTGAAGGATTGGAAAATGTCCATAACCGAGACGCTGTGCCGCTCGTCATCGGTGGGTATCTGGCCTGGGTGGCTTGTGCGGACGGTGAACTGGTCTTGCTTGACTGCATTCTCAACCCAGCTGGCAACGCTGGCGTCCGTTGCTTCTATCCACCGCCACACGAAGTCCTGTAGCAAGCTCTCGATGTGGAATGCAAATGGCTCGCTGGGCAAGAATCAGTCAACCTCATTCCGCAAGGTCGATTGGGCGTCAGCACTTACCCGGGTAGGGCATCCGCATGGACGCGTCGGATGTCAACCATCTCGGCGTAGAGATCAAAGCCATCTTGTATTGGGATCTCCTCGCCACGCGCTTGCGCCATGTCCATGATCCGTGCGACCAGATCTCTTGCATCGGCTGCATAAGCCGGTAAAACTTCTGCAATTAGTACCGATAGAGGGTTCACGCTACACGCTGTTAGCCTGGAGAAGCTTCTGACTCAACATGGCTACTTACCCCATGATCTCCGGCGTCTTGCGGAACCGCTTCTGAATCTTCTCACACAGCTTGGCGACGGCTTTGCCAAGTTCTATTACATGAAAAAACTCCCACTGCTCTTTGTTATCCGGTAGCTGCTTCGCTAGCAGGTCGTGGTAGACTTCAGCCGCTCGTTGCCGCAGAGCGTCACGAAGTTGATCAGAGAACTGATCGAGGTCTTCAAGTGTTTTGGAAAAAAGGGGATCGTCGTAAATATGGGTTGTCAGAATATACATTACAGGTCCGAGTGGCGGGCCCTTGGCGTCATAAGAAAGTAAGAGAAGCTCGTAAAGGTCTCGTAATAATGCGTCATGCAGGCCGGAAAGAGCCTGCTGGTAAGTGGCGTAATCGCTGATGGTCCACTTCTTCCAGTCCGAGAGGGGCTCTTGCACTGCCATGCTTATGCGACTCGACTTTTTGTCTACTGGAGGCGGTGCCTTGATGTACTCGAAAGCTGCATCAACTGTGTCGAGCGGAATATCTTGCTGTTGATACTTCTCTTTAATGACATCCAGGAAGAGCACCATCCGAGTGGAATACGGTATTCGCCATCTGACTGCGATCTCATTAAGCAGCTCTGCGGACTGTTTCGAAAGGAGCTTGATGGATGGCGTGTCTGATGTGGCTTCTGTAGGCTGTATCTCGCTATCTTGAAGATCGTGAGTAAGAGCTTCCCTCAGAACTGCGCGGTAGTATGACCTTGGCTCGGGCGGAATGAAGGTATATGATGCCGTACTCTCGTTCCCGTTCGTTGAGTTGTTCAATGTGAGGCCGCTCATGTCAACAGGCTGGTCGATGACATAAGATGACCCGTTCTCTGAATGCTCTGACATATTCCTTAAGGTTTCTGAATCTGAGGTTGATCCACTTGCTGGGTTATACTGTGGTAAACCATTCCCTGAAGTAGTCTTGGCAAGCTCTGGATTTGACTGAATGATGGCCAGCATCATTTGTGTCAGGTCTGGGACCTCAGCTCTCTTCCAAGCTTGGTATGCCTCTTTGGTGTCGAAATCTTCAGGGCCCAGCGTCTTCGTGGTGTGAAGTCCGAGGTTAGCCTGGTACGCTTTGAGGTCTTTTAACGCAGCTTGCTCGGTCCAGACGTCCTTGTATGCCGCAATGTCCGACTGCACGTGTGCGTATGGGTAGCCCCAGATGCGCTGCACGACCTGGACCAGCGGCATGTCTCTAACCTCGTAGCTTCGGGGAACCTCTACCTCGACAGTAGTCCCACCGCTACCGCCGTTACGTTGTGTCTCAGCAGCCAGGTCCTGGTCATGGACCAGTAGCTTCTTTTCCATTGTTTGTAGCCGACTGCTGAGTTCTGGCCTGTCCTGTGCCCACCCGTGCTTCCTAAGTGTGTCGCTGATCAATCGGACGAACAAGGCCAAATGCCGGTCAGCCATCAGCTTCCAGCCATCGTCGTCCGGCGGCTTGCCCTTCCGCAGTTCCTTGGTCGCCTGTGCGAAGAAGATGAGCAAGAGGTCTTCCACTTTTCGATCCTTCTCCATCGTCTTTCGATAATGGGGGGCCATGAACTCATTGAGAAACGCGGCAAACGTGTTCACGACTAGCTGGTCCTTGTATTCCGGCATCTTCTCCGTCCCAAACAGTACTCCCCTTATCCTCTTGTCCAGCTCAGCCATGAACCCAGTGGGAAGCTTGGTGCTTTTCGAATCTCGAATGAGCGAGAAGTCTTTCACCATGTCACTAACGGACGTGGAGGAGCGCTGGATGGCGGCTTTGTGAGGGGCAGGCACATGCTGCAACCGCTTCGCTCGGGGCTGGAGGAGGTATGAGAGATACGCTACTCTCAAGGCGTAGAGGTAGGCTTCATTGGAGGTGACGATGCGCTTCCGGGCGTGGGAAACTCTCCTGTGGGGGCGCCCGCTGCTCGCGGATCCTGATGACATTGTGCTGCAGTGGTGAACTGGTTTGGATGAGCCTTCTGCTCATATGTTGACTGGAACTACGAGCGCATGGGAGATGTCGTGGACAGTTGGTCGGGGCAGTGGCGTGGGGGGTGGAATATGGGGGCGCAGACGAAGGTTGAGAGAGGATGGAGGTGGGGTTGGACGTTAGGAAGGAGGGCGACTGTCGGTAGTGATGTATCTGGGGCTCTCGAGCTTAGGGGCAGGCGCGGCGCAAGAGGTGACTTGAGGTTCCAGGAGTTGAAGCTGATATCGATACCAGCAAGACATGTCTTCAACCACCTTGGCGGTGACGCCGCAGGGCAGGTTTCAGAAATCGCCCGAGCCGCCCACTCCCAGGGTCGATCACCCGTCACATGCTCTGCCCTGTCACTCAGGGCTGCCAATGTCGAAGACACCTGTCAAACACATCAACCGCTTCAGAACCATATTCACCACAATATCATAGCGTGAACAACACCATCTCACTCTAAGACACGCCCAGCAACAAGAGACGCCCTCGCGCCTCCCTTCCTTCCCCAGCAATGTCTACCTCCACCCGCCAACCCGCCGCCAACCCCCCCGAAAAGCCTCGCCTGACCGAAGAAGAGAAGAAATCAAACCACATCGCCTCCGAGCAGAAGCGGCGTGAAGCAATTCGGCTAGGCTTCGACCGCCTCGCCAGCCTGGTGCCCGGCATGGAAGGCCAAGGCCGCAGCGAAGCCAACGTCCTCGAGCGGACGATTCTGTACATGGAGGAGCTGATCCGCGAGCGGGACGCGCTGGTCGAGCGCGCGAGAGAGAAGGGGCTGGATACGGCGAAATGGGAGCTGCCGGATAGCGTGACGAGGGTGCCATTTGCGCCGGAGGGCGCGGGGGAGCTGCCGGACTGAGGGAGGGGTGGAAGATGGATTCAATCTCGGGAGAGAGACCGCCCTTGCTAATGTCTGCTGTGCCGCTCAGAGCCTGACGTGGCATATGGCCTTCGTTGATCGGCTTTCGGGTGCCTGCACTTTCGTGTCTGACTGGGACATGACGATCGGAGCATACTCACTATGCTACAACCGTACAACAAGACGAAGCTCATCGGCATGTCGCTTCGAAAGGTGATACTCAGCACCCCGGATAATCTGACATCCATCCACAACCGAATATTGTGGCACAAGAGACAGTATCCGGCGTCAGTCCCGGAGATGTCAGCTTGCTCGGCGCTATAAGCTCTGGATCTAGATTTCAAAGCATTGGAGATTTTGGGCGCCTCAAAAGTAAACAGTGCTAAGGACAAGGCCGGCATGGCAGATCCATTGAGCCTCCAGCGAGGTCCGGAGGATCTAGGCGTAGATGCAAGGCTTGAAGACTATTCAGATGTTGCAACATAAGCGCTGAATTCAGCCTTTTACTTGTATCGCCGAACTTAGATAGCCATACGCCAGAGCGTCAACCATTTGCCAAAATCTCAAGTCCTTGGTTCTTACTTGATTCTGCACTTATAAATCTGTCTGTCTCTAGTTCCTTTGTGAATCAACCCAACGCTTGAGAGCTAGTGCGAAATAGCCTGTTATTCCTCACCCTGGGCCTCGAAGCAGCAACGAGCAGAAGAAAAAATATATAGTAGTACGTATTCGCTAGTGGTCACCCACCTACTAATAGTTTATCCTTTTATAGTTTAGAGGGTAAGCATCGCCGCCCTATACTCGCGCGACCTAAGGTGAGTATAGGTGAGTATAGGTGAGTGTTAGGTGAGTATAGGTGATCCCTTACCCTGTTTCACCTATATTTCAGGGAGCCTAAAAAGGCTCTCTTCTATTACCTGGTACCCTATAAATATTTCCGATAAGTCTACTACCTTGAACTTAGCCGGCTCTTTTAATCTTCCAACCTATTAGTGACGCCTTAACCCTACTTGTACTACTAATTGTGGATAACCTTATAGCTATTCTTCGTCACTAAACTTTATTTGAGTTTCTGATGGCCGCATTGGAAGTTTCAGTACGCTTGTTATGCAGCTGCGACCAGCATTGCGATGCCTTAGATTACCAACGGGTCCAGGGAGCAGTAAACGGACGCGGAATGCCAAGTTTCCTGGACATTGGGAAGGCGAAAACGCCAGAAATCCACTAAGCTAAAGATCCTACTGAGTCCAAGAATTGCGCCGAGAACATCAGGAGAGCCAAACATGACTAACATCAGCAGTATAGGGCAATAGTAAAATGTCTATAAGGTAAAGAAAGACTAGACCACAAGCTTCTTCTGTCCAAGCGTACTCCGGATCTCATCACAAACTGCCTCGGTGACCTCCTTCGTCGTCGCCTTTCCTCCAAGGTCTCTTGTCAGCACTCCTTTTTCACAGACATTCTCAACGCAATCAAGTAATCTCCGACCCGCTTCCTCCTCACCTAGCCATCCAAGCATCTCGGCTGCTGTCCAGAACGTCGCCACAGGGTTTGCGATTCCCATACCCGTGATGTCAAAGGCCGAGCCGTGAATTGGCTCAAACATACTCGGGTTTTCGCGCGTCGGGTCAAGATTGGAAGTCGGTGCAATTCCAATCGAGCCTGCCAGTGCGGCGGCGAGATCTGATAGGATGTCCGCATGCTGAAAGCAAGAGTTAGTTAAACTGCTCCATCTGGAAACTCAAACCATTGCTCTTACAAGGTTGGAGGCGACGATTGTGTCGAGCGACTCCGGCTTCAAGACCATCCGAGTCGTCATCGCGTCAACTAACATCTTGTCCGTAATTACATCTGGGAATTCTGCCGACATCTCCTTGGCTACTTCGTCCCAGAGAACCATGCCGTTTCTCTGGGCATTACTCTTCGTCACCACGGTCAATAGTTTCCGCGGCCTTGACTGTGCAGTCTCAAATGCGAAACGCATGATCCGCTCCACGCTATGACGTGTGAACACTGCGACCTCAGTGGCAGTTTCCCACGGCTTGCCAACGTGTGACCTCCCTCCGTGACCGGCATATTCTCCTTCGCTGTTCTCACGGATAATGACCCAGTCCAGATCGCCGGTGTTGCAGTTCCTTAATGGAGACTGAGTTCCTCTGAACACCTTGGTTGGGCGAACATTGGCGTACTGCTGGAAAGGCTGGCAGATGGCGAGACGCAGGCCCCATAGCGAAATGTGGTCCGGAACATCTGTGGCGTTCTTATTAGTGGGAGGTCAAAAAAGTGTACTGGTACCTATGCTTGCCAGGTGCACCGACTGCTCCAAACAGAATCGCATCATGCTTCCGAAGTTCGTCTAGTCCACCATCGGGGATGTATTTGCCAGTCTTCTTATATGTCTCGGAACTCCAATCAAAATGCTTGAACTCGAGCTTGAAAGTCTTCAGACTCTCAGCAAGTTGCTGCAGGACTTGGATTCCTGCATCTATGACTTCTGGACCGATGCCATCTGCGGGGATCGAGGCAATTCGGTAAGTTGGCTGTGCGGGAAGAGCTGTAGGCGACATGGTAAGTGTTGGATTGAACACAGAAATGTGGTACTCTGAACTGAAATATGAAGGTTTGTTGATGCTTTCAACCTTCTGCGGGACCTGGAGGTTTTTGTATTCTCACATCCCCTGGCCGCAGCACTAACACGCCATTACTCCAGAGCATAAGTGGAGACCGCGGCTCTATCTCTTCTCGGTAATGAAAATCCGGGGAGTTGATTCCTCAGAATCGCGAATCACTCCCGATGGTCTCGATGATCCTACCCAGGCGGACTTTCTGGGCGCGTCTGGTCACGGAGAAGAATTGTCCGAACCGCTTTACCTTTCTCCGGCCGCGAGACGGGTTCAACCAATGCCGGGACTGGATCGCGGGGATTCAGCTCCACCCTGGTCTAGGATTTTGCAATATGGATGTCCGGGGAAAGCATCGACGTCGGTGGTGGGCTCTTCACGTTACAATTGACGAATCCACCTCCTGAAACAGTTTCTGTCCGCTTGTAATACTCTACCGTCCATTGCGGATTCTTCCTACAACTGTCCGTCAACACTCGGCCATTGACTATGCCAGTATCTGATGAAGTTATCAGCTCAGTGCTGAGAAGCGTCGTACCGCGGATCGCATCGCACAGACAAAAACTGCTTCACAATGACGAACGGAGGCATCCACCCTTTGTGCTTGCTCTCACTGGGCTCCAAGGCAGCGGGAAATCCACCTGGGCAAGCAAGATCTACCAAGCGCTGAAGAAAGAATACAACTTCAAAGTCATTGCCTTATCACTGGACGATTTGTATCTTGATCATCAAGGCCTTGTGCGCACCCGAGAGTCCAACCCAAACAATCCGCTCTTAAGAACGAGGGGCCAGCCTGGAACTCATGACGATAAGCTAGCAAGATCGTTCTTTGAGTCGCTTGCTTCAGGTCAAGGAGATATCTTGGTGCCAGCATTCGACAAGAGCAAGTTCGATGGGGAGGGCGATAGGGTGCCGCGCGATCAATGGGAATGTGTTGGCGGCGAGTCATTGGTTGATGTTGTGGTTTTCGAGGGTTGGTGCGTGGGATTTCAACCTCTTCCAGGCGATGACCTGGAGAAGAAATGGAAAGCTGCGAAGCAGGCTCGGAGCGTTGAAAAGCCTGAGAATGCGGAGGAAGATTACTCGACGACTACGCTGGGCGGCCACGCCTTGGAGAACTTGAAGAGAATCAACGCGAATTTACAGCGATACTGCGAGACATATATGGGTCCGCAGCATTTAGATTTCTTGGTGCATATCGATACGAACGATCTGAAGAACGTTTACAGGTGGAGAATTCAGCAAGAGCATGCTCTGTGGAACGCAAAGGGCGAGGGAATGACTGATGCTGCTGTGGTTGCTTTTGTGCAAGGCTATATGCCCAGTTATGAACTATATCTGGATCAGTTGCGGGAAGGGTTTTTCAGAGATTGCGCCGGCACAGACAAAGCGCAATTGCGAATTCTCATGGAGGAGGATAGATCCGTAGTAGAGATTAAAGAGATAGACAATGGTCGGTGAGGCTCAGTAATCCCTCAAGCATTCAAATTCAAATCAGATGGAATGTATCATCAAGTTCAAATCTGCTGCGCTTGCGAAGTGTGCCTTCAAACATTCGCTTGGCTTAACGTTCAATACTTCAGCCTTCCCAGGTCTAGGCTCACGCAATATGCCTCGAAAGCTGGAGAAGTGGTAAACATGGCCGTGCAGGTTCGTAGAACATGCTTGGTCGCCTGCCCGTCATCCACGACTCAGACAGTGCATCCGGCCAACCGGCGAACGTTGACACCCGGACTTGTTCTCTCCGCTCTCTCACCGATTCGGATCTCTCCGCACCGTGGCAAGCTTCAAGATCCACTATCGGAAGGCATTTGATTACCCCGGACTCTGGACTTTTCGTTACCCCGGATTCTGGGGTCTGTTCTGGATCGCCGCCCGTGATGGACGACCTGGACTTCATAAACAGCCAGCATGGAATCACTGAAAGTTAGAAATCGCTACCAGATCATCAAGTTCATTGTCTTCCTCAGTAGCTGAACTTCATTCTAATCGTACACCGGAGCATCATCGACTTGAATCAAAATGACTATCACAACGAAACAGGCTCCAATCAAGGAGTACGATCCTGAAAGCAAGCCGGCACAATACATGCTGGAAGAGACGGCTGATCTCTCTGCCAGAGAAGGTGCAGACTACTCTGGTGCCGTGGAGAAGACGGATCCTGCGGAGATTCGACTTGTGAAGAAGTTGGATTGGAGGATCATGCCCACATTGTGGGCTATGTACTTCCTGAACTATGTAATTTCAACTCACTTCTTCTATGAGTTGGTAGCATGGGGCTAATGCGTCCGCTCAACAGTTGGATAGGAATGCCATTGCCCAGGCAAGACTGAACAATCTGGAGGATGATCTCAAATTGGAAGGATCCCAGTATAACACCTGTATCTCCATTCTTTTCGTCGGGTAAGTCATCCTTCAAGTATCCCACCTTCATCTTTAGCTAACGTGGGCATCGTCTTAGCTATCTGTTGATGCAAATCCCATCCAACATGCTTATGTCCTCCAACAAAATCCGGCCCTCGATCTACATGTGCATCTGCATGGCCGGGTGGGCTATTGTTTCCGCTTGCACCGCGCTCGTCCACAACTACACCGGTCTTGTTGTTGTCCGATTCTTCTTAGGCATAGCGGAGGCGCCATACTACCCCGGAGCCTTATATCTGCTTTCTCTCTTCTACACGAGGAAGGAGATTGCTACACGTATTTCTATTCTGTACTCCGGCAACATCTTTGCCACGTCTTTCTCGGGCCTCATCGCTGCCGCAACCTTTTCGACGTTGGACGGCGTGCGTGGCCTTACTGGATGGAGATGGTGAGCATGAGCAACAGTTCTCAAACATCACGCGGTGTCTAACACAGAGATAGGCTCTTCATCATCGAAGGTGCCGTGACCTTCGGCGTTGCCTGCATCGGTCTGCGGCTCCTCCCTGACTTTCCCCTCACGACCCGCTGGCTCACCCCTGAGGAACGCCAATTGGCACACGACCGCATCGCCCGGGACACCGCCCAGATCACGCAAAGCAAAGGCGCGCGCGCCGGCTTCTACCAAGCCATCTGCGACCCGAGGCTGTACCTCCTCTGCTTTATGCAGAACATGCATCTCTCCGCGTGTAGCTTCAATAATTTCTTTCCCACGTTCGTATTCTCAGACCCTCAGTTAGAGTAACAGTCAGCTCAACTAATCTTAAAATAGGGTGGTAAAGTCTTTGGGCTTCAACACAACCATAACGCTCGTGCTCACCTGCCCTCCCTATCTCGTTTCCGGGTTTACGGGTGTCGTCATCGGCATCACCTCTGGCAAGTTCAATGAACGGACTTGGCACATCACCGGCTGCATGGGAGTCGCGCTCATCGGCTTCGTCATCTCTTGCGCAACGATGAACACCGCCGCGCGGTACTTGTCCTGCTTCATGTTCGCCAGCGGCGCGTACGCGGTCAACTCCTGCATCCTGGGCTGGGTGTCGGCGACGCTGGGCCAGACGAGTGAGAAGAAGGCGGTGAGCTTGTCCATTGTCAATGTAGTTGCGAATGCGTCGTACATCTACACGGCGTATCTGTATCCGAAGAGCGATGGACCGAAATATCTAACCGCAATGGCGAGCAATGCGGCCTTTGCATTCATGACGATTGCTTCGGCTTGGGCGCTGAGGGTGTGGTTGATCAAGACGAACAAGAAGCTTGCTGAGGCAGATCAGCACGACTCTTCTGAGAATGCCGGGGTCAGATACGCATACTGATCAGAAGAGTATGTATTGGGCGGCTTCAGGCTTAGCTTGTTGCTGTTGACAGAAGCAATGAGCGAGAGAAATGAGAAGGATATGAGGTATAGCGTTAGTCTTGCAAGGTTATCTAGAGACTCTGGTCAAAACACGCATGGGGCAGTTACGAATCCCCACAGCCAGATGCACCTGTAAATAGCGATTGATTAGTTGGAATGTGAACTTTCTAACCCAACTTTGGTGTGCGGCCTGCTAGGACTGCAAGCAACGTGAGGCATCGATTTTGATGCCCAAAATCCGCGGTAGATGCCGGTATAATCATCTAGATGGTCAGCCAAGGGTTGGATGCATTGCGGATAATTCGAGGTCGATTACAGTTTGATAGGGAACATCAAGTCATGTAGAAACAGATTGCATCATCCAGCTACATTCCACGCATTCGTGCTTCCCATATAATCCTCCGCAAACAGGTTCGGCCAGTCGATGATCGTGAATGGATCTCTGGACGCCTCAGTAGAGTTCATCATAGAACTCCAATTACCGTTGGTATCCGTAAGATTGCCATTCATCGAAGGCCACGCGGGACCATGTTCAAATCCGAGCTGATGGAAGAACTGTTCCGGCGAGGCATCGATTGGAACGGAGCCAGAGATGGAAGAATACTGCGCGTGTTGATGATTTGATCGCGTTTGCTGTCCGTCGAGATCGAACGAGGCAGCATTTATAGTAGCTATCGCAGGACGTTGCGAAATTTGCGAAGCTCCATGAATGTTGGAGTAGTCGGCTTCTTGCTGAGCTACATGCTGCCGGGCAGAGCTACCAGACGCTGGTCGAAGCTGATGTGATTGCGGAGAATGATTCTGAACCGGCTCACTGTCGGGCACTTGATCTGTTATGCCGCGGCCAGAAGCATTTGGACCTAGTCTTGTTCCTGGTTTGGTACTAATGTTGTTGTGACTTCGTGATTGTCGATGCGACAAACTCTGACGGTGGTGTGATTGTCGAGTTTGTACAGGCGTTGTAGGCCTTTGAGAAAGTCTGGTAAGGCTATCCTTCAAATCGTTCAAGGTTGCTGCACATGTCTCGGGCCAACGATTTCGGCGTTTCGAAAGGTTCCTCAGAGCGATTATAGAGCTGTCTATGCATCTACAGCAATTTCGTCAGCGGCACACAAACTGTAAGGTCTGATGCAGTGACTGACCGTAGGGCCGACTTGACAGGAAAGTGTCCCTCGAAAGTCGCATAAATAAGAACCAAGCAACTCATCCATACCGCCCATGTTAAAGAAGGCCATACGGGCAGACTCGGTGCTTGTGATTCTTGAGTTGAAAATGGACCAGTACTGTTCCCGAGTGGTCGTCTCAACGTAGATATGATTCTCTGCGACGCACCAATGCAATCTTGCAGAGCAGCGGCATAAGAAGAACGCGTTTTGTTGGATGCAAGAAGCGGCCGATTGAGGGAAATGATCGACTCTTGCATCGACACTAGCAGTAAAACACGGTGCGTCTCCTTTAAATCGCTGAGTTCACACTCTTCCGGAAGGTTGGTTGCGGGATCCAGGTCCATGGTGACTTGAACTTCGTTCCACCACCGGATAAGCTCAGCATTGACCAAGGTCGCCAGTTCCACATTCTCTTGACGGTGCTCAACGGACTTATTTCGAAGCTCCAGGATCATGCCTTTCAGCCTAGCGTGCTTCGCAAGGGCAGTGAGCAATTTCAGCCTTCCATCTTCAAAGATTAGTAGGAGACCTCGTCCGTCACACAACCGTAACACATACCTTCTCCAGTATCATCGCTTCGGTTTCTTTCAGACCTTGAGAAGTGCTTCTCCTGGCCAGGATAACACACATCAACATCGTCGTCCCTGATACTGAGTGGCAGGCCGAGCGACTGGCACAAGTGCCGTTCAAGGCAATAGATTGACCAGAAGAGACGTCTCCGCATCTGCGACTCCTCTGCCGAGAATGTCGAGAATCGAGCAGGGCATCGGTGCAAACCCAGTTGGAAAGCCATGCGGACGATAAGCCCGCCAAGTCGGGAGGCCGAGTTGTAGCGGAGCATCGATACAAGTAGAAGTTGTACACTAACGGCAGCCTGAGTAATACGCACAGATGTTGGCATGTGAAGGGCTATATCCAGACTTGAAAGTGCTTCCTGCATGGTTTTAAACACCAAGCATCCAGGGACAGGTGGGTTTCGCAGAGGATGCGGCTCCATCTGCCGATTATCAGATGTCGAGATAGAGACGATTGAGCGAATGATGATTGCATGAACGGGGTTGATACCGCGTATTCCCTCGTTGCTGATTTTTTCAAGAAGACTCAAAATGGTGGGAGCATGGAGAAAGGGGAATGCCGGGTGCCAAATTTCGAAATACGTTCGAGTCCAGTCAACCAGATGTTCAAATGAGATGAGTGCAGGAGTTTCCTCCCAAATCACTTCATCCGGTTGCCAGATCTGTTCCGGTCTGGCATAGGAGTCGGCTGTGTCTTGCAATTGATCGTCTTCACCTGGAACCAAATCCTCGACAGGGGAGGGCCATTCAGAGCGAATCGCGGCGGTTTTCCTGGCGAGCAAATTGGATACAGTGCGGATGAAGTGTATACCACTTCCGCTACCGACAAAGTGTGCAGAGTCATGGTTTTCTCCATCTCGCATAAGGCCGTACTCTTGCGCTGCCGTTCGTCGTCGACGCTTTCGGGGAGATGCAGCCGCTTCACTGTCGGAAGCATCAGCGCTTTGAATATTGTGCCTGTCGTTCGGCGACATGCTTCACAGTCCCCTAGTAGATGATGAAGGATGATGAGCGAGGGAACATTGCCAGGCTTCGCTTAATGGAGAGTTTGTGGATGGGTTGGAGATGCGGCATGGGGCATACTGGGGAACGTGGTGCAAGGCTGATACGGAAAAATGATGGCCACGCAAAATGGCCGAAGACGCCCTGCCTCACACTGATTTACTTGACATTCAAACGCACACATCACGGCCAAATCTAGATGGATTGATTTAATATGCTAGCTATATACAGAAAGGATAGAAAATAATAATTCCGATACAAACAAGCCTATATAATAGCGTCGTTGAGTGTTGGTGGATTAAACATGGCTTTTGCGTGGCCACGTCTTTTCTGCGTAAGCCTTGGTGGCTGTGGACAGCTCAAACCCCGCACATTCCCTGATTCCGTAATCTGAGCCGCAGTCCACACATAGTTAGGCTCGAAAAGTCTGGGCAATTACTCTAGAGACGTTTATTTGTACAACGATACTCTGTGTAAAGAGGTAGGATGAAGGGGTTCCTAGCGATTTGGCACTTTCAATCGCGAATTTATCGTGCGAGACATCTTTATCATCGAATTCTTCACCTCACTACGGATCGATTGTGATCTCTCTTTGAGCAGTGTTTTGAAGACGTGTTATGTTTGGGCATGATGTTTTCATTTAGAAGTACGTTTGCGATTTCATATTGCATAGGTCTTCTGCTCTGCTCGATGGGAACGCAGGAGGCATGCTAAGGGAAGTCCCAGTTGATCTGCCTGCAATTCCTGCATTGTTTCTCCCAAGTGCAATTTGCGGGTCCACAGAGTGATGTGAGCCAGGTATTGCCGTGTCAAGAAGTCCTGGACTTGCTCCAGTACCTGTGCCAAAGCGATCAGACAACGGATTTGCGTGCTCGTGCGCATGGGATTGAGAAGCGGCTAGGTCAGCATCATCTACAGTAGGCCAACTCTGCCCGACTGGCATATTTCGAGCGGGATGATGACCATAACCAGTGTTGTTCCCATGATATAGGACAGATTGGTCGGGTACGCGAGACGTCGTGAGTGCCTCCTCCTCGTCATCACTTGAGACTCGGGACCCGTGTATTACTTGCGGCGATGATTCTATCCCTTCGGGGCTTGACGATTGCGACTGCTCTTCTGCCCTCGATATCCACCAACGGCGCAATCCTTCTCTTGATGACAACGGGAAATCTTCCCATTCATGCATCCTGGTAAACTTGGTTTGGAGCGTTGCGCGGCCACGACTACGGAGATTTCTGAATTCTTCAGGATGCCTCTCATGTCCCCACAGCTGCGTGAGAGCTTCAAGCAAGGCTGCCTCGGTTTCTGCAAGGCGTAATTCGAGCTTGTTTAGGTACCCAATGGGTATGCCACTACATAGTCCAGCTGTCAGTCCAATAAATGCTCCCACTCGCCAACGTATTCTAAGGTGTACGAAATGCGTGACTAGGTGGAAGGTACCGCTTATTTCTCTCCGAATAATGACATTCTGCAGGGCGATCATTACATTGAGAACAGACTGGGCTTGTCTCGAGTTAGTGGAGAAGATGCTTGAATGGATATTTTCGTTCGCTGACGTTTTCCGATCGCACTGAACGAGAAGACAATCGAATCAGCGGATGATGGCACAAGGAAGCAACAGACCCAAACCTTGCACTTTTTTGTTCTGCATGGCTCACAGGATGCAGTGTATATCGAAGCTTCTTGGCCTTGAAGATTGTAAGTGTTATGACGAGTCCGATGGATGGCCCATGGTCCATCAGTTCCTGATGCATACCAGTTGCCGTGCGTCGGTCCGACATTGCCACGTGGGCTCAGTGTTTCGGTGAAAAGTTTCGAAGCGCTGGTAGTATTTTCTTTTGTGTTTCCGTGGTCTGATGAGGTGATGATGAGGTGCGGTTAAGGAAACTCCGGAGGAGAAGCCCGGCGGAGAGACTTTCTCCGATCACGTGGTCCTGCGGCGGGGAACATTCCTCTCCGGAGACAACATTGTTTCGTTTGGTGACTACCTAGGTATAGCCTTGTCGATGAAGCTCGCGACTTCATTCGCGGGCTCAATGGAGACTCAGTGTCGTTCATACTCTCAACGTTATATAGTCGTCCAAATGGCGGCTTGCAGATTGGATTGGGGTACGGAGACGGTACATCATGGCACCTGATCTTGCTGAAATTGGTCACTTTCAGCACTTTTCTGGCCATTTGCCCCATGTTCCGCCATGCAAGGTTGCCATCAATGGCTTCGGAAGGATAGGTATTCCCGGCTCACTCTGTCCTCCCGAAGAGAAGCTAGATAGAGACGGCAATGCTAATGGTCACAGGCCGCAATGTTCTCCGTGCATCGCTGCTGCGAGAAGATGTTGAGGTCGTGGCCATCAACCATACGTGTGCCTCTGTGGACGATGTCGTATACCTCATTGAGCACGATTCCACCCACGGACCACTTGCGACCGTGAAGCATTCCGGGCCACCATTTCAAGTGTCTGCCCTCCTCAATGGTGACATCTCCATCAACGGACGCCGCATAGCTCTTCTCTCCCAGCGAGATGTAAGACAGATCAATTGGGGCCTGTACGGCGCGGAAACCGTCGCCGAGTGCACCGGGAAATTCACCAAGACTACCCTTGCGAAAGACCATATCGAATACGGCGCGGCGAAGAAAGTCATCATCTCAGCACCGAGCGCAGACGCCCCTGCATTCGTATTCAAGGTAAATTCGGCGGAATATTCAGCACAGAACAAGCCAGATGTCGTGTCTTGCGCGAGTTGCACCACCAACTGCGTTGCTCCAATTGTGAAAGTCATCAACGACAGCTTCGGTTTGGATCAAGGGTTTGTGACGACTGTGCACGCGTCAACTCGGTCGCAGAGCGTATTAGATGGATATAGCAAGAGGGATAGAAGATCGGGTGAGTCCAACACAAGTCAACGCGACCCAGTGACGACATGTGCTGACGACATTGTTCCGAAGGTCGTGCTGTGCTTGGTAACATCATCCCAACAACTACCGGAGCAGCCAAAGCCATCGCACATGTACTTCCAGCATTATCGGGGAAATTAACGGGCATCTCCATTCGAGTTCCAACGTACGTTCAGGACCCTGCTCACTAACGCAAACGCTTATTGAGACCTTCTCCAATAGTACAAACGTGTCTCTGGTTGACCTGACGGTAAATACCGATAAGCCGACTTCGCTGCCTGAGTTGCTTGAGGCCTTCCGCCAGGCCTCCAGGACCTCGCTTTCTGGCGTCCTGGGAGTGGTGGACGAAGAACTTGTCAGCTGTGATTTCCTGGGGAACTCATGCAGCGCTGTGATCGATGCACTGGCTTGCGTCGAACTAAATTCCAAGGTAGATAGCAGATCTTCTCTGCAAAAGAATCCGACCAGCTGACATGGCCATAGTTCTTTAAAGTCGTTGCGTGGTACGACAATGAGTGGGCATACCCGAATCGCCTTCTCGACTTATTGTCCTATATATTCCAGGTAGATCAAGCCCAATAGACTGTATAATAGCATTGTGCACGGTCCATCCTGATCTTGGGATACCGCGCCCGTTTTGCCCTGCTCTATCGATCCCCACCTCACTATGCTTGTCAAAATCTCCAAACGAGCCTGTGCCGCTGCGAGAGCGGTCACTTCAGCCGTACTAAATAGGCCCTACTGAGTCCTTTTGCTACTAATATCGGGCTGCTGCAGCCGCAGTTGTAGTACACAGGAGTTGCTTTAAGATGACCTCACATTACGTACAAATCCTGTGCCATTGCGGACCTGTTGTCGTTCGAGTTAGGCCTTCGAGCCAAATTGGGGATTCCCGCATGTTCGAGAATAGCGACTAGATACATAATCCTTTTCACACTCCCAGCCGGATGTATGGTGTAAGGGAACGGGTTCGTGAACTGAAACAGATTGCGTTCTGGGACTGTTGAGTATGGGTATCACGTACTGGTTGTCTATACCGGTGGCCAATGCTTATATTGAGCGCGAGAAGGGCAGGTGTGATGGTTATGAAGAAAACGAGGTTGACTCAAGGTGGTGTGGAACACCGTTTGATATTAAAAAGGTGTCTCCGGTGAGGTGTTGATTCCTGACTCGCTGCTCCTGTATGGTGCGGAGGTTTACTAGAACCGCTCTGTGAGGCTGGGGAGATGTTGCTGCGTGGCCAGTGTGGTTTTGACTATTGCTTTGACGGCCAGCAACACAGTATTTGAACTCTCTCTGCGTGGAGGTGCCTGACTCCTCGCGTAGCCGGCTATTCTTACTGAAGAGCTTAAACAGCGCTTAATCACCTCTTTGCACCCGTAATAGGCTTAGAGTTGGAGCGCATCTTCAGCCTACAGGGATTAATAGTAACTCGTGGGACTATAAGAAGCAGCATCGACGGCCTCGTAGCTTGCTTCTAGGTATCTGATCACCTAACTACTAATCTACCGATTCAGAGCTTATGTCCGGTACAACGCAAGGGAGATCCAGTTCTCTTTGATCTATATCCGTATGTGATAGTGAGTGTTGAAGATACCACCTAATAAACGTGATCAATATTTGGGCCAATGCGTAGATCGAATCTTCCCATTATGCGCTTACGCTGTCCACGCCTAAGTCCACTTTTCTTTGGATCTTCGGGCCATCAATAATTCGTATTCTTTTGATCTAAACTTCAATGCCTAGCCTGTCGCTGTTCTTATATGAACAACCGCGTAGGTTACCCTAGTCCTGCACAACAATCGTCTCCGGCGTCAGATACCTCCCCACCCTCTCAACCGGACACCTATTCCTCCTCCCCGCCGCCCCCATCCCCGCCATCAACTCCCTCACAAACTCCGGACACGCCTCCACCAGCTCCGCCAACGCGTCTTGCTCATACTCCCCCCGCATCGCCCCATCCCCCACGAACCACGCGATGGCATCAACACAAAACTTCCTTAACAGCGATCCCTCGCTTGTGTTCTCGTACACCCACGGCACGATGTCGATCAGATATCTTGGCAGCGAACCGACGTAGGTGCGAACGACGACCCTCATGGCGTAGTCTCTGAATTCTTTAGCGCCGAGTCGGACGCCCAGCACCCACGCCCTCTCCGGCGCACTCTCCCAGTCCCTAGGCACCGGCTCCTCATCCTCCCAGCATCGCGAATAGATACTCCGCTGCGGCCGTCTCCCCACACTCGCATCCGACTCCTCGGAATTAGACGCCGCGCCCGCCGTGGTGCGGGGCAGTGGACAGCTCTTATCCTCTTGGAAGAGGAAATCGACGAACAGCGTGAATAGGGCTGGGTCGGTGTTGCGGAGTTGGAGGTGCCTGGCGTGAGAGTTGGAGGCGCGGAGTTGGCGGATCAGGGTGCCGAAGGAGGTCGAGTAGCGGGAGAGGAGGTCGGAGGGGAGGTCCCAGGTTTCTTCGGTGAGGAGGTCGGTGCTGGTTACGCGGATATGGTAGTCTTCTAATTGGGATCTGTGAGGGTGCGGTGAGGTTTGTTAACTTGTGGGCGGGTGGATAGATCTTGGGATGCGGGATAGGTAGAGCGGTTCAGACCGTGATAGTGAATTGGGTTGGAAAGGTGGGACGTACAGCTGCTCTACATAGGATAACGGCGTTGTCGATGTTGGTGGCGTGGAAGATCGCTTGCGTTTTCGGTTGCGGGTAGGGAGGGTTGGGGCCATGGCTGAGACCAGACTTGTTGTGCTTGTGAAAAGTGAAACGGCGGCTGAAAGCATCTTATCATTCTGTCGTAGGCGAAGTGAACTGAGAAAAGGTCAATGAGCGCACGAGGTGAAAGCGACAAGAAGTTCTCACGTGCTAGGAAAGTCATTCACTCTGATGCACAAGCGAGCAGCGTCGAACTTTGCGCAAACCGTCTCTTCTAGGAATATTGTATGCCGGTACCTGGCAATTAAATTTCCCAGCTTGGCCACACTCTTGAACTTGAATGGTGCACATCCTACCGTAAGGATCGTGCTTACTGAATAGAACTGTGCCAGAATCTTCCTGCATCCAAACTCTTCCTCTTTGATTGCCACAATATCCCATTGCTAACGATCGCACCCAGAAGAGTCGAACCGTGGAGATCTTTCCGGAGTGCTGGGTCCGGCGTGGCTCAAAACGTTGCTTGGAAGAACCGCCGTCGATCAACTCATTTCCCAACTGCACCCCTGAGCAGGAGTTGTCGGCACGAATATTAATTGCTTGATGATCAAGGGGCACACATATCAGTACCAACATGTCAGATCCAGTTCCTTGCTTTGTAGCGGTTGTTGACCGGCATTGGGGTGGTCTGATTCCTTTACGGCAGGGTGAGAGCTGAAAGATTGTAGTACTGTGCAGTCAGTCTAATCTTGGCGCGCATAGCCGCTAGAGAACCATCAAAAGTAAGTCTGCCTTCAAGGATGGATAAGCTGTTGCCGGATAAGTAGCCGAGTGGTGTCAAGACTCAAGAAGGGCAAGCAACACGAAGTAGGACGGTAGTGAATTCTCTTCGCAGTTTATTCATCAGGCTGGATGAAGGTTTAAACGATCCTTTAACCAAGATGGTGTGTTCAAGTTAACATCAGGTAATAGTGGCATGTAAGAGAGATGAAAAAATTGGTGATGTGGTCATGAAGCGCCAATGATTAGCAGGAGCGATTGAAACAACACTGCGAGAGATCGAGACACTAGGAGGTGAATCATTAGAGCCAGTCAACGTGAGGCCAATGGAAGATGTCTTCAAAGTGTCTTTCGACCTTGCAGCAGTGCTATTAGTTGGGAACCTAGGATCTGGCCAGTGATCCACGCTTGCGACTTCGGCTTGTTGACGTGGGCGACATTATGCTCGTATCCAGGAGTTACGGTACGGCACTTAGAAATGAGCTGTCAGCACCGTAATATGCTGACTTCGGTTGAATACGGGGACACTGCGGAAATGCGTATCCCTTTTCTCAGCAAAGCGTTGTATCCCGCAGTGAGCTATCAAGTGAGATGTGCGCGCCGCTGACTGTCAACACCATTGACTAACAGGATAGAGCATGATGGCTGAACTTGGCTGCATCTCGGTGCTGACGTTACGAGCTTCGTCAGAATGACGGAGGGACTGTCGTCAGCTCAACGGATTGGTACTGCGCTCTGAGGGAAGCATGCAAAGCCACGGTGTCAAAGCGGCCAACTGCAACCCGAGTTTTGGACACTCGAGAATGCGTCCGCTCGAAGCTAATAGGTGTCGTCCGAGACTGTTCTTCTATACGTCGCTGCCTTTGCAGCATCAAGTAATTGATCGCTCAGGTCCGCTTCCAAACTGGCAGCGGTGCTAGAGTCAGGCAGTTTCTCATCACCGATGGCGAGAACGTGCTGCTTGAGGTGGTAGGCCTCGACTTACGTCATGCACAACTGAGCGTAGCTGGTCGCGATATCCCAAACAGCCCACAGGTCCATAATTCACCTGTCGTCACCTTGAGGGTGCAAGTCTCTGAGACCAATTGGAGTGACTGAATCCGACTTGGCTGGGCGGCAGTCATTTTCGACAACGTCTAGAGCTGGAACAGGTGGATGAATCGTTTTAAAGGCAATGAGTTCAGCATTGTTCAGGATCAGGCGTAGCCTAATTCAAAGTAATCATGAAGCATAAAGTTTGACCGGGTAGAGTTCTGACTGAGTTCAGCGCAACAATACTCGTACGTGATCCAATGCGTAAGGTAGCATCGTAACGCAGTGCATCTACCTAGGTAGTATATCACGACCGACTTCCTCTGTTTATGGTGAGGTCGACGCGGAACATAAAAATTCCGTTCTTTGAGGTATCACGCGGGTGACAGAAATCGCCGGACTCGAAAACAGATAGGTCTTTAGTCAGCTGAGGGAAGGTCACGGGTAGAAGCAATCCCTTATAGTATACTACCTTATGAGTGTGTTTAAGCTACAACTAGAGGTGGAACGGCTAGGGTAAAGTCCTTTAGGAACGTGGTGAGTTTGATTGACTTTAGGAATGAATTGGAAGTCCGGCGGTTGGCGAGTCCGGCGATTTCTGTCACTCGCGTGGGTATCAGGGGTGTCTGTGTCGCTGACTGTGCTACTCCACCATCTCTCTTCAGTAAGCCGGCTCCATCAGCAGCCTACCTCGGTAGGCTTGTTACTTCCATACGCACGATGTTACATGCGCGTACTTTCGGCGCCGGCCAAGACGTAATGGTCGTTTAGCCGCGCAGAACAGCCGTTGTATTTGAGTTTTGGCCAGTTCCATCGGCTGCTTTCGACCCCGCGCGGGGCTGCTGTCAACCACAGCACGACCGAGCTTCCCGCATCTGAGGACTCAACTGGCTGTGTTGCTTCCAGCACAGCGTCAGCACAAGAGTAGCTCACTCAGTTTGGCAGGGATAAATGCCGCAGACGTGTTTCGGCAGGGTCGACAGATCTTACACGCGTTAGACCCTGGTGCTGCCAGCCAGTAGACTAACCCAGACCAGCTGCAACACCGCTCGAGGAGCGCTGCTTACCGTGGCCCCCACCTTTAGTGCCGAGTTGCAGAGGTGAGTTTAATAGGACGGTAAGCCCTTCAAGTAGGACATCATCTCCTCAAGCTTTACTTCTTCGCTCAACCCATTCGACCCCGTCAGCTACCACACAGCATCATGTCTCCCTCAAAATCCTCCGACATTGATTTCACCACCTTCCACAACATCGTAGATGGCAAGAAGCGGGGTAGCAACACAGCCCACCAGGGCGTCAATCCAACTACCGGCGAACAGCTCTGGGACGTTCCCATCGCGGGACAAGATGACGTGAACGACGCCGTCGAGGCTGCGGAGAAGGCATTCCCAGGATGGGCCGCTACACCAATGGACAAGAGGAAGGAGCTGCTGCAGAAGTTCGTCGAACTGTACAAGAACTACGAGAAAGAGTTTACGGATTTGCTGTGTAAGGAAACGGGCAAGCCGGTGAGTAGAGGGAACCACAGACCCACCGGAGCTATAGGCCCTTCTCCGTGCCCTTTTCACCAGCCCCAGGCGATGTAAATCACAAACGCGGCCATTTGCTGACCCTGAGGCTTTCTCAGCGCATGTTCGCCAGCCAGGAAGTCCAAGGCGTCGGCGCCTTCGCCGGTCACCATTGCACGCTCAGCCTCCCTGAAGAGCGGATCGAGGATGACGAGAAGGTCGTAACTACACGCTACAAGCCCCTCGGCATTGTCGGCGCCATCTGCCCCTGGAACTTCCCCCTCGTCCTCTCCATCGGCAAAATCGCGCCTGCGCTCGTCACCGGCAACGTCATCATCGTCAAGCCCTCGCCGTTTACACCCTATACCACGCTCAAGTTGGTCGAGCTGGCGCAGGAGGTCCTCCCGCCTGGTGTTGTGCAAGTGCTCGGCGGTGATGATAAGCTGGGTCCCATGTTCACGGCCCACCCCAAGATTGCGAAGATCTCGTTCACCGGTTCTATCGCGACAGGCAAGAAGATCATGGAGGCTTGTGCGAAGACTCTGAAGCGCGTGACTCTCGAGCTGGGCGGCAACGATGCCAGCATTGTCTTGCCCGATGTGGAGATTGACAAGGTCGCGCCGGAGGTCGCTATGGGTGCTTTCTTCAACTCTGGTCAGGTATGCCGATTCTCCTGTTCTAGCGTTTCAGCCGTCTTCAGAAGCACGACGCTGATCGCTCCGATAGGTCTGTGTCGCCACGAAGCGCATCTACATCCATGAGTCCATCTACCGCCCGTTCCTCGACAAGATGATCGAGTTCACAAAGTCCATTAAGGTTGGCAGCAGCGACGACGAAGGCGTCCTCCTCGGCCCGATTCAGAACTCTATGCAATACGAGAAGGTCAAGGGCTTCTTCAAGGACACCAAGGAGAAGGGCTATAAGTTCGCCGTCGGCTCGCCGGATGTTGAGGACACCGGCAAGGGCTTCTTCGTTCAGCCCACTATCATAGACAACCCGCCAAATGGCAGCAAGATCATCGAGGAGGAGCCGTTCGGTAAGTCGACCTATCCTGCGAGCGTTGATCGCGAGGTGCTAATGTCGTTTCAAGGTCCTATCGTCCCCTGCCAGCCCTGGTCGGACGAAGCGGAAGTCATCCGCCGCGCCAACAACACCAACACCGGCCTTGGCGCCTGTGTCTGGGGCAAGGATGTCAAGCACGCCGAGGAGGTCGGTCTACAGCTCGAGGCCGGCAGCGTCTTCATCAATTCCTTCGAGAAGCCAACGCCGCAGGCCTTCTTTGGTGGCCATAAGGAGTCCGGCATAGGCGGTGAGTGGGGAACTACCGGCCTGCTGGCTTACTGCAATGGCCATGTCATGCATGTGTATAAGGAGAAGACGGAGCCGAAACCGTCTGTGTAGATATAAACTTGACATGTCATAATGAAACACCAACGACACCAAGCACGTTGAAACTCAATAGAAGTGCGGTTTCGTGAGCTCTATAATACTCCCCTCTGTGATCGTTCTCTAAACGTCTGTCGCCGTGCAAGGGCTATGAGGACCACGTCCGTTGCGAGTCCTCATGACCTTTCTCCCTTCGTCGGTACATGATGTATCATGATAAGAAGACGGACCAGTTTAACTCGCCGAAAGCCGAAGCCTGAACGTCGCGGCTTTCGGTTGAGGCGACTGACGGTAGCTGGCCACCTTGAATTAAGGGAAGCAAACGAAACAGCTCAGGTGAGTTTGCAGGTCTTTCAGCCCCCTTACGCCGCAGATGAGGATAAGATAGCCTGGCCAATGTAGCAACCGGGAAGTCGTCGTCGGAGAACAGATCCCGGTATAGCAGCACCCCATATGGCCTCGCCTGATATGGGATCAGTAAACCAATGGATTGCAGATCGATCCGCCGCGCACTCCCTCAGTCCGTCCAAGGGTTTGAACTGCTCTTCCGACGGCCTGAACATGGCGTGCACTCGATGGTTCGAAACGCATCCGAGGCTTCCTGGCTCCCCTTGGGTGACCAGACGCTCGCCTCTCAAGCGAACTTATCATGCTTGTTCTTGACCTTAACATCCAGCATCTTCTCATGAAAATTCCCCTCCCTCCTCGCCCTCTTCAGCATCTTGACCTCCCCGTCCTCCAGCCTCCTCCCAACCATATCCTCCAGCTCCTTCCGACTGATCTTCTCCCTCGCCTTCTCCTCCTTCGAAGCCCTTAGCCGCGGCTTGAACCTCGCCTGCATCCGTATCCTCAATGTAGTGCTGAAGTTGATCGCCTCCGCATCCGCCCTCACCTCCACCGCCCCCTTCGCCTCCTGCGCAGCAATGAACTTCTCCCCCGCCGTCTGCACCGCGAACGCGCCCCGCTGGTCCGGCACCGGCACAACGGTGAACGACTCTGTCGGCGAAATGGCTTCCGTAGTTGCGCTCAGAGCGCCGAACTTCTCAACCCCAAGATACCGCCCATGATGCCCTTTAAAGCTGTAGCTCTCGGTCCCCGCAACTCTGTTCGCGATCCAGACTTGTCGCACGTCGTGCGGTTCCGCGGTGCTGGGGTCATCGTCGACAATGTTCTCGACGGGTATGGCGAAGACTTTGCCAATGGAGTCGCAGGCGAGGCAGGTAGGGGGCTCGGAGGGGAGGACAAAGATGATGGGGCCGGAGACGTCGGTCACGGCGTCGGCGGAGACCCAGCTGTTGTCCTCTTCGGCGGTGTCGGTGGGTGCGGTGATTGGAGCCGTGGAGGTTGTTTGGAGGGCTTGAGAGGTGGGATTGGTGGACTCGGCGTCGTTGTCGTCGGTGGGCGCGCGTTTTCGCTTTTTGGGCTTCTTGTCGCCCTTGAATGTTAGGGCTTTTACCATGTTGGTTGATCGTAGTCTGCGGTGATTGAGTGGTCGTCGACTCCGGCCAGGGCAACATCGAGATTCCAGCCGTCGGTTTGCGGCGGCTCTTGGGGCAGATCATCACGTGGTGTTACATGTGCCGGGTTAATAATACCAAGGATTTAATGGTGGAGATCTCGATATGTGAAAGCAGTCTTCGTTTCAGGTAAGAAGGATTGGATCTCGTAGCTCCCTAGTACTATGGCATCTAACGGTGTCAACAAGGCCCAGGCTGTATCTGTAAGCCTTGAGGACCTGCGCAATGGTAGTCAACCACGCATCGTGTGAACAAGCAGAAACAACTAACATCACGATAGGTGATGTGCCTTTCTCAAAGCTCGAGGAAGCTTTCGGTCCCTCATCGCTCGGGATCATCATCGTGAAAGATCTACCGGAGCAGTTTGCCCGGCTACGGCACGAATTACTCTCATATTCGTCTTACCTTGCAAATCTGCCTCAAGAGGAGCTAGGTACAGTAATCCCATCCCTTTACATAAAAGTTTAGTAAAAACCGCTTGTGTACTTGTATGCATTGGTTCACATTGCTGACATCAAATTTAGCCAAGCTCGAGTCGCCCGCTTCGCACTACCTTGTCGGCTGGTCCTGCGGAAAGGAGACTCTCAAAGACGGCCGCTATGATACGCTCAAGGGCTCCTACTACGTGAACTGCGCGGATGGCTTCGATAACCCTGGGGTACAGGAGAAGCTCGTCAACGACTATCCTTCGTTCCCTGAGTACACTGCTCCCAACGTCTGGCCGGACGAAGCCATTCTTCCCAGCTTCGAGTCCGTCTTCCGCGAGCTATGTAATCTGATCATCGATACGGCCGTTCTGGTTGCCAAAGCATGCGACAAGTACGCAGAACAGAAGATTGAGGGTTACAAGCCCGGCTATCTGGAGCATGTCGTCAAGACCTCAGTGGCCACCAAAGCCCGACTGCTGCACTATTTTCCTTCTGCAGATGCCAATGGCAGCGCGCAAAGCCAGAACGGGGACGAAGACGACTGGTGCGCTACTCACCTCGATCACGGCTGTCTCACCGGCCTAACAAGCGCAATGTTCGTCGACGAGGCAGCGAACCCGCCCACCTTCACCGGCACACCAACGCCCCTTGCAGAGCTTGACGCACCGCCCGATCCAAAAGCTGGTCTGTACATCCACTCCCGGTCCGGCGATGTCAAGAAGGTTGCTATACCGAGAGACTGCCTCGCGTTTCAGACGGGAGAGGCGCTGGAGGTAATTACTCAAGGGAAGTTCAGGGCTGTGCCGCATTTCGTGCGGGGTGCCGCAACAGGAAAGGGAAGAAAGGTTGCGAGAAACACGCTCGCGGTGTTCACGCAGCCGAATCTGTGGGAGAGGGTTGATGAGAAGAGAACGTTTGCGGACTTTGCGAGGGAGGTTGTTGAGAAGAACCATTAGAGAGGGGTAACCGTCAACTGAAGTCTTGTGCAATCCGGAAGACCTAGTGAAACCAGAGTTGCGCTTGAAGACCATGAGGAGACTGGAATGGAAACGAGAGTCTCTTATACGTCAGCCTCCGACAACCCTGTTGGCTCACTTCACTTCCTACCAACCCTCCTCAATCTCATCCTCGGCAAACCTGTTATATAGATCGAACATTCGCTACAGACTCTAGCGGCTGGTATGAACCATAGGTAGTCACTCCGTTAACCCTTGAACCTCTTCGTGGTTGATGTCAAACACTTTTTCGCAAGTATAGACTTGCCCTAAGATTCAAGATGCAAGTTCAGTATGAAGTGAAGTTTTAGCTTGATATTTTGTCAGCTATCTAGTCTTCTGGTAGCTGCGCAGGTTTCTTACCCCAGGACAGGCTCGAAGTGTCAGATTGGGCGCGTCTTCACGTGACTCTCGAGCCCTATCGGAGCGGGTTTAGTATTAGCCGGCGCATCGCGACTCAAGGTTGCTTCGAAGCTCGTGAACCGCTACCTACTCTTCGCTGTAGCGCAAACTCTCCACATCGCTCTCAATTGCTGCCAAACCCCTCCGATCTACCCCGTCACGTTCTAACATGGTCTCCCCATCCCCCATCAACCGCACCATAAACGGTACCTCCACCCCCCCCGCCAACACAACCTCAAGTCCCCAAGCCAGCAACCCGACCCCCGCAACCCTCACCGCCGACGCTACCACCTCCCAAACTGCGCCCCAACCCAACATTCCCGCACCCCCCACCTCAACCACCGACACCGGCCTCTCCAAACGCCCCCGCGACGCCCGCCTCATCCACCTCGTCCTCGCCGCGCAGGGCGTAACCGCATACCAAGAGCGTGTGCCCCTCCAACTCCTCGACTTCGCATACCGCTACACGTCGGGCGTGCTATCCGATGCGCTGGCCGTGTCAGCTGAGGCGGCGCCGACGACGCGCGGCGGGAACACGCATGGGGTGGGTGTTGCGCAGGAGGGGAGCGTGACGCTTGCAGCGTTGAGACTCGCAATTGCGTCAAGGTTGAATGCGCAGTTTGGGGGGCAGCTACCCAGGGAGTTTGTGAACGAGATCGCGGCTGAGAGGAATCGGATTGCGCTGCCGAGGGTGGAGAGGGAGTTTGGGTTGAGGTTGCCGGAGGAGAAGTACTGTTTTACGGGGGTCGGGTGGGGGCTTAAGGAGGAGTGGGATAGCGAGGTTGAGGAGGAAGAGGGGGATGTGGGGGGCGCGGGATTGGATACTATCATGAGAGATGATGCGGGAGAGGGAGGAGGAGGTGAAGATGATGAGTTTGAGGATGTTATGGGGGTAGAAGACGGAGTGGATAGGGAAATGGCTGATGCATAAGGGGTTTCGAGTCGACTTGGTGGATTGGCTTCGAATATGATATTCGAGCGAAGCATATTGCAAGGCGTTTCGGGAAAGTTGGGCACAGGAAAATCTGTGCAGAGGTTCGGCGCATTGGGGTTGTTGGAGCATTCATCGGCGTTGGGAAGCTTGAATTGGGGATGGATGCTTTCCAATATCTTTTTAATACCCCATCTACAGTTTCAGAGCGCCATCCAGCTCCACAATCGACGAACAATATACAAAGTTCCCTGTCGTCCCACTTGAAACGCCGCGCAATGCCCCTAAACCCATTATCGAACATGCGATCATCTCTTGTCACCCCCGACATCCTTTGTATCTTCTCCCCCATCGCACACCCTCATCACCGTTTCCCTCCCGCCTTATCCGCATCCCAAATCCTCCTCCCCTGCTCATCCAGCCCCCAATATTCATGATGCAACTTCTCCGCCTCTTTCCTCTTCGCCTCCTTCTCCTCCCTCTCCTTCCTCCGCTGATCCTTGGTCGCGAACCACTCCTCCCTAGCCGCGTCCTGCTGCTCGACCGTCGCGTGCGCAACCATGCAGTTGTTCATGGCGAGCCGCTGCGGCCGACACGCCCATGTGGCTGAGAAAGTGCGGTTGAGCGCGCAGGAGGCGAAGTCTGGGAGGAGGGGAGGGTTAGCTGGGGTGTTATGGGGGGATAGGGAATGGGCGCTGGGCTGGGGGTGTGGGAGCTGGTCGGGTACCTCTTATCTCGTTTGCGCAGAGAGAACGCACGCGTTTGTAGTAGAGATCGCGCACTTGGCCCTCTTGCGCTGCGGATAGTGGGAGCGGGTTTCGTGTGGATATTGGTGTGGGCGGTGGGACGGTGGACGACGAGGTCGTTGCAGGCGGTGCAGTGGGTGGGTAGGGGATGGACATTGGATGGTGGTGGATCTGGTGGGGCTGGTCGGGGAGAGGGGTATATGGTGGTGGTTCGATGCCGTTTTAGGTAGGTAGGCTCTATGTACAGCTACTGATGAGCTTCAATATGTCTATGCTTAGAGTTTCGAGGCGGACGCGCTTGATCAGACGCGCGCTTGTGAGATCGTGCAGGCCGGCGATGACCCGGGCACGTGCCGGGGTGCCCTTGTATCTCCCTTGTACCTTGGTAGCTATCGAAGTTTTGTGTACGAGTATCAAAGTGCACCTCTTTTCACCAAGCTATTGATACTAATTATCTATAGGTAGTGAAAGGGTACACTGCGTTGCTATGCCGCTTCTCGTTCTTGTCCGTTCTAGTTGTCTCCAATAAATGCAGCCACATGCACAAGGGAGGTGCATTCAGCCTCAGCCTTGCGGAACATGGAGCGCAGTAACGCGACAGCCTTGCTTCTTCCTAGGTAGAGTCTTGAAGCAACCGAAAGAGAAACGTCAGGAATCCGGATGACCATTTTTGACCTGCCATTCAATGGATGACGAGTTATTGAATCGATTCAAGCTCGAAGCCACTGTCTTTCCGGAGCATACTATTCACACGACGTACAAGCTGAAGCGCCAACAAGGCCCCTTACGTGAACCTGTTGAAACCAAATGGATTCTACAAGACATTATCGGGCACGGGGCGTTCGGCCAGGTCCGTCTAGAAACCTGCGTTAAGAAGGATCTGTTGGGTAGGGAAATGTCACAGCCACGAGCAGTCAAGAGGATATTCAAGAGTCAGATGAGGGCCATGAAGATTGACTACAAACATGAACTGGCAGCACTTGTGAGACTTTCAACCCCCGAGGTATGTTGGTATCTAGCAAGCTGTTCCAAGTGTGTCTGTGCTGAATACTCTTGTCACTGGCTTAGTACAAGGAGCAACAAATCTTTGTGGATTTCCATGGGTGGTTTGAGACCCCGGAGGCTCTCTTTATTGCCATGGAGTATGTGGAGCTTGGAGACCTGAGTAAATACATAGGGGAGGCGATCACTGAGATTGATGCGGTTGAAGTTGCCAACGACTTGCTCTTCGGGCTAAAGATAATGCACTCAGAGGGCTTCACTCATCGGGATCTGAAACCACAGGTAATCCTCCTTCCTACAACACCCTATTTTGGAACCGAATCTGAGCAAAGCTACCTCCACAGAACATCTTCGTTCGGCAAAAGAGACCGCAGTCGTCACACTGGCGTGTTGCTATTGCCGACTTCGGTATTTCCAAACGGGTTGCGGATGAAGAGACCGCTCTGCGCACCACGATCGGAACTCCTCACTACCAAGCTCCCGAAATACGTTGCTACTCAATCATTGGTCGACCGAACGAGGCTGAATCATACAGCAGCGCCGTCGATCTCTGGTCTTTAGGCTGCGTTATGGTCCAGTTCGTGACTGGAGCCGTACCATTCACGCACGAAGCAGTTCTCCAGCGATACTGCCGTAACGACAAGCACTTCCAAACGGACCCCCTTTCTACTAAGCTGGGGCAGGAAGGGGTCGATTTCATGCAAAAACTCTTGGCTGCTAATCCAGAGCAACGTCCAACAGCGGACGATGCCCTCGGACATCCTTGGTTCCGGAGTAGAGACGATATCCCTCACCCTCTGCCGGAAGTCACACAAGCCAGTGCCGATCATAATGCCGCTCGACAAACCGAGCCCTCAGCACCGTAAGTAACCAAGTTTTTGCTGTCCTATTACTGCAGCTAATCTGGAGACTCAGTAAAACGATGGTGAGGATGAGTACCGGCAGGAAGCGGGTATCTGCTGAAAGCGTAACACAACGTCCCCCATACCAGCGCCAGAGAATCGCAAATCAGCCACCCGAAATTGTCCCTGAGCCCGTCCCTGAGACCGTCTTGCGCCAGCTATCGTCATTAGGTATCGGTCCTGGGACAGATGATGTTAAAACGCAGAGTGCTCTCGTGCAGGCCGCTCTACAAGAGAGAGACGAAGTTGTACGACATCTTCTCCAGAACGGTATCGATCCGAACTGCAAGGACAATAATGGTTATACTGCTCTTCACAGGGCAGCTGAACAAGGTTGCAGAGATATCACACAGCTTCTCCTGGACCACGGGGCCGAAGTAGATGTTCAGTCGCTTAACGGATGGACCGCATTGCACTATGCGGCCAACCGTGGTTATGACAAGATTGTTAGTCTCTTAATCAATCGCGGGGCTTCTATCAAGGTCGAAACATCGAAGCGGCGACATCCCCTTTATCTGGCAGCTTCTGAGGGTCACAGCGCGGTTGTGTCGTTACTGATACACCACGGGGCGGATCTTGAAGCCAAAGACACCACACAAAGAACTCCCTTGTTGGAAGCTGCATCTCGACAGCACGAAGATCTAGTAAAGCTGTTCCTAGATTGGGGGGCCAAAGTAAACGCCACTGATGACAAGGGCTGTACACCTTTGCACCATGCGGCACTCCGGGACAATGTGCAAATAGCGCGATTCTTGCTGAACTATAGGGCTGTCATAGAGGCTAAGAATACCGCTGGAAATACTCCACTTGCTCATGCAGCGCAAGAGGGTAGCTTTTTAGTTGCGCAGGAGCTGCTGCTATATGGGGCAGACCCTCACGGCGTTCAGATACCTAGCTTGAAGGGTGTGTGGAAACGTGCCGGCCGGCCTTCCAATTCAGACATAATCATTGATACTATAGTTAATTGGAAGGAAGGGAGGGGTCTTCAGTCTGTACGTAAATAATCAAGGGCATCTTACGCGAGACTCGCAGTCCATCATCGCGATACGACTTTTGCCAACCTTGATACTGTTCGGATTACATCTTCAGGTCTGAAGGCTAATAAGAGTCAACCGCCAAACTTAAGGACGATGGAACGTGGGAACAACAGAGTATCGACTCAGCCCGCGCGCCGACATGCCATCTTCTGAGGATATGATAATCCTGAAATTCCTTGGGCAGGCTACGAGACACCCCCTTATGAGTCATTGGAAAGCGGCGTGTCAAGTAAAGCCAGCCGCGCATGGCTTTACACTAGGTATGTCAAAGCCCCCTTGACCCATGCGTTACTAGGTAGTTGCGGGCTTGTGAGTCCGTTGTATCGGCGTGGGAAATGAGTGAGGAGAGTTCCTGGAGCACGAGCACCGGATGTTGATGAGCGGCTCGACATCCGTGCTCGCTTGACGCGGTTTGACGCATGCAAGGGAGAGCCGCGCGCTTATGCATTGTAGCTTCGGCGGACCGAGGCTTGGATGCTCGTGATGGTCTCCAGCAATTGCCAAACTTCTCCAACATACCTTTGCGGCAACTTACACGGAGACTCAATTACAGCAGCTATACCAATCCCCCCTTCTCACCAAGAAACCCCAAACGCGGCAATCTTACCACAAACTCTCCAATCTACAACCAACCGCCCCCACCATGAAGATTGCAGACCGCACCTTCATCGTCTCCGGCGGCGCATCCGGGCTGGGTCTAGCAACCGCAAAGGACCTTCACAGCCACGGCGCCTACGTCTCGATACTGGACATGGATGCCGATGCCGGGGAAGCGCTGATCAAGGAGCTAGGATCACGGGCTGCGTTTTTCGCGACAGATGTGTCGGAGACAGAGAGTATAGCTGCGGCGGTCATAGATACCGTGGAGTGGGCGCGGCGGACTGGGAAGGAGCTGGGGGGTGTGCTCGCTGCTGCGGGGGTGGGGAATCCGGGGAAGGTGGGTGTTTGTGCGGTCACATCTTGAATGGTTCATTATGGGCTGGAGATGTAGGTGGGATCTATTTTGGTATTATGCTGATCTAGACCAGATCATCGACAAGCACAACGAGCCCCTCTCCCTCTCCTCCATCGATTTCGTCCTCAACATCAACCTCCGCGGCACACTAGATCTAATCCGACAAGCCCTGCCCCATATGGTCGCCGTCACGCCCCTAGAGCCTGACAACGAGCGCGGCGTCCTCCTCCTCGTTTCCTCCTCCGCCGCCTTCGATGGTCAACCCGGTCAAGTGGCCTACGCAGCTTCCAAAGGTGCGATAGCATCCCTGACGCTTCCTCTTGCCCGAGACCTCGCGCGGTATGGCATCCGAGCGGTAACGATAGCACCGAGCTTGTTCGAGAGCAAGATGACGAGCATGCTGGGCGAGAAGGCGAAGAAGAGCTTGGAGCGTGTGATGGAGTTTCCGGTGCGGGCGGGGAAGCCGGAGGAGTTTGCGCGGTTGGTGAGGGAAGCCATCGAAAACCCTATGCTGAACGGGACCGTAATTAGGTTGGATGGTGCAATGAGGATGCCGAGTAAGATGTAGATACGATGGGTACTGCTCGTAAAAATCTGTTCAACCCGTCTTAAACTCGGCTAGAGGTAGACCTCTACTCTCAAGCCGTCCCGGGTGTAGGCATTGATCCTAACGTTCGAAGCCGTCGTATACCACGAGCGAGGGAGAAGACGCAACCAGGCAATCTTCATCGCTTTCGTTCACGAACCTTGAATTTGACGCCAGCTTTGTTGACGCCACCAACGTTGTTCGCCATCTTCGCGCGCTGGTCCGCCAACGCTTGCTCGGCTGTTAGGAGGTCCCGCTCGCGTGCCTTGACAGCCTCCAATCGTATGTGCCGCGCTTCTTGCTCCCTTTGGCGCTTCTTGCGTAATGCTCGCTCCTCTTTGATGGCCTTGAGCTCTGCATCCATAACACGCTGTGGCCGCCGTTGTGTCGATGTCTCGGGCTGACCATCTGCAACTTCTTCCTCGGAAGCTACCTCAGACTGTCGCCGCGGCCGGTTGTACGTCTTGTTCAACCCCTCCGCGCTCGTATCGAACCACTCGTCCGGCTGAAAGCCCTCCTGCTCATCCTTGCTACCCACAAACACCGTATGACCTTTCTTCTTCCCACTCTCCCCCTTCAACACCCTAACCTCCTTCTCCTCAATCACGATCCCCTCCTCCAACCTCTCCCTCTCCTTCCTAACCTTCTGCGCCACCGTCCTCAAATACCCCGCATCCTGCGTCTTGAGCAGCTTCGCCACGTCCTGACTCAGCACCCGGTTGCCCCGGTCCCCGAGCTTCGCGCCATTCGCCCCGGTTTTCGTGGACATCATCCCGAAGTAGAATTCGTCGGGGTTGCGGTCGGCGGCTTTTTGGCGCAGGGTCTTGAGCTTGCGCCGCTTCTCGTTGTGGTCCCGTGCGCGCAGGGTGTAGTCTTTCTTCTTCTCGAGGAGACCCCATTTTTGGCGCTCGAGGGGTTGCGCGCGCTCTTTGTGGGTGGGGCGCGCGACGGCGTTGCGGAGGGAGGACATGATGGAGGCGTGGGGTGCGGGTAGAGAACGGCGGGTCTGCTTAACGGGTTCGTTTCGGGACCAGTAAAGGCGCTACTATCCTGTCTGTCCAAGCAGGCGTAGCGATGTCAATTTGCTCCCCTCAAGCGTTTCCTTTTGGTGGTATTGCTCGGTCTGCTAAACGTGGTTTCAGTGTGGAAATGCGTGGAAAGTGTAGCAAAGAAATCTTGAGCTCAGATGCTCTGGAAAATGGTGAGCCCGGCCCGATGAGGCCAACTTTCAGGCTCATGCAGTGACAACCTTTCAGCTCATCATCGCAAACCCAAACCTTCATCAATGCCATGAAAGACGGTAGAGTACGGGACGACTCGCATAGCAAACGACAAGATGAGGAGCAGAATACCGCTGCATCACCTCGGATCGATGCGAGTCTTGAAGAGATCGCACAGTCGTTCTACAGATCCAGGCTATTGCCCGATATGGCACCACCTGAACCTCCGTAGAACGACTGTGAATCTGCGCGCCATACAAAGTCCTGCGCCGTACAAAGTCCTGCGCCATACAATTGCCCGCGCCATACAACTCTTGCCGCTGGTGCCGTCGCCCGAAACGGCAACATCAGGGTTTCCGTAGAACGACGGTGAAGTCCCGCTCATACAAATTCCACCACACAGGACAGATTTCTTCCGTTGTGCAAGTCTAGCCGCTGGGCGCCATATATGGATGGCTATGAATTCTATTTGGACGGTAAGGACAAGCAAGCTTCGGCGCGTCATCGTAGGTAGCACCACCTTACTGTCACGGCGTGAGCGGTTTTCACTCTTGCAGTCGTTCTACGAGCTCGTCCTTTTTCCCAATCCGGCAATATTGGAGCCCGTAGAACGCCGCGTAAATCTGACGGTCAGATCTTTCGGTCAAATCTATCGGTCAAGTCTGACCAGCCGAGTCTGACCAGCAGAATCTGACCAGCGCAATTTTTGCAAGGCAGTCTGCTCGTGAGAGGCTTAGAGTCTCCATAGTGGTGTAAGCGGATATTGCGGTAATAGCAGCTCGCTATTGCATTCCACATCCGTTGTTAAAAACCGCTGAGGAGTCCTATTCGTGCTTTCTACATTTTCACACCTGTAGTCATTCTACAAACTGTTGCATTCCGAATCTGTCAGCAGTTTTACTTTCGTATAAAAGCTTTTACAATTTCTTAGTCGACAGCCTGGTAGGGGATCACGGTGAGAAGAAGTATGTTGTACCTACATCTACAGCGGAAGACAACATAGCAATAGGAACACCCGCGAAGGACATCAGAAGAAAACATCTTGATTCACAGGTTAGTCTCGTGGTTCGATATTCCCTTTGATTGGCTTTCTGCTCAGCTTCGTTGTTCCATTCGGCCATGCTGAAGTGTGAATTTTCGATTTGGAAGTACCAATTTCAATGAAAAGTCTTTAGGCATCTGCAGACCCCGCCATCGAGATGCAGGGCCAAGCTTCGGATTGGGGTGGTAGAAGTGCTTTACTTTACTTTGTGTTTGATGGTACTCTAGGGAGAGAAAAATTTAGGGCTTAGCTCTGCAGGAATGTAGGAGAAAGCTCCCATGAAGCCTCTAAGAGAAGAGGAGAAGGTGCGCCTGAACGAGCTCGCCAATGTCTTAATTCACAGAGTAATGGGGCTGGAATGGCCGTCTTTTATGATGTGACAATTCTTACGAAAGGCCTTTGAATTCTCTTAAGGACAATCTTGTTGGTTCCTCCCATTATGCGTTATGGATTGCTTGCGCATTCCATTGCTGTTGTCTTCGTTCAACAATTTCAAACTTCTTGCGTGTCCTCCTGTTCTAGGCGTACCTGTAGCGTGAACAGCAACAATCACAGACTGTATCCAGGAAGTCATGCACAAGACTACCAACCAGCCGTCCAATCCCACTCGCACCCTCCGAACGCCTCACGCCACCGCCTTCTCCTTGATCAGCTTATTCAGTTTTCTAATCTCCGTCCACCGACTCTGCCCTCCCAACTCCAACAAACTCATCCTGCGGATCTTCCCCGATGGATTTCCAATGATAACCGGCTTCCAGTCCTCCTGCATGACCTTGGCCTCACTCATCGTGTTCCTCCTCGTTCCAAACGCATGGTTCGGAATCACCTGGACCTTGCTCCAGCGCCACAGCACGGCCGTCAACAGCACCGTCAGCGCCAGCAATATCCCCGCCGTGATGCCCGTCGCGGTCTGCGCGCCCAGGTTCCGCGTTACCGCGCCCCCGACCCCTGTCGCGGCCGCTGCGAGGAGGAAGGCGAAGGTCTGGCTCACCATGATCCCCGCCGTGACGCGTGGGAAGGAGCTGTAGTTGGTCCGACGCCGCCGCACATCCGACGCCATGCTCTGCAGTCTATGCCGACTATTCGCGCCAGGCTGGAGGTCACTCGTATCGAACGTCTCCATGATCAAGCCATAGCACTCCGCGATTGCGAGGTTGCTCAAGAACCCGATGATCCCCGCGCAGAAGATCGGCCACATCCAGTGGAGTGGCTTGCCGGCGGACAGCAGCGTGTAAGCCATGCCGACGAAGGGGAGCGCGGACATGAAGAGCACGCGGCGCACGAGGTGCGAGGTCCAGGTTATGCGCTTCTGGAAGGTCATGCTGTCGGTGCGGGGGCCAGCTTTGCGGGCGCGGCTGAAGAGCCCGGCTTTGGTGAGGGGGATTGCGAGGAAGGCGCCGATTGCGAGAGACATCACGCCTAGCCCGACGAAGTGGGGGTACCAACGGTATTCGCGGGAGAGGAGGGCGCCGAGGAGCTAAGAGGAGGTGAGCGGAGGATGGGCAAGGTGCGTTTTGGGGGTTACTTACGACGATCACGAGGATGAACATCGCGTAGATCCATCCGACGTACAATGCCAAGATGAAGAAGCCAGGCTGGAACATCATCCGGAAGTTGAGCCTAATACCAGCGAAAACTTCGTCGAACCAGTACTTCGGCGGCTGTGTAGATATGTGCAACTTGACCTCCCCACGAGCGACCATCCGGTGGACTATATCTTCAGCATCAACAACCTCGGTGAAGGAGCGACGATAGGGCGAGCGGCGCGTCTCCGGAGCGATTATGTTGAGACAGAGAACAGAAGCCAGCAGAATCATGATGATGTAGAATCCCCAGGCTGGATTCAAGTCCGCGATAATTCCAGCGCCGGTCAAGAAGCCCAACGAGACGGAGCCGATGAAGCACCAAACCCATAGACCGAGCCACAGGCCTACTCCACCGCCATGGCGTCGGACGTCGTTGATGATGACGAGCTCTTGATGTGGGTTCGAGCTTTGAAGTGATGCGCCGTAGAGATCCAACAGGGTCGTAATGAAGTTGACATTTGCGAAGCCGAGGAAGAAGCCAGACATGGCTCTCGGAAGCAGTAAGCCCACACGGTAGGCTACAACGGTCGGTGAGCGGGGCGTGTTGATGACCAACGCCTGTGGGAATTGTAGAGGGAGGGCAATAGCTAGTGCTGCCAGTACGTAGGTTCTGCGTCCATGTAGCAGCGGTAAGGGCCAGAAGAAAAAGGTGGAGATGGCTAGACCGATGAAGAGGCTGTCAGGCAGTCAGAGAAGTCTGGCATGCATCCGTCGTCAGAATACTTACAACACGTTTCCAAGGATGACCCGATGCTGCTGGTCGGCCAGTTGGTACTGGATCTTAGGCACCTCGCCAGCCTGGGTCTTGTCAGCAATCTGTGCCAGTCTGGGTAGGAATCATCATGACTTACATACTGGCCGATGATGTATCCCAGGGTGAAGGTGTTGATGCAAGCAGTGACGGCAGTGACACGCTTCCTCGCCCTGCTCCAATTCCTAGCCAACGGCTTCCGCCTGTGATGGCGAATCCGATCTGAGCCAGTGTTGCCGCGCGAGAACATACGACGGCGTTTAGGCGTGACCTCCGACATCTCAGGATCACTACCGTAGTATCTTGGCTCTTCTTTGTCATCCCCTTCCCACGGGGTGATCTTTTCAAAGGATCCGTCGTGGCGTCTCTGTCGCCGTCTGATCACAGTGTCGGCGGCCATGGGAGGGATACTTGGCCTCCTGTTCAAGGTTTGAGGAGTGCTATGTCTTCGCGTAGTGTCTGCTCGTCTGGAGCTCCTGGCATTCTTTGGACTTTCATTCTCAGACGAACTATCGGCGACTGGCCTAGGAGTCACCCGTCGTAGCACGCGGGTCCCTTGTCGTGGTGGTGGAGGTTTTGGAGAGCTCGACAAAGGGCTGCTGGCACGGAGAGGGGTCTTGTTCATGTAAGCCCAATCAACGGCGATGGACTCTTTGGACGGAGGTTCGGCCATCGTAGGGATGCTCGGGATGGTGGTGAGTGCAGTCTTGGATGACTTGGTCGATCGACCGCTGGAGAATGTACCCTCGGAGCCGGAGGAAGAGGACGAAAAGGAGGGCATTGGTCGAATGGGCATAGCAAGGTCGCCGACATCTTCAGCAACCTCCGCAGCTTCATGCATGAGATTCTCCAGGTCTGTTATTGCTCTTTGCAGGGCAGCTACGCCTGTATTGTCCTGCGGCTCTGGATGATTGGTACTTGCGGCAGAAGCGCGCCGTTTTCCGTCGGATGCTGGAGTTGACCATCCACCGGGCATACGGGAGCCATCAAGCCATGGGAGCTTCTTGCTTAACGAACGCTGAGGAAGGCGTGATGGGTTCTTTGTGAGAGTCGTGCCGGGCATGATGAATGGTCGGCGGCTGATATCGGCGTTGGAAGAAGTGCTCAATGGTTCGCGGTAAAGTATGGTTGTAGGACTGATAGAAAGGATCTCTGCTCCCTCTTCGCCTAAGACGTAATTGACCACCAGCAAGGAGCGGGATGTAGCTGGTGACAGTTGCGCGGGGAACAGGATGTTAGGATACGAACATGAAGAATGGAGCGATGAGGCGGAGGTTGAGAATCATAGAATGCGAAGTGACCGGCACAGAAAAGAACAAGAGGCAGAAGAGCATTGTGGTTGCCACTTACTTCGAAAGACACAAGCTCGAAGCACTTGCCTCGTTAGAAACTTTCTGTATACGAAAATCACACTTGCTGGACAAGGGAAGTGGAAGGCGAACTCGGCGACTCTGACAGGAGAAGCTACCCTGATGCGAGCATCGCCCCTTCCACACAACATCCACAACTCATTGTGCCCAAGATCACTCTTCCCACCTAATCTTCCCCTCACTAACATCCGGATAAACATCAAACCTCCTCTGGCTATACACCGGAATTCCCTTCCTAACCTCCTCGATCCTCCCCTCCTTCAACTCTGCCACTAAAATCCCCTCGTTCTCGTCCAGCTGCTCCAGTACCTCCGCATTCGGATCCACAACCATACTATGCCCCCACGCATTGTACTCGGCCTCCATGTCTCTCGCCGGGCTGCAAAGCCCCACATATACCTGATTATCCATCGCCCTCGCCCTGGCCTGCAACTCCCAATGCAACGCGCCCGTCGTGAGGTTGAACGCGCCAGGGTACAGCAGCAAAAACGCGCCCTTTCTCGCCGCAATCATCGCGAGTTCCGGGAAGCGGATGTCGTAGCAAATCGCGATCGCAATCTTGCCGTATTCCGGGATATCAACCAGGGTAAGCTTGTTTCCCGGGCTCAGTACCTCGCTCTCCTTGAACCTGATCTTGCCTGGGATGTCGATGTCGAAGAGATGCACTTTCCTGTGCGTGGCCAGCAGCTCGCCCGTCGGCGAGAAGGTGAGCGACGTGTTGTACAGGTTCTTGGTGCTCTCCTCGTATTCTGGTATGCTGCCACCCACTAAGTAGCAGCCCCCCTCCTTCGCCAATTCGCTCAGTGCGTGGAAGGTTGGCGATTTGTCTTTCGAAGGCGGTGAGGGAAGAAGCGTCTCGGCATATTTGGGGAAGTATTTGGTGCCGTAGGGTGAGTTGAAGCATTCGGGTAGCACGACGATTTTGGCCCCGTGCTGGTGGACGGCTTCGAGGACTTTGGAGCGGGCGCGGGAGAGGTTGGCGGCTTTGTCGGCGCCGGTGGAGAGTTGAATTAGGGCGAGCTTGAGGGGTTGCTTCAGTAGTTTGGCCATTGCGGGTAGTATAACGGGGATGGTTGGGGATTCGGTCACGAAGAGCAGCCCGAGGCTTGGAGAGTTCGAGGGGTCGTGACGATGACGGATCTTATCACGGATTACCTATCCCGGAATAGTACGGATCGCTACATGGTGTTGAGATGCTCACTTTGTCTCTCCCATTCACAGCAACAGAATCGCGCGGATCAGAAGTGGAGCAGCGGTAACGTAGCAGTTTTCGGTGGTATGACGATAGAGAATGCTCAGGGTTCCGATCACTGGGTGCAGCCCGACGTTTGGGGCGTTTGAGGGGTTGATATTCCTCAAGCGCTGCATGAGAGAGGTACTTCAGGTAGCATAAATCAATGATCCAAACGTATCTCTCTATTACTAGTGACTCCTTAATAGTAATTACGGAACTATCATTTCACAATGTGCGACATGTACCGACTTGCATGCTCGTGACGTTTCAAAGTAAGGCCGACTTCCCAATGCGGCAGTGCCTCTGCTGCCCGTAGAACGTCGCAGAGTTCCTAACCCCCCGACCCTGTTTTCCCGGACTCTAACCCATAGGCAGGGTCGCTTCAAAAGTCCGTCTTGGATGTTTTGCGTGGCTGGACTAGCCATGCCTGACCCTCGATAGAGCACGTAACGCACGAAGATCGACCGCAAACTCTACGATTGAAACCAGCTATTAATCCCCAAACCCCTCGAACTCGTCGTCTTCAGCTACGGCTGGCCTCTTCTTCGGGCCAGTGTCAACGAGCCCACCAGTCTGTCTCGCTCGACTCCTCGGCGTTGCGCCCTTCCTCCTATTCTCCTCCTTCCTCTCAAAGCCACTCTTCGTGCTGATTTTCGCTTTCCTTGCTTCCTTCCCGTTCACACTAGCCCTTCTAACCTCGACACCTCTCCTTTTCAAACGCTGTCTGTCCCTTTTACTGGGCTGAGGTAGCGAGTCAAGAAGCCACTGCTGCACACCCTCACCACTCGGTCCACTCTCACCCGACTTGTCCCTCAGCTTCTCGGCCGCAGCGATGACCTGCGCAATGATCCTCACATGCGGAATATCCTCCTCCGTATACAACGTGATTGCGACCCCGCCCTCTCTCCCTGCTCTTCCCGTTCGACCCACTCGATGCACGTACGCGGCGGCCGAATTCGGAACATCATAGTTGACGACGCCATTGATGCCTCTGAAGTCGACGCCACGCGCGAGGAGATCGGTCGTAATGAGTACCCAAACTTCACCTTTCCTAAAGGCTGTCATAACCCGATCTCTAGCGGTATCAGACAGATCGGCGTGGAGGACAGCGATACGGGTCGAGCCGCCGGCTTCAGGAGGAATGTCGTAGAGGAGTTCGCTGTAGAGTGCGTTGGCGCGAGGGATGGTTTGCGTAAATATGAGGAAAGGGGGCCTGAGACTAGGTCCGGAGGAGTCTGCTGATGCGGTGGGGTGAAGGAGCTGACGAAGGGCCATAAGTTTGCCCTGCTCGGTGGCGGCGTAAGTGAGCTTGTGGGATATGTTAGGGACAGCGGAGTCTTTGAGCCCGACGACTAGGCGGAGGAGAGGAGGTTGTCGGTACCCCTTTACCGGACCAAGATGTTTATTTCGGTGAGCCTCTATGGTAGACTTTGCTAACTGCTCGACATTTGAGCCCATTGTAGCGGACCAGAGGCTAACTCGAAGTTGAGGATGTGGACAGGCTTGCCAAATCGACAAAGTCTGGTCGCGAAAAAGGGGGTCTAGCAAGACATCCGCTTCATCAAAGACAAGATAATGAACACTCGGAAGCAGCTTTGGCGTATCGTCGGACGTCTTCAATGCGTTAAGAAGAGTAAGAGGCGTTGAAACGAGCACGTCCGCCTTCACCATGTGGCCTTGATCTCGGGTTCTACCTGCTCGCCGAGTGGATCCTGCTGGTGCATCGCTGATATCGCTCTTGTCATCGATCTCGTCGAGTTGACGTTCTGACAGTTCTTCCGTCACATCCAAAGTCGCATCCTGACCTGGTGAAGGAACAATATCCATACCCTTGCGCATAAGCGCGATTTTTATACCCGTCTTCGAGCTGAGCTTTCTGCCCTCATTGACGATCTGGCTTGCAAGTTCTTTCGTCGGGGCTATAATTATTGCACCGGGTCCTGCCGACTCACCGTGACTGTTGATGTCCTGCTCTTGATTGCGGTCGCGCAATAAAGCATTGATCACTGGTATCAGAAACGCGATTGTCTTGCCACTTCCAGTCGGCGCGATGGCCAGTATATCCACGCCGTGACTATTCAACTTCTTATCTCCTTGAAAGTCACCTCGCAGTTCTGGTCGACTTCCCGCCCAAGTCTGCGCCGGCTCAAGAAGTAGCGGCAAGCTTCCGAGTTGTACCTCCGTTGGCACCGTGTAGCCTTGGGCCTCTATGTTCTCCGCGAGTCGCTTCGAGATCCCATATTTACCGCGCAGCTGGCTGAACGACGTCAGAGGTTGAGGGTACAGCTCAGCTTTCTTTCTCTTCTTCGCAACCTCGATCGGCTGCTCCTTGACCTTGCGGCGCTTCTTCCCGTTTTGTTTTGCAGGCACCTCTTCTTGTTGTTGTTGGGGGTCTGAAAAGGCAGTGATCTTGATCTTATGGGACCGCAAGATCCGTCTGCACTCCTCCTCGCTGAGGAAAGGCGCGGAGCCGTTCACCACAATAGTCTTCCTCGGCCTGGGTGCTGGTTGTAGATCGGTCACTCCGCCCTCCATTTCTTCTTCAGATGCATGTTCCCTCGGCGCCTTGTCTCCATATACTTTGTGCCCAGTACGGTTCGCGTCGCCAAAGAAATCAAGCTCCGCTGGTAGGCTCACGGCCTGTACCAAGCCATCTTGACTTCTTTTGCGCTTCCTGCTAGCGCCATTTCCTTGCAGCTCAGGCGCCTGCGCATCACCAGACGTACTGTGCCCGAAGAGCTGTGGGTTCGCGTTCTGGCCGCCCGAGGGCAACTGCGCTTGCGGAGCACCTTTGCCGGAGCCCTTGGAGAGCTTGGTGGAGCGGGAGAGTAGCTTGAATATATCCATTGTCGCATGAAGTAGCTGGCGGATTCCTGTCAAAGATCCATTGCGACGCGCATAAAGCTTCGGCGGTTGGTGACGGCGTTGTCAGGAAAAGATATCTAGAAATTTTGGTGCTTGGACCATGCTGGACCCTGATTTCACTTCGCGGTCGTCGGCACGTGATGTGGGTGAAACCAATGCTTCGCTCACCTCAAACGGGTGAACCGAGAGCACTCACACTTCTAGAATTACACAGATCTGAGCATCGCTTTCAACTATGTCGTAGTCTTGGCTACTCTCTCACCTCTACATACTTCGACAGTACCTCCAAAATATCTGGCTTCCAGCCTGACTTCCATGTCTCCAAGCATCCTTGGCGTCTGCCTGTGAGGGGTGCGCATGTGGAGAGGCACAGCATCATCAAGCGGCCAACATGAGATTCAAGGATCAACACATATGTAAATAGCCAAAGACTTTTGAGTCTCTCTTCGACATCAGCTTGGCCATTATCTCCAAAGAAACACTACTGCCTAAATCATCTACTCGTGTCACTTGGAAATGCCAGAACCATCATGTTACCCTGATGCTTTAAGAGAGAGTCAGCGAAAACCTACTCATTGGTACTGTGTAAGTTCGAGTTTCGATCCATAGGAGCATTATCCGTAGCAACCGAGCTAACTAGTGGAAAAGTGTCAATGTGAATACGGCCCCTTGTTGTTAAAAATCTGGGGATACTGTCCCAACTGTTATCATTCTAGATGCTCCTGGTGCACATTGCTCGTAAGTATGAAACGCAACCCAGAAACGACACAATCAACTTCTAGTAGCATGGAGGACTGACTAAACCGCTACCCATTCTCTGTAGATATACCCTGCTTCCGATCTCCTGCTTGAGACCGGAGTGGAGCACCTTATCAATCATGAGCAGGACCGATGAGTCGCGACCGCGTTGCATGGTTTCGGCGATTGTGTATATACAGGGAGAGGCAGCGTTTCGTACCTGTTTACATCTTGGTGGCATGGTGTGCTAGAAGCTCGCAAGCGCGGCGGTGCATCAAATGTAGATTTGGTAAGAGACGCTCCGCTTCTGGGCTAGAAACATGCGCAGTCCTCTCCAAGTTTGAACGTTGAGAGTATAGTTAAGCAGCCGGGCGGCAGCAGTCCGGGTCTTTTCATTTACTTATCCCGCCTCTACGCAGAGGAGGCGGCTCTCCAACCTCTATGGTCACGATTCTGCTGGTTGACTGCAATTTCATATTATACATGCTACTTTTGGTAACCTCAAAAGCCGCAACAGTAGCTTCCGAGCTATGAGCTTTCGCTTTGCGCACTTGCGATTGCATTTGAGTCCAATAGAGACATTGGGAGGACAGTAGGCCGTTTCAGAAGCCGATCGACTTGTGGGTAGAGAAAAGAGCATTGCTAGAAAGCGCACCCTTGATTCCTTAGGAAAGGCGGTTCGGCCAAAGTGAGAGATTACTTCGCCCAAAAAGTCAGTGCAGGGTCGGACTCTGCCGCTGTCGAGAATCGTGTTCACATGAATATACCCCCAACCTGAGACGCAGTATGAGTGCATAGAGGTAATAACAAACAAAGTGTGTTGAAGAGGTGTGTGAAGACAGCGTAAGTTGCAAGGATACAACAAACATGCGTATGTATCAGCGAACAAGATTAATAGTACAATGGTACTTCCATCAACCGAAATGGGCAAACCGAAAGAGTTGTGCTGGCATTTGACGCTTTCCTGATTGTTGACGGCGAAGCACGGAGTGGCTCGAGAATCTCCGCGGTTGCCATATGGTCATGGCCGGCCCCGATCTTGTATCCAGGCGCTATTTAATTTGGTGTCGAAGCTTCCAAGAAACACCACAAGGACGGCGCAGTAACTGCGAGGACTATTGTCAGCAGGTACGGAGAGATGACGACCGATGTCCGAGACGCTTACGCAGCAGTCGCCGCAAAGACTTCATGGTTCTTTGGCCGGGCGAGGATTGTTATTGTCGCTGGGAAGAGCGACACGAATAGAAGGACTACTACGATCTTCACCTCACGGTTGGAGTCAAGATAGAAGAGCAAGCAAATCGGGGTCATGAGCAAGATAATAATAACAAGAGTAACGATTGCCTGGACCAGGTAGTTGATCCGTGTCTTGGAATATAAATCAATAGCGGAGTCTTGCGTTTTCTGGCGTTGTTCTGGTGTGCTGAACAGGCGCTAAGCATACTTCAACAAATAGTTTCCGCAGATGAAGGAGTTCTCGTTGATGTTTACCTTGGGCCAATCCTTGCCACTCTTCTGAAGCATTTTCTCAATCCTCACGTGGAATGGCGAATCTTGTTCTTTACTCAAGATCACGAAATCATCCGCTGGGTTGAGGAACGTCATTTCCGATCGCACAATGGGTTTCTCGTTCCAGATGTAGTTTATCAGGCTACGATAGTTGCGCTTTGTCGGCTTTTCCATCAGCAGCGATTCCTGTTCTCTGACAAGCAGCTTGTCTATGCCTCTTAGCGCTGTATCGGCCAATATGTGGGCACCTGTGTCGTACCATAATGCTCCAGCTTTTGATCTATTTCATCCATTAGAGCTTGACGCTCTGATTCCGGATCTGCCTTGTCCTTTCTTATAGATTGATTTCTGTATGGATGAGCCTGATCGTCTGCCTTGTCCATTTCTTGTAGCTTTTCTTCCAGTTTCGCTATTTCGTGTTGCCGATAAAACATCACACGATTACGGAGGGTTCCGAAACGCCGATATACCCGGAAGTTGGGGTCGCTGTTCACAACCGCAGCCAGCTGCGGGTAGCCCGGAGGATAATCATCGACTTGAAGACCGTCAGTATCATGCCTTCGGAGTATGGGTTTTGGAGGCTTACTCCGTTCTATTCTTATGTTCTCGTAGCGTTCATCAGGTGGCTCGTCACTGCTATTGTGCCACCAATTCCTGACTGCCGTAAAGTTCAATAACCTTTGGGACGGGCCGCTCCGTGACACTACTGTGATTTCTGTCAATATCCATAGGTTGTTGGCCTAGATAGACACACAGTTCTGTCTTTCGTCGATCCCTTCATCTGCAGAGCTTGACGTGCTCGACACAACTCCATCTTCGACAGGCTTGCGAGCATACTCTGGATCAACCTCGATGACCATGTCCCCTGACAGCTCAGTGGATCCTTGGGGATAGGCCAAATGCGCGAGAGGGGGAGCAACAACAGCTTGCAGAATTCCTTCGGAGTCTGCCATCGTCAGAATGGATTCTTGCACTACGAAGCATATCGCGTAGCGTGGAATGCGGCTTAAGAGGCTGGATGATAACCCAACTTACAGAAGCCAAGATAACTATGCAGACTGCGCAGGGCGGAAGGATTGGGCGCGACAGCTGCCAGACGGTGTAGCTTCTGCCTTGCAGTATGCTGAAAGGCCCTCTGGGCCAGAAGATGGGTTCATGGTTGCTCCTTGAGATACGCAATGCGTGAGAGAGTAATTGAGTGAGGCCCGACGCCCGGGGCTACTGTCCATGCTGTGAAAGCAGGCAAACAGTGCGTTCGCATCCTACGGACGGATGTGTGAGGCAAGGCGGCCAGTCGAAATTTGAGGGCTTGCATGAACGCGATTATCCAGTTGTTGGCCAGCCAATGATATAAAACGCCCACTGCACGCTTGGGCTTCCTTGCGGGATCTCCGCTAAGAAGCAAATCTCCCGCCCCCGTGCCGTGAGCAAACTACAAGGGGGCTGCATGAACGGGCTAGCCACGCTCCCTGCCCTTCGCTGTGCAGTCCACCACTCAGATCACGGCGTTGAGTCAAAGTAATTTTACTATTGGCTGTATGCAGCAGGGAGCGTGGCCAGCCCGCTCATGCTGTAGAGTACCTTGAGGGAAGAGCACTACAAACGGAGAACAATACCCGATCGGAATTGGTTGCGCGACCGTAAGTCTTAAGATCACTTAAGAAGGCTTTCTTTACATCTTGTCCTCGACTCGCAATTCCACTATTCGGAAGGAAGCGCGTCAGCCAGGGGCAGGAACAATCTACGAATGATGCAATGCAATGTAGTTCGTCCTATACCCCGTGGCTACTTGAACAGCTAAGGTAGTAAACTCTGAGATATGAAACTCTTGTATATATGTAACAGCCTCTCCAAAGGCAACACTGAAAAGGAAGAGCAGATTCCAATTGCTGAATAGGTTACATTCAAATCGCACAGCTCGCATCGCAAGACACCGTAGACAACACACAGAGGACCAAGTGCTTGCACACAAGGGCATAACTAAGAGCTGCTCACAGCGAAGTGCTGCGTCGCATCGAATTATTGCCAGTGATACTGGGCATGGCCTAGATGCAACGGCAAAATATGTTAGGTCCACAGCTGCATCCTGCTTGAACACACGGAACGCACCTGTGCTATCAAAAGTAACGTGGTAGTATCTACCATGCGTAGCGCTCCACAGCGGCTGCGCAGGACTGCTTGGCTGCGCAGAGTGCGAAGACAGTCCGGTTTTTTGTGAGTTTATTTGAGCTACGGACTGGTTTGTGTATGGGTATGATGAAGGTGGTTGGCCGACAGCCTCATGCTGTTGAGCAACTGGTGGTTCTGTTGTGTAAGAAGTATGGTGTGGATTTTGCCGGGTCCGAGCAATGCTTGCATCTCCGGGGGAGAAATCTGTAGCTGCTGTGTCACTTCCAGAGTAGGCGCTGTCGGCACTCCACGTGGATGGACTGTAACCTTCGGTGCTCACGGGTGGCTCGTATGCGTCGTCTTCGGAGGATGGTTGATATATTCCGAGTTGGTTATCGGTACGTCTTGCGGTCGTTGAGCTTTCAGAAGGAAACGGCTTGGGCTTGGGCTTGGGAGGTTTAGGCTGAGGTTTAGGCTGAGGTTTTGGTCTGATCACAGAGTCCTGTAACTCCTGTTTCCGGATAAGTATATAAAACCAAAACGAGTTGCTGCAGAGATGCACGCACAGCTCTATTCAGACCTGTGTAACCACCGTCCCTGGTATCCGGCCGATGTGTCATTAAAAATCTCTCCGAGCACGGCGTAATCCTAAATTGAGGCTCACGGGAATCTGTGTCAGAGTATGGATTATAAGGGCAGAGCTCGCGCTTGTGGCAAAGGAAGCCTAGAAACTCGACTTAGACTCATCTTATTAGTGCTGGTGGGGTTACTAGGACGGGAGGTCTTTCCATGATACTCCGCCTCGAAGACAGCGCATCACAGAATGCCGGCCGCAGGTGCAGTGAGGCCTCTGCTTGTTCAGAGCCAGGCGGTTGGCCAGCATTTTCTGCCTTGCTCATCGCGGCGAGGCCCGTTACACAAGAGTGTGGTTGCACAAGCGCCGCAACGCGTCTCTCACCCAATCAGATTCGCTGCCGCACAGCGAGTGATTCCCGGGTCAGTACTTTGATACTTCGAGGGGCTTCGACTGGGCAGCCATACGTGATGTCGGGCATCGAGTTCAGCATTCATACTCTATTTCTGCCTTGGATAGGATGGAGGCAAAGGGTTGCCTTGTGGGCGGCGCAGCTTTCAACAATCTAGCAACGCTGCGCTGGCTTAACGGTGGAGGATGTTCAGTATTTAGTTGTCATTGGGGAGTAGTTCGCAACAGGACGGTTGGCTGGTCGGTATCATTGGCCGCGGCGATCAGCTTGGGAGGGCACTCCGGAGCGTCAGACTGCCGGTAATCTAACCCTATGACCAGGAGGTGGCGTTCGTCAATAATCTGCCTGTGTTAGCCTTTAATCCCTCGCATCATCTTTGGTACGACTGTCCGCCAGCCATCCGTGTGGTGTTACTAATAGGGACTTGTCATGGCGCTACCGTCCTTTAGTGTGTCATATCGTCGCTCAAGTAGCTACCCAAACTCTATAGCATTCGCTATCCTCAAGTTGGTACTTCGCAGCAACCCGACCCTCTCAAACTCGACATCAGATAGATGTTATAGCCAGCGCCGATTGCTCACAAACGGAGAGTTCCGTAAGGATACTTGACAATATTCTTGTCCGTTGTGGACTTCGAGGTCAAGAATCATGAGATTGACAGGTCGAAATGATGTTGGACTCGTCTGATAACAGAGTACAGGCTATATTGTTTGATCAAAGGAACCCATAGAGCTTTGGCACAAGGCAGCTGAGAAGAAACAAAGTGAATATGATCATTTCGGTGGTCGGGAGCATGAAATCTTCTCGAAGCGGTCCTGCTGATGACAAAGGATGCCCTTCAACACCGGACTAGCCTGTTCTCGCAGTGTAATTAGCAGGACACGCGGCCATCGTGGATACTTTGATGCTTTGCACCCACGACAGGTTTGTAGTAACTTGCGTGGGTCATGTGACTGGACAGTCTTGGCATTTTTAGTGCCATCGACTCCAACTACTCGTATCCTCCTTTCTGGAATATAGGAAGTCACACGGGTGACAAGAATGCGCGGACTCCATAAACAGCAAACCCAGAAGCTGCTGTAAAATGAAATCGATAACTAGGCTAAATCAATCCTGTGTAGCGTGCGCATATGCTCAGATACAAGATACTAAGAAGAGACGCTGTAATAGGCCTCAGCTGATACGTCGAAAGCTATATGACTGATCATTTACGTTGTGGTTTACTGCTTCCTGGTTATGGAGTCCGCGCATTCTTGTCACCCGCGCGGAAGTTTAACCGCATGTCCACCATCACCTTAGCAGCAACCGACCATCCCGTAGGAAGAGCCGACATAAAGCTCCCAGTCCCATTGAAAGTGTACGCATAAGCAGCTCCGCACAAAGAGGCGAAGAGCCATTAATTGAGGAGTGGATATCATGGTATAGAGATCTGGAGAGAGCAGGAGCTATGACACAAACTCACGCAACTCATGTGGCACACGCTCCCTTCTAGATAAATGCTGATGTCTCCTTTTTAGTATAGCCTTCTCTCCTCTCAGCTTTTGCACATTGAAATTGCATGTCATCACCCTCCTCACAGCAGAAGACCAATTTTCAGAAAAAACCGCTGCCACCCGCATGAAAGTCGTAATCGAGGCCCGAAGGCAGGTATCTCATGAATCTTCAGCCATAACCGCCTTCTTAACGCCGATGAATGATCCGAAATGCCCTTCGTACCCATGCATGTATCAACCCCCCCAGCAACCCCCCACAGACATCCGGGATAAAGAAAACATTGACGAGACTCTGACATGAACAAAAGGCCAGATAGCAGAGTTTTCGTCCTCGGGTCGAGCTTTTTGTGCTTTTCGTGCTTCTCGTGCTTTCGTACTTTTCGCGCCCTCAGTCGTCGAGACTGATAACTCCAATCTCCTTGGCCGGCATCAGCGGGCCTGCAGGCGCGCCCTCCATGACCGGCGTGACATCCCTCGACTCAGGTCCCACGCTTCCCCTCGGCGCCTTTTCCGGCTTCGGTCTCCAGCTACCATCCGCTTCGACAATGATGGACCGTGTGGCCAGCAAGCCTTGCTCGGCAAGCCTCGCCCTCACGTCCACCAGAAAGCCATCGACGACCAGCTTCTGGGGCCGCACGTCCGCCTTGCAGAGCGGACACCGCCACTCGTCAACCGCGGACGGCCAGCCTGGTTGACTCCTCTTGCGCATCTCGAGGAATGTTGCGAGGTCGAAGCAGTCGCGGTGCAGGCAGCTTTGGCCCCGGACAGGGATGTCGAAGATTCTGCAGGCGGAGAAGGGGTCGAAGAGGTCGATTGTTAGGGTGTTGCTGACGACTAGGAGATCGTCGTCGTCGTCGGCAGGGGAGGTGTTGGAAAGGCTGGACTTGATGGAGGCGAGGATCTGCGTGCTGGGTACGAGGTAGAAGGCACAGCATTCAGCCTTGATGGCGGCGTGGGACTTTAGTCCGATTACCTCGATCGCGAAGGCGTAAGCGGTCGGTGAGGGCTCGTCAGCAGTGCGGTTGATAAAGATCTCAAGGAGGTTGTCTCCCGCTCTGATGTATGGGGTGACGTCTATCGGTAGGTCTTTGCCGTGTTGCAGCTTTCGACGCATCTGTAGTGGCTTGCCGTTTATTTGAGGGTAGAAATAGGAAGGCATAGCGTTGTCGGTGATAACCCATGCGCTCTCTTCAACTTGTCCAGACGATGGGATCTTGGAGCAGCGCAGCCGGTATGTGAGAGAGTCTTCCCCTAGCACTCTAGAAGGTGGGCGCCCGTCTCGAGACAGCTCATCTCGAGGAACCAGCGCGAAGTCCTCTATGGCAACCGTGAACGACCACGATTGGACGGGCTGACTTAACGCCACTACCTGAGGCAACATCGCGAAACCCATGACGTACTGGTACAGTGCTGTCGGGCCATCAGCTACCCAGTCGCCACCTTGCTTCGGCCTTAGAATCGGACTTCGAAGATGTGCCTGGTGGAGAGCTGAAACTGCGGGATTGGGATGTGACGGCTGGGACACAAATTCCCCTGTCGCAGGGAAGAGAGGCCGGCTCACAGAAGGTTGCCCGACAACCGGTGCCTGAGCGGCATGCTGACGGCTCGGAACGGGCTGTCTCGGATGAGCGCTTGACGGGATAGACTGTCTCATCTGGGCGCCCGACGGGATGGGCTGAATCAAGCGAGCTTGTTGGACGTTTTGTTGGATGGGGCCTTGCTGGTACTGCTGAATGCTTGGTCGAACTTGGTTTGTGAGTTGTTGCGACGGCAGCATGGGCGCTGCTACTGAGACCGTGCGCATGTTTTGTGGAGTTTGATGGGTTCTCTGCACATAACCCGTCTGAGATCGAATGTGCGTTGAGGTCGGGCTCTCCATACTTTGAGAGCGGACATGAGGCACGTTTGTGTTAATTTGAATGCGGGCCGCAGGCGGTTGCATAGCTCCTTGTAGGTTGTTGGGGGTGCCTATAGGGGACACAGCATATGCTGGACGGACAGCTTCCTTATGACGTACGAGCAACTCGAGGTAACGTTGTCTGACATGACTGTACTCAGCACAGCTAGCCGGATTTGTCGCGGCGTTTCCCTGGCTTTTCCGAAGCTGGTACCGTTGCTGATCCTCCCGAAATGTATCCTCTGCGAGCCTAATCCAGGACGAGTTCCCGTTGCCCCAGATTTGTCGCAAAATCGAGAGAAAAACAACCTTCTGGAAGATGGGCGAGTCTATCGCAAGCTGCTCGGCAATCTCGTGTGCCAGCGGCGGATAACGGCTTCGCGCGTAGTAATCTTGAAAGCTTTGCCAGCGCTGGCCAGCACAGATGACAAAAGTCATAAATTTTTGGATCTCCGGCACACCATACCAGACCGAAACTGGAAAGTTGGCAAACCAAAGCAGGGTTTTTCGACTTAAATTATGGTTCGGACACAGGACGTGATCCATGAGCTGTATGGCTGTCGTCAAGTGTTGCCTAGGCATAGCTAAGAGCTCGCGGGGTAGAAGCATCGCATTGACTGAGCTTACGCACATCAACTGATGCAACGTGAGGTAGAATCTATCCTCGATGTTTGCCGCATCCTCTAAGAGTTGTATCCTCGATTGCTCGATTGGATTCAGCGCCTGAAGGCCACCAACACTCGTAAGATAAGCCTGGATTGACCGAAGATAGGAGGTAGAAAAAGAGCTTGCAGCACTCGATGACGAAGGAGTAGCGGACTGTGATAAGTGAGGAAGACGCCGCTGCTGCGCCGACCCTCCGGCTTGTGGTGCGCGTTGTCCAGGGTTTGCTTGTTCATGATGAGCCACTCTAGTTCCAGTGCGACATGCTGCGCTCATAGCTGGCTCAAGATCCATAAAGTCAGGTGAAGATGGACCCGAGGGCGTCGGATCAAGCCCCGGCTCGACTTGGTTCTCCAGATGCTGGCGCACCTGCGGATGTAACATTCCGAAGGGATGCTCCAGATGCGACTGAGGCCCGTTTCTGGGCGCATCAATGTCTTGACCACTCTCTCGAGGCTGTATTCGAGGCCGCTTGTCGCTCAACGATGGCGAGAGGTCAGCGGGTCTCTTGCAACCCTGCGCCGGCAATGTGGTCGCCGGTTCCACACTTGCTTCTTCTACAGATTCATCCGGATTTACGGCATCACCCACAGTACCACCCGGAGCAGTAATGTCAGCCTGTTCGGTCACTCCCTCTGACGCCTGCGGAGACTGGCCAGACCAGCGTTGAATTGCCCTGAGGTCCGCCAAAAACATTGGTTCGTATCCCGGCCCGCTGCTCGGATCCTCGCTGGGAGTGGGCGATGGAAGTATGCAGACGGGCTCGCTGTCGGAAGGCGCTTTGGGTTGGACGACGCTGTTCGCTAACTGAGGCGACGTCGAGGCGGACGAGACATGGCACTCATCTGAGATGGGTTGTGACGGTGGGGCAACAGATTCGTGCGAGAGATGCGTGGAGGCTAAGCGAGACTGCTTTATCGTGTATGTGATCAGCCTTCAGAGAAGCACACGACGGTAGATTTCTTACGCACCTTATCCGCACGAAGTGGACGACGGCTCTGCGGCTGAGATGGCGGAGCTGCTAGAGCGATCCGCCCCTCGAATGCAGAAGTCATCCAGGCTCTGGGCCTACCGCCAAAGAACATGTTGAGGGTCGAGTTGGACGAGGCCAGCTCTTGGGCGGCGACAGCGTTAGACGGCGCATTGTGAGCGCGACGGCGGTGCGGCGTGACGGTCATTGAGCTCAAGCTACCTCTCGGCGAGGCTTCCTGCTGTCCGAGGGAGTATTCTCTGTCGCGCTTGTAAGCAAGTTACTTGCTAGCACAGCCGACTCTGGGATTGCCCACCATGTTCAAATAGCACTCCCAACGCGCCCCTCCGTTGGCGGCGGAGGATATGGCAGTTCTCCGGTTAAGACTCTGACTGCGCAAACGAAACAGGCAGTGACGAGGCAAGGCTGGTGAAGAAGGCGCAGTGCAGTATCCGAGAGCGCCAGGCCAGTGGGGTGCTCAAGTTACGAAAAGTTGGTGATTTGTTAAGTAGATGGTACGGAGTAGAGGGTATGGAGCAGAGGAGCTTGCAAGGGCTCGGTGCACTTAGCTAGTCATTGCCGCATGCTTTCCTACTAAATGCGGCAGAGATGCGGCAACGTCCAAGTGCACCGAGCCTTGTTCCAGCTTCACCGGCAAAAGCACGCAGGAATGCAGCAGGGATTGTGCAGATCATCGGCTACACACGTCACGTGGCTCGCGACATCCATCAGAGACCGGACTGCTGGGATGCCCCGGGTGCTTTAAGTTAGGTAGTGGAGATGCGCATTGAGGTGCTCCTGCTGGTCACTGGAACGCTGCTGGGAGCATGTAGAGCATTGCAGCTGCCTAAGCTTACTGACTTGTTCAGCTGCGACTGCTGTTCTGTCTCTGACTACTCCCTCTGTACTTGGCCAGTGCCCGCTCTCGCTGCAGCTGGTGATCTGTCTCGTCTGTCTCGGCTGCTCCTCCAGCCTCAACCGGGTCTAACGCCGTGCACGATCGATCGTCCCGGTGGCTCCTTGGGTTCGCGCATTGCTATCACTCCTGCTTTGAAGACACCCATACCCCCCCATCTATCCATAGCCCTCCACCGACTCAATCCAAACGAGAGATTATCCTACCACAATATCGAGCCCCGTCATCCGGCGCCGGGAACCCTTGTACGACTACTCAAATCCATCCACGTCACCCGTCAGAGGACCGGCTGGTGCTCTGCTTCACTCATCCATAGCGAGAGCTCTCGTACCGCACCATGATCTTCCGGGAGCAGAGGAGTCGGTGATTTTCCGTCTAGCGCTGGGACTGCAACCTGCAACCCTCCGGTATACTCGGCAACCAGGTCGGAGTAGACGGGATAAGATGGCGACTCGAGCGCAGCTGATGGAGCAAGCGCGACCTGGCGACATATTACAAGTTCTATGTCAGTGCCCTCATGGTCCTCAATTGGTCTGTCGAGGCCTGGTGCGGTGCGAAGGCCCAGCTGCGGATATCAAACCGAGTCCCAGCGACTGGGCCCCGACAGACCCGCGACCTCTACTGCTCGAAACGCGATAACCCAGTAACTGATGCTCAGCAGATGAGTTCTCGGCACGCAGCGCCGATGAGTTGAGCTTAGCCAAAGGCGATCGAATCGAGTTGATCGAGCGCGATGATGACTTCGGCGACGGCTGGTTCCTTGGGAGGCACTTGAGCAATGGCAACACTGGGCTCTTTCCGGAGTGTAAGTTTGGCGGGACACAGGACGCGGTGCAGAGCTTAACCAAATCCCTTCGCAGCATACACTCAACCGGCTCCGCGACCGCCCACGAACTCAAATCTTTTCCACCGCCCTAAGCCCCAGAACCCCGTGCAGCCCGCACCAACCTCAATCGAAACTCAGGCTGCAAGTCAAGATCGCACCGCTTATCCTGCACCTCTCGTCGAGCAACGATCTCTGTCGTCGCAGAGACCGAGTGAGCCATCGCTTCCGCCTTCGCAAGTCGAAAGCTACCCCACAGCGGCCGCGAGCGCAGCAGCACCATCGTATTTCGCAGCCACTCCACCTGCCATGGCTGCAGGCCTCAGATCTTCGGTCGCGTCGACCGCGCCCCGCGCCCTCAGCCTCACAATAGGTGGCTCAGAGAGCAGTCCAGTCATGAACGAAACCCTCAGCGTGATCAACGAACACATCACAGACATGCATACACCGCGTCACAGCTTGATCGGGGGAGATCGACGAGGCACGAATGACTCTGGGAGCGATTACAGCAGCGGGAACCGACTTTCACGCATCGCCGGCCATGAAACGGACGAGGAAGAGCAAAATCTGCATACCGAGGAGGAAGTGCTGTCGTGGACGCCTGCTCGCGTTGCGGAATATTTGGAGGACGTAGGCGTCGAGCGAAAGCATTGCGAGGTGTTCTTGGACCAGGAGATCTCTGGGGAGGTCTTACTCGCAATGGACCAATCCTCGATCTTTCTCAAGGAGTTCGACCTAGGACCCGTAGGGCGAAGGCTAAGAACGTGGCACAAGATAAAAGCGTTGCAGACCGAGGTTAAGAGTGTTCCTCGTGGTCCTCCGAGCATGTCGGACTATTCTGCTACGGAAGAACCGATCAATGATGCCGCGCGTAACCGAAGTACCTCGACAAGCGCGGTCTTGCCTCGCATACCCAGTCTTATGGAGAGTTCGAACGCGAGAGGTACAAGCCGGCAGAGCGCACAAAGGAACAGTTCTCAGCCGCAACCCGTACATTCAGAGTACGCCCCTTCATGGTCGAGCACCTCTCATGCGCCTGGTGTGGAGGATCCCAAGCGCCCGTCAGCTGCGTCAGTTCGCGATCTCAACCACAGTCGCAGACATTCATCCATTGATCACGCAGCAAGCCAAGAAACACCGAACTCAATCACTGGGATTCCCCAATCTGCCTCACCCGTCAGAACTTCCCACACGAAGCATCCCTCGTTTGATCGAAATTGGACTATGGGTAACATCCTGAAACCATTGATAAATGGCAGACCTACATCATCCTCGCACATGTATTCGCTCAGCTCGGATGACAAGCGGCGAGAACCGTCCGCTGGGGAACATGGTATGAGTACAGTCACTCCGCAAGAACTTGACCGTGGCTACTTCTCTGGACCTGAGAACGACCATCGCGGCACCCGCAACAAACTACGCAAGGGGAGCTGGGACCACTCCCGCAAGTCGAGTCTGACCGCGGACAACAGGCGGCGAAGCTCTACGCTCAACACACACAGTAAAGTAGGCGGTACTGAGTCCGTCCGCGACAGTATTGCTTCCATAACATCCCCGGCTGCTCAAACTTACTATGGCACGAACCATCGCAAGAGTCAGCGCGCGTCAAGCGGTCCGGAATTCAGCAAGCAGATGAAGGTGTACAAGGACCTTCCACCTACAGTCACTAAACTGGACTACAACCACTCGCCCAGTATCGACGCCGTTGCGGCTTCGCCAAACTTAGGGGGAAGCGATACTTCATCGATTGGCCGAGCCTCGCCTTCACCCGGGCTTGCAAGTCAGACTTTCTTTGCGAAGAAGAAAGCGATGGGGCTTCGAGCGATCTCAGATGCGATCACCGGAAACGAAAAGGCATTCGCTACTTCGCCTGATGTCGTTACCCTCATACCGTCGCCCGTCAAAGAATCGCCACTCCAGTCTCCCTCACGGACCGGCTCAAGCACCCCGTCTGCAACCTCCAAAAGCATTGATCTTGAGAATGTCGACCCTTCAAAGAGCGCCGATGGCAGTTCCGGCGGCCTAACGCCGACCCTAGGGACCGCTCGCCGGAAGACCAAAAAGACGACTAGCGCGTATACCCGCGGGCTGCAGAAAAAGAGTCCACAGGAGCAGATGGTGGGCTGCGACTACAGCGGCTGGATGAAGAAAAGATCGTCGAACCTCATGACCACGTGGAAGACGCGACTGTTCGTGCTCCGGGGCCGACGGCTTTCGTACTACTACTCCGAAACCGACACGGAAGAGAAGGGCCTAATCGACATCTCCTCTCACCGCGTGCTCCCCGCAAACAACGAGCGCATAACCGGCTTCCACGCCACCCTAACCGGCGCAACCTCGTCCCCGACCTCACCCCACAACACCTCTCTCTCGACCACGGCCGCAGCCGACGCCGCCGCGGCCGCGACCGCGAACCCCGGCACGAACGTCGCGACGGGCATGTTCATCTTCAAGCTGGTCCCGCCCCGCAGCGGCCTCTCCAAAGCGGTCAACTTCACGAAGCCGACCGTGCACTACTTCGCCGTCGAGAACGTGCACCAGGGCCGTCTGTGGATGGCGGCGCTCATGAAGGCGACGATCGATCGAGACGAGACCAAGGAGGTTATCAGCACGTACCAGCAGAAGACGATTTCGTTGGCGAAGGCGAGGGCGCAGCATCAGCGGCCGCCGGCGCTCATGGAGACGGATGATGAGGCGAAAAAGGAGAAGAGTGGAGGGAAGGGGCTGGGGCTGTTGGGCTTGGATGATGCGAAGTTGGATCCGGGGGGTGGGGGGGTGGATGATGAGGAGAAGAAGGAGGAGGGGAGCTTCGATGCGTCAAGCGTGGCGTTGCCGGGGTCTGGGCCGGGCTCGTTCGATGATGGGGGTGAGCGGAAGACTGGTGTGGCGTGATTCGCCATTACTGGAGTCGTTCGCATCACCCTCGCTCTGACTCAATCGTTATTTGGCTGATTGGACGAGAGAGTATCGCACAAAGCGTCGCGGAATTTTGTTTCCAGGCTTCGTGCATCAATCCGGTCGTGTTCGCCAACGTCTATGCCGGCTCTTGGGATACAGTGGGACATGGCAGTGTGAGTCCCTGTCCACGAATCCCATGCCATAGTACTCCAGAGTTCCTCATTCTGTGAAGTTACCGAGGGGCGTTTAGTGGACGGGACTGTTCTTGGTTCAAAAAGCCTCATCTCCTTTTGAAAAAGTCAGCCCGGCGCGGATGTCTGATCTACTTGCTTCCAATCTACTTACCGCACATATCACGCATCTCTGTATATTATCTTGCGAGGACCGAAGGGAACAGATGTGAAAAATATCTGCAATCTGACAGGCCAAGAGGGTCAGAAGAGAATCTGGACTTCTCTTATCATGGCCGCTGCTCAGATGCACAAGTGGACTCTTGGTCTATGATCATTGACTGCGTACCCCTTGAGATACCTCAGAGTGGCCGCCTTAATGTGCCTTGACTATCTCACCATGTAACGCCGACGTTTTGGAATCTGTACGAGTGAGAATTCTAAGAGTTACTACTCGAGACATCTAACGTGGTGTGCGCTGAATAACTGCGGCATGGTTGGAAGGTTTTGCTCGCCTGCGGCGTCAACCGCTTGTACCTTCTGCGCATACCGCGATACCCACTCGCTGCATCTAAATCCGCAGTGGGCTCAGATGTCTTCCCCTGTCCATTTTTTTCGTACGTGTTTGCTCTCTGATTACAGGACTTCCCTCTGCCTCACATGCTAGGTCAAATCTCTAGCGTCCTTTAGTTTGGACGTCGTTGGTCGTATGCAACGTGAAAACAAGGTCTGGTAAAGAATGCGTGATCTTGTGAAAAGCGATGTTCAGAGAAGAAAACGAGACGTGCGCTCTTAATTCTTACCTTTTCGATCGCATCAGGGCAGTCTTTTGAGCTTGAAAGCAGTGCTGTATGAGACAGATTTCTCTGGCCTGTTGACAGGGTATTGTGGCTTCCTCGTCACGTGGCGAGAGGGCGGCCATGGTACACGTAGCGCCCTGTATCCCGGCGAAGACTGCTACGGCCTGTAGATGTTAAGGGGAAGACAAGCTAGCTTCAAGACGTATTACGCAGTGTTACAAGGCCGGGAAAACGGAATGTCTAGTGATGAAGTATGTGCAAGTAGTACAGGTATCCAGTTCCGCGTAATGAGCATCTCCATCCTCTCACCTCACGACCCTCACCCGTACTGTCCGCCTGCCTGTTTTTCAACCCTAGCCCACCACACATCCTACACCCACCATGTCTGCCTCACGCCCAACCGCAACCTCACCCTGTCCCCGTTTGAGTCCATCAGACGTCCTTATGATGCACCTGCGCATCCGGCGCCGGAGCGCTGGTCCTGTAGCCAACGACCTTCATCCTGCCGAGCATCTCGCCAATAGAGAAGAACCCAATACACTCAGCAGCGACCACGCCTGCGGCCGCCATGTCCTGTCCGCTAACGTTGCGCATCCGGCTGAGTATGTTTGTGGGCTGCGCCGCGCTGGAGGTGGCGGTCTGCGAGAACAACGAGGCGGGATGTCTGAGGGCGTTGATCATGGGTTGCATGTATGACTGGAAGGCGGACATGGATCTGATGGGCAGATAGTGGTCAGTTGAATTGCTGCGGTGGTCTTGTAGAGACGGGAGATGGGGCACGGAGGGGGCTGGGGGAGCTTACGGTGGGCTCATTTTGCGGGCTTCGAAGACCATCTTTGCGAGCTCGAGGCCGACTCTGCCGTAGTACATCGTCGGTGGTATCAATGCTGCGATGGGTTACAGTCAGCTCTGTTGCGGTTTGTGACGAGTGCCGGGGGTGACACGGGGTACGAAGCCGCAAGACTACCGCCAGATCGCAACCACACGTAGCAATTGAGACCTCACACGACACGCCGTTGCTCGCCACAGAGCTCCGGTACGTTACGAGAGCTCTACCAAAGCGGTTGCCAAAGCGATTGATGCTGTCCCAAGCTTATCTGCTCGATTACTCACATTGCACGAAGCCAATCATCCTCCCAGTCCTGCCACCTATGCTGGACACGGCGCCTCCAAGCCTACTGACCATGCCGCCAGCGCTCGAAGACACCCTCGTCAGGCCCTCGGACGCCTTGGACGTGGCCTGCGAGGTCTTCGGCTTGATCGAGCCGGTCGCGTCGGGAATAGTAGATGCATTGCGGAGGCCTGCGCGGCGGGCGGCGAATGGCGAGTGCCGGAGCACCGCGCGCGATGCTGCGAAAGACATTGTGAAGACTGGAGCGGAGGGGAGATGTCGGCGTCGACTGTGAGCTCTCTCCCGGTTGATGCTGGTCGTGGTGGAGGTCCTGGTCGTCCTGGTCGTCCGAGCTCGCAGTTTTGCTCCGGGACTTGGACATCTTGGCGGCCGCTGCTGGAAGAACAAGAACAGCTGGGCCCGACATGTCACCGAGGAGCAATGCATCATATCACAATACACGGAAGAGGACTCTCAGAGTCTGTTTTAGGGGTTGATACAGACACTTGCTACACGCTGTCCGTCTCTGATGTGACTAAGGACGATCATCGCAGTTGTAGCTGAGTATTGCAGTACTATCCAGATCCAGGAGGCAGCTCAGCATCGGCAACCCTCACTTCATGGTGACAATCTCTTCCGCGCTCGTAGGGTGTATAGCTACGCAGCTGTCAAAATCCTTCTTGGTCGCTCCCATCTTCATGGCCACGCCGAATCCCTGCAGTATCTCGACGCTGCCCTCTCCCAAGATGTGCAATCCAACAACCTTCTCCTCTGGCCCGGCACAAACGATCTTGTACCTGTACAGTGGTTAGCGCCCAGTAGGGCAGCCCCTCGAGGTTCTCTTAGACTCACTCTGTAGGATGCTTTGCTTTCTCTTCCGGAGGGAAGATATCGAAGAACATCGAAGCGAACTTCGTGTGATAAACCTTGACACTATCCCTGCCGAACTTGCCAACAGCTTCTGGTTCTGTCAGACCGATGGTGCCCACTTCCGGATGCCCGAAGACGACAGTGGGTACATTACTGTACTCTAGCTTCGACGCCTTCAAATGTGGCGGACCGAAAAGGCGATTCCCAAGCTGGCGACCTGCAGCGATGGCGACTGGCGTCAGTTCCATCTGTCCAGTGACATCGCCGAGCGCGTAGATGCCGTCGACACTGGTATTTTGGAAGTCATCCACCTCGATGTGACCAGTCTGTGTGAGATTGACACCGGCGCTTGCAAGGTCCAAGTCCTGGACTTCGGGTACCCGACCAATGGCCCAGAGAAGTTCGTCGAAGTGGAACTCCTCGTCGTCGACAGTGGTAAGCTTCAATCTTTTCTCCGGTACTGGAGGTTCGCATTGCTTCTCGCGGATGTCGCCGTTGGGCAGTCCTCTCCTAGCGTTGTCAAGCCGCTCAACTTTTTTCACGCCGTTGAAGTTTCTGTGAATGACAACTCCGGCATCTTCGTATCGCTTCGTCAAGGTCTTTTGAATCATTGGGTCGAACTTCCGCAGGAAAGTTTCCCCTCTGATGAACATGTGAACCTCAACTCCCATTGCATTCAGCACACCTGCGAGCTCGACTGCGATGTATCCTGCGCCAACAACCGCGATGTTTCGCGGAAGATGCTCGATGTCGAAGAACCCATCACTGGTAATGCCGTGGTGCGAGCCTTCAATGTCTTTCGGCACGACAGGGTAACCGCCCGTCGCTATGAGTATATGGGGTGCCGTGAACCTGGACTTCCCACTCCCGTCTTGCAACTCCACTTCCAGCTCCTTTGATCCCTTGAAGGTGGCCGTGCCGCGGACAAGCTCGATACCTTCTCGATTCCAATTGGTTTCGTATCCGGCGCTAGTTTTGCGAATCTGCGCATCTCGCTTGCGCTTGAATTCATCAAAGTGGAACGGGATGTCCTTTGGGATATCGTAGCCGTATGTAACCCCATTATGCAGCATCTCATTCACGGACGCAAAAAACCATGTCATCTTCTTCGGGACACAGCTGCCTCAAGACTCAGCATTGACCAAGATGCCATTCGAGGATGGCCATACCCGACGTTGACGCAGCAGCCCCCTGAAGGTCCATTTTCGATGAGTAGCGTCTTCGCGCCGTACCAGCCGGCCGCACGACGTGCAGCCCCACTGCCTCCGCTGCCGCCTCCGATGACGATGTAGTCGTATGCCTTTGCAGCTGAGCTCATTTTGAATCTGCACTGCTGGTAACTGCCCGCCACGAGACTTATCCACGGGCAGCTTTTGTTCCTGATCAGACGGAGATTAAACGCTGGTGGTAGTCGTGTCAGGATTTGTGCGTAGAGTGGCATCGCGCAATGTGGCGCTTAGCTCTTTATATATTCACATTATAAATACAAAACAAGCCAGTGAGGTGGCCTGCGCGTGTTATGCCTCGGTGTTGCGATGCTGACGGGCTTGCTGACGGTGCAGTTGCAGATGCGCGAGCCAAGGCTTGGCAGCAGCATCATACGAGAGTTGGCGTATCAACCTGGGTACTTTGTCTTTGCTGACAACTGATGGTATTCTGTTAAAGAATGTAACGACATATCGAGAGGGATCACGCTCGTCCGTGCAACGAATGAAGCGAGACGTTTTGTGATCAGAATCTTTATCGTTTGGAAAACCCGTTTGCCTAATCTGAACGAATAGAATACTCTGGTTTGACGCAGCATGGATGATTGCCAAGCAGACAGAGAGAGAGAATTTGGCACAATTCACGGAGTCGGGTCTGTGAGAAGGCTGCCTTAGGATTCAACAGCATGATGAACTAGCTCGAAACGTAGATGACATGATAGGAACGCTGGTAATGCGACTGTAACTCCCCTAGATGTTCTTGGGGTCTCAAGTGATATTGGCATGCAAGTTTCAGGCCTATAATATATTTCCGGAACCTAAAATGCCATTCTGTTCGTCCTATGCCGGTAGAATCAGATTTGAATAAGGGCCTTCGGGAAATAAACGAGGTACTCACGCAGATGACTAATGCGCCGCTTTCTTGTTCTCCAATCTGCCTAGTAACTCTTGGAGACGTATCTGTGGGCTCAGATATTGCTTTTACCGCTGCTCATTGATCAACGATGGACTGAGCAACCATCGACAATCGATGATCGCGAGGAAGTATCCGTCCAGCATTCGTGTGACAGCTTCTCTATTCCTATTCATGGTCGAGTGGCTTCGTATCTTGTTGCGCATGATGACTGTTGACAGTGCAGGAGAGTGTTCCGGTCCGTGGACAAATTGCAGGAGTCAACTTCGACGGGTGTCTTACCGTTGATGCTCTGTCAGCGCTACTTGGTTATTAGAAGGGCGCCGGCGCCCGCTGGGTGCAGTCGATGTCTGTATGTCTTGGGTAGACACGTCGAAGCTCGGACTTCAGGGTCCGCTACTTGATTATTCGGCGGGATTGCACAACGGGATCGGGAACACCACCTGATACTCCGGCAATGAATGACGATTGATGCGAGTAAATACAAATGGTACAGTACCTACAGCACTTTCATCCAAGTGCTCCACCAAGATTACGGAGGCGTCCTTTGGGCTACAGCGCTTCAATACGATGATGACCTCTGCCGGCCTTGGGCACCTCCCTTTGAGAATTTTTCTCTGCGGCGGAAGAAGTCCATCCTGGATGACGGTCCCGTTCCGGCCCTTGAGCGGATCGGGCCGTTAGTGAGGGTTCTAGTCTGGCCGCTGGGAGGAGGCCCCTGAGATACTTTGAGAAAGCTATTGTTGAGGTGACAACAGCTGAACACGATAAAATATCAGAATTACGTGGCTTTTTATGATGTTTCTCCAGGTAGATGTACCTGTATGCGAGGCGAACCGATCTCTTACGGCGTACCAGACCATTGGCTCCCTCCTCCCCTGTCTGGATTGACGGGACACAGGCCGCCATCAAAGCAGTAGCCGCGTCTCGGGAGCGCCGATGCGACTTGAGTAGTGCTGCGGCGGGACAATGCGCAGAGGATGGTGAATTGCCGGGCTTCGAACCGCGTCCAGCTAACTTGAACCCAGCTCAAGCCTTGTTCACATGCTCAATCCCCGGGTTGCTGCTCTACGGCCCCTGCGAGACCGTCCCTGCAGCGATTCCTCGCAAGCGAGCTCGGAGAAGGCTGCTTGTTGTTTTTTCTGTGCGGACGATCTCAGTTTTGCGAACCGATGCGGTGCCGGTACAGGTTGCTGCTCAGAAGGCCGCAGGTCGTTCTAGACCAACTGAATATCGCCTCTGCGATGGCATTAGCAACACAGCACTAACCGGAGCTCGACGCGAACGTCAAGAAGTGAGTGTCCGTAGAGTTGTTGATTGAGTCGCGCTGATGTTCGCTGTATGAGACTCGCACAAAGACGGGAAACCAGGCATTCGACCCAAGCCTCCGATGGTTTCATGATATGCATCGCTCTCCGACCGCGACATACAGTCCTTGAACATTCCCGAGCATGCTCATCGAACGATCCCAGGCAATCTTCAACCCTTTCAAGAGGTGTCCGGGTCAAAATAGGCTCTTAAGCTTTGGGATCGCACAAGTTATCTCTCTGAAGACCGGACGCTTGCAATAAAGAAGTAGACCAACTCGAGGTTATACGATACTAGATGCGACGTGTTGCTACGGAGCTAGCTTGTTGTGAAAGTGGTCTGCTAGAGATACGAACTTGCTTCCTAGTACGTGGAAGAGCTACGACAGCAGCGTGCAGATTACCGGAAAACTCGGATGCAGATGCTGGCTCATGGTCATGAGCGTCCACACGGTTCTACGGCGGGAATTATATTGCTTGAGGGAAGACCACGTTATGGCCCCAGGAGGGGCACCACAATCTGATGGCGCCGCGCCATATAGTCCGGCTGCGAGAACAATATACGTGCTGGGTTCCGCTCAAGGGCGAGGTTTGTGTACATTCATCAGCGTGTAGCTTCATGTCCACATCTTTAGTCTTGCTGCATTGCTTGACGCGGCACCCTTCGTCTGCTTTGTTCGCCACATTCCAGACGGTCTTCGTATATTGTATGAGTCTCCATGCTGATGCTGCACAGTTGCCGCGAAGAATTTTAGCTCGCAATGATGCTGCGGTTGACTCATACTGTTGTCCACACAAGGTCTTCAGTATTATCCTTAGCTACCTGGCCGCTACAACAGTCGGTACTTCCAGTCTGATGGACGTTTCGTGTGTCGGCCCGACAGCAGCTTACAAAAGCAAATACACGAAGAACGTTTACTTTCCGCCGCGTCTGCGCGAGACCGACGTGTCGTCCGTGCCTTCTGAAGTACGCAATGAGGTTTGTCGAGAGACTTGTACTGGCTTCGCGTTCACAGCGGTCGCGGTACTTTACGAGGGGAATACAAGTTTATATGCGAGTCACGGAGAAAAGGCCGACCCTCTCGTCATCGCTCGGCCACGTGTGACCCTAAGAAGCTGCCTGGTCGCTGTTCGGGCATCCACGCACTACAACCCCCCCGCAGTTGCCTCCATTGTACTTACGCCTCCTAGAATATCGGCTCTGCCGTGGCTGGTTGCTTCGCTTCGTCCATCCATCTACAGGGCATGCACACCTCTCCGCCACATCCCATTCGGGATCACCCGCAAGATCCGAAATGAGGTCAAGAGTCGATCGTTCCTTGCAGCATGCGTAATGCCAGTCATCCTACCCAACGCAATGGGACGAATCGACTGTTGGAGGTCGCGGCTGCAGGAGTCAGCGAATGACTGGCCGGACTTAGATATTTCGATATATGTATATAATCTCCAGGCTTGGTTTCCATCTGCGCTTCAGTCCCGTCCTTTAGTCGTGCTACTTCGAGCGTAAGATTACATAAGCCTCTGATAACATGACTGAGGTACCTCTGCTGCAAGATGCGTGCCTCAGAGGCACGTTAAACACACGGTACTGTCGGTCGGGGTTGTATGCCAATGCCGCTAATGTTACCGACGCTGGAGCGAGCGGAACATGGTGGCGTCCAACAGAAATAATCCGTGATATGCCGGCCTGCGAGCCTGCTGCACAGCTGCACAGCTGCATGGGAGACCTCGTCGCAGGTGCGGTCTTCAGTCGGGGTTTGACTCCCGCTGCAGTCTGCCTATCACAGTTGCATACATGCATCGGAACGGGGGAAGAGTTACACGCGGTCGATCCTTACAGATGCTCCGGGTCCATGCGGTTTACTGGGTATCATGTTGCTGACCTGCTACTCGTTGTTGACCTGGCGTGGAGGGACACGACGTGCGTAGTCTCCGTTCTACCAAACGTTATGCCGAGTCGCAAAAGGAAGGTCAGTGAGAATGGCGACATCCTTCGCGACCACCAGCGGCAGGACAACCCACCGCGGCACTCGTCAGCACGAGCCTGAGATCTTGTTTGCTGCCGAGAGACGGGTTTGGTGGATAGATCGGCGTTGCCAGAATGCAGGTAGGACTGGTTGAACCGTCGTTGGTCACGCGTTTGCTGCACATCAAGCGAGGTGACCACTGGTTCTGAGGTCGAACACTACTGCGTGCATTATTGACGGCGGTTGCCGGGAATAGGGATCCTCCAACGCTGCAGGCGATGCTCGGAGCTCAGCACTTGACGTACGATCTAAGATCTATGGGCGAGGTGGTGTCCGGCACTTGGAAGCTCCAGGCCATCGTGAGGATACTATGATGGTTCGGCAGCCAGGCGACGACGTTGAGCCGCTCGACATAGTGCGCATCCTTCAGTGCTCACGAGCCCTCCTTTACGCCGGTCTGTCCTTTGCAAGAGAGACCCACCATCCGCACTGAGGCGCAAGGGCTCCGGAGTAGCCACAAATACAGGCCCATGTCCAGCGCCGGCCGGTGGTTCGCCGTTGATACAGGGTCTTAGCCGACAGCTTAGTTGATGCCTGCCCTGTAAACTACTTGTCTCGATCACGCCAGCTCGGCCGGGGTGGGTGCCTCTTACCATTTTCAAAGAAGAGTGCAGAACTGGTGGAGACGTTCCGGCGTCTTCGGTTTGCAGCGCCGGCGGATTGCTGGACGAACTGCAGATGGGGCTAGACATTGCTCGTGCTCCCCGAGGGTTACCAAATCAACCAACAGCCGCGCTTTTACGGACCATCATATGATAGCCAAATGTCAATGTCTCAGACAGCGGTTGCCAATCGCTACTGTCCGTATTATGAAGCTCAGAAACATGGAAACGAAAAGCGCTTAGGGCTAGCCCGAGGTCCGCTGCCCGTCCGATTCTGGGGACACTGGATGGGCTGGGGACGAGGGCCATAGGCTGACCGAAATGGGCAGGCGGGATCCTTGGCGCCTATCAGTTCAGCTATCCCGCAAAAAGGCTCGCGCGGTCCCAGCGATGCGAGCTCGAGGCGTTTGACCTCATGGTGCACCCTCTTGCTATGCCAAACTCTGCTAACAGCACGCTGCTGCGTCAATCTGAAATTTCAGTGCATATGGTACCCGGCACGATGTGGCTTTGGTATATAGCACCAGACGCTCCCGCCGGAGCCCTTTCTTTTCGGCCACCCAAAGTGCTCTTTAAGCAGCGATTGCGAATATGATATTCCTTTCATTTCTTTCGTTTGGTTGGGGGTGGTACATAGAGCATCTGTGGGCCGTGTTCGTGTTCCTGTTGTATGTTTGAAATTCCTCGTCCCAATGCTTTCCGTACTCCCTCCACCGGGTGCTTGCAGCCGTGAACAAGACTGATATAGGAGCAGTTTCTATCGTTTCACACGGCATTACATCAATCTATATGCATTCTGGAAACTTAAGCCGATACCGATCCCGGACAACCCGTCATATACATCGAAGGATGTTACCGCGATTATTCCAACTATTAACGGAGACGGCCATGACTTACGGCAAACAATTCGCACCGTTCTGCTTAACGATCCTTCCGAGATTATTATTTCGACCATCGATGCCAGCCATGAGCGGGCGAAGAAGATGGTCGCAGCAATTGGCTGCAAGAAGATTAAAATAGTCACGGTACCGCAAGCGAACAAGCGCCGGCAGCTGTGTCGTGCGATCCCAGAAGTAACTACAAAGATCACTCTTTTGGTTGATGACGACGTGATCTGGCCGGAGACACTGCTACCGTGGATCTTGGCGCCATTCGAGAACTCGAAAGTTGGTGGTGTCGGGACATGTCAGCGCCTGCTGCGAGAGGAAACTACGAACATGTGGAATTTCTTGGGCGCCATCTATCTGGAGAGACGAAACTTCGACTGCGGATCCTGCACGTTCATGGACGGCGGTCTTCCGTGTCTCTCTGGCCGGACAGTCGCGTACCGCACGCATATCCTCCAGGACTCGGACTTTACCTACGGCTTCACGCACGAGACATGGAGAGGCTGCCTTCTGAACGCAGACGATGATAATTTTATCACGAGGTGGATGGTCAACAAAGGCTGGAATACCTACATCCAGTACCACCGAGAGTGCGAAGTGCTCACTACCTTGGAGAGCGGGTCCCGTTATCTCAGGCAGTGCCAGCGTTGGGCGCGTAGTAACTGGCGGAGCAACTTACGGAGCATGCTGTTGGAGGGCAGTGTTTGGATGTAAGTACCCCTCCAGTTCGGGCACCTCGCGTCGGTGCCAAGCACCCCTCAACAACTACACCCAGATCGCTCACAGGCCTGAACACTAGACGACATCCATGGAGCTCTTACGCAGTCTTCCAAACGACGTTAACGGCCGGTGCAATCTATGATCTGTTCATGTTCTTCAGCCTCGGACTAGCCTCGGCCGACTCGGAATGGTCGCCGTATTGGGCGCTAATCATGACCAGCCTCGCTGTGTTTTGGGTCTTTACGAAGATCTCGAAAGTGTCCGGTCACTACCTCCGATATCCCTCTGACATCTGCTACGTCCCTCTGCAAATTGCGTTCGGCATCTTTCACACCTTTTGCATTAAGATTCCAGCGTTCTGCACCATGAATGAGGTAAGCGGCCCTTTTCTACCTTGGTTCGCAACTATTTGTTCCACTGTTCTCGGCCGCCACCGTTCCCGATACCCCGCACACCTCTCGCATCTCTTGAAGCTAACCACTTTGCCTTTATCAGACGACATGGGGAAGCAGAGAAGGCGCGGATACGGACAACGCGTACAGACTGCAGCGGCTACCACCTCGTACCAACGATGCTCGTCGTTTATCAGAAAAGTGATTCTTGTGTTTCCCTATGTTGCTTCGTCGTATGCTACTACGTTTTTGCGAATTTGCTTGTCTCAGAGACAGACCGCACGATACCCTCATATGACGAATTTGCTTCCGATCCCGAGCCGCGCAGGCACGGAAAAGTTACATTCATCTGTTGTTGCAGCGCATAGAGCGCTGGCCGGCGACAAAAGTTGTTGAGGGCAAAGCGACGGCGTTTCGGGGGCGAGCCTTTGGTAGCATTTCCTGTATCGGGGTCCGCTGGCGTTGAGAAAGACTGCATCTTCACATGTACTTTACGCGGCACACGTCCGCCTAGTAAGTTAATGAACGGCCTGTCTCTGCATGTTTCACTTCGATCCGGCATCGGATCGGCGCGACTAGGTACAGCTCCAGTGCTGACGCGTTGCGAACGGGTTGGCCGCCAACGCACCGGTAGCGCGATGTGGTGGTGGGGATCTTAGTCTGGGACGGTGGCTGTTCGAGACGGCTGCATCCCTGGCCATCGAGAACCGTCACCCTTGGCACAAGCCACTTGCACAGAACGTGGAAGCGTCTCTGAGGAGCGATATCTCGAGGACACCCTTCTCGTGCAGCACGAAGCTGGAGCGTAGGTTCTTCCGCTGCCGGTGCTGCTCGCCTAGACAGGACCCAAAGGTCCACTGTTGCTGCATCGGTTACGAACTGCAATATTCAGCACAAGCTTCGCCTGGAGCAACACACATTGCAGCCAGCCGGCTGGTCCTTGCTTTGGCCGGAGCTAAGAGCAGCGGGACGTTGGAGGCGCTGTGTGTGAAGAAGCACTGGTGCGAATGTGCTCCCTTTAGCCGTGCCCTGTCCTTACTAGGGCTCACTGGGGATGTGGAGGCCAGATAATGGACGCCATCGAGTTCGGAGACGAGGGCTTGAGGCCGCGCGAGGTCCCGCTCGTGCGGCCTGCAGCGAAGGTGGAGAGACACGAGTGAACTACACTACTCCACTCGCAGCGAGTCTTTCGGCATCGATTATCCAATCTGCAGCCAGTCGGCGTACGGCCGGTAGCTTGGAGCGAAGTCTAGATTGATTCAAAGTTCGGTACCGTTTCAATCTCACACTGACGAGTTACACGCCATCCGCTGGCTGACGCGGTTGTAGTCAATTTAGCCGCCAAAATAAGGGTTCTGGCCATGACTCGGGGAGAGGTGAAGCCTGCCTGCAACGGAACCCCCGATTCTCCACAATGCTCGTCATTTCCGGCGCCCCGTCCCGTCTCGAGCCTTTTCTCGCATTGCGCGCGTATCATGTTCGGCGGCCGGGAGCGGAACGGGGGAGGGAACTTGTGTCGATGTGTGCGACAGCCGAACCTTGAATTCTGCCCTGTTACTTGTTCTGCACTAGATCTCCCCTCAACCAGCGAGGCTAGTCTAGTATCCCGTCAATTTCACCTGGTACTCGAACGACAGATCAGCAGGGAAGAGCATGGGACATTGCAGGGCGCTACAGCAAGCTTCCAGCTTTCGATTATGCAGCCTGTGTCCAACTAGAAGCCAGAAGACTACCCTCTCAGAGCTCCCATAGAGATGCGGGAGAAAATCTAGAAAGGCAGGTCAGTAGCTGGTAGAATTTTCTTGCTGGGTCAGTCAATGCTCGCTGAGGCTACTAGAGCAAATTGATGAGCTTGTCACCACTTGCTTTCCAGCAAGGGTAATAAAATCTCCGTCGCCCCGGGTATTCCCACCGTCTATCCCGCATCCATCCGAAAGCGATATCATTCTTTCTATGAGTACTCTACTCCTTGAGTCTCGAGTCTGGTATTACATCAAGGATTCAATTCTTTTCTTTCCATCCGTCGAACACGTTCTAGCAGGAAGTATTAAAACTCCCTCGACCCGCTTAGTATTCCGCTCCCCTCCATCAGCTGCAACCTTACGGCGAAGTTCGCCCCTGTGCCTGGCAACAAGGCTCTGGTGAGAGTGCTGATCCGGATCTCTGCTTCAAAAGCTTGTCTTCTCGGTATCCCCTGTGCGTGCATTGCATGAACTGCATCACTAGCGCTGTTCTTCGTCCTCAATTGTCCGGTTATCAGTGTCCTCCCCTTGGCAAGCGCCATTCACATGCCACAACAAAAAGTTTTCCACGGTTGTACTGCGGGGCTTTGGATGTTTTACCGGGCGTCAACAACAATACCGATGCATACAGGACTGTTTGCTATCTTTATGCAGAGATACAATGCATTCGGAGGACAAGCGTTCATCCACAGCATCCGAATCCTGTGGAGGCCATTACACTAGCTACAAAGCCGTTGGACTTGTCCTTAGCCGCTGCTACAAGGATTCAAGCTCGGGTAACGTCTTCTCCACAGCCTCCAATGCCTCCATCACATGTTTCCAGTTCTCCCATTCGGTCTCACCACCAGGAAGTCCTCCACTCAGTGGCAGTCTGCCGCCGTCCTTGTCCCCGAAACCGAGTACGCGACTCACAGCTTCCTTGACCCCGATTGTACCCCATTTTACAACGAGCTTCTCGCCCCCAGAAATCTTGTACTGAAGCTCCCTCATCTTCTCGAGCTGAGCAAACGACTGGTCTTCCTGGAAGAGATTGTATAGCCGTACTACAGTCTTTGGAAAGATTGCTGCGAGACCGTCAATAGCCCCGGCTCCTCCTAAGGTTAACACTGGTAACAGCTGCTGGCCTAGACCAGTGAACGTGCGGAACTGGCTGTGATCAATGTTCGGAGACAGCGCGATGAGGCCATGGTCTGCCACGTCGCCATGGGAGAGTTTGCAGCCTACGATGTTCGGATGACTGGCGAGTTTCTCCATAGTGCTGGGTGTGATGACGATATTGTTCGAGACGCCAGGGTAGTGGTATCTTTACTGCGTTTCAGCAAGGCACTCAAACTGGCGTTTCCTTCCGCTACATTCGAATATCGCTCGTACTCACACTAGAATAGGAATTGGACTTCTGTCTGCCACAGCCGTAAACCAGTCGACTATCCCTTGCTGACTCACAGCACTCGCAAAGTACCCTGGCGCAAGGCACATTCCCCACTGCGACCCTGCGTCTTTTGCGTCCTCCAAATGCTGTACAGTCTCCACTATGCTCTGCGCCGCAGTACCAGCAAGAATGGGATAGCCCTTGAATCCAGCCTTCTCGAGCTCCTCCCGTACGCCTTTCAGCACCTGCGTCCGCTCAGCGGACGTTAGATGGACGGCTTCGCCGGTCGATCCGAGGATTACTAGGCCGCGGATGCCGCTGCGCGCGAGGTGCAAAGCGTGTTTCGCTTGCGTGGAGATGTCCACGGCTGGTGTGACTGGGTCGTAGTTGGATGCGGACTTGGAGACGAAGAAGGTGGGTACCTGTTGGAGCAATCAGCTATCTGGACATACAGTGGTCCTGCATTGAGTCTGAGAGGACTTACTGGGACATATATGCCCTTAGGAGGGATTGGGGCCATTGTGTGTTGCTAGAGTGTCAATCCAAAAGGTCAAACGGCTACAGCTTGAGATATGAGGTCGGATATAAACAATACGCTCACACGACTCAACGACGAGTCCAAATTTCTCAATATCAACATGGGTTCGCCTCAATTGCGGGCAGAACTCCGTAAGCTCGGCATACCGCATTTCATGCCATCGACTGCTCGCTGCATCATTACACCGACCCCACGTTTTACCCCTCCATCCCACTTTTGACCTGACAGGCACGACAGGTAACTCGACGACCCCTTGTTGATGGCGATGTGCAGCAGTTTCAAAAGCGTGGAAATGATCCTCACGCCTCCACACGACAGTACTATGCTCAACCACGCTCGCACAACACCTTCCTCCCATTGAGAATCGCGCAAGCTGAGCATCTTCACTATGCACCCCCGCCGCATCCTCGACGCCCACATTCACCTCTGGCCCGCCTCGGCCGCCAACCCCTCGTCCCACAGCTGGATGACACCAGGCGCGCACCTCGCGAAACAGTACTCCGTCTCGGACTACCTCTCCGCGAGCGCCAGCTCAGACGCCGTGGTCGAGGGTTTCGTGTACGTGGAGACGGACCGCCGCGTAGGCAGCGCTGGGGACGGGCAGTCGGAGCATCTGGAGGCGTGGGCGGAACCGCTGGATGAGCTGCGGTGGCTGAGGCGGATCGTGGAGGGTACGTCTGAGGAGGGCGCTGGCTTCACGGCAGAGCAGGGGAGGCTGATGAAGGGGATTGTGGCGTGGGCGCCGCTGGATAGGGGCCCGGATGTGTTTGAGGAGTATGTGGCTAAGGCGAGGGAGGTTGCAGGGGAGAAAACGTGGGGGAGGGTTAAGGGGTTCAGATTTCTGCTGCAAGGGATCAAGGATGAGGGGGCGCTGAGGAAACTGGTGCTGGGAGAGGGGTTCGTGGGAGCGATGAGGAGGTTTAGGGGAGAGGGGAGAGATTGGAGCTTCGATGTTGGTGTGGATATGAGACGAGCGGGTGTGTGGCAGCTCGAGCTTGCGGCTGAGATGATCGTAAAAGTTAACAGAGGGATGGAGAAGGATGGAGTACGGTTTATCCTGAGTAAGCTGATGAACAGCTTGTCTGCTCGCTTCGTGCGGTCCGTTGATCGTTGTACAGATCACCTGTGCAAGCCCAGCCTCGAGGACGACGTGGGCGATGACAACAGAGACTGGTATAGATGGTGTGCGGCTATCACACGCTTTGCGGGAATGCACAACGTGTACATGAAGCTCTCTGGGGGATTCTCAGAGATGGAGGACCAAGACCCCTCGCATCCAATGCCAGTGACTGAAGTGGTCACAAAGATGCGTCCGTGGCTAAATCACCTGTTCGCCCACTTTCCCACTAGCCGCATTGTAAGCTTCCTCGATACTCAAGCATGCTGTGCAACCGCTTACAGCTTCCAAGCTCTTCGGGTCCGACTGGCCTGTCTGTAACGTTCGCGGGCCGGGAGACGAGCTATCATGGAATCACTGGCGCGCGGTTGTGGAACAAGTATTGGAGGAGTACGGTCTATCGGAACGGGAGAAAGACCGCATATGGTATGGCACCGCAGTCGAGGCGTATAAGCTAGACACGTAGAGCTGAATGGCGGAGCTGGCATGGATTCCGTTTATTGAAGGTTAACAAATAGACCTCCGTCAACGAGGAGCTGTGCACCGTTCTGCGTACATTAGCTCCACATACAGACGATCCGCTTGGTATTGACACTTACCACGTATTTGGACAAGTCGCTCGCTAAGAAGACCGCGGGGCCAGCCAGATCATCCGGCACGCCCGTCCTCCCAAGCGGTATCCTCCCTTCCATATACTTCCGCTTCTGCTCATCCGCCAGATCCTTCTCATTCAGCTGCGTCCGAACAGTGCCCGGTAGCAGTGCATTGCACCTAATGTTGTACTTGCCCAGCGCACAAGCACAGGATTGCATCAGGCTCAGCAAGCCGGCTTTCGTGGGTGTATAGTGCGTCTGCTGTGCGCCGCCCACGAGAGCCGAGATGGAAGAGATCCCGATGATGGAGCCGCCGTGGCCTTGCTTGACCATCTGGCGCGCTGCAGCTTGCGTGGCGTAGAAGGCGCCATGGAGATTCGTAGAGACATGGAATTCGAAGAGGTCTTGTGTGATGCTGCATACGTATGAGCTTGATGCCCGCTGATGGTGTGATGGGCCATGCTGCTACTACCCTCAAACAAGAGATCCTGCGGATACTTACTCTAGAAACTCCGCAAACTGGCATATCCCAGCATTACTCACAAACACGTCCAACTTCCCGTACGCCTTCACCGTCTCATCCACCAGCCGTATAGCTGTCTCCTGCTTCGATATATCTCCAGGCACCGCAATCAGTTTCGCACCTTCGATAGCCTCTCGTTCCATGCTCTTGAATTGCTGCGCAGACTTCTCATCCTCGAAGTGATTGACCGATACACAAGCGCCTTGCTTAAGATACTCAAGGGCAATGGCTCGGCCTATACCAGTGACTCCTCCCGTAATGGCGGCTACTCGACCTGCGAGAAGGCCTGACATGCCGTTGATGAGGATTGGGCGAAGCAGCTAGGTGGTTGAGCACGTCAATGTAGGATTGAAGGCACCGTGGTCTCTCGGTCCTCCATTCATGCAACTTTTGTCTTCTGTTTACCCAAGCCGTCTGGACGTCATTCGCCAAGCGGATCTCTTCGCGACGTGATCCACCGAGCCCCTCGAATTGGGTGGGGTGTGGTCCAGGTTTGCACCGCGTTGATGAAGACATTTCACTTGTTGCAGCCGTGAGTTTTGCTGGGTGTGGAAAATGGGGGTTCAAGGGCTATTGAGTGCCGAAGGCGTGTCCATGCGGTTGAACGATAGAGATTGTGGCCTGACTTCCAAGGCCTCCATACATGCTGGTCGCCTGCCTCGGATCATTACGGAGCACTCGAATACAAACTTCAGTTGTTGAAAGATCAGTTGCGTCGGTAGGTCCGCTAATGTTCGTGATTACTTTTGTAGGCGAGAGTGCCCCCTTCAGACGTACTACAATGTCCAACACACACGTAATCAAAAGATCCTATTACCCACATTAAGGGACCTTGTCAACTTTCCAGAATGTACTCTGGCGCAAACTGATCCAACACATCTGCAATCCTACATCATCGACCTCCCTTTGTCGGTCTCACTGTCACAGTCAGCATATCCCTAGCCTCAGCAACACCCAGACATCAAGCACTCACCTCCTCCAGATCCGCAATCTTCAGCACCGCCTTTCCGAAGTTCTCACCCTTGAGCATACCCACGAACCCCTCTGCCGCATGATCAATGCCATCGGTAACGCTCATCTTGGCCTTGAAGCTGCCATCGGCGATCCACTTCTGCACGTTCTTCTGGTGCTCGATCCAGTACTTCGGGCCCATGCCTTCGTCGCCAACAATGAAGCCTTGCATCTTGAGGCGCTTGGCCACGAACTGCATGAGGTTCTTGATCGGGTAGGCCTCGGAGGGGGGAATGTTGTATTGGGAGATCATGCCGCAGGCGACTGCAAAAATATTAGCGACTTGACACCTCGCCCTTCGCAATCCTCAGTCCTGGTAGTGCGGAGTAGCATCGACATACTTATCCTGCCGAAGGTATTCAAGGCGTTGATCGCCGCTTCGAGCTGTTCCCCACCCACGTTCTCATAATAGATGTCTATGCCATTCGGGCACAACCTTTTGAGCGCCTCACTCGGCTTCTCCTTCTTGTAGTTGAACCCGCCATCGAATCCCAACTCGTTGATACAGAAGTCCAACTTCTTATCATCACCCACGCTCCCAATAACCTTCAGCCCCTCATGCTTCGCCAACTGCCCCACAAGCTGTCCCACCGCGCCACTCGCCGCCGATATGAAGATCGTCTCTCCCTTCTTCGGGGCCCCGATCTCGTAAAAGCTCGAGTACGCCGTCAAGCCCGGCATGCCCAGCGCACCGAGGAAGACCTTGGGGTCGAGGTTATACGGGTTCTCGAGCTTCCTCGCGCGCTCGGTAACATCCTTGGGCAAAGCGCTGTACTCCTCCGTCCCGATGCTGTCCTGGCCGATAATCACATCGCCTGGCTTGAACTTGTCGTTGTCGCTCTTCAGGACTTTGCAGATGGCGCGGTTGGTGATGGGTTCGCCGAGCGTGAAGGGCGGCGCGTAGGATTTGATGCTCGGATCCCGCATCCGACCTCGCTGGTACGGGTCGAAAGAGACGTAGTAGTTTTTCGTGGTGATGCCGCCGGATGGGGGGGACTGTTCGGGGTCGAACTCGCGGGCTTCGATTACGAGGTGTTTGCCTGGTTCGGGAAACTTGGTGGGGATCTCCTTGAAGATGAGGCCTTTGTTTTGGACCATTTTGGCGGTGGTGGAGGGGCGCGGGGGTGTACGGATGGGCGTGGGATTGATGTAATGGAATGAACTGGTCAAGGGAGAATAGACCAGTGAAGCTACGATATGAGAGTGATTGAGTGAGGAGTGAAGGACAGAAACAGAGATCAGAACTAGGGAGCTACCGGCTGATGATCATATATTGCATCATATGCACACAACCTGAAAAATCCCCGCCGAACGACGGAGCTGGGCGCTGCAAGAGGGAGCTCCACCGGGGCCGAGCTGACAAACGCTGGGTAAATACCTCCGGCGAACACGCTTGTACCTGGCTGGAGCGCTGCCCTACCTCCAATCGTGTTGGCTGGCTGGTGTCATCGAGCAGTTCTACTGGGAAGCCTCGGTACGACCAGAATGCGGGTTGGTGGGGTCCAAGATGGTGTTACAAATGTGATTCTGGACGGACGCGCGCCTTACGGACGTACTACTGATTGTGCAGCCGGATGCCGTTCCTGACAAAGCAACGGACGGATTCAAGCATGGACTATGGAAGCCGTGTCGGAGATGAGGCTCTACTCGAGCACTGCGCCGACGACAATATGGGAAAAGCGGGCGGTGAGAAGTTCAGACGAGCGATAAGAGATAAGCTGTTGGCGGATAGATCGAAGTCTTGGCATCTCAATGCTCCGAATTGCCTCGCTCGAACAATAACTACTCTCAGTACAACTCCAACAGAATCTCCAAACTACGATTAGACGATCGCCATGGCCGATACCAAGACACCCATGGATCCTCCGCCCTCCTATGATTCCACCACCCAGCCCGCCCCCGTAGCAATGGGCGCGCCCGCCCCTCCACGCACGCCCGTCCCCCGCGCACCGCTCCCCCTCGACCTCCCAGCCCTAAACATCCTCCGCGGCAAACGCGTAATCCTCGCCTCCAGCTCTCCGCGTCGAAAACAGATCCTCGCCCACCTCGGCCTCACAAACCTCGCCATCATCCCCTCGAGCTTTGCGGAGAACCTCCCCAAGTCCCTTACGCCGTTCGAATACGTGCTGCAGACCGCGACGCAGAAGGCGCTGGCCGTCTATGCGAAAGAGATAGATAACTCCTCGGGCGGTCAGGAGCCGGCGCTCATTATAGCTGCTGATACTATCGTCGTCAGCCACCTGGGGGACATCCTTGAGAAGCCGCGCAGTGAGAAGGAGCATATCGCGATGCTGAAACTGTTGCGGGACGGTGGGGTACACAAAGTATTCACCGCCGTGGCGGTTATGGCGCCCTTGGAGAGCGCCAAGGATCCCGGCTATGCACTCGAGACGTGTGTTGAGGAGACGTCGGTGAGATTCGACGCGGCCGTGACGGACGATTTGATCTTGTCGTATGTGAAGACGCGAGAGGGGGCGGACAAGGCGGGCGGGTACGGGATCCAGGGGATGGGAAGCATACTGGTGGAGCGGATTGAGGGGACATTTGATAATGTGGTGGGGTTGCCGCTGAGGGCGACATTGCAGCTTATCGAGAAGGTTGTGGTGCAGGCGGGGGAGAATGAAGGAGAAGAGGATCTGTTAAAGGGGTATGGAGATGAAGACGAGGAAGTATGAGTGTCGCAGCAAGTCGTTGCCTATCGTACGGCGACACACTCCGCGCGCTCGAACTAGTCTAAGCTCGATCGTTCGGTCGGAGGATTCGGGCGGAAGAGTGCAGATGGCAATCCCACGATCGACCCGCTCCTGAAGCAGTTGGAGATTGGGGTTAGGTCATGCTGTGGACAGATATAGATGGATGTAACTAAGAGTGAGCAAGCTAGTGCAGCGATGCTCAGCAATATCTCTTTGTCAAACACTCATGATTGAGAGAGGGTCAAGCTGGGCGAAGGGTCACACATTGCGTTCAGGAATCCACGGCCAGGGAGCAGTAGCCAGGCCTTTCAGTACTCAGCAGTTGAGCTTCAAGGATCGACGACTGAATATGGTCCAACACACATCACGCTTCACCACGAACGATGCACGAGTGAAGCATGTGAAGCTAGGCCGCCATCTGATCAAACGGTTCATATATACCCAGCGCCCGAAACGCTTCATCCTTTCTAAATACCTCACAACCGTCTGAATCCTTATAGCTGTGTTCTCAATCTTTATTCAAGACTTCATTGTCTGAACCGGACCCCACTTCAACGCGTCGCGTCCCGCATACCTGCATTAACCCCTCCACACACAAACAATGGACCTGCTAAACCATCTCCTCGTCCCCTCCTCCTCCCCCACCGCCAGCCCGACCTCTGTAGCCAGATTCACCCAAACCATGGCCTCCGCCCTAGCTCTCGAGCACCCCTCAAAGGAAAACGAACCCCCGGCCCCGTCAAGTACGGGCCCCGCGAACGTCTTCAGCATCGAAGAATTCGAGCGCCAGCACGCCGAACAACGCGCCCAAATCGACGCCGAGCTAGCCGCGCGCCGCAACCGGACAGCTCCGAAGCTGTCGAATATCTCAAATGGCAGCAACGGCAGCCGCGGCGTGGCGGCGGAACCGCAGACCTTGATCCCGATTGGGAAATCACGGACCACGGAACATACGATTGCGTTTCACCAGCTGTGTCAGGCGAGGGGCGTTGTGCCGTCGTTTGAGTTCCCCGAGGTGCTTGGGGGTCAGCAGTTTGGGTTTAGGCTTGAGGTTGCGGGGAGGGTGGTTGAGGAGGAGGGGCCGTGGGGGAGCAAGAAGGAGGCTAAAGAGGCGGCTTGTGAGAGGGGGTTGGAGATGTTGAAGGAGCTGCAGAACAGGAATGGGGTGGCTTTCTGCGGAGCCGGTGTTCAGGGAGAGGGCGCTGCTGCTGTTGCTGGTGGTGGAAGAGAAAACGAGCTGTTTGATCCGGCGACGGGGAAGCCTTGGATTGGATTGCTGCTCGGTGAGTGCTGCTGTCGTCCTTCTCCCAGCAGCAAAGATAGGCCTTGAGATCAAAGCGGTCGCAGCTTCACAGTCACGAACCACCTAGCTAACAAACGTTATCACAGAATTCTGCGCCGCGACCCAAACACCCCAGCCCGTCTACCAAGAATACGCCCTCGGCCAGCGCTTCGCATGCACCTGCACCCTAAATCCACCGCTCTCCACCGGTGCCTGCTCGATCGACTCTCTGATCGATGACGCCCAAGGCCCACGCACCTTCGGCTCGCTCTTGACAATCTTCACATCCAAGAAAACCGCACGCGCGAACTCGGCTCGCGAGGCTGTGGAGTGGTTGCGTCAGAACGGCCACCTGAGCGAGGCGGAGCCGCCGCGGAAAAAGGCCAAGGTCGCTAGTCCCATCCTCGGTGCCGTTCAAGGGAGCGCCCCCAGTGATAGCAATGCCAACGCCAACAACAGCACTAACGACGCCGCTACTGCTACCGCCGCTGTCCGGGCTAGCGATCCTCCCGCCGCAAACGCCGACACCAGCACAAGCAACAACAACAACAACACCGACGCCACCGGCCCCGCCCCCTCTAACCCTTCCGCCTCCTCAATATCCCCACCCACTGACGCCTCCTCCTACGGCCCCCTCGTGAACAACCTCTGCGCCTCGCTCGGCCTGCTCACTCCCGAATACCGCCTTACGAACAGCACAGACGTGCCCGGTTTCTGGAGCGGTGCGGCCTACATCGGCCGCGAGCCGAGCTTGCAAGGCATCGCGCCGATCCGGCACGTGTTTGGGAAGAAGCGGGCCAAGGAGGAATGCGCGAAGGGACTGTGGGAGGTGCTGAGGGGGTGGAAGAGGGAGAGATCATAGGGGGGTTTGAGGTTAATGTTGTGGCAGGGAAAGGGGGGCGCAATGGGTTGAGGATCTGGGGGGCTGGGGTTTAGGCCTGATTTTACGGGTATCTGGACGGCAGGTATGCATGAGGAGTTTGGACCACGTCTGGGTGAAAGGCACGGGGTAGGGATGGCTTGGGATACCTTTGGCGGACGCTTGCTATCATTACGACGCTATGCCTACGACTTTCGGCTTTTGTGGAGCGGGTTGATGAAATCATTACTTGGATATACCCGACTGCTACTCGTTTAAGCGCTTCATTAACCTACGCATAAGAAGGGGCTCCAAATGCTGGTGTGATGTTGGAACTAATCGGTCTTGCACCAGCACTTCAGGGTATAGGAACTTGATTTTACTCGGCCAAGAGGGAGATTGGGATCCAGAATGAGACCATACAAGTCCCGGTAGACTACCCTGTACTGTTCAAATCAGCTCTTGTCCTGCAAGAGCTACAACGAGAGAGAGATGGTATTTAGCCGCGACGTTTGAAGTTCAAGCGCTCCGTTTCTCATGCCAACCCGAGACTCTAATTGTGCAGTTATGTACATCTACCCCAACTAGTGAGTACACATTACAGACGAACAAGATTGACAGCAGAGTCAGTGCCACATGGCACCGTGCCAGACTGCCTCCTCTATCTAACGGCAGGGCATAGGCCTAATGCGCAGAGAAAAGATCAAGGGAAACGGGCAAGCTGTTCCAACGCTCAGCCTCCCCAGGAAACCGGTAAAGTAGCTTGAACGGTTCAGGTGGGTAAGAATGGAGCGCAGCGGCAGGAAACCAAGAACATCAGCGCTATTGCTCGAACGCTTCAACGCGTCCTCCCCGATTACTCTCTTCTCGACCACCATATCCCTGGTGCCGGTCAATATCGAGCCGCTCCATCTGGCCGACAAGCACATCTCCCGGCGCGGTGGGGGAGAGCGGCGTTATTGGAGGTCGGAACTCGACAGGCGGGAAGCGGCGCGGTAGGAATGCGTGATGCATCGGCGGCCCGCGCATGTGCATCGCGTAGGGACTGCGCGTAGAGGTTGAATTAGTCGATGCTCTTGCTGTGGTGTACTGAATTTGCGTGGTCGATCGAGATATTGCTGGAAATTCTGGAACGCTGAGCAATCCACACGCTGGCGCAAATTCGCAAGTATACCGAGCTGACATGTAAGGCGAAGGCGCGATGCGATTGAGTCATTCAAAGCAGAAAATTGCGGAAGCGGATGCAAGGCATGCTGTAAGAACATCAAGCACGACGGAAGCAAAGCATGTAAGAAGCAAGCATCAATTGCTAAAGTGACACCAGTAAGGTGTTAATCGAAAGAAGCATCAAGATGCAAGAGCACGCATGCAAGTGTCAAACCCCCGACCGCAATCTCCAAAGAGAGACTACCTAGCTACAATCTGAAGTGACTTCAAGAGGCTCCACGAGAAGAAAAGAATGCAACAACCGTCTCGATGAAGCAGCAGCTAATGTTGTACAAAGAGCAATCTTTTCTACGCACACCAGAACCGAAAAGATCGCAAAGCCAGGGGGGAGTCGAACTCGTAAAATGCAACTTTTTGTCTTCGGATTGCCCATCACCCGAGGTGGCGGAAAGCAAACCGAACGCAATTTGAAGGAGAAGACAAAGGGGAGGAAGCCATGTCATGACATGCAATAGCAATGAGTCGTTGAATAGGTCACCCGCTTCGTAAGACCGTGAATGCACGACAAACTCCCGCTGAAAAACTCGACGGAGATGGAAGACGCTTACTGTGATAGTGTTAGTGAAACGTGTTCACGGCACGGGTGAATGATCCTACCTTCATAGGCGCATAATTGCCGTAGTGCTGGGGTGGCATGCCCATGGAGGGATAGACAGGTGGCGGTGGGGCAGGACGGTAAGGGGTGCCAGCAGGACCGGAGTTGTTCTGGCTGCGGCCCCAGCTAAGTCGGACGCGCGAGTTGCCGATGGGATAGCCTTGCATCTGGTTGATGGCCATCTCCGCGGCGTGCCGTTGGACGAACTGGACGAAACCGCAGCCCTTGCCTGGAGGGATCTTCACGTAGGTGATCTCGCCGAAGCCCTGGAAAAAGGACCGGAGCTCGTCCTCGGTGACATAGCCGGACAGACCACCAACAAAGACTGTCGTGTTGTTTGGGTCCGTGAACTGGTTCATGGGCTGAGGCGAGCCGTAGTAGCCCATTGGAGGAGCGCCCATGCCGTACATTCCAACGGGCCCACCGGCGGCGCCGCCCTGCATGCCACCCATGCCGCCAGGTCCACCAGGACCACCGGCCTTGTTCTTCGGTGTGGCGGTGGAGATGCGCATAGGCCGATTGCCGCAATAGACGCCTTGCATCTCGGTCAAAGCGCGCTGCTGGTCTCCCTCGTCGGCAAATCGGACAAATCCGTAACCGCGCGACATGCCGCTGATAGGGTCGGACATGATTTTGGCAGACTTGCAGGACGGATACTTGCCCTGGAACAGAGAGACCAGGACGTACTCGTTGACCTCTGGACCAAGATCTCCGACAAAGATGGAGTACTCCGGGCCACGGTCATCGCGGCTGCGGTCCGCAAGACCACCGCCGGAAGCCCAGTTGAGCTTGAAGGGACGATTCGAGTTCGGAATGAGCTGACCATTCAGAGTCAGAGCCTTGGCAGCTCCCTCAGGGGTGGAGAAATCGACGAAACAGTATCCGGCATTGCTTCTGGGAGCGGTCAGATTAGATGTCCCCACAATAGGAATGACGCAACTGACCCAGAAAACTTGTCACGAATCATCTTCACGTTGACTTGCTCGCCCATACCGAACCAAACGGTGCGAACGAAATTCTCGTCGATCCAGGGCTCCAGTTCGCCCATCCTACCAAGGCTTGTTAGCGGGGTATCTTCAACTTGCAGCGAATGGCAGAGGTTGTCCTCAAAGGAGACGGCGCATAAGCCAGGATGATGTCTCAAGCAAAGCTAAGTAACATACCAGAGGGTTGTCTTAGAATCACCACCCTGCGGTCCGCCTGGAACGCCTCCCATGTTGCCACCCTGGTATTGCCCGGCGGTGCTCTCAATCGGCTGGCCCATGCCTTGTTGCTGTTGACCACCAGCTCCGCCAGGAGTGCCGGTGTCCTCGCCGCCCTGTTGGCCCTGGAAAGCGTCGTAATTTTGGAAACTCATTCTGACTGTATTGAATTGAATCCGATCTATGCTCGTCGCTCAACAAGATGGTTCGGTCGTCGGAAAATCGCTAGAAATCGAAGGAGCTCTGAAGGTGACTTGGCGTTCAGTAACCTAGGCTGCAGTGACGCATTGTCAGCCACGTGGCTTGGATCCTTGAGGGGATGTCGATGTGGGATAACATACAGCTTGTGGTAAACCAGATATTAATGCTCGCCGATGGATACCCGATGTGAGAAGTTCAGCTGTCAAGAGTACAATCGAACAATCGAACAATCGAAGGATGCCGTATGCGCCGAATAGAGAGACTAAGGTCAACCTAGGCAGGCGCAAGGTGGATGGACGACGGAACCAGGATATCCGAGCTAACACCGTAATGATGGCGAAGTCCAGGGCGCACTTGCTCCTCGTGAATGAATGGCCGTTTGCGAAAACGCTCGATGCAGCAGAACAGGTCACTCGCTAATCTGAGATGGGAGTCAGCAAGGCGGCACGCGACAAGTCACACGCTCGAGTCAGTGAGGTTGTGGGAACGACTGTGAAGCAGCTGATGATGCATTCGCAGATGGCGATGCCGAGGAGAGTGATGAGCGCACGGTGAAACTGTGTGATGCGCGGTGTTGATGCGACGTCGAGGATCGAGTGACCGCGAACCGTAGTGAAGTCGCCAGCGTGTCGCTGAGCGCATAGCTGTTCGATGGAGATGCGAAGACGAAGAGAGGAATTTTTCTGCGCAGCCGCGGGGCTCCGGATGAGGCTCTGTTCGCGCGAGAAGCGCGGCTGCAGGCGCATAATGAAGGAAAAGGTGGCCTTGGTACTCACCAGATGACGAAGCAGAGCTGGAGGTGAAGTGGACTTGCAGCCGAAGACAAAGCAGGAAACGCAAACACCCGCACGCAAAGGGAGAACAAGAGGAGGATGGAGAGGGAGAGGGAAGATGGTACGGATGGAAAGCAGTGGATGTGGATGGGCAACTGTGGATGGTGGATGCAGAGGAGGGGTTGCGCTCGTGTGGCCGAGTGAGAGTGATGAAAGCCTTACTTCGGTCGCTAAACCGTTAGTCCATGTGAGGATGGGGACTAGCCGCCCAGTCATGTGCCGCTAGCCGAGGAACCTCTCCTGATGGCTGGGACGAAGGTGGCCTGGCAGGATGCAACTCGGCGGTTTGTGGGTGTAAGTTAATTGTCGTCTAAACTTGGGTGTCCGCCGTACACGGTAGTGGGGTTGATTGACAAGGGCAGGTAGTATTGAATTGAGGACGCGTTAACTGCCTTAAACACCCGACAGGCAGCAAAGGTGCAGGCCATGCTCCCCCATGCTCCCCCACGCCGTGGCACTGACCGGCATGAACCTTGAACAAGCCACCGGCCGGAAGCCGATCCAATCCGATCTTGCTAACAATAGCAGCTGCAGCGCGCAATAGGAAGGTCGTTCACATGCCGATAGCTTCATGCAGTTGTATTGTAGGTTCGTTGTCAAGGTAGACAGTAGTGCCTTCAGGTTGACGGAATAGATAAAAACAGACGAGATCGAGCAGTAGGCACTCCGGGAAGCCGTTCCACCGTATCCAGCATAGCAACCTGAAGGGGCAATTTTGATCCCTCATACTAACACCCATACCGACCAATGCGCCATCACCATACCCATCCAGGCTGTTTCCGACTCTACGCCTTGACCTCGATCTCCTCGTTGGACGGTGGGATCCCCTCAGCCTGCGCCCCGACTCCTTCCGCCTGCTCCGCCTGCGCATCCTCCCCAAACGCCTCCCTCCCGCTCGCAAACACCTTGTCAAAGTCATACTCGAACCACCTGATGTCCGGGCAAAGCCCTGCAAACTTCCACACGCCATCGACCTTCTTGTACCAGTGCTGGTTGGTGCTGTGCGCGTGGCCCTTGACCAGAACCTCCTTCATGCTCTCGTCCTTGTATTTCTGGTGCGGCACTCGCAGCTGGTGCCAGCCGATGGCCTCGGTGTCGTTGACCTTCTCCCACTTGGTCCCGCCGATGAAGTGCTGCGTCTTGAGCGTCTTGTCGCCGAGCACCGCTTTGGAGCTGATCATGGCGAGGAAGTCGTCCGCCGGCATGGCTTCCCAGATCTTGTCGAGGAAGGAGCGGTAGTCGATCTAGGGGGAGAGGGTAAGCGGGGTGTAGGGCTGGGTTGAGCATGCGTGGTTACTGACCCTGAGCTCTGGGGCGATGCACTTGCGTAGCCTGTCCCAGTCCTGTTGCCGTTGTCAGCGCCGTGTTCTGTAAGTAGTAGGAGATGTATTGCGGACCTTGGAATCATAGCTGTCTGCCCACTCGAAGCAAGCGGCGGTGAGGCCGAGATAGTCTGTACAGCCGTTAGAAAGAGCACCGCTTGCAGGCCATTCGGCTCATCCGCATAAATCCCATACCGTCGAAGGTGATGTTTCCGGCCATATTGGCAGTACACAGAGGTGCTTTAGGTGTTGGGAGATGCTCTTTGGTGTTATGAGATGCTCTTGTAGTAGAAGTCGACCGTCACCAGGCCGTCAACAGCCAGGCGCTCCATTTATATTCGTTGTGTCCAAATATACGACATTCGGGTCCCCAACCATGGGCACACATTCCGTCCGGACTTCGGGGCTGGCCCTCAGCCCTCGCCGAAATCGTGAGGCCGAGCCCCGAGCAACATGGCGGACTCTGCCAGTGATTCTTCTAGAGATTGCCAACTCGGATCCCACGAGAGGTTCGGGTTGTTGTGAACGGGTTGGAGGATGCTGACGACGGCACTGCGACCTCTAGTCCTTCAGCGGAAGACGCTGACCCCTGCTGATGTTGTGCAGAAACCTAACCCCGCAATTGGCCGGCCTCAGAGTTCGGGTCCCGGGTCAGGAACGGGACGAGGACGGCATCGCACATCCCCCTGCAGCCGTCCGAGTTCTCCTCATGCAGCCGAAGCTCGTAAGCATTAGGAGTGTGGTGTGCACAATGATAGTGCGTTTAGTTCACGTAGCGAACAACGAATGCAGCAAACAACGAAGTAAATGGCAAGTCGACCCAACACCATCATTGTCATTATCTCTAGTCGTACAAATCCTGCTCAGTTGGCCCTTAGGCCGGTCACCTCAACCGCCTACGCCCCTCACCCCGGCCCATGGATCCCCCATGGCTTCAATAGACTGCACGATACCCTCATCCTTCATCTGCTCTGGCCCATCTAGATAGCCCTGCCCGTCCATACCTCTTGGCTCGTATACTGAGTCATATACCGGCCAGGGTTGCGCATACTGGCCCAGCTGCTCGTAGCCCATCGTGGGCGTCGTATACTGGTAGCCGTCCATGGGCACGCCTGGTTCCATACGGATATTGATATGACCACCTGTGAAGTCGATGCCATTGTCTTGAGGGAGCTGGCTGTGGTGGGAGAACTGATCTTCAGAAACTAGATTGGACATGTCGGGCGCGAGACTTGCAGCCATCATGTCTGCGGACACGCCCGCCATTGCCATGGAGGAGAGGGCATCGAGTTCGAAAGTGGGTTGGTCGAAGATTTGAGATATGGTAGAGGCGGTTGCACTGCCGAAGTCGAGGGGTGGGACGTTGAACGGGTCTCTATGCTCCAGTTCCTCGCCGATCTGAGGCGTTGGCAGCACCAGGTTCCGCCAAGTGGTCTGCCCGGCTTCACCACGGTTTACTTGCCGGAACTTCCAGCAGATGGTCAGGAGACGCTGGTGTTTGTACTGCCATTTAGGCTGAGCGTAGACCTCCTGCACAGCGGACAGCTTTTTGAGCGATTCCCGGACCTTTTCCTCAATCTGGCTGCTTGACGCTTCCGAGGTTCCAGAGTGAGCTGTCCCTTGAGTTGCTGCGCTGTCTCGTCTCCTAGCAGCTCGAAGGAGTCTAGTCAAATCCACGATCCTATGTGCCCACCACGTGCTTCCAAGAGGTAGATTACCCAACCTCTTCGAGCCATCAGCATTGTAGTCGATACGGCTATTGCTGTGGTCAACTTGCGTGCCGTTGTCGTAGATTTGTGTGTGACATTCGAAGTTCTCGTATGAGTCTAGGTCGTAGTTGCTTGTGAAGACTGACCGGATGCCGAGTTCCGATCCTTCTGGCAGCGGATCCGTCATGAGCTCCAGCGAAGCTTCAGAAAGGATCGTGTCCGCCCCCACTGAGCCGTCTGCGAAGGTCGATTCAAGCACAGGGAACAGTTTCTGCCAGTGCCTCACTTTGTGAAGCTGCACTTCGGGGAGCTGAGGGTTGTTATGAAGCTTCGTGAACGTACGCAGCGGGTTCTTGTTCCGGTCTTGCACGAACATTTCGAAGTCGAACGGTTCGAAAGCGTTCGGCACCATCCTTGGAGCGTTCGAGCTGAGCGTGTTGAGCGGTGGTGGGAGCTCAGTGCTGTCTTTGAACGAGAGAGGAAGCTGTAGAGTCTGCGATACGGGGGCATATTGAGAGGTCGAAGGTCTATGAACATGACTGCGCGACCATCTGCTGGAATTGGACATTGGATGACGGGTACCCGGATAACCTGAGTCCGCCTTAGACATGTGCTTCATGACTGCGCTGCCGTCAGTATCCTCGCACAGTGACTGAAGAAAGAGTACGTGCCCTTGGGGTGCTCCTTGAACAACGGCTTCAGGACTTGGATGTGGCTTGAAACCTGCTTTCGTGTACGTGCCTCGCCGGTCCACTTCTCGATCGAGTCCGCTATAAGCTCATTCCTTCCACGAAGCTTACCCTCGTGCATGATCTTGCGGCGCCCGATGGGTGGCCATCTCACCAAAGCTATTAAGGCCGATCAGCTGCTGGTACAGTTACGAATGACTGCGGCCCGCTTACCAGTAAAGAAAGCAGCTTCCATATGTTCTGGCCATTTCTGTTCCCGCTCGGCTGAATTCTTGGGCTGCCGCGACCTGTATTTTTGATACGCGTCGCATTTGTGCACGTTTTGCCACAAAACGGCCGAGTTCTTCTCGATAACCTCATCTGGTCTTCTGTCAAGCTGCTGCGCTAAGTTGGGTTCAGGGATATCGTAGCAGGGCAGACTCTCCGGGTAAAAGATTTCCACTGGGGAGGATGCTTCACGCTTCCTGAAGCCGAACTGTTCGGGATCCAGAATATCGTGCTGCCGATTGCCGCAGCGCTCCTGTAGGACACGACTAGTGGCCTTTACGTCCTCAATGAGCTCCTCTGGCAGCGCTGGCGCATTTGAGGGTACGATACAGGAGCTATGATGGAGCTCCATAACGCATAGGGCATGCCGCAGCAAGAATGATGGGGCTTGTCATGAGAATGTTCTGAAGCGTTCGAAAGTATGCTTGGAAAAGAATCAAAACTAAGGAAGGAACGTAAAAGGTCGGAGTAAAAGGAATGACTACACACAGAAAGAGAATGTGGGATGAAGGGCAAGGGAATGTAAGCGTGGTTGGGTCTTGCTTATAAGAGACCTACAAGTCAGCGCCAGGAGGTACTGGCGTACACGGCCAGGCTACCGCAGGGATGTGCAGCACGTGAACTCCGACAGTTACCTAGCAACATTTGAGACATGCCAACAGGCACTGACAACGACAGGCAGCAAACAAAGATTCATTTTATTTTAACAAGAACCACTACAACGAGACAGTGATCCGCGGCCTCAAGAATGTCGTTTCTGGGGAGTTTGAGTGTATGTAACAAGATCATGACAAGCAAGGGTTGCCGACGTTGGAGGGCAATCATGCTAGCGTGTTGGTCGAAACCTTTCTCCGCTACCGTAACAAGGTCATGGCTTGAGGAATGAGCCAGGTGACTGCATACCTTGAGGACACGCCTAATCGTGCTAAACACTCAGTAGCTTTGATGCCGCAGAACCTTGTAGAACTCGACGAGTAAACTACTTCTTTACAGGACTTGCGGCCTCGGCAAACCTCAGCTACAAGGAGTCGCGTTTTCTGTCAGACTCGACCAGAGACTTTGAACGATAAGCTTGTAACCTTCATAGGTGGCAAAGTGCGCCACGCCGAGGGTGGACTAGAGTATGATGAGAACTGTGACAAGTTGGCTCATACGCCTTGAGCAGGCAGTCCGTTGGAAGGTAAGCAGCAGAATGAGCGTGCTCGCTACTGAGTGATCGAAGGGCGACATATGATCTAAGGGTCAGCAAAACTCTGCACGGTGTGGTGTCAGAAGCAAGGGAGGGTCGCGTTGTCAGCGCGAGCCAGTCTGGAATCCAATACTTTGGAACATCAAGGTTGATCCAGCTCCTCGGCGGCTGAGGCGTTGAATTTCTTACGACCCGCACCGGTAAGCTTCTGCAGGGCCATCTTGTTGACTTGTGAGCCGGCTTTCTGCTGCATTTTCTCAAGCTCTGCTTCCGCGTCTTCCGGATCAGCAGCAGCATATTCGAGGACGAGCTTGCGGCCGAGCAAATGGGTGTTGCTCAGTGCGTCCATGGCATTCTCGGCTTCCCGAGGCGTAGCAAAGTCGGCGAAGGCAAATCCTCTGGCGGAGCTGTCAAATTTCTTCGGCACTCGAACGGATCGAAGTTGACCGTAAGGACTGAATAACGCCCTAACGTCTTTCTTCGTAGTCTCGAAAGGCAGATTCTTGATGATAATCTTGGTGGTTCTCGCAGCTGCCCTCTTAGCTCTGTCCTCTTTACGACGTTCTTCTGCAGCATCTAGGCCTTTGTGTGAAGCCTTGATCAGTAGCTTGTGGCCCTCTAAACTGTAACCATCCATCGCTGCGAGCGCTGCTTGGGCTTGGGCTTTCGTGCGGAACTCGAGGAATCCAAAACCCATGCTGAGCGTCTGCCCGGGCTTCTTCGGGTCTTGCTTGGTTTTGACCCTCGCAGACAAGAACCCGTCCAGCGGTTTGAAAGCGTTGGTCAGGCGCTCGGTTGTGGTGGAGAAGTTGAGGTTTCTGACGAAAAGCGTTGTAGTGTCAACGATCCCGTCAGTAGTATCACCCTGCAGGAGTTCGCTAGTGGAGAGCTTGGGCGCGGAAGTGACGATGGCAGAGGCAGTCGTTGATTTTGCGGTGGAAGCGGTGTTGCCCGTAAAGAGATCTTTTGGTGCCCTTTCCAGAAAGAGAATGGAGTCTTTCATCTTGCGGTAAGCACACGCGCTGAACGCCGAACGTGCTTGATTTGCCTGAGCAAACTCCACTATTGCGATAGTGCCGGAAGGTGGCATTAGTAATCTCCGGACCTGACCGTGCTCCTCGAGCATTTTCCTCAACTCCTCAGCCTCAGTACCGTAGGGGAAATTCTTTATAAGAATGGCAGTGTCGCCTCTCTCTCGCTTCTTGAAGGAATCCAAGTCCACTCCATTCTGCGCGAAGTACGATTTTGTTTCCTGAATAATGTGCGTTTCTGCATGTGCTTGCTTGACCGCCGCATTGGATGAAGTTGGATCCAGCAGCTCAGACTTGCTCACCCCAAGGCGGTCGGATATTGATGACATGACGGCGTCGGTACTCATGTACAGTGCGTTCCAATTAAAGGTGGATGATGCGGCCCCGCTCTTTCGCTGTATCTGCTTCTGTTTCTTGAGCGGCAGCTTCGAGATTGCATATTCGTCAAGTTTCGTTTCTCGCTTGGCTGCCGCATATAGAATATGGAGAAGACGTCCCTGGAAGATCTTGCCGTCCATTTGCTTGAGTGCCTCAATAGCATCCTCGGGTTTGTGGAACTGTACGTAGGCAAATCCTTTTGCAGTGCCGGAGGCTGGATTGAGAGGGACATGCACCTTGAAGCGGTCAGTAATGTGGATCTGATACGCGCATACACAGAATGTGTTATAACAGAAGTGCCTGTTCAGAAGAAGAGAAGCATCTACTAAAATACTCTCCCTGGTAACATCACATGCGATGCATAAGCTGTCCCTATCAGGATGTTCATCACGACGACTAAAAGAGGAATTAATGGAAATTGACATGTCTTACCTCTTCCAAATCTCCAAAAGGCATGAAATGTACGCGCAAGTCGGCCTCGGTAACGCTGTACGGCAGGTTTCGAAGGAACAACCGGCCGGTCGAACGAACTGCTGCAGGACCATCATCCTGATGTTTCCTGTCCATCCCGCTATGATCCGCCACGTCATCGCTATTCTCTTCGCGGACTTCCGATGGCATTGCCGGAGGCGACTCTTCCATAGCCAAATTGGCACTGACAGGTTCCTGATTTATGGGTTTTGATGAGCCCTCGCCGTCTTCTGCTTCAGCTTCCGCCAGACCAAGCAGCCTGCTCGTTCTGGACCGCAGCCAATCTGCATCGGACACTGCATCATGCGTCATAGTGGCTCCACGGCTTTCTTCGCCAGCAACAGCTGGCGGCACTCCATGTGTCGCTTGGTCCTCCATAGGGGCCGCTTCATCAGCCATAGGACCCTCGCTAATTTTCCGAATATCTCGGGCAGGGGAAGGCTCTGCAGGCGCATCCACTCGCTTCGACCTCTTAGAGACGACCTGGTACTCTGTATCGCTCTCAACTTCATCGACTACGACGGCCTGCGGGGTCTCCACATCGAGCGACGTCTCTGCAGCAGGCCTCATGCCGTCTTCATTTGCCCATGTCTTAGACTTGGATGGCGGCTGCATGACCTCCAGATATTCCTGGAGCTTCGCATCCGCCGACCCGTCCTTCGACTCGCTCCTCTTGCGCTTCAACGGGTTGGCGCTGGCCTGTACAGACTGCGTATTGGCATTGCTGCGAGCCTCCTCCGCAGCTTGGCCGCGCGTAGTATGGTTTTGGGGTCTTGCAAGATGTTCATCGGCAACCTGACAGTACCCAATCAGCTCTGTGTGCAAATCCTCATGCACCAATTTTCCTACCGAACGAGCCAACTCCACGCCGATCTTGGCCATGCGTATGAACGACTTGTTGAAGTATTTGACCGCTTTCGCCGCCTCTTCTGGGGTTCTATACCCGACGTATCCAATCCTGCGGTGGGGCATAAGCTTCGCGTCGGTGATTGCATATTGCTTCGAGAAGTGCTTCTTGAACTCATCCTCTGACAGGGTTGGAGGCAGGCCCTTGATGAAAATGCGTGAGGACGCCATCTTAGGGAGGTGATGTAGAGGGGTGTGGTTGATGTTACATGTGCATAAAGTGGCATCGACATGCAAGGCGACTTTCGAAAATTTGGCCTCGGAAGGTTTTCGCGATGTCCGGAACTTTCCGGAGGGGACAGCGCGAACCGAAGCAACGCTCGATGCAGAACCTCGACCCTGTCAAGGGAGCTCAACCCACGCTGAACTAAAATCCTCACTTGTTCGGTTAGAACCTGTATTGGAGGGTACATTGGAAAGATCGAACTCAATTAAATAATATACAAAAATCATCATGGGAAGCGAAAAGTCAGAAAAGCTCGAAGGTGCGCGAAGCCGCAGGCTCTTCCGCAGGCTCAATATGCTAATGATCCATACCGTTACAGCCCAGGTAAAGTCTGTGGACATGGTAAGATAGTAAACGACCATTTCGAAAGAAGTCCGCTGACAGCTTTGGAAGAGCGAGGAAATGCAGCAAGAGGCAATAGAAGTCGGTATGGACAAACCGTCCAGGCGGATCCGCTCACCATCAGACTGCTAAAACCGCCACAGCTACCGAGGCGATGAGCAAGTTCAACATCGAGAAGGCATCACTCCCATACTCTACATACTAAACATATCATCTAATCAGCCGAATGTAGGATATTGCGCAGTACATCAAGAAAGAGGTCAGCCCTCGGCTGAGGCTCCCGCACCGTCCACAACAGCATCATGTTAACCAGATGCAGTTCGATATCAGGAAAGGTGCCACATGGCATTGCATAGTCGGCAGAAATTTTGGAAGCTTTGTCACACACGGTACGTTGTCAGTCAAGCCTTTCCTACTTTTGATGGCTGACGAGATTCCAGAAACTAAGCACTTCATCTACTTTTACCTTGGGCACTGTGCGATCCTGCTTTTCAAGACGCAATAGCGAGTAGCATCTTTAAAAGTCTGTTAAGAGTCCCGCGGCTTCTCTGGTTTGTTCCAATCCGAAATTGGCTGTAGATATTTTCTTAAAGCGTCAAGCAACGTCTCCGGGTTGCATTGCGGCGGAGCGAGGGGGGATACGAGAATACTTCTGTCAACCTTGTGCTATACAATACCATGTGAGCTCTATGAATGTGTGCCACCAATCGCTCCTTCACCCTTGAACAGAACGGGTCGGGACTGGCCTTGACCTTGATGATCCTTTATTTATTCGAACCCAGTTTTGCTGTCTGATACACCATACTGATAGATGCTGCGCACCGACTATGCGCGCGATATATCTATCCGACTCGAAGCTTACCTTAATATTCTGCGTTCATCAGCCCTGATCGGCGCGCTCTTGAGAGCCTCAATATCTGATGCAGTCGATCGTGGGCCGTGCGTTAGTGGCGTTCGTGGCTGAGCCGCAGCTTCCTCGTTGTTCGTCGTCGTCACGGCCAAGGTGGCCAAGAGCATCTCTACAAATACCATCGCCGTCTTGCGCCGTAACACCTCCAACTATCAGACTTTGATCAGCTCGAACAACACCATTACCCCATTGCTGTCTGCCTCGTGTAAACTTCTTTCGGCAATCCTACCACTCAACACACTACCAGCTCCAGAGCATCCATCAGCGCCATGTTCTTCTTCTTTACCTGCGGCACACACAGTACGTGCGCAATATGCCTCATGAGGTGCGCGTGGTGTCTAACAGTACTGCCTTAGCCTTCACCTCGCGCCTGAAAGGCTACGAGAATGTTACAGTCCAATGCCAGAACTGCGGTAACTTCTCAGGTCACGTCTACAAGCGCTGGTAAGATCGTGCCCAAACAGCTCCCACTTACGTACTCACGCTCATGCTAACGCGCCATCAGGGAGTGGTTCACCTTCTGTTTCATTGTAAGTTCTTCAGCGCCTGTAACGAACGCACTATACGGACGACTAACCCAACCGCGCAGCCTATCGTACCCTTCTCGCTCAAGCCTTGGCAGGAGATCGGGTGCAACGTCTGCAACTTCTACCAAGACATCAAGTACCGGCCGGATGTCCAGGCTCAACAGGGCGGAGGGCCTCAGCAGATTCCCATGCAGGGCTACGGCGGCGGACCGCCGCCTCAGGGACCCGGCGGACCACAACAAACACATCCACAATACAAGTAGTAGCAATGACGCGCTGCGGCGGTTATGAGAAGCGTTCGTGGAGCTAGCTGTTTCTGATGTTCTAGTCTGGATACTTGTTAGGCGTTTGGAGTTTTTGAGGGCATGAGATACCACTTACCTTAGCTGGTGTAGACGCTACCTAACTACGAAGCAAATGTACACGCCTGGCGGCTCTTACTATGCGAAGCTCCATTCTCCTTCACATTTTCGATCACTATTACCGTGCTCCTCACTCAACTCAATTGCTCACTCGCAGAAAAACGATCAATGAACCGAGAAGCTTAGGGAAAGAGATGCCCCCCGAGTCATTCCTACCTTCCGTCTCGGTGTTCTGTTTACAGGCTGGCGGCCGCAAGCTCGCATGTTTCTAGCGTCATGTTCATCGAAGAATATTAGTGATCATGACGTTCATTTATCAATACACGAGGGAGAGATGTATCATCACAAACTGAACGATGCAATGTTCACATTGATATCTAGGCAAATCTTAACTATCCTCGGACTTCAATATCCCCTTAAAGTATGGTTGCTCAACAAGACCTGTGAGAGATAAGGGATGTGCTGCTTACAGCATGCAAGGTGCTTAAACAAGCGCGTAACAACTAGACAAAGTACCAGCCACAAATTACGGGTCAAGCAGGACTTTGCAGCTCTGCCATGCGTCCTGAGTGCATGGGATGTGACAAGTCATAAAGCTGTATCTGTACGGACAGAATAACAACAACCCTTGATCAGCTGAAACGAAACACCTCGTTGATTCGCTTGACAGGTCAGAGTAAGAAAGAGCAACTGCGCGGTAACGTCGCCTTGGTATGATGGGTAATGCTGAAAATTTCAGGTGTGGGCGATGATGAAAAGTTGAGGTGTGGGCGCGCTGTTGTGAACACTGCATTTGGGGGTGAAAAGCCGAGCTGTGCGGCTGCGTGCACCAAACCTGGGGTGACATCGGGCCTCTCGTTTGGCGCCAGTGCCCAAATGGCGGGGGCTCTCCTCGCGCACTCAGCCCCCGAATAAACCAGCCATCGCCCGCTTTTCTACACCCGACCGCCCCGAGTGACCCCAAACTTCTCAACCCTCCGGCACCACTCATCGCAAACACCTTTTCCATAATTGCGCGTCGATATGGGCCGTCCTAAGAAAGAAGTGAAGGAGAATGGCACTCCGGAGGGCTACGTGAGCAAAGCCAACTTCATGCGCACGAGAGACTCGGTGAGTTTTTCTTTCTGTTATTCCTCGTCGCGCGATGGTGATGCGACGCGACTGGAGATGCGCCTGAGGCTTCGACCAGCCAACGGCGTATCGGTCCTCTGTACTGTCGACCACCGGAACACCCGGTTCGGATGTTAGTCCACGGCACAATCTCATTCTCTTACTATCACTGCTTGAGAGGCTGCCCGCACATCGCCTATCGCGTCGCATGACGCGTTTTCCTTCGCGCTTTGCGGTCCCCGAAAGACCCTCATGAACTGTTGTCGCGTCTAACTTCCATACTCGCCTAGATTGTCACTGGCCTCACGGAGCTAGAGAACCTAGTCACCAACCTTCGCAGTGCTTTCGTTCAGCACACCAGTGAGGTGCTCAGCGGCCAAAGCGCTGGACCGGACACGCTCGCGATCTCCAATCCCCTAGGCAATGCTGGGCGTGGCATCACACCGGCCCCGGTAGAGGCAGACGTCAAGCAAAAGAAGAAGAGGGTGCAGAAGGAAAAGGATCCCAATGCGCCGAAGCGCCCTCTCACTGCCTACCTCCTATACGCTCAAAGTGCACGTTCTACTATCAAGGACGAGCTTGGTGAAGGTGTAAAGCCTGGTGAGGTCGCCGAGGAGATCACAAAACGATGGCATGAGATGCCGGATGGGGAGAAGTCGGTACGCGCTCGCCCGTACTAAGGCCTGGGCAAAGTTTCGAATTGACATGTTCCAGATGTGGAAAGAAGCCTACCACACAAACCGGGAGAAGTACACAGAGTACCTGGCAGAGTACCTGGCGAAGACCGGCAAGGCGGCCCCCATTGAGGCTTCCCCCCACGATGACGAAATTCCTGATGCGGATGCCACTGCCGCAGCTCTGGCAGATGATACGGAAGAATCCTCCGAGGATGAAGACGAGGAGGACGAGGAGGAAGAGGTAGCGAAGAGCCCGACGCCGGCTCCAAAGCTGCCGACCCCACCGATCTCCCAACCTACCAAGACAACCAAGGGTCGCAAGGCGAAGGCCGGGAAGGAGAACGGTGTCACAGCGGAACTGCCATCCTCTGTCCCGCAGGCCTCACAAGCTCCACAGGCTTCAACCAAGAAGAGTACGCGTATCCCAGTGCCAGCCGCTTCGCCAGAGCCTGCCGTGTCGGTTAAGGCGAAAAGTCCAGAGAAAAGGAAGAAGGAGGCGAAGGAGTCAAGCCCGGAAGAACCGAGGAAGAAGAAGTCTCGCAAGTCGAAGGGCGAAGGGGAGTCGCAAGAGGCGGAACCCGCGCCGCCGCCAACTTCGGAGAAAAAGTCGAGAAAGAAGCGCAAGAGTGATGCTGCATAGTCTTGCTCATGATGTGGTCTCTTTACAGTGATTTGTGCAGGTCCCTGCAGCTCATGCAGTCAACATGAAGGGACACTGTGTTTGTTCGTCTGGTAGGAAGTTCTTATCGTTGGTGCGGCTGGTGGCTTTCAATGGTCTTCCCAACTTCTCACTTTCCCGGCCTCTCCTGTATGCAGGCTCATCGGTTGTTCATTCTGTTCATCGACGATTTTGTAGTATCATACCCAGATATAAATACAAAAGCGGTGCTACTTTCTTCAAACACTCGTCCCGCCCCCTGTAGATGTGCCGTGCGCGGATCGCGCCGAGAGCCTTATCGGTCTCTGCGTCAGTCTGGCCACTGCGGGCGGGCTAGTGAACAACAACAAGTCACCCCATGTAGAGCGGGGCTGGAAGACAAACTAAAGAGTCGTGATTTGAGCTGTCCGCCTTCTGAGAGCAATTGTTCGCTTTTGACGCTTGGCTCAACCTTTTTTGCACAGTCAGAATGCAGTTGGTACCGAAGGAAGTACGCTTGTCCGACCTAGATGGACCACAGAGTACCCCGCTGACCCTGGAACTACAATTAGACCGACAAGCTTGTCATCTCCCAGCTCGGCCTGCTTGCGCAACGCAGGCTTGCTCGAGGGGTAACGCTCAATCATGCTGAAGCTACTGTATGTGTGTTCCTGTCAGTGCGTTTATTCTGGCTAACGAGAATCAGGCATTGATCGCGAACAACCTGCACGAAGTGCGGCTCACTTTTCCAAATCCTCCCCTTAGGCTAAGCCAACCTCCAGCTCACCCGCGATGGAAATCACTCAGTCGCAGACCTCATGTCCATGGGCAAGGAGATGCTCGGCCGCCGCCATGTCCTCCCGGCTGTCGTCTCCTCCCTCGCCTCATTACAGGTCGAGGCCACGTTTCCCGCCGGTACCTCCCTAATAACAGTCCACAACCCCATCAGTACAGACGATGGCGATCTTGAGAAAGCTTTGTACGGAAGCTTCTTACCAGTACCCTCACAAGACAAGTTTCCTCTGCCGGACTCGTCAGTGTATGATGCAAAGATGCAAGCGGGTGCGGTTGTGGCGGTAAAGAATGGGAAAATCACACTGAATGAGGGCAGGAAGAGGATACAGCTGAAGGTGGTTAGCAAGGGCGATAGGCCGATTCAGGTAAGCATATATCTGAGGGTAAAGAAAGAAGTAGACTGCGGCTTATGGCGGAACATAGGTTGGCTCGCACTACCACTTCATCGAGACCAATTCCCAGCTAGAGTTCGATCGCGTCAAATCCCATGGATACCGTCTCGATATCCCGGCAGGCACTTCCATCCGTTTCGAAGCGGGCGACACGAAGACTGTGACGCTTGTCCAGATTGGGGGAAATCAGATCATCAGGGGAGGCAACGGCATTGCCAACGGGTTTATAGGGGACTCGTCTGTTGCGGACAAGATCCTTGAGCAGGTTCAGAAGGGAGGTTTCCTCCACACACCAGAGCCTCAAGGGGACTCTGCACATATCGATATTGCGACCATGGAAAGGGAGCACTATAATAGTATGTTCGGCCCAACTACAGGTGACCTTATGCGTCTCGGCGCTACGGATCTGTGGATCAAAATCGAGAAAGATTACACGCACTATGGCGATGAATGCTCGTTTGGCGGCGGTAAGACGATCCGCGAGGGCATGGGCCAAGCAAGCGGACGGCCAGATAAAGAGTCACTGGACACGGTCATTACCAATGCAGTGATAGTCGACTGGAGCGGCATTTTCAAAGCGGACATTGGCATCAGAGATGGCATCATCGTCGGCATCGGGAAGGCTGGCAACCCGGACATCATGGATGGCGTGGATCCGGAGCTGGTCGTTGGTGCCAACACCGACGTAATTGCTGGCGAACAATCCATTGTCACCGCTGGTGGCATTGACACGCATATTCACTTCATATGCCCACAACAAGCCTTCGAGGCCCTGACCTCTGGTATCACCACATTCGTTGGAGGTGGTGTCGGCCCAAGCACCGGGACGAACGCAACGACCTGCACGCCGGGAGCTTCGCACATCCGGCAGATGCTCCAGGCTTTCGACGAGCTGCCTGTCAATGTCGGCGTGACGGGTAAAGGAAACGACAACGAACCCAAGCCCTTGCAGGAGCAGTGCGAGGCAGGCGCCTGCGGTCTCAAACTGCACGAGGATTGGGGCTGTACACCGGCAGCTATCGACACCTGCATCAAGGTCTGCGACGAGTACGATGTTCAGACACTCATTCACACCGACACGCTGAACGAATCCGGCTTCGTTGAGCAGACTGTAAAGGCAATCAATGGTCGCACGATCCACACATACCACACCGAAGGTGCTGGTGGTGGGCATGCACCCGACATCATCTCCGTGGTCGAGCACCCCTACGTCCTCCCCAGCAGCACAAACCCAACCCGGCCCTACACTAGGAACACCCTCGACGAGCATCTCGACATGGTCATGGTATGCCACCACCTGTCACGCAACGTGCCGGAAGACGTCGCCTTCGCTGAATCCCGGATCCGCGCCGAGACCATCGCCGCAGAAGACGTGCTGCACGACCTCGGCGCCATCAGCATGATGTCCTCGGACTCGCAAGCCATGGGCCGCTGCGGCGAAGTCATCCTGCGCACCTGGCACACGGCGCACAAGAATAAAGGCCAGCGCGGCGTGCTCAACGAAGACGAGGGCACCGACGCTGATAACTTCCGCGTCAAACGCTATGTCAGCAAGTACACTATCAATCCGGCCCTGGCGCAGGGGATGGGCCATCTCATCGGTAGCGTCGAGGTCGGCAAGCTGGCGGATTTGGTCCTGTGGAATGCGGCGAGCTTTGGCGTCAAGCCGCAGATGGTGATTAAGAGCGGCATGATCGCCTGCGCGATTGTGGGTGATCCGAATGCCTCGATTCCAACGGTCGAGCCGATGATCATGAGGCCTATGTTCGCGCCCTTGGTGCCCTCTTCGAGTGTTGCGTTTGTGAGCAAGGCGAGTATCGATAACGGTGTTGTGAAGGGCTATGGCCTGCGGAAGAGAGTTGAGGCGGTCAAGAATTGTCGGAACGTGTCGAAGCATGATATGAAATATAACTCTACGATGCCGAAGATGAAAGTTGACCCGGAGAGCTACGTGAGTACTATCCTTGATTTGTGAAGGTCTAGCGCCACGCTTGGCTGACGATCATTGCTTGCAGAAAGTCGAAGCGGATGGTATGCACTGTACAGCGGGACCGGCGGAGACGCTGCCGTTGACGCAGCAGTTCTTCGTCTATTAAAGCTGGTGGAGCCAATGGAGCCGACAAGCAAAGCAGAGGCGAGGGAAAGAGATACGCTCGCTTTGTTTGAGTACGGTGCAGTGCATTCTCAAATGTCGTTCATTTTGGCGGCTTCCAGAAATGAATTGAAAAGAGTGTCAATGCTCCGCTCGCAAACGTCATGCCGGATGCATATGCAACAAGGTACTGAATTGATTAGCAGCTATCGTACGACCGAGTATAAGGCTACCAACCTTGTACTTGCCGATTGCGTACGACTCAGTGACAACCTCGCCGCCTAGCCGGAGGAGATGCACTCCCACAGGGCCGACAGAGAGTATAGCAAACCCACGGAGGAAACTGAACAAGCTGTGTACTACAGTGAACAATGCACCGTCGCTCCCGGCAATCTCGGCGAAGAACGGCATCATGCAATTCGTGTAGCCTGTAACCAGTAAGCATGGCTTAACTCCTGTGTTGAGATAGTCTGAGCATTGCTCACCTCCATTGGCGAGACCGAATACAAGTGCATATGCGAACAGGCCAAATCGGGTCTTGACGAAGCCCCACACTAGACAGTGAACGAGAGACGTTGACAGAGCACACAGAGCCATCAGAGCTTGGTAAGATCCGCTGTTCCCTAACCAGCCGAACAGATACATGCCTGGCATATCACCTAGGGCTCGTAAAGACAGTGCGATTGCTTGATCAGATGTGCTGAGCTTAAGATCCGAAGCGAAAGCGGCAATAAACATCGTAGGCACGTTGGTTACAAAGTAAAACAAGGAAGATACAAAGAGATTGTACCAGATCTTGCGAGCTCGCAACGCGGTCCGTTTTGAGACCCTCGGAGCCATGGGTTGGCTGCTGATTGTCGCTGTACGGTATCTGCCTCGGAACAGCACGATAGTTGGTGCCAGCAGGGCCAACATGGGCGCGATCAATACCCGTAGTGTCTTCTCGTATCCATGTTTATCCAATAGCCACTGGCAGACGATCGGAAAAGCAAGACTTCCTACACGCCAGCCCAGCCAGATGACTGCCATCGCTTTGCTCTTCTTTTGCTCGAACCATTCCGAGAAGATTGACACATGAACGAAGTTCAGCATGATACCGCCGACACCGAAGAGGACGCCTTGCGATAGAACGATCTGCCATACTGTATCTGCAATACTGGCGAAGAACATGGCTGCGGTAATGGCAAGAATGCCAAAGACTACAATAGTCCTCCGGTATCTTGGCGAACGCGGCAGAACTTGAAACAGGATGCCCTCTAGGATGTCCTGGAGTCCTGGAGCTAGGAGGCCAAGCAGAAGTGAATCACGGTGTTTAGCGTTCTTTCCTGCTGCAAGGTACGTCTGAAAGATTGGGAAGGCTTGGGGGAATCCTGATGCATAGTGTAAGCCTCGATCTTAGCTACTTCACAGTTACGATCACGGACCCCATACGACGATAAACATGGTAAACGCGCTTGCAACATAACTCCAGGCGCCGAAGCCTTCATCAGCTGGCTGAAGAACGTAGGCTTTGGTAGGTTCGCCTTTGTCATCCACTTCAGAGCTTGACCCTGTTGGCTCTGAGTATATGGTGGGCGGATGGAGAGTAGGTTGCGCTGTAGTCGCATATGCGCCTTTGGGTTGTCGCTGCGCTGGAAGGCCTTCCATTGAAAGACGAAGAATGCCAGATCGGGAAAACTTGCGGCTTCCAAAGCCAGTATTGCCTGCGAAACGCTGCGTCTATCCGAGAATGATGGCAAAGCACTTTTGTAAGGGGAGATCTGAACGACCAGCCCACGGAGTCTTCTACGGGCAGCTGAACGACAAGACGATATTGAACTACCTTGAATTGGCCTGGGTATTAGGCTCGATATGAAGTATTGGGGCCAGGACGCGCGAGTCCAGCGGCTATGCCGACGCCCATGCATGTGGGAAATAGCGCACTTGGGCCGCCTTGTATTCCAACCATTCATGTCTGACCATAAACGCCATGTCGCATGACACATATGCGCAGCAGGCCGCAACGTGCTGCCGGTACACGTTAGAAGACGGTGGTGTGTTAAGGGGATGAAGACCGGAGACACTCAAGCCTGAGGCCGCGAACCCCACACTTTGGCGGTAAGTCCGCCAATCAGCAGGCAGCCACAAGCGCCCATGAACTTTCGTCAGGCCTCGAGAGGCCGAGTTGCTCGACTATTCGTAAACCGTCTGAGCCAGCACAATGTCTTCATCCGTCCTTCAAAGCTTTCTTATGCGATTACAAGCATGTCGTCTGAAAGAGAAGGATGTTCCATCTGCCAGGACGAGGTGCCACCAATCTTCCGTCTGGACCCGGTGAACTCCATAGATCTCTATGAAACGTCTATTCATCAGCTTCAAGAGCATTTCAGCAAGGGCCGTCTGACATCAAGAGAATATACGAGCATCTGTCTCGAACGGATCCGAGCGGTAGGCCTTCTCCCATCGCCTACCTGTATCAAGCAATTTGCCGACTCAGCATCTATCCTTTCTCTAAAGTTGCAGGCAAGACCTGTTTGTACACTTAAACCCCTCTGCTGAACACAGTTATTGTCTCTGACGGATACCGAGTGGGATAGGTCGACCCGTATCTGGAATCTGTGATTGAAGTTAACCCCGATGCTTTGGATATTGCAGCGCAACTAGATCATGAAAGACAGCAAGGCAAAGTACGAGGCCCGTTGCACGGTGTGCCGGTTCTGGTCAAGGATGTACGACATGACCTGCTCTTGCTTTGGTCAAACTAATGTGATGCAGAACATGGCCACTAAAGACAAGATGCAAACCACCGCTGGCTCGTGGGCCCTCCTTGGCAGTATAGTGCCCCGAGATGCGCATGTAGTCTCCAAGCTGCGAGAAGCGGGCACAGTTATTCTAGGCCATGCCAACATGTCTGAGTGGGCATCGGTGCGGTCAAAGGCCTACTCAACTGGGTATTCGCCCCGGCGTGGTCAGGTCCGAAACCCATATGATCTCTCTAGCAGTCCTTGTGAGTGTCTAGCAATCCATGCCCGGACCAAGCTGAATATGACTGGAGCAGTCGGTTCCAGCGGAGGCTCTGCAGTCTCCGTGTCCGCCAATATCGTGCCCCTGTCTTTTGGTACAGAGACCGATACATCCATTATTGGCCCTTCCTTGATCAACGGTGTGGTTGGCATTAAGCCCACTGTTGGCCTCACATCAAGAAACGGAGTTATCCCGATTACTGAGTCTATGGACACGGTAGGCTCAATGGGTCGGACCGTCTACGACGCGGTACTAGGACTTGACGCGATCGTTGGTCCGGACAAGAGAGATCAATCCACCCTCAACCCGAGTAGGCATCAAGAGGATGATTACAATGCCTTCATGAGTGATAGGCATGCACTTCAGGGGGCTAAGTTCGGTATGCCTATGAAGCGGTGCTGGGATTTTGTTCCGGAGGACCAGAGAGAAGTAGCCAACAAAATCCTTGACGCGATTACTGCAGCCGGAGGTGAGCTTATCGAGACTGATTTCCCCTGCACGACGGAACGAATCCCCGAGACTGGAACATGGGACTGGTTGGTCCACCCAGTAATATTGTGGAAGTCTCCGTTGACAGTCGTAGGGAGTTTGGTGAACCGTCGAAATCCGAGTTTACAGTCGTCAAAGTCGAAGCATATAACACGATCAACGCGTACTTATCAGAGCTCTCCAACACGTCCATCAAGAACCTAGAGGATGTGATTGCATTCAACGAGGAAAACGCTGGCACGGAAGGCGCATCGCCTGGAGATCATCCTGCTTTCCCTAATGGACAAGACAATTTTCACGAGATAATCAAGCAGTGCGGCGTCCGCGATGATACCTACCGCAGCGCTCTAGCATACATACAAGAAGAATCACGCCGGTTTGGCATCGATGGAGCTTTGAAGCATGTCAGAAAGAATGGCGAGTCGGTAGAGCTGGATGCTCTGATCTTATGCGATCGAAAAGGTATTGGTCAGCAAATGGCGGCACAGGCTGGTGAGTTTAATTTCAGTCAGTTCGATGCTCTCGGCTGAGTTTCTTTAGGTTATCCTATAATTTGCGTGCCGATTGGCCTTGACGCTGCAGGATTTCCTGTCGGTCTCACACTACACCAGACGGCTTGGAAGGAAGGCGCACTTATCAGATGGGCAAGCGCTATCGAGGATCTAAGGAATCATGTTTTCGGTCCCCGGCCGACTCCGACGTACCGTGAGTATTTATCGAAGAACATCCCGATTGCTCGGAAGTACACCACATGAATGGCGGTGCGCTGGCGATTGGGCAGCGTTGTTGGAAATGCACGTACGGTTCTGGCCTCGGATATCGACCGGAGACCACGAAGCTACAAGGTATTGGAAAGCAGAGTACTCAAGCCGCGCGGTTGCCTGGTGATTGCGCATATGGTTGGGTGAGATCCTATGTATCCTGCGATTCACGCGACCGGCTGTCTACGTTTACTCTGGTGTGATTGATTTCTTATGACAGCAAGCTTAGAAGGCTATCGACACCTGAGTGCAGAGGCCTCGTGGTGTTTTGGGCTGCTACTGTACCTATTCGTAGCTACACGAACACAGAACTGTTTGTTCAAGGGGTTACCGTAACATCTGCTTGCGGGACTAACTGGTTGGTTGTATCACACCTTGAAAAGGGATAGTACAACTGCTCATTTTCGAGACGCTGGATTGGCCTTGCGTTGGTGAGGCCGCCCGCTTGAGCCATCATGGTTTCAAGACAAGCGCCAGGGAACGCCGCCTCACTTCCATGCGTCGCACCACGACCATGGGACCGCTTGAAACAGGCCGGTTTCATAGCGTTGCTCACGGTTATGCTAATTTTACATATTACGCGCGAGGCAACGTGGGTATCTAGGCACCTTATGTAGAAGCCTTGTTGTAACATACGTTTCTCTCATCTTTACTGCTTGAAAATATGGTAAACCCAAGGGATATACTTATCAACATGACGGAGCTCGCGAAGCACCAGCGATACCACCCAAACAAGCGTAATCCGCCGCCTTTCCGCCTAACAGACGCTCCTCAGCCTAAGTCTGTACTGTCAGGCCTCGACACAAGCTCGGACGACAGCCACCGGTGCGACGTTTATATCTACGACGATGCCTCACCGGAGCTTGGTGCATGTCAGAATCCCACACCTTGCTGGCGGACAACTTTCCACCGCGATGGTCATGGTCTCGGTGCTGCTGGGACGCATTCTCATGTTGATCTGAGGCAGCGGCTGGCTGTGGGTATTTCGCATTCAGAGCGACCTGTTACATCAACTGACGCTGGTAGGATCGCAACCGGCTCAGAACGCGCTGGATGTGAGTCGAAATAGACACTCACCTTAGGCTCCAACTCACACGACTAGTAATATTGTTGGGTGGGACGAAGCGGCGATCAATGTACGCGCGGTTTCCGTATGATTTATTTGCTCTTCACTAACATGCCTAGGAAATCACAAACCTGTATATAGGGAACCACAGATGTCTAGACTCACAACAGTCGTCTGGGCAGATTCTCGGCGGTCCTACCAGCGCTCCTGGCGGTCATGAAGGTACGTGCCTCTGCCTTATCTCTTTACTGCTAGGTCTTTCGGCGTGAACTGATAGGCAAAGTCATCTGGATTCAGACAAGAGCGTGGTTTATCGGAAGACGCGCCCCGCTTTGGGCGTCTTTGATCCCAGTGCAGTTCCGAATGGTGGTCTGCTTGCCCACATCAGAGAGCGCTGGTATGCTTTTGACTTTCTCCATCTCATCGCCCGTGCGTTGCTGATGTTCTCAAGGGACCGTCATCACGCACTTCACTGGCCCTTGTCAGTTGGCGGAGGAGATGAGCTCCTTTTGTACAGAGCGTATCATTGACGAGCATCCATACGGTCGAGAGTATCTAGCCTGTGTCTGGATCCTTGCATTCTCCATTCTGTGGGTTGTTGCAGAGCAGTTGGACTTCGCATTCAACGTATTCGATCCCATACAATCTCATCATAGAGCAAGTATCCTGTTCGCGGTATTGCCACGGTTTGAACTGACAGCTGCCAGCTCCCGAGACTTCCGCAACTGGATGATCTTCCGGTGATTATGGAAAAACTTAACAACCTTGCGCTCATCGAAAGGTACTTATCCGGTTTGGAAGAATTTACGGCGTTCTTCCAGTCTGTGCAGCAAATAATCGGATTAGCGCAACACACGGATTTGCTGGCCCCCGAAAGATACTTCAACATTCCAGAAACCCGAAACCGTGCCCAGTTGCAGGCTGTACGAACCAAGAACAAGATTGCACAGCAGCAGAAGCTCTGCAGGATATATATCAACCAGTTCGAAAGCCTGATTCAAATGGTAAGTGAGCTCTTTTCATATTTACCGCTCATGAGACTCCCAATCGTAGTCGGCAAACCTTGAGCCGTCGCCGATACCTTGAGACGGTTAACTAAGTGATCTCTTAGGCCATCTCGTACGGCACATCTCAGATCACCGACAGGCTGGACAAAGGCCGTATAGCCACTGAGCGGTTCACCAAAGTCGGAATTGCCATAGCAGGAATCGCAGCCATAGTCACACCGTTGAGTCTCCTGACCAGCTTCTTTGGCATGAGTGTCACCGAATTCTCGTCAGATGCTACAGCCACTCTCTTTGACTTTTGGCAAATCGGCGTGCCAGTTCTGCTTGCAACCGCACTGGGATTCTCATTCCTTACAGTGTGGCTGTTGACGGACACGGAAAAAGGGAGTAGCAACGGAAGATGACCCGTCACGGGCGAGTCACAGTGACTCATTGCTGTTGTGAACGGTCCGGTGAACACTGGTGAGTCGGACGAAAGGTTCTGCAAGTGATTTCTTGGAAAGCACCCGCGAAAGTCTCCCACAAGCAGAGGGTTATCATCGGTGGGCGAGCACGAAAGACCACACCGGCCGCAAGCATCGCCCGATAACCCAAGAGCAGAGTCAGACAAAATGTCTATCGTCTACTGCACCGCCTACACAAGCCGCTTTAGCCGGTCATTACGAGTGACCGTCAGGCAGGCCTGGAAGGTAGCCTGAGAGCGGGCTGTACCGGCTGTGACACTGTCCGGCGTTCCGTTGCCTAATAAGGCGCGAAGTGATGATGACATATTTGGGGCAAATCATGTCTACTTACCCACGAAATGTAAGTGAGATATCATCACTTGCTCGACAGGACATAACCCAGACACTAAATGAAATTCAGCAGAATACTCTACCCTAAACACTGTCGTAACGCTTCTGCTGGACGGAAGCCATGTGAGCGGTATTTTGATTCGTGGATTGGGAATACCCAGGACTTCGACCGGGTTTTCGGGGTATTTTAGACAGTGCTTTGTAACCGCAAATCTCATTCTGCATACATTAACGGTGGTATGAGCTGAAAAAGATACTTTGATAGAAGACTGTAGACGGGAGAGCTCCACGCGTCGCAGCTGCAGCAAGGTCTTTGCCCGCAGTGATTCGTCCGCCACGAAAGTCGTCGCAGTTTGCCCAATAGTGCGAGCAAGATCCGATGACCCGCATTAGCTGCCGAATCTCGCATCTCTGCACAGTGAGTGGTGGTGTTCTACCGTGACAAATGGACGGCGTGGAGGAGCGGACAGGGCTGTTTCGACGGCCTGCCGCATCTGATTGGCGGGGCGCTGGTGACATCCATGGCTTTTGGTGTTCCACCCAGGGCTTTGGCCTCCGAATTTCTGACCACACACCTCACGCATCGTGCTTCTCCCAGAAAGCCGTGTAGCTCCGCGTGCTGAGCATAAGTCTGGAGGGGGTTGTAGCAGCTGGGTACGTCGGGGATGACCGCCCCGAGGCAAAATGGAGCCTCTTTCATACTTCTTTGCTGCTGTCGCCGCATGCCATGTGCGGGTTGCAGGGCTACCTTCTTACCGTGGAAGCTGCCAGATTCGTGACTGCCCTTTCCGTGTTCTTTCTTCCCCTAATTCACGCTCTGAGGAGCCGCCTTGACGGCAGTTGATTTCAATCTGAGTACCCCATATTCGCGACTTCGAGCCTAGGTATACCGACCCTCCGCCTTCTCTCGACACAGTTAATCTTCCCCATCCGAAAGCTGGACGACAGTCCCTCATACTAGACCTCAAACCTCGACCAAACACGCCCTCTCTTCTCCTCGCCCGCGTCCAGAGTTGTCCGCTCTTTTGGAACGTCCTCCGTACACTCGCTTCCTTCGTTACCCATTCTCGACCCGCAGAACACAGTTTGCCGCGAGCGAGGATTCTTGTGCGGCTTCTTTTAAGTTCGGGGAAGAGCTTGCAACCCGAGAGGAAGACCATCAACGTCGGTACTGCACAGTATATCTGGCGCGTCTACAGACGCGGGCGGCTGATAGAGGGCTGAGCCAGCAGTGATTCCGGCCACTGCCTGCGGTCTTGGCCTTGGAGCACCGGTCCCCGACCGCGAACTCGACGTATCGCAGGATGAAGGCGAATCCGTCATGTACATGCGGCTGAAGAGGTGGACATCGAGCGTGGAGACTTTCTATCATCCCATGTAATACACCGTGGCAGGCGAAAGGAGCATCACCCGAACCCGTAAAGTTGTCGACAAAGTCATCCGAAAGGTGCCAGCCTGAAGTGAACTATGGCGATGAACGCACAGCATCCGCTTCCAGCAGCACTTCAGGGCGCTGCGGTCCTGCAGACGCCTGTGCATTCACCACAACCCTCGCTTAGCTCAATTTCGTCTCGCACACCAGTGCGGAAACTGACGCTCCATGAATATCGGAGGCAGCAGGCCGCACCGAGTCCACCAGCCTCGAGCGAAGGGAAGCGCCTCAAACGGAAGCCGGCCACCAGCGATCTGAGTACGACTGGGCGGTTATCTCCCGTCTCATCTCCGCCAAGAAGCAATACGTCACTGTCATTCTCTCCAACTTTCCGCCTGCAGCGGCCTGAAGACGACTCCGAGGCTTCATTGGAGCACGGCTTGCTCTCGCCGTCCTTCATTTCTCTACCTGCCACATCGCAAAGTCCCTCGTTCCATCCTGCAGAGTCTCCGTCGACAGACGAAGCTGAAAACTTCTACCGTTCCACCACCAGTCGTTTCCGAGACTTCAGCAAGTCCTTCAAGCCAATCAAACACCTGCCTCGTCCCAGCCAGATCAGCACCCGTCCTGCAAATCCCTCACCCCTTCGCTCCGAGTCATCAAGCAGCTATTTAAGACCAAGTATTGGTGGTCTCACTAGCTCGTCAACATTCTCACTCTCAAGGTTTCCGCAACCTCCGCAGGCGGCATATGCGGAGCCTTCCTCCGAACGCGCACAGGATCAATTGCCTCACCGCGCGGCATCTACCAGCGCAGTCGAGTCAGTCCATCCGGGACCGACAGTCAAACCTACCATTGTGCATACTAGAGGCGCGTCGTTTGATGTTGTCAACCCGCATGCGTCCCTTATTGTGTCTGACTTTGAGACTCCCGCAGATCGTGATGTGGATTTGATCGACTACTTCACTAACAACTCGTCCGAGAACTTGTTGTTGCAAGAGAACATGGTAGCGCCATCAGAAGGCGGTGATAGGGAGTGGGTTGGCTCGCAAGGGAAACAAGGACCGGCGCGCGCCATCTACGATGATTATTCGGAAGCATACGACTCGATCGCACGCAACAGGCGCAGAAGCTCAAGGAGGCCCGCGCCTCTCGTAAACCTTCCTCTGCCTCCAGCCCCCGCAACTCTAAACCCGAGGACACCGCCACATGCTAGGCTGGAATCGGGGGAGCTCCTAGCTTCTCCGTCGCTCCGCTCAACCCCGAGTGTAGTTAGCGCAGCCACGTCGCCCAGCTTCATGCAGAGGATATCGAGGGTCCTCCAGCGCAAGAAAGAGAACTCGAAGTCGTCCGGCTTAGCAAGTCCCGAAGAGGGACGAGAGATGACTTTCCTGCCGGCACAGCCTACATCTATCTATCAACCTCGTCTGTTGAGCAGCGTGAACTACTCAACGCCAGTCCTCGGTGCTGATACTGAGCCAGAAATCGAAGTGAGTCGTGATGCTGCACGAGTCTCGATGTCTGACGGCAATCTCGCTCAGGGTTGCTACGATGCCGAATCTTTTTATGCCTCTACCGCCGGCCACAGGGATTCGGAGTCAATGTACCCATCAAGCCTCTTTCACCGCCGAAGTATCCCGTGCGGAGCGAGGCCTAGCGAAACGGACTACGCGGATGGGATTGACATAAGTTCATACTTGTACGAGTTTGGAACTTCTACGCGCAGCAGTCAGAGGCTGTCTCGCCCCCTTCCGGACCAGTTCTTCCGTCATCCCAACATGGACATCAGTGGCGGTCAAGAAAACAGCACCATTGGGAGCATCCTCAATCAGTACGGGGACCAGAATCTGTCACAAGCCTCGTTGATGGATCTTATGAATGCTGTTGATGACGATCCTCCCGGACTGGACCATACGCCGGGAAATAGCGATCACCAACTCATCACCCGGTCGTCTGGTCTTAGTCAGCTCGACTTCGGATTCAATCGCGGGAGCAACCACAGCAGCACGATATCCAGTCCACGGACTCCAGATCAGACAACTTTCCTTCCGAATAGGCTGAGGCCTTCCCGAAACCATCCCGGGACACCGCCAACCGTCCCGCTACCTCTTGGTCCTCCAATCAACTTTGAGGCTCCTCGTCCGTTCTTCGTGATGCCAAACTTGTCTGTTGTTTCTGAACGGTTCTCTTCCTACGGAGACACCCGGAATCTACTGTACCCGCCGTCGCAGCAGTTTTCCTTGGATGATCTGCAGCCGTCTGGCGTGGCCAATCGTTCGAGCAATGCTCGGTCGGCTGTAGCATCTTCTACAGCGCTGCCTTCGCCAAGAATTCAAGAGCCTATCCAAGCACAAGAAACCGGAACAAAGTTTGTAAATCCGGAAAAGACCCGCAAACCTCGACCAACAAGCACTCATAGCGACACCGCGCTTGCTGTTCATTACACCCGCGTACCGGCGCTGAAGAGAAGTCAAACTGAGATCAGACGGCGAAGCCAGCGTGCAATTGACCGCATCGTCGGCGCGGAGCTTGAGCTTGTGGGTCAAAACAATACGAAGAATCGACTTAGTGGGAGCTTCATATTGGTCAGCAATACCAGTACTCCTCGAGATGAAGGTAAACTGCCTATACCACTTGACATCACGCCTCGCTACAATGCCGTCGAAATCGAAAGCGGTTCACCTGGCGAGACGAATGAGGCCGAACTGGACTTTCCCGCGGCTTCGATAGACAGGCCATCTTCGGGTATCCCGAAGATGTGGAGGAAGTTGTCTCCAGTCCGAGCATCATGGAGCAAGGACCAGTCGCCTGGCAAGGATTCGTACGCTGATGTTGATGATGAAGGCGATGAGCACGATTGGGAGACTGTCATGGATCCGAGTCGCCCTGACTTGAAACGCGAGGACACCGACTTCACTACTGGCGAGCCGTTCAGTCTTGAGGGCCTCGACCGCTCCAGGGACTTTCCGAGTCAACTTGGCGACCAGGAATCCGAGAATGGCCGTACAAACCCTCCAGATGCTGGTTCGGGCCAACAAACTTTGCAGCCTTCGTACGACTTCAGAGGCGGAGTCGGCTTCCCCCATTATCATGCATTGACTGCCGCGCCGAGCACCAGAAACCCTTGGCGGCAACCTTCGCCCCTACCTGCCGAGCATATCAATCCTTTCAGCTCTTCCCCACCGCAGATGAGCTTGAGCCCAGAGACAGGCCGTGCTGCATTTCATTCTAGAGGCGATGGCATCTTCACCCCTACAGGCCAACGCACGGCATTCGATACTGACATGGGATTGCTGGAATCCCTCAGGCTCACGCCACAGCAAGAGCAAGCCTTTCTGAGCTCAGGTCCATGCGACTCTATCCTAATAGACAACAACCATTACCTGCAATCGCCGTTGGAGAGCAAAGCCAGCGCAGCAAGCCATTCTCCTGATCATTCCGAGGATTCGTCCAACCCGGCCTTTCCAGCAGTGACGGCTTCGAGTGACTTCGCACTGAAGCGCGACAACTCCTTCGAAAAGCTGGCCTTCCTTGGTCCGAGAGGGAACCTGACCGGTACACCTGAGGGAACTGGTATGCGTGATGCGGGCAGTAGTCTGGCCGATACGAGCAGTCCTTTAATGCCATGGGCCAGTACGCCATTGCGGCCACCTTTCACGAGCTCTCCGCTCACGCAATCTCAACTGCAGTCATCGCCTCCGTCTCAGTTCTCTCCGGCTCAAGGACCAGATCGTGCCACTTCCGGACACTCGTCTAATCCTTCAGAAACGTCCGTGTATTCAGAAGATGAGGCTCACAGGCTGAGCAAGCAGCGACTGTTCCAGCACAGACTCCAACCAAGCCGTGATAGACGCACGTCGCTTCTGTCGCCAAAGCTTACAGGAGGGAAGCGCACATCGGTTAGAGGACAAACAGGACTCCGTGAGATGCGCCTCGCCTCTTCCCATCTATCGGAGAAGGGCAGCATGGTTCCCAGCGACCATACCCGTCTCTCTCACTTCGTACCTGCATCAGAATGCGGCACCGACGCGCCACTCCACCCTGTCTACACAAACCGGCCTCGCGAATTCATTCTGCCTCGGAGCCAAGTCAGCCCGCATATCCTACCATACCCTCGCCCTGCATCTTCTGTTTACACCGTCCACCGCAGGAGGAAACAGCGCCTTTCTTGGCTCATCTTTGTGATGCTGATGTTCTTCCCGCCGTTTCTTGTCCTGTATGGATTCGGCAAGTTCGACTGGCTTATCATGAGCTTTTCCAAGGGCGAGATCCAGCACTGCGGGCGCTATCAGAAGAAGGTTGCGCTCTGGACAGGCGTTGTGGCGAGCTTGATACTGCCGGCTGTGGCGATTGCGCTGTTGCTGATGTACCACTTCGGTCTATTCAGAGCTTGAGAGACACTATGCTCTTGCGTCTGCTCAACACAAAGTTCACTTGGTTACACGCTTGAGGATGTTGATTATCAGTCCTCCGTTTCCACGTCTTGTTTTTCCGTCCGTCTGGACTTGACACCCCTTTTGTTCACGATAGTACGCTTTAATTAACGGTCATGAATCTGTTTGTTTTCTGCGCGTATTAAAAGTGGAGATCCTTCAAGGTCTCTGACAGCTCTCTGGTGTGGGTCTCTGAGTAGAAATAACACTCAGGCGGCGTAACAATGGAGGATCGATCTGTAAGAGTTGGCGTCTAGGGCAGCTCTTGCGGCATCGAAGTGAAACCAAGGATGGGATGGGATGCGATGGAAGGTTTGGGCTTGAATAGCGGCGTCCCAAATGTGTATGCTGTACAGATAAACAGTACTGCAGCAATGCCACGACCAAGTCGTGCGCTCAATTAAAGCTTCTGCTGCCTCACTTGTTTCGCGACACTGATGCAATAAACAGAAAAGACATGGTAAATGGTCATTCCCCATTAAGCGATCTAAGCCACTCCACAATAGGTACTCCGTGATGCTAGTCGCAATTATCACGACACGATCCGTAAGATCACAAAGGACGCGTCAAAAGAGTATTATGACAGCGCTCCACGGCTAAAATAAGCGTTTTGCGTGTTTAAAGGAGGCTTCGGTTGCAGAGTGAGCTTTGTGAGATTGCTATTTGCGACACAGCGAAAGCTAGCTTTCTCTACCGTACATCCAAATGAACTGATGAGGAACGAGGGCTGTAGGCATTTAGCTTGAGGATAGAGTTCTTTTCAGTATGTTAGAATCGATAGAGTTCAGCACATCCGGCGACAACATCAGGCGCCCATATGTCGGGTGGGAAAGCCTCTGTCCGGTGAGGCGCAGCTCCGCGGACAAGGTTGATACTCTCCTGTATCTAGTGGATCTCCAGTAGCTCAGGCCAGCCAGCGCTGAAGCTAGGCGATGCGATTGAGCAGCCCGCGCCGGCGGCGAATATCTCCCACAAGCTCGGAAGGCTACCGCAGCTAGGTTGGGGTTTCAAAGAAAAGATGACTTGCAGATCACAAAAGATAAGAGTGATGATCTCCAGCTTTGCACCAATGACAGCGTCAGGATGTCCCTGCTTGGACCAACGGCTGAACGGCGCCGCCCGCAACTTCACATGGAACAGCTGCACACGGACAGGAGTCTGCCAAACACCTCAGCTCTCTCACCACAGCTCCCCGCATTTAGCCCTAGGACATTTGCTATCAAGCACCTTATCTCAAGAGGCTGGAGCGCGGAGTTGCTACTGTGTGGTGTCACGGCTCCTTCACCAAAACCGCTTACCGGCCGGGCTGCATGTATTGTCCCACATCCCACGATTTCATCCCAGCGTAGCGGCTACGACCCATATATCTCCTTCCATTAAACGCGCCGATATGTGACTAGCATGTATGCTAGCTCCTTATCAGACCGTTACTCGATGTCTCGACCAACAGAGATGTCTTATCAACACGGCATGGGCTGGGATGTAACACCACACCATGCAATCAATTGCCATGCATAGGCGCAATGAAGAACGGCGGCTGTCAGCTATCGCGGAAACCATCATGTCCCAAGCTCTCCTACCCACATTTGCCAGACTGGTTGCTGTCTACTTAGCTGTCGTTGTTCGCTGTTGCTTTGTACAGAACCACTATCCCGCCAACCGACTCAGGCCTCTCCCGCTGTGGAGCATTTAGAGAAGTAACAGAAGCAATATGGCGGCAGTTTCAGAGACCACGCCTCCGCTCTCGCAGGCCTTTGGTTATGGGATCATCGTTGGATTGGGGTTCGCCTTCGCGTAAGTCAACTGCCGTATGGAATGGAGTGGAGGAAGCCGACTGACTGCCCAGGTTCGGTATGATCTTGACGACGTTCGTGCTCAAGAGGTAGGCGCACATTCTCTCTTAGTTGCCTCTTCTCGATGAGAGTATACCAAGTCCTGCGTGTAACGGTCTCAGTCCATATCTGATCCGCATCGCCGCACCCTCAGCCCTGCCGACGCTTCCCCTAATGCATCCTTGTCTCGGAGTCTATATCCACTCGGACTTTAGTCGGGATTCTTCTTTAACTCAGTTTACGATTCTGCCAAAACAAGCAGGTACTAAAGTCGCATAGATACAACTATGAGGTACAGACCAGTGAGATGTTCAGCACTGCTGGGAGAACCGTCAAATCCGGCCTGGTAGCATCAGCCGTTGTTTCCAGTTGGACATGGGCTGCGACACTTCTACAGTCTTCTGGAGTAGCGTATTCCTAGTATGTATACCCAGGTCGTTGACCACGTGGGACAAATACTGAGGCTATGTAGTGGCGTCTCCGGCCCTTTCTGGTATGCCTCTGGCGCAACAGTGCAGATCATCCTATTCGCCACACTGGCTATCGAGTTGAAGCGCAGGGCGCCCAACGCTCACACCTTCCTGGAAGTCATTCGAGCACGGTACGGGGCCGCCACCCATGTAGTCTTCATGGTTTTTGGCCTCATGACCAACATCCTGGTTACGGCTATGTTGTTAACCGGAGGCAGCGCCGTTGTCACATCGCTTACGGGCGTTCACACGGCAGCCGCTTGTTTTTTGCTTCCCGTTGGCGTGGTGTTGTATACCATGTTTGGTGGGATCAAGGCCACTTTCCTGACCGACTACGCTCATACCGTAGTCATCTTGGTCATCATCTTCACCTTCGCTTTCACGGCTTACGCGACTAACGATGTTCTCGGGAGCCCCGGTCGCGTTTACGATTTACTGGTCGAGGCCTCTAGCAGGCATCCAGTCGAAGGAAATGCAGGAGGTAGCTACCTCACCATGCAGTCCAAGGAGGGTGCCATCTTCTTCGTCATCAATATTGTGGGTAACTTCGGAACTGTGTTCTGCGACAACGGTCAGTCATCCCATAAATTGCCCATCAAGGGCTCACCACTCATGCTCTCTTCAACAGGTTATTACAACAAAGCCATTGCAGCCAGCCCGGTGCACGCGCTTCCAGGCTACATCATGGGTGGGCTCAGCTGGTTCGCGATCCCTTGGTTAGCTGCCACAACCATGGGCTTGGCCGCTCTTGCGCTCGAGAGCAACCCGGTCTTTCCAACCTATCCGAATAGAATGTCCCCAGCGGACGTCTCGGCCGGGCTTGTTTTGCCTGAGGCTGCGGTTGCCATGCTTGGCAGTGGTGGTGCTGCTGCGACACTGCTGCTCATCTTCATGGCTGTCACCTCAGCCATGTCTGCGGAGCTCATCGCCGTCTCGTCGATCTTCACTTACGACTTCTACCAAACGTACATCAATCCACAGGCGAGCGGCAGGCAACTTATCTATATGAGTCATAGCTGCGTCGTTGGCTTCGCTGTTGTGATGGCAGGCTTTTCTACCGCCTTGTACTACATTGGGTAAGCTAGGCCCATCCAGGCATGGAGAGAATTAGCTGACAGTTTACTTCAACAGAATATCTATGGGCTACCTCTACCTCCTCATGGGCGTCATAATCTCCGCAGCCGTGCTTCCCGCCAGCCTGACCCTCCTATGGAGTAAACAGAGCTGGGCAGCTGCCACTTTCTCTCCCATTCTAGGCTTCGTCTGCGCTCTCGTTGCGTGGCTCGTCACAGCGAAGACCCAAGGTGGGGAGCTCTCGGTTGCTACGACAGGTGCAAAGTAAGCTCTAAACCTGCGAGCCAAGCCGTGCCCTTGCAGAAAACAGTGACTGATCTTGCGCAGTAACCCCATGCTTGCTGGCAACGTAGTGGCATTGCTGTCTCCGATGATTTTCGTGCCTATCCTAACCTTCGCCGTGGGCAAGCAAAACTACGACTGGATGTCCATGAAGGCCATCCGCAAAGGCGATGACCACGACCTTGCTGCTGCCGCCAATGTTGATCTAGAACTAGTCCCTGGCGAATCCCATGACGAGGCTCTGGAACTAGAAGAGCAGCATAAGCTGAAGAGGTCATCCCGTATCGCACGAATCCTCACCGCGGTCATGACGCTGGCGCTTCTCGTTCTCTGGCCGATGCCTATGTACGGCTCTGGCTATATATTCAGCAAGCCTTTCTTCACCGGTTGGGTTGTTGTCGGGTGAGTAATATTCAGCCCCTCCACGGAGTAGAACCATGCTAACGAGACCTTAAACGGTAGTATCCTATGGTTGTTCTGCTCAAGCTTCTGCGTCGGCCTGTACCCACTTTGGGAAGGCAGGCACACCATGGCACGCACCTTCCGCGCAGTCTATTTGGATGTCACGGGGAAGAAGAAGCCGAATGTTGTCCACGGAAGAGCACAGATGATGGAGGATAGCGGCACCGCAACGCCGACGGAGAAGGGCGCCGCAGAGGCGGGCGGCAAGCAACAGCTTTAGGCGCCAAGTCGTGATCTGCTGGGCATGTAGCTGTGATAGTACGACGCAGCTAAACGATGCGCTGCTATAAAACTTGGCTAGACGTCCTGTCGGCAGCTGTAGCCACATCATTCCCTTTTATTCACATTGTTGCGGCAGTAGATACCCACAATGCGTTCTCTACCAATTCGACGGATATACTTAGATGGTGCACACACAATCACATGTAAATCATGTTCAGGAGTGATACATTGCATTCCTTCGTCGTCCTCAGTCCTTAAGCTATTCAGTGGACAACTGGGTAAATTCTAAGACGCTGCGCCCCTTGACGATGTGGCTGTGCTTGGGGCTCAGCCACATTCTCTGACGTAGCGCGGTCGGGGCGGTCGCATGGAGGGGCATCATGAGGCCCGCTTGTCAACATGTGAGACTTCCCTGGTCTTGATCCTGCATATCCACGCCTTAAGAACTTGGACCTCACCTTAATACTTTTCTAATCATCCATCCATCCATAGACCAACTGCTCAGGACCTTCGAATTGAGAGAACCCCGCAGTAAACATGGCAGGCCATCACGACCCCCGACTTCTCTACTCCATAGGAGGCATCAAGGCCTACCACATTCAAGGCGGCGAGGAAGCTTCGCTCACGCCGTCAGGACCTCAGACACTCTCGCTGTTGATGGTCCCAACCTCATCGCCTTTCGCCGATCTGAGCAACACGCAGGGCCAGCATGAGGCTCCGGAGGAGGACTTCTACCTTCACCTCAACCTCCCCCCTGAGCTCGACCTACCGCTTCCAGCAACAACACAAATCTACCATCAGCCGCCACGAAGCTATCTTATTCCACGATGGGACCTCGGGCCCGACAGTGGAGCGTTCACACGCATCGAGTTTCCTCCTATAGGTCGAGGCCCCGGACAGTGCACGCAGGAGGATATCGACACGTTCGAGACTATACTTGCTCAATGCACATCCTTCATGGAGCGTGCCACGGCACCGAAGACGGGGAAGGGGGACAAATCGTACAACCCCAGTGATTACAAGCCTGGTGAAGGCTATGCGATCGGCACGGGAAAAACGCATAATGGCCAAATCGTCTTGGTCGATGAAGACAATGGCAGCGTGGTTGGGGAGCTGGCCGAGGGTGCTCACGTGGTAGAACACCCAGACCTGAAGCATGGCAGCAAGAGTAAGAAATCTCCAACATCCAAGTGCCTCCATCGAGCGCACGTGATACTAACAGCTCCTAAAGATCCTGTAGAAATCCAGATCTCGCAAGACGGGACTCGCATCGACGTTCGTCCCGTAACCGAAGACTATCTCGGCATGGCCAGACACCCGGCTTACAAGGACTCGTCCATTGTTCAGAACGCGGCAGTCGCTTCCCGTCTGATCGTCACGAGCTCGGGCTACATCAGCAGCGTGCTGACCCAGGGAGCCGACAGCTTCACTAAGAAGGTGAAGCCGAATCCGACGCCCATGACGTTCCAGCCAGCAACGTACGAGCGCGTGAGGAAGATGAATAATCTGACTCAGGGCGCAGCCGGGATCTCTGCCAAGACAGTCGGCAAAGCGACCCAGATCGCACAGAACCTAGGCGCATCTATGGCGGGGAAGAACAAATCTCGGTATGGAAGGGCGTACGACCAACATGGGAGGCCTGATGAGACCTACAAGCCGGGCTTCCTGAACAAGTCGATGATCGCTTTCTCTACCATCATGGACGGCGTCGAGTACTCTGGCAAGAATCTCCTTAAATCAAGTGGCGCCGCCGCGAGCACCATGGTCGGCCACAAGTACGGTGCAGAAGCTGGAGGGATTGCTGCCGAGCTTGCTGGCGGTGTTAAGAATGTTGGACTAGTCTATATCGACGTCACTGGCGTCTCACGCCGGGCAGTCATCAAATCAGTGGCCAAAGGAATGGTCGTTGGCAAGGTCAAGGGCGGAGGTGAGATTGTTGTCGGAGGAGGCGACGGCGGTGTCATTCCTGAGTCGGACCTCAAGCAAGCAGGTGTCAGCAATGACAACTTGGGTACAGGAACCTCGAGGAACCAGCACCGTGCGCCGAGTCCCGGAGTGGTAGGCTTCGGCAACGCTGCTCCTCCGTCTTACGGATCCGGTGTGGGTGAGCCACTGGGTTCCCAGGGCCCTCAGGGTCAGAATTTGGGCGGCAAACGCTGAGAAGTTCTGTTTCGCATCTTGGGAGGACTTCTTTGTTTGACATGCCATTTATGACTCTTGCTAGACTTCGTCTGTAATGCATACCAATTCAAGCATGTTTTCGACCTACTCACTTGGTATGCCCCATGAGCGAACACGATGCTCTGCTCGGGTATCGGAATGGCATTCTTGCATCGACAACGATGCATACGTAGGCATCCGATGGACTCACACTTCAAGAGAAGCTTTGTCTATCAGCAAAGGCCATCCAAAAAGTTTGCTGCCGCACTCAAGGTGGATACTGCGCAAGCGCAGTTCACAGATCAAAAACACCTCAAATGGTCACCGGACCGAAGGGCCATACTGCTGAACATCTCATGCTTTCTATCGCATGCAATCGGTCTTCTTATTCAATATTCGATACGATCTTGGGTCCAGTTGGATCGTGAATCTGGTAATGAACAAGGCGGAGCAAACATGCGGCAACGGCCCCTTTCTAGATCGTCTCCGCCCACAAATTCCGCTCCGCCATGCAGCTGACGCCCTGATGACGCGCTTCCGCGGCGCGTAACAGCTGACGCGATCGCTCCGGTCCGGACGACCATCCTTAAGCTACGCTACCCCACAAAAGACCCTCAACCCCACACTCCCGTCTTCAAGCCCCACAAAACCCTTCACGATGCCACTGCTACCCATCTTCCTCATCCTCGGCATCTTGCTTGTCAAAGCCATAAGCCTCGTGGCCGTGGGTTCCTGGATGCGGACCTGACACAAGCTCCTCGCTCCGACTTCCGCGCGCATTCACACAAACCCCCGCCCTACTTTACCGCCCTCCCGTATCCGACAGCCCCCCGCTTGTCGAAGTCAGACCAGACCGTCCAGCGGCCATCGCGCAGCATGTCAGCTTTCAGCGCCGTGCCGGTCCTCCCGCTCGCGGCGGCGCGCGACCCGGACACGAAGCCGGCGTTTCTGGATCAGCTGCGGGATGCGCTGCTCAATGTTGGGTTTTTGTATCTGTCGGAGACGGGGCTGGATGAGGGGCTGGTGGAGAGGGTGTGCAAGGAAACCGTGGGGTTCTTTGATGAGCTGCCGCTGGAGGAGAAGGAAGCGATCGAGATGAAGAATCAGAAGAGCTTCTTGGGGTGGAGTCGGGTGAGTTCGGTTCCCTTCGGTGGTTACTTCTTGGGAGGGGGCTTGGGTTGTGAGAGTATTGAAAGATGGACTTGCGGCTTCCTGTGATTCTGGCAGTGGAGCTTCGAAGTTTTGGTTTAGCCGTTTTGGTAAAGACGATGAATGAATTGCTTTTGGTTGATTACAAAGTGTCTATATGTCTTGCGACGGATATTCTGAAAAAAGCGTCTCTCGTGTCCCAAGAAAAATCAAGTTCTGCCCTCTTCGTTGTTGTCCAGCTGCATGGCTTTGAACTGACCAATCCACGCAGCTCAACAACGAAACCACCGCCTCTCGCCCCGACTACCGCGAACAGCTCGACCTCTCCACCCCGCAACCCATCCCTGGCCCCGACGCGCCACTCTACCACAATCTCCTCGCACCCAACCAATGGCCCTCACCACAGCATCTCCCGCACTTCCGTCCTGTATTCGAGGAATACATGCAGCAGATGTCCGCCATCTCGACCTTCTTCACCTCCCTGATCGCCGAAGCCTTGGGTCTGCCGGCCACAGCCTTCGACCGCTTCTTCGACGCCTCGCAGCAGCACAAGCTCAAGATCGTAAAGTACCCAGAGGCTGCTACTGACAGCGACGATGCAGCAGACAGGCAGGGCGTGGGTCCCCACAAGGACTCCATGCTGACGAGCTACCTGCTGCAAGCGTCGCCGCAGCGCGGGCTGCAGGCCCAGAACTTGGCCGGAGAGTGGATAGACGTCTCGCCTTTGCCGGGAACGTTGGTGGTGGCCATCGGACAGGGCATGGAGGCGTTGACGGGAGGCGTGTGCGCGAGTACTACGCATAGGGTGTTGAGCCCGAAAAAGGGAGAGGGGCCGAGGTTCAGCGTGCCGTTCTTCCAGGGCGTGAGCTACGATGCGAAGTTTGAAGAGATGGAGGTGCCCGAGGATGTTAGGCAGTTGAAAGAAGAGAAGGGGAAGAGGAGAGACGATGTTGAGTTTACATTCGTGAAAGGTCGGTGGGGCCACCTGGGGGAGGCGACGTTGATGAACAGGGTCAGGAGTCATCCAGATGTTGGTGAGAGATGGGTGGGTACTCCTGATGGTGCTCGTTGCAGCGCTGCTACGGAGAGACTTTGGTAACCTAATGGAGAACATGCGCTAACGGTAAACAGTATCCTGACTTGCTGGCCAAGATTCGCGAACAACAGGCGCGTAATGCAGGAGCTTTACAGACAGCGCATTGAGTAGAAGGGCGACGTAGGATAAAAGAAGTCGGCGCCCGGCGTGTAACTTGGACGGCAGCTCCTCGGCAGCCGAAGCTGCTCTGCGCCTTTCTGACGTGTGTGACTAACGTCGAGCCAGCGACCAGTCCTATTAAAATGTAATATTGTCCTAAGTGCTTCGAAAAGAACTGTTCCACTGCGTGTCTGCTCGTCGATACAATCCGCTGTACATTCCGCAATCGCGGTGCCGTGCCTCTCACTGTTCAATCTTCATATTAGATGATAATTGGTACATCATGTGCGGTGCATCAACCTGTGTCCTATGCATCATATGGGTACCCTCGCTCGGATGAGGAGACGCATAGGCTTGCACGGTAGAGTATGGAGCATAAGCGGACGACGTCGTCATGAGAGGCGTCATATGCTGTCCTTGATACTGAGGCGGCTGAGAACCCGGGTTCAAGGTGGGCATGTACGCGACTTGATGTTGCCCAAGCTGCGGATGCGGCTGCTGTTGCTGATGCGGCTGGTACTGCTGGGGCTGCTGCTGCTGCTGCTGCTGGTAATGCGGCCGGCCGCTCGCGTCGACCATGTAGTTGTAGCTAAGCGAAGGTACGGTGGCCTCAGCTGGGTGGTGATGATGCGTGCTCAACTCCGGCAGGGATACAGGAGTCCCGAGGCGCTGGGAATGCGCACCCCAGCGCATGACTTCCGAAGCGCTCGAGATGTCGCCTGACAACGTTGAGGGCGCTTCCATGGAGGTGGAAGTCAGTGCTGGACTGTACCCGGGGTGCGACGTCCAGTGATCGGGTTGAGAGAGGATGCAAGGAGGAAGGGGAGTAGCATGCACCGGAAGCGGCGGTAAGCTCGGCGCTACACTGGACATAGGGGACGGTTGATGATGGTGGTGCGTGATGTGGATGCGATCAGGTGGTGACGGCGCTCCAGAGCTAAGCATACCACCGTCGGAGCCCAGAAGATTCCCTGTACCTAGGATTCGTTAGCGGTGTGTTTCTCTTGGGACGTGGCACGGTAAATGAACGACAGAGCAGGGCAGCGATAAACGGCGAGGACAACATTGACTAGGTAAGAGAGCTACACACCTCCACTCTCCGCATTCAGTGCTGCAAGAGCATGACTGAGTTTCGATCGGAGAGAGTTGTTCTCACGCTTCAGCTCTTCGATGCGGCGCAACGCGTCAGCCAGTCTTGTGTTCTCGTCCTGGATGGCGCTGAGCTCAGCAACTCGGCGCTCAAGCTGTTCGATGTGGTCCTTGGTCCGTTGTCGAATCGCCCTCTGAGCTTCTCTGTCGTTTGCACGTTTTCTTTCGAGTTGTGCTGCTGTCAGTGTTGTCACACTTCGAGTGCCAGCCCGAGATGCCCTTCTCTTGGGCCCGGACGAGCTGCGCTTTCCTCTAGAGTCGGAGTCCGAGGAGCAGCTCTCGTGCGGGGGTGTCCTCTTCATGTCAGACATGTTTAGGTGGTCCAGGCGGCTCATTGGGCGACAAGTTCGACAGCTTTTTGGGATCTTGTGAAGTCCGCTCCAAGACATCGGTTTTTTAGCTTGGGAGGATTGCGTGGTCGTGACGGAGGATCGAGCGTGTCACTAGGGCTATGTACCAAACGGGACCGTGGTCAGGGTCAGAAGCGTGCTCTTGATGATACCCTCGGCAGGCAGTAAACAGGATGACGGGGGGTTCAATTGGCGGCCTCGTGGCGGGCAAGGGCGAGCTCAATCAGAGTATCAGACGTACGATGTTGGTTCTGCTCAGACCGCTTGCTGCACAGGCACCTTGGCTTTCTTATGAACCCGGGGCAGGTCGAGCGCTTTTGAAGCTTCTAGTGCAAGCGACCCGGCATGGGCAGCCACGTGAATGACCCTTGCGGGAAGGGGGCTTGCATTGACTTTCAGACAGCCATGACGCCCCGGATGCGCGGTCCGCGATATGGACCGTAAGATGCACTCAGAATGTGCAGATTTTTGTCCGGGGTTTTTCTTGGATCCATGCCGCGCGGTCCCCCTCGTCTCGTCGTTACAACAGGGGCAAGACACCACCAAACCTTAAATCCAGCAGCGTGGCCGCATCAGTCCCACGGATCGCCGAGCCCCCTGCTCGATCTTGGGGCGCCGGCGACGGGATGGGGGAGGATGGAGGATGGAGGATGGGACCGTCGGCTTTGGGCTCGAAGATGCTAAGTCAGCAGGAGTGGTTCGGCCCACAGCTGTCAAGCACCCCCCCAATTCCAATCCATTACGAGACGGGAATAACTGCTGCCTAGGTAACGTTACGCTCCCAGAATCAAGACTGACAGCTACCCAGGTCCACGGGACAATCCCAGTTCCGCCCCCATGGCCGGGGGTCGATGCAACGTGGGTCTGCCAAGCCCCCACCTTCCGCTTTCCCCACCTGGGCAGCGACGGTGCAGGTCGTTCCCAATCTAGGCGAGCTTCATTTGCTTTAGGGCGAGCTTGGCGCCCGAGCTGGGTCTTTTGCCCACGTGGACGATCCGCAAGACGACGCCCATTCCGGCAAGACTCAACCCTCTCTGCTGCGCGGAGATCTGCAGGGCCATCGTCCGGCGAGCTCTTATCGCAGTGTTTGCACCCCCGTGGGCAGAGAGCCTGAAACAAACCCTAGAACAGAGCTGCCCGTCAGGTAATTCTGTGACGTACTACAATCCCGGCCCATGTTTGAGGACTGATGCTCGGTTCCAAAGCCGAAGACACCATAATCTGAACGAAGCATGGCGTGGAACAGCAAAAGCCGCTGTCGTCAACTTGCAAGGGCTGCCCAAAAAGGACGTTGCCGCCTTGCAGCCACTACCGTTCTCAGGACCACGCTGCGGCTGAGCTGAACTTAAGGTCCTCTTGATGGTGAAAGCCTTAAACCGGTTCCGTGCGGTAGAGACTGCGAGTTGTTCAGCAGTGTAACGTCCTAGTGTGTTGCACACCTACAACGTCCTCGAGGTAGGAGCTATGTTTGGATCATTCACCTTGATGTTCACGAAGAGCTCTCTGCGCGGCAGCGGCTTTGTTGGCTGGCCCTTGTCGTACATGCCCAGCCAGTTCTGCCTCGGTCGTCGCTTGGGGGACCACTGTCGCAAGGGCGTAAGAGATTTCTCGATGCCCGAATAACATTGGGTGGCTTGCACCGTTAGGGTTGTTGGCGACGCCTTCTTGCGATGATGGCGCATCGCATCGAAGCGACGCCCATGGCAATCCTAGTTCATTTCGACCATGGCCGTGCTCCACGCCACGGCATGGCACCCTGGAAGTACCTCCGTACCAGCAGAGCAACAACAGCTGCTCATGGATAAAGTATGTGGTATCTCCATTCTCGCTGCTTCATAGATTGCCCACTTCGCCGTTTCGAATAGCGTTCTACGCAGCATCTCGGGTCTTCAACATGCCACATCCCAGCCAATACCACCCCACGAGCGAAAAAGGCCAGCAGAAGAGCTTCCGTATCCAAAGGAGGTGGCCGTCCACAGGTACCTCTTGACTTTACGAAGACGAAATTACTCTCAGCATGCGCCCGTTAGCATCTTCTTGCCGCCTCATTGGATTGGTTTGATCAGAGCAGCCGTAAAAGCTAATTGCGCCTACCGGAACCGTGCCCGCTTACCGCGCCCTTCGTGCAGTGGATCACCCGCTGATCGCTGGCGCCAAATTCCCGCCCCCTTGGTGGTGTTCTCCGGTCTTTCGGACGGACGTTGGGCGCGCACCGCAGGACGCCTCGGGCCTGCCGGCCGCTTCGTGCGACGGAAGCTGAGAGAAAAAACAGTCAAACGATGCGCAGCATGCAGCTGGCGCTGGCGCTGGCGCTGGCGCGGGCGGCGCACTGGAAACCCGGGTAGAGCACCGTTCCCTGGCTCTGCGGAAGATCGCATGCATTTGTTGCCCCGACAGGGTATGGTCGCCGTTTGTTCGACTACGGCTCTCGCGGGCATCATTTCTCTCAACCACTCTTGGGGTCTTTTCAGCTCCGATGTTGTGTTGATGCCTCGATTGTGCCAAGGATTCAGTTACTGTCCTTGGGCAGCAATTCGGCGCAATTATCTACGAATAGGATGGCTGAGCAACCTCAGCACGATCGAGGGAACACTAAGGTCTCGATATATTGCTCAACCAGGTAAACTGCTGTTATGGCGTTTTTGGCACAAACCTTAACCTCGGCCGCACAAAACACCATCTCGGATCAGTCGTTCATACGTCCGGAAGTTGCGCCACTTCACGAACCCAACACACTGTTAAGGTTTCCCGACCGGCAGGTCACCCCCATTGCGTGTTCAACGCTCCTATTCGCGTTTCCTGGAACTAAAACCTCTTCTTGAGACATGCGAGATCCGCCGCATGCATACGAGAGCGGCATACTGAAAATTTCTGCCGAATCCATGCTGGTCCTTCTTGCTACAAGATGCACTGCTCTTCCCGCATGTTTCAGTTTCGTTGTTCCCGTGGGTATCTCTGTGCTCCATTGGACACATATGGCAGCACCGTGTCGTCATTGCCAGAACCAAAACATCCACTATGCGGCTACCTTGTGTCGTGCATCTACAGTAGTTGGAACCGATGTATCAGGAGGTGCAAAATTTTCTTCGGTGTGAGGTGTATACCCTGCACAGCTGAAAATAAGAGGGAACCGTGGAAGCGGTCATGCACTGCAGAGGCTTCCCCGACATGCGTACAATTATTGCATGCATGAGAAGGGTTCCCTTGCTTAGATCTCCCACTCTATCCCTGTCCATTTGCCGTTACCATCTTGTTATATGCCAAGCACCTTTGACGTCTTCCAAGCTTTTAGATCCCAGTGTGTTGCAATTACACCGCTTGTCTTCCGAATATCCTGCATGCATCAAAGCGCGCTAGATCCTTCACACACTCATCCGCCACCGCAATACCACCGGTCAGTCCTTTAGCTCTTCCCGCTGTTCACGCTATAATAGTCACACACCTCACTGCATGTAGAGGTTGAGTAGCGGGTCACCCGCATGAAACATATTTCTGCTGTTTTGTGCATTCAGCTTCGTCTTGATTCAAGACGGCAGGGAGGATCGACACCTACTGGCGAGTGGGAGAACACCGGTGAGTCACTCAACGTCCTCCGTTCGGATAGAGCACCTGGTACTGAAGCGTGTTTCCCGCTGGACCTAAGTGCAGTATCTTCGGGTTGGTTTGGGTGCTGGCTTCCGAAGAACCTCTATCCGTCCCCCTGAAGTGCAGTTGGAATAGGAGTGCAACACAGCATTCAACGACGACATCAAAGGGGTCAATCACGCCGTGAAGTTGCATCCGCAGTGTTACCCCCACAGACCTCCGTCCATACTCTAATAGTACACTCTGGGTCCGGACGCACGAACGGCGATTTCTTTGATCGTGGGAAGTCCTGACATGTAAAGCCTTGTGATTTGTGGTGACGCTTCAGGAACAAGCTGATCCCAGCGACTGGCCGCCGACATAATCATGTCGACGCTTCCAGTACGTCGAGCCTCGCAATTGTGAAGTTAATTAGTGACATTGCAAGGTCGCATGTGTATACCATCTACCCGCTCAACTGACCTAGTCACGGCATGCAGCCTTGGAATATCATCAGTAACTTTAGAAAGCGCTTTATAATCTGGAAGCGGGAATTGAAGATATGCTTCACTAGACACATGTCGGAGATTGTCAATCCACTTCGCACTTCAAGCGCAGCATCTCCCATGCTTTTAACATGCTCTATCTGATGTGTTGAACGTCTAGTGGCGTAAGGCAACATGTTCATCCATTGATTTTGCGTGCTGAGAACAAGAGAAGTGAGCCGAGTTGCAGTTATATGTCCTCTGCCTTCCTTCGTCTGTGTTACCGCACAGAAGCACTCCCTTCAGGCTGAAGTCTATCCACCCTGTGGAACAAGTCAGACAAAAGGTCTTTATGTCTTGCACTAGCATCTGTACAGCATCAGATTCGAAACATGCACTGCGCGAATTTGCAAGTCCCACCAGCGTTCCATGCACGAAAGAGGAAGTTTGATATTACCGCCATACACATTCCGACCCACCCCATCCGCTCCACTCCGCAAGAGAGGTTGCCTGCCCAATCTCAACACCAAAAGCGAAGACCTGTTGCTTACATAGCATCCTTCTTATCGTGCACCTTGGTTCCCCATATCCCTACCTCCCGTAGCACATCCCATCCGGCAGGGAGCTAGGCTATGCAGCCAGCCGGCCGTAGGGTGGAGGCGAGAATCCCGCCAGAGCGGAATCACAACGCCTTCGCACCACAGCATCCCACACGGACGGCACTCACGTCTCCCACGTGGAGCGTGGATGGAGAACCGCAGTGGCGGGAAAGCTTGAACGCGGCGCGGATGTGAAAATCTCTGACCATGGCTTACGGCCGCAACAGCTGCGTCCTTCCCTTTCTTGTTAAAGGTGCAAGGGGGACCCGCTGCCGAACTGCTTCCTACAGTTTTACCCTACCCAGCCAATCCCACGGTCATCGCGGGTGTTCACGGGGGCTGTTCGGCGTCGCCGAGCACACTTGCTCGAGTCTGCTACGGTGCTACCGTGTGAAACGCGAGAGGTGGATCGGCTTGGGCTCCTAATATTTTGCCGCTTGTCGCTTTCGTGGGTGGCCAGCTTCACTGTTGGTGTGGCTCAGTATGATCCTCTGACGCCGCGCTGCCTCTGTTGGTGAGACAAGATGCTGCAACTCCTCATGGAGCCCCCCACCAGACAGTATCCACCTACTGGATTCGTAAGGAAGAAGCATGCTGCGACGCTTGGGCAGCGTGTTTCATCGTGCTGCTCAAAGCACCTACTACTTTCAGCAGAAGGACGAAATTTGCATGTGGTTTGGCCTCACAGGGCCATCCCAGTCTCCAGTCATCACGAGTTTGAAAACGTGCAAATTCTTAGAGGCCCTGTGGGTGCGCTTAGGGCGGATGCTTCTGTCTCCTATCAGGAGAAGGGGTAATACTGTAATGCTTCTCAAGCGTCTCAGAGAGCCTGGTGTTCTAATTGCAAGTGAAAGGCCATGACTATGGAAGTTGCTCCTGTCACGCATGGCTTCACTCTTTCTTGATCAATCCTTCGAAGATCTCTCTCAGTGTCTTGGCGCTCTTCTTCGGGTAGCGTTTCTGGCCTCCTTCATAGTCGACATACGTCGCGCCGAACCTCGTCCCATATCCGTCTGCCCACTCGAAGTTGCTGCTGCGGTCAGCACGAATCCTTCTGCTCCGCCACAGATAAAGCAAGAACGCAAGGGATGACACCACTTACTCTAACAAACTCCAGGCCAGATAGCCCCTCACATCCACCCCATCCACCCCCACCGCCTCCGCCATCGCCTGGATATACGTCCTGAAATACCAAACGCGGAACTCATCCTCCAGGATCTCCTCCCTACTCTTGTCATTCTCGCCCAATATACACGTCCCATTCTCCGTCACATATATCTTCGGCCCGCCATACCTCTCGCTAATCCAGTTCAGCAGCTTCCTAAACCCCTGCGCATACGGCCGCAGCCAGACCGCCTGAGTCGGCGGCCCAATGGCCTCGCCAGCCTTGTTCTCCTGCAAAACGTCGACGTTGCCGCCGAAGTCGTTGGCGTCTGCGGGATCGGACCGGTGCCGGATGTAGTTCGTGCAGTAGTGGTTCATGCCGTAGAAGTCGTTGGTGCCCTTGATCAGTTCGGCTTCATCGGGGGTGAAATTGGGTAGGCGGTCCCCGAGCTGCCGCTTCATGGAGGCGGGGTAGTGGCCGAAGTAGATCGGGTCCGCGAACCAACCGATGACGAACTCGAGTCTGCGCTGCCATGCTTCGACATCGGCGGGATCGTCGGTATCCCACGGCTCGCACCAGTCACCTGAAGCTCCACTCAGCATCACGCTGCTGTGCAGCAGAGGATGGGAAGATAATTCGCACCGTTGAGGGTAATCCCGATCTCGCCGCCATCTCTCTCCTTAAACTCGTCCCTGTACACCTTCACAGCCATCGCGTGAGCCAGAAGCATGCTATGACCCGCGATCCAGCACTCTGTGCTCGAGTCGCCCTCCTCGCTCTTCGACCTGTCGCTCGTACGTCCCGGCGCGAAGACGCCAACGTTGTAGCCGAGAACGGCGGAGCACCAGGGCTCGTTGAAGGTGATCCAATGTTTCACCCTGCTACCCATAGCTTCGAACACGGTGCGTGCATAGTGCACAAAGTCCTGCGTGAACTCCTCCTTGTTCAGCGGGCCGCCGTAGCGCTTATCGAGCGCATCGGGGAGGTCCCAGTGGAAGAGCGTCACCATGGGCACGATGCCAGCCGCCAGCAAGTCATCCACAAACTTGACATAAAAGTCCAGACCGGGCTGGTTGACCGGGTCATTGCGCCCACCGAGCGGGATAATGCGCGACCAGCTCAGCGAGAAGCGGTACGCTTTGGCGCCCAAGTCCTTCAGCAGCGCAATGTCTTCACCCGTGCGGTTGTACGAGTCGCACGCCACCTCCCCCGAGGAGCCATCCGCGATCTTGCCCGGTTTGCGGCAGAAGGTGTCCCATATACTGTCGAGACGGCCATCGGCGTGAACGGCGCCCTCTATTTGGTAGCTTGCTGTTGCGAAGCCCCAGAGGAAGTCTTTCGGGAGGCTGGCTTCGGGCATGCTGGTGGTAGACAGGATCGGTGGTTGGACAACGTCGGCTTTGGTATGCCGCCAGCTGGGAGCTGCTTTGGCAGTCTCCATGAAGTGGGCGGGCGGCGGGCTATGTCATGCCCAGGTGGTACTTGAGTGGTATTGATCAGCAGAGTATTGGTGTGTCAATCTAGCGTTATTGACCGCTGCAATTGCGGCCGTGGCGTGAGAACTATCATCGCATAGTTACTGAGTAGCGTCGGATTCGCTGCCAGTTGGAATTCTACGGCATCTATCAGCCAGATCGTAAAGCCTGGAAACTTGGACAATCCAGCAGAGGTACCGATGTACTCTCTCAGCCCTGGTGTGCCAATGTGGTGGGGTGCGGAGAAGGCGGAGCGGGATGCAAGGGCGGAAGCCGATCAACTGGCATCCCTGGCCATCCCGTCGGCAGTTCTTCGCAACGTCACTTTTTCCCCACTGCCGGGCTTTTGCGGAGTTACTGTTTCGGGAAACGCATCCGCCCGCCCAACTCACAACTCCATCGCGATGTTTTGCGGCGCATAAAAGACACGATGCGAGGCTTCGGCCTTCTGTAGATTCAGCTCTCTCCTGAAGAGTTGCGTTTCGCGCTTGTACAGTAAAAACCCCAGTATTACTAAAGTTCGTCAATTATTGTTCACGATGCTCTCCACTCTACGCCATTCCACCCGCACGGCCTTGACCACCTGCACCTGTCAACCCTCCGTCCGCACAGCAGCCACCGCGTCCCAGCAAAAGCGTGCAGGCGACATATCCGATGCGTTCGTCTCCCTCAGCGGTCAAGATTTCAAACCGCTCCCTCCCCGCTATGCAGACCTCAAGGCCTCCCTGATCCGCGGCAACGAAGATGCTGTTCGAGCGTCCTGGGAGCGCCTGCTGAGAGAGCTACGCCATGATATACCCGAAATAGTAGAGACCGGCAGTGCTATAGTGCCGGAAGTCAACTTCAGCGATATCCGCTCCAACAATGTCAGCGACGCCTTCAAGCAAGCGCACCGCAAGCGCGGCGTCGCTGTGGTCAGGGGCGTGGTACCCGAGCAGGAGGCGCTGGACTGGAAGCAGCAGCTGAGGGAATACATCCACGCAAACCCGCACACCAAGGCTTTCCCGGCGGACAAACCGCAGGTCTTCGAGCTGTACTGGTCGCCCACCCAGATGCGCGCGCGCACGCACCCGAACCTGCTAGCGGCGCAGAAGTTCCTGATGTCGTTCTGGCACTCTAAAGACCCCAGCGCGCCCATAAGCACCCAACACCCGACCTCCTACGCTGACCGCCTCCGCATGCGGCTCCCGGGCGACGCAAAATTCGCCCTCGGCCCGCATGTTGACGGCGGCTCCGTCGAGCGCTGGGAGCCCGACGGCTACGGCCGCGGCAGAGTCTACGACTCCATCTGGGCCGGCCGCTGGGAAGACTTTGACCCCTGGGAGGCGTCCTGCCGGCTGCCCGTCGTCAGCGACATGTACCAGGGCGTCGGTGCCTGCAGCATGTTCCGCATGTACCAGGGCTGGCTGTCCCTCAGCAGCACTGGTCCCTTTGAGGGGACGCTGCTCGTGAATCCACTGCTCGCCAAGGCGACGGTGTACTTCCTACTGCGGCCCTTCTTCGCGCCCAAGCGCGGTCCTGAGGCCTTCGGCGGCGCCTCGGAAGGCTTCCTGAGTCCAGACAACTGGGCGCTGGAGCCTCAGCCGAGCACAAACATCCAGGGCGCAACGCCCGGCCACGGCCAGGAGCTGAGCGCACTGTTACACCCGCACCTCGACCTCGAGCGGAGCATGGTGCACGTCCCGCGCGTGCAGCCGGGCGACTACGTGGCCTGGCACTGCGACACCATCCACGCGGTCGACAAGAAGCATGGCGGGACGGCCGACAGCTCGGTCATGTACATTCCCACCTGTCCGCTTACGGAGCCGAATGCGGCGTTTGTGGCGAGGCAGCGCGCCGCGTTCCTCGAGGGCACCCCGTGTCCTGACTTTGGCGGCGGGGAGGGCGAGAAGAGGCATGTAGGGCGGCCGGTTATCAAAGATGTGGCGGAGTATGCGGACAAGGAGGGGATGAGGGCGCTCGGGTTGGCGGAGTGGGATAGTGGGGAGGAGGGGCTGACGCAGGGGCAGAAGGAGGTGATGGATCGGGCGAACAAGGTGCTGGGGTTTTATGTGTGAATACGGAGGGTGGTAGGCGTTATTGGACTTTCGGTATTTGGGAGCGCAGGTAAAGGAGTGGGTCACTGGGCACCTGTCACATATCGCCATTTCGAAGACCATGCTTTTATAAGGGAAATTGTAACTTCTCATTACAACGCTGGGCACGTGATCAGCTGGCGCTTTATCTCTAGGATTAGGTACAGGCTGGGCATAAGTGGCTGTTTTAAGCCTTCTACTCAGGCCTCGCAGTGTGGTAAACTCGGTCTATTTCGGTCAACGCTACTGGTGAGCTGGGGGGCCTCCTCTGGTGGTGGATGGTTTGTTGGACCTTGATTCGCGTCAAGATGTGGATGAGACCGAACAAGCCTCAGTCCCAGAGGAACTGGGAGCTTGTCTGAAGAACGCTGTTGTTCTCGTTCAAGTTTGGGGAACATCCAGTCATCAGACAGACTCTTACACAGTACGGATAGCTTTGTGTCTACGAGATGGGTTCTCCCTGCTGTGCCTTAAAATGAGGCCATAGGCTGATGCTCTAAGCGGTTGCCCAGGCGTCTCCACAGAGTAAGATGGAGGTGGCATCCGAACCGAACCAAGGCGGGTTGCCGGCTGAATACTCAAGTGCCAATCCGGTAAGTAAACTCGGTAATATCAATCATGGAATGCGGGACCTGTGAGGGAAGGCGACCTGCCTTAGGCGGTTATGGTGTCTGATCTCCACCGTGCAACCTCAGAGGTGCTTTTTCCACCGCTCGCGATGATACTTCTTCAAGGTTACTCGGAACCACTCTCGACAGAAACACCCTTTAAACCACCTTGTGGTGAGAAGTGGCGTCATCGTCGACAGAGCCCAAGCACCCTCCCGCCCAGAGAGCCGCCTCTTTGCCGCCTCTTTGCCGCCGCAGCTCCGAGGCTCTGATTCGTGGGGGCTCTAGCGCCTCAAAGGCTTGCACTTCGGACCTCTCACTTCTAACCCCAGCAGCGCCTGGTCCCTCTGCACACCCGCCCTGGCTACCTCTCGCTGAGGTCGAAGTCGACGGCTCCCTTGTGCGGTCGGCGATGCATGCTGAAGGGCGTGTTGCAGGCCGACTGACCTCTTCTCCGTCGCCCCCCCTCCCTTTGCTCTATGAATAATCCTCGGTCGATCTTTACCGGTAGTGCCGCAGCACCTTCATTAACACGCAACCCATCGACGCGACGACTGAGTACACCAGAGTATAACGAAACGTTCGGAACCGATCCTCCGCCGCTTCAGCATCACCTCGCTTCGATCTCTGCCGACGGCAGTAACCACGACCAGCTTGCTTCATGGAGGCCGATATCTAACGGGACTGATCAACCTATACCACAGCGAACGACCGCGTCACAGCTTCAGAAGACCGGCTCCTTCCCGGAGGGATTGAAGATCAAACCGCCGCCGCCGCCACGAAAGCGAAAGATATCCCAAGTACAGGGGGAATCCGCTAGCACCAGTCAGCAACGCCCCATCGAACCGCTCAGCAAGCGGCGCCGCCTACCGCCCTTCTCCCGTCACACCCTCGACCAGTTCAGCTTTCTGCAACCTGCCGTTGTCTGCGGCCAACCCCCTTCGCCTTTGTTCTTTTCCAGCAGTAGGACACGACCACACTTGCCGCCGCGCTTCTCGAGCTCGGAGGCGGCGGCAAGGATGCTGTGCAAGACAAATGGTGAGGATGGCGGCATCAAAACTGTCACTCTTGCCCGCGGTACTTTCACAGGCGCCAGTCCGCCTGCCGTGACGAGCGATTCGAGAATCAGGGGCTCTGTTGACCGGACAGGATCTTCAGACGGGAGGGAGAGAAACGATACGTTACGGATACTCGGCCAGGTTGGCATTGTGGAGCTGTTGGAGCAGGATCAGCGGCCTACATTTGTGGTGGACCTGGGAGACGCGAACACCTATGGCCCAGGACCGCTACAGATAATATTCGCCAATGCATGTTTACGGACGAGCCCAGCTTTGATGGATATGGTCTCTGGCAGAAGCACAAGCGACTCGCCTGGATCGTTCTCCTCCCGAGCCTTTACCTCATTCAAGAGCTGGGTGTTGAGTAGTGTATCGAACGGTGAAGCTTTAGACGTGTGCTTGCCGCCATACACGCACGGCAGTATAATATGGTCATGCTCAATATTAAGGAGAAGGTTCCGGGTCGTCAGTGGCAGTCCATCGCCATCACTGATACCGTCAAGCAATCATTCGCACACAAACCCTGCCGAAAATCCGCCAACTTCAAGTACAGCAACGTTCAGCGCGAGCGAGGTGCTGGAAAGCGCCTCAATTCCTTCAGCGCCGAGCGCGCCCATGTCAGAACATAAGGAGGCCGGTGACTATTTTGGTGATGCTGCTCCACTGCCTCCAGAAAAACCAGCCACGGATGTGGTGATGCCATCCGTCGAATCGCCAGGCCCGAAGGCGCGCAAACCCATAGGATGGACCCGCAAAGGATTTGTCCGCGGCCAGGACGTCTCTGCATTAGACGGCCAATCATCCCTGATGAACGAGTGCGTCCTTCAAGTCTCCACTGAGGGAGATGTTAATCTGGTCTCCAGAAACCCACCCACGACTCCTCCCCATGAGGTCGGTTTCTTCGACTGGACTCGCTTACCTGTCTCCGCCAACCTCCCTCGACATATACAGTTCGCCCGCAGTATTGACTGGGAATCTACACCTCTTGGTCCTATTGAACTCTGGTCTTCCGACCTGCGGCAGATGTGCAACCTTATCATGGCAAGTCCGCATCCGGCGGCGATGTACTGGGGCAATGATTTAGTGGCCATCTACAACGAAGCCTATGTGATGCTTGCGGGCCAGAAACACCCGAAGCTTATGGGCCAGCGTTACCGCGAGGCCTGGGCGGAAATCTGGGACGATGTTAGAGAAGTATTTGCGAACGCGAGATCTACCGGCCAAGCTACGATGAAGGTATGTTCAGAGACATGGGATTGGCAATCACGAAACTGCTAACATCTGCAGGACGACGATCGGCTATTCATCAAACGTAGTAATTATCTGGAAGAGACGTACTTCTCTTGGTCTATTATTCCAATGGTTGGTGGCGACGGCACGGTCATGGGCTTGTACAATCCCGCTTTCGAGAAGACACGGCGGAAGATCGCTGAAAGGCGCATGTTGACGTTACGCGAAGTCGGTGAGCGGACCGCCTCGGCACGTGACGTTCGAGCATTCTGGGAACAGGTGTTAGCGGCGCTGGATACTAACGAATACGATACCCCCTTCGTCCTTTTGTATTCGGTCTCAGACGACAACGACAGCGATTCGTCTTCGATATATTCCAGCAGCTTAGTGGGAACCAAGCAGTGTTTCTTAGAAGGTGCATTAGGCGTAGAAAAAGGACATCGCTCTGCCCCGGAGCAGATTGACCTCAAGACTGGCGTGGAAGGGTTCGGTCCAGTGTTTAGGGAGGTCATGAAGACTGACAAGCCGGTACTGTTGGAGGTTGGGACGGGAGATCTTCCCTCTGAGCTGATGGAGAATTTGGGGTGTCGAGGGTTTGGAGACCCTTGCAGAGCAGTTGTGGTATGCCCCGTTCATCCCACAACAGGAGACTCATCAGTACTCGGCTTCCTCGTAATGGGCATCAACCCGCGGCGGCCGTACGATGACGACTACAGCCTCTTCATCCAGTTGCTAAGCCGACAACTGGCAACGTCGCTGGCTTCGGTTGTCCTGTTTGAGGAAGAGATCAGGCGGGGCCAGAAGGCAGCCAAGCTGGCTGCACAGGATCGTATTGAGCTGTCACAACAACTCGCCGCTCGAACGCAGGAAGCCAAGGATAGCGAGACAAGGTTTACCCGGATGGCTGAATTCTCTCCCGCTGGTCTGTTCATCGCTGACTCCGATGGCCACATCACGTACTGCAACGATACCTGGTACGACATTACGCGTGTAGCGAAGAACCCCTATGACACGGATAACTGGATCGAGGAAGTCAAGGACGAAGACCAGACCATGGTTCGACGAATGTGGTTCAACCTCGTAGAGAACACCGAGCCGGTCACCGTAGAGTTCCGCTTCAAAGCACCCTGGGAAGACCGCAACGGTAACAAGAGCGAGACATGGGTGCTGTTCAGCGCGTATCCGGAGAAGACCGAGCAGGGCTTTCTCAAGAGCGTCTTCGGCAGCATTACGAACATCAGCTCAATGAAATGGGCCGAGGGCTGGCAAAAGCGGAAGATGGAGGAAGCTTACGAAATAAAACGCCAGCAGGAGAACTTCATCGACATAACCAGCCACGAAATGCGAAACCCCCTGAGCGCGATACTGCAGTGCGCAGATGAGATTGCGCATTCGTTGACCGAGTTCCGCAACTTGAAGACGGACAGGATTAGCGAGGAGCTGGTTAACGACACCATCGATGCAGCACAGACAATATCGCTCTGCGCTTGCCATCAAAAGCGCATCGTTGATGACGTGCTGACGTTGTCCAAGCTCGACTCCGCCATGCTCCTGGTAACACCCGTCGACGTCCAACCCCTAGACGTTGTCTCCAGAGCTCTCAAAATGTTCGAGGGCGAACTCGCGGATGCCGACATCCAGATGAAGTTCGTAGTTAACGAATCGTTCAAAAGGCTCGGCATCGATTGGGTCCGCATCGATCCCTCGCGCGTCCTGCAGGTCCTGATTAACCTCACAACCAACGCGATCAAGTTCACCACATCCGAGAAGAGGCGGACCATCACCGTGACCGTGGCAGCTTCTACACAGAAGCCTTCCCAATTGGAGAATCGGCTCGTCGACTACTTCCCTACCCGCTCGAAGCGCGTCGACATAACCCAGGGACCTGACTGGGGCACTGGCGACGAAGTCTACATCCACTTCGCCGTGCAGGACACTGGTCGCGGCCTCACAGAGGAAGAGAAGAAGGTGTTGTTCCTGCGCTTTTCGCAAGCCAGTCCCCGGACGCATGTACAATACGGCGGCTCGGGCCTAGGTCTCTTTATCTCGCGCGAGCTGACCGAGCTGCAAGGCGGCGAGATCGGCGTGGCGTCGGAGGCCGGCAAGGGCAGTACGTTTGCGTTCTATGTCAAGGCCAGGCGAACCTCCCCTCCGAAGGACGATAGCGATCAGCCGTTCCCACCGCTCAAGTATGTGGACGGCAAGAACAACAGGAACAGGATAGAAAACAAGACCAAAACAAAGGACTTCGCGCCTACTGTCTCCAAGCCGCCGAAGTCGCAGGACGCGGCCACCAAAGCTGGAAAGGACAGGTTAAAGGTCTTGATCGTTGAAGGTATAAACACATGCCCTCACACTTTTTACAATCAACGTTGCATGCATTTGCACTAACAACTCGTGCGTATAGACAACCTCGTAAACCAGCGCGTCCTTCAGAAGCAGCTCAAGAACCAGGGCTTCGCGACCTACGTCGCCAACCACGGCGGCGAGGCACTAGACCAGCTGCGGGCATCCAACTTCTGGCACGACCACGGCAAGGTCAACAACACTACCAACAATACTACCAACAACACTATCAACAACAACATCAACAAGTCCAACGTCGAGCCGCTGCACCTCAACGTCGTGCTCATGGACCAGGAGATGCCCGTCATGGACGGCCTTCAGTGCACGAAGCGCATCAGGGAGTGGGAGGAGAGCGGGCTGTTGGTCAGACATGTGCCGATTATCGCGGTTACGGCGAATGCGCGGGCGGAGCAGATTGAGGCGTTGGTGGCTGCGGGGATGGTGAGTTTCGAGATTGTTTGCCCCAGGTTTTTACATGAGAAAGAAGACGGTGGATATGGAATGGGGTACCATGGACAGGGGGCTGACTGACAATGCTTAGGACGACGTGGTTTCAAAGCCATTTCGCATACCGGAGCTCGTGCCAAAGATCGAAGAGCTGGCGGCTAGGTATGGGGGGGGAGGGGAATAGCCAACAGCCCAACAACACCAATGCGGCCTCGGCGCGGTGAACAAAGCCCTTGTGCCGCGTTTACGCCATTTTCTACTGTTCACCAGTTACGTTTCTTGTCTGTGGTTGAACACAACTGGACCGGATCATAGAAGGCGTCTCTGCTTAATCCAAACGAGTTTTACCACATGGGGCGCTGGTTGTCTTTTCGGAACATATTTAGCCAAGGTGTTTATAGGGGATGGGATAGGAAGGCCTCCAAGTGGGCTAGGAAGGTTTAGCGTTTTGGCGCTGTGCGGTAGCTTGCTGCACCAAGGGGTGATGATGTTCAGGATCAACAGATGGGGGCGCTAGGGGCTGACGAAGAAATCATTAGAGCGGGCAGCTGTGTGCTGAGAGTGTTTGTGGTCCAATATTACAGCGCACTCCAAATCTCTAAGAAGGTCGAGTCCTTATCGAGTGCTGTTCTACACCCGGATGGGCATCACGACATCACGACCCCACCCTCGAGGGTTTTCACATGTCAATTGGAACCTCAACAGCGTCCATCGTTGCGCTAAAATCCATCACGTCCCAAGCCTCTCGGGCCGTAGATGGCGGCGAACGAGAGCAAGGCGGATGGGCACGGACTGACATGTGGTGCGAACGCTAGAGATGCAAGATAAGCGACACAGCGGGCTGATGCGAATGGAGGTGTGGGGAACTTGGCTGAGGGAGGGGGAAAAGAGGAGAACCTTCGTGAGACGCCGTAAGCACATGAAATACGAGTGTGCATGTTTGGTAAGATCATCACTAAGGAAGAGCCACATTCGCAACGCATTGGGCAATCTTTTTCATTCGAGCTGGGCTTGCGTTGGCAGTGCTGAGACTGCGATATCATGTCGTGATGGATGCAACGCACTACATCCATCTACCTCACCGTCATGTCACTGGTACTCTATGCTAGTTCCCTGCAGATCCGGGTCTTTGCCCGTGATGAAGTGGTGTTCTCAACGTTACGTGCAGCGGTCTCGGCCGTAGCAGAAGGCTCGAGGCGCAGCAGGACTCTCAGCTCCCAAGCAGGCAAGTACAAACAGGTTTGTTCATGAGCTCTGTGTTGGATGGATTCATTCAAGGTCGAAATAGAATCATAGCGGAACGAGGACCAGGCTGTCAAGTCTCAAGGCACATCGTTGAAACTGTCCTTTCTGGTGGAGTCCCGGCGGCGGATACAGGTCCGCCCAGCGTGCCCAGCAAGTAGTGATCTCACGATACCGTGAATGCCACAGCGCTACCCCAGCAACTGCTCCACCAGCCCAAAAGCACTCCTCCTCGCTCTTCGCGGGGTCGAATGGTCTGGCCAACCTCAAAACCTCCACCTGTCTGCACTTCCAGGAAACAAGAGTCTCTATCGCCGCTCGTCAAGGCCTCCCCGCGAACTATTGGTTGCCGCATCGCACAGCCCCAACTTGTTGACGCTGCTCCATCCTTCTCTCGTGCCCCTGCCCAGCTGGAGAGCCAACCGCTGCGCTCCGCCGCGCCTCACCCCTACACGGCTTGCTACGTCTCGTAAGGCTTACAGACATTTGAGGCGAGACTCTCTCATCCTTCGCTGGCCGATTTCCATCGCAATGCTTCGGTAGTATCGGTACTCAACCTCGCTATCGCGCTGCCAGCGGCTCTGCAGGTCAGCGCTCCGCACCATGTCTGTTCTACAACAGCAATATCCGACAGAGGTACCATCTGGATACAATGCACATACGAGAGATCCTTATACTTTGCCACACGGCGCCCTGGCAGCCGCAAGAGCAGCTGGCGCGGCTTCCACACATGCGAAACTCCATAAGCGCGCCAGTTCAGCGTCGTCAATACACAGCCCGGCGAGTCCGCTGTCCGATGCCTTTTCTTTTAAGCGGAGCGATACTCCTCGGGTGACGTACGAAGAATCGGTGGACGAGTACAATCTCACCAACACGATGGCTGCTATAGCGAAGCCAGCGGCAACCAAGATAAAACCCTATCTCCGGAAGCTGTCGACCAAAGACACCCCTACCCTCGATCTCTCGCGACCGGCTGCAGAGAACGAGAGCCTGGCTGGACTGGGCATACACGACTACGGCACTGGTTCGCGATCAGTATCCGATGTGTCCTTCGCGCATGCTACAAGTCGGACCAGACACAACCGGTCGATGAGCGCTACTTCTCAGTTCTCAACTGCATCTGGTGGCCTTCGACAACCGACGGCGGCGTACGTACACCCGATGCGACAGACGCCCAGACCGTACACGCCTCCAATCTCCAGATCGTACTCAGCTTCCAATCTCGGCGGTGAAGATCTTGGTGAAGCTGAGGACTTTGTGGCCGGGCAGGACATGTACCGCTCACGCACGTTTGACGCAAACCGACGGTCACGTTCACCATCGGCACCACCTCCAAGCACACTGCCACCTCTCCCGCCTCTACAAATACCCTCGATACCTTCATCCGCCTCAATGACCCGCCTGGGCAGCCACTCGCAGACCAGCCTCCACAGCAGCACACCAACCGGCCGACCGCGCAAGTCCACCGTGGCATCAATTGAGACGTGCACGTCCACTTCATCACGACCGTCAGTCGACAAAGCCTTCAGCTTCATACGCGGCCGCGACGCCCCAGTAGATCCAGAGTCACGCGCCGCCTCAATCCGTGCCGCGCGCATTGCCTACAAGGAGAAGGAGGAAGCGAAAGATCGCAAGGCCGAGAAGGAGGCGCTCAAGAAGCAGGACAAGGACAGCCGCAAGCTCGCAAAGCGAGAAGACCGCCAACGGAGCAAGTCGGCTGTGGACGAGCGCCGTGCGCGGACACGAACTCTTTCCGGCAGCGAAACCGCCGGCTCTGCTCCAGTCGGCGGCAGGAAGTACTCTGATTATACGCCTGCGCACAGTTTGAGCTTGCCGGCGCATGTCGCGACTGGTGCGCCGCCGAGGGGTCCGAGAGCGCAGCCGGAGAGGGGCTCGAGAAAGAAGGCGAGTAGTGGGTGGCTGAGCTTTATTACGTGGTTGAGGACGAGATTGCTCAAGTTGGGAAGGAAGATGCATTTGGCGTCCTGAGCGACAGGCTTGTCACACCTCAGTCGCCGTCCACATTGCTCGGTTGAGACTGGGACAAACGGTCACCACCGCACGCCCAAAAACACTCCGGAGATCTTGTGAAGGCCTGATCAAGATCTACCGACCAAGCAATTACATGGCTTCGAGTTTTCGAAAGACTGCATCGATGGGCTGACGATCTAGTCGAAGACTTTTGACAGGCACCAGCTCTCGTATGGCTTCCACGGTCGCGGTCCCAAATTACCCAGGGCATGCTCTCCTCTTCTTTATATGATACTAAGGCGTTACGGCAGCATACATCGGCAGCAGGCTCTTCCAGCTTGGTCTTCAGGCCTACAGCACAGCGTGGCGTTCTTTGCTTTTAGGCCTTCATTACGAGCACATGACTTAGCTTCTACGCCGCTGCATATATCTGGCGCTGCGCTTCTAGGGTTTTACTTTTTATGGTTCGGCATGGCGGGCGGGATCATGGCTGGTTGGCGTCCCCTTCTTTTTGATGCGGCGTTTGGTTGTGTTTTTTGCTCAGCTTTGGTCTCTGCTCATTGGGATAGCCCTGAGGGTTTCATGGACTCGATACCAGGATAGAGGATTATGGTCATTAGCTTCGCTTTTACTGCTATGTCGAGTCAACTGTTTTTGTGGGAGACAAACATACCAGAACACGGTGATCTTCAGCAATCCTCCATTTCCCACCTGACACGCCATTCTATGTTCGGTTGAAGCTGCTCCGCCAAAAATCCATCAAGCTCCTGATCCCGGCTCACTCTGAAGGCAAACCCCGCCGCTTCCTGCGGTGGTGCCCGGGCCTCTCGTCCGCACCCGTGGCCGGCGATCACGCCGTAAGCTGATCTGATGTCTAGTTAAACCACGTTTGCTCCTATTATGCCATACCATGGCCGACGGATTGGCATAACGCCTCATGACAAACATGATGAATAGACGGGCACTGCTTCGCGCCAATGATGCGCTGAAGCCATCAGCGACTGCTCGCGCACTCAATCGAACCTCCGTACTACTCCGCAACCAAGCTCGACCGATCAGCAGCACCGCAAGGCGGCGAGAAAACGACGATGGCAGGACATTCAAGGGCCAGCTGTACGACAGCACAAGAGAAAGACTGCAGAGAGAGCGAGCTGAGCAGGCTCGGTTCGCGAAGCAGCGGCAGCTGGGCACCGGAGGCACTGGCCTGAGGATAGCATTCAGTACCACCACACCCCACCCCCTTGACCACAATCGCATTGTATACTGAACCGCCGTCGTACAGTCACCGTCTTCTCCGCCCTCGTGGGCTACTACGCCGGCAGCCTAACCCCCTCCCCTCTCCCCATCACATCAACAACTCCCCTCGGCAGCGTCAAGCCGCCTGAGCACAATACCGCACCCACAAACCTGCAGGCCGCATGGACCGACTTCCGCGCCATCGTCGGCGAAGACAACATCTCGACCACCGAAGCGGACCTCGCCTCGCACTCCGGCTCGGAGTGGTCCTCGCACCCCTCGCTGCCCGGCGACGTCCCCTTCTGCATCATCAAGCCCGGCTCGACGGAGGAGGTGTCCAAGATCATGAAGGTCTGCCACACGCGCCGCATCCCCGTCACGGCGTATAGCGGGGGCACCTCGCTCGAGGGCCATTTCGCGGCTACGCGTGGCGGGATTTGCATCGACTTTAGCCGCATGGATCAGATCCTTGCGCTGCACAAGGATGATTTGGATGTTGTGGTGCAGCCGGCCGTTGGCTGGGAGCATCTTAATGAGGAGCTCGGTGATGAGGGCCTCTTCTTCCCGCCGGACCCTGGGCCGGGCGCCATGATCGGCGGCATGGTTGGTACGGGGTGCTCCGGCACGAACGCGTACCGCTACGGCACGATGCGTGACTGGGTGCTGAGCCTTACCGTCGTGATGGCGGATGGGACCATTATCAAGACGCGGCAGCGGCCCAGGAAGTCGAGCGCGGGGTACGACCTGACGCGCACGTTCATCGGTAGCGAGGGCACGCTAGGGCTGGTGACAGAAGCGGTGCTGAAGGTGACGACGAAACCAGCGAACACAAGCGTGGCGGTGTGCGCATTCAGCACGATCCGCGAGGCCGCGGACTGCGTATTCCGCGTCGTAGGCGCGGGCGTGCCGATCGCGGCCATCGAGCTGCTGGACGACGTCCAGATGCGCTGCATCAACGACGCCGGGCAGACGACCAAGCACTGGAAGGAGGCGCCGACGCTGTTCTTCAAGTTCGCAGGCACCCCCAGCAGCGTCAAGGAGCACATCTCCATCGTGCAGAAGCTGGCCAAGAGCGCCGGGAGCAAGAGCTTCGAGTTCGCGAAGACGGCTGACGAGGCGGCTGAGCTGTGGTCCGCGCGCAAAGAAGCGCTCTGGTCCGTCATGGCGAAGAAGCGGAACGAGAGCGACCACGTGTGGACGACGGACGTGGCCGTGCCGATTTCGCGCCTGCCGACTATCATCGAGGAGACCAAGGCGGATATCGCGAAGAGCGGCCTCACCGGGTCGATCGTGGGACATGTCGGGGATGGCAACTTTCATGCGATTATTCTGTATAGTGATAAGGAGCATGGGATTGCGGACGGGCTGGTGCATCGGATGGTTAAGCGTGCGATTGAGCTGGAGGGCACGGCGACGGGGGAGCATGGGATTGGGCTTGTGAAGAGGGATTATTTGAACCATGAGCTGGGGGAGACGACGGTGGATGTGATGAGGAAGGTGAGTATCAAGCACGTCTTAAACCATTCGCGTGCAATTGCTGATCTGTTGTCGCTTCAGCTCAAGCAAGCTTTCGACCCGCTCTGTCTACTGAATTGCGACAAGATTGTCCGCGTCCAGAAGCCGAAGCCTGGTGAGATACAGGATTGGTAGCCTTCTAATTGTGGCTGCAGGTGTCTGGGCTCTTGTATATATCTTCAATCCAGGCTCAAAGTGCGTTATCTACCTGTTCCAATACTCCGAGTAGTTCTTGAGTTGTCAATCGTGACTTAAGATGATATCGCAAGGCAGCAAGCTTGCGGACTGAAGCTGCAGTCAGATATCGGTGGTCGTTCATGACTCCAGCTGTGGCGTTCGTCCCGTTCAGGCAACAGCAAGTTCAGCCGCAGTCATCGCCTGACTCATCCAAGTAGCCTCCACTTCAAAACCCGCTGCACACCGCCAGATCTCCAAAGTTTCTTCTGTCTGCACAGCGAGCCTTCCTTTCTGTTGTATGTTAATCGATCGTTGGTCTTCTTCGCTGAAAAAAAAACCACTAACGAGTCACTACCATTTACCACGTCATGGCTGATACCGCGAGCAAGAAACTCGCTACCTCTTCCATTGACTCCTCGTTTCCTGTCTCCGTTCCTTGTGTAGATGCCTTGGCCTTTCACGATGCTGGCTTCGAGGCTTACCTATGCGAGACTCTGCGCGAATATGTGGCCTGGCGAGCAGATGCTCCCTCTTCTCCCGCACATGTCTCAGAGACTACTGGCACGGACATACAAGTCGACGAGAAGACATTCGATGCCCAACTATCCGCTAATGGGGGCTTGCCGGCTTCGATAGACCTACACGTAGACCATGATTCCGGCAACTCGGCTCACCTTCCCGAAGACATGGTAGCCGAGGGGAAGATGCTCACCGAGAACGCAGATTTAACGTACAGGACCACGCAATCGCCGCTCGTAGATCTCTTCTTCTCGCTTGAGAAGCAGATAGCGCCTGAGAAGCTGCAGAGTCTTCTCGACGCATCATGGAACGAGGATCCGCTGACCACGCTTAAGATCATCTGGAGCGGTCGCAGTATCCATCTCGGCCGCGGCGAGCGGGGAACGTTCTACCGCTGCGTCGGCTGGCTAGCGAAGCATCACCCGCTGACAGCCTTGCTGAACCTGAAGTGGCTCGCCCGTCCGGTGATCGAGAAAAAGGTGGTGAAGAAGGAAGATGCCGACCTTGATGCCATCATTGTGAATGCACCGGAGGATGTTGAAGGTGATGGCCAATGGCTTGTGCGGAATGGTGTCTCTCACGGCTACTGGAAAGATCTGCTGAACATCCTCGTACTTGCGGTCAACAAGCATCTGGGTGTGCTGAAGGATCCGGCATTGGTTCTCAACATGAAGAATAAACAGCCTAAGAAAAGGAAGTTCAACTCGACCAAGGACGAGGTGAAAGAGAACAGGCATGCGCAGGAGCAAGAGCGACATCAAAAGTTCTTGGACAGGTTCGATCACGACGGCTTCTATAATGTGCTTCATCTCAACGTCGCTCGCCTCTTTGCTGAGCAGCTACGGGCGGACATGAAGCTTCTGGACAGCGGCGACAAGAAGGCGCTTCGTAGGATCTCGCTATGCGCCAAGTGGGCACCCAGCCTCGAGCGTTTCCACGATAAGCACACCTTCATCGCCTCGACCATCGCGGAAATGCTATACCCGCAAACGGAGCTTGACCCGACGCTTACCGACCGCGAGATGTATCTGAAGCACGCCAGAGAGGCCTACCGCAGCCGCACGCTTGCGCCTCTCCGGAAAGCCCTCGCTGTAGTAGAGCGTGACATCACCGCCGAAAACTTCTCCGCGATCAAGTACGAGCGGGTTCCCTCGCTGGCTATGGACCGCTACAAGCTCCTCTTCGCTCAGAAAGATTTCGACCACTTCTCCGCATACCTCGAAGACGTCACCTCTGGCAAAGCCCGCATCTCTGGTGCTGTCCTTACACCCGCTACGCTGGTACACCAAGCAACGCAGCTGTACCTGCCCCCAGAGCCGCCATCCGACGCTTCCGACCCGGACGCTAGACTGACTACCAAACAGCGTCTCGTGGCCAAACTCAACAGAGTTACCGCCCAGACGCTCAACGGCCAATGGAACGCCATCGTGCAGCGCATGCGCGACTCCGGCACGCTCGAGAACTCTATCGCCGTCGCCGACGTCTCGGGCTCAATGACATGGCCCACCTTCGCGGATGGCACGCGTCCCATGGACAGCGCCATCGGACTGGCTCTACTGGTCGCCGAGTTAACGGCGCCACCATTCGGAGGCGCCTTCATCACGTTCTCATCCACTCCGGAGATCGTGCGTGTGGACCGGCCGGAAGGTGGACGGGACTTCGTGCAGAGGGTGCACGCAACGGCCAATGCTAGTTGGGGCATGAGTACGGACTTCGTGGCCGTGTTTGAGAAGCTGATTCTCCCGCTGGCCATCGAGAATAACGTCCCGGCCGAGCAGATGGTCAAGCGCGTCTTCGTGTTCAGCGATATGCACTTCGATGCTGCACAGCCCCCGGAGGCCTCCCTGTCTGCACCGCGATCGCCATCGTCGGTTCCGTCCGTCCCGTTGCCGTCGTCGCCCACATCGCCCATGTCGCCAGGGCTCATGTCGTCCTCGTCTCCCCCCTTCCCTCCGTCTCCATCGTTACAATCCACAGCGCCTGAGCAAACCAGCGAGCGCTGGAGCACCAGCTTCGAGCGGATCCAGAAGAAGTTCAAGGACGCCGGTTATGAGATGCCGGAGCTCGTGTACTGGAACCTGGCGGGCGCGAGGCCGGATGCTGTGGAGCAGGGCGCGCCGATGCCGGTCAAGGCGGATGAACCCGGCTGTGCGCTGGTCAGTGGGTACAGCCAGGCGATGATGAAGATGTTCCTTGAAGGTGGGGGGTTCGAGGACCCGGATGAGGGCGACAAGATGGAGGTTATAGAGAAGACGGTGGTGTTGGATGAGGAAGGAAATGAGGGGGAGGAAGTGGTGACGAGGGAGGAGAAGAAAGATCCGATGTCTTATGTGAGGAAGGGGGTGGGGCATAGAGCCTATGAGATGCTGAAGGTGTACGATTGAGATTAAGATGGAAGAGTACGTGATTGCTGGAAGAGATGGAAAAGTTTGTGCGACATGACTGACGAGCTACGATTGCTTGATACCCTTTGCTTGTATGTGTTATGTCAATGTTGCATGTGTCAAGGTGCTTCTGGTTACACAGTATAAAAGTATTGCCTATAGAAAGTATCCGTAAAGTCGTTGCGTTTGACGCGCTGTAGGAGTATTCATGTTTCCATTGGGTGCGTGACTAAGGCTGCAGAGATTTTTCAGAACCATCTAGTGGAGCGCAAAGACTCCCTTGCGACTTCCATTTGCGGTCTCGCCAGTTTGTCACTTCGCTCTCCGGCTGACACAAGCACCATGCTAGCACCGGTGTTCAACTGCTCAGCTTGGCTGATGTACTCTGTCTGCTTTTACACCCCTCAATGCTCAACCCTCGCCCCCGAAGGTGCACCCGTGTTCCTCCGATCAAAGCATCCTCAGTCAGCACTCTCACTTTCCCCTGACCGCCCCATACACCAAATCAGATTTAAGCGGCGGCCTCAGCAGCATCATTCCATATCCGCACCAGTGGACCTCCCTTCCCGTAAATAGGGTCAAACTCTGGAATCGGGACGTTTCTCGCATTCCGCGCCTTCTCCTGCGTCTCTTCCTCATCCGCCTTGCAGAAGTTGTTATCCCAGTGCGGGCTCCCCTAGACACTCACATCTTAGCGCGGAGTCGCGGAAAATCTTCGATGGACGGGACCACCTCAGCGGAAGGGAAGAGGCACATACCTCAGGGTACAACCCCAGATACTCATACTCCCCCTCCGAGGTAATCGAGCAGTGGCTCACACCCGCCTACGTCACACGCCCGATACGTCAGCCCCCACTGCCCTTTCTCCTGTTTCCCCCTCCCCACCACACTACCAAAATCACTCACCGGCAACACAATAATATCCCCCACCCCCAGCTCAACCTCCACGCCCCCCTCCCTGTCATCCAGAGGCCCGCGCCCCAGCAACAGCGTGCTCTTCCCCTTGAAAACGGCGTAGCATTCGTGCGTGACGGAGTGGAAGTGGTGCGCGGTGTAAGTCTTGAAGCTGCCGCCCTGCATCCAGCGGTTTGGCTCGATGGTTTCCCGTGTCGAGGCCGGGTCCGGGTTGGTGGGGAGGACGGCGCGGTAGATCAGGACTGGGAGCGGGGAGTTGGGGACGTGGGGGGTTGGGGTGAAGTAATATGTCTCTGGGTTGGAGGGGGCCATGGTGGGGGACGAGGAGAAATAGCGGAGGAAGAAGGTACGACTGGAATATGTGATCTAAGATAAGAGGTGAATGTGTAGATGGGTGGGTGGGACGTATCAGGCAGCGTTCTTGAGGTAGGAAAGACGAAGGTAAGAATGCTTGAGGAAAGCTTTGTAGTAGAGTATACTACAGCTTGCCCTCGGCAATTAAAGTAGATAACAGTGAGTGTCGTGTCCAGCTAGCTACTGTAGCTTTCTCCGCATCAGCGAGCTCTCTCAGTGGACGCCGGATGACGTAAAAGCTTTTGACGGAGCTCCGAGACAGTGATCGTGGAATTAAGTTGTAGATGTCTCCCCATAGCACTTTTCAATCAACGAGGGGTTGGTGTTTTAATGTATTGACAGCAGTTAAAACCCAATATACATATCAGCTCTAATAGCAAGGCGCAAACAGAGCAATGAGCGATGTACCAAGCGTTGTCGGCGTTTCTCCGGGCTGTCAGCTGTCAAGCGATGACGTGCGCCGGACAAGAAGAAAGCCCCATTGGGAGCCGCACCACCACTTGAAGCTCCCGGATCAGCATTCGGCCATATCCAGCCCTCCAGATACAGAATTCATGCGCAGCGCAACTGAGCTTACATCCATCTACTGACCGGCTTTCTCCCCCCGAGTCCGACCCTCACAGTCCGCCAATGGCCAGCCCAAACACGCGCTCCAAACGTGGTCCCCCAGTAATCTCCCCTCCACATTCCATACTCACCCTCCACAAGCCCTCGCCTCCATCCGCTCAGAACAAGAACAATTCCTCCAATACTAACACCACCAAATCGAATTAGCCCCCCGAACCGCAAAACTCTCCCCCGCCCCACCGCCAACCCCACATCTCCGTCGACACGATCCTAGGCTACGCATCCGAGATCCCCTCCGCACAGCGACGACTTCCACCGGGGCAGCGACCGATCGTACACACACGCACGCCGAGCGGACGGCATCCCTTAAACCCGCGGTTAGCAGGTCAGCTCGTCTTCGGCGCAGGCGGCACAATGATGGCGGGCCAACACGGCGGCATGCCAGCGCGGACGAGCAAAGTCAGCGAGAAGCTCGTATGGCTGCCCGAGGCAGAGGGGGTGGAGAAGGAGGAGGGGAGTCTAGATGAGAGGGAGGACGAAGAGGGTCCGCCGGACGACGAGGAGGTTGCGCGGCGCAAGGCGGGGAGCTTAGGGAGAGGGCCCAGGGATAAGAGTTATGCGGAACGACTGCCCAAGGGGCAGCGGACGGAGAAGCTGGCGAGGGTCACGGCGTATTGCACGGCGCAGAGCTATCGGATGCGCGCGACGGCGGAGTTTGTGAGGGCGCAGCATGCGGCGAGGACGAAGCTGTATGACGATTGTTTGTACTGTGTCTATCATTTGCCGCTTTTGGCGGGGAGTGATGGGTATAGAGTCAGGAGTAGTCCGGTGCTGAAGAGTCCCGGCGGGAAGAGCGTGCTGGATGAGGAGATTGAAAGAAATGAGCGGGGCGGCGAGAGGATGAGGGAGGGGTATTTTGGGGAAGAGGAGAGCTACGGGGTCATGGATGACGGCAGTATGAGTCCCAGGTACGGGACCGGTGAAGGGGAACGGAGGGAAAGCACAGGGAGTAATGAGGGCACGTCACCCGGGAGGAGGTCAGGCAGCCCGCCGAGAATACCCCCGGATGCACTGCAGTTTGCGGAAATGTTTGTCTTCTCCTACGGCGTCGTTGTCTTCTGGAACTTTACGGAGAGGCAAGAGAAGGACATACTAGCCGACCTGACCTTCTCATCCTCCCTAACCAGCGACGCCGCATCCATCGACTCCGCCGTAGACGACAAAGACGATCCCGCTCCGACATCGCTAGCGGACCGCCCGCTCTCCGAATCAGACTTTGAGACAGAAGAATTCCACTTTGAGTACAATCCCTCGATACCCAGACCCAGAGTCTACAACGACATGATCACGCTCAAGTCGGGAGACCATATGATTAAGCTCAGCATGAGTCACGCCATCGCGCAAAGCACGAAACTCAGCTTCTTCGAAGAGCGAATGGCGGAGACGATGCAGGAAGCACAGCACGTGCCGCGCAACCTGGCGCTTACGGGACATCTGGGCATGAAGCGGGAGGAGGTCGTCCGCATCCTCGGCCGGCTCTTCGGCGTCCGGGTTGAAGTCAACCTCTGTGAGTATCCCAAGGATCGGCAGATTGAAGCCGCACCATGCTGACGTGAAGTGACAACAGCATCTAACATGCTCGACGTCCCTAACTTCTTCTGGGACAGCGAACCGACGCTGCATCCGCTCTACAGCGCGGTCCGCGAGTATCTGGAGATCAAGCCGCGCATCCAGGTGCTCAATGAACGATGCCAAGTCTTTCTTGACCTGGCCGAGATCCTCAGCGATAGCATTGCGGATAAGAAAATGACGCGCATTACCTGGATCATCATAATCCTCATCATCTTGTCTATCCTCGTTACTTGCTCGGAGGTGTTTCTGAGATTCGGCATCCTAAGTAAGAGCGGGCATAAGCCTGCTGCTGCTGCTTGTAATTGCACGCAGGTGTGTGCAGCGATGCTTTCGCTCAAGGAGTTGTAACGGCTGTGCTCTGCAAGAGGCAGACACTCTATATACCGGGAACAGCGAGGCGTCTGGGTGGATCAGCGCTATGTACCTGAGCAAGTTGGTATAGCATGACGCTTCGGGGCGCTTCTTACATGCTGCACTCAGCTGTTTCTGCAATAGTTTCAAGAGAGCTCTTTGGTCGAAGTTCCGGATTGAGCCTTCCTCCTCTTGTATGAACAGAGACGAAGAGACGCGACGCCCGCCCCTACGCCGTTTCACAGTGGTCCAGTTCAGGACGCAAAAGGCGATCAGCCGACATGCTTGGATAATGAACGCTGCACAAACGCTTTGCATGCGTTAGACTGCGTCCTTTCGACCGACTGAGGATCAGGGAGTCTGTCCGACGCACCGAAGCATCGTCTCGTTTGTGTCGTATCCTTCCGACCTCTCCACAGTCCGCCTTTACCGTTCCAACTATACTAGCACTATTTCTTGCAACTCCCCCTCAGATTCATCGAGCATGTCGAAGGCTTCTCCATCCATAATGCCATGAATATACGAGTCTCCAAGAATGGTGTAGCATGAGCTCGATCCATGTCCCTGTTCCCATAGAGCGTCCGCGACAGGTTCCGGACGTAGGATGTATGGCACAGAGCCGCCGGGCAGGACGGCGACAAGGTCTCCCTTCTCGCATTCCTTGGGAGCAAATCCAATGTAGTCTTTCTCAGTCGTGATGAATCTTCGGCCGACGGTTACAGCGAAGAACAGCTGATTGCTTATACTGACATCTTTATCATAAAGGGTGCTCTTGAGAGTGAAGGTTGTGTCGTACCAGACCTGCCATTTTTTAAATTTGGAGAAATCTGTTAATCCTCTGAGGCGACGGAAACACGCCCGAGAGTCTTTGGTTACAATGTCCATACTTCCGCACATCGTGCGCCGGAATGCCGTCTCCCTTGTCTCGCTTGTATGGTTGTAAGAGCCTGTAGAACAACGGTCGGCATCCGGAAGGTCACGCATCTCATTCACAACCTTCTCGAACGGGCGGGAGTCATTGGAAGGTCCGGTAGTCGCAATCGTATCGAATATTATGCCTCTAGTTACCGCTTTTCCTGCGGCTATAAGGTTGAACTCGGCTGATCTGCCGCCAGATGCTTTATAGTGACTGATGCAAGTCAACCAGTCCTGGTGACTGGAGTGATGTCCATGACTGGATATAGAAGCCGTCCAATCTGGCACGAACGAAGGCAACTTCAGCTGTCGTTGGCCAAACAGATGGCTGAGAAACTCTAGTTTCCCAGTTCGGTCAAAGGATGCGAGCGCAGCAGCCTCGAAGACTTGTTCAGGTGAACGCGTATAGTCCGGCTCGATGAGCCGGGCGTAGCGACCGGTTGCCAAGCCTAACATGCCATATATCTTATCGCGCGAATCAGTTACCTGTCGGATACTGAAGAGTGCGACTATGGTGAGGAAGCTGTATGTCTCCCTGAAGGTTTGGATAAATTCCAAAAAAGACAGTCGGACGAAACAATCGGCTAGGGACAGACCTGTTTCCCCATGCTCTATTTGTAGATATGGTCGCCCGCAGCAGCTGGCCGAATGGTTATAAAAACTTCGACGGCTCTCTCTCAGTAGCTCACCGGACAGCAAGCGCTTGCCACACTGGAACACTACGCGCTGCGCAAGAGCATACTCCTGAACTGTCCATAGCCGCCCCCACCAAGGCAAATCGAAGAACTGGATGAGGTGTCCACGCAGCTCGTAGTACTCCAAACCCATACCGTTCACGGTGAGACCTGGGCTCAGTGATTGGTCATGGTGGAGGTTACTGTCTTTTCCAAATCGCTGTAAGCACTCCATCGCGAGTTCGCTACCATTCCAAGCTTCGCCTAGCCAAACGACAACCGAGGAAGCCTGCTTGTAGATGGAACTCATGCGAGTGACTTGGTGGGTTCGCTCGCGTGTGTCAGATTGGTTGATACAAAGCGCATCGATCCAGAGGGTTCGCTCTCGGTCTTTGAGGCGCAGGTGCTTGAGTGCCAAATGGAGATTTTCAGTGACCAGAACCGAGCTTTCAAGGCGCGGTCGAAGAACTCGTGTACTTGTGGGCTCCCTGGCCCGTTTCCCGCGTTTCATCCTAGCACGACTTTTTCGATAGCGTCTCGTTGCCTCAATCTTGATTGAGATAGTTTTATTGTTGTCGCCCCAGGCATATGAGAGGGCTTCGTAGTCGACATCTTCGTCAAGCGAGGCAAGGCTGAAGCTGCACTTGATCTCATCCTCCTCTTGATCTGCAGGGGCGAGATGTAGGAGCCGAATCTGGTTCTGGGTCGTATCGAGTGGACTGTACGCCATGGTTTGTCCTCGTCGCTCTGAATTGCTGTTAGAGTAGAACGGGTTTGTAGGTTGGTTGCCGTGAGTTTAAAGACGGCAGGCTGGCTCAGCCGCAACTGGGTGCCGAAGGCGATTGGCCAGGCAGACACCATGCCAAGGATCACGATAAACAGCGGCGGGCAGTGTTGAAAACTCACGTGGTCCTCGGTTAGGTGCTCAAGACGCGTTGACACGCGATTGAATGGCGCGATGTGTTGATTCTAGTTATGGCTGCAAGGTCAAAGAGTTACAGGAGCAGAGGGGCTTGTTGGTTTTATTAAGAGTCGTATAGCTTCCACGTACCGCGCAACACCATTCCAAAAGCTCGTCTATATTGACAAGAAGGACAATCGTAGCTAGAGCACGGGGCTATAGACCTAATGACCCGTCGAGTCATAATAACCAGCAACGACGCTGAACCTGGCGCTATACTGTACCAATCGCGCCGCCCCATCGGATCCGCAGATCGACCTCATGCGTCCTTATCAACAGCATACTTCTTCAGATCGTCCAGACTCAGCTTCTGCAGCGCCTTTTCATTCGTCGCACTCAAGATGATCCTAGAACATCCACCGTCAGCCCACTGATGTTTCACCATCTCCTCCTTTCCCCTTTCCTCCTCCACTCTCCCCTCTATTACTACTTACTTCGGCACCTTCTTATCATCGACCCCATTCGCCGCATCCATAGCCTCCTTCCACCGGCTGGCACACAGACACCACTTGCACCCCCCGGTGAGGCCAATATTTCTCAGATCGTTCCCTCTCGCAGCAGAGAACTCTAGAAACTCGTCCGTCACGATCGCAGCGACGCTGTGGTTGCCGCCGTCCTCGGGCGGGACTTCGCAGTAGCCATTGCGCGTGTAGCCTGTCATTGGCTTCGTGGAGTGGAGAGCGAGGGGCTTTTTGAAGACTGGGGGTGGCGTTAGCTGGGGGTTTGTGGTGATGGGAGAGATGGTCAAGGGGACGGGATTGTGGTAGGTCAATATGTGGAGAATTATGGGAGTAGAGGTTCTGTATAAGGAGGCGCTAATATACCATTCAGCGACCTAGCTATCTTACCGTTCAAGCTTGCCATTTTGGCGGGGTTGTTGGTGTGTTGGATTGGGTGCTGGTGATGATGCTCTGCGAGACTGACTTGGAAGAGAAGGTTTACGACTAGGAGTAAGAGAAGAAGGAAGCTCATATAAACGGCAAGAGGAAACTGGAGTTATGGCGAGGTTGTCTACGATGCTGCTGTGACGAGCTCCGCCTACCGAAATGCGTGACATCATGACACTGCCCCGCGGATGAGGGGACGCAGCCCTATGGATCTAGTGCCGATCGTCCAGGTACCATCGGATACTTGAGTAGGGTCTCAATCGACCATTGTAAAAGGGCGCGGAGAAGAATAAAATCGAGAAAGCTAGGGGCCCACGTCGTTGCCAAAATATCGCCGACTCCGAGGCTCAAAAGCATAGAAATCCAACCCCTTACCACCAATTAAACATTACTAAATCTGGTCTGCATAGCCGATCATCAGCTTTATAGAGTGCTTTCTATATTGCTTAATTATATAAACGAGCTGCTATTGATTTAGAGAAACTTCGCACCAGTGTCGAAGCGCGATGTTCATGGCTGGAGCTGGGGTATTTTTGGCAACGACGTGAGGGCGTGCAAGTGATTGTCACGAGCGCGGTACACGAAAGTCGCGCGCCCTGACGCGCCGCGCTCAGGGGTCTTAATTGCTGGAAAGTCAATCTGAAGCAATGCTTGAGTTCTGGATCTGGTTCTACGAACTACATACCGCGTTTCGACATAAAGTGAGAACACGATGCGCCCCTGAGTATGCAAGTAACCGTCCCAATGCCTCCAAGCCCAGTGATAGTGCTTTCCCTTTGCCCATCGTGATTCAAATGCCATAGGCGAGGAATGCCACCATGCCCCAAATATCCATAGCACGAGACAAACTGCCGTTAACCAGACCATCAAGACTGACTCGGATACCCAGCAAACACGGCATACACAGCACTGCCACCATCTTCATAGCTCATCCCATCATCCCAATTCAGTTCAGCTCCCTCATAACCTCCCCCAAACCCCAGTAGAGCTCACTTCCCCCCCGCACTCGCCCTAACAATCTCCCTCTTCATCTCCTCCAACCTCCGATGCATCGTCAGGACATCCTCCCTCTGCTTCTCAGTCGGCGGCTCCACACTCCCCGCAATCTGCTTATACAGCGCCACATACTTGGCATGATAGTTGTGAAACTTCTGCGCAAGCTCGATCGTCTGTCTGAAGCTCAGCTGCAGCGGTGGCGAATCCGACGAATCCGACCCAGGGCTGGGCGCACGATTCTGCGGAGCCGCCGCCGGCGCGCGGCGAGGCTCGCGCTCCGCGCTGGTGACGAGCTTCCGCGCCTTGGCGGGCGTGGAGGGCTTGGAGGCGTCGGAGTCGAGGGCGGCGGCGGCGGCCTTGCGCTTGAGGGGGCCCGAGGCGGTGGGCGCGCTGAAAGGCTTCTGAGCGCTTGGCGGTGCGTCGCCGGCGAGCTTGCGCTGCTTGGGTAGGACGTCGTGCGTGTGGACGTCGTTGTCCAGGTCGTTGGCTTTGCGCTTGAGCGCGCGGTCCGAGTTGGTGGTGGATGGCTTCGAGGGTGAGGCCGAGGCTGAGAGGACCTTGTGGACCGGGTGGTCGCTCTCGAAATCGGACGCGTTGACGGGGGGTGAGGCGCTGAGGGGTGATTGGTTCTTGGGCTTGGTGTTGAGGGGCGCCTTGGTAGGCGCTGAGGGCATTGCTGCAGGTTTGCTGGCAGCCTGCTTGGGGGGCTTCTTGCGAGCTGTCTTGTCGTCATCGGTCTCGTTGGGCTTCTTTATCTGCCCCTTGAGCTCTTGTTGCTTCAGCTTCCGCTGCTGGATTTCCTCCTTCTCTTTTGTGACGGTCTTTGTGTTTGTCCTACTCTCAGTGACCGCCGATGTCTTCTTCTCCTGACGCTTCTCCTTGCTCACTTCACGCTCCGTCTTCTTCGCCTCAGGTTTCCTGACGGCCGTCTTCTTGCCCCACTGCTTCGCGGTGACGCCCGGCGTGGTAGTCATAGGGATCGGTTTGAGTACGAGACGCGACAGACACTTGCCCTTCCCACGCTCTCCCTTGGGCAACAGCAATTGCCAGATCTTGTCGTCAGTTCCAATCCTCAAGCGGTCATAAGCTTTGACGGCACGGTCAATCGCCGCCTGTCGCTCCTCCTGAGAGGCATATGGAAACTCCCAGACGTTGAGCTCCTTGTACGCTTTGTTGCCGAGCTGCCAGCGGCCGTCGTCTTCGCGACTCGCACACCTCTCAAGTATGGTGCTAACCTTCTCCTTCGGGGCGCAAGTGGCGTCTACAAGCTCCTGAGTCTTCATGGGCTTACTGGCGAGTATGTGGACCAGCACGTGTCGCTCGGCTGCGTATTCGCTGCTGGGTATGAGAGGCATCGCGGGCGCGGATGTTGGAGCGGGGCCGAGTGAAGGTGAAGCTTGCGCGAGGCGTGAGGGAGTCGCAGGTCGTGATTGCGTGTGAGGAGAGAGGAAACCGGCTTTCTTCAACAGATCCTGCCTGTGAGAGCTTGCTGTCGGTCGTTTTGCAGAAGGAAGAATGGGTGAGTTGATTGCGCTGAGAGTTCTGGGGGCGGGGTGTTAGCTATATGGGTCGTTTCACTTCAGTAGGTCGCGGCCGGGCGACAATACCTTCTGCCCTCCTTCTCCTCCGCTATTGTCGCCATTGTGCTGTTCAGAGCTTCCATAGCCGAATCTACTCCAACAGTCGCTGGGTCGGCCTCCTTCACCACAAGAGAATAATTGACCAGTCCTTCGAAACCCAATGCATGCTCGCCATCGTCGTAGTACAGCTCGTGTCGAAACTTCTCGGGCGCGGTATCAAGTACATGCGTCTTGCCAGCATAGCGCAGAGTCTATATTACAGCTTTGTTAGTCAAACTCTGAGAACAGCAGGGTTGTAAAGTAGGCGGCGAATTGAGGAGTTGTTGAGCCATACCGGGGTCCTGCCAAAGAAGACCTGAGGCGGCTTCCCACTCCTCACACTCTTCAGAAGCTCGTCTATGACTTCTTGGTTCATCTGGATTGGCATGACCTGCCGCTTGTTGAATCTCGCTTCTGCCGTACCGATGGAAGCGTCTGGGGCCCCACGAAGGGACATCCCGCTGGGAGGTATCGCCACTGTAGCCATGGTGGCTTTGTATCATGCAAGTATGCTGAGAGCAAAAGGCAGCTCGCCGTCGTCGTGAGGCCGGCCGGTGGATTCAGCTGTAGTGATCCAAGAGGCGAAGCAATCGCAGCAGCAACCTCATGAAAGAAGTTGTGGAAGGAGAGTCATGTGGGGACAGTAAGCGAACCTCTGCTGCTGCGTGACCGCAGAGCGAGAACCTTGAAAAGCAAACTCGCACTGCGCTGGCTGGAGTGGAGGAGTGGGAGCAAAGGTGCGGAGAAGAGTACCCGTGGGTAGCTCGACTCGGCGCACCTCCGTAACCTTGACGAAGCGTTAAACAATGGCTCGCCCAAGCCACTGAGACCAAGTTTGAACGGTTTTTCCCGAAAGGTACCAGTTCCAGCTAAGCCAGCTAAGACAGCTAAGACAGCAGGAAAGCGAACACAAAGGGCGCTCAAAGGTGTGGAGAGCAGTGAGTGATGCCCGTGGGCGCCGCGGCCGCCCGTATGCTGGTCCTACAGCAAGGTGGACGCCGTGCAACCCCAATTCTAGGCCCTAGCAATCTTCGTACAGATCACCACGTTCTCCAGCGCTGCTATTTGGGGCAAGTGATATGCAGCCAGCATTCCCGGCCAAGCTTCCTCATGCAGCTAATTCCAGTGGATGAGGGACCAGCTCGGTGAGCAGAGCGCAGTAAGCACTCAACCAGCAGTCTTCCAGCTTTCCGGCGTGAACGGCAACATGTTCAATGGAGCTCCTGTTTGCCTGCAGGCTACATAGCGGCACAGAATCAAAACAGCGCCTCAACTTCTGCTCAAACGATGCCCAAACACGCCGCAGGACTCGAAACGATCTCCAGCGCTGGCGGTCGACAACAGGTTCCCGGTGCTCCGGTAGGTCGCGGAAAGGCGGCGCGCCAGCGAACCCTGGCCACACAGCCCAGCCAGCCTCAACTGCATCGATGATCCCATCGACCCAGCCCGGAAACACTCCGAACACTCCGAGGGCGTCCTGCATCATCACTCTCACCGGCTGAGTTTCAATTGCCTCTCTTGCCTTGAACAGCAGCCCATAAGCAGCCTCAATGAATATCGAAGCGAATGAGTCCTAAAAGGAAGGCGCGCCAGGGCAAACTGAGCTGCCGCGCTGAACCTGCAGCCGCCCAGCGCGCCATCGACATGCCGAATCCGGCACGCGGGCTCCAGCCATCCCTGCAGTCTCTGGCGCGGTCCGCTTCGGCGCGGAGTTGGCGCGCTTCGCCTGGGCCCCGCGCCTGGCGACTGTGCAACAGAACTGGCGATACAAAAAGGCACAGAAGTCGCTTTGTTGGGCGAGTGGATGGCGGGGAGTCCAATCATCGCAATCTTTCTCCGGGCGCATGACAATTAACAGGGCTGCTTGAAGCGTGTGGAGGAAAGGTGTTGCTGGATGAGTGCACGTGTGGAGAGGCAAACCCCACCTGCAGCCAAGGCCGCTCGGATCATCGACCGAAACGATGCATCAATCCGGACGGCTTTGACGGGAATGTTGGGTTGTGTGCGACACCAACGTCCATCCGTTTGCCTGGCAATAGATGGTGGACGACTGTTGGCGGGCGTCATTGTCTGTAAAACTAGCTGAGGCAGCAGTCCAGATCAAGGCAATAGCAAGTGCCCGATGGATGCCTCTCACACAAGCTGCCTGGTCGCCTGAATGTGATTTTGAAACACGTCAAGACATATGTTAGGTCCTTCAATACGCACACAGTACAGGGCCCTCGTGCAGCCGGTGGTTAGAGCCCGCCTTTTACAGGGAATCTCTCGTTACAGTACAAGATCTGGTTGGTTCAGCAGACGCGTCTTTTGCTTGTTGGCCGATGACTGAGCCAGGACATGCTCCGTGACGCCAAAAAGCCACCTGCAGACTATCCACCGGCTGCACGAGGATCCTGTACAGATGAGGGATCAAAGCGAGACAGACGATTGTCGAACAAAGAAAGCCAATAAGAGCGGCGCTGAAACTCAATCCGACTTCCGATTCAGGCCAAGATGCAAAAAACAATGACTCCTAATGCGACCTTCCCAATGCAGCCCAATCGCAGTAGCACACAGACACCGTCGCCATGCGCCCCTCACAGACTGAAAGCACCAGCTCTTGGATTAACAAGTAGAAAAGGGTATCGGAGGTGCTGATGCTTTGCACAAGGTTCGCGCTTAGAGGCCTGCTAGCTCCTCATCCGCAAGGTCTTTGTGGCGGGCAAGCACCAGTTTTTTGTACTCCACGGGGTCCTTGTCCCAGAGCTCCGCAGCCTGTCCATTCAGTGGGCTTGCACTGATCGGGAAGTCAGTCATGGCTGTTTCCCTCGTAAACCGTGCATCTAATCTAACTCACTTGTTCGGCTCTCCCAGCAAGCTCTGCAAGCTGAGCAACACGCTCTGCACGTTGTAGATGGCGCTCCACTTATCCTTGAGGATGTCGAGGCAGATGCGGCCGGAGAAGTCGATGTTCGGGTGATATATCGGCGTCTTGAACAGCACAGTCGGCGGCGCGTATGGGTAGTTTGCCGGGAACTCAAAGGAGAGCTTGAAGGTGAGATTGGCATAGGGCGTGCCGTCAGGGCCGGAGATGGTCGCGGTCCAGTTGAGCAGGTCGTCGTTGGGGAAGGCGGAGATGCCGGGGGTGGGCGACATCATGAGGGTCATAAGCTCGGTCTGTAGCCTGCGGGAATCAGTATCATGTGCAATTACTTCGAGACTGGATGTTCATACCGGCAGGAATCCTAGGGGGTTCCTGCCGGTATGATGCATGCAATGCGCGGGAGCATACCGCTTAGTAACGTTGCCGTTGTTCGCGGACCGTGGCTGTGGCGCTGTCTTCTCTGCTGCGTCTGTTGACATGCCTGTTGCGGAGCTCATCATTGAATTCATGGCAATTGAGCGGGTCTCTATCGGATTTTGGTAGTTTTCTTGTGGGTTCAAGAGGATGGTTATGGCTATGCCGAGAAAGCTGTGTGTGGAAGAGTAATGATATGGCTAAGAGAGAGGGTTTTAAGGTGGAGGAAGTCGTGCTCGTAGTGAAATGATAGAGCGCCTGGGGGCTGTTTCCTGCGCAGCAACACCCGCGGATTTGCCAGAGAGCAATGCGCGCCAATCAGCTCGCGTTCGCGGCGCGTTCTCTGAGACGCCGGAAGAAACCGACCTCGGATTATCAGAACAGAGCGAGCGAATATGCTGAGCGCTTGCTGGAAAGGCAATACAACAGCAGTAATCATAAGAACTTCTCACTAGATCTGTAACAAAGGCAGTCCCAAAATGTGGACTAGAGATCGGATTGGGCCAGCTTTGTTGTTTCTTTCAACTTAGCACCAGATCCGTACTATGCACCCCATTGGCGACAAGACATGGTGTGGTAAGCTTACTCTGTTCGCTGCTAGGCAGAGCATACAGTTGTCGGGTGTTACTTCAGAATCTGGACACGTCCGCAGTTGGCTAGTGCGAAGATATGAACAGAGCGGACCACGCCTTCCTTCCTGCTTACTGAGAATCCCGACAGAACCTAGTCACTACCCACCTAACGAGGCCGCGAATAGCTGCTGGATAATCGCAAAAGATCGCCGCAGCGGCTGCCCTCCTCGACCCTGTGTTTCCGCATCCTCGTGAGCTCGACAGGCTTGCTCGAGCAATAGACACTGCCCCGTCCGTGTGTTCGCTCCTCAGCATGCTCGTCTTGCATTTGAGCTGACGGTTACTGCCTTGTGCATCATGTAGCTGCTTGCCGCCCAAAGTGTGAGGGCGTTCACATCCAACGCTCTCATGGCATGGCCACCAGAAGCCTCGGTCGCTTCTGCTTCCTCCACTAGCGTGCTGAGAAACCCTTGTATGGTATTGCCCTATGATGCACCCGCAGCACCGCCATCGGAGACAGTCTGAACCTTCCGGTATTCCTGTTCGAGGGCTCGTTGCATTTCGAAGTCCGCCAACCGTTCCTTCTTGATCCGCTGCTGCTCCATGTCGCGGACGACACCGGCGTGCATTGCCTGGTTCAATTAGAACGTGCTACTGATGAAGGATGAATGCAACCCAAAGATGGGACACATACAGCTTTTTCTGCCTGCTGCGCGTAATGGACAAACACTACGATGCCGATTGCCGATACAGTGGTGGCGGCGAGGGTCATTTTCGCAGCTGTAGACATCTTGATATATGTGACGAGCAATAAGTTTTTGAGATACAACTAGATGGTGATCTTTCGAACGGTGGGAGACTGAGGCGCACAATTCATGTCCTCATCGACGGAGCTCGGGCAACATCTTGAAGCCTTGGCACGGGTCTTGGCTTGGCCCTGGAAGTGCGACATCCCGCATCACTGGAGGCTGCGATAAGAGCACTACCTGGTCACCACAGCGCGCTCAGGTTGCAAATATGGTGTGTTGAAGATTCCTGCTCTCTCACCCCGTCTAAAGCTAATCGTATATAGTCCGCACAGAATTCCGCAGGCATTCAGACCCTGCTCGATGTAAGCTTCAGCAGCTCCGGCATCGTCCTCGCAGTGCTTGAGCTCATGATTTGTCCAGGCGGAGCGGGAGGCACAAAAGATAGTCCAGAAAGGTGTGCATGCACAAGCTCGAAGTATGCCTCGGATACCATACTGACTGCGGACCAGCCAGAGAGTGTACGCCCGCTGAATACCGCTACTTAACACAATGCCCGTTATCCTGACCATCGGTAGACCGCACGAAGCGAGTAAAGGACGCCAGGAGTGAAGCTCAGAAAGAGATCGAGGAATACCGGAAGCAGAAGGAGGAGGAGTTCAAGCGATTCGAGAAAGAGGTATGCCACCCCATAGACCATAGTGTTAACGGGAGCTGACACACTGCACAGCACTCAAGAGGCAACAAGAAGGCAGAAGACGATGCGAACCAGGCAACAGAGGAGAAGCTGAAGGAGATCAAGCAGATAGGGGGGGAGAAGGGTGGCAAGGTCGTCGATGACCTGCTGAACGCGGTGACCAGCGTCGAGCCGAAGCCTCCGTCGAAATAATCAGTACTCCACTTTCCACCACACAGCAAATCGACTCAAGCTCAAGAGACTTGTCATGACATGCAGCTCTTCAGGTTTACTCTTCCATTACCGCAGTCAAGGCACCCATAGGGCAGAGCTGCAACTCTACCAATTCACATTACATACCGAGGGAAGGCTTGACGGTATAGAGCTGCAAGCGTAAACCATCCGTATCTAGAGATTACTTGAGGAACGGTCCTAGCGCATCTGTCCTAATAGCGACTTGCTCGCCAGCGTCAGGCCCCTAGCGCTCAGCCAGACTAAGTTATATTGTGACACCATCTGAACCACGAAGTTCATAATATACCGAACTATTCATACATGGAAAAGCAGATATGCCCTCTGGTGCAGTCAAACCGGGTTGTTGGCTGCTTCTAGCATCTATCCTAATGCTTGACGCGCTACGTCACTGACACAGGCACGGGCACGGGCACGCGGAATAGCGAAAGTTGAACTTTGCCATGTGATGCACATCAACTCTACCACGATCGCAAACAACATGCTGCCTTGCCAAACACCAGACGAGCGATGACACTGCTCATACAACCAAGGACACTAGCTCCTGCCGCGGTGAGGAGGCTTTGCTGTGGCTTCCAGCGATACGGCTCTTCGAGTTGCCGCAGCTTTAGCTTCACGGCGCGCAGATGGCAGGACCCTCGATTGAGCGACCTGGGACGCGTGATAGTAGATGAGTATTCTGTAATACGAGACAACTACCGTATGTGGCATTGATAGCTTCCCTAAGAAGATAGGATGCTGACCATTCCACAGAAACACCGGTACGCATCCTTCCATTACAAGCCGCCAGCAACGGGCTGACTGAACAGAAATATGCGATCGTCCTAGCTCATGGGCTTCTCGGTTTCGATGAGCTCCGCCTGGCTGGCTCCGCCGTGCCTGGGATACAGTACTGGCGCGGCATTAGGGAAGCGCTCGCTGCCAAGGGCATTGAGGTGATAATAGCAGCGGTCCCACCCTCGGGTTCCATCGAAGCAAGAGCGGCGAGGCTTGGAAAGAGCATTGCGGAGAAGGCGCACGGGAAGAGCGTCAACATAATAGCGTGCGTATACCTCTTCATGCTCACGTTAACACACAGACTCATGGCTTCGCAGACACAGCATGGTAGATTGATCGTCCATTGATCCATCGCACTCCACTCACAACTACGCAGGGGTACGAAAACTAGGCGCATGACACCGGCCAGCTAGTCACTGACAGCACTCAGAGGGCTTGATTCCCGATACATGCTATCAAAGCTGAAACCGCCTAATGTTGACGTTAAATCCTTGACTACGATCGCGACTCCGCATCGGGGTTCAGCTTTTGCGGACTACATGATCGACCAGATTGGACGTAGGCTATTCTCTTCTAAGTTGTCAAGCAGCCTGCCGAATCACTAACGATTATCAAGCGGTCAATCTCCCAAGAATCTACAAGGTTCTCGAGTTCTTCGGCTTTGAAACCGCTGCGTTTTCGCAGTTGACACGGAAATATATGCAGTCGGTGTTCAACTGGAACACTCCAGACAGAGAAGGAATCAAGTGAGTACTATCTGCACGCCGCATCTGTCAGCGACCAATCGCTGAAATCTGTCCCCGGCTTAGGTACTACTCCTATGGGGCGTGTCTTGAGCCAACGTACTGGTCGGTTTTCCGGCCGTCTCATAGTATCATCAGAGAGTTGGAGGGGGCCGAGAACGACGGTCTCGTAAGGTAAACGTTACACCCTTAAATTTTTACAACATCGAGGCGGGACTTACAAATCGGACAGTGTCCCTAGCAGCAGGTGGGGTGAGTATAAGGGCACGCTGCAGGGGGTTAGCCATCTGGATCTCATCAATTGGACATCGAAAGTGAAGTGGTGGTTCTGGTCGTTGACAGGCACTAAGCCAAAGTAAGCAGCCGCTGTCCGAAGGGAGCACTGTTGCTAATAGCTTTCGGCAGCTTCAATGGGGTAGCTTTCTATCTTGACATTGCCGGTAAGCACTACCCACCCTCCATGGGATCTCGATCATGACGACTGACCATATGTCCTATCAGATATGCTTGCGAAGGAGGGTCTTTAGAGGGTCTAACCAGCCTCGGCCTTCTGCTATGCATTGCGGGGTTTAGTCTATCTTGCTCCCTTTGCGGCCAGAGTCTGTACCTTTCGTTCGTTACAGCGTCGGCATTCTACGTGGGAATATTATTATTCAGGAGTGGGATAGCATAGCGCAGCCGACGCAACTGCGGGGCTGCGCGTTCCATGCCGTTGATCAAGTTCACGGCTTGGTGATGGTTTAGATGCATAGAAACTCGCTGTCTGAAAAAAGATGTTAAGAGAGCGAGCTTTCAACGTAGGCCAACGCATAGCAGTCTGAGACCCAGCTTTGACCTGTGATGAATGCCGTAATGAGGACCTCTTGAGTCCTCTGGTGGTGCCACAGACGCCTGACGGACAACATCTTCGCAAAGATCGTCAAGGCAGCTTCAAGTGCAGAGGTTTGTAGACCGCGCCTTCACACCTGGTGCCGTGATCTAAACATGGGCAAGGCCCCAATTCGGAAGCGCCGGGCCGTCTCAGCTGCTCCTTTCTCATGCCACGCGGCGAAGGCGGTGCAAAACGCCAAGAAGCAGCTCTCCAAGCATTCTCAACATCTCGATCAGCCCTGAGGATGATTCCGGAAGTGCCTGAAATGCAACCCAAATCCAAAACTAGCGGGGACAGTTTGCGAATCCTCTTCTTCAGTCCGCCATAATGCTGGTCACGCTGTCGCTCGACGCGCAACACACTTATACCAACCTTGACATCATCTCCGGCAAAGTCTTTCTACGTGTACCTAGCAACACTAATGTCTCTTCGATTGTCGTCAAGCTCGAAGGTGAGAGTCGAACGAGACTGATCCCTCCGAGTCCTGCTGGGCCCTACAATGATCGGCAACGGCCTGTTCTCGAGGTGCACAAGGTGAGTTGTGGGAGAACATGACTTGGCACGAAGCTTCGAAGTACGGCGATCAAATTCAGTACCAAGATAAGTCCCTTAGTTGCTGTACAGACTGCAAGTAGTCTTCCCACCTCCGAACCTGCAGATAGGACCAGCATGGCAGCAAAAAAGCTACACCCTGAACACGGGGCAGTACGAGTACCCTTTCTCGTTCAAGGTAACACCTTACCACCTCGAGAGCATGACTCTTTGTACTCAAGGCTCTTTTACAGATACCGTTCAACAATGCTTGCACAGCCATCAACAGTCTCGGCACGAACGCCGCCTTCTCCGGTCTGGGGCTTGAGATTGCAAGAAATCCCACGTCTCATGTCAAGCAGACGCTGCCGCCTACGTTATCTGGCTTTCCGGGCCTGGCGGAGATACGCTACTACTGTAAGGTCACGGTCAACCGGCCGTCGCTGTTCAAGGAGAACCCAAGAGGCGTAAGTACACTCTCTTACGTCTCTGCACGTCTATAGAACACCGCGTCCCGCCCAAGCATAACATGGTACCTTCTAGCCGGACTACGATCTGAGCCCGGACTTTTTACCTACTACATTCGGCAGAAGGAGATCTGTGATCACGAACCCTGTCCTTTCTTTGAATCAACACGTCTTCGAAAGTGAGAAATCTATAGTCTCTATTTGAGCTAACGGTTTCCCCCAGTTTGCGCACTTCAACTTTCTGCCCATTGAGCCACCAAGACCACCACGATCCGACGGCGAAGCGTATGCTAGGCGACAGCATCAATTCAACCCCGATATTGTTACCAAAGCCAAGAGCAAGCAATCATGGCTTGGTGGCATGTTCGGTCCGAACTCGCCCAAAGAGCCAGATCTCCAACCATCGACCCCTAGACCCCCACCGCGCTTCATGGTAGATGCTCGTCTGCCAAATCCGGCCATACTAACCTGCAATGACGATATCCCCCTCAGGATCATCATCAAGCAGCTCAGCGAGCGCACCGAGATGCTCTTCCTGCAAAATCTGCAAGTCGAGCTAATCGGCTACACCAAAATCCGGGCGCACGAGATGATCCGCCAAGAGTCCAACAGCTGGATCGTGATCAGCCTCTCCAACATGGCCATGCCGCTGGGCACCCCCGCCGACACCATCGGCACCGAGAGCGAGATCAACCGCGAATACTGGCAGCGGCGCCCGCTGCCCAACACCGTGGCGCCGACCTTCGACACGTGCAACATCTCGCGCTTCTACGAGCTCGAGGTCCGCCTCGGCCTCGGCTACGGCTCCTACAAACAGGGCCAGGACCAACTCGTCGTGCTGCCCCTGCGCCTCCCCGTCCGCGTCTTCTCCGGCATCGCGCCCCCCCGCGCCCTTCTCGACGCCATGGCCTCCTCCCCCGTCCCCGCTCGACTTCCCCTCAAGCCGCCGCGACCAGGTCCCATCTCCACCTACTCGGGACCCTCCCTCGCGCCGCCGGCGCCCTACGCGGCGTTTCCGCAAACTCCCGTGGCCGAGAACCCGCCGTGGATGCAGCAGTATCCGCCAGTGCAGGGCGCGTATCTGCCGCAGCAGGGCGCGCCGGAGTATGAGGAGGCGCCCCCGCCTAGCTATGAGGATGCGGTCGGCTCGGATTTGCCGCCGATTGATGGGCCGAGGCGAGATTATGCGCCGCCGCCGCCTGTGGAGGGCGGATTAAGACTGTCGGGGGATGAGAAGGGGAGGTAATGGAGCTAGGTGGAGCAGGGTTGTATCGTCTGCGTCTTGGAGTTTTACTTGCTTTGCGTGGTTACAGTGGGCAGTATGATCCTGTACGCCTTGCCGATTAAGGCTACTCTGCGGAAGAGCGGCATCTCAGTTCGCTGGACAGCTATTGGGATCCCGGAAAGCGATGATTTTCGTGTTCAAATCAGTCGAATCTGTTCATCACAGCCAGCTCTATCACCAAAGATAGCGAGATCGTGGTTTGAAACTTTTTGATTGCCACCCCCCACCCAGCTACTGTAATCTATATCCTACCAACATCTCTCTTCTCCCCCCTTGAGCCGCGCAGCGCACCGCCCCCACCGACCAACCACACACCCGCCCCCCCGTCATCCCCCTTCACGACAGCCCCCACCACCCATCATGCCACCGTTCTCCACGCCCACGCACCACGCCCCCACCACCACCACAAAAGCCCCGCATCACCTCACCAACCCGGCCTCACTACCAAAGAGGAAGGATGACCTATCCGAGGCCCTGAAAGTATGGCACCTCAGAGGAAGGTTGTCCTATCATCGGCAGGTTGGACGGGCCGACTCGGCGACTTGAGACCCTGGGGTAATGAAAGGGATGGAGGTGACGATGAGATTGGAGAGGTTGGATAGCGGGACATGACGAGAGATGAAAGAACGAGTGAGATTGGCTGTTGGGAAGTAGGTGCGTGACTGGAGGGAGGATTGGTGATGGGTGGGACGAGAGGAGGAAGGAAAGAAAAGTACTGAGGAAGTTGACAAAGCGGCTACGGATGCCGGACGCACGTGAGCCGTGTGCGGGATGTGAGCTGTAGCCCACTGAGATTACAAGACTGTGTATGAGAGAGTGCGCAGGTCCCCCGTGTGTGCATGTGCTGTGCAAAAGACCCGGCATGGAGAAAAGAGAAAACAAGTGCCCTTCCAGAGCGTGTACTCTAAGCAGCAGTAGAAGCGCGCAGCAGAGCTTCGGGCGCAACATGGAAAGCATAATGAGAAAGACAACAGCAGAACGCCAGATCGCAATGCACACAAACCCCCCAACCTGTACAATTACACCCCCCCGATATGCAAGCTAGTGCGCTCTGTTCTCCTCGCACGCCTTTGCGAAGGCGTCAGCGTCGGAGTCTTGACCAAAGCGGATGAAGAAGCTGGTGATTTTCCCCGTCTCGTCTGGAAGCGGGACCTGCACCATCTTCTGCTGGACCTTCTTGTACTCCATCTGGCTAAGCAGCCTCGAGTTGATGACGACGTTGCCTCTCGGAGCAGCCTTCATGAGAACCCTGGTGACGCCTGTGGTGTTGTGCTTCAGAACGCGGAGCGGGCCGACGCCGAGGGTGGACCATTTGGCCTTGTCAGTCTCGGCCTTGGGATTGTACTTCGTCGCCTTGGACTTTGCGCACTCGAAAATCACCGTCTCTTCACGACGCTCTTGCTCGCTGAGGCTAGTGAGGTCGCGTTGGGGCTCGTTGGATTCGGCATCAGCTTCTGCTGTTGACTCAGCTGCAGAGGTCTCGTTCTCCGAGATACCCGGCGTGGTCGCCCGAGAGGTGAAACCAGAGCCGCCGAACACTGACGAGCCTGGCATGGGAGACAAACCACCAGAAGTAGGTGGTGCGCCAAATGCAAACCCAAGCGCAGGCTTGGCTGGCGATGCGGTTGGGGTCGTTGACCCTGGGGAGGCGGACGCACCGGCACCGCTCGGTTTGGCTCCGAAGAGGCCGGCGAAAGGATTCGACGCCGCTGAGTTCTCTTTGTTGCTCTCGTCGCCAGTGCTAGGCTTTCCAGGGCTTGCTGGCGTGAAGTTGAAGGCGGGGGCTCCTGTTGACTTGGCGCTCTGGGCGAACTTGATGGGGCTGTCGTTCTTCCAAGTGTTATCGCCGGCAGGGCTTGCGCTCTTGCCGAAGAGAGTGCTGTTGCCGAAAGGCGTCGAAGTACTTGTCGTTGGGAAACCGAAGGGGTTTGCCTTGGGAGTCTTGTCCGGATCGCTGTCCTGGTTCATTGGCTCTTCCCGCTCAGGCATGCCGTCTGCGCCCATCTTGATACGATCGAACATGCTTCGACTAGCTGCAGGAGTAGAGGTGCCAGGCGTCGTGGTGTTCTTGGCAGGGCTGCGAGACTTTCTCATGGCATCCTCAATAGTCTCCTCATCGGATGCTTCATCGTCACCGCCATTCGCACTAGTCTGCCCAGTCTGCTGCTCATCGGCTGCCTCTTCGTCCTCGCCAGTTGCACTTTCAGAATCTCCTGCATCATCTTGCCCGGCTTCCGCACCGGACTCTACATCTGACAGATGAGCAAACACGTTGCCGGGCTGGAGAGAGTTGTTGGCGCCAAGACGATGGGTGCCGAATACCGAGCCAGTCGATGGCGTTGGGCTTACCGTGCCTGACATGAAAAGACCATTGGTGGGAGATGCAGAGGTCTGAGGTTGTGAAGAGGAAGACGGGGCGGCGCTGGATGCCTTATCCTGCTTCTGCTGTGAAGCGCCGACCGCAAAGCTCGATTGACCAATGTTAAACGTTGGCGAGACGAGCGACTTGGCAGCCTCCTCAAGCTTCGCCTTCTTTGCGCGCTGCTTCTCTTCATCCTTCTTGCGCCACTGCTCCTCGCTTTCTTCATCCGAGTCGAAATCTTCCTCCTTTCGCTTCTTGGTCTCTGCTCGCTGAGTTTTCTCCACTTGCTTGCCGAACGCAGCCAGGAAATTGGTCGTACCGGTACCATCCCCAAACTTAGGAAGCTGCAGTCCGGACGATGTGCTGGCGCTAGGTTGAGTTTGAGGAGCGCCCGCAACTTTGAAAGGATTGGCTACAGCACCGAAAGGTACTGATCCTGGAACTGTGCCAGTGCCTGCGTTGTTTGCAGACGCTGCAGATGTGGGTTTGAACTGGAATGGAGACGCTGCTGCAGGAGCAGTCGTGCTGCTAGTCAACGGCGTACTTGACGGCTTAAACTGGAATGGACTCGCAGCGGCAGGTGCATTGGCGTTGCTAGCCGCAGCAGTGGTGGAAGGCTTGAACTGGAACGGGCTTGCTACTGGTGTTTTGCTCGGCTTGTTCGGTACTGGTGCAGCAGTGGCCGGCTTGGCCGAGAATAGATTGGTGGGTGCAGACGAGGTGTTACCTAGACTTGTGCTAAAACCGCCGAAGGGATTGGAAGATGTTGTTGCAGAAGCGCTGGTTGCAGCTCCGAAGAGGGTGCTCGCTGATGGAGCTGCCTGGAATGAAGGTGCGGCAGCCGGCTGTGGCTTGGAAGTCTCAGGTGGCGGGGTAGGCTTCTCGACGGCGGGCTGAGATGCCTTGTCGAAGATGTTCTTGAAAATGCTCGAGGTTTGAGAGGTCTCTTGAGCGGGCTGAGCCTCTGGAAGCTTCGGATACGACACCTGATCCTCGGCACGGGATCTCTTTGCGTTGCCATTGCCATTGACGCCCTCAGCGGCCGCTGGCTCATCCGCTTTCCTCTTTTTGCTGAGTACGGCCATGAACTTCGCACTCTCTGCAAGATAGAAGCGGCATATTTGGGACCAATCCGAGATTGGGTCTAGAGTAGCAAGGTACTCTCTCAGGCCAATATTGAGGGAGCACATCTGCCAGCCAACCTGAAATTGCTGCTTCTGCACATCTGTGAAGTGTGCTGGCGGCTCTGGTAGGCCACCTGAACTAGGGGATATATCAGCTGCAGGGATATTCGGCTGAACTGCAGGCGCAGAAGATGTTGCTGGCGGCTTGAGGTTACCAAACATGTTAGAAGCGGGCGAAGGGGCAGCGGATGTCGCAGGTGGCTTAAGATTGCCGAACATGTTGCCCGTCGTCGAAGTTGTAGTTGACGGTGTGGAGCTTTTAGCGTTACCAAACAGGTTGCTTGTCGCTGAGGACGGAGCATCAGATGTGGAGGCTGGGATACCATTTGTGCCTGCCTGTGAAGTGGTAGCAGCTGGCTTCGGCTGGAAGAGGTTCGATGAGGCGCCGCTCGCTCCTGTAGCAGAATTCGGAAACGCCGGCGTAGTGGGGGCACGCGCAATCCCTGCGAAAGGGCTCTTTGGTGGTGCTTGAGTTTGCGCGGGTGCAGACGGCGCTGGAGTGTCCTCAGGACGTTTGAGAGCCGCGAAAGGATTGGCCTTGGGGGCGGTCTGCGATGGTTCCTGTGCAGGCGGCGCACTGGCCTGCGAAGTAGTATCTGCCGGCGTGATCCGACTGAACAAGCTTGAACCAGACATCTGTGCCTCGTTCGGCTGTTTTGGAGGCGCATTCAGGAAAGAGAAGAGGTTAGGCCTTTGATCGTTCTGTTGCCCGTTGGGTTTAGCGGGCGAGTTATCAGGTGACACTTGCATCTCCTCAGGGCTGAGTGTGGCGTTGACAGCTGGCGGAGCCTGTTGAGTTGTTCCCGCGTTGATTCCCTTGTTCAAGAAGCTGAAAGGACCTGGGGCCGCCTGAGAGTTGGCCGTCGGCGTACCGAATAGATTTGGGACTGGTTGTGCAGAGGCTGCTGGCTGAGGGAAACCAAACGGATTGGAGGAGGGTTGTGTGGCATTGGCTGGTGAGCCAAAGTTCGTGGAGAACGGTTGAGAGGTCGCAGGCGGGTTTGAAGAATTATTTGGCGGCGCGGAGGCTGCAAAGTTGAACAAGCTGCTCTTCGATGCTTCGTTGGCGGGCTGCGCTGGAGGTAGGTTGAAGATCGAACCGGAGAAACCCGAACTGGCACCGCCGTTCGTAGTGGTGGACGCGTTCGTTGCGCCATTGGAAGGGTTGCTGAATGGATTGCTGCCTACGGAGGAGAAGTTGAAGGCCCCAGAGGGCGGGGCGAGATTAAATTGAGGAGCGCCAGCTGCAGCTGCAGCATTGCCAAATCCACCGAAGGAGATACTAGCACCGTTCTGGCCGAAAGATGGAGCGCCGTTTGTAGGTGGGAAGCTCTGTGAGCTTTGCGTGTTGCCGAAGAAGCTTCCGTTCTGTTGAGCGGGTTGCTGAACGGGTTGCTGCTGCTGATCCTGCTGCTGACCGAAACCAGTGAAGCCTCCGAATCCGCCGAACATAGGCTGCTGAGGCTGCGCCGGGTTCGCCGAGCTGGGCAAGCCCACCGGCTTGCGGCCTTTGATCGGCTTGATTCTATCCATCGTGTCAAGTTAGCTAAACCGACTTCGTGAATACAGATGTATGTACGGCTGGGCAGGGTGTGGAATGGTTGGGGTTCAGAGCTTCAGAGATGGATCTGAAGTTACGAGGTGTAGGAGGATAGAAGGATCTTGGGGCAGAGGAAGAGGCAGAGGGCGTTATTGTGCGCTCGTGAACAGCGCGCACAGACTTCGCACAATAGCCTCAGTGAAGCAAAGTGAAGTGCTTCACGCGATGGTTGTCATGCCGGCACACGTAAAGTCGCGGTGACGACATGTCCCCCGAGTGAATTACCAGAACCACAACAAACACAACGCGACGGACTCACTTTCTTCTTTGCATCTGTTCCGGTGTAGCCCTTACGACGGGATCCTCCTCACGGTCTAAGGAGTGCCCTCGATGTGCCGTTTCCCTGTCGTCCTTGGTGATTTGCGTCGTCGCTTGACGTTTCGACATGGACGGCAGGCGGGAAGAGAGCCGCGGGAAGGTTGCAGCGTCTTTCTACGACTGTCTAGCAGTCGGACAGAGCACCCGGGAAAGCTTCCATGCGCGGCGTTGACGATGCGCGAGGAGTTGCGTGCAGGTAGGCGAGGATGTCGTAGGCTTTTCACTCAGCTTTGGGGCGGCAAGACTGCGGGTACAAAGGACTGCGCAAACTCGATAGTGAATGAATCGTGTGGTTGCTGTGCGCGGTTGGGGATGGTGCAGCACTCGAGTCGTGTCGAGTCAAATCGTGATTGCCCGGTGTTGATGAGGCTGTTTTTCTCGTATAGGCCAAAAATGAGGTCGGAGGTAGGGGAGAGGAGTTTAGGCGGGCTTTGCGCTGGCCATCACGTGCACGGCACCCAAAACAATGACGAGTGTGTGTGTCGCGACGGCACAACCGGTCAGCCTGAATGTCTGATATGGAGCGGAAGTAAATGTCAACGCATGGTGAGGCCTCTCTGTCTCCAATATCTTCGATTTACCTGATGCTCGAGGTGCACAAGCCGTGGGTGGGGTTGCGAGCCTGGAAGCTGGCACGACTTCATTGTTATTCTCGAGTGCAAATGTCAGGCTCAGAAACAGCTACATCCCTAGAGTTTCATGTGCTGTAATGTCTATCAGATTACTAGTTCCGGCCCATTATGTCACATTTAAAGGACCAAGACGAAGGAACGGATCGAGCGGAATTGCGTCGAAACCCTGTGCATGTACGACCACTGTCTCCCGAGCAGCGGCTACCTCGATCGAGCTTGACTTCAGAAGGCCAGCAGTACTGGCGTGGAAATGAAATTCTCAAACCACCTCCTAAGTTTCGCCTATAGTATTAGACTAACGCGCGAACCATCAAAACGCACCAAGCAATACACACAGCTGCATCTTTTCAAACCCCAGATAAGCAAAGGGTATCGTACAGAAACATCGCTGAGCAGATCAGCTGGACTACAAATCCTGAAAAAAAAGAAATCGTGAGAGAGTGAGGTTCCGGAACCGCACATCGGTAGCTCCGCGTCGGACATCTCAATGTACTGGTGCTCTTACTCCTGGACAGCCCAGCTGCGACAACAAGGAAAAGCTTTCGCATCGGCAGGTGGTACCTCATCATAGGCGATGGCCCGGCACAAGGATGAAGATGCAGCACAAAACCGCATCGATGCCGACGATCCAGGTAAGCGCCATAAGCGAGCGTTTGTTGAGCAGCTTGCGCACAAATGGCTCCTGAATGCGATGATAAGACATGAACGTGTACTCGCTGAAGCCGGCCAGAGCGAGAAGAGGGTCAAGCATGTACTGGTGAGACACGAGCGCATAAATGCCGACGGTGAAGGGAAGAATGAGCTAAAGGGGCGGTTAGCCTTCACAATCAGGCCTGCGAGTAGGCAACACGGTACGACTCACCCAGCATCTAGTAGTCCGCGAGTAGTTCAAGAAGATGAGGACAAAGGCTGCCCAGAACGCGCCGAAAAGGCTCAGCAGTCCAACGATCAGGCGCAGCATCATGCTAGGAGGCACAATATTGCCCAGCGCCTTCGACCTGAGGAAGCCAGGGAAAGCGTCACGCTCCATCGCCTGGAAGACGTAGTCCTTTGCCGCATCAAACACTTCAGGGTCATCACGACCTTCTTCTTCAATCGCATGCTGTATGGCGTTGAGTATGCCCTGTGGCAGGATAATCTCACGCTCCGCGCCGGGGAGCAGGTACGTGTACAAAATCTTCTCAGCGGATGCCCGAATGTCTTGCCTCGCCACTGTGTGACCGGGCGAGCTACCAGAGGTGTTGTTTCCAGGCGAGCTCCCCGAGTTGTTCTGAGGCGACGTGCCACTGTTGGATGAATGGAAGGTTGGTCGGGGTCGCTCTTGGCCAGGCGTTGACCCCTCAGACTGACCGCTGTTGTTTGGCGAGTGCTTGCTGCCGCTGTCCGACCGTAGGAAAGCTGAGAGGCGCTCGGAGGTCATGGCTTTCTCGGGGTTTGACGGTCCTGCGGTGTCGTAGCTAGGGTCAAACAACCCTGATGACCGCTTGCTGGCAGACTTCTCCAGTTCAGGTGTTTCCACGAGCACAGAGCGTCGCAGTTCGCGCACGTAGTGTCGACATAGCGACATGTGCTGAGAAACATCGAGCCTGTCGCATACTGTTAGCTGGTTAATCAAGGTGCGCGTGGCGCGATGTCATCTTGGCTGGGCGCATATTGTACCAGAAGTCGAGATAGTCAACGGATCTCTGTTGATCTCGCATGTATATGTAGAATGAAAAGAGGTCGACCGGCGCTGTCGTGCGACGGCTCAAGACCTCGAACAGTGTCGGAAGCCGATCCCTGTTGAGGTCCGGAACGGGTGAAGGTGTTGACATAATGGGCGATTGACTGTGCTGGTGGCGAGAGACGCGATATCAAAGCATCTAAGGAGGCTCAGAGACCTCGTCGCTCCTATCTTTCTGCGCCTGGGCGGACTGCGCTGAGACTTTCAGGATGCCGGAGAACAAGAGGCCCGGTGGTGAATCGCAATTGATGAGAGGCTACCGGCACTGCACGAGTCCTCTGTGCAGTTGATTCTTGTACGTGAATTGGACCGATACGTGAAGATGTTGCCGATTGTCGCTTGTCGTTGAAATAACGGTGAATGGAGTCGTCGACTTGTCCGGTCGCGAGTCGTGATGCGATGCAGAACGACTACCCTAGGAAGTTGGCAGCGGGTGACGTCCAGACCCTCTGATGGAGCTGAGCGGTATCAATTTCCTGTACGTCTCGTCCAGCAGCGATTGTGGGCGATTCGATGGTAGTTGTCCGTCAAGGTGAGTCGGTGGTTGACAGGTGCGGCTTGACGTCCTGAAATCTGCCCAGGTGGTGGTTGTCATGGATTTGACATGGGGCTGAAGCGAAATGGTGCGCTCTCATTTGGCTGGTTCCTGACGTGACAACATCTCGAACGGTTGACAGCATCTTGCCCCATGGTTCAGCTTCAGGGCTAGGGAAGTGAACATCTGCTCGTATCTCAGCTGTGAGGAATCAGCCTTGTATTGACTGGCTCGGCTCCGAGGCTCTTTGTGGGGAATCATAGTAGCTGTAGCATAATTCAGGCAGCAGAGCAGAAAGAGTCGATACAGCCTCAGCCTGCTATATAACACGCCTTTTGACTCTTCATACAACACATTTGAGTCCGTAAACTCGTACACGCAAACTTAATACAGATTCCGCCATGCCTTCAGACATGGCGACTACACAATCCTCCCCGCTGCCTCAAGGCATCCTCGACGGTTCTTCCCCCAACATCACAGTCAGCCACATCGATTTCGCAAAATCGCCTCTACCCGAATACAAAGACCTGTACGCAGTAGTTCTGGACGGCGTACTCTCACCAGAGGAATGCAACGCCCTAGTAGCTGCAGCCGAGTCAACAACCAACGGCCAGTGGGAGAGGGCGATGGTGAACATTGGCGGCGGTCGACAGATGATTGCCACCGACGCCAGGAACTGCGGGCGCATCATCTGGGACTCGCGCGATGTGGTTGGGAGGTTATGGGCGCGGTGCGAGCCGCACGTTCAAGAACTGCTCAGCTTGCAGCAATGGCCGAAAGTCACGGGTCTGGGGCCAGCACGGAGGAAGGAGACCTGGAAGATGACGAGGCTGAACGAGAGAATGAGATTCTTGAAGTACACTAGTGGAGAGTACTTCAGACGTGAGTAGTGCTATCTAAGACACACACAGCGAAGGGCCTTCGCTAATAAGCCCCAAGCACATTGTGACGGCTGCTATGAGACACCGGACCGTACGGAGAGATCGTACTTTACACTCCACCTGTACCTCAACGACGCCAAGTCCGATTCAAACGGCCATCCGCTACAAGGCGGTGCGACCACCTTCCACTCCCACAACATGAAGGAGCGACTCGATGTAGTGCCGAAAGTTGGTCGTGTGCTCATATTTCAGCACAACTACCTCTTACATTCTGGCGACGATGTGGTGAAGGGGACCAAGTTGACCATGAGGACGGATGTCATGTACGCGAAGGAAAAGGAAGAGAGGGGTACTGAGTGAGCGCGCGAGATTGTGAACGATATGGCACTTCATCATTAGCAGTATCCTTGAACCACGTGACTGAAAAGACAGCTGGATCCAACTTGCCTGAAAAAGAGTAGGGTGAAGAGTCGTCCTCCCCAGAGTAATCGGAATCGAATGATACCTTTCTCCATGTCCACACGCTTCTCCTCCCGCTTAAGGATTGAGAGCAACTGAACCATGGAGTCCAGTACGCCGCGTATTGCACTAAAGTATCACCATGCTTTCGCACAGCACACAATCTTCGCACCGGCTCCCATAGGACGTCGGCCCAGCAGCCACTTCCCCGAAAGGCAGACCACGGTCCTAGTCCTGAGATTTCTGATGCCAAATGCAGACGTGAAGTCACGCCAGGCCCTCACGGGCAGCTGCCAAAGGCTCACACGTAGGCGGAAGTCCAACCTAGTGTGAGAAGGCAAGAAGTGAAGATTACTCCGAATTTCTCATTTGCAAGCCTGGACGAGCTGAGGCGGGGCTCAGGGTCTGTTTGTGAGCAAAGAAACGCAGCATTGGGGAGGACGACTCTTGGAGAAAGAGAAAGGAAGCTCTGAGTCGCGAGTGAGATTTTGTGCAAAGTGCGGCACGTGCGGCTGTCGCTTGCCGTAGCTAGCGCGGGGTTTTGGCCGAACGCCGAACGGTTGATGGTCCCGCCCGTTGTGGTGATCGCTTGATCGCGGCCGCTCGCTCCACGCCCGGCGCGTTGAACGTTAGCTCATGTAGATGTAGCTTGACATGTCCTTCGATCAGAAGAATTCCGTCGCACCGTTCACTCTTGGGCGTCTGCATTGGATTGACCGTCGGATATGGGAAGGGAACTCCTGCTGGTGCAAGACATGCCGTCCTTCGTTCTGCACTCCAGAGCCGAACCAGAGCTGACCGGGGGTTGCAATGGCGGGGACGACCGGAAGGCTGACGTCGCCCGGAGAACCTTGCACGACAAACGGGTGGCTGTCAAAGCGCTGGGATGGTGCTTACAGACACTCACCACCACCGCAGCTCTGCGCGACTGCCTGTGACTCCATCTCACCCGCCGCGTGAGCCTCGAACGCCGTGCAACAGGTGACAGCTGACAAGTCACGCGGCTGCCTCCGTCCTTAATGTCTAACGCCGGCCCGCGACAAGTACTGGTGACAGCCGAAGCCGAAGACGACACCTCGAGCAGCTGAGCCCAGCTCGCTGCGCCGACGAAGAAATGTGGTCGAGGACGAAGACCACTGGAAAGGTGGGCTTCGACAAGCTCTATGGCTGGGTCGACAAGCTGGGCCCGCCGGTAAACAAGCTGTCAAACAAGCTGGGATCAGAGGCGTTCTGGCCCACGACGCTGGACAAGGAGAGCGACAAGGCCGCGCGGATCCTGCAAAGCTTCTGCAGTAGGTAGTTCTGCTGTGCGCGTATTAAGCTCTTGGACGGGAACTGAACTATGCCCAGGAGATGGCTTCTATCAGGAAGATACGCTCAAAACGGCAGACGCCCCCAAGTCGAAGCAGAAGGTGCTGCAGAAGGTGCCGCCAGAGGTAAGACATATCCTTGCGGACTCTCAAACTATACAGCAGCTCAGACTGACGCCGCTTGCCCTAGGTAATCTATAATGCGAAAGGCCTGGCAATCTTCACTACAATGCGAACCGGCCTGTGGGTGTCCGGCGCAGGCGGCAGCGGTGTCCTCATTGCGCGCAAACCAGACGGCAGCTGGTCGCCACCATCGGGCATCATGACGCAGACAATGGGGCTAGGTTTACTCGTGGGCATCGACATATACGACTGCCTGCTGGTCATCAACACACAAGAAGCCCTCGATGCCTTCTCTCAGTTACGTTGCACGTTGGGCACAGACATCAGTGCAGTGGCAGGTCCGATTGGAATCGGAGCACATCTGGAAACAGAAGTCCACAAGAGACAAGCGCCCATCTTCACGTACATCAAATCTCGAGGATTCTACATAGGCGTGCAGATTGACGGCACGATCGTCATCGAACGCACGGACGAGAACGAGCGCTTCTACAACGAGCGGATACCGGTTGCGGACATACTGGCTGGCAAAGTGCGGCATCCACCTTTCGAGACCAGAGCGCTACTGGAGACTATCAAGGCCGCACAAGGGGATGCGGACGTGGACGAGAGACTCCTACCGCTCGAACCAGCACCCAGCGACTTTGAGATTGTGCAGGACAAACCACTCTTCGGAGTCCCTACCAAGGAGGACCCCGACCCGTACGGCGTGCTAGCGCTCGAGAAGGAAGGCTTTGAGATTAGAGAAGCCGGAACACACCGACGTCCCTCGAGCGAGCAATTCGAATTCAACCCCAGCCCTTTGAGTCCGATCTACAGCGCCTTCAGCCGCAAAAGCATCGACGGCAGGACACCAAGCCGGAAGAGCAGCATACATAGCAGCTGGCGCATAAGCGCACTCAGCGCAGCAGAGCGACCACCCTCAAAATCGTCAGAACCCTCACGGATGACAGACATGTCCACGCAGACCGACTTCGAGGAGCCCAGCTCGCCCGTTTCTAGACGATCCAGCAGCACAAACAGCCGCGCGAAAATGGGCGAGATCCCAGAAAACAAAAGCACAGACGACGTCTCCGAGCCCATCATCAACGGCTCCGTCTCCGCCAACGGCGACATCTCCGTCTCGCGCTCCTCGTACCACGAGCGCCGCGCCAGCGCCTCCGCGTCTTCCGTCCAGCGCAACTCCCTCCGGGACACCATGGCCTACCCGGACCCGCCACGCACAGCCTCCGTGCCCGCCATCCCCTATCGGCAGTCCGTCGACCTCGCCTACGCAGACGAGGAGCCCGAAGTCGCCATCGTGCAAGCCGTGCGCCGCTCCCCAGCGCCGCAGTTCATCTCGCGCGCGGGCATCGGCGCGCGCCTCGTCACGGTCACGAAACCGACGCCGCCGAAACTCCCGCCGCGGAACCCGATCCGCGATCGGAAGAGGCCGCTCGTTGTTGACGCCTCGCCTGTCACCCCCTCTGAGGCAGAGGGCAGCACCATCTCGCCGACCGTGACGGAGACCGAGGACCGCAAATCCATGTCGCCGCACCGAGGGTCCGGGTCCTCGGATCTGGGGCGAAGGTCCTCGGCTACGAGTTTTGACTCGATTTCCTCGGGCGAGCAGATGAGTGCTGTGAGCGAGCGGGTTGCGAAGATGGGGCTGCGGTCTGACTCCGCTAACGAAGAGCGGAAGAAGGTCGATGCGTCGTCGGCGGCGATGCCGGGGGCGTTTGCGACCGCTGAGGCTGACGAGTTTCACTCGCTGCCGGTCACGCCGGATGGGGACGTGAGGCCGTGGAGCGAGGGCGGGAAGCAGGGGACTTATTTGGCTTATCGGACATAGGTGGGCCTTTTTATGCATATATGGGATGGTGCTTTTTGCTCCGGGGTGGACAAGGGTATCTTTACGAGGGGCATGGAATTTTTACCCACGGCGCTTCTGTTCGTGGCTCTTATCTGGGGGCGGCGACGACTGCAGGCGGGGGCACCGGGTGTGCTTACTGGGGGCTTTTTCTTTACCCTGGCAAAAGTCACGGCGAGGGGTTTGGGGTATATATGCTTTCTTCGAAGACGAGACATGTGGCACTGTAGATCTGTGGTTAGTGAGGTTACATGGCTTTTCTCGCGTTGAAGGGTTTGATGCTCAACGGGTGGTCATGGAGCCTGTTCATATGGGTCAGCATTCCTGTGAAGCGGAGTCGATGTTGTTGCTATGAAGATCGTTGTATCCGGTTTCAGACAAAGTGAGAAGATTGTGTGTTGCTGGTTGCTTAAGCATGGCCCACGTCTAGCTGCGAGACCGGAAAGGACTGCGGCTGGACGAGGAGGCTCTTCTGGCCCCAGCGTTGCTCATCATTAAACTGATTTTGTGAGGGTTGAAAGCACTTACGCTCCATGTTATGTGTACGTTTTGACGGAGGGTTTGAGCCAACAATCGATAGGTTACTGCTGGTACTGATCAGGAGACTTGTGTAAGACGAAGGTGTTTGGTGCTCCTAAGCGGGTCAAGCTGGATGGATGAAGCTCCTCCACAACAAGGCTAGGATAGGGATGTCACCGATTACCTTGACCAAGTCGCGTCTCAAGCAATTGATCCGACAGAATGTCACGTGATATGTCCGTTTCGTTTTGTGTGTTGGCCAACCTTCCCAGGGTTTTTCACCAAAAGAAAGAAAACACAGGATACAGGCCATCACTTCTAAGTTTGGCCGTGATCTAGATCCCTTGACCTCGTGCTTCTGCTCGTATAGATTTAGCGGAAGATGTGCGCTCGATCCGTCCCTCACCCCCCGCCGCAAACTAGTAAAGAACCCGGATTGGCTATGACTTCGCAAAGTACCAGGCCTTATCCTTGAAACCTTAGGAACACGTCCAACTCCAGCGAACGCGATACGAACCTTTTCCATGATTTTCAAGCTGGCACAGGCCGCAGCCCACGTAGGCTGCCTAACAAGAAAATGACTTGGTCGAGACCGGGAGCGCCATCTTTTCCTGGGACGAGAGGCTGAAAACACAAGCATCGACAGGAACAACAAACTTGATGATCCCTACAGCGGACCTCGTATGTCCAGTGCATTTTCGTGGATGTGCCCGTTCTAGAAGCATAGAATACGATGTGCCTTACCCTTGTAAATGTCCATATATCAATTTTTCCAAAATGGCTGACTATGGCGGGCTTCAGCTGCATGTACGGGTCTGAAGTCTAGGGCTACCATGTGCCGCCGTCTACCTGACCTGCCCAGGCCCCTTCAGCTTCATGGTACTGTAACTCTCGAGGTCGTATTGAGTTTTCTAGCGCAAGTCTTAGTCTTCTATTCTAGGAACGAGAGAGTGTATATGTACTGACGATGGAATGCTGCTCGGCCAACCTCCGAAGCAAATCAAATAGGCAACTATCTTTCTAAATCATCAACTCGGTAGTCTTTATACGTCTCAACACCGAAGTCATGAAAGTCTCATCAGTCATCTTAGTGGCCATCCTTGCTGAAGTGATGCCGGCTCTGGCCGCGCCTGCACAGTGCAGTGACAAGCTGGTCTCGGTCCTCAAGCAGTACAGCTCACTGGCCTCCCCTTTCTGCAGTGTCTACCTGAATATTCCCAAGAAAACGACCACGACGACAAAAGTAGCAATCATCACGCCAACCCCCAAGACTGTGACGACCGAGATAAAAATCACCGACACCCAGACGCAGACGGTCTATGTGACGGTCCCTGGAGATCCAATCACCCGCTACTACAACGCACCTTTCCCAAGCGAGACGAAGACAATCCTGCCTACACCTCCAGCCAAGAGAGAGGCAGCTCTCGAGGCTCGAGACGATCTCCCCAGCTACGTTAGCGGTTACGCCGCAAGCGCCATCTCCAGTGCCTGCTCCTGCCTCTCAGTCGCACCCAGGACGACCACAACGACGAAGAGCTCCACGACTACGTTACCGCGCCAAACCCAGACCGTCAGCAAGATCAAAACCGTAGCCACTTCCATCATTACTACGACAGTCACTGTCCAAGGACCAAGACCTACCAAGTACACTTGCGCCGACTACGAAAACTCGCCCTTGAACAAAGGCTATGAGTATCTCAACCAGGGCGATGTCGACAAGTTGACGCCGATCAGCGCTATCCCCATCTTTAGCCGGGATCTGATCGAATGCTGCAACCTCTGCTACGAGACCGAGAACTGTGTTGCGTATAGGTTCAACAACGACCATAGGTGAGCTCACGGTCTATTCGACGAGTTACGGACCAGCCTCCTCAGGACATGATTGACATTAACACAGTACCGCAACCTGCCAACGCTGGACCACACCTGGAGGACTACCAGTCGTCGGGTAGGCTCCACCTATGACCTGCATGACGAAATCTAAGTAACGCAGGACTGACAACTTCACAGGTACAACTCGCAGTGCAAGGCAGGGATTGTTCACGGCACGCGACAACCGATACTAGAGAAGGACTTTTTCGGTAACATGGCTAACCCGATTGCCATCGGGCCGTGCCTGGATTCGTATTGGCAAAACTAGTATTGCTACATCCACGATGGGGGTTTACCGTCTTGTTCGTTTCCAGGTGGCCTTGCGGTGCACATATATACGAGTAACAGATAAGAGGCTTGCTTAGGCGGTTTGATTTTGCAAGAGATGAATAGCATGAGCACACATATACACATATATACGATGTATCCACAAGTCTACCACGTAAGGCCCTTGCTGGAGCTGCTGGTCTCGCCTTCGAAGAAGCCCGAGCGATCTGCAACCAGCGGCAAGGAAGTTACCCACGGATGAGCTGGCTGGCGCCGAGGATTGAAAAGACAGAAAGGCATGTTGGGCGGGCCGCATCCTGCAGCTGTCCGTGGACCATCGCAAGGCATCTGCAACATCCTGAATGTGAGCTTGTATACTGCCCCCAAGCCTGATTGTCAGCTTTCAAATGCACACGAATCGTATTGCACAGCTTGCTGAAGCTCCAAATCTCTGTTAATCAGCGGGAGAGGATGCTTTCCTATCTGAACCACCAGGCCGCATGGGCCCTATCAGCGGGCACTTTCTTTCTCAGGCATCCTTGTACTCATTACCTTAGAAGGTTTGAAGACACCAAGCAGGCTAGCAGGCCACATGAAGCCACCGATTGGTTCACACCCATGCTAGCCTCGCTATCTTCAAACCTTTTAAGGTAACAAGTAAGCTCACCTTGCCAGTCGGTTGGTCGTTCCACGTTTCTGATTCCAAAGACTGGCAACTCCCGCAGGTGCTTTTATATCCGTGAAGCACGTGAAAGTTTACTCCAGATCCTGGAGTCCGTAAAAGGTCCACACAACGTTGAACCTGGAAGAAGTCTAAGATTCAGAAGGCTTTTCTAGATGCCGCATCTAACCTCGAAAAGGAGGTTTTACCGACAAACGCCTCTTCGCCTCGATGAAACTGCAGCTGCAGCAAGCTGATTGGCATTCCAAGCTTCTAGCGCAGAATCGCTCGCACACATCCTACACCGATAAGCCCGCGCCGTTATCGAGAAACGCAAGCGCCATTGACGCAAACACCAGGATCGGCTGCTCGATCAGTGGCCCTGCGCTTCAGCGATGCCAGTCACCTGGGCCGGACATGGCCGACAGATCGCTTGTCAGGCCTCGGTGCGACGCTCCCTAGCTGTAGGAGGAAGCTGCCACTGCCGCCAAGCTTAGCGTGGAGGGGTGCGCTAGAGACTAGCTGGGCAGACGTCGAGGGCTTAACGGAGCTTTGGAGAAATATATGCGTGGGTCAGCCGCGTTGTTCTTCTGCATGAGAATCTAGCATCGCTCTCGTTGCGCAAACTGTCCTATCTGTTTTCACGGGGAACCATCGCCTTCAACATGGCGGATCCTTCTCCAGTTACCCACAGGCACAACGCCTCTCCTGAGCGCGGGCTTGTGCTAAACAACGACCCGGCGTTGGATACTGCCCACGAGCACCATCATGGCCATATGCATCACGCGCCCAGTGCCGCGCATGATGACAATGTTACCTACTCGATAAACACCACCGCTGAGCCCAGTATCATTCCGGCACAAGATCCTCTAGACGATAATCTGAGACGGCGGGGCCATCCGGAAAAGAACGGGCACTATGATGAGAAGAACGGCGCCCTCAACTATGATCCTGAGAAGGGGAGTTTGAGCCCAATCGGCGCATCGGTGACCCAGGAAGAAGACCCGAAACGCCATGGGTTTTCCGGGTTTTACAAGAAATACAGAGTCTTCTTCCACGCGGCTATTTGGTTGCTCTTTACTGGGTACGTGTACTATTCCTTATGAATGTTCATGTCCAAGTTAGGATGTGGATCTACTAGTCGTTCCTTCGTATATTCTGTGCGCTGACGCCAGTATAGCTGGTGGATCGCGAGCTTGGTCCTGCATCGCAATGACAAGAACTGGGTTGTTCCATTCCTGCTCTATCTCTGCATCACCATCCGCATCGTAACCCTCTATATCCCTATCACGGTCGTAACGAAACCAATGCACTGGGTCTGGAACAATACCGGGGTCCGCTTTACCAGTTACATTCCCGAGAAGCTGCGGATCCCACTGGGCGCTGCTCTAGTCATTGCAGTCATTATTGTCGGGGCTTTCGCCAGCGAAGAGAGCCAGGACAACACGCGTGCAAACCGCGCCGTCAGCCTTTTCGGTCTGCTCGTCTTCATCGGTGGATTGTGGGCGACATCGAGGAATCGGGCTTTGATCAACTGGCACACCGTCATCGTTGGTATGCTCGTCCAATTCATTGTGGCCCTTTTCGTTCTGCGCACGCAAGTTGGATACGACATCTTCGACTTTGTGTCCTTGCTCGCGCGTGAGCTCCTCCACTTCGCCGCCCTTGGCCTTGCCTTCTTGACGTCCGAGGAAACTACGCAGCTGCCCTGGTTCTTGACCGGAGTGATTCCGCCGATCATCTTCTTCGTCTCCTTTGTCCAGCTGCTCTACTACTGGGGTCTCATCCAGTGGTTCATCGGCAAGTTTGCCGTGTTCTTCTTCTGGGCCATGAAGGTCAGCGGAGCGGAGGCCGTGGTTGCGGCTGCCTCGCCCTTCATCGGACAGGGTGAATCTGCTATGCTTATCAAGCCCTTCGTGGCGCATTTGACCCAAGCGGAGCTCCATCAAGTTATGTGCTCTGGTTTCGCCACCATTGCTGGCAGTGTGCTTGTCGCGTCAGTATCCCGCTAAGATTCAAACGGGGCAGACACTGATCCCTGAATAGATATATCGGTCTCGGCATCAACCCGCAGGCGCTCATCTCTTCTTGCGTGATGAGTATCCCCGCTTCCTTGGCCGTCAGCAAGCTCCGCTTCCCTGAGACAGAGGAGACTCTCACGGCCGGCCGTGTTGTGATTCCCGATGATGATGAACACCGCGCTGCAAATTCGCTACACGCTTTCGCCAACGGCGCCTGGCTCGGTCTCAAGATCGGCGGCATGATCTCTGCTACCATTCTCTGCATTCTAGCGCTCATCGGTCTGATCGACGGCCTCTTGACCTGGTGGGGCCGCTACCTCAACCTCGATGGCGACTACGATCTTACCTTGGAACTCATCTTGGGGTACATCTGCTACCCAGTCGCTTTCCTCCTCGGTGTCTCACGACAAGGCGGCGATTTGCTCAAAGTCGGCCGTCTGATCGGCATCAAGCTCATCAGGTAACTCCCTGTCCCTTTAGAACCGCCAATACTGAATACAGCCCACTGACCTCCCCATAGCAACGAGTTTGTTGCGTACGCGCTTCTGCAAAACGACCCCGAGTACGCCGACCTCTCGCCCCGCTCCACCCTCATCGCTACGTATGCTCTATGCGGCTTCGCCAATATCGGCTCTCTTGGTACCCAGATCGGTGTCTTGGGCCAGATCTCTCCAGGCCGCAGTGGAGACGTTGCAAGAGTTGCTGTTAGCGCGCTTATCTCGGGCGCGATCTCGACCCTGACGTCGGCAACGATTGCGGGTATGTTGATTACGAACCAGGAGAATTTTGCGCCGGTACCGCAGTCGTAGTGTTGCCATTTTGGGTCCTGGGAATGAATATTCCCGTCGGTTAAAATTTGGGAAATTTGGGATGAATTGTTGGCTGTTGTGTGGGTGCAACAGGTACCTTCAGCCACCTGAGAAAATGGAATAAGATTGTCACTTTGAGATTCATGAATACAAGCATTCTACAAGGCACCATCCCCTTTTATCAACAGCAGCGGATTTTTCCCAGCAGATATCTAAAACGATCAATGTATGGCACGAAAATGCTGACAGTAGAAGACAAGACGTGGTAATCAGTTCTTGTTACTTCACAAAAACATGAAGCCAGGCTTGAAGAGAGATATATATATACGGTACCAGGGCCCTGATGCTCTGGGCCGCGCCTCCGTCACTCTAGTTTTGGGCACTGCTATTAAGTCTGGTCAGGTTATATAGACAGATCACATACCTGCCAGATCTTTAGTGTTCTGCATTGTGATCCTCGGTTTGTAGATTGGGAGCGCAAATGATCCATGCGACGATTATCTCGCCCCTGTTGGTCAATCCCGTATCAGGGGTCCGTGCTGCGATATGCAGGGGGCTCGAGCGAGCCGCCCCCATCTTGGAATCTTCATACTTCCGGACATCGCTGCTTTTCGTTGTCACTATTCGACTGGTTACCGAGTCCCGCACTGTCCCTGAAGAATACTAGTAGATGTCATAATCAATCTCAACACCAGCAAGAATGTGTTCGAAATCAAGTATACCCTAACAGTCTGCACGTATGTTCTCATTATCACGTCCTGCGCGTCGTAGAAGCAGCACAGCAAGCGCCGCCTCAAACACTCCTATGGGCAAACAACAGGCGTGAATGTTTCATCTCTACGTACAAGCCAATAGGAGATAAGCTTTCAGCGACACTATCCATTCATAGACGCATAGACGCCAGGGTAAAACGGTGGCTGTCCACGCCTTCAGTTGCTGTGCCTCACACGGCGGCAACATGAGTAGGCATGCCTCCTGGACGATTGATTTTTGCACAGCCCCGTCATCTCGCACCCGCTGAACAGTGTGTAAACTCTTCTCTCGTTTTTGTCTGACGATGCTATCAACATTGACACTGCTGGCTCAGCGGCATGTTGAAAGGATGTCCACACTCTCGTTACTTTTAATTTCTACGTTACTTTTTACATGTCGAGTATCAGGAGCGGACTGCCCCTTCAGGCCGATCAACATTCCAATCAAAGATGTTGCTTTGATTGGCAACCCTATCGAGCGTGGCATCTCAGGTGACAAGCGTATGATGCGTGGCATGGCTATGTCAGTTGGGAGTCCGCCGCAAGAATTTGCGTTTATGCCAGAGTGGTCAGTACCAGATCAAACCGTTTCGGATCCAGCGCGCCATGCCTGACAACAGCAAGGCTATTAAACAATACTTGGCTATTCGGGGAGCAAGGCTTCTGCGACACGTCTATATCAGAAGAGGCCTGCTTTACTCGCCGGGGCGGAGCTTTCAAAGGCGACAGATCTTCTACGTTCAGCACAATCAACAACGTTGCTACGGAGGACCGAGTTCTATACGACAATAACACCGTCAGGGCTGAAAGCTGGGGAAGAGATGAATTCGTACTGGCTCCAAACGTTACGTTGAGGGCCTTTCCATTCGGCATAGCAGGCTCGGACTGGGGTGGCGGTTATCACACCCAGATGAGCGTGGGCCTGGGCGCCAACTCGACCATCTTAACCGCACTCAAAGAGGCTGGCAAAATCGGTTCCAGGACATGGTCGATGTTTTGGGGTTTAACCGGCGCCACGCCGGAGGCCCAGATGGATGGCGCTTTCGTCTTTGGTGGCTACGACGCGGCGAAGATCAAAGGGAACAATGTCACCCATGATATCAGACCTTCGGACAGATGCCGGTCAGGTTTGGTCCTTCCGATTACCGACATACAATTGAACTTCCCGAACGGCTCCAGTCCTTACGTATTCTTTTCCGGGACCATGAACGTTTGCATCCAGCCGGATCACCCTGTCTTGATGACACTACCACTAGACCCTTACTACAACCGCTTCGAAGAACTCACTCAAACTACAAACATTGGTCGCTCTAGCGGTATCAACCACTGGGGGCACTTATACGATCCCGAAGATGTGTAAGTCACCTCTCCAACCCTTCTGCACATCCAGTACTGACAGTTCGACGCAGCTTTCAAGGAGACATGACCTTCAGCTTTGCATTTGGACCAAAGATACGCATTTCGAACAGCCAGTTGGTTATCCCGGACATGATGGTCAACCAAAGCGGCTACGTCGTCACCAATACCAGTACGCGCGAAGTCGTGATCAATAGTATCAAGGACTTTTACGCGGGCGACATACCGATCATCGGCCGCCAGTTCCTGTCCTCCGCTTACATCATGGTCAATCAAGACGAAAACACCTTCACGTTGTGGGAGGCAAACCCTACGAAGGACATCAACCTCGTTGCTGTGGCCGATGATGAGACTATGGCTACGCGCTGCCGCATTGCTGATGCATCCTCGTCACTCGAGAGCACAAGTACCCGAGCCGCAGATAGCGGTAACTCGGATACTGGGTCTACGCGTCTCACGCCCGGCGTCTTGGCCGCCGTCTTCATCGTTGCGGTTATTGCTGTCGGCTCACTTGCTCTTGTGGCCTTCTGCCTGAGAAGAAGATCGAGGAGGCGGAAACAAGCGGCGATGGGATTGACGCCACCCGAACCTCAGTACTCCATAAAACCTGCATACGACCCGGGGTTACAAGAGATCGCGAGCTCCCAGCACGGACACGAGATGTGGACGGAGAACAGAGGTGTTGTGCATGAGATGGAGCAGAGACGCGTTGTGCATGAATTGGGTTAGCGTCACCGACAGGCTGAACCTGCTATTGAGACATCACGGCCGTCCAGTTCCATTGTGTATGAGCCGGTTGCCCGTTTTAGGTGTGCGAGGGGGGAGGAGTCTGTGGATAGGCGTTTGTGATACCCTTTTAAGCGGCATAAGTGGATAGTTTTGAATGGAACTGTTACTGTATTCCGCCCTAGACTTGGTCTGCATCTCTGTCCCTCTGCCGCGTAAACTGTTTGCGTCCATTTTATAAAGCCCGCTGTGGGCAGCGCAAGCTGGCTGAGCGGCCTACGAAGTGGTTGGCCGGAGTCCAATAGCTGTGTGGCTTCAATGGTCGCCGATGTCTCAAACCACAGTAAGCATGCTATTTTCGCGGCCTGGGTACTTGGATGCTAAGCACATAGCAAACGTCACATCTTAACCTACGGCAGCTGCAATAGTTGGCAATCTCGAACCCAATGTATCGATACCGTTGTAGGTTTCGTTCCGACAGACTTCATTAATCAAGTGCGAGGAAGGCGGCCTCTGCCTCGTCGGCGTCGACCACACAATCCTTGGCTGTACCGCTTTCGATAATGTGAGCAGCAGACCGTTATTTTGATCTTCAGAACGGTACTGATATATGCGGGTGGCGTAGGCTTCATAATAATCTCATGGGCTACAGCGTTCGCGAACCGCTTCAGCTTGTGGGACCCCAGTTGACGTCCGCTCACCTCGAACATCGTATCCTTTTGCTCCTCTGACTTTCTCTTCCTTCGTAGTTTTGACATCTGGAGTTTGTCCAGCGCCTTCACGTTTTTCTCCAGTTCCCAGAGCTTGATCTTGCGCTTGTACTGGCGACCACTGCTCCACAATTTGTCAGACAAGGGTGGACAGGGACGCCTATTACTTGCCTCGCAGTGAAGCCGTACATCTCTTGCATGATCTTTTGCACATTTGAGAGCGTCTTCTCGTTTCCTTCATGAGGGTTGTAGAGCTCCGCAATACGCGTTCGCTACGCTTCCCAATCCTCCGCCGAATGCTCTGGAGCCCGGGTGGAGGATTCCACTTCAGCCGTAAGAAAAGGACTGTCCAGTCACGATTACGGCTTAGCCCAAGCGTGGCTTGCATTAGTCGACAGCTCAGCCTCGACAGCAAGCCAATGATCGCAGAACAAAAGTGTTCCCCACCCACAACAGGTACCTCAAAGCAGCCCCTTCCATCGCCCACCGCCGTCCTGGTGCCAAGCGGCGCTGAACAGAAGGTATAATATAAGTGCTTGCGTGAGATATAGTTTTCATCTGCGGAACACCTTACATAGAAGGCATACACAAGACAATCAATCTTCTTCACGCAAGCCCCTTCCTCCGTATCATTAAAAGTCAGCAAGAAGTATGGCAGCTTCCCAATTCTCCGCCGATGCGATCTGCACCCTCATCTTCAACATCATCAACCTCGTCATCCACCTCCTCGGACTTTGGCAGGGCAGCAAGATGCTAAAGAGCCGCAGTCAGTAGTCAATTTAGTGCCCTGCGTTGGATAACTCTAACAATCATTTGTCACCAGATCGCGAGATAGCCACGCAGATATGAATACTGGCCTCGCCTCCCAGTCGATCGCCAACGCCATGCAGAGTAGATCGGCGTTTGCAAAGCTGGAGATCTCCAACAATAGCTGTGGAAAGTGGGTTGAGCCTTAGGAGCATATGACATCGGTTGTTGGTTGCGGTAGAAGGGGGGTATGGAGCACGGTGTTATCGGTGAAGGGGTTTGTTATTTGACTCCAATGATATCGTGGGTAGATGAAATTCGAGTGACAGATTGCATCTTGGTCTTTGATTGCAGTCTGTCAGTTACGGACTGCAACAGATAATCAAGCAGTATAGACCTTATACCAGATGTTGGCACTGCCTCAGCATAGTCGAGACAGCGTGAACACCGTGCATTGAGTCATCAGCCCCACATGTACATATTAATACGACCTCGTCCGACTGACGAGACTCTTTCGCACTGCAGCAGCCGGAAACAGCTTACAGCCAACGTGAGGGTACTAAGTCCTACTCCGAGTGCCCTCCAACAACACGCGCAACAGAGCTCCGAAGACAGCCTTAGACTCCAAGGTCCAAGTATAACACACCCCAAAAGGTACCACGTGCTCGGCATATCCGGCCGCCCAGACTAATATTGGACTGGAGGTACCGCCCCGAAGCCCCAAACTCCAGTACCACCCCAATGAAACTCGCTCCGAACGCTCTCGATTGCATGAGAAAGGAGATATATGTGACAAGAAAGTCGTGACTTAGATAACACACGCACAAAAATGCCACAATGTTGCCGCTTTTTGACCTGTAAACGCCGTGTGTGACTTACAGTGAAGGAATCAACAGATGATCGCGTTACGACAAAGGAGAAACAGCCGGCGATCCACCGCGCACCGGCGGCATCCCCGATGTCTTCGGTGCGGAGAAGAGCGTAGTTGCCGTCGCGTTTGCGTTGTCCGGTTTCACTGCGGCTGTAAAGGCGGACTGGCTAAGCTCTGTCCCGGGGGTCTGAGCTGGAGACTCGTAATCCTCCTCGGGGATGGGCGGAGGCGGGATATACGTCTTTAGAACATGCTTCAGCGCCGGCCGCTTGATCGGTTTGGCGAGGAAGAAGTCCATGCCGGAGTCGAGACACTCCCTGACGTTGCTCTCTTCGGCGAAGGCGGTCAGAGCAACGATGGGCGCAGTGTAGCCGGACTGCCGAATCAGTTTTGTTGATTGTATACCGTTTAGGTTAGGCATCTGAAATACCATCAGTATATGAAAGGTTCGAATTGGGACAACGACAACTCACCTGCACATCCATAAATATCAGGTTGTACGGATGGTGGGCCGCCATGCTCTCCTTGACCATGTCAAATGCTTCCTGACCGTCTTTCGCAATGGTCACATCGTAGATGTCTTCTAGCTTAAGCATACGCAGAACCACTTCTTGATTGATTTTGTTGTCTTCGGCAACCAGCACTCTCACCTTGTCGCCTCTGTTGGTCGCCTCCTTCGTCACGCGCTCCATGGCTGCTCTCTGGGAATCGGAGGTCTCCAGAGGGGTGTTCGACGCAAAGAACGGTTGGCTTAGGCCCACGAGCCGAGGTTTTGAGTCGGCTTCGAAGGCTACAGGACCGGCGGGTGCGGTGCTGGGGACAGATTGTACTGATCGACCATCGGGGTGAGCGCTGCGGTCAGGCAGGTGAGGATCGTCTGCAGTGAGACTGTTCCTGCGCTCCGCATCTTCGAAATTGACAACGCTAGAGGAGGCTGTGCTGTCGGCACGGTTCGTTATGTGCTTCAGTGGGATTTCCATCTTGAACGTGCTGCCTCGGCCAACTTCACTCTTCAAGGAGATAGACCCTTGCATTAGCGAAGCCAGCTGTGAGCATATGCTGAGACCAAGGCCAGTACCGCCATACTTCTTTGAGAGGCCTAGATCCCCTTGGACGAAAGGCTCGAAAATACGTTGCTGCAAGTGTTCTGGAATGCCCGGTCCTGTGTCCTCGACCTCGAACTCAAAAGTGAAGTACCTTCCGGGCGGAGGCGAGGCCGCTCGGTCATTAGCCATCATACGTGCAAACGCGGGTGATTTATCAAGTGGGTTTGTCTCGTTTGCGGTACTTGGGCTCTGCGTAGCAACGGACGTATCAGATGTTCCTGAGCCTAGTCTGAATCTTCTTTTCGAATTGCGCCCGGATTTGGACTGCAGCGAACTCTTACGGCCGCCAATCTCTCCAGTAACCTCGCCAACGCATCTGATAGTTAACTCGACTGAACCCCCCTGTGGGGTGAACTTGAGGCTGTTGGATACCAGATTGATCACAACTTGCAGTATTCGGTGCTGATCGCCCCAGAGCACCATGTCTCTTACTTTTCCAAGGCCAAAGGGACCGTACGGGCGAGAGTCGTTAATGGTGCCAGCGGCATCCAAATTCGCGTCAGCAGGTCCGTCATACTTCACACGCAAATTTATGTTGTTTTCTTTCGCTTGCTTGTCGAAAATCGCCAGGACCTGAGCGCTGATATCTCGCAGGCGGAATTCCTTCTCGTCCAGGGAGAGATGCTGGCCGACCTGGTTCTTGCTGAACGTCAAGAGGTCGGTCAAGAGGTTGAGCAGTAAGTCACCGCTCTTATAGATGATTCCGAGGGACCGTCGGATCTTTGTCGGGTCTTCTTCAGACATACATACAGCACACATACCAAGGATGCCATTCAGCGGCGTCTTCAGCTCATGCGAGATGTTAGCGATGAATAGCGTTTTACCTGGCTGGGTTAGCATTCAAGAGTAATTTAAGACACACGGGGTCTTACTTTCGGATGCAGCCTCGGCTGCTTTCTTACTGAGCTCAAGTTCCGCGGTCCGCTGCTGGACGCGTTCCTCAAGCTTCTCGTACTGCATCATGAGCTCATCTGACATCTCGTTGAAGGTTTGTGTAAGGTCGGTAAGCTCATCGTGGATAAAATGCTTGCGGTCCTTGACTTTTCCAGGTATACGAAAAGCACGCCTGCGCCGTTCCTCCCCACGTTCTTCTTTGGTCTGCCGTGCGCCTTTACGCCATCTTGACATGGAGGAGAAGAAGCCCTCTTTGCGCGCCAACGCGTCTTGATCTTCAGGGTCGTCTGCACCATCACCTCCGTGAGATGAACCGGATATTATGCTGTTGTCCTCGGGAGTGAAGCCAGGCGCGACAACCGTCTTGCGTGTAGCATCTCGCAAGCGTCGAATAGGCCGACTTGAAAAATGCGCAACGGGGAACGCGAAAAAGAGTAGGGCACCAACAGTGCCAAAAACACAGGCTAGAAGTAGGTTGCGTAAACGATGAATCGGAGCCCATACCCAGCTACGGGATTGCTCGACTACGACCAGCCAATCGACGACGGAGTTGTTGGGCGTCGCGTATCCGACTGCTACTTCCTCACCCTCTTCATTGTGAGCTGCGATCCTGCTATCGGCGTTGTAGTTCACGAGAGTCGTGTCGTCATTCATGGCTCGGTAACCCAGTCCCTGCCTGACCGCGGGGAAATCGGCCCAGTCAAATGCCGGGTTTGCAGTGCCGTATGTACGCAATGAATGCCTTTGATCTTTGTTTGACGGTAACGACGGCGGCAGCGCATAGCGAACTGCTTGGTTCGTTGGTGGGGTCCCACCGTTGCTGTTCCAGAGTACGCCGTCGGGAAATCTGTTTGACCGTGTGTCTGGACCAACCAGCATAGCGATACCCGAGTCATCTAAACCTACTGCCTCTTCGAGAATGGTTGAGAACAGCCTTCCGTCCATCACTATGGTCATCCACCCTAGGATGTCAGTTGCGGAAGTATTGTTTATGATTGGCAAAGTCATCGAGAAGAGAGAGAATGTGGAGTTCAACGCCCATGGCCCCAACAAGAGGGTGGAGGTCTCATCCAAGATCCGTCCTTCAAACTCGGCCAGAACTTGTGTGGAGGTGTCATTGATGGCACTCGAGGTGTATGTGAGATTGGGATATAGAACCGATGGATAGCCGCCAACATCGTCACCGAGGAATACTTGAGATCCATCAGCGCTGGGCAGTTCGACGGCTCCAACGGATCCAGCGCCAGTGACGCTGATGACAGGTTCAGCTCCAGAAGGACCATCGTCGTGGGGGAAAACCTGAGCTTGCAGAAGCAGGTTGAATTGTTGACCGCTGTTCAGAACAGCTGCAAGATCAGCCTCTGCTCGACTCCAGTTTTCCACCGTGGTATTGCCCTCATAGAACTCTCGTAATGAGCTCTGGATTATGACTCGGGAAGCCGCCGAACGCACGCTGGACTGCATGAAGATGATAGTAGACTGAATCGAAGAGGCTTTGAGGCTCGCAATTAACTCTAATCGTGTAGACCTACGTGTTTCAATTAGCGAATATCTTGAATATTAGGGCAGAGAGTACGGACCTGACATCCAGGACAAAGCTGCGGTTAGTAAGCTAGGATACCTGTTAGCAGGAATCACCTCTTATAGCACCGAGGACTGACCCATGTCGCAACCGATATGACCTGCTACACTGTCAACTGTGTTCTGTACCCGGATTTGATGATTCGCGGTTGGTGCGACGTACAGCTAAGCCAACTAGACTGGCAAACAACACCAGGGCACCCAACTGCTCCCGGATGGGGATTCGCATTTTGACCATCGGAAGGCGATTGTCAGATGGTGTGAAGCGGGCCTCGTTCGAAAAGGGCCCCGGCGGCGATTCCGCACGCGTCGCGGTCCGCAGCGAGTGCTATATCGCTTCCCGACGAAGTTGCAGGCCGGTCGTGCCTCCCATTCCTTGCCCAGTATTACAACCGCTTTGTGCCTCCAAGGATACTTCCAATATCGATACAAGGCGAGGTGGAGGGTAAAGGGACGGCAGCCGCGAGGGCGACGGGTTATAGGCGATGCTTGGCGATGGGCTGGCTACACCCGATGGAGTTGCGAAAACAATAGTCGTACAAGCGTCCAGGGCTGTCCGGGCCGGCGTCTGCTCGCGATGCTTATCTGCTCTGAGAGTCTTGCGAACTGAACAATGGGCGGTAGCAGGAACGAGCCAAGTAAGGAGCGTCGACGCCGGTGGTGGAGGGATGAGCGGAACATTCTTCGAAGCGGCCCCAGCTGGGCGACGCTTCGATCGGCAGACACGCAGATCGAGCGGACCGCCGAGCCAAGGAACTGCCAGTCTCCCAATTCGGCCTTCCGCTCTTACTGTACTTTCAATGAGACGACAAGCAAGTGGGCTGCGTCTGCGTGTACGAGTCCGTGGCATTTACTGGAGCCGCCCCCGCGATTGCGTCCTGCTATTGGAATAGGACGACATGCGACTGGCAGCCATCACTGCTCTGTTCCAGTATAACACTACACTTTACTAATTACGCCACACACCACGTCTCCCGTAACAACTAGCACGTAACAGTACCAACTCTAACCGTGGGAGGCAACTAAGCAGCTCATGTCTCCCCGCACCGTTTCCACAGGTCGAGGACAGCCAGAACATTTGAAGGTGGAGTGTTTCCCTCGGCATTACTTAAGCCTGCGAAACAATTTCTAGTGGGCGTTGAATGTAACTCAAGATGAGGAAAGGCCAGAGAGTATTGGTCTATCTCCAGACTCTCCATGCCACAACCCCAACTCCATGGATCTTCAGCTTGGGCTCGAGCGGTTGAGGTGGTTCTCCGGACTATCTGTGACGTGCGGTTAACGTATTTGACCTAGAGTTGTGACTGAAGCTGAGGCTGCCATTATGTCGTGTAGAGCACGATGGTACCAGATTGCTTTTCTGAGACATGATAAACAGTCCAATTGAAACTACGGCTGGTTGACTCTAACTTAGCTCAAATCATCAATGTAGGATATCTCAGATGATCGATGCGCAAAACTGTAGCTGTATACTTGCAACTCCAGCTTGATCATAATTCCACAGCAAACATTTCAGATTCGACGTACTAAAGAGAGCGACGGAGTCCCTAGTCGTATCGGCCGTCGCTGTTGGTTAGCTTCTTACTTTCTCGCTGGCCCGGTGACCCACTCCACTTCATTCCCAGTCAAGTTTTCCGTCAGCACCGGCTTCAACCTCCTCCTCTCTTCCTTGACCTCCTCGGCCTCCACTTTCCCCCACAACCCCACAAGTCTCCGGCTTCAAGTTTTACGGCTGCTACATCGATCTGGTTGTAGCTGGCGTTCTACTCAGCAAATCCCCTTTTGCCATTGGATCTACGCTTACAGCACTCCTTCTTCATATCCTTCCATGAGTGGGTTTTTAGAATGCTACTGCGCACTGCCCCCCAAACCACCTCATACGATAGTCACCTGTCTAACTTGCCCTGCTTTCCAGAGCCGGTGACTGTCAAAGTAAACAATTTCGCACATGCCGATTCGTTCAAAAGCGCCGCGCACTCTGGGCGAAGGAGCCAGCATCAGCACAAGGTTGAAATCCAGCCCAAAGCCATGGAAGAACGGTTTGCTGTCTGGCTTCCACTGGGCTAGACAAGTGCAAGTAACAGTGGTTTTTATCCATTTGCTAGGGTCCCCCTCCCTGGGCGGTCCCTCTTCTAAGTCCGGTTTCCCTTCCCGGGCTCGGCGAATCGTTTTGGCTCAGACACCAGATTCAGTCAGATATTCATCCTCTACGAGGGGAGCGTCAAGCCTGGTGCTCTGCGATAAACCCCCATATCGTAAGGAACCCGATCAAGAGCCCGGGTTTTCCAGGTTGCTTATGTAGATAAGTGATCCCTCTGCGACCACCAGACCTTCTAGAGCCAGTAGTCCGTCAAGGACTTGGCCAAGAGAGCTGGAACTACCGAGCGTACATTCATAGCGTACGATGGAGCTGAGAGGAGTAATAATACCGGATTTGACAGTCACGGCGTAGCCAATCGGATACTGTATCGACGTCCAGTTCCACGTAGGAGCATCTTTATCCTCGTAGTGTATCGGCGGAAGCTGCGCTGCGTAACCGACCGCGGGCCACTAGCATAAATCTTCTGCAAAACGAACTCTCCAGAGTTCTGCAAGACAAGGGGAGTTGTGAGAGTCATGCATGCGGGCAGCAATGCCTGAGAGCGCAGGTAACAGATCGGACCGTTTGGTAAGATTATGTTTCGTGTAATCCGTAAGTATGTTGCCCCAGAAGCATTGCAGTTGCCAGCGCGTATCTAAACCTTCCCTTCCCATACCAAACTCCTCCCACTTTCTGAGATAGCTTGGTGAGCATACTCGCATATCCTCGGAGTAAGAGGCAGCCCGACACCCCCATCTGATACCCTTGTCGGTGAGACCTATGATGCGCGTTAATAAAGCTCGCTCTCCTAGCGTCCAGCTTCGCCCTAATAGTGGGCCGGAATAACCGAACTCGCACTCTCGATTAGTGCCCTGCTTAGGCTGTCGGCTTTCGCTTCATTAGCGATGCGGGAGGTCCTCCAGGCTTTGACGACGGCAGCTCTTCGAGTTGACCAATCGAGCGGACCACTTTAGCAATTAGTGACTCTTGCGGGGACCCCAAAGCCGGAACAGCTCCGGTCTGGACTCTGGTGGTCGCCGCCGAAGAAAAGGCACATCACGCGAGGGAGAAGAGATGACGGCTATCGTGATGAACGCGTTCCTGAGAATGTCGCCCAGATTAGCTGCTTCGACTTGCCAGTCGTTAGCGTCACTTCGAATGATGCACTGGCTGTTAATCCCAGCGTAAATGTTTCAGCCGGCGAGCAATGGGATGGCATCTTTAGACGTTCTGGAAGGAGCTCCAGTTGACACCCTGCTTCGTTTCCTCAACGTTCACCGCTAAAGGCTTCAATATGTCGTCACCTTCCCGGTCCCAGCAATGTTTTAGGGCGGCGTATGGATTGTTCTGCTGCATGGGCTCGGAGCTAAGCCCGCCAAAAGGCTCTCAGAATTGTACGTCTAGGCAGCTCGGAGGTTCAGAACTTATAGAAGATCCTGTCCTCTTGGAAAGCTCATACGCCGGGCTTTTACACACTTTGTGGCTATCACAGCAATCGATACATTTTCGAATGAAGGTAGAACAGTCTACTGACTCGGAACGATCCGAGATCTTGGTCGCACACCCAAGTGTATGCGAGTGCAATGGCTCTGATCCTAGTAGTAGAGTTAAGCACTGAGTTGTGAAGGCGCTGAATAGACGGAGCAGCGCTTGAAAGAGGCGGCAGCGCCTAACAGACAAGGCATCGTGCTGCGGGTTCGAGCGATATTTCGGCAGCAGGTCGTGAGGCTGAACGACCTCGGACCAATTTGAGTTCCGGTTGTCCACTTGTGGAGTTGTTGGCCAAACGCGTCCATATCCGCGGCCAACGGTGCCAAAACAACAGCCACGAGGTGTCCAAACAGCCCTACGAGCATTGCAGCATCGGTTCCTTCCTTTTTGAAGTGCAAACAACAGAAACAACCGACTCAAACGCGTTAGACGCGCTTGATCAGCCTGAGGACGCGCTGGACACAGATCCGAAAAGCCGCCCCCGCTCCTGCAGCGTCTCGATTCGTCTCTGCTCAAGCACCGCGCGCTTTAGCTCATGCAAACTAGAACCAAACCATCACAGGATTCCGCACAGCCATTCGCTCAGAGGTCGAAACACGAAACGCTGTGGACCGGCGTGGCTGGATTCACCGCCCCGCCATGAAACAGACCCGCAGACGGCCAGTCATCGCGGCTGGCACGTCAGATATATAATCGCACGCTCGCGACATGGTCGTGTTTCTTTCAATCAACGTCCGCTTTCTAGCATAGTCGTGTTTCCTCGAGCTGCGATCGTTTTCTTGAAGCGTCCTTTGACTCATACCTGCATCTCACGTGTTGAAAACACAGGAACAGCGTAGGTTCGGTAAATACTCGCAGACGTCCGGCGCGATGCCTGATTTACCTGAGGTTTCCTTTTCGTCACTGCGATCGGATCGCGGTCTGCATCTCCTCTCCACTCTATGTAATTTATGCGAATATATCACGAATGGTTGCCGAGTCTCATCCAGCGTTGAGACGCGCGCCTTCCAGCGATAGCCACGCGAGCCACACCAGCCAGTCGAGTCAATCAAGCCAGTCGTCGAGACTGCTGTTCGGAGAGATCCCGAGTCCCATTGCGACCGCCCGTCCATGTAAGCCGCCGTGTTGAAAGCTTTTCGGGCGAGCGAGGAGTTCAATTGCGGAACGTGTATCTGACAATGCCATTGCAGCACTGTCTCGCTCCCAGAGCTCAGTATGCAGCCTCATCCTCTCCACAAGCTCGACGTTCCTAAGGTTCTGGCTGTCCGAGGAATGTCGCGACTCCTTCCTGTCGCACGTGGAGAAAGAAGACCTCCCGAACCTTCGTCTCGCTTGCCATGACTTTGCGACGCGCGCAGCCCCATCGCTCTTCGAGGAAATCAACGTCACGTTCAAGCCCAGCACCTTCACCAAGCCGGCTCGTATGACTGCTCTGGACCGGATTGGCCATCACGTGCGCATGCTGTCCTTTAATATGCCCCATACGCCTGAGACCTTCCTACCACCTCTGGTCGACCCTATGACTGGCGCGGAGCATGCATTTGTGTACGAGCCGCAAGTACACAAACCATCAACTCTCATCAGCAAAGTCAAGGAGCCAAAGTATGGATCGTGGGAGACTACAGACCTTCTGATCAAGCAGTATCCACCGCTGTTTCATGCCGCAACCAACATCCCGTCGTTCATCCAGGCCTTCTCACTGCTACCTTGCCTGACACATCTCAAGATCAGCTGTCCAGGACAGGAAGCTTCTCAACGGTATCGACGCAGCGCAATTGATTACGCTCTGATATCTCTGCGGATCGCCATCGAACAAGCACCGCTGGAAGTCCTCAACACGATCTCACTTCTTCCCATTCACCCTGGAGCACTTCTCTACCTCCAACCGCTATCTGGATTCGGTGGGTTCCCACGTGCGTCCCGGCGATGGGCGCAGATCCGGAAGCTAGCCATCCACATGGACAGCTTCCCTTTCGAGGAGTCAAGCAGATCCCAACACCTTAAAATTCTCCATTCGTACCTCGGTTACTTCTCGACCCACTTAACCCGCCTCTTGTTTCGCTGGAAAGGCGACAAAGGCCCTTCACCCTTTACCCTTGACCAAGAACCCTGCTTCAAGCCATCGGACCCAGCGTCCGAGCAGACAGGACTCCGTCCACTGAAGTTCCCGCGGCTGCGCTACATGGAGCTGGAAAACGCGACCATGGACTCCGCCCAAGTTAGCGCGTTTATCTCTCGCCACCGGCGCGTGCTCTCCGAGTTCAACTTCGAAGACGTCGCGCTGCGCACTGGCACCTGGGACGATGCCCTCGCTCCACTGAGCCGTATCGCCGGTAATGACAGCTGGAAAGAAAAACAGCAGGAAGTCATGGACGTGCCTGTGATCCTCAGCCCCAGCAACATCGAGCCACGTGTCATGGAGTCCGTCATGCAGGACGAGCAGAGGGCTGAGCGCTCCGGCACGCAGCTCACTATGAGCCGCTGGCTGTCGAAGGGTCGGTCGGCTGTCGCGGCCAAGAAGGCCAAGGAGCAATTCTGGGGCAGTGGCGAGCACATGAAGAGGTTCTTGAGGACTTCGGTCTTCCCGTGGCGCTAATCTGCGCCGGTAAGTACTGTCAACGCAAAGATGTCCTGGTGTTTTGGGAGAGTATGGGTGTGGGGTTCGCTATCGGAATACCCCACGGACTTGTCAATGTACTGGATGGGCGTGGAACGGCGTATGAGTTGGTCAAGCTCCGGCTTTCCTCCGATGATCTTCGAGGTTAGCGACGGTTTTTTTTTTCTCAGTTTGACGGCTATCTTCTTGGGATGATGATTTTGGACGAGGTTTATGATGGGCAATGTGCGCCACGACATTCTTTAGACTTATGATGGAGTGATGATTGATTGTATCTTTTTTCTATCACGAGGCCGTTGTATATAGAACACACAGTCACTACATCTCTTGAACCTTCAATCGTTGACTTCGGGAAGCTACTACACAGTACAGTCATGTTAAAGTTGATCACTATATCTCGGTAGTAAATGCTCCGGCATTTACGCAGCCTCGTGAGAGATATTCGCCTCGCACCCGACTGCCGGACGCCAATTTCTATGAACACGTACTGCAAGTGTCCACGAAAGGTTTCTCAGCGCTTACCGGGGATTGCCATACTCTTTCCAGGCTGTGAAGTCCCGGTAAAAGGGGGGGGAATGAGACCCACATGCCATGATCACGTGAATGTCTGCGGCTGGGGACATTAAGCAATAGCGTGGCTGAGTGCGGGAGAAACCTCCGCAATGCAAGCCATGGACTCTCCAACAGGCACCAAAATAAGTGCCCCGCTATCAGAAGCGCGTCATGGGCTGAGCAGGTGTCGGATTCGTATCATGGAGCAGCTGGTAGTGGAGGTGACTGCTTCCAGCTTCACCACGTTGCAGCACAGCCACTGTTTACCGCGCTGTGAATTCTACACCAGTTCCTACCAATTTAGGTACACAGCTGAAGCCTCGCGGGTTTATATCAATCCGCATGAGCTGTGTCTACTGAAACACCCACCACCTCCCCCTGAGAGCGAAACCCAGATATGCCCATGCCGCCAGCAGCACCAACTCCGGGTCCGTCGAATGAACGAGTTATCCCACCTCAAGAGATAGTCGCACAAGCTGCAGCAGCTGTGGCAGCAGCAGACGATTCCGACGATGAGCCTCTGCACTTGAACCACGGCGAACAACCGGAAGAGCCTTTGGCAAAATCACCGTCACTTCAGTCAGCCTCTGATGCTGGGTCCAGCAGCCTTCCCCCACTGTCAGTGTCTTGCCCATCTTGGCTACATCATGCGCTGCGTCTGAGAGAGAAGCTGACATGGGAGACTCTCGCTCAGGTCAAGCGTAGACTCTTACTATGGGTTCAACGAAGCGTCGCGGGAGACGCACAGCGACATTCCGGATGTCCCACCACCAGCGTACAGCGAGCATATCGGCGAGATAAACGATAACAGCAATGGCTTCGGCACAAACGCACGCGTTTCAGCAGATGGTCGTGTCAATATTCGCATCAACGAGAAATCTCGGCGACTGTCAAGCCTTCTTGCGCCTGCTCTCCGCGACCAGTACACTCGTGTGCAAGAAGAAGGGCCTCCCCCACCGCCATATATACCGGAGTCGCTCGGTGGAGCACCTGGTCAGACTCCGCCACCGCCCTTGAATGTTGTCATACACGTCGTCGGATCGCGGGGCGATGTACAGCCTTTCATTGCGCTTGGCAAAGTGCTGAAGGAAACATATGGTCATCGCGTGCGGCTAGCCACACATCCAACATTCAAGGGCTTCGTGGAAGAACATGGCTTAGAGTTCTTCAGTATAGGCGGGGATCCCGCAGAGCTCATGGCGTTCATGGTCAAGAACCCTGGGCTCATGCCTGGTTTCGAGACCCTGCGCAGCGGCGATGTTGGAAAGAGGCGCAAGGGAATCGCGGAGCTGATAAAAGGCTGCTGGAGATCCTGTATAGAATCAGGAGATGGTACAGGCGCTGTGGCCTCTGACCGCACGGTAGAGGACTGGATGAACTCTAACCAGAACGGATCGACAGCTGCAGAAGTGCTTTCGAAACCCTTCATAGCCGACGCCATCATTGCTAACCCACCAAGCTTCGCACACATTCATTGCGCGGAGAAGCTCGGTATCCCTCTGCATGTGATGTTCACGTAGGTCGCCCCCCAGCCTCCTTACGCAGAGTAGTAGTTCTAACTACGTCCTTTAGTATGCCTTGGTCACCCACGCAAGCGTTTCCACATCCTCTCGCCAACATTCAAACCTCCAACACCGACCCTAGTGTCGCTAACTACATGTCTTATACTCTAGTCGACATGTTGACCTGGCAAGGACTAGGTGATATCATCAATCGCTTTCGAAGAGACAGCCTCAACCTTGAACCGATCAGCTTGGTCTGGGCGCCTGGAATGCTCGCTAGACTTCGAGTGCCTCATACTTACTGCTGGTAACAATCCCCAAACCGCGCACGACACGTCAGAACATTCCCAGCTTACTGCTATCCAGGTCGCCTGCCTTGATACCAAAGCCTAAAGACTGGGCCAATCACATTTCCATATCTGGCTTCTACTTCCTCTCATTGGCATCAAACTACAGGCCAGACCCAGAGCTAGCCGCTTTCCTCAGTGCTGGCCCGCCTCCGGTGTACATTGGCTTTGGCTCCATCGTAGTGGACGACCCCAACGCGATGACAAAGCTAATATTCGATGCCGTAAAAGCCACTGGGCAGCGCGCTCTCGTGTCGAAAGGATGGGGCGGCATTGGAGCCGACGAGCTTGGTATTCCCGAAGGCGTCCTCATGCTCGGCAACGTGCCTCATGACTGGCTCTTCAAGCACGTGTCATGCGTAGTACATCACGGTGGAGCGGGTACTACATCTGCCGGTATCGCTGCCGGAAGGCCAACAGTCGTGGTACCGTTCTTTGGCGACCAGCCCTTCTGGGGCGCAATGGTTGCTCGAGCTGGTGCGGGACCAGATCCTATTCCGCATAAGCAATTGACTGCTGAGAAGCTCGCTGAGGCGATCAGCTTCGCGCTCAGGCCTGAATCTCTCGACAGAGCGAAAGAGCTATCTCAGAGGATCAGTGAGGAGAAGGGCAGTGATAGTGGAGCGCAGAGCTTTCATCAGATGTTGAAAGTGGATGAGCTTCGATGCTCGCTTTGTCCAACACGGTCAGCCGTCTGGCGGATTAAACGGACGCAAGTGAGATTAAGCGCTTTGGCGGCTGTTACGCTTGCGAACGAGGGCGCGCTGAGCTTTAGTGAGCTTAAGCTGTAAGTTTTCGTTGGTAACACACAAAGACATGACGTATCTAACGGTAACCGCAGATACCGGCCGCGCGAGTACGATAGCGATGATGGACCTTGGGACCCCATTACTGGCGCCACCGTCGCCCTTACCGGCACAATCAGCAGCATGATGATGGGAGTGGCAGACATGCCAATCGAGACACTAAAAGCACTGAAGATCCATCCCGATACCGCCAAACGCTCCAAGTCACAGAGCGGCGGCTTAGAAGGAACTGGCTCATCCGACACTGCTTCAGTCAGCGGCAAAGACAGCAACGCAGGTTACACCAACCCCCAACTCCGCATCTCCGACACATCTTCTTCGGCGGACCGGAGCGAAGAATCACTACTTGTGCAGAGCCCGACCAGCATGTCAGGCATCTCCACATCTACAGGTCGTTCACCGTCCATGGGTCAGGTGTTCGACTCTCAAGGCAACCCTGCAAGTCCAGGATCTCGACCACGATCCCCACACGGCTCATCACGCCCACCATCTCATCAGCGCTCTGACTCCGAGACATACAAGACGCCCTTCCACCAAGCGCAGACAGTGCTCGACACCGGCAAAGGCATCTCCCGTATCGTAGGTGCCGGACTCAAATCACCCATGGACTTCACTCTAGGCCTAGCGCGTGGCTTCCACAACGCGCCGAGGTTGTACGGCGAAGAGGTCAAACCCGTCGAGCGCGTGACAGGCATTAAGAGCGGCTTGCGGGTCGCGGCGAAGGAGTTTGGCTCCGGCATGTTTCAAGGTGTCACAGGTCTCGTCACCCAGCCAATCGAGGGCGCTGCTAAAGAAGGCGGTACCGGCTTCATGAAAGGTGTCGGAAAGGGCATTGCGGGCGTCACGCTCAAGCCTGCTGCTGCATTCTGGGCAATCCCGGGATACGCGTTCAAGGGCATATACGCGGAGATCCAGAAACCGTTTGGGTCCAGCGTGCAGAATTACATCATCGCTGCGAGGACGGCGCAGGGGTACGAGGAGTTCCATCGCACGAGCGCGGAGGAGAGGTCCGACATACTGGACAGGTGGGCTTGCATAGCGAAGAATGTCAAGAGGAAGAAGAACCCGGGCGAAGATCAGCTTGAGGCTTTGCGGAAGTGTGTCGAGAAGGGGAAGGGAGGGCGACCGCAGTGGCTGATGAGCAAGAAGAGCAGGCAGCGCTCTACAGACTCTGCACCTCAACTGGAAGAACGAAGGTCTGAGGATGCTGGACGGTCTCCGAGGATACTCCCCCTAGGGTGGTCTCAGCCGAACACTGGTCCTAGAGCTGCGAGTCCGCACCCCGAGAGCATTACAGCAGCGCGCGCTATACCAACAGACGACGCAAACGACGCTGAGCTCGGTGCAGCCATCCGCGCATCCGTCGCTCAGAGCTCCCACGGCAACCCGGACGAAGACGCGATGATCGAGCGCGCCATCCGTGCTAGTATGGCCGAGCTGCAGCGGCCGCCCGCCAGCGACGGACACGTGGACGATGAGGAAGCGCTGCAGCGGGCTATACGGGCTAGTCTGACTGATGCCCAGGCCCAGGGCATGAACGAGCAGGAGAAAAAGGCCCTCGAAGACGTGGTCAGGAAGAGCGTGCTTGAGCAGAGGAGGGCGAGAGGCTCGGATACCGAGTGGGATAGCGAGCCGGATACGGAGGACGATGAGGATGTCAAGCGGGCTCTGGAGGAGTCGATGAGGCATGGAGCGCAGGATGTTGGTGGCTCAAGTGTTGCTAATGACGCGCAGGACGAGGAGCTGCGAAGGGCCATTGAGGCATCCCAGCGTGAAGACGCGGAACGGGAGGAGGGGCTTAAGAAGCAGTTAACCGAGGAGGAGATCGTGCTGGAGTACGTGAAGAAGCAGAGTTTGGCTGAGGAGGAGCATCGGAGGGCGCTGCTAGGGAAGCAGGGGTCGTGGGATGCTACCGGCTCTGGTTCTAGCTCGCGCAGGCAGTGATGGAGACTCTGTCCGGACTGCTGGACTGGCGGGCTGGATGGGTTGATCCACTGCTGAGGGGATACAGGATGATTATGAAGCTATGTAGATAAGAACAAACGATACCCCGGCGTCCAGCGCCGAATGCTTTGACTACTCGACCTTTCCTATGGACAATCCGTTTCTGAAGCGCTGAACGCAGTCGGCCAAGATATGCCGTAGCTGTTGCTCGCCACGAGGCTGTAAATGCAGTGTTGATGCACAGCGTGGTTTATCACAAGCTTTCCCGACCAAGCCCGCAGCACGAAAAGCTTCATGCTGCAGGGCTCCTCCGGCCAACGCTCCCATTGGCGCTCTTAACGCAGGGACTGCGCTGACGCGTGGCTTCGCGGTCGATCGATGAAGCTTCTTGAGAGCCCTGGAGGGAGAGACTGCAGTCGATGTTGACAGTAACGGTACGCATGTTAGCTCAACGGGTCAGAAGTGTATAAGAGAGCGCCGTTGATGTCTGATAGCGATTGATTGCAGACGCCAACGGCTATTGCTTTATCTATGAAGATGCCGGCGATGGCGAGCCAGAAGCCCGGCGTTGCAGGCGCAAGCGATAACGCTTCCTCGCTACCCAGAAAAACGCCCGCCCATGCCCCTTTCGGTCGCCCCAACTTTTCGTGAGGTGCGGCCTGGTCGCCGCCGGATTTGTGCCTCATCAACCCCAAGGAACCCCGGGCCCCCGTCACTTCCCCGTCAACTTCCCTTTGCTCACTCCATATTACTTCGACAAACTCTGGGTACTCTGTGCCACTTCCACTCGTTACACCCTGTCCCCTTCGCAACGCTCGCTTCAGAGCCTTCGCTGGCTTCTGTAACCGCTTCTCCCGCTCCATCCGCTTCCACCTTCTCCCGAGGTCGCGTTCTTATCGTCGAGTATCTGCTCCGAGGGCGTGTCCTCCTGCTTCCAATTTGCGGCATCACCCCCAAGCGGCTGCGAGATAGCCAGTATCTCGACAGTGGCCGCGTAGGCTCTCAGATTTATTCGCTTCTCACACAAACATGCATGGAGACGTGCGGTTCACGCATCTGTTCCTGCTGTTTCTTTCCTGCCTCTCCATCGCGCATGCCTTCTACATACCCGGTACGGCAACATTATGCCCTTAGTATCACCACTGCAATCACTAACCACGTACCAGGCTGGTCGATCAAGAGCTACCGCGAAGGCGAGGAGATCCCGCTGTTCGTCAACAAGGTTTACTCCGACAACACCCAGCTTCAGTATGCCTACTCCGAACTACCATTTGTGTGCCCGCCGAGCGGCCGACGACACGCCGGCACCAACCTCATCAGTGGCACGAGCCTTTCCCTTAACCTCGGAGAAGTCCTTCGAGGGGACCGGATCATGGTCTCAGACTACGAGCTAGTCATGGGCAACGATGAAGAGACGCGGTATCTGTGTAGTCACAAGGTGGACCGTCATGCACTGAGACAGGCCCAAGAGCTTATAAGAGAGGGTTACGTAGCCGAGTGGATCGTCGACAACCTGCCCGGTGCGACGAGCTTCGTCACAACGGACAAGTCCCGCAAGTACTACGCCGCAGGCTTCAAGCTTGGGTACGAAGATTATTCGAGGACAGGAAGACCACGCTACTTTATCAACAACCACGTCACCCTGGTCATCCGGTACCACCAAGCTCCTGGCAAGGACGGGCGGCAGGGCAAGAAGGTCATTGTTGGATTTGAAGTGTATGCAAAGAGCATTGAGGCCGGCAACCGCAACGACTCGGGCCTTCCGGCAGACATCCACAACGTTCAAAACGGCATGGAGCTGAGCATGGCTCCTAACCGGACCAATATTGAAAAGTACGTCGACTCCTCCTACATACCCGAGGAGGAAGAGGATATCGACAACAACTCGACCCTCACCATTCCCTACAGCTACTCGGTCTACTTCCGGGAGGAAGAAAAGCTTGAGTGGCAGAACAGGTGGGACATGTACTTCGTCAACCAGGAAGATAGCTCGAAGATCCACTGGCTGGCCATTGTTAACTCGCTGGTGATCTCGGGAGTCTTGACCGCCGTTTTCGCAGTCATCATCACCCGCACCATCCGCGGCGACATTAAGAAGTATGGCGAAAGCGCGCTCGAGGACGGCAAAGCCAGGGTTAAACGAATCAGATCGCCAAGGACGCCTAGAACGCCTAGGAGGAGCCTCGACAAAAATGGTCTGCTAGAGAAGATTGATGGCGCGGACGCCGATGCCGACAGTTCCTCCGACGAGGAGTCCATCATCGAAGACGCAACCGGCTGGAAGCTAGTCCACGGCGATGTCTTCCGCCCGCCGCCGTATGGCCAACTGCTCGCTCCGCTCGTGGGGTCGGGCATGCAGCTCGTCTTCATGGCCGCGTGCCTGCTCCTGCTCAGTTGCTTCGGCGTGCTGAACCCCAGCTTCCGCGGCGGGTACGTGAGCGTCGGCATGGCGCTCTTTGTCTTCGCAGGCGTCTTCTCCGGCTATTTCTCCGGAAGAGTGTACAAGACTTTCGGCGGCCAGCGCTGGCAGAAAAACGTCGTAGTTACGGGGACCCTGGTGCCGGGACTTCTTTTCGCCATTGTCTTCATCCTGAACTTCTTCGTCTGGGCCCAGGCGTCCAGCACGGCTATGCCGTTCGGCACCCTGGTCGGCCTTGTCGCGCTGTGGCTCCTCATCCAGCTTCCGCTTGTCTACATCGGCAGCTGGTATGGCTACGTGATGGTTGGCGCCTGGGAGCATCCAATCAAGACGAATGCGATCCCCCGGCAGGTCCCGGCGCAGTGCTGGTACGCGAAGAGCGTGCAGACTGTGCTCGTCGCTGGATTGATCCCTTTTGCGGTTATCTTTATTGAGCTGCTGTTTGTGTTCAAGAGCCTGTGGCAGGACAAGAGCGGGTACTACTACGTCTTTGGGTTCCTTGGCGTTGTGAGTGCGATACTAGTCATTACAGTTGTTGAGGTCACGGTTGTGGCGACTTATATTCAGCTTTGCTCTGAGGTAAGCTTCTCCTCTCACTTGTCCCTTTCGTTAAATGACACACCAGCCCCTCTCTCCACGCCTTGACTTCCGTACCGAAGCTGATTTTTCCCCTCGCAGAACTACCACTGGTGGTGGCAATCCTTCTTCGTCGGCGGCGCCAGCTCCATCTGGATCTTCGTCGCTTGCGTATGGTACTACTTCATGAGCCTACACATCGAGGGCTTCGCATCCAGCATGCTCTTCTTCGCCTACAGCTTCTTGGCCTGTGCCGTTTACGGCCTGCTTACAGGGACTGTTGGGTTCTTGGCCGCTTATGCATTTATTAGGAGGATTTATGGGGATATCAAAGCCGACTGAAGGTATAGAAAAAAGCTCAAAGTGGCAAAACGTTTCATAATCAGTAATATGATTTCTCTGGAGGAGATGGAGAGATTGATCTCGAGTGATTGTTTCTTGAAGCACATTTAGCGGGTTATTTGACGGACGGCGCTGCGTGAACATGGGCGAGGCGTTCAAGCCTTCCGCTGCCGCCTGGCGAGACGACATGCTGGGCGGAGAAGGCAGCTGGGATGTGCGTACTATGTTGGGAAATATCGAAATAACATTAACAACGAAAATGCTCCCCTCGCGTCACGCATTGAGCTCATATCCGAGTAAGCGAACACACCCGCTGAACACCCTGATCTCCACAGCAACCCGTTCACCTCAAGCCTTTCGCCTTTCCTACCCAGTAGCCCCACCACGGCATACTACAATTTCGCCTTCGTCTGCGCCCTCTTAAGAATCGGCTCCATCTTCGTCGCCTTCATCACATCGCCCCTAACCTTGAGCTTGCCGGACATGAACAGCTTCTGCGCGTTCGCCTTGCCGGCCACCAGCTCTCCAAAGTCCTTGTCCGACAGCACAAGCGTCACGTCGGCTTTCGAGGCGCCGTCGGGCTTCTCGCCTCGGCCGACTGTGCCGGACGACTTAAGGTCGATGTGCCAGCTCTCGGTCGCGCCGGAGGTGTTCTTGAGCGTGAAGGCGAAGATGGCGTTGCCTTGCTTGATGGCGGTTTTGCGCTCGGATTCGGAGGAGGAGAGGGAGCTGGAGATGGCGTCGAAGGCGGTGGAGGAGGGGAAGGCGTCTTGGGTTGGTGGTGGTGGTGTCAGCTAAGAGATTTTTTTTTCCATTTGAAAGGGGGAGTCAAGGGAGAGGTGATGCTGGGGGAGAAGCATACCGCTCTTGAGAGACATTGCGGGCGAGTAAGCTTGAGACGGGAAGTTGTACACAGCGGTGGTGGTTTTTGTAGCTGTTGTTCTCTCTCACTCTTTGTGTGGCACCGGCTGGCAATGGGGAAGCCGGTCGAGAGGGCTTTCTTTGGGTGGGCAGAAGCTGGAAGGAGAGCTGTGTCGGTATACTGAAGCGATTCGGAGCGAGGTCCGGAGTGTTAAAAGGCAAGCGCTGGAGGTCACACGTCTTCGGACTTCCGTCGAGCTGGTGATGAAAGCACCCCGGATCTTGGCATCGCCGGCGGAGGCATGTGAATGACGGGACGGAGCGGCCGAGGCATCGATTGCGCACGTTCGCACGTGAGCATATCGGACAACGCGTCCCATCCCGCAGATCTTCACATGGAACGACTTGCCGTGATCCATGGATATCCCGACCAAGGGCTGGAGCCGCGAAGGAAAGGCAGCGGCGGAATTTTTGACGAAAGAAGGGCTGTCTGTAACACTGTAGTATGCTCGCTTCCCTAAGTGCCTGGCAGGATGGATGACACGGGCGGAGCAAGATTCTCAGTGCACATATATGACTGTCCAGGATGCGTCCGAGGCCCGTCAAGCTTCAGGCAAAATACTGTTTTTCATGTCTCTATGCTCTAACCTTCTCCTTCATCGACCCGAAGCATCTTGCGTACACGCTCATCCCGCTTCACATGTGCAGAGCAGTGTACGCCACGGCATTTCTTTCCAGCATCCCACTCACAAGTCTCTTCGGCACCGGTCCCCCTACATCTTCCACTCGACTTCTCTTGCCCCGCACCTGACAAAACCGCCTGTCCTGGTCCTACGAAGAGAGCGGATTGCTCCATAGATACGCGCCCTTCAGCTTGGGAGAGGAGCGAGGCAGCGACGATGCTTGCACAAGCCGGACCGGGACTGGAGACAAGATAGTGCGGGGCTTGGTAGTATGGTATGCCAGCGGGAATCGAGATTTAGCGAGGGGCGACGGTACCGCAATCGACAGAGGTCAGGACCGAGCCGCTGTTCAGCTCCAGCGGATAGGCGCGACAGTGATCAGAAGCCGAGTGCTTGCGGGTGGATCCATACATATCTGGCCTCCCAGCCAGTCTCCGTAGCAATGCTTCTCATGCTTCCGCTTGGTTCGTACCCTCCTCTGTCGCATCTCCCTCTTCCGCCCCGCCCATCCTCTCTTCCGCCTCTTTCTCTGCTCGTTCCTCCGCCCCTTCGAAATCCTCGCCCCGCTCTTCCTCCTCGTAAGCCGGCGGCGCCAGCTCATCCCCGCCCTCCACCCACACCTTACTAAGCTCGTCCTCAATCTCCTGCCGTCTGCGTTTCCACTCCTCGACGCTCTGGAGCCGTTCCCTGAGCTCATGCAGCTCCTTCTCGACCGAGCTCTTCTCCGAGGCGGTGCCGATGCGCTGGAACTCCCACTCGTCGCCGTTGTCGCCAAGGCCGAGAGTTAGCGTGAAGGTGTGGTAGCGCTTTAGAGAGGCGCGAGTAGAGATGGTTATGAGTGCTGTTAGGCCTTGTTAGGGCGTTGTTTGCAGGTGTGATTGGCCAAGAAGGGATGATTGAGGTGGGTAGGGTAGGTAAGAGAAGACAGAAAAGCAGCACTTACTAATCCCCCTCGCCTTCGCCCGCTCATACAACAGCCCCTCAACATCACTACTCACAGCACTAGTCCCCTCATCCACAAACGCATACCTCGGCTCATGATACAGCAATCTCGCGATGCCCATCCTCTGCTTCTCGCCGCCGCTCAACACATCCTTCCAGTCCTTTCTCGTATCCCAACCTCCCTCACGCTCAGGCAAATACCCCAGTCTCGCGTCCTCCAAAACCTGCTGCAGCTCACTGTCGCGCCTCCCCGCATCCTTCATATCGACCGCCGTATGCGGGTAGATGACCTGGTCCCTCAGCGTCCCCGTGCTCAGGTACGGCCGCTGCGGGAGGAACATGATGCCGTCTTCTCCGACCCTGCGGGGCCGGCTCACCAGCCCTCTATACGTCGGCCACAGCCCTGCGACGATGCGCGCGACGGCGCTCTTGCCCACGCCGTTCGGGCCCGTCACGAGGAGATGGTCCCCGGCGTGCACGACGAAGCTGAGGCTCTCAGCCAGCTCGTCCCCGCCTGCGGGCCACAGCCCCGGCGCGACGATGGGGACGTGCTCGAGTCTCACGCCGTCGAAGCCCGCATGGAGCGTCCCCTGGACGTCCGCTAGGGAATACAACTCCGCGTGTCTCGTGCCTGGCGGCGGGAAGTACGCGGCGGCGTGGACGCGGTGCAGCGTGCTGATGAGCGTGTAGACTCGACTCGTGTAGCCGGCCAACTCGGAGAGGTCTTTGATGCTGTACATCATCCTTCCACCCGCGTCCGCGAGAGAGAGCATAAGCCGCTTGTTCGTGATGAAGTCTTTCATGCGGCTGCGCTCTTTGCCGTTCTTCTCAGCCAGCGCCTCGGCCGCGCCGCCGAGCCCGCCCCACGCGGGCAGGAAGACGGGGAGAGAGGTGATGAGGTACCCGAACGCGGACCAGGAGTACTTGAGCACGAAGTCCTCGAGCATGTTGTATCGGATCTTGAGGCTGTAGATGCCCTCCATCCAGTGCTTGAGCTCCTTGAAGCCCTTATCTAGAAACGTGCGCTCCATCTGGTCGCCGCCGTAGAAAGCGACTTCCTCGGCGTTGGCGATAAGGCGGGAGTGCAGGGCACGGAATTCGCCTTCGCGCCGGCCTTCGACGGCTTTTAGCTTGCCGAAGGGTGGTGATAGACGGCGGAGGATGGTGGCAGTAAGGAAGTAGTTTGCGAGCAGCCCGGACAGCGCGAGCGGGCCCAGCGAGCGGAACAATTGGTAGTTGAAGACGCAGAGGTCGACAAAGGGCTTGCCGAGGGAAGAGTACAGCGATGCGGCGGAGGCGCAGAACAGCGTAAGATCCTGCGTGATGAACTGGTCTGCGCCGAGCCCGACCCCGCCGTCCAGGTTCTGCAGCTTGTAGTAGTTGAGGTGGTCGTTGAGGTACAGGTCGTGGATGTAGCGCGTCAGGCGGGTGCGGAAGGCGATGGAGACTTTGGACTGCAGGAACTTGATCATGGCGTTGGTGTAGGAGGCGAAGCTGCCGATGCCGCACCACTTGATGATGCCCCACAGGAAGGCTTTGCCGTTGCCCGCGACGAGATCCCGCACGATCTCGCCGTCTAGCCGTGCGACGACCAGGGAGAGGTAGGTTCGCAGCATCAGGAACACGCCGTGACTGAGCAGCAGTCCCGTCTCTTTGCTGTTCCACCGCGGTATCATGATGTTCAGGAGGCTGAGGAACTGGTGCAGGAAGGCCAGGTTGAGGCCAGGCTTTGTCTGCGGCGGCGGCACTTGCGGTGTGTAGCCATCACTGCCCAGGCCAGCGGCGCGCGGTGGTTGCAGGAACAGTCTCCGGTGCGCATCGAATGTTGTAGGCTTCGTCGGGTATATTGTCACCTTGGAGGTGGAATTGCGATAGGGCACGTATATCGTGCGTGAGCCATCCTTGCCTCGCAAGCCAGAGTTCCTTCGCAGCAGTTTCCTGCCCGTCTCCTTCTCGGCTTTCCGCCGCTGCCACCATCTGCCTCCACCATAGCCAGTGCCGACGATAGAGATGAGGAGGGTGAGGGTAGCGACGAGCTTGGCCGTCCGGGAGCTCTTCGTGAGGCGCGTGCGGACGAGGGTCAGGTAGTGGTTGTAGAGAACAAGGAGCGGGTCTTCGCTGCTGCGGAGCGTGGACTGAGCTGCCATCCTCTCTGCATGATCAGCGTAGAGGAGGTGCTGTGGATGGTGTTGTGAAGAGAGATGTCCGAAGAGGTACAGCGTAGGTAGCCCGTAGCCTACATGTTCGGCGATGGAGCTCCCCCACGGGATGCGCCAGCCATGTGAAAGTGTGAGGCCGAGGTCGATCGATGACGCCCCATGCGCGCCACGTCCGCCGAACCTCCGGCAGCGTGAAGAGCCGCATTTGAGAAATGCCTTGCACAAACTACCTAGGTAGGCTATCCATTGCTATTGCCCAGGCATGGTGCATTGCGGAGAGCTTGACAAATGTACTGCTATCCAGCTTAGATATCGTGTTTTGCTGAAGCACCATGATCTCATTAAACAAACCGTCCGACATTGTCAATTACCCTCCATCGTATCATGCAGTACAACCATCACCTACCCGCTCCTTCCCTGCCGCCTACTCAAGTCAAAGCCTCTCGCGCTTACGCCGAACTATGACCATCCATACCATTCTCCTTCGCGGCAGCACTCCGCATCGAACTCGCCGTCCTAAAATTCATGCCATGAACCCTCTCGACCCCCTCCCCCATCCGTCCAACCTCAGCGTGATACTCCTCGCCTGGTCCGCTCCTCAACAGCGGCTGACTCGGGTTAACGATCGTATCCCCCAATCCCAGGCGATCGAGCTGGATCTTCTCGTGGACGATGAGGAGAATGACGCCATAGACGGGCTTGGCGAGGACGTCGAGGATGCCGTAGAAGATTGCTTCGCTGTCGGACGAAATGACGTTGCCGCCTTCGCAGAGGCCCCAGGCGATGGGGTAGAGGAACCTGTGTGTAGGGTAGGATGGGTCAACATATGATGATTTGGCGGACATGGCTTCCTTCCTCCTTGCCTTCTTGCCTTTCCACATCTCCAAGAAGGGTCCGGATGGAAGGAAAGAGGGAGGGGAGGTGAGGTGAGGTGAGGAGAACACGTACCATAGAACTATGAGATACATGCCGAGCATGATGTAGTGCTTATGCACGTCTGCACCAATGAATCTTGCGTTGCCGCTGCTGGGCAAGATGATTTCCCACCCGATGAGCAGCAGCGCGGCGCAGCCAAAGGCGAAGTAGCCCCATTTGTAGCTGCTGCGGACTAGGGCGCCGACAAGGCCGCTGCACAAACAGATATAAGTCAGTTCATATACCGCGTCCCCAAAGCACACACGATTGTCAATGACGAAGAGAAGGAGATCCAACGTACGTGATGATCATCACTTCATCCAACAGCAAGATCCATAGGATATTGTTCCATGGCAGGCCGGCCGTAAGTCCCAGCTCCATTAGCAACAGCGGGGTCGTGATGACCCAGTCGATATACCGGACGTAAAAGATCTGGCGCGTTAAACCCGCGACGACGCCGCTTCGAATGAATTCAATACCGATAGGCGTGCCACCAAGATTGGAGGCCATGGTGAAGTATGCGACCGATGCCACTGTGATAATGACCCATCGTTAATCATTCATTCGTTCGTTCATGAGCTGCTAACCTCCAACCAATCAAGCCAGCATTTAGCAAGAGAGAGAGAAGGAGATAATACCCATCGTGATGGAAGCCGTGATGTAATGGAAAGGGCGCTCCAGCCGCGGCTTCGTGTAAGCCCACACAATAAAGCATATGGTGGAGAACATCATGATGGCGAAGATGGCCCAGTACAGCTTGCTCCCGCGCACCGTGATGTTCTCGTCCGCGCCCTTGGGATTCTCGGAGAAGACATTGTACCGCTTATCGAGAGGGTGGAGGTCCATCGTCGGGAAGCTCGACGTCCGTGGTTATAGTTACAGATTGAATACGATGGAGAGCGCAACAACGAGAGATCTGATGGATGACAGGCTCCAAACTACCTACCTATTGTCTGAGGGAGTGAGATTATACCTACCATATAAGAATTCTAGCGGTTGGCTGTCGTGATGTCGCCACTTCTGCGTCTGAAGATAGCCGGCCCCTTACGAAGGTGAGGTAGGTGGTCCATGACAGCATCGACGACACGTCCGACGGCCGACGTGCATTGGTCTGAGCTGCTCCTTGCACGTCTACGTAGAGAACCGTTAAAGCTTGTCCGTCAGCCTTGAAAGGAGATCACTAAAGTGGTAAGTTAACCAGAGGCGGCGGGCGCGGCTTGAATTTGGAATCTGGGCTTTTCGGGCCTTTTCCGGCGCTGAACAATTCCGCGTGGGGAAGTCTGCGATGCCGGTCCCATCTAGCCTTCTAGCATGCATAAAACGGTTACCCGTCCATGGCAGACTGAAATGGCATCTCCGGCTGAAACGTGCGTCTCCCCGTGTTTCCGTGGGGATCTGCGTAGGGATGGCTGCAGGCTGCCGAGCGAATATTGGAGTGCCGGAGGTGAGAATGGATCTAAGGTAAATTTACACTCAGATCATACCATCACCTCACAGCAAACTTCATTTCTCAAACCTTACTTGGTGCAGCTAAGGCGCCCTCGACGTAACAACTGCTTCATAGCACCATTGTGGTTGCGGCATCCATTCTTCAATTGCCTCGTCCTATCTCAAGCCCTCGCATGCCACATCGACTCTGTTGGTTTACCTTGCATCCTGTGTTCTCTCGATGGCCAGACTCACAAGATCGGCAACAACTAAAATCAACCCTATTGGTCAAGGGCTAAAAGCCCACCCGTGTGGCTTTGGTGGGTTCCTGGTTCCTGCCCGGGGGATGCTTGTAGAGATCGGGAGATAAGGTTGCAGTAATGGTGTGAGGGATGATAAGAATTATCATTGCTAGGTACTATCTTGCGGTTTGCCGCCCTGCGTGAATCAGGGAATCTCCGTGATCCGACAAGCTTAACCTGCGGCTTGGCCAGCGTTATGACACCTTAACGAGTTAAGATAGGTACCTGTTACTTGCAAGGAAGGCGTTTGTTGAAAAGCAAAAGTGCGAACGCACTGTTGCCTTCGCAGTATCCAATATCTGAGAATCAACAGCGTTCTATATTCAGGTGCATATTCACGCTCTGCCTCGTAAAGGATATGTTGGTTTCCTACTCCCCAGATCTCAGCAAACTTACCATCACACGATAATACCTTCAGGTCTGTAGTGAGAGCGATCCGGACCAGACTCCTTAGCTAACGCATGGGCGAATGATCGCAGTGACGGAATGGTGCAGAGCGGCACGGCTAGAGCCTGCATTAGAAGGGTTTGTCTTCTGAATCCCATCTCTGCTGCTTAAGCAGAATCAGCTCTCGAACGCAGCACGTCCGGCCACTCGTTTCTCGCTCGCCAGCGCTGGCCGTTTCTCATAATGTGTAACCATCTGCTCCGATGGCGGAAATACCTGTGAGACTCGGACGATAAGACTTTAGTGCACGCTCTAGACCAGGAGCTAAAGCTTGTTTCCACTGCGCAAGGGGACTTTGGTGAGGGGGAAGTGTGATGATATCACAGATTAGCAACGCCTCACAGTGAGCGCTTAACCTGTTGTCGAAAACACTAAACCCGTCCTCGAAGCACTAGACTCTGAGTCCATTTCTAAGGAGTTTATTCGGTGCGCACCAACTCGCACTCGATACAAAGCCCCGACCAGAACTTGACGGGATACACCAAAACATCTACGCTTGATCCGCTTCTCTCCCTTGCCGTCTGTTGGCACTGCCATCCTGCTCGCTCGAGCTACTCTGACCACTGGACTGCCCGGTCTCAGTTTCTTCATCCCTCTTCTCCTGAGGGATCCACTCTTCCAGTCCAGGCTCATTGAACAGCTCGCCCTTGAATAACCCCAGCCACGTCGTTATGAGCGCAAGGACAAGCCAAATAACAACGACAGCGACCGTAGTCGTTGCCGCCCATCCTCGCATACCGTCGTTGCGCAAGTCGCGGCTGAGGTATGACCATGCGTTGGCGTACGACGCTATTGGGAAGGTAAGGCCCCACATGCCGATATTGAAGGACTTGGGCTTGCGAGAGATCATCGCTGAGCTAGCTTGGACGAGCCAGAATGTGGCATGCGCGAGGAAGAAGAGGGAGAGGAGAATGCCTAGCCAGTGGATCACTTCGGCGGTGGAGTCCAACGTGCCTTGGGGAAGCGGTGGGGGAGAGGATTGAGTGGGGGCATAGTGCTGTGTCCGGAGATAATTGGCGAGGTAGATGGACAATTGCTGGATGCCGTATGCGCCTTGGCCTGTTATCACGATCCGTATGAGTTCTCTGTCCGCTTTTAACATGAAAATAGCCCAGTCTTACCAAGCGGTGCCAAGGGCAGAAAGCCTGAAGCCAGAAGCTGATTCGGAGGCAGCTTCGAGGAGACCAGGCGCCAGAAGTACACGGCAATAATCAAGTGGATCTGAGTAGTGCCCAGGCTCCAGAGCAGGAACGAGATGATCAGTATAGTAATGCTGCATTTCGTACTGATCGTCCCAAGATACTGGATGATAGTTGAGCCAGTTGCAGCAGTAACCAGCATCGGAACGCACGTCATAAGCCAACTAAAAGGATGTCAGTAGGATGTACAATTTCAGAAGGCACAAGAGGCTCACAGTCCCGCTACATCCGTAATGCTGTGCTGTGGCTGCCCCGAGACCTGCACGATAAGTAGACCTATACTAACCAGTAAGGTTAAGGCTAGAGCTACCCACCACAGGCCAAATGCGACCCACATAGCACTAGGACGGTAGTTATAGTAAGATACTATACCGATGATAATCGTGTCGAGCGCCTAAGAGAGTGTCAGTATACCGCAACAGAGCAACTTTGCGGATAGGAATTAGCATACGATTGGTATGGCTCCAAAATAGGAGGAGCTAGGAAACTCGGTGATGTTTTTATTTATGAGGGTAGGATGCGTTATGTAGCGAACCGCTAGCATCACCGTAAAGAAGCAGAAAAGTAAGATGTCAAGAATCTGAATCTCTATCAGTACATGATCGCTAGTGTTGAAAATGGACGACGAACCCAGAAACAGTACCCCAGGTTCCGCATCCAGTAGGATGCGCCGGTAATAGGATATGGGAAGTTCACGAGCGCTTGCTGGATTGCGCCAGTTCCTACGTGCATCAGTGATCGCTTGTGTCATGGCCAATTAACTCTTACCCATTGCAACCATGAACCAGGCTGGCGTGAAGTTTAGAATCCGTTCTTGCCTAGGCGATGTTACTATAACTATTTAATAAGTTATAGGCATTCACTTCACATGGAGCTGCATACCAGTGCCGTCCTGACAATATAGACGTTGGACCTAACATGTTGAAATATTACTGCGTGAAATAGTACTGCTGTACCGAGCCTAGCGGCTCTAGGAGATTGTTCTAAATTGCCGAATGCTTTGCGCCGGGATATGAACAGCTGAATGTGAAGGGAAGACGGCGATTATAAAGGATACCTAATCCAATTCATCGTCATTGACAGATTGATCCCTGCTTTTGTTCCTTCACGGATTTGATGGAAGGCATGACACAATGTTCCCTGTTGGAAAGCAAAAGTGCGAAAGCATTATTGCCTTCGCATTATCCGATATTTGAGATTCAACATTCCCATTATGAAACCTCGGGAAAACAAGCTTTAGCTTTACGCACCATTGCATGCCGGCTCCCACTGCTTTAAGGGTCACCTTGTATCCTGCATCGAGTTAGATCTAGATCTAACGGCCCGGTTTCATCTGCAAATCTGCATTGATGAGGGCGACGATGACGACAGTTACAGCGATGACGGAGACGATAAAGATGACGTTGGTATACTGACAGTTTGATGAAAGAGTGTTTGAGATTCTCTCAATCGATTCCTGTGTCCCTACCTCCTCCTCCCGTAGGATGTTAGTGTCCGGATCTTGACTATACTCTAAGAAAACCTCGATCAGCGATGCTTTTGTGACATCCAAATGACGCTCGAAAAGACACGGCGCCTGGAAAGCGGTTTTGTCTTTATATAAGGTATCAAGCGAAGCTCCTCGCTGTAGGAGAAGGTGAATCGTAGTAGATTGATTGTGAACGCCATGCGTAAAGAGGGGCCTAGAAAGCTCTTCATCAATGGCAAGATTTAGCATAGGTATGCTCCGTTCTTGCCGAATGACTTGAATTTTGCAGATGTCTGCGAAACACAACTGAAGATTGGCAGCAACTGCGAAAGATGCTCGGTCTGCAATGGTGGTAGGTCCACCGCCATGTGAAAGGCTGGGGTCGATAAAGGACGCCGCATGCACGCCACGTCCGCCAAACCTCCGCTGACATGGAGAGCCGCATCTGGGGGTTAGCCTCTAAGTTTCACGAATCATTGTGTCTCCGCTGCTAACAAGAATGGTACATCATGGAGAGCCTCACGGCACTAGTCACTTTCAACTAAATCGAATGCTTCAATGGTGCTTCATTTTTTGTCCCGCGAGGGCACTAATTTATGGTACATCGGTCCCATCCAATCCCTAAAAGGAGAGAGATACACCAGTTGTAGCGTACAGACCAATGCCCAATCTTCTAAACCCCCATTGACACAAAGTCATACCCTACGCCTCACAATGCACACACCCCTCATCGCCTCACCTCTTCCTATTCCGATCTCTCCCCCTCCGATCCCTCCGCTCCCGCCTGTCCCTCGGCGGCACGAACTTCTCGTCCCTCCTTTCCCACATCAGATGCCTGAGCATGAACTCATCCACGTGCATCCTCTCCTCATCCTCATATCTGACCGTCTCCGCCGCCCTCAGCAACGCGCCACTCTGCCCCGCCGTCTCAACATCCGGTCCGTTCGCCGCCTGTGGCGTCGGGGGCACCGAAGCCTTTGGCGTCGCACTCGGATGACCAGACTCCTGGAAATCCGCCTGGTCGACCTGGACGTCGTGCACTATTTCCTTCTGGGCGACCTTCGCGGCCTCCGTATCCTCCTTGTCCTCAACAGACTCAAGGACCTGCCCAAGGCCCGTAACGTTGCCGAGCACGCGGTCCATGGCCGCCGAGGCCTCTTTGTCTTCCTCCGTCTCGGTGGCAGCGGAGCCGCTGTCGTCGAACGCGTCGCGATAGCTCATGCGGTTGAAGTAGTCGGTCGTGAAGTCGCCTTTCTGGATGATGACGTCGTCGAGGAGGCGTTTTTGATTCGACTTGCGCAGGATGTTGGCTTCGATGGTGTGCTCGGAGACGAAGCGGTAGATGTGGACGTCGCGCGTCTGGCCGATGCGGTGGCAGCGGTCTTGGCATTGCTTGTCCATCGCCGGGTTCCAGTCGAGGTCGTAGAAGATTACGGTGTCGGCGCCTGTGAGATTGATGCCGAGGCCGCCGGAGCGCGAGGATAGGATGAAGGCGAGGATGCGCGGGTCGTTGTTGAAGCGGTCGGTGAGGATTTGGCGCTGTTCGATCTTGGTGGCGCCATCGAGGCGGAGGTAGCGGTGGCCGTGGATGTTTAGGAATTGTTCGAGGATGTCGAGGACCTTGGTCATCTGAGTGAAGATGAGGGCGCGGTGACCGCCGGCTTGTAGTTGGCGGAGGAGGGCGTCGAGGCGCTGGAGCTTCCCACAGTCGTACTGTAGCAGGCGTTTGTCTGGGAAGGCGATAGAGAGGCGCATCCGAGCTTCATGGAACGGGTCGCGGGGGCAGAGCTGTTGAGCCTGGCGGACTATGGAAACTCCAGACGGGGTTAGCGTAAGCGCGGGCATGCCGTCTGCAACGACTGTCGGCGTAATGCACGCAAATTTTTGAACGTAGGGATGCATCATCTGAGACCTCTCCTCCACGCCTAGAATCATTTTCTGGAGTAGCGGGGAATGGTTCAGATACCAGTCCGTCGAATTAGCGGCTCGTCGTGGTGTACGTAAGACCAGACGATCTTGCAGGTCCAGGGCCAGCCGCCTCAGCAAGCCAGTGCCGTAGACTGGCCGCCTCTGGGCTCGCCGGCGAGTCAGGTCGAGGCAGTGCTTCAAATGCTCCAGCTTTGACCGCTCCGCTTTCTGGGCCGCATATGCAAGTATAGAGCCAATAGAGGAGCCATCAAAATCGCTCTCATGGCCGATAGTCCGTACCTGGTGCTCTATTAGATCCTCGAGCGGACGGACAGCAGACAGCTGTGTACTTCGCTTTGCGTCAAGTGCTGATGAGGACTCATTCCGGACTAGCATGAGGTTGAGATGCTCTAGGCTGACCTGCTCGTCAGCTTTCTGCAGCAATCGCTTGCGGACAAAGAACTCCTTGATCTCGTAATCTGCGATAGCAGACCTACGCGTTCCAGTGACTGGCTCTCTCATAGCGAACGAGGTCGTTATCTGTCTCGTCTCGAACAGGTCTGGATGATTGCACACCTTCCGGAGGGACATCAGGCAGTTGATGATTGACATGTAGTTGCCAGATGCTAGGGTCTGCCTGACTTCGGTCCGTCCCATGAACTCGTCGTACAGCTGGCGTTGGCGCTTGGATAGGCGGCAGTATATGACGTGCTCGTATTTGCCTGGCATCTGCTTTTCCACGTCTGCTTTCAGTCTTCGGAGCAAGTACGGCCGCAGGATACTATGTAGTTGATCTACTGTAGCTTGAGCTTCAGCATCCAGCTGTTGCTTTCCCTGCTCGAGGATCTGGTTCGTCGGCCTACTCATTGCAGTCGTGAAGTTGTGCAGGCCGGTGAAACCACCTTGACCGTCATCGCCGGAGGGCATGAGGAAGAACAACAGGGACCACAGCTCGGATAAGTTATTTTGCAGGGGTGTGCCGGTGAGCAGAAGGCGCTTCTGTGTTCTGAAATTGAGGAGCGTCTGCCAACGCTGCGTCTGAAAGTTCTTGATGTTATGAGCCTCATCAAGAATGAGGTACAACCAACCACGCTGCTTGAAGGCCGCCGCATCTTTGAGGATCAGCTGATAGGATGTGATGACTACGTTCCATTTGTCGTCATCCCTCCAGCCACTGCGCTTCCTCCTCCGCTCCTCGATGTCTCCATAGTAAGTGAGCACTTTGAAGCCCGGACAAAACTTCTTAAATTCCATTTCCCAGTTGAGCATGACGCTCGTGGGTACGACAACCAGGTGTGGGCCCCATGCACCATGATCTGCTAGGTGAGCAAGAAGCGCGATGGTCTGTATAGTTTTGCCGAGACCCATCTCATCAGCAAGAATGCCGTTAGTATTACCGGCGTAGAGACCTGCAAGCCAGTCTAGACCATGATGCTGATACTCTCGAAGGGTACCTCGCAGAAGCGATGGGACCTCGGTCTTGACTGATATGGGCGTGTTCACTGTCGTTGGAGGTGTCCTCGTACGGCTCAAGGCTCGACTGTCGGTTTGCTGAAGTGACTCAAGGGGGCCAACGGAACTGGTCCTAGGCGAAAAATGGCTGCTGGCTGCGCCGTCCGTTGATGCAGGCTGCGCCTCGCCATTCTTCCCTACTTCCGGCATCCGTTCTATGCCTGCCGTTTGAGCGCTCGTTGGCCGCCCTTCAAGGTCTTCAGATGCTGGGAGTCCATCAACAACGTCCGGCGCGACTAAAGGAACACCGTGGTTGACTGAAGCCTTCTCCTTATTCTCTGTTGATCCTGTGATATCTCCAGCCTTGAGCTCTTCAACTTTTTTGCTCGAGAAAAATTCCCATAGAGGATTATCTGCGCCGTCTTCATCTTCACTTCTCTCGTCTGCATCTTCATCCTCCGTCCCAACCGTCTGCTCGTCATCGGACTCTGACATGTCTTCATCGGTCGTAGGCTCGTCAGTGTCGTCCATCAAGACCTCGTCGACTTCTTCGAGCTTCACCTGGGATGGATCAATGCCCTGGTATGGATCTTCCGGCGCATCGCCGTCAACTTGGACTTCAGGCTCCTCGCTTTTGCCGTCATTGTCTTGCCCTTGTCTACCTGGAAGATCTAGCATTCCCTCTAAACCAGGTGACTGCGCTTCGACGCCGTCTTCATCACCCGAGTCATCCTCGTCCACTTGATCGTCATTCGCGGGCGCTTTCGGAAGGTCCTGGTACTTTTCCCGCAGTTGCTCCTGAGTAAGGCCAGCATCATCATCCCTTCCAAGCTCCTCCGGTTCATCTTCACTGTTGGACATATTCTCAGGGTCTTCCGATTCTTCAGCTTTAGAACTTCGAGGACTTCCTATGGCCTCACCTACCATTCCTACGTCGTCTTCCAGATCCACGCTCTCATCATACTCATTCTGATCGTCATTTCCAGTGTCGGTCGCTGAGGAATATTCTTCCTCTCCCTCTACGCTCGACACGTCAGACGGACGTCTCAGCCGCTGTCCGAGCAAGGCGGCCGACTTCCCCAGCATCTTATTCATCTCTTCTCTGCCCAGCAACCGCTGCTCTTCCTCGTATCTTGCAAGCTTCAGCTTATCCACCTCCTGCTTGACAAGCTCCCACGACTGCACCAGATCCCGCATCAAACCTTTATATCGCGCCTTTTCTAGCGCCACAGCTGCGGCAGCAATCTCCTCTGCCGTCGGTGCTACCACGTCTTCCGGGATGATCCAGCTCTGGTACTTGCCATGGTATTTTGCATTGGTGATCAATTCCCTGTACCAAGTCGCGCAGTCGATCGCCAGAGTCTTAGCAAGTTTCCTGTGGTTCAAGGACTCCCTCTGTTGCAACTTCTGGAAGTACACCGCATGCTGCGCGATGTGATCCCACGGTCCATACTGCGCAGGAGGCTCGGTTGGAGAGTCGAGCGCGTAGAGCGAGCATCGCTCTGCGGACAGCAAACCTCCAGGCTGGCCTTCTCTAAGTAGTCTTAACCGAATGTCTACCTCCGCGCGCACCCGCTCATCGGTTGTCCGATCCTTCTTGTCATCTTCGTCCAGAGCATCTTCGCTTTCGAACCATTCGCGAAAGGAAGGATATTTACGAGGCGCGGGAATGTGGCCTGGATGCAGAAGCGGGATTGTGGGCGCACGAAGCTTCAATCGCAGACGTGGCGACGGGCCGGTAAAGGTATCCGAAGTGGCCTTGTGTGTGTTTTTTGGCGCCTCGATAGCATCTCCGGCTGAGAGGTCGCTAACCCTGTGTGAACGGCGCTTCTTACGACGGTCCGGTGGCGATGGAGACTGCCGACGCTTGGCCGATACCTTTTCACCAGTCTTTCCATCGGGTCGAGGCGAAGGTGGTGGTTGCGACGCGTCCACGGAGGGCTTTGCCTTTCGGTGCACCTTTGGTGAAGGGATTTTGAACTCAGCTTTTGCCGCAGAGTTTCCATCCGACTGATGGCCCTTTCCCTTGGCCTTCCCCGCCGACGCTGGCTGTGTACCGTTCCGCAGTGACGTGCCCCTCGGACGCGGAGCACCAGGTGTCTCATGAACCACGCCCCTCGTTCGCCGCTTGTTGTCATCCGGCTGTGGCTGTGGCTGCGACTGGGTCTCGGCGGCGGTAGGGTTGTTGCGCGACGAGATTCTCCTGCCACCTACTATGAGCGAGGTCGGTCCCTCGACTGCGAACTTCTTCCACGGCGGCGAGGTGGGTCGCGATGGCGAAGGGCGCAGTTCCTTAAGGGGATCGTTGAGTCGGCGCTTCTTGCTCGGCCGCGCAGGAATGCTGTCATCTTCGAGCGTGCTTTCGTCATTCTGAAGGGAGGAGTTGATGCCGTTTGTATATACAGACGCGGCGTTGAGTGCTGCTGTCGCTTCGTTGACCGAGTTCGTGTGTTCTGCCTGCGCGTCCGTGGTTGTGTCGATGTGTTTGACGTGGGCGGCGCGCTCTCCGTTTTGCATTCTCAGCAAGGGACAATCAGCGCCGCCTAGATTGGACTGACCCCCAGCCGGCGCATCAAGCAAACGTATATTATCGCAAATATAGTATCAAATAGAAGCCAGCAATCGTACGAAAGCAATGCCGTTGTCGAAAATCGAGTAGCACGCTTTGCGCGGGCGTGAGGAGTGGATTTGGTCGGGTTCGTCTGGTTTGTATGGGGATGTTCAGAAACGGAACCGACAGCGTAAAGGACAAGTCGCTAGCGCGCCTTGGCGTGTCTCCGTGCTCCACCTTCACCTTGACCTCATCTACCCTTCGAGGGCAGCCGTACGGCAGGTAGCCCTCTACACCTTCAAGGTACACCCAATGCGAATATATTCACTAGCACCAGTGCTGATAGTCCTCCAGATGCTGTCCCGCCGAATCGCAGCGGCGCGCCCGCTCACTCGCGCCCTCCAGCCCGCAGTATCACGCACCACCCTCACCCAGATCCGACACATTACCCAAGCCGACATCGAAGACCCAGGCATGGTGCGCACTCCCGCCTCCCTCGCATCACCACCCCAAGCTCCACCACCCAACTGACCACCCCCTACAGAACGGCGGCTACATCAACCCGCCCGCCGAGAAGCGCCAATTCCGCGACCCCTACGCCGACTGGTGGGACAAGCAAGAGCGGCGCAACTACGGCGAGCCCGTGCACGAGGACAACGACATCCTGGGCATGTTCTCGACAGAGCAGGACCGCCACTTCACGCCCGGCTGGGGCGCCGTGCTGCTCGGCACATTTGTTGCGAGCGTGCTCGGACTGTGCGCTATCGTGCTGCCGTATTATCCTGATAAGCCGGCTGTGCCGAGGGCGTTTCCGGGGGGGCTGGACAGGGAGCTCGGGGGCGGGAATGCGCTGTTGGTAAGTGTCTTTCTTGGTGGTGAGGGGAAAGAATGATGGGGATGCTGATGGTGGACTAGGCACGTAAGGATGGGGCTGAGGAGGAGCGGGAGGGACAGAGGTAGTAAGCGGGTGCAACAGTGTAGATACTTGTGGTGAATTGGAGTTTTTGATTGAGACTTGAATTCCATGAGGTCAGTCATTACGCAACATCAAGAACGCAATCGATGCACGTGATGAGGATGGTCTCCGAAGCATAAAATGACTGCGTTGGGCGGTCGGTATTCCTGAAGAATTGATCTATGGTACGCAGATCTCAAACGACGCTGCTCTATCACTGTACAGGAACCCCTATTCTACGAATGGTCTATCGGGGGATGGGGCAGATGCTGCTTCTAGGACTCTAACTCCAGGATCTGCACAACATCCTTCGACGCCAAAAGTTCGCAGCTACCAGGTTTCAACACACTAGAACTTGTACACCTGGTCCTTGCTGTACCCAAGATCCTTCAGATGTCCCTCCAGCTCTCCCTGGTCCTGGGGGCTCTTCTTCGTGCCGCTAACAGCCTTGTACAAACCCGGCGGCCCGCACACGAAAACCTTGACGTTCTTCTCCTTCGGCTCCGGCAGCACCGTCTTCAGTAACTCTTTGGTAATGAAGCCCTTCCCCTGCTGCCAGTCCTCTGGCGGCTTATCCAGCGTATAGAACGCGCGGAAGCGCTGTGGATACGTGTTCTCGAGCTCGTCCCACTCGCGCTTCAGCAGAACGTCTTCTTCTGCGATGTTGCCGAAGACGAGCGTCACTTTTGTCTTGTCCTCGGGGTTCTTGAAGATCGCGCGCGCGAGCTGGTACATCGGCGTGATACCCGTCCCGCCGGCAACCAACGCGATGTGGTCGTGCTTGTTGGGTTCCCAAGGGTATTTGGGGATCGGCCCCTTGAAGTCGAGCCGCTGGCCCGGGTTCATGCTGTGCAGGTGCTCGGACATGGGGCCGTCGGGGTAGCGCTTGATTACAAAGTCCATGTAGTTCTTGGTGTCTGATATGGATTAGTACCGACGTGTTCGTGGAGGTGGAGGGGTGAGTCCTGCTGACCTTCGTCGCTGACGGGCGTGTATGGCCGAATTGCAGGCTTTTCCATCTCAGGGCCCTTGTACTTAGCAATGACGGCCGCTGCGTTTCCCATCAGCATGTGCCCCCCGCCCAGCTTTGACACAGGCACACTCACACGCGACGTGCAACCCAGAAACACTATCCTCCTCCGGCAGCTTAAACCGGAATCTCTTCGTATTATGATTAATATCCTCCACGCTCTCCAGCTTCAACGAGATGAACCCCTGGTCTCCGCCCTTGAACGCCATCATTGGCTTTTCCGCCTTCGCCGGTATATTCTCCTCCTCCCTCCGCGACGATGGCGAGCCCTGCGCCGCGGACTGGTCGCCTAGGCGCTCCTTGTTGCGCGGAGCCACGTCGCCCATGTTCATGTAGTAGTAGGCGCCTGCACCCGCGGCGGCGGCGATACCGCCGAAGAGCGCGGCACTGCGGTTGCTGCTTTGGGGAGGCTCGGTCGCGTAGCGGCGGACATGCTGAGGGAGATGATCGGTGGTTAGCTGGGCGTTGCTGGGTGTTGCTGGAGGCACAACTGATGTTTAGGATGGAGGGTACGAGGCTTACGTTCTTCAGCACGTGGGCTGGCCGGAAAACCTGTCGGGCGAACATCTTGGAGCTCTATCTATTCAGAAACAAGAGCAATTGAGCTGGTGGAAGGGAACTCAAGGGCTTTCGGAAGCGGCAAAGACCCCTCGAGGCAGAGAGAGGTCGGAAAGCACCGATCGAAGCTCGGATGATGACGTCCGATTCCGAAACCCGCACCGCAGTTCGAACTCTCCACCGCTCGGCATCATCATTTCAGCACGCGAGCGGACAATAGATTTGCACGCAGTTGGAGCAGACCGACTTAGTCATCTCTGACGACACACACGCAGTTTCCGCGACTCAGTTGCAAGCTATCACAATGTTACTCTACCGAGAGGGGAGCTGTAGTATCAAGCTAAAACGAAATAAGTCAATCCACTTATCCGAAAGTTTCGTTAAACGCTTCCTTTGAGCGCAGCCCAGTATAAATCCTCGCCGTGATTAGATCTTCGATGCTGCCTTCAAAACGGCATCATGGTTGTGCTCAAGACCAGCCCCTATAGCACGGTCCAGGATAGTAACGAAAGCATGTCTCTCTCTCATGTCTTCATCTTCACCTTCATTTCCCTTCGCATCGAGCTCGCTCCAATCCTTCTCTAGAAGAGCCTGCAGCTGCCAACATTCAACCGGAAGCCCGAGGCGCTGCACCGCCTCTTTTGTTCGTTCATCCATGAATGGGTGTTCGTAGTGTTCCATCCAAAGCCGCTGGATCCGTCGAAAGAATATTGAAAGGACTGACGTCCCTATACGATACCAGAGCAAGTGGCGCTCTGCGCCCACGTCGTATCCAGCTTCTCTTCGTACTGCTTCTAAAGTAATACCGTCCGGGTCATCATCTTTGGCGAATTTGTCCAGTACGATGCCAGCAACCCTGCCAAATCATTTGGCGGTCTTGTTGTAGTGTTCATTTGGCGCATTCGAAACTGCCTGCTGCCAGTTTTCACTCCCAGCATCGTGCACGGCTTTTGCGGGGGTGAATTCGTGTGGTTCGTTGAAGATCGTGCGGATCCTTTTCAAACCGCATTCATGGGGGCTCGACCCGGTGAGCACGACGGCGCACATGAGTTCTTTGAAAGAATTTAGTTTGCTCGAATAGTAGATCCGAAACTCATCGCCATGAGTCTGGATATCTTTTGTCTCGTCTTCTGGACGGCAGGGATTGAGTGCGGCGGGCGAGAGTAAGAGTTGAATCACCTGCACGGCTGATGGTTTCGACTCTGGAGGCCTTCCTTGGTACGCTTCGTTGGGGGGTGCTGCTGTATCTGCCGCTCTTTTACGTTTGGTGGTTGAGCTTGGAGGTAGCAGCGGGATTGGCATCTTCAGTCCCGAATTGTTCCATTAACGGATCCTCTGCGGTGGCTGAAGCGGGGGCTTTGATTCCATTAATCTCGTAAGCTTCCGTGAGGAGAATTCTGCCTCTAGACGTCTTTGCCAGCTGCAAGCTTTTTGTGAGTGACCTGCGTGTGGCGGTATCAGGCTCGTCCCAAGGAAAATCCATGTCCCCTCTGTATCTACCTAAGCAACATCAGGCGTTTGCGGCCTTGGTGGAGATTCTTCCTCCATAACTTGACCTGCGCTGGTCGCTGCTTCATCTTCGTTCTTCACTCCGACCTCGAGCGACTCGTTCGAAGCCATCTTGACAAGGCGTGCAAAGCGGTTGGCAGGCATCCGTGGGTTGGAGTCTCACTGTAGCCGATCCAACAGGCTCAAGAAATTCAGGTCAACGTAGCTTCAGCTTCACGGTGGTGTTCTTACATTGCCATCCGGCTTGCACAACAAACTTCTTATGGGTGCCTAAAAGCGGCATTCCAACGGGACGTACGACCTACCTTATATGCTCTGTACACCGCATTCGCAAAGGTGATCTTCCTGTTTCACAGGCGTGAACCCTTTCAAATGGAAGCAGTAACCGCACTCTTATATCAATAACTCTTAACTAAGTAGCGCGATACACTGCGAAGGGGTGGTAGGGGAGATAGGTCCTGTATTCTTCATAGACATCGAGCTTACTGAAGCAGTGTCAGTGAGCGTAATTGTGTGTTTTTAATATTGCTGGACTAGTTGAACCCAGGGCGTCCTTTCTTGATGCAACGGAGTGTGAATGGGAATGGCTAGAGAAGCCGAAACCCGTGTTGACCGCCTCGTTCTACCATGCATCCTGTCCCCTAATCAGCGAGAAGGTCATGTCCAGGCTTCTCCAACTTGCTTGCGCTTTATTCCAGCCTGCGAAAAACGAAAACAATACTGAATCCGGGAGTAGCTTAATCCTGATCTCCAAGCAGGTCACGTGCCAGCTGAATCCTGAGGCTGAAGGCTCTATCTTTGGCGATGATGCGGCTGCATGCAGGGTCCAAAACAAAAGCTCCCTTTCAACTATTTCTGACGCTCTTCAGACCTGGCTTCCTTATTGTTCCTCCTAACTCCCAGTCAAACCGTAGACAATTCCAATCAATTGAATCTCACCATGGCCGCCGCAATTAAAGACACCGTCAACAGCATGCTCGAGAGCCTCAACCTCACCAGCCCCGAGCCGAAAGGCGCCCCGCCAAAGGAGCCCAGCGCAGAAGAAGTCCAAGAGCTCCGCTCAAAGTACGAAAAGGCCGGACAGGAGCAAGTTTTCACCTTCTACGACTCCCTCAGCGTAGCAGAGAAAGCCTCTCTCTTTGGCCAACTCTCCGCCATCGACCCGGACCACATCAACAAGATCACCGACCGGGCCCTCAACCCCCCGAAATCCGAGCAAAAAGACGATTCTCCGACCCTCGAGCCTCTTCCCGAGTCCGCTACGTCCTCAGTCCTCGACTCCAAGCCCGAAGACCTCACGGCATGGTACGAGTCCGGCCTGGACCTGATTGCAGAGAACCAGGTCGCCGTGGTGCTGATGGCTGGTGGGCAGGGGACACGCCTCGGCAGTTCAGCGCCTAAGGGCTGCTTTGACATTGGGCTGCCGAGCCACAAGTCGCTGTTCCAGCTGCAGGCGGAGCGGATCAGGAAGGTGCAGCAGCTGGCGCAGAAGAAGCATGGGAAGGAGGCCGTCGTCGTGCCGTGGTATGTCATGACCAGCGGACCGACGAGAGCGTCGACGGAGAAGTTCTTTGCGGAGCATGACTGTTTTGGGCTGAAGAAGGAGAATGTGGGGATTTTTGAGCAGGGTGTGCTGCCGTGCATTTCGAACGATGGGAAGATATTGCTGGAGAGTACGTCAAAGGTAAGCATTTCTTAATAGACAGGACTATACTGTGATACAGCCATCTAACACGGAACTTGTAGGTTGCTGTGGCCCCAGACGGCAATGGCGGCTTATACCAAGCACTCATCAGTGCCGGTGTCGTAGCCGACATGCGCAAGCGCGGCATCAAGCACATCCACGCGTACTGCGTCGACAACTGCCTCGTCAAGGTAGCTGATCCGACGTTCATCGGCTTCTCCGCGTCCAAAGACGTGGATATCGCGACCAAGGTCGTCCGCAAGCGCAATGCGAAGGAGTCCGTCGGCCTTATCATACAAAAGAACGGCAAACCTGATGTGGTTGAATATTCCGAGATTGACGCGGAGACCGCGGAGGCCAAAGACCCCAAGAACCACGACCTGCTTAAGTTCCGCGCCGCAAATATCGTCAATCACTACTACTCCTACCGCTTTCTCGAGAGCATCCCTGAATGGGCACACCGCCTGCCGCACCACATGGCGCGCAAGAAGATCCCGTCTGTGGACATCGAGACGGGCAAGACGGTCAAGCCCGAAAAGCCGAACGGGATCAAACTCGAACAGTTTGTGTTTGACTGCTTCCCGTTCCTATCGATGGACAAATTCGCTTGCATGGAAGTGAAGCGCGAAGACGAGTTCTCGCCACTGAAGAACGCAAAAGGCACGGGAGAAGATGACCCGGACACCAGCAGGCGGGACATTATGGATCAGGGGAGGCAGTGGGTGCAGGATGCAGGAGGCGTGGTCACAGGCGAGAGCGATGATACTGGGATCGAAGTCTCTCCGTTGATCAGCTACGGCGGTGAGGGTCTCGACTTCTTGAAGGGGCGGACGATCAGGGCTCCCGCGGTGATCGAGAAGGAGTAACGAGATACGAAGGGACTTGAACAACGATTACGAATTCAACCGAATATAGACCTTTGCAAAGAGCGTGCATGTCTTCAGATTTCTGTCGGAATAATTAGTTTTGTGGTAGCGTCTCCCCTGTCAGTGTCTAATATCGGAGGCATGCGAATACACGCCCGCGGGCACATTCAGATATGCGCGGTCTTGACCAACTTGGAAAGGCTGTCCCCTGATTGCAAATAGTATCCCAACAGCCTCCTGAGACGGCCAGCAGAAGTGCGTCTGTTCCCATGCAGCTACGGAAACGGTGTCATGTACCGTGTTTCCACAGCCGGTGGTTAGTGTTCGTTATCACAGGGTAGGCACGCTGCCGGTACGCGATCTGATAGGCTCCAGAACTGCGTTGTCAAGATTCTAGCCAATGGAAGGGCTCTGATACCGAACAAAACGCATGACAAGCTACCTGCAGATGGGCAGGGTATCCATCGGATGTGGAAACATGCTGTAGATGCTTCTCGCGCGTAAATGCACATGGAACGCAGTGGCGATCCGAGCGGGTTTGGCGGGAAACGTTCGGATGGGAAAGACGCGACAGCTCGGGAAGTGGAGGTTTCACACCTGGGCAACGCAGCCGCTCGGCGCGGCCCTAGAGCCCCCCAGCCCTGAAGCCTTCCAAGCTGGAGGTTCTGGCGACCGCGTGGTGCCTGAAACCCCGGCTGCATGAGGCCCCGGCCACTGCATGAGCCTTTTTCCACATGGAAGAGTTCTGGAAAGCTGCCACTTCGAGAACGTGGCAAGAGAGGGAACCGGCCGCCAATTACTAAGCTCCTTTCTCCGAGCTTCAATCAATCACAGGCCCGCATGAGCACAGGGATTGCCCTGCTTAGCGTGCATGACAGGGACGTGAAGGGGATGTCAAGCTGACCGAGGTCTGGATTCCGATAGCCCAGTGCAGGTATGCCGGGTGGTCCTTGCAGACCGAACGCCTTCGCCCTCGAAGCCGGGACAACTAGAATTCTTCCCGCCCTGCAGCAACCTTCTCTTGCATATAACCACCACGATCGCCAGAGCTGCTGAGAGCGTTGTGAAGTTGTGCAGTTGAGGGAAGGAGATCCAGAGCGTGAGTCCTCCAGCGCTTCGCGACAGCACCTTAGCAGTCTGCGCGCCGCCTCATTCGAGAAGTTTTTTTCGCTGACTGCGACAGGTGAAACCACTTGAAGGTACTTAGGTACATCACTCTCTCTTTCAGCAAACCTTGCTCTAGAAATCGTAAGTTTGTCCGTCTTGGTCCCAGATCTCCACCGCGTCACTGCGACCGTGTTCTGGGTTTGAAGCTCTTTGCGACATTGGCTTTCGGCTTCGCGCCGGGAAATCGCATGCACGGGATCCAAGTATCTAACAGCGGGACTCCACAGATTCAGGAAGGAGAGAGCAGGATGTCTTCTCTATCGCGTCGCGCGTGCTACAAGTGCGGAAACGTAGGGCACTACGCCGAGGTGTGCTCATCGTCTGAGCGGCTTTGCTACAACTGTAAGCCATCTCGAAAGCCCAGATTCGTCTAGATCGTCAAAGCTAACTGCGATGACAGGCAAGCAACCAGGTATGCGCCGAGAGCTGCAAGGTACCCAGATTTCACAACTAATGCCAACCAGGCCATGAGTCCAACGGTTGCCCGCATCCACGCACCACCGAAAGTAAGACAGAAATCACATGTCAACATCAAGTAATTAGATACTGACCGATGTTCCAGCCAAGCAATGCTACCATTGTCAGGGACTGGGCCATGTCCAGGCCGACTGCCCGACGCTGCGACTTAGCGGTGCTGGTACCAGCGGCCGATGCTACTCTTGCGGCCAGCCAGGTCACCTTGCAGTAAGCCATTGTTTGACCTCTCCTAAGATCGTTCACGACTAACATATCTCTAGCGAGCATGCCCCAACCCTGGCGCTGCTGGCGCTGGACGCGTTCCCGGTCCTCCACGAGGCGGGTACGCCGGCGGCTTCCGCGGTGGCTACGCTGGAGCTCGTCCGGCTACCTGCTACAAGTGTGGCGGTCCCAACCACTATGCCCGTGACTGCCAAGCGCAGGCGATGAAGTGCTATGCTTGCGGCAAGCTCGGACATATCTCGAGGGACTGCACTGCTCCTAACGGAGGCCCTCTCAACACCGCTGGCAAGACCTGTTACCGTTGCGGCGAGGCTGGACACATTTCCCGGGAATGCCCGCAGGCTGAGGTCAACGGCGATGTTGGTGCCCCTTCCGCGCCAGCCATTCCTGTTCAGCCAGCTGCGCCTACAACCGCTGTCGCATAAACCTGGAACACGCTTCTTACACCCTCTCTGGAGTTTTTCGGCTTCTCGACAGTTCCTGCAGCAATCTCCCTTCTCGACTTGGATAGTGCGATTCTCCTTCGTTATTTCCACACTCACTTAGAATCACGATCTCGTCACATCGCCCAAAGTTGCCACTCATCCTTCTCTGGCACTGGCTTCGTAACGTTCTACGACCTTGTCAAAAATTTCACGAAATCCCGATACCCCATTATTTGCGTCCCAAAATTACACACCTCATACCGATCGATTGGCGCTAAGTGTTGGTTCGCGTCTGTCCCTGGTTGGCTTCAGGACAGACTCGAACGAGAGGCCGGAAGATGAAGTAGGCGGAGGCTCGGAAGAGAAAGGAAGGGCAGACAGACGGGAAATAGGAGGTAGAGAAGCAGTGGTCGCGACGCCGGGCAGGCTAGGTTGTTTGGATTACAAGTGGCTACGCTTCTGTTGACAATTTGCGCGCTCCGTGTCGCTTAAGGTAGCTATCTATTTACTGGTGTGCGTGCAGCTATGATTAGTCGGTCCAAGTCTCACCTACGTGCATCTTCCATCACTTAAACAACGCTAGTAGTGAGCTCTCCTGTGTCCCATGATACTTGCGGCCGATGCCTTTCGTAGAGAGCGGTGAGTGAGCGAAGGCTAGGTACGTTGACGTTTGGAGAAGCTTGGCGAGATGCGCAGCCAACGTTCTCCTACCTCCTCCCCTTTTTGCCACCAGTCTCATCGCCAGTCGTCTTCTTCTAACGTCGAGAGCTTCTTGTAGATCCCTAAGCACTGCACTGTGTACTATCCCTAAGACCTTCTCCATAACTCGTCACGCACTTCGGCTCCAGCACCTCTGGCCCACAGCCGCCCACTATGCCAGCATCCGTGTCCAGTTCCGATATTGACGATGTGCGCCTGCCTTCATCATCATTTGTCTTGCGCATCTCACTCACTCTACGTAGGAAGGCTTCATCGTCAACATTGATGCGATCCAAGCTCACGGTATTTGCTCCTCCATCCCGCAATGCGACGCTTGTTGTCGCTCACAGCATTCGTCTTACAGGCATCGGCGCGACCGACATCTCAAAGCTCAAGAACAATGGATACTACACTATAGCCGTAAGCAGTAACATCATCTGCGACGCGTAAGAACGCGTTATTACGCGTCGAACGCCGAGGCGCGTCACTAACCGCATTCTAACTGACTCGCACAGTCTGTCCACTCTGCTACTCGCCGAACGTTGCTCAAGATCAAGGGCTTCAGTGAGATCAAGGTCGACAAGGTCAAGGAAGCCATACAGAAGTGTCAGGTCAGTCGTTGAGCGGCACCACCTCTTCTGCCAAGAGGGCTTCTCACGAGGGCATCCTGTTCTGACGAGCTCGCTTCTTGCAGCCGGCTGCGCATGGCTTCATCACGGCTCAAGAGCTTGGACAGCAGAGGAGGAGGGTCGTCAAGATATCGACGGGTAGCAAACAGTTCGACTCAATCCTTGGAGGGTATGGGCTGCCTTGTCATTCGTGTTGTCTGGGTCTGAGCATGCTGACAAAAAGGACCAGAGGCTTCCAGAGCATGAGTATCAGCGAGGCAAGTCTGCCTTCAGTTCTATGCAGAGGACCAAAGTCGGCGTTGCTAACACTCGTTAAAGGTCTTTGGAGAATACCGTCAGCTCACTGGACTCCATCGTCTCTCTTAGAACTGACAACTTGCAGGATGCGGCAAAACTCAACTCTCACATACCATGTCCGTCGTTGCTCAGGTGAATCTCTCCGCAGGCGACGTATATGCTGTCTACTGACACGACTCCAGCTGCCTAAGGTAACCAGAGAGCACGCTTGTATCCGATGGACGTCTGACAATCCCAGGACATGGGCGGTGCCGAAGGCAAGGTAGCGTATGTCGATACCGAAGGCACCTTTCGACCCGAGCGAATCCAGCAGATCGCCGAGCGCTTCGGTGTCGACCCGGATCAGGCGCTCGACAACATCTCGTACGCGCGAGCACAAAATAGCGAGCACCAGGCCGAACTCCTCGAGAAGCTGTCCGAGTTCTTCGCCACGAACGAGTACCGGCTCCTGATTATCGACAGCATCATGGCTTGCTTCCGTGTGGACTACACCGGCCGTGGCGAATTAAACGAGCGGCAGCAGAACCTGAACAAGTACCTTGCGAGGCTGACGCGTATTGCGGAGGGCGAGTCGTCCCTGTGCGATTTGATCAAGTCCTAATTCACTGACCGCACCTAGAGTTCAACGTCTGCGTTCTGATGGCAAGTCCTGCATCCCTTCGCCAGATCATCGTGGTTAACCACATCACAGACAAACCAAGTCCAAAGCGACCCAGGCGCCAGCGCCCTGTTTGCCGGTGCGGACGGCCGCAAGCCTGTCGGTGGGCATGTCCTTGCGCATGCGTCCACTACCCGAGTTCTGCTTCGCAAGGGTCGTGGAGAGGAGCGTGTGGCCAAGATCCAGGATTCTCCCGGTGGGTGCGCCCGTATGTGAGACTGCATCGGCCCGTACACTGACTTGTGCTGCAGACTGTCCGGAACGAGAAGCAACCTACATCATCACCAATGGCGGAATCAGTGACTCAGAGAAGGCGTAATCTTACTAACCGATACTCGCTCTCAGACTCGGCTACGTTCGAGTTAATGCGATGTGGAAGGACTCATGTGCTTGTGCTTGTTGCTACCATCTATGTAGCTGGTCATTTGTTTGCACATTTTGCACCAACTCATGTGGTTTGCTGCAATTCTATCTTCTCATCGTCATGCAATATGTATGGCAATCTATCGATGCATGTCTCAATCTCTTAGCCTCTCTCAAGACTGCATGATTAATTCGAACGGTCCAGTCTCTAGAACACTGCCCTAACTAACCCCTGTCAATCAGCCCTCGCGTGCGCGGCTCATGACCGCGAACCTTGCCAAGTTCTCGGGTGCAGCGGGAGGATTTAACTGGAGGCAAGGCCGGCCGCATAGAAGCTTTTCTAAAAGAAAGCCACCTCGTGTTCAAAGCAAGCGACCACGAGCTAAGCAACCGAGTCTCCACGAGATCGGCGAATGCCTGAGGGACGGGACATGGAGTCCCTGGTTTCAGCTGCCAAGGAGCTAAGGATTCGGAGAGTGGGCAAGGGCAAGGAAGGAAACGGGGAGCGGCTGGGTTCTCCGGATTTCCTGGTGCAAGCTGTAGATGAGTATTAACTGGTTTGCCATAGTTCGTATCAACATATGCATTGCTTGTCTACCCTGGTAGTACGCCAGTATGGCTAGTCCATAACCGACCCCCAGAACGCCCAGCTCCGAGTACGTAGAAAAGGAATTACGCCGAATGACCATTGATGTCGCTGTTGACAGCTTCCTTCTGTTCTGCCGGTTCCGCCGGGTCCGCAGGCTTCAACGGCCTTGATGGCGCTGGGTTCAAGATACCTTTGGCGTCGATCAACGGCGCAGAAGGATTCAACTCCAGCCCAAAGCCCGGCTTATCCAGCTCCGACACATCCAGATACCCCTTCACCGGGATCGGCTCGTTCGTGAACAAGTCCCCAAATACGGGCAGCACCGACTTCCCATCCGGCGAGTTAGCCAGATACTCCTGAAAGGGCGAGTTCGCCTGCGAGACAACAAAGTGGTAGCTGTAGGGCCCCGACGCATGCGGTACCACGGGGATATCGTACGCAGCCGCCATGGCCGAGACCTTGAGGAGCTCCGTCATGCCGCCCACCCACATGACGTCCGGCTGCAGGATGTCGAGGTTGCGGCCCTCGATCAGCTTGCGGAAGCCGTAGCGGGAGTACTCATGCTCGCCGGTGGTGAACTTGATCGTGGGATGCGCGCGCTTGATCTGCGCGAAGCCGTCCGTGTCGTCGGGCGAGAGGCACTCCTCCCACCAGTTGATGTTGAGATCCTCGCATGCCTTGGCGACTTCGATCGTGTACGGCACGTTCAGGCTCATGTAGCAGTCCACCATCAGTGGGAAGTCTGGGCCGACGCTTTCGCGGTGCTTGCGCAGGAACTCAACGTTCTTTTTCAACCCTTCGTGGCCTTCGCCGGGGCCGTAGGGTAGAGGTACTTTGCCGCCGAAGAATCCCATCGCTTTTGCGGAGGCCGGCTCGGGGCCGGTGCAGTAGAAGTTCAGCCGTTCGCGGGTTGCGCCGCCGATTAGCTTGTAGACAGGCTCGTTCCGGATCTTGCCCTGCAGGTCCCAGAGAGCTAAGTCGATGACTGAGATGACTGCTACGGGCAGGCCTTTGCGGCCGTAGAACATCGAGGCGCGGTACATCTGCTCGAAGAGATGGTTCGTGTCACGCGGATCTGCCTCCAGATTAGTGAATTGTACATCTCAAGGCGTGCTAATTACTTCAAGGCCAGCTTACCAGCACCAATCAAGAACCTCTCAAAATGCTCCGCCACCAGCCAGCAGGCAGGCGGCCCGCCAAAGCCCGTAGCGAACCCCTTTGTGCCATCTGTCGCTTCGATCTCGACACAGAACGAGCCAAGTACGTTGATGCCCCAGCTTGTTCTTGATTGTCGGTATTTCTCGTACTGGGACATGGGCGTTGAAATTTTGGAGTCGATCAGCCAGTGGCCCCCTTTGACATTATGATAATCTCCGCCGGATCCGACGCCTTGTATCAGGAAGGTCCGGACTTCTTTGATGGTGGGGAATGGGCGGACGGATTTGGAGGCCATGGTGGATTATTGGTCTCCCGTCTGTAAAATGATAGTGCGAGAAGTAGTGGTTGTGTCTTTACGTTGCTAAGTCACTTAAGGAATACAGGATACTGTGAACCTGCAATATCAGAGGGATTGAGCTTCTAATGGGTAATGGAGAGAGCTATGAATGTCCAGTGGATGCCTTCTATCCGCAGCACCAGTGCGGGCAATAGCCAGCTTTTAGCAGACCCTCTTGCCGTCCTCGGTCCATGATGTCGCGCAACGGGCGGCATGCATACCGAAGCTCTAGAATGCATATCCGCATGACGTTGGTGGAATCTCAATCCATCTCTGCCACCCATCGAATGTCCCGAAAGCTTTGCGACTGGAGGAGGCCACGAGTGGGGCTCGTGCGCATCTCCTCCCCCGCATTCTCGGTCGAATATCGTGCCAGCCTGAAGACCCTCGGCTCATCATCCGACGAAGTCAGACATTTCATCACGGTAAATCAATGAGATGAGCAGTGCTCGCCAGCAGAATAGTCCGACGGCCGTTGAGACCCTGCACAGGTCTCCAACCAGTCGTTCCCATGGCGATGGTGAAGACAACGAGCACTGGAGCGGAGATGAGAGCACGGGTGGGGACCAGGAGGCCCATGAGGGGACTGGCAAGAGGAAGAGGCCAATGTCTGTGTCGTGTGAGTTATGCAAGACGAGAAAGGTCAAATGTGAGCGTGCTACGTGTAAGTGAATTGGGTTGGAAGCTGAAATCTGTAGGCGACAGAGGACATCCGAGCTGCGGCTGGTGTCTGAGGAATAATCAGCTTTGTGAGTATAAGGAGAGGAAGAAGCCTGGCTTGAGAGCTGGTTATGGCCGAGAGCTTGAAGCACGACTGGGTAGGCATCACTTTTACACTCGTGTTATACTACGATCTCGTGTTCACTTCCAAAGGTCAGATTGATACTCAAAGTCTTCCTGAGCAAGCGCTGGTCTCGAATTTTGCAAGTCAGTATGTCTGCAAGAGTAAAACCAAGCGCATATACCAGGAGCACTGGGTCTGTGAACTCTTCCACTTTGTCATCTGAGTCTGTGCCTCTTCATCTCAACAGGTGTTACACTGGGATCTTGTGCTCAACTCGACTAACCCTCACACGCAGATAGGCTGGAGGAGGTACTGCAGAGACAGCAGGCTACTATTACCCAGCTCAGCACCAATGGGCTGCCTGTTGCTCAAACATCTCCCCGACATGATGTTTCAGCCTTCAGAAGCACGCCCGCACTGCAGACGCCTCATGTCCCAAGAGCGGAGACAGCGCTGTTTCTGCAGAAGCCCTCCGCTAGCTTCCCATCAACGCCCGGCCTGATTCCGGATTACTCTGGACCCTTTGGAGGGCCGCAGACGCCAGGAATGAGCCAGCGCACCCCAGAGTATCTACCGTCTATTTCAGCCGACGGTATGCAGCAGCAAGCCATCCCGGATTTACCGGCAATCGCGAAAAACCTCTATCATGCAAATGATCCGCAGCTGGGCTCACCGAGCCTCAACAGTGCAGCACATCAGGCGTCATTAGGCTCTCAGGAAGATGACTTCCCCCCGTACGATCTCCTGTACGCACTAACGGACCTTTTCTTCAAACATATCAACACCTGGTGTCCGATACTGCATCGGAGGAGTACCCTTGACTCTCTTTTCGGCTCCTCTGCATTGGATGAGGCGGACCGCATCCTACTTCATGCCATCGTAGCGACGACCCTTCGGTTCTCGACCGATACACGGCTGACTGCTGACAGTCGACAGAGGTATCACGACGTCTCTAAGCAGAAGGTGCTACTTTACGGTCTCGAAAACAGCTCCGTCAAGGCTCTGCAAGCGCTTGTAATACTGGCTCTGGATCTTGTTGGTTTCTCCAATGGACCGCCCGCATGGAACCTGCTGGCTTTGATTACCCGCTCAGTCGTCCAGCTTGGACTATCGGTGGAGACGACTTCCTCAATGGTGTCGCCCAAGTACGCATCAATCTACACGCTTCGTGCAATGGTGCTACCGGAGCCAAAGGACTGGATTGAAGACGAGAGCCGGCGAAGGCTTTTCTGGATGGTTTACCTTCTTGACCGATATGCGACAGTCGCAACGGCCTTTGAGTTCGCGCTGGATGAAAGGGAAATCGATCGGAGACTTCCGTGCCGCGACGATTTATTCTCCAGGAACCAGCCGGTGGACACCAGGTGGTTCCGGACTGCAGAGCGGACAGACTATAGCATGAACCGGCCAGAGAACCTAGGGTCTTTTTCGTACTACATCGAGATCATCGGGATTCTCACACAGATTCACCAGTTTCTGAAAACGCCGGTGGATATTGGTTCGCTCTCAGACGTCGAAGAGTGGCAGGGCGAATACCGAAAACTGGACAGCATGCTCAACACCTGGAAGTTTAACCTTCCAAGTGAGTACGGCAATATGTCCCGCATCTTCGGCGGATCTACCGCCGGCAACAAGGTCGTCAATTGCGGATGGGTGTTATTGCATGCAGCCTACCAAACGTAAGTTTTCGATGATCATCCCTTCAAGTTAGGCGCCATCCATAACTTGCTACCTGTCCTCCTACCCTCCTACCCCCGGGTTGATTTTGCTCCTGAATATCTTGCGCGAGCTGACACACCCGCAGGACCGTCATCCGCCTCCACTCCTCCGCCGCCTATCCAACAACCCGCTCGCCAATCTTCACTCCCTCCTACAGTGCAAGCCAGCGGTGCCTCGGCGCCGTCGAGAACATCAGCGTGCTCTGTGACTACGTGAAAGCGAACGGCATGCTGACCAAGCTCGGCCCTCCCTTCGCCTTCTCCCTTTGGGTCGCCGCCCGCGTCCTACTCGTCCACGGCTCAACCATCGATCACCACGTCAATCCCACCATCAACATTCTCGTCGACACCCTTCGCGAGATGGGCGTGTACTGGCAAGTCGCTGAGCGCTACGCTTTCCTGCTCCAGCGCGTACTGGACGAGTACAGCGAGTCGCAGGCCTCGAACGGCGACCGTGTCACCCCGTCCACCGTCAAGATTCTCGCGGATATGCGCCGCTGTGCTTTCGATCTGGACTTTTTGATCAGCCGCCTCCCAAGGCAGCAGGCGGCTGCGACAACACGCGTGCTTCCGGCCGCTGTGACGCCCGCCGTAAGAACCCCGGCGCCGAACGAGCTCGAGTATCTGGATGTGTTCGACTTCTTCAACATGCCGAGGCTGCCCGTGTCGATGGATGCGCCGTCTGGTGTTGCTGCTTTGGGTATGGGCGGTGGCGAGCAGATGTCCATGCAGGAAGGTGTGAACAACGAGTTCAACATCACGAACTTCATGTTTGATGCGAACTCGGATTGGTTTGTGAAAGACCAGGCTTGAACCGGTCATCTTCTCAGACTGAGAGGCGAATTACTTCTTTCGCATGCAGAACCGCGGCCGCGATCCGGATGCCTGCACGTCGCGCGTGCGATCTTCTGGGTTTCCGGCTGAGGGATGCGCTTCCGTCGCCCTGCCCTGATCCTTTCCGTAGACTATCGGGTTAGAGGGAAGGCCTGGCCGGTCTCGACGAGGAACAGCTGGTCTTACATATCGGTTTTGTGCGTGCCGGTGTCACGGCTAGCTTGGCTTAAAGGCAGTCCGGCGTGGTGCGCTGTGGTGCGGGCTCTTGTTGTACGGCTTGCGGATGGCAGCAGCCGGCCGACATTACTGCGGATATGTGCTACTGTCTGTGAGCCGTCAGATGTTCGATCGCTAGACCTTTGAGTGGCCGGCAGACGGATTGGTTGTGGGGAAGACGTCCGGTGGGGACTGTGCGATGTACGACTTGTTCAGTGACTCGTTCAGCCGAAGATCTCAGGTTATCAGGTGTGTATGGAGAGGTGGGAGTTACTTGAGACATGAAGAGCTGTGGGCTGGGACATGAGCTGGGTCGTTGGATAAGTTGAACCATCACCATACAGCAGCAAAGCAGTCGCTCTCACTCTGCGGACAGTTGTCTCCTCTAAGAGCGGGAAGCGTGGCTATCTTGACATGGTCATGATACTAGGCGTAGCTTTTGAAGAAATGCGAAGTGCTTGCGGAATGTATCCAGTTGATATGTCTTAAATCTGTCTGCTTAGACGTTAATGATGGATCATAGTATACTGTTGGCTTTTGCTTTGATAACTGCTTATAACTACACTGTCTGTTCGGGACGGTGCACTTCTCGTGCGGGTCAAGGCGGTACACTCTGTCTTTGACTCGCATCGGCTCAGATGCATTTGGCAATGTATCCCACCCTGACGTGGGATGTAAGTCGACGCTCAGAGGATCCTCTGGATATGCGCGCTAGGCGAACCCGCTTGAGGGTCGCATGATAAATTCATGGTGTCGCGGTGGTACAAACCTGCATCCTGCTGTCGACACAATGTGGCGAAGACGTGATGGGTTCCGTATTGCAGTACCAAGTTATCAGCGGGTGTGCGTCCGCGAGCGCCGCAGATACTCTGAGGGTTGCTGAAATAGGCAAAGTGGCGATCGTCGTTCAGGGATTCTACTCGGCTCAGGGCGGATACAGCTTGGCGGTGAGCAGCAGGTAATGTGCTTGGATGATTCGAAAAGCCTGAACGACTCGGCTGTCGCGTGTGAGATGAGTCGAGTGCGGATACCTTTGCTATAGCTCTCCACATTCTCTCAAAGTGTCTAGTGCTTCAGGTGGCTGGTGTTTGCTTAGGCCATGCACAGAAGGCGACTTCGATAATCCCTGTGAAATCGCAAAGGGACGTTGTAATTGTAACATAGGCAGAAGCCGAGATCGTACGAGCTCGTGCAGCCACTAGGCACCCGCCCACTTCGCGATTGTGAAACACGACGAAGGACCATGGTTCCCTAATCTTCGAGAAGGAGTCGCATTGAAGGCACCGTCCTGAGTGTGTGTTGAGTGGTCTGGCTCCGTTCGGACATTATGTTTACCGACTTGTGACTTGAAGCCGGCCTTCTTCCGATTATAAGGGGCCGACGTACTGGAAACAGCCGCAATGTTTTACTTTGGCAACGATTTACACTGACGAGAGGTTGAGAATGCAAATCCCTTTTTTGGAAGAGTGAGAGGATAATGTGATAAGAGACCTCGAAACATGATGGAGGCCTGAAAGTTCAACTAATCGAACACCATGACTGGGCTGAAATTCCGCCTAAACCGGGAAACGAAGCGTGGATGTGGTATGAGATCCGGCAATGCTATTATCATCAGGGCCTGACATACAGCCAGTGACGAGTGCACAATCCATAGTACGTTGTCGGTTGCGGATCACTCCAGTTCCGGCCCGAGCGAGGGTCGAGCTGCTGGACCGCAGAGCAACAACGCTCGTCTCCTGAATGCTTCACCTGGGCCATTTCCTCCGACTGGGTTCTTTCGGGTAGGAGATCCTGTTCTCTGGAGAAATACCTGATAGGGTCACTGGAGTTGTTGTTTCATACCGTTGTTGGGAAAACGCGGCGACATGTCTTAGTGGATCACCGTCAATGGGCCTGTTTCGCATTACGGTCCTTATCTATCCACAAGCATTGCTTTGGGTAAGGCTTGGTTTGGGGAAAGCTTGGGCATCACTTACCTGACCCGACGGAATGGTAGCTGGGGATGTCACAGGTGCCTATGGGGCACTGGCTGGACGAGGACTTGTCATCCTGTTTAGCGACGTTGCAACCTCGGAGGTGATGTGACGGTCGAGAGCACTCGATCTTGGATGTTGGACGTGCCACATACTCGTGATAGCCGTTGGCCCGCTTTAATCTTGGCTCGTGGCCGAAGCCCAAGGCTTTTTACTTGGGTTGGTAGGTAGGCCTTCGAACCCCCTTGTCGCGGCGAAGAAACGCAGGGCTGGTCATATCCCTTTCAGGTTACCGACTATTGACCGCCGCGGCTTGGAAAACGGTGCTCGTACGAGTTCGATGCCCGTTGATGCCCAAACAATCCCCAGTTTATGGTTTTGGCGATCGCTGTCTCTGTGCTTGCTCTCTTAGGGCCAGTCCAAGGGTGTCATCTGGTGTCTGTTCCTGCTATGTACAAGGATAGTTAGGGTCCGTCCTCAGAATGCGTTCGACGTCCGACATTGTGACCATCGAGACGGATGAGTCCGATATGAAGGAATCGGGATTAGGTCAGATTCCCTGACCTTAGGCAGCTATTAAGGATAGAAACTTGCCTCCTAAAGTTGGGACACCTGCTCGCAAATGAAGCGCTGCCAGACTAACACTATGCCGCAACAGGCGCAAGACAGTGTCCCTGGGGTGCATTTAGGCCACACGTCCCTAGTATCTACAGTGGCATCCTCACGCAGACTTTAAGCTGTTGGAGTGTACTGCTCTCGACTGAAGTTGCCGCCAGCAATGGAGGATGTTAGTGGTTGAAATAAACTATCAGGCAAGCATGGAAGCGGAAGCCAAAGCCACCAACGCTGGTAGATCGCAGCGGATGAACAGCAATGAACGGATCATCTTGGATAATCCTGATTTAGTACCCATTGAGACGCTTCTCAACGCATTGGGATCCCTCCAGCTGGGACTTCGAGACGGTCAGCTGACTTCCAACGCCCCTGCGCTACAGGAGGCGATCGCGCAGAATCTTGTCCACAGCGGACCAGTCACATCCTTAGCGTAGAAGTCGTCGAAGCCATCGAAGCTCACACGATTCGCTGAGGCGTGCAGGGAGATGAACCGCCATTTCAAGGTTCCCCCTGCTCGTCCAGGGCGTGAAACACGACGGCCTGGGCCGACAGCTGGCACCCACACTCGCGGGACAGGCAGGCTTCCCGCAAGTTCGGGTCGCTACAACAACACATTTCAAAATCGCAGGCTGCTTCGCGTGTCAGGTTGTGGGACCTTCTCGAACTTCTTCTCCAACGTCCGGCCGGGAAGCACACGCCCAGCGGATCTCTCCAAGCGTCGGTAAGCCCTCTCACATGCGGATGGAACATAGCGCCATGCAAGTGATAGGAGGCCTGAAGCCTGGCGCAAATCTCCTCGCTTCCTCCGGAGCTTCCTTCTCACTGACGGAGGAGCTTTTGGTTGTCGGTGCAACATTGATGTGGTCTCGACTGCAGTGGACTTCATTGGCGGTAGCTCATACAAAGCCACCATCCCCACCTCGCAGCGACGAAGCGGAATGTCACGCGCAGTAATTCTCACACCTCTTGCTAGTCTGTCCTTTGCTTATTCGTCAAGATCACATCCGTCAATGAATATACACGGACCTTCCAGGGCGCGATCAAGCGAACGCCAACGCCGAGACGATGCCGTTCATCAAGGCTACGAGGACACCCTACGTCACCACCTCTAGCGGACGACGCAGGCACCATACCACGTGCGAGCCAGATGCAGCGACATTATACACGAGTTCGTGTGTGAAGGCCGCACCGCATAAGGCTGGCGAACCGCTCTCCTGGCTACCTGCTCTAGCTGTAGCAAGCCTTCGTCATTGGAGGACAGCTTATATTCTACTCCCCCGCGTCTCCCCAAACCTTCAATTGCTCAGCACTGTTCCGGAACGTGCATCGACCTCTTGCGTCCCGCGCCGCGTTAGCCGCCATGAACCAGCCTCTCGGAAAGCGAGGGATGCTATTGACGAGCTAAGAGAGTGGCTTGCAATGGAGTACCATCCAGTTTGCACTCATCCCGCGCCTACGGAAGGCCTCTCAAGCTACCTTTGGTGCATTATGCCGGTCATGTCCGGTCGACAGAAATTTGGAATTTGCGATTAATTTATTGTAAGCTGTGCATCTCTCGCCGACAGTAGAGCCGGGCGTTGTCGCAGCTGTGGGATGGTACTGCTGATTGAGCTTGCAGAGGTTTCGGCGGCGTGCCAAACGAGCATTAACTGCGTAATCAGAGGATGCTCGTAGGAACAGCATCCATGTTTGGAGGCGTAAAACTAGCCGATTCGCGAGACAAGGCTGGGTGAACTTTGCTTAGTATCTGCAGTGGAGAGATGTCTATGTTGCACACAAAAGCCGTTCGCGTGCGTCTGCTTGCTGCCACTCCCTTCAGAGCTGGGAATTGATCTTTCCTCGCAGATTGCATCCTCGGGAGACGTCAAGCGAAGACACGCTTTTAAGTGGAGCATGCCAGCCAACTGCAGCCCCCATCGCGTCCGGTAATTCCAAGAAGTACCCGCGGATCTGGGCATGGCCTTTTCCCTACCGCCGCGCCGGGTCGTTCACTTCGAGACTTTTGGCGGGCAAGAGCTGGCACATCGATCATCGTTCTCACGCTCAACAAGGTAAACCACTCTGCGCCCCGACTGCAGCTGCTTCTTCTTTCACGCGTCCGACAGCCAACTCTCGTTACCGGAGCAGTCAACGGCATGGGGCTTGGCGTGACCCCGGTTTTGTGGCCTGCTCCCAGCAGCATGCAGTGCCGTCTGTTCTGGGACCCAGTCAGATTAATAACCGGGCCAGAGTACGAGCACAACGTGCGAAGTGACACAGCCTATGAAGATCTGTTGAACGTGAGTGGCCAGATTGCGCAAGGATTGAGAGCACCCGTGCACCGAACCGTAATGTCTTGTTGGTGGTGTGCTGCGACTGCGTCGACGCCGGCTCGCTCTTCTTACCTTCCTATCGGGTCCTCAGAAGCGTGCGGATGAGCGTGGGAATCGAGATCTCCTGTTCCTTCCCACCGATCGGTACTTGTGTTTAACGGTATGCGATAACGCGCTTTCTTCTGAATCTCGCGTACCGGCCGCCCGCGCTGCTACATCGTGATCGAAGCCAAGGGCTGCTGCTGCTGCTGCTGTTTCTCGCAGCTCCAGCAGCTCAAGGCGTGGTGCACTCGGCCAACTGTCTTGGTCGGAGGCGGAGACGTGCGCGAGACACTCTTCGTTTGCATTCACTGTTTCGGCGCCCACGACTGGCTCTCAGCGTCGTCTTGGGCAGGGCGGGCGAAGCAGACACGTCGCTGTTTGCTCGACCGGACTATCGGGACAGCTTTGCTCTCTGACGCGCTACCGGCTCCTGGGGTCATAGCGCGGGGCCAACTCTGCCCAACCGCCCAGCCTGGCTGCTCGAAGAGACCCGGCGCTCTGGGTAGCGGGAACCCTCCTGCTGGATTGCCCGCCGGCCGTCGGCTGCCCTTGGGAATTGCACGCTGCCGCGTCGCCCAGAGTGTATTCCACTGCTCCACTAGCTGCTGCTGCTTTCCCCAGGCCTGTCATGGGGCCTGTCGCGGCTGCCGCTGCTGGCCCTGTTTCGCCCGCTAGCGACGCTGTAGTCTGTAGTGAGGCCAGGCCGGTAAGCAAAGGTGGGTCCAGCGTGATTGCATTGACCGCTTCGACGCGACAACCCCCCGTCTGACGCCGCCGCGCTCCCTCACATCGCCCATCATGTGGCGGCGCGGGCTGCTGCAAGTGGCTGCAATCAACAGGCATGATGGAGATTCCAGAAGCGGCACCCAGCCTTCGCTGGCACTCTCTCCCTGTGTAGTTACTCCCTAGCTCGCCTCCAGGAAGGGCCCGCGGGAAGCGTGCGGTGCGAGGTGGGAGGTGGGAGGTGGGAGGGCGGACGGGCAAGGCATCAGCGCCGAGCGAGCAGCGCCGTCCGTGTGTCGGGCACGGTATCCATCCCTCGTTCGTGCGCCGTGTCACCTCAGCACCCTCCCAGTGCCTCCTTCGCACAAGGGCCTGCTATGTTAGTCCGTACCAGTACCTTGACTGGCGAGTCCGCGGCCGCTGATCGACCCCGGTCCTGCCGCTTTGACTTGCATGCATCTGCGCGGCCTGCTGCTCTGGCACATTTAAGAAAACCTCTCCGCCCCTAACTTAAGCCTTTCTCTTGACTCTGCCCCCGACACGCCCTCCCGCCCTGACACGCACCGAGCTGTCGCTCCACACTCACTCCCTTTCGCAGCCCCTCGTCGTCGCCTGGGCTGCGCTCCACACCCCTCCTCAACCAGCTGCGTGCGGCGCCTCTGAGGCCATCGCTCTCGACACCGACGGCACAACCTTTCGATGAAAGCGAAATTGTCCCAAATGGTTACGATGACATCGAACGGGTAGGTGCCGCTCCTTCGCTGCTTCCCACACCTCGCTGGCGGATCGCTTCTGCGCACGATTGTGCCATCCCCGCAGAGCGAGAATCTTCACGGTCCCAGTCGAAGGCCGCACGCAAGGACGGGTGGGCCGTCTGCTTTCCTGCACCGAGACCCGGCGATCTGCTGGCTTGGGCCGCAGCCGCGCAATCCGTGTCCCGCGCTCGCCTCTCCCCACGACGAATCCGCGAATTGGTAGCAATAGATGACTAACCTGGACCCACCACGACAGGTTGGCAGTTCCGGTTCCTCAGAACTACTCGGAGAACGGGCGGGTCTACCATGGATTCAGGCGGGGCATATATTTGTACCCCTGCGACGAGGTGAGGAGTTCGCTCTGCGGGCACGTGAAGCCAGTTCTGACGCGCGCCGCTCGTCGCACAGCCTGAAAAGGATCGCATGGACATTTATCACAAAATCTTCCTCGTCGCGAGAAGGGAGCAGCTCCACCAGGCGCCCATCACTCCCAATTGGGACACTCCACGAATACTCGACTTGGGATGCGGGACAGGGATCTGGGCTATCGACATGGCGGAGTGAGTGCTCCCTGCTCCGGCTGTCGTGAAAACAACCCGAGTTACTATGCTTCCCCAATGGCACTTGGCTGACTTGCAATCCGTGCGCACAGCAAATATCTCGACGCGGAGGTTCGTAGCAGCATAGATGACATGAGCCTATTCAGCGAGCACTCAGCTAACGATGCAAATGAAGGTCGTTGGATTAGACCTAGTCAACATACAGCCAGAGAAGTGGGTCCCTCGAATTCTGTCATTCCCACCGGCCAAGTCTAATCCCGAGGCAGAATACCACCAAACCTCCGGTTCCGAGTTCCACGCGACTACGAGAGCCCATGGAGCCTCGGTGAGGACTCTTGGGATTTGATTCATCTGCGCATGGCCAGTGGCAGTGTCTCAAGCTGGCCAGAGCTATACCAGAAGATCTTTACGTACGCAAATGCCTGCCCCCAGCACGTTGTGCCTTTCGCTCGATCGTATGAAACACGAAGCTGATTTGGCTAGACACCTCAAACCAGGTTACGGGTGGATCGAGCAGATCGAAATCGACCTTCAGCCACGATGTGACGACGGAACTCTTCCACAGGAAAACGTAATCAGTCAATGGTACAACTACCTCGCTGAGGCCACGCGACGGGTAGCTCGACCCATCGAATATCAGCACAACACACGGCAGATGCTGCAGGCGGCAGGCTTCATTGACATCCAAGAGATGATTATAAGGGCCCCGTACAACTCGTGGCCCGCAGACCCGCACCAGAAAGAGATTGGACGATGGTACAACTTGGGCATCACTGAGGGATTGGAGGCTCTCAGCTTAGCGCCCTTCACAAGAGTAAACCACTGGGACGCGGCACAACACGTGAAGCCGCTGTTGGACGCTGTCAAACGGCAAATATGCCAGAGGAAAGTCCACGCATACAACAACATGTAAGTCCGTCTACGGCTGGTCTGAGTTCCTTAAACCGCCCTCGCTTCTGCACAACGCTTCCCACATTGATTCAGTCACTGACCTGCTACAGACACATCTGGACAGCCAGACGACCGCAGCAATAACGCAAGAGCCACGATTGACGAATTTACCCTAATTCTTAATGCACGACGGGATGAAAGATCAACACCACTTCTGTTTGGAGACGGGCTCACATGCACCTCACTCACCTGTCCTAGAGCGCTCCGCCAGCACTAGAAATGTGAAAGACCCTGTCGACCGCGTTAACGCGCCCAGAACGCTTGGAGGAGCCTATGGCCGACTGGCTTGTCCCGTAACCGTGCGCCACAAGCCCACGCCAGGCCCGGAGTGAAGTTTGTGAAGGAAGAGTTCTGTAGACTATTGTCGTTTCTCTCTGCCGCCCTTCCATGGTTGAGCAAGATACCCGGCGGCCGCGTATCGACGCATTAGTGCACTTCGAGTGTACGCCAGTTGCACCCGCGATGTTCCGGGCGGCGCACCTGTCTATGGGACGGTTTCGACTTCCGAAAAGTTTGAGTCTGGATTGGCGTATTGGGATCTGAATATCGATACCTTGGAGCAGCAGGTGTACAGGGAATACATATTGCTTCTACATCGGCGTCGCGCGTCTGACTGTGCTCGGGTTGCACACAGTCCTTTGCATCTTCTGCGGGCAGCTTTCTCATTGTGTCTTGAGCGATCGGTCGATACGGGCGGCCTGATGTCGACATCTTTCTCCTCTTGTTTGTAGCTGGCATACCTCAGACGCCGCTTTAGCGCCAATTGGCTGTTTGTTCGCTAGACGCGTCCTCGCCACTACTCTTTGGACTGCCCACCTAGGTGATGCGAACCATAATCATTACCTTTTGCAAGCCGATCAAGAGCTTTGTCGCTTCGCAAGCCGCTCGACGTGGAGGCCGAGATTAACCGTCGCTGGGGCCAGATCGAGTCATTGAACAGCCACAATCTGGGGTCCGGACGAGGGGCCGTGGCCACTGGTGAGCCAGAGAGCTCGGGAGCGAAGCCGATCGTCTTCCTCGGCAACAATCGCTTGGCTGTTCCGGCGGGTATGCACATGACATGAGAGGAAGCAGAAATAATTCCTACGCCAGCTTCGTCCTCATCATTCGCTCCAGTACTTCTTACAACCAGCATATAGACTGCGTGAAAATACAGACTGTCACCATGGCCCCTCTCTCCAAGGTCCTCCGGCCACTTGCCCGCGCCGCCGCCGCATCAGCACGCCCTGCGGTAGGTAAACCAGCACGGCTAAAGGTCTCGCCGCAGTGAGTCTCCCAGCGTATCTCCGCTGGCCAGGAACAGCAAGTCCACACAAGTACACCCCACTGACCACTCTCTCCGCGTCACAGCAACAGCACGCGCAGCCTCTCCTCATGTCCGCCCTTCTCCAACCAGGTCGTCACCAAAGGCGAGCCCATGGACCTCACCGACATACCGCCCACACCTATAACGCACCTCTCGGAAACCGAAAGCCTCATGAAAGAGCAAGTCTCCAAGTTCGCAAACGACGTGATCCTCCCCCGCTCGCGCGACATGGACGAGGCGGAGAAGATGGACCCGGAGATAATAGAGCAGTGCTTCGAGCAGGGACTCATGGGGATCGAGATCCCCGAGGAGTACGGCGGCGCGGGGATGAACTTCACGGCGGCGATTGTGGCGATTGAGGAGCTCGCGAGAGTGGACCCGAGTGTCAGTGTCATGGTGGATGTGCATAATACGCTGGTGAATACGGCGATCATCAAGTTCGGGAAGGAGCAGGACCGGAAGAAGTGGCTGCCGAAGCTGGCGACGGACACAATTGGGTCGTTCTGCCTGAGCGAGCCGGTGTCGGGGTCCGATGCCTTTGCGCTGGCGACGAAAGCCGAGAAGACGTCGTCGGGCTACAAGATCAACGGCTCCAAGATGTGGATAACGAACAGTCTGGAAGCGGGCTTCTTCATCGTCTTCGCCAATATGGACCCCAGCAAGGGCTACAAGGGCATCACGGCGTTCATCGTGGAAAAGGGTACCCCGGGCTTTGCGATCTCGAAGAAGGAGAAGAAGTTGGGTATCAAGGCGAGCAGTACGTGCGTCGTGACGTTCGACGACGTCGAGATACCGCACGATCACCTGCTCGGCGAGGAGGGGCAGGGCTACAAGTACGCGATAGGGCTCTTGAATGAGGGGCGTATCGGCATCGCAGCACAGATGACGGGGCTTGCGCTGGGCGCGTGGGAGAATGCTGCTCGGTGAGTTTTGTTGCTTGTTCCACTCGCCTTATACTTCCCTGCAGAAAGAAGCAATGCTGACAGAGCGGCACACACAGCTACGTCTGGAACGAACGCAAGCAGTTCGGCCAATACGTCGGCGACTTCCAAGGCATGCAGCACCAGCTCGCACAAGCCTACACCGAGATCTGCGCCGCACGCGGGCTCGTCTTCAACGCTGCCCGCAAGAAGGAGGCCGGCGAGGAGTTCGTCATCGACGCCGCGATGGCGAAGCTATTCGCCTCGCAAGTCGCCGGCCGGGTATCAGGTCAAGCGATCGAGTGGATGGGCGGCATGGGGTTCGTCAGAGAGGGACTTGCCGAGAAGTATTGGCGCGACAGCAAGATCGGCGCTATCTATGAAGGCACGAGCAATATTCAGATGACGACGATTGCGAAAATGCTGCAGAAGCAGTATAAGCAGTGAGTAGCTGCTGGTAGGTGTTTATAGAAAGAAACTTCAGAATCTTCAATGCTTCCCGCAACCATGGTCAACCATCTACTTTTCTCCATTTACTAGCCGTGTCCCTGTTCGTCGTGATGGCTCTTACATCACCTGAACACGTCTGAGGGGTAATCTGCGGGTGGCCGTTTCTGTGTTACTTAGAAATATCGTCCTACGGCAGTCATGCGCCAACGCGTGTACAAAGACGTCTTCTTACCAACCAGACTCTATGCCAGCAACTGACATAGCTTGACGCCACCTGCAGACTAGCCACATCGAGGGAGGATGCGTGCGATTCCCCACAAAAGAGCACTTAGAAGCTACGTGTTTAGTCCCGCTTGTGCAGATATATATCTAACCCCTGCACACCCTGACCGAACCGCCCTCGGCTGTTTCCTCACCTCATTAAATACTTATGGTACAACTCTGATACTAAATCCAACTCAGCACTTCCGCTTCCTGTCACGGTTTTCATGTGACACCGCGTGTCAAGCAACACACAGCCCTGAGGAATCACCATCCACACTCCCGCCGTTCGTCCTCCGCTAGTCCATCATGTCACCGATCACCCAACCGCCTTCCAACTCCCCAACCGAGGAAGCGTGGAACTGCTTCGAGGCCGCAGCACGCACCGTCCTCGCCAACAGCGACGCCGCCAAACGCGCCCACGCCGTCCTCATCGACATCCAATTCAGCCCCTCCCCCCAAACGCACAGACTTGGCCCAGCCTCCGGCAGCAGCTGATACTAACGCTTTCGCGAAGAACGCACAAGTCTCCAACAGTGCCGGGTCCGTGAGGCCAACGGCCCAAGAGGCCCGAGTATCGGGCGCAGGAGGCTTACGGAAGCGGAAGAGGGCGAAGGCGATCGTGCAGACCGAACCGCACAAACGACGGGAGAGGAGGAAGAGGGCTGCGGCGTTGAAGGCACGGGATGGCGGGACTAGGAAGGCGGGGGGTGACGGTCAGGGCGCTGCACACTCGAGAAGAGCCGGCCGCTGTGGATCAAAGGGGTTTGGACGCCCGGAGAGGCGGTCGAAGCTGGGAGCACCGTCGGCGAGGAGGACGGGGGCGCGGAAGCTGATGGCCATGCGATTTGTGCGAGCCGGGCTACGTACAAGCGACTTGATTTGTCTTTCGGAGATGAGCGGAGAACACGAGATGAGAGATGGGCTTGAGCTTTTGGGGGCCTTTGTAGCGGACAAGGGGTTCCTACTACTGTCACTGGGAGATACTTCGGCGCTGTTGTCATGTAATCGTAGATGGCTTTTCTGTTTGAATGATGACGTAGAGATTACCTGGTTCTTCTTCCAGGTAGATTATTGAACTACAAGGTATTTAACAAGTATTCGGGACAAGAAGTTCGCGCCACTAAAGGATACAAGAGATAAATAGGACCAGAGAGCAAGGAAGAAAAGGATATAGGAAGCGCTAAGAGCGAGGAGGGATCATGTTACGCGGGAGAAGGACGGCTAGTATACTCGAAGTGTAGTGGCAATGCATACATAGACTACAGTGGCTTTGAGGCTTTCTCCTTTCAACATTAGTAGGAGTGCTGTCCAGTAAATCAGTGCCCTCGCGGTAGGCAAAAAGTCCCGATCGAGGCTACCCAAGTCAGGCGGTAGTTCTGTTCATAGCTTTAGCACTCCTAGGCAATTCTACACGTCCTACACAAACTGTCGCTGCCACGGTTGGGTTCTTCTACCACGCCTGTGTTTTTTACTACGACGAGTCATATCCAGGTGGGGTACCAGCCTCCTGTCAGAGTCTGTGCATCGCGGGTGGACGCGTCGAGAGATATCAGACCGGGACGCGCCAGCCTTCACAACATAGATATGGTCCTCGTCCGCTTGTGATCCAGAGCACCATGAGCCTTGAGTTTTTAAGTCATCCCCCAGAACTTGAACCGAACAAAGACCTCGACGTGATATATCGAACCCCCCCACCGCGGCTCCATGTGACGACGCGTATCTCCTCTCCTCATTAACCCGATATCTATTTTTCCGAGTCTGAAATCATGTCACGCCGACCATCATCGTACCAACCGATCGCTGGACCAGCGTTAGAAGCAGACTAGGAAACTTTCACGTCCGCATCGCACCGTGTCCTCCCAAACAGCGAGACCACGAAACGCGCCCATGCTATCGTCACCGATATCTCGTTTGCGCTTTCGACTGCTCGGAATGAGACTCCTGACTTGGATCCCAAGAGTAAAGCAAATTTGCCAGTCGCCTCAGCTGCTGTTGTCGCTCCGCCCGCGAAGAAGGCAAAGTTGCTGATAGCTCGAGTGATGTCAGATCCGAGCCTAGCAAGAGTACGGCCGAGAAGCCTGTCGAGCGAGCCGTGCCGAAGAAAGCTAGAAAGAGACAGAACGAGTCCGCTACAGCGCAGGCTAAGCTGGGCACAGTTCCGGCCAACGCACGTGCTGGATCCCCACCGGGCTCTTGGAGAGTGATCGAAGAAATAGTTACGCGGGACTTCCGTCGAGGTTTAGAGGAGTCCAAGCGTCTTACCGTTGTAAGCGCACGAACGCGAGCGCATCGTATAGCAGCCAAGTCGTAAGCCATCGCGGTTGAGGCACGGACGGCTCCGCCCGCAGAAACCGGTGAATCGACGCTAACCTCATCACAGGGAGTGCTCCGCAGTCGCCTTCCGACCATTTTGGATGGGAAGATGATCATGAATACGAAGAGGTTGAAGTCGAGGAGGACCCAAGATGGCCTGAAGAGTGTAGTAAGCAGGAGGAGACCGAGATCGAGACTGAGACGATAGAACGTCCGACGCCGTGGTCCGGTACTTCGTCAATACTCATTTCGCGGTCGAGCTGAACCTTCTCAAGAGTGTTCAACAATATCGAGGACGCTCTGCGAGAGCTTTTACGGCCGGGAACAGGACTGGTATAACTGGTGCTTACACTGCTGGTCCCTCGTAAAATTTTACGGCACCCATAAAGTGCGGACTGAGGAAGAGACAGTGCAGATTACAATGGAACCTGAACGCTTCTTCATTGCTCAACGAACTTGCTCTGGTTGAATTATGCGACGGACAAAGGCTGGACGAAGTACTTGAGTATGGCGCCATAATGCTGGTGAGCATCCATGTAATCTCGCGGACGGCCTTGGGCAACATCCCCAACAACTGGAAGAACTGCTTCCTGCGGCTTGAGCTCAGCAGAGGTGGGGCGTCTTGTGGGAGATTCGTAGCAATGTTGACGTCCCGATATCCATAGACTCCATAGTATCCTATTGAGCCACGATCTTGCACCTACAAGCGGACGATCGGCACATTAGTGATGAAACCGATGACGTAGAGTAAACGAGATGGAAAACTTCTATTATGCTGCCATCCGATGTATGTGGTAATATACACAGAGAAGTACTTAGCCGCCCATCGTAACTTTCATAACTAAGAAAAGGACGAAGCGTTTAGAGATTAGCTGTAATGAGGAAAGTGTCGTGAAATCGTGACATTTTATGTCTCATCGCGGTGGTGAGCTAGCCATGACCTGAAGCTGAATACAAAGCGCATATGAAGCGAGCGTTAGGGGTATAAAGCAGAACGTAAAAGTACCCCCCATCCAATAGTGTCCTCAGTCAACAACATCGAGAATGCGGAATGAAAGCGAAAAGAATTTTGTCCATTCGGAGAATGGGTATG